GTGCTGGTCGACTTGGTCGAGGTCGTCGAAACACTTGAAGTGCTGGTCGACTTGGTCGAGGTCGTCGAAACGCTTGAAGTGCTAGTCGACTTGGTCGTAGTTGTTGAAACACTGGAAGTCGTCTTGGTCGAGCTGCTGGTCGGCGTAGAAGCCGAGCTTGTCGACTTTTTGGTGGTCGTCGAAACACTCACAGTCGTGCTCTTGGTCTTAGAACTCGTGCTCGAAGAGGTACCGCTTGTAGGACGCCGAGACCGCTTGGTGGTCGTCCATGTTCCGCTCGAGGTCGGCACGGAGCCGGGCTTGGACGTGGGCCATGTGTGATGATGGTCTCCTGGCGTGGGGGAAGTGGTGCCAGAGCCGGTCGGGCCCTTCGGGGTCTTGGTATCTTTGCCTGTAGGAGAGGTGACCCAGCCGGAGCCGGATGCACTGTGATCACCTTCCCATTCGGTCCATTCGTGTGAGTCGGGGCTGGGCGTCAACGGTGTATCTGTGATGCACGGGCACACATAGTGGGTGTTGGTCTTGGTCACGGTCACCACTTCATCTTCATTCTTCCAGGCTTGCGTAGACAGAAACAAGGCGGCGGTGAACACAACGGTTAAAGAACGGACGAAGAACATCTTGGCGAGATGCCTCCAAAGGAAAGAATGGCTAACGAGTTGGACGTTGTTGGTGGATGGCAGAAGGAGAGTCCGACATCTGGCATGCGGCGGCGCAAACCATATACAAGTACTCTGTTCGGGGGATGGTCGTTGAGGACGGCATTTCCACCATCTCCATGGTCGATTAGCGCCTTCGCCATCTTCATCCCGCAGCGGAGAGCATCTGCAGCATCGGGCTTCAATTGTCAATCTCCTCTCAAGCCCATGCGAGTTGATGCTTCCCGTTTCGAATGTGATGCTCACACATTAGTTCTAGGTTGGCCACGGCGTGCCGGAACGGGACAAGGGAGGCAGAGACATAGCCCATCGACGACAGGGAGGATTCTGGCGCTACAGCTTGCTGCTCAGGGGCCCGAGCTCCTGGCTGGCTGAGAGTGGAGAATGCGGAAGGACAGCGTACAAGGGTGTAAAATTAAAGTCAGCCACAATGCATATGCGCAGATCTTCCGTAGTAAGATCGTGAGGCTGCTCACAGAGTCCGGAGGCAAATCTTGCCATGGCGTCGTTGAGCAGACCTGAAGGCGGCAGCCGTCAAACACATGGCAGATTGAAGTTGCGTAGCAGACCGTTGTGTCACTTGTGCGGTGGGCCGAGAATGAAGCTTGACCGCTAGTGACCGTTGCAGCCGCGGCCGTGGTTCAGGGGAATGCCAAATAAAAGCTTGGCACCAGCGGCCGGAAATTATGAGCACGGATAGAGTATGGCGGGGCCCTTATCTGGGATCCTGTCGCTGCCACCCCCTCGTTGCGTGAGGACACGGTATGATCGCTGTTCCCGACGCGTCTAAAAAGAGGTGGAATATCGCTAAACCTCAATCTGCTGCACGGAGCACGAATGTACTACGAAGAACTACTCCGTACTATGACGCACTTAGACGCGACGCCGTCTGGTTCGTTCTTCGACTCGCTTGCACATTCCGGTTTTCTCGCATATCTCACACAATAGCCTCGCAGCGGTGCAAACCTTGACTTTCGGCTGCACTCGACCCAGGATCAATCGAAATACGTGCCAAGCGCTCCAATCTAGACAGTATATTGCTTGATTCCGTCTTGGGCCTGAGCATCTGCAGAGCACCATGATGTTTGTGTGAGCAGCGTTTCGTCGGCTTGTACTCGTACTCGTACTGCGATGGTTACAAGTGCTGATCTTGCGCTGCCTGCCGCTCCTATAGCAGCGCTCCGTAGTGTCCTGTATCGTTTGAATTGCCTTCAGTTGTATCAAGCCGTGGCGTGTCATCACTGGCGCTTAGGTAAGGAGTATGTGAACAAGGTGGAAAGAGGTACGTGCTTGGAGAGAGCTGTACTAAGACCTGGATGAGGCGCTCAGGTCCTTGCAAAGGGCGTTGTAACGGGCGACCAGGGGGACGAAAGTACCACCATACCAAGAGGAAGACGCGCGGGAGCTCGTACGGGATCGACGCGCCCATGTTGCTTGGCTCTGGCACGGTTTACACAGTGTTCAATGTAGTCACTCACTGACGCAGCGGCACGGAGTGCACAGTGTAGCATACACAGTACCTCATTTATTCCATTCCATGCCACTCCACTACACCGGTACCCTACACTACCGTTTGTGATGGAGAACAGCCTGACGCTCACACTGACTTTAAGTCAATCCTCGAAGATGTGGCCGGTACCCTTTTCGAGAAAATCCTGCAGTGGGACCAAAGCGCTGTTACCGTGTAGGAGGCTAGGAGACGGACTCTTTGTAGCCTTGCTCCTTTGGGCCTGTGTACCGTATGCTCAGCCGGTGGCGCGAGCCGCCCCTTTGACCAATATGCAGGGTGTCGGGTAATTATTGACACTTGTAGAATGGCAGACCGGGTTGTCTCGAATTACTTATCGTCCCGCCTCAAGCGAAATTCAATGGTTTCTCCTCCCGCATTTGTGGCCTCAATCCAAGCTGAAGACCCTTCACGGACATTTGACGTCGGGTCTTGCATCCGCCTGCGCCGACGTTGTCTGGATTGCTCCGATCACTCTAAATATGTAGATTGTCTTACGGCGAAGGAGGCCAGAGTCAAGCACAAATGCGACCAGGACCGCTGACTTACTCCACATTTGACCTGCAATCGCTCTGGCGAGAAAGAGCGGGAAACGAGCACTGATTACTCCGTACGAGCAAACACGCTGTCTCCTTGTGGCCCGTCCGTTAATTAAGGAAAACACGTGAGAGGGCACCGAGGGCACGTGGGACGCGCACAATGGCACCCAAATGATACCCACACGGGGGTGCACGGCTTGGCAGCCATTGATGACTCATCGAAGGGCTCAGGCACCACAGGGGCCTCGGAGCTCCACCCAGGCTCTAGGTATGTAGCTCTCCTGGTGCCACTGCGCTCATCCCTGGATCGCTCAGCCCACCAATCCTGGGGATCCCGTCAATTGTGGCTACATACCTAGGTAGGTAGCCACAGGGCGGACTTAACACATACTGCCTATTGCAAGAAGCAGGAAGGAGCCCGATTGCTGGAACCATGAAGACCGCGTCCCTCATACAGACGACCTGTTGCTCGCGCGGTCATCTTGAATGAGAGAAAGCTGTTACGAGGTTTTCAGACAAGTGGGAGCGAAACTATATGTCCGAAGTGAATGTCCTGAACAAGTCCGGAGATACGTCCAGCGGTAGAGGCGTAAGATTTGACGCTCGCTCGTTCACGTTGTTCCTGCTCACGAGTAGTCCAAGGTCTGTTTCCCTCCTCCACGCTACGTGCCTGCGCAGTACGTCAATGGACATTCGGACGCCCGTGACTTGTACAAGGACAGGCACATTCACAAGCACGTCCCTACCCATTGCGCTTTCCAACTCCAATCGCACCTGCGCGGTCTGCTACCACCTTCGCCCTAACCACTCACACTCTTCGCGACCTCCTCAAAATCCGCCAAAAAGGCCCAAAACATCTTCTCCCGCCACCCTTTCTTCTGCCACTCGTTCGCTTCGTTGGGGAAGAATTCTGCCACACCCCTCACCGAGGCGTCATGCGCATAAATGAACAGCACGTTACCGTCCGCGTCCGCCTTCTGGGCCTTTTCGATGGACCGGATCGCCTCGGAAATGTCAAGCCCCATCGCGGGATCGAAGAAAGGCTTCGTGGGTGATCGGTTTCTCGACGTCTGGAGCTCTTCGAATGCCGCCCCTGGACATGGCGGGTGCAGCGCTCGCGTGAGGGGGTGGGGCGAGATCTCCCGTGGGAGTGGCATATATTCAGAGGGTCGAATCTCGCCGCCGTGGTGGCACAGATCACCGCCCATGAGGATGAACGTGTCGGTGCCGGAATCAGACGTCGTGCGTGCGAGGCCGCAGACGTGACCTACTGCGTGGCCGGGCGTGTCGAGGATGTAGAAGGATCCGTCGCCGAAAAAGTCCAATGCACGGAAGTCGCCGACCTGCAGCGTCTCGGGCTCGGTGAAAGTGATTTCGTGGAGGGTTCGGTCTCTGTGTGCATGCACGTGTGGTTAGTAGGTAGGTGCCCTGAACATAGTTTGATCGAGGTGCAACGCACTTGAAATCGCTCTCTCGGACGGGCGAATCCTCCTTGGAGGGCCAGCCGGGCGCGAATGCCTCCTTGAAGCCCGGTCCCACCACGACCTGCGTCGATGCTGGGAACGTCGATGGATCGCCTAGATGGTCCCAATGCCAATGACTGACGCATCAGGCATCCCATCAGCTTTATGCGTCGAAGATTGGGTGGCAAGATCCAACCAGCTTTGCCAACTTGACGGACACGCACCTCCAGATGATGGATCCGATCGTTTTCAGATCCACGCCGTTCTCCTCGAGGATCTGACTCGTGTGCTTCTCGGCATGGATCTCCCACCCCCTGGTCTTCAACTGGTCGCTGACAGAGGGCGCGAATGTCTCCCAGTCCGGCGGGACACCCAGATCGAAAAGCGCTTTCTTACCAGTGGTGCTGGATTCGACCAGGAACGACCACGAGGGAAGGTCGGGCATGTACTGGAAGCCCGGCACGGGAGGTTCCATAAGCTGGAGAAATTGTCAGGTCATGAGGACGGGCAAGGCCGCTGAACGTTCGCGACAGCGTATGCTTTGAATGCTCTGCATGGAGGACTTGGCAACTTACAAAGTCGACTGGAAGCTTGCCAATATGCGAGGTTGTGTCGATTATCTTTACCGAGGCCGTCGCGCCTGGCGGGATAGGGAAGCGCTTTTTGCTCGAGGTCGACATATTTTCGGATGCGAGTAAGGTTGAGATCTGCGGTTCGTGCTAGTATGGCCTTGATCCCTGTGGTATGTAGTCTTTGATACGCCGGGAAAGGAGGAGGACAAAGGCTTTACACAAGTATCTATCCTTCACTCGGATCTCCTCAAACCAAAATTGGAGTCTGCGGGGCATGGGCGGCAGAGACGGCCAAGTCCGAGTTGCTGGAAGATTGGGGTTGCTGCCGCGAACTCTGCGAGGCTGCAGCACGTAGAATCAAGAGTCGGTCACTCATCTTGATGTCTTCGAACGTTGACCGCTCAATTAGAAGAGCTGTCGTTCCCATCGACACGGAAAATAACATGCCCCCAATATGGTGTACCCGTGAGCCGGGTGGTATCGTAGTCAGAATGTATCTGAGACCGCTGTACCGTAGCTTGAGGCTGACGTGACGCACTTCGATTCATGCAGGTGCCCGGAAAATGGGAAGGCTACTGCTCCTTTCTTTCACGCGATGAGAATCAGGGGATTCCCATATCAACAACGTCAAGCCTTGCGGTTTGCTCAGTTGTCGAATTCGGCCACGGCTTGCCGCAGAGCCTGCTTGGCGTCGTCTCTGGCTCCTTCGACGATATCCTGGGCCGTCTCAACGCTTCTCACCAAGCCCACCGCACTCCCGACATATGCTGTCATCCTGCCGTCATTGCCCCAGCCAAGCGAGCCATCCTTCTGTTGAGACTGAAATAGTTTCTTGTTTTCCTGGAAGTCCAGCCCCACCAAATCGTCTCTCACACTGGCGTTGATGATGGCCCGTCCATCATATCGATCGGGCCAGTCGTGGCGTTCTTGTAATCTGTCAAATAGGTCTGTTCGGATTGTGGATTGACCGCCATCTACGACCCGAAGGACATCGTTTTGGTAGTCGGATTTGACGTCCGCTTCTTTGCTGGCAAGAAAGCGTGTGCCCATGACTGCCCCTGCAGCAACCCCTGTGCCTAGCACGGCAGCCACGCCTCGGCCATCTGCGATACCGCCAGCTCCGAACAGCGGGATATCAGAACCGATCTTCCTCAATGCATCCCATACCTCCGGCAAGAGAGATATGATACCAGCACCTTTTCTCAGCCCGTGCCCGCCGGCGTCGATGCCCTGAATAACCAGAACATCTGGCGCATGTTTGCTTTCGGCAGCAGCCACAGCTTCGGCCACAGAGCCCACTTGCAGCCATATTTTCGTCGACGGCGATGCTTCACGAAGCCCTAATGTCCACTGGTCGACCTCGTATTGTCCATTTTTGGGGACGAAAAGCCAAGCTGCTACAGGCTTGTACTTTCGGACTGTGGTGGCAGCGACTTGGAGATCGCCATCGAAGAGTTGGAAGCCAACGCCAATTGGAAGAGTGTGGCTTGATGACAGTTGGGGAGACTTGGAGTCGTGATCAACTGGTGCTTGGTCGAGTAGTGTCCGTGCTCTTTCGAGCTTGGAACCGAGGTCTGCTGGCTTCACGCCAGGGCCAATGAAGCCTAGACCACCAGCGCGAGAAGTTGCAACCGCGAGATCTGGGCCGGCGAACACGCGCATGGGCGCTGAGACTATGATGGGCGTCTTCAGGAATTTGTAGGTTGACTTGAGTGATTGCATTGCTAGAGTGGTCGTCATGACGGTTGAATTCTCGTCTGAAATGGGCAGAGCTGTGCAGTCAGGGTGTAGTCAGTTATGGGTGATCCATGATACATGCTGAAGGCTGCGCGACAGTTTTAGATGTGGCTGGCGAGTACTAAGCGACGTCGCTTCAGGAAAGCGGTCACCGGCTCGACACATTCATTTCTGATCATCCCAGGTTGATTATTGTCATGGTTCCGAACCCGAGCAGCATCGGTTTATGGTCGAATAGGGTTCAATGCGATGACAAACCAAAGTGGGACTTACTCCAGCCTTGTCCCTCCAACCTCCGCGGAGCAGAACGGCGACAAGCAATGCGGTCAGCAGATGCGTAGTGGCAGGAAATATGCCCAGGTACTGAGAATGGCGATGCAAGATGGCGATCATGTGTGTCCAATTCGAAGTTCGGAAGACGATAGGAGGCCATATGGCGGTGATGTTGGCGCGACATTGTGGATATTTGCAACAAACGCCAGAGCCTCGTCCCTCGAAGGACGATTTGCAGACATGGTAGGTAGGGACGTATGGATGCTGAGGCCTCCGAGATTTCGTTCACTGATTTCGCGACTCCATCCAGCTCATTTATGGGGCGTGCCTGGTCCTCAGTGAAGGTAATCAACTGTTCAGTTCATGAGACCTTCCGACCAGCTCTATGAAGGGTCTCAAGCCCATCAAGCCCAGCCACACAGCTTCCTCTGTTCTGATGGTGCGACTACCCTGGCCAGGTAACAGGTTCACCCACACGTCAAATAGCTCCTTGACTTTCTCTCCAAGCAGGCCCATTTGACGACAACTGGCGTCGTTCTTTGCTGCCGTTTCTAAGCCCGCGACACCGCCGAAGACGACGAGAATATGCTGAAGACCGCGAGGATCTGCCAGGGACTTTTCTGCCAACACATCTGTCAAGGGCCGACCTCTTTCCGAGGTGCCAAATGAGATGTCATAGCCACCGTCGAAAGGACACTCGGTGAATACATCGGTCAGGTTGTTGCATTGACGTACATTAAATCCCCAGTAATAGCCCCTATCTTGTCTCGGAGTATCTGGAGAGGCGGCTCCGGCCTCTTTAGAACCTTCATCCTTGAGATGTACAGTCACTCGTGTGTTGGGCGGAACATCTGCATCTGGAAGTTTCAGGTAGCCAGGTAGACCCACGTCAACCAGCGTCCCGCTGCCGTCGGCGAGAGAGGCAGTAGTAATCCCTTCACGGTACTCGCACCATTCGTTGGCGCGTAGGTGATGCGGCATATCTAGACTGGGTAGAGTGCCTGCCGTCCGGAGATTTTGATGCATGGGAAAGAGCGTCTTGCGGAGATGTGGCGGTGTCTCAAGGTATGACAGAAGGTGAGCAAGGAAGTGGTCGGGGTGCGAATATGCGGTGTAGTCATTCTCGCCGATTGCTGGTCGTCGTTGTCGAGTTTCCATGTCTTCGTCGTCGAATACGACAACTTCGTCAACGCAGAATACTGCCAGAGCCCGTGCAATCTGACCAGCTAAAAAGGTCTTCTGCTCGTGGGATTTTGCGTTCGCGATGATGCTGCCGGGAAGCGCGATGGAGAGTGTCCATGAGCGGCCACCACTGGGCTGAAATACCGCTGAGGGTCTGGACGTGTCGAGGTTTTGTCCAGTGGCGCCATTCTGCTGCGGGTGTTCCGTCCTCGATTTTTTCCCTGACTTTCCCTCCTTGCTGTCTCCTTTCCGCTTCTGGAATTTCAGTTAGAAAGCAAGAACGAGGGAAGATCAGGGTTCTAAGCCTTACCTTGTCCTTACTTGTCCCGGGGATCATATGCATGGTGAGCACCTCGAGACAGGATCGCCTGCTGTGCAGCACTGGGTCTGGTGGTGAGACCCTATAGGCCAATAACTTGGTACGGAAGAGTCAACATGTCCGCGTCCCTTTGTCGAAGAACTCAGCCTCATCCTCCAGCAAAACTTAGTGCCAAGAATAGCCCTGGTCAGCTAAACTCCGATTGGCGGATGGCGAGATGCCCGAAAATCAAGGGACAGAATTCCCATTCCAAAAGTGGACGGGATGAGACCAAGATGCATGGGAAAGGAGCATGACATGTTCCACCTTCCATCTTTCTCAGCTCCCGCGCGACTCAATACTACAATTTTTGTGACACTTGCGTACACGTACCCAAGATCTTGGTTGCGGCTGCCATCTTGCCTTGATTTCTCGCCTGTCTCACCTGCGCTGATTCTCGGATCCACCTCTCCTTCATTTTGACTCTCGACATCACACAGCCATGAAAGTCGGACGGCGGCGCGCTCACTTACTCCTGTTCTTCTTCGCTTCTATTGCGACCACCAACGCCTTAGGTGGTGATCTGTCCTCGACAGATCTTCTCAATCCACCCGCGTTAGGGGGCGCTGTTGGCGCGTCTGGAGGGGGAAGTACCCTCAAGGGGCCCCCGGTTGGTACAGAACATGCACCGGTGGATGGTAAAGATGGCATGCCCCACGACGGACCTTTTGTCGAGACAGGCGCAGAGCGAACGAGGAAAAAGCAGGGCGCTGAGGCAGGGGACGACGAAGTTGTTGTAAAAGAGTCGTACAAAGATCGCGGAAACCTACCTCAGACGAACGATGCCGTCATGGACGATCGCGTCAACTCGAAACCCGTCGAGGGGACTAGGGGTGTGGAAGGAGGTATCTCCGAGAAGTCCAAGGAGGGCAAGGTGACGGAGAAGAGGCCCGAGTCTCCCAAGGATGCGAGGCCAGTGCCACATAGCGAAGCGAGAGATCCAAATGGGTCAGCAGTACCCGCCTCGACGGATGAAGAAACCAAGAAAACTCTAGCAGTGAGGCCAGCGCAACATGGACAATTTGAGGAACAGAACCAAGTGCTGATATACCGTCGCCAGGTCCCCGAAGATCTCCCCTCCAAGCCGCACGATATTCCTCACCCTGAGAATCCATCCTCACCGAAAGACACCATCCTCTCGTCGGAGAGCCCGCAAACACCCAAGAAACCCCTCGAACACGAACCCGCCGTCATTTCGCCCATGCATTCCTTGGTCCTTTCCTTCACGATGATCATCTTCTCCGAGATTGGCGACAAGACGTTCCTGGTCGCGGCGCTCATGGCCATGCGCCACCCTAGAGTGGTGGTGTTCACGGCCGCCTTTTCCGCCCTCATAACCATGACTGTTCTATCCGCCGTCCTCGGGCACGCTGTACCCACTTTGATCCCTGAAACCCTCACCAAGTTCGCAGCCGCGGGTCTCTTTCTGGTCTTTGGTGTCAAGATGGTCATTGAAGCCCGAGGAATGTCTCCCGACGATGGGGTAGGCGAAGAAATGAAAGAAGTAGAGATGGAACTCGAGGAGAAGGAACACGAGCATGCCCGACAAATGTCGAGACATCGAAGACGGTCGAGTGCGATATCCCCCTACGCGCTGGAGGCCGGGCGTGGCGTTCCGGGGCGGAAGAACACCGACTCACGACTTCCTTCACCACCCGAGTCGCCCTCCTCGTCGCGCGAGGCGAGCCCAACTCGGACGTCGAGCTTAAAGAATGCTATGGCGGGGATCAACAACTTGTTCTCATTACTGCTCAGCCCCGCCTGGGTGCAGACTTTCGTCATGACCTTCTTGGGTGAATGGGGCGATCGCTCCCAGATTGCGACTATTGCCATGGCAGCGGGGCAGGACTACTGGTGGGTTACGGCCGGCGCCCTGGTAGGGCACGGAATCTGTACTGGTGCTGCTGTGCTAGGCGGACGAGCTATTGCTGGCAAGGTCAGCTTGAGGACTGGTAAGGCATCCTTCCCCCCCGCGTGTACTGTACAGGATCGCAACTAATGATTCACAGTTACCATGGGCGGCGCTATTGCATTCTTGGTCTTCGGCGTCATTTACTTGCTCGAGGCCGTGTATTGATTAATGTTACACTTCTTATCTTCTCAGATATTTCTAGTCTCCTGTCCCAAGCATTCAGCAGTTGGCAGAATGTCGAATGCAACGTTGGCTGTTTTCATCGTGGCACTCGGTTCGTTCTATGGATAAAAAAGCCACTGTCAACTAATAAACCAATGAGCCAATGCAAGAGGTCATGCCCAAGTGAGGACTCGCACGCCTAACCAGGCTGCCGAACGTTGGAAAGTCAGATTTGCAGTAAAGCTCCCACCAGAGTGACCATCTAAATTACGCAGTTTCGTGATAACCTACAGTCCCAGCTCAGTCGTAGGACGAGACTTGTGCGCTGGCCCAGGTCAAGCGGATCAGCATTACAGGATGCAAGGATAGAAGCTAGAAAGAGTAATGTCCTGTACGCAGTACATAGGTTCGACTGCCTGCTCGCTGACTCGTAGCAAGTGATCGGGCCGGGTCCGAACGAATTTCCAGGAGACATCCAACGTGCCACGCCGTGGTCCGATATCAACGTAAACAACGACATCAGCATGGGACTCGACAGCAACGGACAGACCGAACCTCGGGGCCATCCAGATGTGTATGTCTGAACCTCAAGCCCTACTCACAGCACTATGCTCATGGATCGAACCTTTTTGAATGCCTGTATCCAACCATGATTGCATGCCCATGAAACTCCGAAATTCGTAACCGTACCAGTTACTGAGCCGTTCCCATAACTCCCAAGTTGTAGTCCAAAACCACCGCGGTGATGAAGTCGACCGACCAACCGATCGACCGATGTATCCGGACTTTGATCCCAGTTCCCTTTCCTTCATACCATTTGAAACTCCAGATCTGCATCCACCGCGCAGGTAGATGAGATCTCAAAAGCCCATAGCCAAGTAAGACACGTTCCGAAAGTAATAGCTGCCACAGACTATGCTGCATTGCACTGCGTTGCACAGCGACTTCAAGTGACGCAGAAGTGTGTCCAGAGGATCGTGTCCCAACTCTGCTTGCGCTGAAGTGCGTCACACGTCAAGCAAAACGCGGCAAATGTTCGACGACACATTGTTGGATGAATACGCGTGGACCTCTGTCTCGGTTTGCATCCCACTCAACCTCTCTGCTTAGGCTGACTTAGGAAGTTGAGTCGGCTGAGACTCATGAGTCGACCGCCTTTGCGCTCCTTTGCACTTTGCTTGGCAAGTTCTCGCGCGGAACTTTGTCGGGGCTTCTTGACTGGACTAGTCGTGTCTGCAGCTACGTCGGATATCTTCTCATGCGAGGGTGCCGTCCGCAAACGCTTGCCGCCGCGCTTCCCGCCCTCGTCTTGTTCCTCGTCGTCATCATGCATGCTGTCACGCCATCCGCCCGGCACACTTGGCATGAACGAGGTGCGCCGGTTTTCCTTGCCGCTTTCTCCGTCTGTGTCCTCCTGGTCTTCTGATGCTCGTCGACGCTTCTTCCCAGGCAGGCCGTGGGGCATAGTCTTGACGTCTGTATCCTCGAAGGGTTGTACAACTGAGGTGACACCTGAGGTGCGGACGCGACGGATAGTCGAAGGCGAAGGGTTGGAGAAGTTGATGTAGCTGGGTGATCTCATGACTTTGTTGGCGTGAGCAGGAGAATGGTTCTTGTGGACAGTGGTGTCAATGGACGTCAATGTCGAGGCAGCGCTCGTGCGAGATGGGTGATGTAGCGTCGTGAAGATGGACTTGAACTCTTTCGACTCCCGACGAGTATGTTCCTTTGCCTTGTTGATGAACGACTTGTCGACCTTCACGGGGCCACCCGGGCTCGATGATGTTGCGGAGAGCACCGGATACTCGATCTCACTTGAAGCATCTTCGGCATCTTCCCATCCATCCTCGTCGTCGATGGTGTATGCGGCTGCGTCGTATGGAATAGCCGGTGCCAGTGCGTGTCCTGGTGTGAGTTGTTGTGGTAGTTTTGCTGGGCTAGGACTTCCAGCAGCGAGCTTAACAGCGTACCTAGATTTGACACTTGGAGTGAAGTCGACTCTCTTGGTTGATCCAGTGGCTGATGTGGCGGTAGCGGTGGAGGGACGCTTGGGAGTTGCTGAGGCTTTCTTCGTCAACGTCGGATTGTCACTCTTCCGAGGTGAGCGAAGGATCGACTTCAGACCCGAGAGCTTCGGCAGCCTCGACGCGAAACTTGAGCTACTAGTTGGAGCGGGAAGAGAAGGGATGGACTTGGACGGCTCTTCGAGCGCCAGCTGCGGGGAGGAGCAAATTTCGTTCGGTAAAGGTGGAAGAGGCCGTTCAAGTGACAGTTGAAACTGAGGGATCTTGGTTGATGTCTGATTGCTGGCAGCTCCATGGGATGTAGACGGTCTCGCGCTGGGCGCCGCCAGTGTCGCTCGCAGTGACTTCATCGAAGTGGTCCGCGTGAGCCCAGGTGTCTTCTTCGGAGAGGCAACTGGAATTTGACTGTTTGCAGCTCTGGCCAAAGATGCTTTGGTAGGGGACAACAAGTGGCTTGAAACTGAAGTCGGGTGGTTTACCGGACGGGCTGTATGTGCACGCTCTGACGCTCGGCTGGCGGAGACATCGTGAAGCTCAGAGTGGCGGGCGCGCTTGACCTGGGCGGGCTCCTCTGCGCGATCAGGCTGTTGCGGAACAGATTTGAAGGGGCTGACTGAGGTCGGACGACCAAGGAATGGTGGAGGCTTGCGACCTGGAGTACCCTTTCCGGCAGTTCGGGGTCGATCAACTTCGTCGAGACCAGCCTTTGAACCACTTCTCTTAAGCGACTGAGTGGTAGGTTGTGCAAATCCCGGTCGCTTCGATCGGAAGGCCGATGGATGGTTGGCTATCGAGTCCATCTTCTTGAACTGCGCCATGTGTATATCGCTGAACCGGCCTGCCTTGCCCTTGGGCTTCGCAATCTTTCTTCCAGCTGCGTTGATGCCATCAAAGATAGCCTCTGCTTCACAGTCTTTGTATTTCTGAGCTTCTTTCTCCGCCTGCATCTGGGCCTTGATTCGCGCCGTCTCCTCCCGGACGGAATCCATCATCTTCTGCGCCTCGTTGCTCAGGGCCGACTCGGAACCAAAGTTGAAGTCGAAAGTTGTGGAGCTTAGTTTCGTATTGCTAGTGCGGGTTCTCGAAGGGGTATTTTGAGCGCTTGCGACGGTATGGGGAGGATGTGGAGGTGGATCAACAAATCCCAGCTTGAGGCCAGAATCGGGTTCTTTGGCTGTGGTTTGATGGAGCAGTTGGGGATGCATCTCGCCCCGATCAGGTCGGGGTTCGGTCTTCGGCGTCTTGAGGCCAGATAGTCTGGACAGCTGGGACATTTTTGCAATAGAAGAGGGCGTTGAGAGGACATTATCAATGGATGGCGGCTCCTCAACCGGTGTCTCGTCTCTTTCGACGAGAGACTCGAGTTGTATTGCGGATGTAGCTTTACGGGGTGAAGCACGCTGCGAGAGCCATGTTAGTCTCGAGTCAAGAGATCAAGCTATTTGCAATCGGCTGAGGAGAGTCCCTCCCGGCGAGCTGGAAAAACATTACCTCCTGTTGTGCAGCGCTCAACCGAGCGGAGCGGCGTCGAGGGACGGCCATCTCAGAGGCGCTCAGAACGTGATAGCTCAGGACCAGCGCAGGCCAAAATGTCGAATGTGAAAGAGGAGATCTGAGAAGGAGTAACCCAACGGTCTCGCTTGCTGGTGGATTTGTGGACGTCAGCTCACCTACTGACCGTTTGGCGGAGAAGCTTCGTCTTTTTCGGGCTGTGTGAGTGTGTGACGTACCATGTCAACAAAACATCGGGCGCTGCCGCTGAGTGGCTCGTGAATTTCGGACCTGTGGCTTGGCGGCCGATGCGCAATCACGTGATATATCAGTCACGTGAGCTACCTGTCATCGGTGGACTTGAAACACATCCGCCTCTCCCATCATCCTTCGGGGCTGCCCTCCACCACCTTTCCGCTTCTTGCAAATGTAGCTCTTCTTCCGATTCGCTCATGCCCTGAAACAAATGCCCTGCAACAATTCAGAACACCGGAGGCGTGGTCGTCGGCGCCACAAGAATGTCATCTCGGCTGCCTCGAACCATGTCCGTATTCGCTCACCGTATTATCGCGTCCACCGCAAACATCTGCGTATTGGGTGCCGCAACCCCCTCAGCTGCACACATAGTCGCACAGAAGGTTTACAAAACATTCGATGCCACCGACTCTTGGAGGTCTCCTGCCGCCCGCTAGCCCCGAGTGACCTCGAGGCTGCTAGAGCTTAATCACAGCGGTATCTGGGTACACACTCGTGCTGACTCGTCGACCCAACCCACAGACAGGCTATGAGCACTTCTGCGTTTTGAAAATAGCTGATCCAGAACACCGGCTGTGCTGCTTGCTTGAGACAGGCGAATCTTTGAATTGAAGTGCACCATGAATTCCTGCTTACCAAGTCGCCGTTGCCGACTGCGCCTCATAAACCACTCGAGGACCAACGGCGAATTGCGCGGCCGGTCCGGGCTAGCCTCGTCAGACCTCGTTCATCCATCGCTCCTAGCCACCCTAGGGCTAACGGGAAATGAAAGGATCGACGAGGTGATCTGTTCCTATTACTACTCAAACGGGTACCGGCGACTCTGAACCGCCTCTTTGATTGTTCTCGTGTCTTTTCCTTTGTGCGGCCCGATATTATTCCCTGACGACAATCACGTTCTTGGTCACGACCACCCGTTGTTGCATGCACGATACTTGTTGATATAGACAGCAGGCTGTCGAAATGGATTCATTTTCACATTCGCTCAGCCATCGATTTGGTGTTCTCGGTCTTCTGGCGTTGACTCAAATCGATCTTGTGCAGGCTGGTGTTGCGCTTGATCCGGTGAAGAACTTTTGCAGGAGAATTGGACATAGCTCGGTGTATAAAAATGGGACGCTCTATATCAATGGCGGTATCGAGACTTACGTCGACTTTGGTGCGAACGGGCAACAGGATTTCAACACGATTACTACCGGCATCAGTGAGTTCGGTGGAAGCCTGGCAAGCGTCCTGTAGCTGACCTTGCTCTCTAAGACGAGAACCTCATCTCGGTCGACATGACCGCATCATGGGACTGGAAGACGAATGTATCCATCTCCCAGAATGCCAGACACGAAAGTGGCAGCGTTGCCGGCATGCAATGGCCGGTAAACGTCCACGATGGTGCTCTCTTTGGCGGATTGAACGACTCCCCGTCGCTGACCATGTTCGGCGGTACAACTTCCGACTTCAACCAGTCATTTCCCAATTTCTTGATTCCTCCAGACACGCGGTACGGCATATGGACCTACGATATGCCAGGGGATATTTGGACCGCTGTCGACACGTCTAGGGTCTTGGACACAATACCGTCTTGGGGGGCCAGTGCTGAAGCTCCGGACCAAGGCCTAGCCTTTTACGTTGGTGGACAGGTCGACGACGGTACAGCAAACAGCACTCAGTTCCTCGGCAACGGTACTGTTGGTGTCACTGGCATGGTGGTGATAGAGACACAAACCAACACCATCAAGAATATAACGGGCTTGAGCGGCATTCAGACCAATCGCCAAGGAGGAGGCCTCGTATACGTCGACAACTTTGGCAATACCGGCGTGCTCTTGCTTATTGGTGGACAGACCCAAACCACGGGCTACATCCCCATGGACGAGATCAAGATTTTCGACATCCATTCCATGGACCTTACCGGTCAGGCTGGAAGTGGCAACAATCTATGGTACGAACAGAAGGCAACGGGCGACATTCCTGACGCCAGGGTCGACTTTTGCTTGGTGGCTGCGCCTTCGCAAGACAACAGCAGCACCAGCATCTACCTGTACGGCGGAACAAGCAATGGCACAATCTTTGACGACATCTACGTACTCAGCCTACCGTCCTTTACTTGGGTCAAGGTCTTTACGGGCCAAGACGCACGATGGAGCGTCACATGTCACTTTATCCCCCCAAGGCAAATGATCACCGTAGGCGGTGGTGGCAAGAGCAGCAACATCTCCTCTGACTGCGATTGGGAACAGAAGAGCTTGGCTGTGCTTGACCTGAGCACCATTGGGTGGAGTAGCGTTTACGACGTCGCGGCCCCGGCTTACGAAGTGCCCGAGCAAGTCATCAAGGTGATCGGTGGAGGGTGAGTTCTGAAGCTACCCTACAAAGCAAAGCTTCAACGACTAACAATCAATCATCCTAGGCCGTTGGGTAACGCCACAAAACTCGAGCCGGACAAAGGGTGGGATCAGACAGGCCTGAGCAACCTCTTCATCACAAGACAGGCGGCTACTACTCCGAGTAACAGCACAATACCATCGATCACAGCTACCACCACGCCAAGCCCAGACAGCAACGGAGACAACGGGGTATCTGGTGGCGCGATCGCAGGGATCGCCATAGCAGCGGTCGCTGGCGTGCTAGTCGTCACTGCTGGAGTTTTCTTCTGTCTCCGTCGTCGTCGCCAGCAGCAGCAGGGCAAAAGCCAAGAACTACGTCCCGACATCCCCGAGAAGGATTCCCTGCCGTCTTATAGCACTGCTGCCTCGCACCGCGCGGCGGAGCTGGCAGGGGGTTACCAAGCCGTGGAGATGCCCGCCGCGAAGGAGGGACCTACAGCGACCGTCAATCCCGAGCCGCACGAACCTGTCGAGAAGGATGCCGATCCAGTGCAGGGGTCGTATCCGTCGTTGCGACAAACCGGACCCGTCGAGATGGAGTAAAGTGGATGGCTGATCCAGGGTCGGTGGTGTGGGATGTACATAAACTTGAATTATGCCCTGAGTGATTAACTTGGCGATGTCCCGTAATGATATTAATTATCCATATTAGGAAGGATTTTCTTGCTCGGGAAGAAAGAAGCGCCGAGGACCGTGAAGCCAATACCGAGGACCGTGAAGCCAATACCGAGGACCGTGAAGCCAATACCGAAAACCGTAACGCAATTATACTGGTATGTTTCGTGCGCCGGGTGATACATGTAATTGAAACATGCGTAATATTATCGGGGCGAGGAGGTGGACCTCATAACATGGAGTTTCCAAAGCGTACCATATCGTCCCGATTACTGACAGACAGCTGTATAGACATACCTCCTACCTAGTTAGTAGGCAAGCAGGCCTAAGTATCACGCGCTCCGTTCGCTGGGACTCCGACGCCCAGAAATATGTACATATCAAGGCCATTCAGGTTCAGGAGGAGCTAGTTAATTGCAGGAAGAAACGTCGGGGGTCACACTCTATGAACCGTGATCCTGACGCCCTTGCTGTCGGGGCGATACAGCGGCGTGACCCCGTCACCTATGATCTCGATATCCTTGTAGCTCGTATTATACAGCTCGAGAAATCCTCTGTCCTGGGGGAAACGCACCTCGCGGCTCCCGTACTGACTGAACACGGTCGCCACCGTGGCATACAGCTCGGCGTACGCCAGGTTGAGGCCCACGCAGGCGCGGGTGCCGCGCGAGAAGGGCACGAGGTAACTCTCGAGGCTCGGGTCATCGATCCAGCGCTGGGGGCGGAACGTCATGGGATCGTCGAAGTAGGTCGGGGAGTGGTGGATGAGCAGGCCCGTCATGGACAGCGGGATGCCCGGCGGGAGCACGTACTCGTATTGCTTGGCGACAGTGCTGGGTTTCTTGCTGTCCTTGTCTTTGGATCGCGCCTTGGCCGTGTAGATGAGCGTTTCGTCCGTGGCGATGCGCTGCAGGCGCGTGCTGATGCCGCTGCTCAGACGAAGACCTTCCTTGATGACCGCTGACAAGTACGGCAGCTGCTCGAGCTTGACTGCGTCGAGGGGCACCGTCGGGTCGGCGATGGCGTCTGCGAGCTCTTTCTTGAGTCTGCGCAGTTCGTTCGGCTGCTGGAGCAGTTGGTATGTGATTTCCGAGAGGGCTGCCGCGGTGGTCAGGGTGCCGGCGATGACGACGACCTGGCCGTCTTGCCAGAGGCGGTCCGGGGACTTCTCCTTCTCGGGCAAGTCGCCCTGCAGGATGGCGTGGAAGACGGTCATTTGGGCATTGTATTTGCTGTCGGGGTTGCCGCGGTGGGCGTGGATCTCGGAAACATGGCGGATAACGTCCTGTTCACGAGTGCTGCGTCAATAAAGGCGCTGTACGGCGCGTCTGATACCGCTTTACTCTTTGAGAGAAGCATACCTTGTTGAGTTTGATGTAGCTTGCCATGACAGGGTTCAGGGCGATCTGCACCGAGTCCGGCAGTACTTTCATCAGAGTCAGCACCCACGGCATTTGTTTGACGAAGTGCCCTATTTTGGCACCCGCCTCGCCGGCCTCTTTGAAGCTTGGGTCGAAGTCATGAGCCAGTAGCCGATTGTCACTGCGCGCAAATGCGTATTCCTGGACGATATCTGTCCGGCCTCGTCAGTACCCGTCAGGTTTGGTGGTGTGGTACAAAGGACCAACCGTTCGCAAGGGCGGCATACGCCAGCGACACCGTCATAGGCTCTCGGGAATCCTGGAACTCGCGAAACCGAGTCATCAGATTGTCCAGAATGGACTGAATGCGCGGTTGCAAGGCCCGCACTTTGGCCTTGGAGAAGTATGGATTCATTGCCGCCCTGCGCATGCGATGCAGATTGTGGTCTGGGGTCCCGAAGGCCGACTGCGGCAGACCACTTGAATTGGTGAAAAAGGTCCATTTGTCCCGTTTGTGCGTGGGGCCGGCGTATACCTGGTCGTAAAAGTCGGCGTCGTCAATGTGGACTTCCTCGGGGTTGATGCGCAGGAGCGGTCCATATTGCTCGTGAAGCGTCCGGATTTTCCAGATGTATTGACCGCCGAGGACGACGTCGTAGTAGAATTCGTACCAGTAGGTGAGCTTCGCCAACGTCGGCCCGGGGATGTGCGCCTGAGGACACAGATAGAGCCGCCAGGTCGCCAAGGCGAGAAGATAAGTGACTGCCAACAGGGCGCCCAATACGCAGATCAGCCCAAGGGGAGAGGCACCCGGGCTTCCTAGGGAGATCATGGCTATGCTGCGCTGGCGCCGCTACCTCCAGCCCGTGGACTGCGACTCGGCGTGTTCGGATAGTGATGACGGGAGACAAAAGGACGAGATTGTTTGCAGCGATGCGTGGGTGCGGTGAGGGGGGGCGGAATCATTTACATATCAGGTCGCAGTACAAAGTCGAGACCTTGTGGACCTCCAAATGCACATCCCCCAGGCGAGCAACTGCCTAGCGTTCAGAGCGGCCTGCCTAAGCGGGCGTTGAGCGGTGCAAACTCCACGCAGCCGAACCTCGCTAACGGTGAAAGGTCCAGGCAATGAGGAGCCAGGTGAGGGCAAGTCGGGCTGACCATTCCTGGACACTCTACTCGGCACGCGCCTGCTGTTACATTCTACAAAGTTTGTCCGCTCCGCCGACCCTCCTGCACGGCGTCATGAAAGGAAGTCTAAGTACTCCGTAGTCTCCCCATACAAGATTGGTGCAACGAGAACGCAGCAGGCGGCGTCTGCAGCTGTCGTGCCCCGGCCCGACGCCTGCCCGATCCTCGCGCCAGGCTACGGATGTTTGCTTGTCGCTCCCCGCGCCCATCAGTCCAACAGCTCGAGCCCCTCCTCAATCAGAGTTTCGCATAAGTTCAGTCGTTGCCAGGACCCATTTCGACCATTCCACTTCTGAGGGCTTAAAACTTCTTCTATCGAGGCACCATCCTCTTGGGCTGTGATCTGCGCAGCTGTCGCTCACCTTTAGATTCCAGCGCACTCGCTTCAATGGAGAGGGACGCGCACATTGATGTCCAGGCGAGTGCGCGCACAACCATGTCACTCACGGCGAATGCTAAAGATCCAGTAGGGTGCGCAAGGTGACTTCGATGAAGCCGACTCGGGCTATGAGGGAAGGTATGTCTACGTCCTCGCAGCACCAACTGAGCTGACGTGTGATCAGCGACGTTTCTTCAATAACCACGACGCTCCGTTCGGCGGCGCTGAATTATACGCAAGTCTCCGTCCCCCGAAAGACGCCCAAAGTACTAATCGCCGTGCAGATACGAGGCAGGTCATATAGCTACAGGAACTTGGCCCGTGAGACACTGACGAAGGGCCGCAGAATGGTAGAAGATACCAGCGAATGCCCAACGAGAACGCCTATGTCTTTGTGCGATTCTCGGGAAACTTATTGAGAGTACGGGTGCTAACATGTCTTAGCCCAACGATGAACAAGAACAAGAGCGACTTGACATGCTGCATCATATTTTCCGTCTCGTGCAAGGCGGCCGGCTATACACCGCCCCAGTCGATATTCCCCAGCGGGTGCTGGATATCGGAACCGGGACTGGGATCTGGGCACTGGAGTTCGCGGAGTAGGATTCCCATTGCGCACTGATGTTTGGGAGTCTATGCTGATGCCTTACTTAGCGAGTTTCCACAGGCCCAAGTCACAGGTAATTCCCTTGAACCTCAAACCGAACGGAGTAATGATACCTTCTTGCAGCTGTTGATCTCAGTCCCATTCAGCCAGATATGTAAGCTTGTCACCTTCCGTCATCATGAACGCGCCGCGCGTGTCTGACCGCGCTCCACCAGGACTGCCCCGAATTGTACCTTTATAATCGATGACCTTGAGCAACAGTGGGACTACCCGCAGAGTCGCAAGTTCCATTACATCCACCAGCGCAGCATGTCTGGCAGCATCGGAGACTGGACGAGGATGTACAGACAGGCGCTGACATCCATGGAGCCGGGCGGGTACATTGAGCTCCAGGAGTTTGAAGTCTGGTTCTACTCCCAGCTTCCCGAGGGCCTCCCAGAAGAATCGGCCATCGTCAAATGGCAGAAACTGGTCGACGAGGCTAGCGTCGCATTCGGGCGACGCCTCAACTATGCGTCTCGGTTCGAGGCCCATCTCGAAGAAGCTGGTTTTGTGGGCATTCAGACGCAGAGAATAAAGGTGAGTGCGAATGTGCCTTGCCTCGCGATATGTATCGTCACCCACTAAATGAATGTGCCCAGACTCCGATAGGCGCGTGGCCCAAGGACCGCAGACTGCGTGAGATAGGGGCATACCTTCAGGTCCAGATGAATGAGGCTCTGGAAGCTGTGACACTGGCGTATCTCACACGTGCTCTGGGCTGGACGGAGGAGGAAGTCCACGTCCTGTTGGCGGATGTGAGAAAAGAGTTCAATGACAGGTCGAAACTTCTTTACACGTACTGCTGGTTTATCACGGGCAAGAGACCGACAGAGGCGGACAGTAACACTTGAGGCTTTGTCACGAGGAGAATTTGGTTTCTCTGAGCGGTCCTATGCAGATAAAAGTAGTTGGCAAGTAATTCGTCGACACATTCCTCAGCTCCTCTGATTGCACTACAATCGGCGCGATATATTTCTCCTATCCAGAAGTCGGAACCTGGGCCTGTATCCCAGCCAAGGGCCCCCCCATCGTACAGCACTTCGCACAAGGTAGATTTTCAATTCCCTCTCAAGAGATCATCAGGCTAGAGAGGGTTAATCTTCGGCTCTGCGATGGAGTGGAAAACAGGCCAGCGGCACCAAGCAAATCGCCCGCACCTACGGGACTATATTCCGAGAAAAACTGCCTCTCATCTACTAGGTGCCTATTGGGCCAGAAAAATCGCCGTCGCCATGTTCGGCGTTATAGGGCTTTGAGGGCGATGGTATCGGCATAGAAGACTTGGGACTTGATTCGAGCCTTGCAGTTGAATGCAATACGTCCATTGATTACGGGGAAGTTTTGGGGACCTGGTCTCGCATATGAAATCCATCGAGCAGGAACCTGAGACTGGGGGCTTTCACGATGCATCTTACCTATTGTAATGCAACGAGTAATCTTGATGCTGGAGGCCACCAGCAGCAGTTCGTGTCATTTGAACAGCTGTCCGACACGGTATCAAGCTTGCTTGCTCCGTACCTAACATGGCATTGTCCCTAGATTGTCAATACGATCTTTACGCTCATTTCTCGACTTCCTCGTGCACCACTGAGTCGACGCCAGTCAGTTGTTCCGGAGTTGCACTGCCGCAACTGCTACTCTGTAGGACGTGAGACGAGCTCGACACTTTTCGCAAGGGCTCTGTTATCAGTCGCAGGTCTGAGCAAGCGTGGCAAGGGAACCAGCGCAGGCGATTATCAAAGTGCCCCGGGAAAGAAATCTTTCTGGGAAGGAAGGCACGTGGGCTTGGAGTGGACTGGGCAAAGGCGCGGCAAGGCTTAAGCAGAGCGCCGCGCCCAACACCACGAATGAGAGTCACTTGCCGCGATTCCCAAGACATGGACATGGCCACCAAGCATGTAATCCATATTCAATTGTACCGTTTTATCTCTTTTAGTCAATTCACTGCACAGACGTTTTTCACCGCTGCCAACGGATTGCGGATTCGCGATCCTTGTGACGGTTGAGTCGTGTTTGGTGGTGTTTCCCCCCATTCTATGACGCAAACCACAGGCGCTGACGTCGGTCGAAGCTAAACTTCGGTTTGAGGGCGGTTCCTTCTTTCCCCAATGCCACACAAGCAAAAGGTTCTCTGTCGGTCGCAATTGGTTCAAGCTCAAACGCAAGCTTGACTCCCTGGACGATTACCTGTCGATCACTTCTCTGTTGCTGCATGACTCGCACGACCACACGGCACAGGCAGTGTGGAACTCTTTTCTACCAGTAACGCGGGCTCGGACGAGGCTAGATCCGACCACCCACACGAGGGGCGATCAGCTGGCTTGTCCTTGACACGCCATGACGTCGAAGGCACCATGCCATCATCTGTCGCACAGACGCAAGAAGGCAGTAAATACCATGTGGCCCTTGACCGCAACGTATTGCCTATCAACCTCCTCGATAGTAGCAGCGGGAGTTTTCAAGGACCTCGACGTGCGCAGCAGTGAGCGCAGCGCCAATTATCAGCGACTACAGACTGCTTTCCAGTGAGGTTAAACATGGCCTCAAGATCGCCTACGCTTCGCGCTGAATCGGATCCCTTTGGCCCAGATGCAGAGAAGCACGCCGGTCCTCTAGATGGCCCCGCTGCCCGAGGTAACGCACACCCCGATGTCGAGCCATCGAAGGAGAAAAGGCGCTCATCACTGGGCGGTGCGTGGCGACGACAGAGTGTCAATCAAGAGACGGATCCCTTCGGAGATGAGGAAGAGGAAGGAGACGTCAAATACCGGACTTTGAAGTGGTGGTAAGTACTCCCTGACTACTCAGTGGAGGGAGCAAACTTTGACTTGGGGATGATCCAGGCAATGCAGTATGAGTATGTTACCAGCCAGAACTCGCCTGCGCAATAACAAGACACTGATTTCTCCCCAGTCATGATCGCCGAGACAATATCTCTGGGTATCCTGTCATTGCCCTCGGTCCTCGCGACTGTTGGGATGGTCCCCGGCGCCATCATGATTATCGGTCTCGGTGTCGTGGCCACCTACTCGGGCTATGTCATCGGGCAGTTCAAGGCTGCGCATCCCTGGGTAAGCACTCTCAAGTTGCAGCAGCACTTCCCCCACATGCTTACCCTGAGCCTGTATAGGTGCATAACATGGCAGACGCAGGCTACGTGCTGTTCAAACCTCTTGGACCGCGCGCAGCCGTCTTTGGCCGCGAGTTCCTCGGCGCCGCCCAGACGATCTTCCTCGTCTTCAGCATGGCAAGTCACATTTTGACGTGGACAATCTGCCTAAACACCCTGACCAACGGCGCTGCCTGTACAATTGTATGGGGCATCGTTGGCCTGCTTTTGTTCTGGGTATTTGACATCCCTCGGACCCTGCTGAAGGTCTCCTGGCTGTCATGCGCCAGCTTTTTGAGTATCACCACCGCGGTCATCGTCACCATGGCCGGCGCAGGTGCCAGAGATCCCGCGCAAGGCCACTTCAGAGCGACACAACAAGCCAGCTTTGCGACGGCCTTCCTCAGCGTCACCAACATTGTCTTTGCTTACGCTGGTCATGTTGCCTTCTTCAGTTTCATCTCGGAAATGAAGAACCCCGATGACTTTCCGAAGGCGCTGGTCTTGCTGCAGGTCACTGACACGGGAATGTACTTCGTTGTTGCCATGGTCGTCTACGCATATGGCGGCGACGAAGTTGATTCGCCCGCTCTGGGGACAGCCGGAACACTTGTTGGCAAAGTCGCCTGGGGCTTGGCTATTCCGACCATCATCATTGCGGGTGTCATATATGGCCACGTGGCTTCAAAGTACATCTACGTGCGCATTTTCCGAGGCACGAAGCACATGTCCAAGAAGACCCTTCTTGCCGTGGGCAGCTGGCTGGCCATCACCTTGACACTGTGGGTGGTCGCCTGGATCATCGCTGAGTCGATCCCCAATTTCAACGATCTCCTCGCCCTGATCTCGAGTCTTTTCGCCTCATGGTTCACCTACGGCATCTCCGGCATCTTCTGGTTGTTCCTCAACAAAGGGCAGTACACCAGGGGATGGAGGAAGACCTGCTTGACTGTTGTCAATATCCTGATGTTCACATTGGGTGCTGCCATTTGCGGCATGGGATTATACGCCAGTGGCAAAGCCATATCCGAGGAGGGGGGCGGGAGCAGCTGGACGTGCAAGAGCAACGCGCAGTGAACTCGACGCATGCGTTCCATCGCCGCGCTGAGCGTGGATCTGTTGGAAATGTATTCTATTCTGTAGGAATTAATCCTCCACAATATCAACGACGGCCACATCATGGACCTGTACGTTCCACCTCGAGCAAATGCTGGGCCTCTCGTCCGTGAAATCAGTCCCGCTTGCTGGGATTCACAACGTGCCGATGTGATGACACGGACAAGGACACGGTGTCTGGTAACAGAGACACCTGATGCTTTGATTGCAATGGGTTTCAGTCTATAATGAAGTGAGGGTCAATCTTCAACACGATTCCACTCAGCACCATGCTCATTGTTTTCCTCCCTCCTGAATCACCATCTGCCCACTTTTGTGCCGGACCGTAACACCATGCCTGGACTCATAGCAGAGCCATTCACCAATCGCCTGTGTCATGGCACATTCGGTGCCATCTCAACGTCGTGATTAGTGCCGCCGTCATGAGCAAGAGAGCAAGAGACTCTGTTTCCTATCCTTCGTCGCGCGACATCTCTCCTGCCCGCAGCGCTAGGAAGCAGCCCAAACTCGGGGAGATAGCTGTGGACGAACGCCCACCAGTCGCGGGTGCAGGAGGCTCAAAGCCGAAGCGTCAGGGGCAAAGTGCGCCTATTCCACCTATGGATGGCCTCGACGCCCACGCAGCGCGTGGGATGGGCAGCGCCAGACGTCCCGGTCGTCAGCCGAGTCCCACCAGAGGCTGGAAAAATTCTAGAGATTTCGACAGAGACCAGCAGATCCAGGACGACAGCAACCACAACAACGAGAGGGACCACCAGCACGACGAGTCTCACCGTCCTCAAAACCCGCGTCCAGAAACACCACGACGAGGTCCGAATTCTCCAGCCGGCAAACTGAATCCCTCAACTCGCTCGCAGTCGTACACAACCCCTCTCCCGTTATTCGCCGCGGAAGCATCCAGGGCGACCTCTGCCACTACTGCGCCGCTGACCGAGCAGAATCTTCGGAGCCTACTGCGCTCCCTTAGAGCGGAGGATTCCAGGCCTGGGACACGGGCTGCCGCTGCCACTGCCACTGCTGTGAATAAGTCCGAAGCAGAGATCGGTGCGGGAAGCCGTGCTAAGTTTGCTCCCGCTATCAGTACGACAGGCTCAGGCCGTGCAGGACCTGCCCTTGCCTCAGCCCCACCTCAACCTGCAGGCACGACCAATTACTCGCCATCAATGCCGAAGTCAAAATCGCCCTCAAAATCTCCCAAGAAGCAGGACAGGGAAAAGAAGAAATCCAAGTACGATTCCGACACCCACCCATTGAATCTCCCTCCCGAACAACTCCGCGCACACCTGGCACAGATGGCCAGACAAGAGGCCGAGTCGGCCGGCAGGATGTCATTAGACAGAGACACAGACACAAATCCCCATGACGCTCCCGCACCCAACAGTGGCGCCGCCGGTGCATCCCAGCCTGCGACCCCGTCAAGAGAGGCGCCTGGTGCTTTCCCGGAACAATCCGGTGACGACGCCGTCGCGAACGGTGTCAACGGTCACCCTGATGAACGCAGTCCAACCCCTCCTCCACACAGAGTCCCTCCGGCGCCCAAGGTCGATCCCGAGGCATGCAAGGCGGCAGGAAACAAATTCTTCAAGGCGAAAGATTACGAGCGGGCTATTCAGGAATACACAAAGGGTATGTACATTTTCAGACTCCCGTCGAGAACACGCATTGGCTGACAAATACAAAAAGCGGTTGAGGCAGAGCCGTCGAATCCCACCTACTTGTCGAACAGAGCGGCCGCCTACATCTCCGCGAACAAATACAACCTCGCACTGAATGACTGCCTACAAGCCAGCCACATAGATCCCGGGAACGACAAAATCCTGCACCGTCTTGCCCGGGTCTACACCTCGTTAGGCCGACCGCAAGATGCTCTCGACACATATGCGAAGATTCCGAACGCTTCGGCTACAGACACTGCGGCGGCGCGTAAGGCCTTACAATGCATCGAGATGGCTCAGAAGCAGATAGATGCGGAAGATGGAGACGGCAAGATGGCACTTTGGAGCATCGGCGAAGCCACGAAGACGCTAGGAGCCGGCACCCCGACACCGAGAAGATGGCAGATCCTAAAGGCCAAGGCGAATCTGAAGGTCGGAACTGCCAATGCACTGGGAGAGGTCACAGGGATTGCGCAGTCCCTGATGCGCGACAATCCGCAAGACGCCGTAGCAATCGTACTCGCTGGTCGGGCACTCTATCTCAAGGACGAGAAACCTCGGCAAGGAAAGAGCGACTACGAACGAGCAGAAGATCACTTCCGACAAGCCCTCGCATTGGATCCAGACAACTCCGAAGCTCGAAACTCATTAAGAACTATGAAGAAGCTAGATCGAGCCCGCACAGCGGCCAACGACATGTTCAAGCGTGGCAAGTACTCCGATGCCGTGGCCGCCTACACCGAAGCCATTACCATCGACCCAACTAACAAAGTCACCAATGCAAAACTCCTCGGCAACCGCGCCATGGCCCGCATCAAAATCAAAGAATACGATGAAGCAGTAGCCGACTGTGATCAAGCGCTGAAACTCGACCCGTCGTACATGAAAGCGCGACGGACCCGTGCGAAAGCCACCGGTGAGAGCGGCGACTGGGAACAAGCGGTCAAAGATTTGAAAGCGCTTGCTGAAGAAAACGCGTCAGACGCCGAACTCGCCAAGGAATTACGAAATGCGGAGCTCGAGCTCAAGAAATCCAAGCGCAAGGATTACTACAAGATATTGGGCATCGATAAAGACGCCGGGGACAAGGATATCGAGCGGGCGTACAAGAAGAAAGCGGCGGTGCTGCATCCGGACAAGACCCAGGGGGATAAGAAGAAGGAAGAGGAGTTTAAAGATTGCTTGGAGGCGAAGGAGACATTGCTTGATCCGCAGAAGCGGCAGATGTACGACTCGGGCGCCGATCTAATGGAGCCGGGCATGGGATTCCCTGGTGGTGGGATGGGAGGGTTTCCTGGCGGGTTTGGTGGGATGGGAGGCGGATTCCCGGGCGGAGGCTTTGGAGGTGGTGGCGGTGTGCAGATCGATCCGGAAATGTTGTTCAATATGATGAATGGAGGCGCTGGTGGTGGAGGAGGGGGCTTCAGATTCAGCACTGGTGGAGGGAGGTCGCCTTTTGGTTGAGGTGTGTCGACCTGTCGGGAGTGAATGAGGCGGAGACGGAGACAGCGACAGAGGAACTAAGCCGAGGCGACCATGTATCCCGGGAGCGGGAGTCAGGAACCAACATCACGGCTCCATCGCAACCAGAACGGGGTGACGAGCACGCAGCACTCGTGCACCAGAGACCGGCCTCTATCGACGAGGACTCCCTACAAGATCATCCTGCTCGATGCACACACACACGCACACCCTTTGACCCGTTGAAGGCGTCAGATGGGATTCACCGAAGCGACTCACTCTCTGCCATTCATACCGGCGAACGATGCATAACACCTTCTGAGACTAAGATGAGTTGGTGGCATGGCATGGCGTAGCATAGCGATACGGCGTCGGAGACATGCTAGGGAACAGACATTCCACTTTCATGTTCTTAAATGCACACTGGCTGGGTCAACCACTGGACAACAGGATCAGGATAGACAAACGCAATAGACATGGCGTGTGCCTTTCCCTCTGCCTCCCTCTCTGTCCATGTTCAAGTTCAACCACTATCATTTTCGTCCTCGTCCCGTGCATTTCGTCTCCGGCTTCGACCTTGATTTGTCCCACCAGTGGTTGGTGCTCGAGTTCTTTGCACGGCTCGTCTCCAAGGTCCAGGTTAATTTTAGTCCGGTTCTTCGTCCTGCTGCTCTCCCCCTCTCTCCGTCCATGTTCAACCACTACCATTCTCATCCTCGTCGCGTGCATTTGGTCTGCCTCCACCACGACTGCGACCTTGATTTCTCCCAACAGTGGTTGGTGGTCGAGTTCTCTGCACGGCTCGTCTCGAAGGTCCAGGTTGACCACCGTCCTGTTCTTCGTCTTGTTGCTCACCGTCCTCTCCGTCGTGTTGATCCCTCCTCCTCTCGCCTCCACCGTCGCCATTGACCTTGATACCCAAACTCCGCGATAACCTGGCGTTGAGCTCATCTTCCTCGATTTTCACGAGGCGGCCAGGCTCTACATCATCTTCGGCTTCCTCGTCTTCACCACCGGCCCCATCACGCCGTCTCCCACCGGTCGTGTCTCTCGACAATTCCACAGCCCCGTGTCCATACACGGTCCTCACCAGGCCCATCACGCCCTGTACGCCGACCTCAACCTTCCCCCTCGGCCCAGGAACCCACTCGATGACTTCCTCCCCAGAACTCGTGTCCCTTCTTTTATCAATGTATCCTTCCTTCATCATCCGCTGCAATAACTTCTCTTTACTCCCCACGGGCGTGTACGTCTCGGCATTCACCCGCTTGAGATACCGCTCCAGCTTCTGGTCCGTGATGCTCGACGCGTTCAGGAAAATCAGGCTCAAAATGAACGTATACAGCGCCGTATATTGCGCCTCGGTTTCGACACTGGGCGCCAAACTGGGCTGCATGAGGAGCCGGTTCGTCTTGAGTTCGTCCGGCAATGTAGACACCAGGACCCACGATTTGGTGGAAGCGCTGCTACTCGACACTTTGGTCTGCGTGGCTTGCGTCCTCCGCTCTTTTAGACTTGTCTTTTCTCGAGAGGGCAGTTCGGTGAGTTGCATGCCGAATGTATCTTGCAGGACTTTCTGCGCGCCTTCGAAGATCTTCTGGAACGAGGCCCGGCTGATGCCGCTTGTGGAAGAGTTGGCGTCTTTGAGGATCTTGGCGCTGATGTCGCTTCTTCGTAAAGGAGTGCGGCTGTATTCTGTCGCGAGGGCCAGGCGGACGAGTTTCTTGATGAGCACGTTTTCGGCGGAGTGGCCGCGTGGGGCCCCAGGTGAGGATGAAGCATCGGAGTCTTCTCCAAGCGAGGAGGATTGTTCGTGGCGTTGGGTTCCCTGTTGAGTGCGCTGTGGTTGTTCTTGTTCTGAGGAAGACGAGCGCTGGCGCTGGCGCTGACGTCGTTGCGCGCGTTGGGGTGCTTCGTCCTCGGATTCTGCCGAGTCGTGTTGGGTACGGGATATGGCGTCGGAGCGGCGCTTGAGTTGACGAGGCATAGTTTCGGGATGAGTGAGTCAATGTTAAGCGAAGGAAGCAGCAATGGTTGTCCACAGGTTCGTTTGTCGAGCCAGCACACAAGCACTGATACCTTTGTTCCCCACAGTCTAGTAATTAACGGTCGGACGCGTTAAGTGGGAGTTGCCGACGCGTCTCAACAGGCCCTCGTGGCTCTCTAACCTGATTTAGGCCTAGTATGGTGTGCCTGCTCGCGGACGGCTCCATCGTCATCTGACGAAGCAACCCAACTCAACTTCAACTTCCTCCGTTACCCTTTGTCACTCCCTAGAAGTTGTGGCCTAGAGGTGTAGGGTACAGTGGGAGTCATATGCGGTCAGTAGGCCAATACTGTTCTACCCGAAGGGTTCTGTTGGGGTCCTCGACTATGACCGGCGCGATGGAACGACCAGGCAGCTGGCTCCTTGTGGCCGCTGTTTGCCTTGTCCGAGTGGTACAGCCTCATGCTACCCCACCAATAGTCTTGGAGTACTTTGGTTGCCTGCCGCTGCCACATGGTATGAGTCAAGGTACTAGTACACCATTCTTTGATGCGCACGGTCGGTCGCAGAGCAAGAGCAGAGTTTAAAGAGCCGGACCTGCACTTGTTTTACTCTCCTTCAAGCTTTGTGCTTGTGGCATTTGTTGTTGTAGCTGGAAAGGGAAAGTCCCTTGTGCGCCAACGCAGGCCGTTGCCTATCAGGTGCCACTGCCTTGCCTGACATAGTGCCAACCGGTCCCATCAGCCTCTTCATCCACCACTGATGGCCTGTTCCCTTGTCTCGCGCCTTTTCAACCATGGGCCGTTGAGGCGCTTGCTCTCGAGGATCCCTCCCTCAACAACTTCCCATAATCCTGGCTCTCAGCCTGTAACTCCTTCCACAACATCCTGTACTCAGCCCGCAAACTCCATTCGTGTCAACAACTTGAACACACTTGATCATCCCGATTGCAACCTCTTCCTTTTGTATACCATGGCTGGGCAAGGCACGCCACATCTCGTCGTCCGGCAGGTTGTCCTTGATCTCAACCGGCCTCCCGCCGAGGTCGACCAAGTCTTCTACAATTCAGAAGGCTACGTCGGCCTCAGGTTGATCCAACCGGCGACCGGCCAGGACAACGGGTCCGGACCTGCTCGCCGTGACTTGGTCTACACATTTGGCACTGCCGCGGATGCGATGACTGCACTGCTCAACCACCCCACGATCACAATCGGAGAGACCCAGTACCGCCCTGAACACTACGACGGCGACTTTGCAGAGTCCCGAGCCGAATCTGACCGGGCTCAACAGACGTCTTCTCTAGACGCAGACATCTCTCCTCCGCGCAAACGCCTAAAGAAAGAACAGCCTCCCACGGACAAGAAGATCGCTTGCAGAATCTGCTTCAGCCATCTGGACGGCCTCTACTCCACGCCGTGCCGGCGATGCAAGGGACCCGAATGCTATGAGTGCGTTGCAGCACGCTTCAGAACTGCCGTGAAGGACATCAACCGAATGCCTGTCACATGCTGCGGATTGGTCATGTACCACGAAGTTGCGAGAGGGATTCTGACGCCAACAGAGCTCGAGGAGTACAAGCAAAAGTACGATGAACGCATGAACACGGTGGATCCCCTCTACTGCCCTGTTCCTACTTGCTCAACTTTTCTACCTCCTCGAATGTTCAACCAAAACGACAACAGGGTCTCATGTCACGTCTGCGACACCGTTGTCTGTACGAAATGCAAGCTGTACGCAGGAAACGGACATACCTGCGACACGGAAGATCCGAGAAAATTCATTTTGGAGACTTTTCACTACAAGCTCTGCCCTCGATGTGGCACCGGTGTCATGAAAATGTGTGAGTCATCTCCCGCTGTACCCACATCAGTATCTCACTCCTGAATTTGCTTCTGTTATCATTCATGCAACACATGCTAACATCAATCGCAGATGGATGCCCTCATGTGAGATGTCAGTGTGGTGCCCACTGGTGCTGGGACTGCCAGCGACCCATGAATGCTTGCTATCAGAAGCCTTGCCGTGCTGCAAGAAACGAAGGCAATTATTCCGACGGAGAAGTCGAGGTGATTGAGTCAGATGAGGAGAATCCTGCAACTGCACCTGCGCCTGCGCCTGCGCCTGTGACGGCAGCGCCTGTGGCGACGGGACCGGCAGTAAACATACAGCCGACTCATTCAGAAGTTGAACGTGAAGTCGCAAATGCTCTCAACACTCTACGAAACGGTCAAGGACCAAGGTCCAGTGGCACAGCAGGCAGAATCAGCCGTGATATCAGTCCGGGACCTTCCACAGCGCCCTCCATACATGCGCCGGGAATGAATGAGCTGAGACGAACGCTGACAAGAGGCGACACAAATATACTACCGACTGACTCGGGAGCTCTTATCACCAGCCATCCTGAGCCACTGGCCGTTTTGCGCCCAGAGCCATCCAACGACCAACGCAACGATGGTGCAGTTCAGGAAGCTGCCGCAACGCCACAACTCGACATCCCTGCTCCCTCCCAGCCAGCTACTACTGGTGGTAGTGCTGGAGATGTGCCTGACACAAACGGCCCGACCGCAGCCGTTACTGAGCAAATTCAACGCGTCGAGAATCTAGACGACCCTGACGAATTTGACTGGGAGGGCAGGGACCTAGATTTTGGAAACGAGCCCGCCGACGAGTCGACAGATACATGGGGATGCCGGCACCATTTCTACCCGTTTGGAAAAGACCAGATTCCCCAACTTTGGCTGGTTGGCGTACGTCCTGCAACCGACCCTACCTTGGAAATCGAATGTATGGGTTGCTTTAAGAAGACGAAGGTTTGGGATGACGATGCCGTGTTGGAGGCTTTCCGCTTGAAGTACTGCAGTAGCACCGGCAAAGTACAACTCGGAACGGAGGCATTGGAGCAGGAGTTCGAAAAGTGGAAGGCTCAAGCCACGGACGAGGATGGCGACAATGCACAGAAATTAAGAGAGGGCAGCATCCTGAAGTCGCTTCGCGCTGTGGAATGTCGCCATGGCTGTGGAGTGGTGTATTGTCAGACGTGCAAGAAAGCAGCGAGGAGAAGAATTCAGAAGGAACGCCTGGCTGACACGTGAGGGCAGGTGGTATGATCTAAGAACCAATTTTGCTGCACAGTACATACTAGAACTACAGTGTATGGTCAAAGTCGTCAAATGAAACACGCTATGTGGTTTCCCGCCGCTCTACTACAGAGCCAGTACGAGAATGCATAGAAGATACTTTATCCTCAATCGCCTGGGACATGGCACAAATACTAAGTAAGTTAGCATGCTACCTATGTATGAGATAGGTGAAAGACAGCGTCGTCGCTCACACTTCGCATTATGTAGTTTGCGCTAAGTTTCATTTGACGACTTCATGGATAATGTAGACCAAGTAGTAAGTACAAGAGCTGGAGGGGCTAAGCAGGACAGTAGTAATTACATACTAGTAGTACTAGTAGTAGTAGGGTCAATGAGCGATTAATAGAGGTTTATCAAGTCTAGTACTTAGTCATTATCATTAAGTTAAGTATAGTAATGGGACTGAGCTCTATAGCCGTCCGACTATACTACTGAGATAGAATTAAACCGACAGTGTGGCATTCATGAGTGTGAGTTCCTTGACTTCCCTGATATAAATACAAATTTTAGCGTGTACTTATCTCTTACGGCAATACTTAGATAATACGTAAAACTAGTCTAACCTATTCAGGCGAAATTTGTACTTCGCTGCCCTACTGGTGCCGTATAATTATACCAATATCACTCGATCGGAACAGGATTAGAGCAGGACTAGAGCAGGATTACACACAGTGTCTGAACACGATCACAGTATCAGAGCAGGATCATAGTAGTGTTAGAAGAGGATCAGACCGGTTTCAGAACGGGATCACAGCGGTACCAGAACGGGATCAGAGCAAAATCGCATCAGGATCAAAGTGTTAGAACAGCATAGGCTCCACAACCGGTTCCAGCATCGGTCAGAATTCAAACCACCACGGAATTCTTGGATGTACTATGTATGCACGTGCCTGTCGATAGGAGTGTACACTAGATGAAGGAGGCAACCGTTCCGATGGTAAGTCGGCTGATGGTACTAAGTACATAAGTACTAAGTATGTACTACTAAGCTGCCCCCCTTAAGGGGTTTGACCCGGTCTGGACCCGGGTTCAGCTCGAGCTGAGACCGATTTAGTGATTTGAGACCGATTTGAGACCGATCTGGAGTGGTCTGGGACCGATCTGGATCAGCTAGATCGATTCAACTGATCTAGAGTGGTTTAAGACTGATCTAGGATCGATCTGGGATCGATTTGAGACCGATCTAGATCGAGCTATACTATGGTGCCGCTTATAAAGCGTAAAAGTTATATTAAATATAAATAAAAAAACTCCTGAGAAAAGTTACTTGTAAGTTACTACAGTAGTATATATTAAAATAAAGAAACAAAAAACAAAAATTCGAGAAAAAAGAGATTCGAACTCGCGACCTTTTTTTATTTACACTATATCGATCTCAGATCGCTTCCAGATCGCTTCCAGATCGCTTCTAGATCGGTCCCGGATCGATCTCAGACTGGTTCAAACCCCCCTTAGGCGGGCTATACTGTAAGTACTTACTAAGTATCAGTACTATGTATTTGTGATCCAGCATTGATCACATGTTAAGATCCCGTGTGCAAAGTTTCCAGGAAGCCTGCGTGATGTGGTCACTTTTGCATGGGAAACCTTGTGCAAGGCCAAAGGCGGTGCAGCTTCACTCGAACGAGCACAGAAGATGATCTGTCGTCGAGGTTCTGGACCTGGATGGACGCCGCAATCCCGGAGAGGACATGTGGTTTGTATGCTTTGCGCAGCCGGTGTCTTGAACAAGAGACGCGAGAAACCCGTCCGTCTTGTTCACCGCCTTGCGTCGTGCGGTAGCATGTACATATCGCAATTGAGGCTCGCCGTTGAAGTTGACCTTTTGTAGTCTTTGCCGTCAAGTGGGCGCCGTTCTGTAATGGCACGCTTCCGTAGAAACATTCAAGTTGTTGTCGATTGGTCGAGGAGGGAGAACCGCCGACGGTCGATCGCACGCAAGAAGGCGAGGACATCTTTATCTGAATCTCTTCCGGGGCAACAGGTACCGCCTGCCATCAATGCCTTTGGGCTATGCTTCAGCGGGCGGATGAAATGTGTGCCGAATAATGCAGGCAGCGTTCCGCAGCGAGTATAGGGATCGATTCCTTTGATGCCATTTGAGGAAAGGCACAGATGAAGAGGCTGGAGCCCTTCCAGAGTCTATAACCGGTGCAATGTTGGAGGCATCCATGTTGTTGTCCATGAAGCTGTATTGGGGTCGTATACGTGGACGGTCATACATAGTAGTCGTGGCTTGCGCCGTTGTTTTTACAAGCCACTGCACCCTTACCCTGGGCGGGGATAACTGCGGGCTCACCGTCTGAATCTCCGAATATCTTCATCGTGAAACTCGTCGGCAGCAAAATCGAGCTCCGCATCGCGCTTACGCTTGTGGCTGTTGCCACTAATAGGTGCAGCCAGAGTGTCTGCAGGGCTATTCGTAGGGACCAAATCTGTGATGTTAGGGCGCTTCGGTGGGGAGGGGTACGGCGTCGTGAGGTGGGGGTGAGTCGAGAGGAAGTTGTCTGCAATCCTCACGGGACCGCTCTCTTTTATTGAGATGAGGGATGGATTGTAGCCCACGTGTCGCTTGGCGGTGATGGCGGAGATCTCTCTCGAGTAACCAGGTCTTTATCAACGGTCAGTCGGTGTCTCGTCCAGTCACGAAAGTATAGTGTCTCACCTGCCAACTCGGGGTGCCGGGAAAAGTTGAAGCTGCAAGCTGCGTCACCAGGTAAGAGGCTCACCAGCCAGAGGTTGTTCCACTCGCGGATGACTCTGATGTTCAAGAAATCCAGTCTCCATGTCAGTGAAGCGCGGTTACACACCCGAGAGCGGGAATGTGATTGCGATGCTCTTCATGGCACTTCAGTCTGACATAGCCGTTTTGGGTGGAAATACTAACTACTTACTGTACTCTTAGTTGTGGAGATGTCAGGTCCGAGTTGCATGAGAATCAAGTTGTCTGCAGAGGTATCAGTCACAAGTCAGAGAGATGGAATCGCGGAGTGGATTTTAACTGGCAGACAACATCAGCAACTTTCATGCGACTAGCAACTCCACGTGAGCATCATGCTCAGTGAGTCGATGGCAGGAAAACCTACGGTGACTGGGTGATCTGATCACCTGGTGAATTGGTGGTCTTGTGAGTTGACTGAGTGCAGCTGCGGTCGGCGATACATGGTCTCGTAACTTTGAGTCCTGACTGAGATGGACCTGAGACACAGTTGAACATGGAGGGAAGGCACCATTTGAAGGAAGATTCCAGGACAGTACATGACCAAAGCCACTTGCACTGTAGCTGGCGGAAACAAGTACTAATGACTGCAAGAGAGACCTTTGATCGGTTGCAAGAAGGCTGCTGATACTCATGAGCCCAGTTCAAGAGTCGGAGGCTGTATGGCAGCCAGCCGCCAAAACTCGGTCCCACATGAACGAACAAATAAAAATCGTCCTTGATGGTTGAAAACGGAAGGCACCAACTTGAAGTGAGAAGCAACTCCATTGGAAGCTTCGCTGAGAGTCGTGTTGAGTCCTTCCCGAGTCGCTCAGCTCCCCTCGTTAGAAGCAATCGGCCATGTATCGAGCTGATGGTAAGTACTCCGTACAGTACTAAGTACCCTTTCAGGGGCGATCGATATGGGATGGATCCAGGGTCAAACCTCTCATCGGAATGATTAGTACATATACGGAGTATCTGTGCAACCTATCGCTGGACACTTAAGTACCGGTAGTTCAGGATCTTGGATGTGGAACCCAGCGAAAAGAACCCGACCGAAGCGGATGAGCTCACTTCAGCACATCTTTTCTCCGACCTTGTCGGTCAATCCTCCCCAGCCTTGCCCAGCACTCGACCAAGTGCCTCATCTCCATAACACCTACAACGAAAGCCAACCCGAGAAATGTTGCTGTGCCCCAGATCTGGTGTGAGGCACACGCAAGCAATACTCGCACCACGACATTGAACAGGGCATATACTATCATTGTTCGATATACGGCGGGCACATCGACCATCTTCTGAACGATAATGCAGGCAAGGAGGGACGAAGGGTCGTCTTGGACAGCGTCCCAAAGATGTTCCGAAAGTTGAGTGGGGAAGCCAATGGAGCTTTCGGTATCGATGCGCGTAGGGCTGCGGTAGGTAGCTGGAGGATGAGAAGGGAGCCTCGCATCGGTGATCAGAGGGTTAGGCTGTTTTGGGCTGGGTTCCGAGCATTCCCGGCGCCGGCGGGATTTCGTCTGTCTTGCCCGATGCAGTGTACTTGCGGAAAGCCTGAACTGGGCAGGCACATCGACACCAGATGAGCACGTTCTGATGATGCCTTGGAGTATGAGAGGGCTATCATCTCGTGTCTGATTCTCATGATGTGTATGCTCGTTAGGCGAATCTGAGGCCTTCTGTTCAGAGTCAGCGGCTGGTCTCAATATTCCCTTGGCAGTTTCATGTTTCGCTAAGCTTGTGGTCGTAAACGATGCAAAGTCCGGCTGCCGGGTATTTCGTGCGTTGTATTGCATCTCATGCAAGCAAATGCTCGGGAAGTGCTCGCGCGATGGTATTCCAAAAAGGCTCTTCCCTTGATACCCCTCGTCACCTACCTTCCTCGTATGTTCAGAGGCAGTGTTCTGGACTGGCGACTGACCCTCAGTTGGTGTCAAGGAGATTGTCGAGGCAACCCCATTCTGACCCGGGACCTCTCGCTCGGCAATGTCCTTGACAGCATCGGTATACCCTGCTCCCAGTCAGTCTGGTGAAACAATGATGTTCTGGGATGGTCCTGTACCGTGGACGCTCTCGACGAGCGCAAAGATAAGCAAGGCGAGCAAAAAGACAGGGACAATCTGTCCGAAGCCCATTGTGTTGAATGGTCCGACAGTACCTTGATGATCCTCACGAAGGGCGAATATAAGGATCGCCCCATAGACATTAGCATATAGCAGCGTCGCAATCTGCCAGACGCGCGATCCACAGATTTCGTGAAAAGCGAAAGACTCGATCAGTGTCCATGTGACAATCGTCCGACGCCAGGTTCGGGGTGTTATGATCTCCTCCCTCGCTCGTTGCTTGTATAGAATTTCGCGATAGTCAAAGTCCTCGATCCCGTACTTTACGAGCCTTTTCTTGGTCATCAGGTCCTCGCCTTGCGGAAGACGGCCCCATCGAGAGTAAAGGATATCTATCCTCAGGTAGTGCTGCCAAACCAGAATTACCATGACGTAAAGCCTGGCTAGAACGAAGCCTGCGTCGTCATAAGTGTTCCATCTCGTCGAGAAGTCCCAGAAAGCGCATATAACGAATAGATTCGATGTTTGGTCATCAACCCACCAGGCCGAGGATAACTGCATTCCGAGAATGAAGAGCAAAAGTAGCAGGGTGCACACCATTGCAAACACCCTGCAGCCCTTGACGATGCCATGCCCGCGGAGATAGGTAATGAGATAGTCGAGGGTCCCCATATGTACGGAGGTCGAGAAGTACGCCAGCCCCGAGACGACATTGGCCGAGTATATGCTGATCTCGGACCAGTGACCGAATCCAGCCACGAGCATGGCTAAGCCTGTAACCAGTTGCTGATCGCTTAATGCGAGCATGAAATCCCGAAACGCCTCAATGCGATACCTGCGGACAGGATCGTCTTCTTTTTCAGGCAAGTCCCGGGCAGCCTCTCCGTCATGTTTGTCGCACACGGAACGACACAAAAGTCTGGAGCGAAGATATCGCAGCGGTGCGTATGCTCTCCTGAGGAACCAGCGAGTGCATTCAACAAACTTGGTGTCGGCTTGATTTGTGCAAACATCTTCGAATGAATAGGTCAAGTATCCGAGAATGACGACAACGAAGGTAGCGTGAGCAGTGACGATGAATGAGATGATGACCTGACGCCAGATTTAGTAATGATACGCATGATCTGCCAGGAAGGACTGGTATTCGTACACCAGCACCAACAATATCGGCGTCCGCTTCGATCTGCCCACTGTTGGCCAGCTGCCACTGAATTGCTACTGAACAATTCTGCTTGCACACCGGCAAGGACCCGCATGCAGACATGTGGGAAGTCAGTCCGCGGAGTATATAATCTCGTTCGACAGAGGTGGAAAGGAGGACTCCCCGCACTGAAGATCGAGATAGTTTTACGTGGTTTAAATTGATCAGGCTGAAGTGATGGTCTTCCACCATGACGCTTTCCACGCGGAAAAGGGCTCTCGCTGAAACGTAGTGGCTGCCACACCAGACCTTGCTCGAGGCGCCGTCCTGGTATGAGTGAGCATCGTATTGAGGAAGCATGCAGCGAATAAACGGCCCAGGTGCCGTGGCTGTGCGGAGGAGGGCGCCTACTTAGATATCGAGACATCGCCCAGCTCAAGCGTTGATTGTAACTTGTCAGATGCGAGACAATCGTGCTACTAATTCTGATAGGCGCCGAGGACATACGAGGTACTGACAGGGTTGATTATTGGGTCGTATATCGTTAGCGACATTTCAGCTACTCATGGTCAAAGCCAGGTCTTGGCGCTTGCCGCAGGGTCCTTATTCCTTGTCAACTTCGGCTGTGCAGTCAAACCCGTCTTCATAGTCGTCTGTGCCTCTGCAATGCTAGTGAACTGGAATCTAGGAGGCACGCAGTGGCACCAATTGAAAGGCGCAGCACAGTGGTCCTCACTCCACTCAAGGCAGCTGTTGTGGGGCGTCTGGCTTGCACGCCACAGCTGGGGATGGCTTGGTCATTGCTCAGGCTGAATGCCGACTTGCCGTGTGCGCGAGCAATATCTGAGATTTACCAGCACGTTGTTCAACGCTGTGTGCTGTAGGCTGGCGGCCCGGGGAGTCAGGAGCTCTTCGAGCGATCTGAAGAGCACGGCCTGGTTGGTTGAGCTGTGAAGTTGGCCACTTCCAGGAGGCGCTGGTTAATGGCTCTTCATGGTGCATGCTGCCTAGTAACAACCGGAAGGACCTGCAGACCCAAGCTGGAATGACCGAAAACGCACCTCCCGTTATGGCTTGTCTGCCCGAACACCTGAGAGTCAACATTCTGCGTAGCGGCTCACCCTCAAATTACTTACGAGTCTCTTAGCGGAACCCCTATGGTTCCTCAACGCCGGCAGCCGGCCCTTGGACAATGGCAATATCGCCAGCTGCGACCAGATGCGCAGTGCGAAGCAAAGATACTGGCACTGGCTTGTCCGAGTCTCCCTCGCGTGGTCGTCAGAGTTATCAAACTCGTTTTCGGGGCATCTGTCATGGGTTTCCTAAGTCATAGGACAACGGTGTGGTACACGAAGCGAAACCAATGTCCTCATGCAACCCACGGTGTCTGAATGCGAGGCTGGCCCTGTGCGTATGCATATGATACTGACATGGGTTATGCTGGCGCACGTGGCGATTGCGACTGTTGCACAGATAGTCGCACTGTTAACGCTGGTTCATGGTGGGGGTAGATAGTCGTGTCTCGTTTCCCTCAGGTCTGTACATTTATTCAAGTGGCTGATCTTGCTGCTCAGGCGCATCGACTTCGCGAATCGATATCGCATACTGGAGCGTGCTCGCCTCTTCCATCGCTGTGTGGAGATCTGGGTTGCCGCGGGAGTGTCCTTCAAGCTTCAGGACAACGGGGCCAGAGTCGCTTGACGCTTTGGTGCTGGTCGTGCTCGCATGGATGCCTTGGGAATGGGAAGATGTCGTTCCAGTTCAATGTGTGTCGAGTTGGTATGTTGAGTGTTGACCCAAGGTCGCTCTACCTGTCGGAATGGGGCCTGAAAACCCGCAGGCAGTGGATGCTGATAATGGGATTTCTGCAACATTACTGCTTTTCATGTCGCTGTGGTGGTTTCTGCTTCAGAAGTCTTGGGTCTAATCCTGTATGGACTTGCAGCTGTGGGAATAAAGAGAGGGGGATGATAGAGAAGGCATACTGCAGAAACGAGATGACATCCTTGTCACATCTTCCGCGGTGGTGGTCGGGTTAGCTCAGGACAGTGGCGGCGCTTTGAAAGCCATGGCGTGGCTCAGAACACTTTATTGCCTCGCGCAGCCCACGTATCGTGCACATGAAGCTGCGGTGCTTATGCAGTCTGGCGGAGTCCCCGTAAGTAAGTCAACCTTGAAACATTCCTTCCGGGTGCGATCGCGTCCACGCGTGTACTATGGCCGGAAGTTCGAGTTGTGAAATATACTGGTTGAGTGAGAGCATTTCGGGATCAAGTCACTTGAAGTCCACGGTGGTCGGGGTTCGAATGAGGCAACCCGTACGTAGTACCTCATACAACTGGCTCCTGTGTGCAACACATGCTGCGAGAAGCGAGGACGGACGTATTTGGATGCCAAAAAGTAGGAGCAACGAGGCTGCGCGATGGAATGAGGCAGACTTGAGAGTTGCAGTTCCAGGAACTGAGGTGAAGGTGAGAGACAACTGACTGGCCGTCCTTCCGGGAAAACGGCTTCCCCACTTTCCACTCCTTCAAATGGGTCTGGGCTGCCTGAGGAGCCAAGCTGAAAGTCTACCGAGGTCGTCATTTGAAGATGTAGACATAAGAAATAAGACGTCACATGTGCAGTTGGCCGGGCTCAAAGTCAACAGAGTAGTCTACCCAAGTCCATCTGCAAGTCAAGGAGCTTTGAACTGACACAACATGGCATCCTGGACAGCAGAGTCTCACCTGGGGGTGAATCCCTTCCTGAAACGTGTGTACGAGGCTTCTACTGCGGCCGAGTCTCGCGATCTCTACAACGAATGGGCCAAGCAGTATGACAAAGACCTCGAAGCTGAAGACTACGCTTTCCCCCAGATCGCGGCGCAGGCCCTTTCCGAGGCATTGAGCCGCCGACCCGATAGTATCGGGACGCAGCTAGAGAATGTCTCGATACTTGACGCTGGATGTGGAACGGGTTTGGTGGGAATACAGCTATCGAGGTTCGGTGCGCGAAACATTACCGGCTTAGACATCAGTCCCGGCATGCTCGACGTGGCTCGGAAAACGGACGTCTACAGCGCGTTGGAGGAGGCTGATCTCTCCAAGCCGATCGCGAAAACGGACAACTCGGTAGACGCGGTCATCTGCGTGGGGACCTTGACTCGCGGGCACGTTGGACCAAAGCCGGTGCTCGAGGAATTTGTGAGGATCGTGAAGAAGGAGGGAGTCATCGTTGCTACTGTGCTGGATGACATATGGGAAAGTGGAGGGTTCAAGGACGAGCTGGAACGCTTGCGGTCTGAGGGCAAGGTTCAGGTGTTACGCTCAGATGTTGTAGGTGTGAGAGCATCGTCAAACGTGGGTGGCAGGCTGCTGGTGCTACGGAAGTGCTAGGTCAAGATGCGCCCGGCTTTATGCGACTCGGACCTACTTGCAAGGAGACTGCGGAAGGCTGTGATACATGTGTATAAACGAAGAACAAGTACACACGCGAGGGAGAAAGTGAACTGTGCCAGTCGGTTGCAGGTCACGTTGCTCCTCTGCCGAGCGGGAGAGAGACCCGAAACTCTCCGTATAGAGGATGGATGCCAACGTCACTGCGCAGCGGAGTGTCCGTTATACGCGTTATACGAAGCAATAAATCCGTGGTGCTCTTGGCCGTCGAGCATGACGAAAGACGTGCTTGGCGGCGACAGACACGTGTGGATTGATTGGTCAAGACCAACCGGAGGTCAGAGTCCGTGTCGCATGAATCAGAGTGCCCGACTCTCCCTCGTCTCTATCCACAAGCAGTTCTTCATATTGCCCTCCTGAACCGGGTCACGCTTTTGTCGCGTAGAGAGCGAAGATGCCTTTCTTTGAAACACTGAGGGCAATCCACGAGTATACTCGAGATCGACAAAATGCCTTGCAGGCCAACAATCAAAAGCTCGCCTTGAGGCTTGCTGATGTCCTTTGGCGCACATGCGACCTGGGATTCACAGCATTTGGGGGCCCGCCTGTACATTTTCAGATCTTGCATAAGCGATTTGTCGATGGTCATGGAGGCGTACCGTGGATTGATGAGCAAACGGTGGGATCAAGCAGTCAACGCTCGTGAGTCGTTGCTCACGTATTTGAACAGTATCAAGAGCTCTTCGCAATATGCCAGGCCTTGCCAGGACCCGGTTCGACCAAGATGCTGTTCTGCATGGCTCTCATTCATGCGGGCTTCATCGCAGCGGTTTTCGTCTTTCTTATATGGAGGTACGTGCTTCAGGAAGGACCAATGTTACACCCACGTTAAGAGCTTCTCGTAGCCTTCCTGGTGCTATTGGCATGTACGGCCTCTCACTCGGAGTTCAACGCATCAACACGGTTTTGCCCGGTGCAGCGTATGGCTTCCTATCAGGCTTGAATGCTTCAACCGTGGGGATCGTCGCCCTTGCTGCTGTTAATGTGCGTAGCATGTCCCCGAACCGTTGTAACTCGACTAACCTAGGGTGTGTTACAGCTTGCAGACAAGGCTATAAAGGACAAGCTGTCAAGATGCCTCGTTATCTTCGGTGCCTGTGCAGGCCTTTGTTACAACTCCCTCTGGTATTTCCCGACCCTCATCATCGCTGGCGGCATTCTCACTGCATTGTGGGACGTACGTCTTCGGCAGGCTCTCGCTCGACTCAGGAGGAAATTGAAGAAACGAAGGTCAAGACAAGACACCACCGAACAGGGAGTCAGTAATGACGGCGACCAAAGCATCGAGTTGAGGCCGCCAGGGGACGAGCGATCTGCTGCAGTGCAGAGAAGAGGCGGAGATGCAGTCGCCTCGTCGGAGCGCCCAGCATCACCCAAGCAAGGTGAATCTTCCAACGTGGAAGCGCCACCTGCGACAGCACCTTCCACCGATATGCGTTCTCACAGCGTCTCGGTCAAAGTAGGTCTCTGTATCATCGTGGTCTTTTTCGGTGAGCCTACATCTGTCTCAACACAGGGGTACCTTTCTGACTGTGCATCTAGCGTCGTTCATCGCGACACTCGTGGTTCGTGGCCAGCTCGACTCGCCACCTCGACCTCTTGATCTTTTCGCAAACATGTATCTTGCCGGAACAATCATCTTCGGAGGCGGTCCTGTCGTGATTCCTCTGCTTCGGGAATACGTGGTCGAGTACGGGTGGGTGTCCTCGAGAGATTTCCTCATTGGCCTTGCCATCATACAGGCGTTTCCCGGTCCCAACTTCAATTTTGGTGTCTACCTTGGGGCTTTAGCCCTTTTGGGCACGCCTCAGCCGACAATACTTGGGGCATTGATGGGCTACATTGGCATCTTTCTGCCTGGTATTGCGCTTGCTGTTGGCGTCCAGGGCATTTGGCGTGTGCTCCGAACCAAGGCTGTCGTTGTCAGTTTCCTCCGTGGTGTCAATGCTACAGCGGTCGGACTCGTGTTCACCGCTGTATATCGCTTGTGGGAAATTGGTTATCTCACGCCAGAAGTGAGCCAAGGCCAGAGCCTGGCGGAGGAACCGTGGTGGGTCGTGGTCGCGGTTTTGACATATGCAGAATCAGCTTGGTTCAGTGTACCTGCAGCCCCGGCCATCGTTCTTGGAGGGCTGCTAGGTCTGGCTTGGTACGGAGCGGTGGGCAGGAATACGCTGGGTTGAGAATACAGTGTGGGATCGTGGTGAGGGGTCGACGCGACCACTCAAACACGCCTACACGCGTTGACGCGTGTTACTATGTTGGGCTAGCATGTGACCGAGGGTCACGTGTATAGATATCGCCTCCCCCGCATTCCATCTCTAAACCCTTCTCGTGCTTCTCCAGGAGCAGATCCAAGCTAGACTCTGCCTGGACCGGATGTCCTGCCGCTCTCTTGCTTCTCGGTCGGACACTAGTTGCCTGTGAAGGTAATACTCTGATTGCAGAGAAACCATGCTCCTCCGGCGGCCATGAAGGACAACGCAGGAGAACGACCTGTTGAAAGATCTCGCAGGCTGTCCGACATGCGGCAAGGCCTTCGCACGGTCTGACACGCTGCTTCGTCATGAGAAGAGCCATCACTCAAGTGTTGATCGCGGACCTGTCCATCGAGTGACGAACGGGACGTTTCGAGCTTGCCGTGCTTATGCGACTGCGAGATCAAGATGCTCTGGTGGATCGCCTTGCGGTAGGTGCAATGTACGCAGTCTCGAATGTGTCTACCCTAACAAACGCCGCAAAATGCCTTCTGCCGCCGAGGATGGGTGCAACACCGAGGAGAAGCCAGGGCAACATCTTCTCGGGCAGTTCAATGAGATAATCTTCCCTCCAAATGGCCCAACCCAGCTGCGGCCAGAGCCAGACTCTGGCACCAATACTGGCACATCCGCGACGCTATCAGGGCAAATGCAAGCGGGGTCGAGCTTGTTATCAATACCGTCGCCCGATCGCAGATACCGAGAACCAGGATAGCAACCTGGCGAAAAGTCACTAGGCCTTGACACCATGCCTCCTTCGTCGTAGGGCATGCAGAACGACCATTTCGGCTATAACGCAATGGTTCCCTCTCACCATTAGGACTTTGCCGGACCCAAGAGCACGTTCAATTACAGCCCGTTCGATGAACCTTTGAATTGGATTCCCCCAAGCATATACCCGTCTCCGTACGACGCTGAGCTTGAGCAAGACTTCTCATTCATCCTACCTGCACTATCTGAGACGCCAAGTTTCGACAGTGAATATGGCTTGACGGTACCCATCGATTCCAGCAACCACACCTATCACATTCCCCCGAACGCGTCGCTCAGCACGAATGATGCGCAAAACGTTCCACTTTCTCTGACAGTGTTTGGGCAAAGGCCCGCCTCCTCTGCGAGCGACGGTATACATCACTCCCTGTCGATCAATAGCGTCTCCACGAATTCAGACTTGAAGCGCAAGAAGAGGAAAGCAACCATGGTGCTTGACGCCTTTGCTCATGCACGGAAGCACAACTCTCAGTATGACTTTCGGCCCATGGACTCCTGGAGCTCAATGTCCTTCGAGGTCGATCCAGAGTATTGTTCAGCAAGCACGCATGAATTGGTATCAGGCTATTTCCACCAGTTGTGCCAGGCTACTGTGCCACCACCTTTCCAATCACCTGCATTCCCACCTGGAACGGTACTCAATGCTTGCATTGCCCTCTACTTTGGAAACTTCCAGGACAATTTGCCCCTTATACACCGACCTTCTTTTGGGCCTGAGACACATTGGATAGTCGTTCTTGCGGTCGCGACAATCGGGAGCACCTTCACAAAAGCCCCATATGCTTCCGACATTCAAGACGCGTTCCAGGAATTCTTACGTCGGGCGGTTGAACTCTATTCGAACGGGGTACCTGATTCTTCCCTTGAGCTCCCAATTGCACAAGCCCGTATCGCTTGAATGTGATCGGTCTTGTGCAGTCGGACCGTGAGCAGCTTAGGGCGCTGGCACCGCGTTACCATGCAGACCTGTCATGCTGGTGCCTGGAGTCTGGAGTTCTGCAGCTACCAGCGACAGCCGATAACGCGACCTCCGAGGCCATTGACGACGTGTCGCAGTGCTGGCAGGCATGGATCAAAGTCGAGTCTTGTCGCCGAAGCGGTTACCTCTCTTGGATGCTAGAGTGCGCGCTGGTCTACATGGCAAATGCTCGACCGCTCTGCAATATGGACGACGCAAGGACACCTTTACCATGTCCTGAACCCCATTGAAATGCCTCGAGCGCAGAAAGCTGGACTAATATTGCACATGACCTACCCCAGACACCCTCGCTCTGTGTTGCGGTCGAGAAACTATACAATAGCAATAAGGTGGAGCCTTCTTACAATGACTTATCGCAAGTTCTCATCATCCACGCACTCTATCAGTGCACGTGGGAAGTGGGAACTCATATCAAGCAACCGCTTAGCGAATGGGTTCCTACTGGGAAGGCCAGGGGTTTCTTGAACACATCATCCAAGGACAACTTTTGGCTTCCACTTTACCCGCTCTACGCCAATTGGCGCAATAGCGCATGCGACTGTCTCGACGTCATTCACTGGCAAGCCTCGAGCGTGGTTGCGAAGGCATCGGGCGTAGAGCAACCTCTCATCCTTCATCTGCATCTTGCACGGATCGTGCTGCTCACGCCGTTCCAAGAGATTCGGGATTTACTGTTCTCTCTTATCGGCAAGGTCGGCAATTCTCCAAAGGCATCCTTCTACGTCCATGACGGTAGTTACCAACCCAGAAACAGCGCAAAGCTGCCTCAGATCCACAATATCACGTGGCGGTGGCCGCGGGAGGACCAGCACAAAGCCCGTCTAGCTATGGTTCATGCCGGTTCCGTATTCTGGTATGTCCGGCGATACTCTGCAATGAGCTTCTTCGAGCCCTTGGCCGTTTATCTGCGAGCTTAAGCTTGTGGACCTATGCCTCGTACAAGTTTGCTGCCTTGGATCGCGGTGCGGCCGCGGCCAACAACAGACCAGTGGGAGGTCCCAGTGGCCCAGATGCAAGCGCTCCTGTACAGCCATCTCGCATGGAAAGGAAGGAGCATCCCATCAAATTCATGAGTAAGGACGACCAATCGGCCCGATAGTGCATCCACTCCAACAATGGCTCCGTCGAGCTCCGTACCGTCGCACTTTGGGACTGGTGCCATGCTAGCCGAGAAGGGGGAACCAGCGGCATCTCCTACAGCACCCATCCCAAACTCTGGTAGCGACCACGACGACCACGATGATGCATCATCTTCCGACGAACAATCCGAAATCATCCACTTGGATCGACCATGCGACGATGAAATGGTGCAGCATTTTGTTAGGAACGGTCACAACATGTCGGCCACATGACCAACGTGGGAGACATCTGCACCACTTCTCACAAGGTATTGCTTGAAGGTGCTAAATTGCTGAGAATAAAATTGGCATGGTGGGGCGTCAGTCGCGAGTACTATGATATATTGATGAAGTTGGCGGAACTCAGAAAAGCGACATGAAAGTGAGGCTGGGGGGGTAGGACACCGAGGCAGTGCTTGTCCTGTATATTGATAGTATCTTGGAGTCTACATTTGTCAGACACGCTCTCCAAGCTGCATACATAACCCTAGTCTTGGATCTCATGAGCGAGCTGGCACGCCATCTACCGGGTTTATGCTTACAGTGTGAGGAATGGACATGCGTAGAACAGCACGACTATCGTGGCAACGTTTGCGGCTACGAGCTCTTCCATCTCAGCATAGTGATGGAACACCTTGGAAAGACGAAAGTCGGACCATTCTCCTTCGGGTCCCACGTCGACTTCTTCAGCCCAACCTCCTCCTTGCCGCTCATGTTTGTTACTTTCAGGTTCGCTCCCGTGACTGTGTAAACCTCAACACCGGTGTCACCCACACCTCCAAGATCTGTCTTTAGATCCTCCTCGGCATGGATGTTGACAACACACACGCTAACCCAGCCCTCGTCGTCGGTCGTCGCACTGACATCCAAATACGGCGTGTCCTTGACTGTCCTCACCCATTCAGGCCGGGTCGGCCCCGTGTAGCGTTCGCAAGCCACATGCACGGCAATCTGATGTCCCTTCATGAACCGGCAGAACAGCTCATACGGCCACCAAGTCGTCTGCTTGACGATGCCGTCCGGCGTCGTCATCAGCGGGCTGATGACATTGACGCTCTGCGCGATGTTGGCCATCCCCACGTCCTTGGACTTCCGGACGAGTACATTCAACCAACACGCCACGGCCAGCGCGTCCGAGAGCGTATACGTCTCCTCGGCACCTTTGCTCCCGACCGCCCGCGTAGGGAGCCAGACGTTCCACTCGTCGAAACATATCGTCGGCCGTTTCTGGGCAGGCGGGATCTTGTTCTCCACAACAGCCAAGTCGATCAACGAGGAACAGACCTCGATGGCCCTCTCGGCAGCCAACGGCGCCGTGACGTTCTCATAGTGGTCCTCGCTCGCCGTGTACATGTGGATACTATGCATGTCGATGAGCGGCTTGCGCTTCTCGCCTAGCTCGTTCAGCCCCGCGGGCTGGAGACAGTGCTTCAGCGTGTAATAGTCCCAGGAAGTCGCGCCCTCCTTGCCACACAAGATGAGTTGGATGCTTGGGTCGAGCAGTTTCAAGGCCTTCGCCCACTGCAGGGCTCGCTCCGCGTAGGCCTCCTGCGTCATCTGGTTTACTTGCCAGGGGCCATAGACCTCGTTGCCCAACGCCCAGTACTTGACCTTGTACGGCTCCGGGTGGCCGTTCTTCCGCCTCAGATTTGCATAGTACGTGTTCTTCGTGCCGTTGCAGTACTCCACCCAGGCCATGGCTTCGTCGAGCGTCCCCGTGCCGAAGTTCAGACATAGGTACGGTTCTGCACCCACGGCGTCACACCAGGTCATGAACTCATCGGTGCCGAAGTGGTTGGGCTCCACGTTGTCCCAGGCGAGTTCTGGCCGGGCGGGGCGTTGGTCTCTTGGTCCAATGCCGTCTTGCCAATGGTACGTCGCGCAGAAGTTTCCGCCGGGGTAGCGAAAGACGGGGACGTCGAGGGGCTTGAGGGCCTCGATGACGTCTTTGCGAAACCCGTGAGCGTCGATGAGGTCTTTGTTCGCGTTGGACGGATCGCAGACTCCTCCGTAGATGCAGCGGCCCATGTGCTCTGTGAAGCCGGAGTAGATGTTGCGATTGATAGGGTTGAGCTTGTGGTGGGGGAAGACGGTGACTGACGGCGTCGCGGCGCCAGCGACGGGAGTCGTCATGTTGGCGGAGAGACGCTCTTGACCGTAGGACCTCGCTTTCGAACGAATCACTCAGTCTCCAGAGGCACGGCAGAGTTATGGATGGTATGTGACTCAATTTGGAGGACATGATGAATTCCAGAGGGGTCTGGACAGAGACCCAACTATATAGTTACGGAGGCCCATGTAAACAATACGGTATCTTACAAAGGGGGGTGTGGCCCGTAACAGCCCTTGGCACTGTCTGGTCGACCCTCGGGTAACCCTCCTAGTCACAGGGTTGTTCCTGCGTTTGTCACTCACTCTCGCCTCCTGCACAGTCTCATCACCTCGACCGGCACAGTTCTATATGCGCCTAGCTTGCCGACAGCTCATAACCTCCGCCGATATTTGTCCTGATGAAAGGGCACGTATTGGTACGTGGTCCCGGCGACGTGGAAGGAATTTCCATGACGAGATCTACAAGATTCGTGTCACATCACGTTTAGTTACCTTGCCGATGTTCGGATAGAGACTCGAACCAACCAGATCCACCCGGGAAAATACTGTACAGACCCATCACACTCGCATACGACTCAGATTCAATGGCAATCAGCGACGTTAAAGGCAGGAGGTCGAATTAGGGGAAAATCCTGCGCACCACCGGCACCGGGATTTGTCCCCTTTTGGCAACGGCGGAGGGACGGTGGAAGCCCCGGCCAATCTACTGGCGAGCTTCGAGCTGTCGTAGCGATGGCGAAGGCGATCAAGAATTGGGGCTTTCCAACGGCGCCATGCCTCACTCCGCAATCCTCACGTCGTGGCTGTTTGCGGGGATCTGGCTCTTCCACACCTTCGCGAATAGGGCAAAACTGCGGGATCATGCGAGCCACCACGAGATCACAACATGAGTACCACGGCCAGGGATCTGGGAATTGAAGACCGGATCCACAGTCATATATAGCACTGTCGAGCGTGTTTGCTCTCTTGTTGCCAACTCTCGAGCGCCTGTCCAGCGTCGTTTTCTTGACGACCTCGCAGACTCTCCTCTCGCATTGTCCCTTTCCCCTCCTACAGTCCCCTGCATCATTCACCATGCCACTGCCTCCGAAATGGTATCAGTTCCTCGTCGGCGTGTTCGCCTCCCTTGGGTCGTACCTCTTTGGCTACGATCTGGGTGTGATCGCAGAAGTCATTGCCAGCAACACCTTCATCGAGAAGTTCGCCCCCAACGACAATGAATCAGGCCTCGTTGTGAGTCTGTTCACTACAGGGGCAATTGGCGGGGCTCTCTTTGCAGGCCCTTGCGGTGATTAACTTGGCCGGCGATGGACCATTGCCATTGGAGCCCTGATCTTCTGCCTGGGCGGCGGTCTGCAGACCGGTGCAGAGACCATCGGCTACCTCTGGTCAGGCCGTTTCCTGGCCGGACTCGGTGTCGGCTTCCTCGTCATGATTGTGCCCCTCTACCAGGCCGAACTGGCTCACCCGAGCATTCGAGGTCGAATCACAGCCTTGCAGCAGTTCATGTTGGGTGTCGGTGCACTCGTGGCATCGTGGATCTCTTGGGCGACATACGTCCACATCACAGACAACAGCGCGCAATGGCGAGTGCCCCTGGGCCTTCAGATCGTGCCGGCCATCTTTCTCGGCTTGTTGATCTTTATGTTTCCCGAGTCTCCGAGGTAGGCATATGTATCCTTTTGACTTACCATTTGCTAATGTTTCTTACAAACAGATGGCTCATGGACCATGGCAAGCCGGACCAGGCCCTCAAAGTCCTCGCGAAGCTGCACGCCCACGGCAACGAGCAGGACCCCTGGGTCATGGCGGAATACGAGCAAGTGCAAGCGTCGATTGCGCACGAGCACGAACACGAAGCCAAATCCCACCTCGAGCTGTTCCGGTCGAAATCCGCGTTCCGGCGCCTCTTCCTCTGCTGCGCCCTGCAGGCCAGCATCCAGATGACCGGCGTGTCGGCCATCCAGTACTACTCGGTCACCATCTACGGGCAGATCGGCATCTCGGGCCAAGACACGCTCAAGTACCAGGGCATCAACAGCATCATCGCCCTGGTCGCCCAGTTCTGCACCATCCTGTTCATTGACCGCACGGGGCGCCGCTGGCCCCTTATCTACGGCAACCTAGGGAACATGGTGACCTTCATCATCGCCACCATCCTGCTGGCCAAGTTCCCGCCGGGCGTATCGACGAACAAGGGCGCCCAGTGGGGCTTCATCGTCATGACGTGGCTTTACAACTTCAGCTTCAGCTGCACCTGCGGCCCGCTCAGCTGGATCATCCCGGCCGAAGTTTTTGACACTCGCACACGTAGCTATGGCGTGTCCCTGGCGACAGTGACGAGCTTTGCCTTTAACACCATGATTGTATGTCTTCTGCCCTGCCTGCTATCAACGTCGGACTTGCTGACCATGCATAGGGACAAGTCACGCCCATCGCAATGAGTAACATCGGGTACAAGTTCTACTTCATATTCATCATCTGCAACTGCACCAACGCCATCTTCTTCTGGCTGCTCCTGCCCGAGACGGCGCGTCGGCCCCTCGAGGAGATGAACTATCTATTCGACCATACGCCCTGGATCGTCGTGGGCACAACCAAGGACAGCTATACCAGTCATGACCTGGAGAACAGGGTAAATGAGATTGCTCACGAGGTGGAGCTGAAGAGATCGGGAAGCGTGTTGCATGAAGAGAAAATAACGTGATGATGGCGAATGCCGGTACAATGTACAGCAGGTGCTCGCACTGTCGATAGTCGATGTCGGCGTGGAGGTGGAGGCAGAGTTGGATCAGGACATGTACGGCCTCAGAGGGTCCTCGGCCATGATGAAGCGGTTTACTTGCGGGAAAGCGGTTAACTCAAACGTTGGTGAAAGCGTACGCCAATTCCTCAAGCACAGTGATTGGCGCGTGGACCAGCAATGTCGAGCATCTTTGGGATTAATTCCCGTGTGGCCAACGCCTGTCGCTTGGGCCGGCGTCCCATCCACATGTATCCCACTACCATCCATCGGATCTAGGATGGACCATCTGAAGCCGCGTGTAACGGTCATGTATTATTGGCGTCTGACCTCGCACAGCCCAGGTGTCGGTAGAACTCGTGGAGCACACTAGATGGAACGCATAGTATAGTACACATCTTTGCAGTTACAGTACATACATACTACGCCCACCTCTCCACCGCCGTCTTGACCACATCCTCCAACCTCAACGGCGCCAAATCCAGCACATCGTTCCCAAGCGCCACAATCCCCCCACCCACCAAATCACTACCATACCCATCGAGGAAGAATCCGGCCTTGACCAGCTCCAGCGCGGATTTCACATCCCTATTCTCATCCCACGAGTGCCTCGCCTTGGCGACCATGGCCCCCCCGTCCAGGTTCGAGACCGTGTACTCGACGCCCTGCACCTCCTCCAACACCGCGACAATCTCATTCTGCGACGCGAGGAACCCATGCAGCGGGAGGACCTTGTTCGCCGTGATCTCCGGCGGGGCGAGGAGGATCTGCACAATCCCCTCGGCGGCCCAAGGCAGCGTCGACCACGATAATCTGTGCTCCCCACCCTGCCACAGCGCGGCGGTGCGGTCCGCCATATTGATCCCCGCGAACGCGATGGCCGGGTCGAGCGCCCAGTCGAGCCACAGGCCCGTGGGCACGGCCGTCCACGTCAGGTGCGGGTGCTTGTCGGCCAAGTATTCGATCATTTCGCCCTTGGCGTTAAAGACAGGGCACAGCGCACGTGCGGCACTGTGCGTGTTGTTGACGCCGTATTCCGAGGGGAAGAACCGCTTGACGCCCGCGTCGGTGGCCGCGTCGATGAGATTCCTTTCGAGAGATAGCGCGCCGAAGCCGATGGCGGAGATGACGACGTCTTGACCCTGTAGGGCGGTGACGAGATCGGCGTGTGGCAAGGAGTCGGCGACATATTTCACTTGCGCGCCGGCGGGGAATGTGGACTTGGAGGACCGCCGGGCCAAGATGGTCACGGCGAAGAGGTCGGGTTTGGAGAGTAGGGCTTTGACGATGTGGTGGCCGATGTTGGTGCCGCCGGCCTGGAAGGGTGCGGATTTCGAGTTAGTAACAGCCACGTTTCGAGCTTTGTGTGTGTGTAGCTAGTAGGGTAGATGGAGGGTCTTGTGTTGGGGCATGGGACGGGTGGTGGACGACTTGTGACTTACACCAAAGACCGTGACGTTCTTGAAGTGGTTTGCTGACATTGTGGTTGTCGTCTGCCTGTGTCTCGCTGTCCCTGTCCGTGACGTCCTGGCTTCATCGTGGCCTGTGATGTGTGTACATGTCTTTCTCTTATATATACATCCGTGATCGCTGGCCCTGGATAGTCCCCTGCGAGAATCAGTTCGGCTGTATGGGATGTTTACTCACCATGCCTATCACCTTACTTCACCCACTTCACTGTGTTCGGTACTGTTCTCTTCTCTGCCCTTCTTTGTCATCATGCCCTTCTTCCGTCTGGCACTCCGTCTCTTTGGCGCAACCAGAATGTTCATGCGAGATGGTCTGCTTTCTAAGCATTATTAGTGCACCGATCTCGTCCGCACAAGCCACATGCGTAATCACAATCGAGACGACCGTCTTGGGAAAGAGCACCACGCAGTAGGCTGGATTTCTGGTTGTCAATACATTGTCGTGGCACTCGTGCATCAAGCGTGACCTCGTACGATCCATACGGTGGCCCTGGAGCGGCCGTAAATCAGTGGTGGCGCCGGGTAGATGCATGATCTACTCCGTAATACGCCGCCGTTCAGGGTCTCAAGCCGAGGTTTTTGCATTACTCTGCATCTTGGTGTCGCGAATTGCCTGATTGAGAAGGAGGCAGTTGGGCCGGAGTATTCGCACGGTCATGGCGGAGAGCCGGGTAAGAGAAGAATCTTGCTTTTAGACTTCAAGTTCAAATCTCTATTCGTCTATCCGTCGACTTGCCTGCGTTTCCCCGGAAGCGATTTTGGGGCGCGGCGTAGCGCATCTCGACCACAAAATCAAAAACCGAAGGTCTGAAGGGTACGTATTCCGTGGGCTGGCGAGGGTTCGGGTTGTCTTCTCCGTCCGCCGTACTGGCGCACCAGGGATCTCACAAATCAAAGATACAGCGCGGCTACGCTTCCATGGCCATTTCTGCGGCTTGAGTCGGATCGAGTAGCGCGGAGACCCAACTCTGGCCGCACTTTCGCAATAGGGTGATTGCTGGCCCGAGCAGCCGGTCAGTGCAGCTCCTGAGAAGATGTCTAATGTGACAGTCATGCAGCGGCCCGACCGGCCGGCCGCCGGGATTACCACAATTTTCATACCCCTCCTCATGATATCTCAGAGATGAGACCTGTCCTCCCCTTCACCCTTTGCAACATCCGCAACCAGCCCTCCACTCTGGCCCTTCCACCCGGGGACAACCTGTTCCCAAGCCTCATCCATCGGCTCAACAGCCTTCTTCCATCCTTCCCGCGCACTAACCCTCTTCCACCACCGCTTCAAGTTCGGCCGCCTAGGAAACACATCCATGCACTTGCTCATTACGTACATGCACGGCATGTAGACGATGTCCACGAGACTGAACTCCTCACCACCCATGAATGGCATCGTGGCCAACATCTTGTCCAGCACATCCAGGCAGTTGTCGAGTCTAGGCCGGTGGCGTGCGAGGACCGCCTCGTCCGCCGGCTTCCCCAGCGCTCTGACCGTTTCAGCTTGTTTCTGACTGACCATAGCGGGGATTATATATAGCAGGGAGACTCACGGCGCGATCATCATCTCGCTGATGACAGGGCTAACGTGCACATCAAACTCGACGGACTCGACAGCGAGGCGCATTTCCCAGATCGCTCGGGATGGGTGACCACGACCTTGGTCGTAATCCTGGTCCTGACCATGAACCTCACCCGCGAGTCGGGGGATCAAGCCCGGGCCCATGCCAGCATACTTTTCGCAGAGGTAGCGGGAGATGGCGCGTGACTCGAAGAGCACGAGACCAGCACCGTCACCCGTACTACCACCGCCGCCATCCTCCAGCAACGGCACTTTGCCGAAGAGGGACTTTTCGAGGAAGTCGGCGGTCTAGGCGTGACTGGTGTCAGAAGTTCCGAGTCACTTATGCGTGCCCGGGATGCGTGGCGCTCACCTTGTGTGTGCCGCGGACGAGATCGGCCGGGATGCGGACCACGTCCGTGATACCCTTCTCGGCCAGTACGAGTTCCGGCCGTAGACAGTTCCACGAGAGTGGCGACGTGTAGAGCTTGAGGGGCATGCTGATGCTTTCTGGTAAGCTGTTGAGGGTATATGTCACACTTTCTTGATCTCCTCTTCCTGATCGAGGATCCGACTCGCCCGAGGCGAGAAAAAAGAGGAACAGGCGGCCGGGTGGTATCGCATTTGTAGAATGCCCACTTCACGGTTATGTCGAGGCTATCCACACAGGTCCGTAACGTTATGTTGACATATACGCCGCGAGTGTTGCCAGGCAGGCGCCGATTCGGTAACACCTCACCAAGGACAACGATCCTAACGTTATGGGCCTTAGGGAGGGAGATCGCTGAAGCTAGAGCCATTGCCAGTGCACACAGGAGGACCCCAGAGGAAACTTGTGAGGTATGGAAGGTTTGTGGCGTGAGCGTGGTATTGCTCGTGTAGAGCTTTCCGAAGAACACGTTCACGGGGTTTTCACTGACATGTTGACAGTTGACAGTGGCGCATCGTCTTGACCACTGTATCGGCACCCCAGCAACATATTGAGTCGCGTTACATCGTAGGCGAATTTCAATGAGATGTCGCCTTTCATTCCGTCCCACCCTCGGTAGACAGGAAACCATGTCAACCCGTCAATTGGTCGAAGGTGATCAAAGCCACATCTAGGCCATCTTGGTCTTCAAGCCAGTTTGTTCGCGGTCCAAAGGACCATGACAGCGCGCTTGTGAGGATCTTGGTAATGATATGGCTTAGGGACAGAACCCAAGATGACCTCTAGGCAGGTTAGCATCAGTACTAAGTGTCCGACGGGCTATGCGGCTCCGGTGCGCCGCTGAAGCCCATCTCAACGTCTAGCTTACCTGGAGCTTGCACAAGCTAGTGAAATCCGCCTGCTTGCCGAGCTGTTGTTGAATTGCCTTGGCCTTGTCGGTACAACTCCAGCCCCATAAGTCCTTCTCCGTCTTCTCCACCCTGTACACGATAGCAACGATGACCCAGGTGATAATGTCCATGGCCACATAAACCAAGCTGAAAAATACAAGCCTCCGCTTGGACCGCCAGCACAGCGCGATCAGCGCGACCAGAGCTATGAGCGAGGTGACGATAGACGCGGCAGCGAACATGAAGGTGGGCCACACGACGCGGTCTTTGGCCCATGGTCCCCATGGTCGATCCTCCATGAATATATCCCTTGTGGAGTAGAACTTGTAGAGCACGTATATCATGATTGACTCAATGACGGCGGCTAGAAGCCCGGAAATGACATTCGAGACTGCCGAGATGATCTTTGCCGAGCGCCGAACTCGGTGATACTGCTTTACAAGCCAGTCGCGCCTGCGGGTGGGTAGGAACCCCACGGGGATGGGTTGACGGCCGTCGCATCTGTTGCCCCGTGTCGAGGGGCAAACCCTCAAAGTAAGTCGCGTGGACATCATGCTTGTCGGTGCTGTGTCTTGGATCGAACTGCGTGGCCTGAGGTAAAGCGGACCCACAACATACTCACATGCATATATGGCCCTCTACAATTAAGCCAATAATGTGTAGTCCGGCAGTTATACATCTGTTGCCCTGGAGAGTCATCAGCTCTCGAATGGTAGTGGCAGATGAGTCTCGTGGAGCTGGATGTGAGAGCACATAACTTGACACCTTTCATGCCAGAATTCGTGGGCGACGAAGAGCAGCTGGAACGCGGATGGCGGTACGTTCGCCTGATCCAGCAACTCGCCGGGCGCCCATTGACCCAAGGCGGCTTGCCGGAAGATCACGAAGGCCGATCGCGGCTCCTCTACCTCCACGTGCGCAACGATCCTGACTTCCACGCCTGACGAATGTAGACGACTGCCGAACCTCGATACCTTCGAACGCCCGAGATCTAGTAAGTCGAGCCAGACCAAGACGCAGACGATCCGGATGCCGAGATAGTAGGCTGATCCTCAATCCCACCAATGGTTGACTGGCTGGCAGCAGTCGACGAGTAAATCGTTCAGGACGAGGACGCTGAGGACCAAGAGCAGGCTAGGGCAGTCCAAGATGCCCTGTTGCGCGCAGAGGTCGAGGCGACGACGGCACTACGGGGTCGCTGCTGTGCACATTTGTCGACAAGAACTCAACAACGGCTCGTTTCTACCTTTAATCACTGGGCAGCCGTTATCTGATGCCGTGGGCAACGTGATGGTCATTATGATTGCTCCGAGAGGCTTTGACGATGCGGCAGAGCTTCATGATGCGGTACGGAGAGGGCACCCAAGACGGTGTAGAGCTCGAAGCAAGATCGTGAGGGAGATTTTGTCGATCGTTTGGCTCTGGTGTCCTGCCTCTTATGATGTTCGTTGAAGTAGTCGGTTGTCATCTCATCATGTATGAGAAACATTGCTGGAACGTGTTGTGAGGTATTCTGTTGCTCCGCCGTAATGATGACTGGATGCAGCATATGCTCTTATGATCCACCCTCCCCAGCCTTGTACCGAGTCGGTTCTAGTCTAGTCTTGGCTCGCTTGGCTGAAGCCACGAGGCTCGTCAAACTCTTCTGTAACACTTGCAGCCTCAACCATCGCCTCTGACACGCTCCAGCAGATTGCCTGCCGTCGCACGAAGATGAAGTCATACCGTGAGTGCGTGAAGATATCGTGCACAGCGCGACGGTCGTACGAGCTTGTCCTCTTCAAGCCCTCTACTCGCCCACCCCAGTCGTTACAGGCCCCGATCGGTGTCTCCAAGTCACCAAGGGCCACGGGGGTCGAGCATAAGCCAGATTGTTCACCTGGGGTGGTCTGCTAGAAATGCCGCAACACCCGGCACGAACCTGTCGGGAGGACAAGGACAAGTATATCTTCGGGTCTGTCCCTTCCCAGGTAGGCCTACTCATTTGCTCTACATGCGTTGCAAATCACCACACATTGCCTCATAGCCTAGCCCTGGTGGCCCGCTAGACGGAACAAGGGAAGCTCACCAAGTCACTCATTCATTCATACAAAGCGACATCATACCACACCACACCGCACCATACCGTACTTGCATCAAATAAGCACCCGCAAATATGCATACCTTCTTTCAGATTCTCTCGCCTTCAGTCTTCCTTCCCCTTCTCCTCCTGCTATTCACCGCCCACTCGACGTGTTCTCCCCTGTGGTGGGACTTCCCAGGGAGCGAAGGCACCAGCGCGGTGGCCACAGGGACGTTGAGCCCCCCACACCGCGTCGTGCGTGCTCGTTCTCCCGCCAACACGAATGTCAATCCCGACGCCGTTACAGGGACGACGTGCGACGACGCCTCCGTCGACCTCGTCACGCACGACACCAACGTCGCGCTGCTTGCCATCTGCGGCAGCATCGCGGGGAGTATCCAGTTCTGTGAAGGCGATCCTGCAACCACGGTCGGCGCATCGGGGACCAGCAAGTTCACACTCACGGCGGTGAATGCCGACCAGGGCGCCACCATCAATGTCAGCAAGGGGAGGTGGGAGGGATGTATCCGGGCCGCGAGGGCGACGTGTCCTACGGGAACGTTTACCAGTACTTGTGTTGGCGGGACGAGTGATGGGGCCGGCTTTACATTTGTGTTGAGTGAAAATAACTGACGAGGTGGGCGGGATGGGGCGACTAGCTCTAGGTAGGGCGTGCGATAGGACTCTTTTCCACACGCAGTGACCACGAACGTTTTACGAAAAGCATGCGCATGCATATTTTGATGGATGGATATCGGAACGAGCGGAGCCGTTCACGTGAAAAATTCAGATTCAGACTCTGTCTGTATTTTTGAATACCTTGTCTTCCTTGAAATGAAGAGACCGAGATGGCATAAAAGGGATTTTCGAAATCCGGTCGTCAGTCGTAAAAGATCCTAAAACCATTCAAATTCCTGCAAGCGCTCGCCCAAGCATTGCCTCGTGGCCAAACACGCTTTTCGGTCTTGTGCCTTCGCTTCTAGAAGGAGTGGTGCGCCTGCTCGATATTTGCGCTGGGAGGTTCATCGAAAACTGTATAAAAAACAGATAGCCAACAGAACAGAGATATTTGGTGGGTGGGTTCTTTTTGACAAGGCCTTGTCCCTCGAAATCCTCTTCAAAGGCCCTGCATGCTGTGTTGGCTTTGAGCCAGAGCGAACGTGTCAAATACAGGACAGGAAGGCGCTTCGACCTCCTGGTCGGCCTGAATCAGATTGTCCATCCACGAATCATTGTTGAATGGCATCTGATACTCCAGTTGGGGCACTGGCTCTGAAGCTCGCGGTATCATGTGGGACGCAGTGCAGTCGACGTAGACATTCGGCTTTGTCAAGACTTCGCGAGCGAACTTGGCAACTTGGGTCTTTGCGATGCTGGCCCGGGGCCAGACTTCGCCGTATGCCCCGAGCGCAGTGATGCAGAGTTGCATGCGCTCCTTGATGGCGACCGCTTGGTCGGGGGTGTCCACGATGGCGTAGGCCGGGAGATGCACTGTCGCGGCGGTGGTCAGGCCGCACATCAGCACGGGCGAGCACATCTTCACATCCGGCTGCATGCCGGCGAGGTGTGTGATGGCGTTGGCTGCCCTCAGGGCCTTGGCCGTGTGAGATGTGTAAGCCAGTGCAGGGAGCCCGGCGGCCTCGGCCTTGGTGCATGTGGTGCGGTAGTGGTTGCGGATAAAGGTTAAGGTGGAGCGTGGTCGGTGCAGGCATATCGCCGCCCAGTGAATGACCAAGTGGGCGATGAAAAGACATTCGTCGATGGAACCGTCGCTGCGGAACACTTGTCGCTTCTCGGCCGGCAGCGATAACAGGAGGTGAGAAATGGCGGCATCGATGCCTTCGACCTGGGGGTCTGTGACCGCGAATGTGTCTGGGCTGAGCGCGAGCACAGACCCCAAAATGTATGTGGCTTCGATCTGATACGCGAAGGACGAGTACTCGAAGTTATCTTCCGAGAACGTCCTGTTGCGGAGGTCCGCAATGGTGCGGGTGAGAGGGGGCGAGCGAAGCTCGTTGTAGTCCTCGTCATGTCCCGGCAGAGCCACGTCGTTGTACGTCGAGTACAGGCGGAACGGCGACGACTGGCCGCCAATAGTCACCACCAAGCCCTCAATGAGGAGCAGGGTCCACCATGTCCGTCGCCACATTTCTTGCAAGGTCGAATCGTTAGGCGACTGTTGCAGGGCGAAGCTGTTCCGGTTGAGCCCGATACGCAGCGAGATCTCAATGGCCTTGTCCAGCGCCATGGACCCTTCTGCCTGCCCAAAGCGAGCGAAATTGGTCATGGCATAGAGTATCAGGCCTTGCACTTTGAAGCCATCGTCCGGCACGTCCGGTGCGAAGATCATTTTTGCTGCGTTCTCCAGCGCGGGGTGGTTGGCTTGTGGAATGTAATGGCTTGCAAGCCATCGCATGCATGCTTGCAATGCCGGAGGCAAGATGGCAGGGTTCTGGTGGTATAGCTTTCGTGGAGCAATGAAGGGATGAGACGGATAGAAATGCCTATAGAACAGGTCGATCAGGTCGGTATCGCTCACCAAGGACCTGTCTGAGATGGGAGGCACTTCTCCCGCAGACCCGACGGACCCAACGGATCCGACAGATCCAACGGACCCTCGGGTCATGGACAGTGATGAATCACTGTTGCTAGGGCTAGGAAGCTGGTCTTTTGGCGGCGGCGGCATGGTCTTTTGCATTTCTAGAGGCAGAGTCTGGAACGCTGCAACTTCGCCGTTGTGCTGGAAGATCTCAGCATATGTCAGAGCGCGCATTTTGGTAGCATCAGCCTCGTTAAAGACTCGCTGGCCATCAGGAGACACGAAGGGCTTAGTGTCATAGTGAATAGGATCATTCTTCGGCTTCTGGTCAGGTCGGTCTCCTGCGTTTGATTGGGGCTTGCGGAATTCTCGGTATCCTCTTCGGGAATCAACCCAGTAACAGTCGCCGTTCCGGTCTGCACATCTGCTGCATAGTGGCTTTTGGCCATCACACTTGAGATGCGACTTGCGGCAAGGAATGCAGGCCAGAAGGCTTGGATGTTTCGTTCGGCCTTTACCAGAGCCCGCGCCTGGGTTAGGTGTGGCGCCTTCTGCAGCCATTTTCCGATTTGTCTGCTTAGAGGTGATGTTGAATGGCGATCTTAGGCTTGTCGGTGAGAGGGGCAGATGCGTGCTGGGTTAAGTAATGAGAAGCCCGCTCAAAAGTGCGTGGAATTTGTCTCTATCGGGGACAGGCTAATACCTGTACACAGCCTCGGATGATCCGTACCAACCACTCGGACAGATCCTGTAGCATCTCTCGCCGTCGATTGCAACGTTTCGATATTATCTTCCCAGATCTTACTCGGGCGAGGTCGTCGGGGACCGCTGTGGGGGGCCGTTGAGCGCCGTGCCATTTATGGCAACTACGGCGAGTCACGTGTCAGCACTTCCCGAGATGCAGCACTAGCTTGTTTCAGGATAATGTGACAATCTCCAGCTTCCTTCACTCGAGCCTCACCAAATTTTACAATACTGTGTACGGAGTACCATACTTCGTACTACAGCGTTCGACAGGATAACGCGAGAATCCCTCTGGCTACAGCTGCTCAGCCGAATCCGAAGATTTGTGACCTCCAGCGCCGACTCTACGCTGGTGTGCCCTTCGGTACACAGCAATGTCACGTGCCGTGCATGTGACGGTCAGCTCACGCCACCTTTCGAGCAGCTTGTGGAACCCGATGAGCCCGAAGCTTAGCCCTCCACAGAACATCGTTCAAGGCGTCGTTAGCGCCTTGAGAGATCTGATCCCCATTCTGCCGAGGACATCATCCTGCAGGAAGCACGGGGTCTAAAAGCTGGATCAGGGCTTCGATTATACCTCGTATTTGTATATCGATGACTCTGTCAAGATCCCCGAAGGCACGACATATGGAGCTAAACATCAGTAGCCCGCTGTGGGCAGGGGTTGCGTCGTGCTGGTCCCCGATGCAATTCTGCTGTGCCAGACCCACTATCAACAGCGTATCATCTGGTCCGGACTGCTTTACGAAGGATGTCGGTATCCGCCAGTGACGTCCAGGAGTGCTCAGACAGCCTCATGAGAAGAAGGAGAAACAGATACGCCGACACGGCTGAGCACTCCTATTGTGGCCTTGGTGGCCTCAGATGATTTGACGATGGTCTCCTGATTTGTGCCCGCTGAGATTATACGAAGCAAATGCAACTCGATGGAGGCCGTACCAGCTTGGCTATTGGGGTGGCCTGAACGGCGGATTGCCCGCCTCTTTGAGGAGTGCAAGTCTGTCTACGGCGTTCACATCATACAGGTGCTCGTGTTGTTGGGTTACAAAAGCCCCGTTCAGGCTTGAACAAAGCCCTTATATCTTCTTCATACTTCTGACTGCCCAGTTGCGGATACTGCGTTCTTTGGCCGCGGGCTTGCACCTGATAAGAGCTCCATCGGCAATGTTGACCGCCAGTCTTGCTCCATCTTGCGATGCATTCGGGCATACCACTGACGCCATCCAGGACGTGGAGAAGGGCAGTGAACTGAGCCGCCACCTCACCAACCATGCCCTTACATCCTTCTCGTGGTCGGATGTTGGGGTTACTGTGAAGGACCGAAAGACCAAGAAGCCCATACAGATCCTGAACTCCAGCTATGGCTGTGTCCAAGCCGGAAGTGTCGTTGCCCTCATGGGTCCAAGCGGAAGCGGAAAGACTACAATGTTGAACGTGCTTGCACATCGCACAAGCACAATGAAGGGTGACATACAGGGGAGGATCATGATGAATGGACGAGTGATGGATGAAGCTGCTATCCGGCGGGTCTCTACCTACGTCGAGCAAGAAGACGCCATGATCGGGATCCTCACGGCGCGAGAAACAGTCGACTTCGCTGCCAGACTATCCATGAATGGCAACACCCCGAAGAAAGACAGGCTTTCCAGAGTGGACGGGCTGATCGAATCTTTCGGTCTACAGCGGCAGGCAGACACAATCGTCGGCACACCGCTACGGAAAGGCCTCAGTGGTGGCCAAAAGCGCAGACTGAGTGTGGCTAGCCAACTTGTCACGTCGCCTCGGCTGGTCTTCTTGGACGAACCCACGAGCGGGCTCGACTCTACTGCAAGTTTCGAATGCATGAAGTTTATCAGACAGGTGGCTAAGCAACACAACCTGATCATCATCGCCTCGATCCACCAGCCATCAACAACCACCTTCCAGCTTTTCGATCAACTGATGCTTCTGTCTCAAGGACGCACATGCTATTTTGGAGCCGTTTCTGCAGTCGAAGGCTACTTTGAGCGCATTGGTCGACCAATCCCCTTACATATAAACCCGGCAGAGTACCTGCTCGACCTGGTCAACACCGACTTCGGACACGATGATAGCTCCGCCGACGGCTCGTTGGGCTATGTGCACGAAGCCTGGACGGCGTCTGAGGAGCACAACGCATTAATGTTATCTACCGCGACCGTGAGCAGTCTTGTTCCGGTATCCCCCTCACGTACGTCACGCAAGAGCACACTAGCTATTGCGTGGGTTCTGTTGCATCGCAACTTCATCAAATCCTACCGCGACCTCATCGCCTACGGGACTCGCGTCTTCATGTATTTTGGCCTGGCAATCATGATGGGTACCGTCTGGCTCCGTCTGTCCTACCATCAGAACTCAATTCAACCATTCACCAACGCCATCTTTTTCGGCGGCGCATTCATGTCATTCATGGCAGTCGCCTATGTGCCCTCAATCATAGAGGACCTCAACAGCTTCGCCAAGGAACGCGCTAATGGCTTGTACGGTCCTTTGCCCTTTATCATTGGCAACACACTCATCGGCATCCCTTGGTTATTCCTCATTGCGGTCATGTTCTCCATCATCACCTACTGGTTGGGTCATTTCAATCCCACCGCTGGCGGCTTCTGCATGTGGGTGCTTTGGCTGTTTCTAGACCTACTGGCAGCAGAGGGACTCGTGGTCCTCGTCTCGAGCATCTTTCCCTTGTTTGTGGTGGCACTGGCGGTGACTGCATTCGCAAACGGGCTTTGGATGTGCGTCAATGGGTTCCTTGTGCCGATGGGAACGTTAAATCCGTTCTGGAAATGTAGGTTGCCCTCCTGATCTCCAGCCACGTCGGCCAGTGATACTGACTACCAACTTCGACAGATGTCTTTCACTACATTGATTACCAAGCCTACGTGTTCCAAGGGATGATGGTCAACCAGTTCCGCTCCACGATCTGGGAGTGTGACAAATCCTCTGACACAGATGAATACCAGTGCATGTATCCTTCCGACCTCCAATCCCAGGGCAAGATCCGCGGCACCGCTGTCCTCCGCGCGTACAAGTACTCCTGGGGTGACGACAAGATAGGCGAATGGATCGGGATCATGTTTGCGATCATCCTCGCCTACAGAATCCTAGGCTACTTGGTCCTCGTGATGAAGAAGCACTGAGGTGTACATGAGATTTTACGCCATGGGATTTCGTTTCACAGCTCGTGGAAGAAGGGTGGTTGTTCCTCAGCGTCAATCATACAAGCGAGAGCGACGGCGTTCATTTCATGGATGCTGGAGGTAGCGATGCACAGAGTATTGGTCTGTTACTACCTGGGCGCATAGTATATATATCCTCTCTGCACGAATTTCGATTAGACCGACCCATGCTACTATACTGCATCCGACGGCAAAAGAAGCTACGAAGCTTGACCACGGAGAAGAAAGCGGCGGCGGCACCCGCCTCGGCCTTCTCCGACAGCCTGTGCAGAGTTCCACTGTAGGCAGCCCAGCGACAGGACTGTCCTCTCTCCCTTATCACATCACGGGAGAAACTCAAACTGGACAGAGCACCCAGTGATTAAGTACAACACGATATAAAGCGATGGCCAAGGAACACATCGCACCCGGCTGGCCGACTTTCAAATCTTGCCTGTCAAACTTCTAGCGCAAACTCCACCCTGACCTCTCAGAGCAAGCATGGGCCCCCAGGTCGAGGCCGCAGCCCTGGCGTCCGCGCTCCTCTCGACGACCGAACACGCCATAATTCCCCTCACAGCCGCACAAGTCGCGCAGGGCTCGAAGCTTTTTGGTGCAGCCATCCTCGACCGCTCGACTCTAGGCACTGTGCTCGCCGAGACCAACAACGAGCGCGAATCGCCCCTCCTGCACGGCGAAATCAACTGCATCCAACAGTTCTTCAGGTTACCAAAGGATACCCGCCCGGACACAAAGGACTGTATCTTCTTCGCGACCCACGAACCGTGTTCGCTGTGCCTGAGCGGGATTACGTGGAGCGGGTTCAACGAGTTCTACTACATGTTCACGTACGAGGATAGTCGGGACTTGTTTGCCATTCCGTGTAAGTGTATAAGTGTGCGAGTGTGCGAGCCCAGGCTCACGAGCATGGTGCACGAATTCAAGCACGCATGAATGCGTGCATCTGCTGACACTGACGTGTCCGCACCCCCAGACGACATCGACATCCTCAAGTCTGTATACCAGGTCGCGACGCCGGGTGAGTCCGAGGCCGACCTCGCAGCGAAGCCGCTGTACAATCGGCGGAACAAGTTCTTTACAGCCCGCTCGCTGGCCGAGCTGATCGACGAGGTGGACGACGAAGCCACGAAAGCGAAGTTGAAGGGCGAGTTGCGCAGGGTGAAGCAGATGTATGATGGGCTGAGTGCTACGTACCAGGAGGGCAAGCAGAGCGGGGCCGAGTCGAGCAGTTTCTTCAAGTGAGGGTGAAGGAGGGCGCTGCCTGTGTTGATAACGAGGGTACTGTGCATGTATGATGTACCGGCCGAGCCACGGCGAATGGCACTCTGGCTGAAGTGCACTCATTGTCAGGTCAGGCAGATCGGCGTGCGGATCTAGTCGTGTTGCGTAGGCAGTATAATACGGATTGGGACAATGTCACAACTATCACCGTTTCCTCAGCGTTCGAATCCCCGTCGAAGCATTATCTTGCCTAGTATCTCAGATAAATCCCGCCAATTCTAATGGCACTTGATCTCCGAGTTGTTTCGGCATGTCCACGCCCTTGCCCGTCACCGATCGTCCCCAGATCCAGATTCATTCGTTGTCCTGATCCTTGAGCCTGCTGCCGATTGTCCACACCAACTCCCGAACGTCCATATCCGTTAGCTGGAACAAACCCCTGTATGTCCGCCACGTCGCCATCCCTCTCCTCCACCACCGCCATGGTCGAAGGACCACACAACCGTCAGTTGGCCGGAGGAGGAGGAGTATGCACCACACACTCGATATTATGACCTCCGGGAGAGGTGACGAACGCGGCGTAATAGTTCGGATGGTATTCGGCCCTCACGCCGGGTTTGCCGTTGTCGGTCCCGCCGGCTTTGAGGGCCGCGGCGTGGAAGGCGTCGACCTGAGCGCGGTCTGAGCATGGGTACTCGTTAGTCATACATACTTGTGGCTTGGGGCACTACTTCTGCATTCTTCACGGGCACAGAATCGCACCTTTCGCTGTCAAGGCCAGATGGTTCTTCAGCACCCTCACGTCATCGCCTATTGGCTGTCTGTCCTCGATGCCAGAAATCCACAGCCAGGGCTGGCATTCCTCGCCCAGGCCGACCACGCCGGGCGCGGGGCGCATGAACTCCTTGAGGCCCATGTGCCCGAACGAGGCGAGCAGGAAGCCGACCTCGTCGTCGAATTTGCTGAAGGGCACGGAGTATGAGACGTGGTCGAGAGGCATGGTGACGATGATAGAAGGCAGGTGAGGAACAATTCGCACCCAGACTTATGAAGTACCTACCGTGTGATGTGCAGTAGAGGACTGAGATGTGCAAATGGGATGGGAGCGAGTGACGTCTTAAATAGTCAGTACTCCGGCCCTATTACACAGCTATCGGCTCACAGTACGTGCGTAGCATGCGTATGTGAGACTGCCTCTTCAAGGTAGCTGCGAACTCAATTAAGCAGAAGGGAGTGAGCCTCTTCTGAGTACGAGGTGCGCGGTAAGTAAACCATCAACTTGTGGTCGGAGCACGTGAAATCGCGTCGGCTTCGCGCTCTTCAATCGATACGAACGCTGCCGTTCCAGGTTTGGGCGTGCCCTCGGAGCCGCGAAATCATGCAGCCAAGTCACTACTCGGACGTAATCAAGCCGGCCATTGGACGGACTGACCTTGTTGCCTGGCGGTGCCTGATTCATGCTGCAAGGGATCCGGCTCAACAAGAAGAAGTGAGCCAAGTTTGAAGTACGCCAAGTTGAGGTGAGCAGTGGTGAGCAAACCTTGAGGTGACAGACTGACTATGGAATTAGGTCTCAAAGACACCGGGCTGAAACTCATCCCGAGTCCCAAAGGGCGAATCTCGATTTCTCCGCAGATACATCTTTTCGAGCTCCGGAAAACAACCATCAAGCAACGACATTTATTTTGCAAGTGTCGGCAGAGATTTGTTCGTCCGCTGACGTGTCGTTACCTCCCAGGCGGCAGAGCCGCAACGTGGCGCTCTGGGATAAAAGTTCGATTTACACAAGGTTGGGTTTGGCTGGTTGCGTCGCGACAAACGTGCCGTTTAGCTCCAGCGGATTTTGGATTGAGAACGAGGCTCGCGACACTATGAGTCCACAGACCCGTGACAGGATAATAGAAGCGACTGAGTGACTTCTGACTTGTATGATGTGAGTGTGAGTGAGCGAGTGAGCAACTGAGAGAGTGACTCCGCCCAACTCGCTGAAGATGATCAACCCTCGTCAGCAGCATTCCCCTGTTTGCCATATGTGACACTGCCGTCAGGCCGGTCTCTGGGGACAGTAAATATACATCCAGCACCGGTACCGGTGCATATATCGCCAAGCGAGCCACTGCCTCCCTGTCCTTCCAGCTATCTTGTTCTTCCCGACTACTCATCTCCTCTCTTGCTCTTAGGATCGTCCCGCGATCAAGCAGTCGAATTCTCACATCGTTTTCCAAACCGACCGGAACATAATCACAGCCTTGACCAGACGCACCGAACAACAGCAGATACAGTTATCACCGCGACGTCACTACTCAGATGTGCTACATCGCCCTCTTCATCCTCATCTACCAATGCGATCTCTGCCCGTCGACCATCCGCGCCACCATCTCCCCCCTCCACATCTGCCGTTTCGGACACATCTACGACCCGGAGCGCGCAACCCTTCATGAGAGTGACATCGACACGAACAACCCGAATGCGGTCTGCGATGGCACGTTCACGCATATGCCGGACACGGGCACGCCGCCGTGCACGTTGACCGTGAAGAGCCATGAGCGGTGTAAGTTAACTTTCGTTTTGCTCCTGTCGCGTTAAGGGTGGAACGGAAGCGGGAACCACAACCCGTATTCAGTCGAAGTCAGCCACGTACGAGGGGTACCTATATATGGTCTTCCTCGGCCGTACTGAGTCGGGATCTCTGCCCTCTGCCCTCTGCCCTCTGCCCTCTGCCCTCTGCCCTCTGCCCTCTGCCCTCTGCCCTCTGCCCGGTGCCCCGTATACCACCTTCACCTGCACCTACACCTGTACCTGGAGCAATGTCCTCGTACTTCGACCACAGAAGTCACCCTGGTCTAACATCCTGCTATCACTAATCTAACCTGCTGATCACCCCAACCTAACCTCTCGATACCACTCTGGTGTATCCTAACCTCCTAATATTAATATCGCCTTGATCTAACTCTGACCTCACCCCCTGATGCCAAAATTACTCTGCTCTGACCCCCCGATATCACCATGATCTAACATGGCGGGCGTCAGGCAGCACATGCCAATCCCGCCTAGGCGTCGAAATCATGCCCGGCGAAAGCGAGGACGAGCAAGAACGGGAAATGGCCCGCACGCTCCTCTGGAGCCGGTGGCTCGAGTTCATCCGCGGTAGCGAGGCGGGGCGGTATCTAGGTGAACGGGCTGAGTGGGTGGGTGGGATGAGGGAGCGGACAAGTGAGTAAGCGGGCGTCAGACCGAGTGGGTGGGTGGGTGCGTGGATGATTGGGACGTGCCACTCTGAGCTGGGCAAGGCACGGCTGGGCAAGGCAGGGCAAGGTAACTTCATCGTACCACATCAGTTGGCCGATCCCGTGCAAGCAAGCACGCTGGTATGAAAAGATACTCAAGTACATCCATGTGTGTGTGTGTCTTGGATGGAACGGACGTACGTACGTCACTAGTTGCCCTGGAACGTATGCATCCTCCCTTCGGCGCGATACCCTGCAAGTACACTACTTGAACGAAGAGATATTCAAACACCGTACAGTTGGTGCCGTGGACGTGGACGGAACGGAGATATGTATGTCACCAGTGGCATGGCGCATATCTTATGGAAGGTAGGTACGGAAAGAAGCGCATTCTTCATTCATTTCCACGTCCCTTGAGTTGTAACCCTTTCACACACATCTGTCCTCGAGCTGGCTGGAATGAAGTGGATGCCGCTTATGTAATGTGCTTTCTACCATATCTTGCCCCCCCAGGGCGGCTGGCTGGCTGGAATAGAGTTATGCCGACAATCATGTACTGACTGTACTGTACGTACACACGTGCGTCGCCTGTCTACCTAGGTACCTACTTACACCTCCTCGTGTGACGCAGGATATGGGTACGCGCACCCAGGCATAGGCATGTCCATGTCCATGTCGAACACCTCACTCAGCCACGTGTCGACCAGATCACGCTTGTGGTATTGATATGGGTGCTGGTCCAGGTCGCGGTCCACGAGTCCTTGTTCTTCTTGGTCTTGGTCTGCTTGTTCTTCTTCTTGCCCTTCCTCCCCTTTCTGCATTTCCTCTTCCTTGCCCTTCACCTCTGCGTTCCCCGCTTGCTCGACCCCAGGTTGGAGTGTCGGCTGCATGGACGTCACGCCCATGTTGAGCATTTCCTCAAACTCCGGATTGGGTTCTACTTCGGGAAGGGCCGGATACGGACACGGATACTCAGCCAACGGAGGTGGAGGAGCCATGTCAAGGTCAAAGACAAGCTCGTCCTGCTGTTGACAAGTGGGATGTTGGGTCTGAGCGCGGATCTGAGCCCGAGTCTGCATCGGATCCAGGGATACCAACGAACGCATAATATCCATTTCAGCCGCATTGCTGACGTTGACACCCGAACCTGCCCCGCCCTGCCGTTGACGAGTAAATGGTCGCGTCTGCGCCTGAGTCTGAGTCTGGGTCTGATTCTTCAGCGGATCCAGGAATCTGGACGTGTCCAAAATATCCATCTCCCTATGCCCATTGGCAGCATTCCGAACACGCGACCCTCCCGCATCACTACCACTACCACCACTCCCAGCGAGGAACGCCTCCAACAACATATCGCGCCCCCGCGAGTGTGGGTTCAACGGGTCCAAGTTACGAACCACCGCGATGCCAGTGGCCCTCGGACCCGGTCGACTCGTCCTCATCACCACCGGACCTCGGCGCGGCCCTCGCCTCCCGCCTCGACCTAAACCTCGAGTGCATGGTGCTGCGTGCCGCGCAAAATGGAATGGATGGTTCGCTGCTATTCCGCCCGTACTGCCTCGCACTCCGCGCAGCGCTGGATATCTGGGACGGTGATGTTCTGACGCTTCCGCAGCGGACGGAGGCCTAGAGGGCATGTGTCGGTGTCATCGGCCTCGCATTGCGTGATGGCTGGGGAACTGCGCGCCGAAGCTAGGTCAATGGTGTTACAATCGGGGCAGCGGAGATGGATGGTTCCGCTGTAGATGACGCACATTTTGTATTTTGTGGTGTCGTAGTGTGGTAGTGTGCTTGTTACTAGCGAGCGGGATGGGAATGAAGCTGGGAGGTGCGTGGAGGGAGCGCTTACACACACACACTTCAGCTGTTCAGATCTTGCTGGATTGAGACGTATGTCGTCGCTGGCAAAGAGTAATCTGGGATGGATCTATAGTCTGACTGTCTGTAATGATATCGATCTCGGTGGAAAGCGTTGGTTGTATGAAAGAGACCTGCGATGCAAGTATAGTCGTCTGCAATGATATCGACCTCGTTTCGGGCTCGAGGAGTATCGGTTACTTACGTGGACGAACTGGTGGATGGAGATCTGGAGGATTGAGATGTCGAGCGTCGGTTGGATGGCATGAAGCGACCAGGGATGGAAGCAACTATAGCCGCCTGCAATGATATTCGGTCTCGGTTCGCGGTCGCGGGTCTTGGTTAGTTACGCGGACGAAGCGGCGGATGGGTTGCGAATGCTCTGGAAGAGGGATAAGGATAAGAATCATCGGTCCTGAGAGGACAAGACCAATATATATATACCCGCAGAACGCAGTGTGGCGGCAAATGGGGCCTCAGCTCAGCTCAAGTCCTTCACTGCATCACTGGTGGCCATTGTCGGGGGTGATTAGTCCAGAGTCGACACCACTAAACAAGACCGTGGCAACGGGGAGAGTGAAGAGTGAAGCTTTTGACTGAGCCTGTCCCAAAAAGACACTGACTCCAGATGTAGTCACCTTGTGAAGTCTCGATCCACATTGCTGGAGTAAGTAAATGGAGGCAGCATATACCTGATACTAGGTACTCGAGCGAAGGAAGCCAATGCGTCGAATACGGCGAATTCGACGGCTAGAAACCTCGCTAGAGATCCGCTCATCAACCGAGTGGACATCAAGCATCCCATATTGGAGGTCCCTACCGCAACCGCGCAGACAACTCCTGGCCAGATGCACCAATCCGGTATCATTCCGCATGAAACTCGACACTCACCGTCCCTCTCACCTCGATATTTCCGGGCTCAAACTGTATGCCGGCACCGACACCAAAAGCCTCAACACTTGCAACCTGCCTTGCTGTCTGCATCATCTGTCCTGAAGGCCAGAACTCGCTACTGTCCTCAATCTTGACACACGTGACCCTCTCTCTGCTGATGATACGTGCATACGCTTCTGCCCTTTCGATGGCATGCTTGAGAGCTTGCAGGCGGACTTCCTCGTCCAGCCAAGCTTGCTTCGCGTCGGTCAACTGCCAAGTCACGCCTCTGAGGCCGACGTAGTCCATGGCCGACAGACGGACGACCATGTCCCCTAGAAGTGTAAAGTCGCGAAAGTGGACGTCGATAGTTGAGCTCGCTGTGTGCAGTTTCTTGTCCGGGTCTGGTCGGTTACCTTCGTTGTCGTAGTCATCGCGTGTCGAGATGGAGAGTGAAGCGATTGAATAGAATGTAATGGGAGAAGCGGGCGATATGTCCCCGTTTTCAAGTCGTGATACGAGCGAATCGAGCCGACTTTGCAAGGTATTGACGGCCGTGATGACATTCTTCGAGGCCAAATCTTTGTCGTAGCCAGTATCAAGGACGTGTATGTCAAGTGCGGCTCGCTCGGCCACCGTCCTAACCTTGGCACGTCCCTCGATGTGGATCACTGTAGGCGGTTTGGGCGCAGCGGCTGCGTTGAGCGTCATGGCTGCGAGGGCTGAGAGTAGCGATAGAAATGATGTATAAAGCCTTTCGTCTGTTATGGGAGATGATTCAACCGATGGGCGAGCTGGCACATCTTGGCGATGGACACGCATGCTGGTAATCCAAGGTTGGGCGGAGCTTGTCCTCCAGTCCGGGGGCGGGGACCCTTCATGTCAGCTAACGCGTTCTGGCACAACTCCACCCCCACCTACTCAAAGTGACGGTCTCGAGCCGGCCATGTACTCACGAGTGATGCTCTTTTCGGATCGGAGTCTTCCCTCGGTGATCCAGTAAGGCGCAGGCAGGCTCGTGTCCTTCAACGATTGTACGTCCCCGCGAACAAGAGCCGCAAGTGCCTTAGAGCAACCGAGGATCCGAGGCATGCCATGACCGGTGAAGCCTGCGTTCACAAAAACGCCTGGCCTTCCTGGCATCTCTCCGACCCAAGGCACGAGGTCTGAAGAATAGCCCATGACCCCAGTCCAGATATCAGTGATCTCTGCCCCTGAATCTTCCCAGCCATGGAACATGCGCTGCATATAGCCGGTGAAGTACTTCTCTGCACCCGGTATCAGCTCTGAATCGTCGATGTTGTTATGCCAATATGCCTCATCGAGGAGAACCGCTTGTTTCGCGCCTCCCACCACGACGCTTCCGTCCGTTCGAGAGACGAGGTAGTCATACTCTTGAGGCCCGTAGCGAATGCTGTACGAGTTGTTGAGATGTGGCGCGGGCTTCTTGGCATTGGCCGGTACTGCGATCCTGCATGCAACACCTCTTGCTGGTGTTATCTTGTCCCGGAATTCCGGCAGGATTGTAGAGAGGTAAGCGTTTGTAGCGAAAACGACCTTTTTCGCCCTGACTACACCTCGAGGGGTGGTGACGGTCCAACGGCCACTGCCATCCGCCGTCTCCGAGATTCTAGTGACGGGAGTGTTTGCCTGCAAGCTTGCGCCCCACTCCAGACAGCGACGCAGTAGATGACAAACCAGCTTGTATGGCCATACCGTCCCAGCTGTAAACGTGAAGGCTGTCAATGCGCCCTTGACGCCCGAGACCTGCTCGGCCTTCTTTGGATCTTGGATGAAGTGGAGGTCATCCGAGAACTGATATCCTCTTGCCTTCATCTCTTTGAAAGCCGCAATTGTCTGCTTGGCGACTCGAGGATCCACGAACACGTCAATGGCCCTGGTAAGCTCAAAGTCACAGTCAATCTGCCCCGTTTCGACCAGTCTTTTGACATCGAAGACCTGCTGCATCTCGAATCTCGTGAGTTCCTGTGCCATCTGGAGGCCAAACATCTTTTCACCGAGAACAGCGTTGAAATAGACATCTGGTTTGATGTGTCCGCCATTGCGCCCAGTGGCCCCGGAGCAGATGTCGCGTGCTTCTAGTATCACGACTGACGGCGTTTTGCTATCTGAATTTTCCAGCATATAGTATGCAGTGGCCGCGCCAGTGTAGCCCGCGCCTACTACTACCACATCTGCCTCTTGTGGGAGGGTCTCGGTCGTCCGATGATTCTGCAGGTTGGAATCGTATGAGAGCCAGTAGGATGGCATCGGCTTGGGATGTGGTAACGGCATCGTGCGAGTTTTCGCAGGGGGCATGGGCACGTTAACGGGGAGATTGGTAGAGCAAGGGAGGAACGTGTATTGGAATATGTAACCTGAGTTCTCTCACCCATCTTTCTCAGATAGAGCTCGAGCTCGCGTTCGACCACGGAAATGTCCGCCTCATCATGCGCATTCGCATCCTGCGGTAGTGAGGGTTTAGCTTCTGCAGTTCGGGAAAGTACGCCTTTCCAATGGGGTTGCTGGGCAGATGAATCAACACAAGGGCTGGTGAGGGCAGCTCGATTGTGAGAATACTCCGTAATCAGGACAGAACCTCGTCGCATGATGTCATTGCTTCGATGCGACCGCATCAACCTTGACAGTGTGACTGTGAGCAAGAAATGACCGGGCACTAACGATATCTTTGATTGGACTCCGTAATTTTACGGAGTGCGCTGTATCTTTTGATGGCTGTCCGAGTAAGGTGCAGAGCCTCCACCCACAACAGAATGTCGAATTCCCATTCTCCAGCCTTGGACCTTGACCACGCCCGTCGAGGTCTTACCCACAAACCTGGTGAACCCAACCTTGGAACCACCAGGGACCTTGTCCCCTAAAGGCGGTCCCGCATCATGAATGCTGATTGCCTGTCTCTTCTTTATCCTTCTTTCGATTCATAAGGCTTGAGCTCCTACTTCGCGTCTCCTGTCCTGAGGTCATGGCCCTGATCCGGCTGTTGCCACTCGCTTGGCCATCAACGGATGAGCTGCTACCCTCGAGTTTCCCAATGCGTGCCATCAGTGTGGTATTCTCTTTCTGCAATTCGCCGACCTGTCGGGTCAACAGGTCTTGCTCCCGTTTCAAGTGGTCCAGCTCGGCTCTGGCCTCGTCTCGCTCTCTGGTCAGGCGCGCCTTTTCGTCCTTGTCCGCCTGCTTTCGTCGCTTCTCCTCCAATTTCTGTGCTTCCCGTTTCTTTTTCTGCTCCAGCTTGGCGACTTCTTTCTGATATCTCTCTTCCTGTTTCTTCAGTTCTTTTTGATGCTTCTCCTCGGCCTTCTTCAGTGCATTTTGTTCTTTCTCACTATCCTTGTTTGTTTGACTGGCGAGCTTCTCCCGCTGCTTGGCGAATTTGGCATCCATGGCTGCCCGGCGTTGAGCCAGTTTTGCAATTTCCTTGTCATGCTGCTGCACCAGTTGGCTTTCGGATTGATCTGGTAGCGACTTGGATGAGACCGAACGTGACGCTGCGTTCGATGTGATATGCGAGTCAGCCGAGGTAAACGAAGCCGTTGAGATCGTGGAGGACGCATCATCATCATCACCCTTTGCGTTCTCCCCAGGCTGTATCTCCTGCGTGGTTGAGTCTTGGGGGAGTTGAGATTCCTGCGGTTGTCCAAAATGCGGTAGACGGCCACCCACGATATGTGGCGTATATGAAGCAATGGTCTCTGTCATATTGTTCAAGAACTGCGAAGGGGTTGACGGCCCATGAGAAGCAGATCCTCCAGCATCGTGACCATCCATGGATGGACCTTGGCTTGCGGAGGCTTTCGGAGTATGGGCCGGTGAATGCTCGACGGGCTCGAGACCCTCCTCGTGTTCTCTAATCCCAGCTAGTGTGCCATTAGCCTCCCAGCTGGCAAAGCTTTCCCGGCGGTGGCCATCGGGACGGGAGTCGACATTTTCGAGCGCTTCTTGTTCGTCATCCCTTTGACACGCCCAATCTAAGAATTTGACAGCATCGGCACAGATACTTCCAGGAGTGCCTCTTTCGACCATGAAACGCGGGACACTGCCGCCGGGATCACTGCGAGTGACCATGATCCATTCGACGGGGTTTTCCTCAGGGTCGAAAGGCTCGACACGATCTGGGCGCATTAATGGGCTCGCCGGAGCATCCACGGTGACACTTCTCTTTCTGCTTCCTGGGGATGGGTCGCGTTGACCAGAACCGCGAGTGTCAACCCTCAAATGCTGGCCATGGAGTTCTTCTGCAGACGCGTGCTTCTCTGCATTGCGCTTTAGCACGTCTTTCTCGAGTGAGGGCGACGGCGATCTTTGGTGACCCATATGACTCAAGTCTGTGGACGACATTGTCGCCTTCAGCTTTCTGGGAACCTCCCGAATAAATTCTACAGATTCGTACTGGCCCCGGATGAAGCCAGGGCGGGGTTGAGTCTCAGGATGGTCACATGGCTTGGATATGATCATGTAATGTCTGGGGACGAGATCGGGTTCTCCATGGTGTTTCATCGCCTTGGATGAGGTTATCAATAGCGTAACGAAGTCGCGGGGGGTGGTTGGGCCCGGGAATTGGGCACTGAGGCGGTATACTTCGACCTTGCCACGGTTTGGCACCGTGATCTCCTCGACTCTCGTCTCTGCGCCTATACCTCTGATGTTGCCCTCCCCGGGTTTACCTTGGACAGCAAGAGAAGTGGGAAATTCGCGCTCGAAGCCACGTTTGAACCGGCTGAAGCCCAAGCCTTCGTGTACACTTCTTCGCGCAAACCAGGCGCCTTTGCCGTCCTTGCTGCCCAGCTTGTAGACAGCTATGCCCAATGGATTGTCTTTTGCGGCAAGCTTAATCGGCTTGCCCCACTCGTGCTGAAGAGCCGCATACTCTGGAGCGGGCGGCGGGCTCCGCGCCGAAGACACGAACATCTCCGAGGCATTGGTTGGCGCGATCGAGCCGGTGGTGTGTGAACGAGGTCGATGAGCGGTATCAGGGTCAGGTATAGGTATCGACTCGACCACGGCCTGGACTTGGAAAAAGAGGTCGGCTAGGTAAGGATCTAGCTCTTCTTGCTGCTGCGGGATGTCGGAGAATTTGCAGGGCCCCAGCGCCTTGAGGCAGTCGTGGAGGTTCGGGTCGGGCATAATCAGGAGCCTTCTGGCAGGCTAAACTTGTGGCAGAAGGTCCAATGCCTGCTGAACGTACAAAGGGACTAATGTTCATGCGATAGTCATGGCCGCAGATGGCAGGGAGAAGAGGAGGGAATAGCTGGCTGTCACCGTGATTGAGCGGGTGTTTGTCGGAAAGGGCGGCGAGCTCGAACAGACATGTAATCCGACCTTGCCAGTAGAAGCAGTAGCTTGTGCAACTTGTGGTAGATGGGCAGCGGCTGAGATCAGGAAGTGTTTTATGATGACTGAGCACGTTGCTTTGCGAGTCGAATGCCTCAACCAATGCCCGGTTTTGAAAAGCGGACGACGCACGAGTGGACGTGGAACAAGAGACAACGACGGTGACGTACTAGCCCGAGCCCATCTTAGTGGGGGCAACACGGGACCCCAGAGGCCCAGCCCGCCAGAGCCACTCGGCATCAGTGCCTAAGAAACTACTGTGGTACTACCTTCAGCGACCGCTCGCCAGGCCTTGTGTGGCTGCCGGTTGTACATTCCACAATCCTGCGATTTCCTTCCATCGGCCCCGCCTTCAACATGTGGTTGATCGTCTGCCCAGACTGCCCCAAGTCCTCCAAAAATGGCGGCGAGAGCAGCTTCTAGTTCAGAAACGTGACAACCTCTCCTTCGGCTGGCGAGACTGATAGATCCATGAATCGTACTTGTGAGGTCGCGACAAGTCCCGAGGACTACTAGTAGTTCTTACTAGGTCCAGTGGAACAGCAGGCAGGAAGAGAATACGGGAATCTGGATAGTGGAATTGAGCATCAGGGTGGAAAATGAGACAAGATATTCCTATTTTGTTTGGTATTATCATATATATTGAGAGGCAAGTTGCTCTCAACTTCCAGCACCCGATTCCCGTCCAACCAGTGGACTGAGGCTTCTTCGACACCAGGCCGAAGATATAGGAGATGACCCTATAAACCACACTCGATCCGATCCAAAATGATCGAAAGTAGATCCGTATCGCCCGTCACGGTCACAGACCATGAAAGATGTTCGCGCACACCACAGATGTGTCATCGAAACACGACCGCGTCTCTAACCCTCAAATCCTCAGAACTGATGTCGCGTAGTAAGGCAGCTGCCGCCACATACCAGATGCGACGCCATACCACCCCGCCGTTATTCACGACCACATCTGATGCCAACCAGGACACAACAGAATGCAGCCGGAGCAGGTGACGCAGGTGTGCGATGTAGAAGACTTGCTTCAACGGACGCATCAACGGCTTGTTCACCACGGCCTCGAAGATTCGATCCCAGCATGTTCTAACCCTTGCATCCCTGCCGCGAGGCATCCCATCTGGCGCAAATGCGAGACTTTATCCACCCAGGGATATCTGTGTATTCCGCTCAGCCAGTCCTGCTGCTGGTGTGTTGCCCGAGAGACAATAACATAAGAGATTATTCCTAAAATCACAACGCTTGCTGGTAAATCAGACCTCGTCCCATATTATCCGTGTCCCGTGGCCCATATCGAATGCAGAGTGGTATCCTTGTAGTCGCTAAAATCGATCAAATAACTCCATGCTGAAAATGCTCATGATTTTGGTACCCGCTTGCGTGTCCCCAGCTTTGGCTCAGGCAACGGCCAGCTGGGGTAGACGTAGATGGAAGAGAAGTCTTGGTACTCCGGTCGGCCTACATCGCAGTGGCATACGGCATCGCGTATTCTTGATACCGGTCCCAACCGAAGGTACTCAGGCTGGCAGATGTACTGCACGGCTGCTGAGCCAACATGCTTGGGAGGGGTAGAGGCGCGAATGACGATACCGTCGTAGGAGCGCTGTATGCGGGAGCGCTGTAGTACTGAGAAGTGTTGTATGCCGCTGAGGAGTAGGGTTGGCTGAAGGATGGAGTCGGTGATGGAAGCTGAATCTCATTCATACCCACGCTCGACCAGATATTGTGATGTGAATCACAAGATGAGACCGGGCTCGGGCTGGATGGGACAATCTTCCATGCCTCCACTGGCGCAGGTTGAAGAGCATGGAGTTGATGTGACGGCCACCATTGCTCCGTGCCAGTCGAACTGGGCAGCAACGGCGTCGGCCGGATAACGTCGACGACCCTCGGAGGCGGAGGTAAAAGAGGGACGAAGAGGCCCATGATGGCCTGGCGAACTTCGTCGCTCCGGCCACACAGCAGCTCACCGGCACCATCTTCTTCCATGCCCTCCAAGGCAAGGGCGCTTGTCCGGTAGACGAACTTGTTGGCCGCCTGTACGAACTCCTCCTGCAGTTTCTTCAGCTGCTGTTCCTTCTCTGACCAGCTCCAAGTGTTGGCGTTGGTGTCGATGGAGAAGACTTCTTTGTGATATTCGACCAGCGAATCAATGGTGTCGGTCGTCAGCTTAAAAGCAACCTCGTTCTGCGAGACCATGTCGATGTGGACCACGTAGGCCTCGACATGAATTAACTGATAGTTGAACAGCGCCTCCACGAGTGGGTTTGAGTCTTTCCTGAGTTCCGTCTCCGGCGCCTTGGGCACCATTAACGAGCATAGCGTCCAGATAGCATTAGGTGAAGACAGGGTCTCGGTCAAACATCGAGTGTGTTGAGGAACACTGTTGAGTGGTCGCTTGATCTTGTTGATTCGCTTGAGGGTCGCTGTCAGCCAAGGTTCGACCTTGGTATTGAGCACCACGTTGCAAGTCGATCGCGGCGCAAAGGCCGCGGCAGAGGCGGGTAATAATATCGTCGGCATTATGAGTTATTGATTTGTGCGATTGGGCTCTCTTCGGTACGGTATAAATGTTTCACAGAGACATTCAATATGAGCGGCTGACCAGGAAGAAGCGAAGCGTTATATGACGAGGTAAAGAGAGTAAGGTGGTGAGGCTGTTGTCGGCGGTCCCAACGAGGGAAGTAGTGTGCGCGCCTTGTAGAGAGGAATCGGGGACGAAGTGGTGGTAGAAGGGGTAGAGGGCGGAGGGCGGGGATGACGAAAAGGGCAAAGAGATAGAAGGAGGAGAGAGCCGTACCTTATATCCAGCGAGGCGAGAAGAGTCATGAGTGGTATTGATAGGCCACAGAGAGACGAGCTAAACTTGGGGCCTGGTCGGTCAGGCGCAGCAAGTGTTATGCAGTTGGATGGAGACGAGGGTAGGAATTGTGGATATGGCATGAGCGGATCACGGATGGGGTGGGAGTGGGAGAGGGTAGCGGCGGATGGCGGAATCAGGGAACCACGGAGTCAGCACAAACTAAAAGAGACTTGCCTGAGCATGATGGCCTGATACGTAGATGCGTGGGTGCCGGATGGAGCGAGCGAGGATCGAAAGCAATCAAGTGGGAGGCGAGAGTGAGGCCAAAGTGAGAGCAAGGCGAAGGCGGGCAAGAGCGAGAGGCGCAGTCGCTAAAGCGAGAAAGACGTGACTGACCGAATGCATTTTCTGGCGACCCCGAAGAAGGTGCAGCCCGTAACCGTAGCCGTCCCCGTCATCAGCAGCCCCGCCACCTGCCCGCCCAGAGTTTTCCCTCACCAGACCATTTTTCGCCTCCTCCACCACACACAAGTCGGCTTGCCAACTCGATTTCTCTCTGGCGCAACCTGCGACCTGCGACCTGCAGCTGCGCTACTGCACGTTGGATCAAGTTCCTGCTGAACACTTACGTGTTGCTGCCGTGCCACTGGCTGCTCGGTACAGCATGCTCTCGGATCGTCCAGCTCAGCCTGCTTTCCCCTTCTTGTCCCTCTCGCCCTGAGCAAACCTTCCGAGCTGGAGAAAGCGACAAAAGAGATTTAGCTGCATATGCAAGATCAGGGCTCTCTTCGTCCCTGCCGTGCCCGTCTATCGGCCTGGTCCTTCGGGCATTGTAAGTGGTGGTCTCCTCGAGATCACCTTGGCTCACTTGCATGCACTTGCGATATTGCCAATATCAGTTTTGATCAAAACTTCGTCAAATTCATCATCATTATTACACGTGTGCGAGATTGATCCCGGACCCGCACAACGCCCAGAATGCCACCGATATCCGCCAGATCCATCCTCCTGGTTCTCGATGGCTGCTGGATCAGCAAGCCGCCAACAATCAATTTCCCGCTCCAAGTGATTCAGGACCCGTGCAAGCCTGTCCGTTGAGACGGCAGCTTCCGTGAGGAAGCCGTGGTTCGAGACGATTTCCACTTCTGGAGGAATTGAGGTCAAGTACGTATTCTCTGGATTGCTTCATACATGCACGGGACACTGGGCTGATGAGGCGTGATCATCACCTACGGCCACCCAGGCCGCCTTCAATCTCAACACTGTTCAATCATGCTTCGTAGGACGGTGCTTGGAAAAAGGCCCCAAGTGCTCCTGTCTCCGTGAAACGGGGACATCACGTAGCCTGTTAAACCGTTGTCGGGGGCTGGAGAAGGAGTGGCCTCTACTCCGAGCCCTGTTGGCGCATTCGTAGAGAGATGCGCGGACTGCAAAGCTTTATCACCCCCGAGGACCCCAACGGTTGAGTCGGCTGTCTCAAAGAACCAGGAGTCTCTGTAGAGTCATCAACACGATTTGCAGACCCGAGTTAGTGGCATGGAGTCCTCACGTTTCAGACACGAGAAGAACGCTCCATCCTCGAGGGTCTCGGTCGCCAAAGACTCTGGAAACTCGTGTTCGAAAACTCAGGCAAGGTCAAAGTCATTCTGGCCTGGATTGGGGAGTGGTGATGACTGGTTGACAGCCAAATGCGCGCAACCAGTCGCTGGCGGAGGACGAGGACGTTTGCAAATCCGCCCGACTTAGGTAGCGGAGGCAGCTGAGGTGATCCTCGTCAGAAGGCACTTCTGCAAGCGGATTGGCGACTGGCGACGAACGTTAACGTGCCACTTTGTCGTAACATCCCTGCTACCATGTCTGATTGGTTAAAGGCGATTTTTGACTTGGCCTTTCGCCCAGCATCATGTGACGAGGCCTGCCGTGCGCTACCTGCTCAGCAGGCTTCCGGGATGGCATGAAGATGCTAGACGTGTTGCAGCAGCCGCCGACACTGTATCTCGCTGCAAGAAGTGCATGTTTCAGATTTACGATCCCAGACAACCAGATGGTGATGCTTGTGCGGAAAACAAAGATTTCTGCCAGACCGAAGACGATGAGGTCATTCTTCGGAGAGAGCGAGGCTGGAGGCAGACACCGGTGGCCATGGCTCGTGGCGGTGCATGGAAACATCGGCCTGGACTCACCTCGGCATGCGGCCTGCATCGGTCGAGCCGGATCAGCACCAGTCACGTGGCTCGGCTATTCATCTTACGGTGGAGACGATGAAGCCGACTCTTCAAAAGTACGATCCTGTACGTATGTGTGGCTCATGTGCTTCCATATTACTCCTGGTGCTCTCTCAGTTTGTAAGTCTCTCGTTGGTCGCGCATTTCACTGCTCGTACTGAGCTCCGGAGTACGTATGGTCGTCCTCAGGATCAGGTTCTTCTCACGCAGCATGCGGAACCGCCGCGAAGACCTGACCACCGCGCCACGGTCGATGTTTCCATGCATCCTGTCGTGCACATCTCCGGGCGGCTATCATTACCATAGGTGTTTCGCCTACTAATTGCAGGGCCCTTGGACGAAGGACGTCTGAATTACGTGTTTACCGCGATGAGATAACTTGACCACGGCCCTGGTCAGGCCTGGAAGACGAGCTGGTTCGACAATCTTTGTATTTTCACATGGATTAATTATGCTCATGGCGGATATATGCCCTTATCGGACTGCAAGCGAGCCGCTCTACGAGCAGAGGTTGCTCCGTAGGCTATACACTCGATACACATAATCTGAGCTGCCCAACGATCCAATACCCAATGCCACCGTCTCAAACAGCCCCTCTGATACCTTATGAGAGGGCAGAATTCTTAATGCCGCAGTACGAGGCGCTTCCCACCTACTCCCGACTGCGCAGCTCTACAACCACTAGCTATCGCACAGCATAGAGAGGGAAGAAAAAAGCGAAAGCAAGTGAGATGCCGTGCGGCAACACGCACTCGAGTTCTGCATACAAAGGTCGTGCGCTGAAAGTTGCTGACACGTTATCTGAAATTAAGTTGGCAATAGTCTGTCACGGCGCTTGGCCTGGTGCCAGACCGTCTCAGGACAAAGTATCCGGTTCGTGCGTTACACAACGCGTGTCGGGAACCCACTGCTTCTGTCTTACAAGCCGGATCTTCAAGCAAGCGGGCGAAGACCACGTGCAACGTCGGAGCCGTGGGCACCGTGTTTTCATCGGGATGCTGCCAGCTTATCTGCTCTCAACTTCGCCTCAAAGTATCAGCATGCTGTGGTGATGATGGCCGCGATGATGGTGCAATACCATGGCGCTACACGAGCACCAGGCAATCTCTGCCGGTGACTCGAGAAGGTCGCAGACCCCAACCTATTGGCACGCAGGCACTGGTCGGTAACTGATGCCAGAGCGTGCGAGATTGGATTGCTGGCATCTCGTGCTCGCACAGAGGACTGGCATGTTTGCGGCTCGAACATCAAATTTGGCGCAGATGTAGACATTATGTTGGAATTCACTGTTGGCATTCACTGGGGACTGAGCCTTGCCGTGGGCAAGCGACGGTCCTGCCTGGACGCACGTCGAAGATGAAAAGCAACAGCTTCGACCTCAAGTGGAAGTGGACTCGCAGTAAGATCGAAACGATGGCTTCCGCACATGATGATTTTTCTCAGGTGAGCAATGAAACTCGCACGAGATGTACACTTCTCCAGTTCGCTCTGCAAGTAAATGACATCGCTAGAGTGCATGGATTCCGCCAGAGTTACTCATGGATTGTTGAAGCAAGCTCAATCATGCCCACGGCAATGATTCGATCACCCCTACTCTAGACAGCCTTGCCCGCTACTCTCCTTGAGTGGTGGCATGTACGGAGTAGCAGACGGAGCTAAGCTGGCCAAGCAAAAGGATATTTTTAGATCTCGCAGGGCTGTCCCAAAAGATCCGGCTAACCTGGGCTTTTTGCACCCTTACGGCGCGTTAGAGTCCCGCACGTGTGGCTTCCGTCCAATCAAGGGTCGCGCCTGGGCCCGATCTGGCGATCTCAGCTCTAACCATCGGCCAGGGCCAACTCCGGGCGCCGACTTGTGCTGAGTCTTTTTTTCTGGAGAGATTCAACAACACGTCGACAACTTTGCCATTCTGCTCTGGTCATCTCTCCTTCACTAATTTCCAGTCTTTCATCGACGGCGGGACTTCTTGCATCCGTCTTCTTGCAGCTTCTTTTTCAGCATTGCATTGGTACCCGGGTGCTTGATCGAGTCACGGACGTTGAATTCAGGGGCTACGCCAACCACCACCGACTTTTTATCAGCTTCACCATCAACAAAGACTGGGTCCCTCATCTCTTTTAGTTGGAATTACGACTTTGATTTCGATTTAATTGCGGTTAGCTTCTCTTCGAACGAAAAATGTCCGGCATTCGACCACTGAGGATGGTCAGCGTGGCCGCCATCGGCGCCACTGCTGGGTACTCGGCCTGTCACTACTGGAACACGACCTTTTTTCAATTCAGCACAGTTCATGCCGAGTCACCGCCTTCAGACGCTCAAGCGGCGCTGAAGAAGATGGTTTGGAAAGGCTTCACCGAGCTGAAGCTTGAAAAGGCCGAGATGGTCAACCACAACGTCAGGAGATTGACGTTCGCTCTACCGGATGATCAGTCGATCACCGGTGTTTCCCCAATCAGTACGTACCGAGGATGCTTCCACGTGGACGGAAGCTGTTCTGACTCGGTCCAGCATCTCTCCTGACCAGACATACTCCTGAGGGTGGCTTCATCCCGGTCTTCCGACCATATACACCCGTCAGCGCGAATGGTAAGTCGTCTATATGTCCAGCGCAAATGGCTGAGCTGACAGCCTACTGTAGACCAGCCCGGTTATGTCACGTTCATGGTCAAGAAATATCCCAACGGCAAGGGCTCGGGCAAGATGCACTCATTGAAACCCGGTGATTCGATGTTGTTCAAGCCACTGCATGAGTTCGATTACAAGCCCAACGAATACTCGGCCATGACATTCGTCGCCGGAGGCTCTGGCATCACCCCGATCTACCAGCTCACTCGAGCGATCCTGGATAATCCCGAAGACAAGACTAAAATCGCGCTGGTCTACGCCAACAACTCCGAAGAGGACATCCTTCTGAAGAATGAATTCGATGATCTCGCCCAGAAGTTCCCCGATCGATTCAACAGGACGTATGTCGTCAGCAAAACCACGCCCGAGAATGAAGGCACCTACCAGAAGGGCTATATCACCAAGGCGATATTGAGCCAGGTGATGCCTCACAAGTTGAACGAACGGAACGTAAAGGTCCTCGTCAGCGGTCCTCCTCCGATGATCGAGGCAGTTGCTGGAGCCAAGGGCGGCTTCGGCTGGACACAGGGTAGCCTCGGCGGAATCCTTGGTGAACTGGGATACAACAAGGAAGAGGTGCACAAGTTCTAGATTGGGTCCAACCCAGGGTTATCAGTTATCATTCGACGTGTACATTACCTTGATTCGGGGGCGATAGAATACTTGCACGGGCGCATGCGGCGGGTTAGATATAGAAGCCGTACAGGCAGAATCGAGGAGATCCGTGCGGACTGATGCTAAACAACCCTATTTAGACCAACGTTGACCCCAATCGTTGTCAACGACGGTCGCCGGTTGGATCGAGTGCTCGATGCTGACTAATAATAACTAGGTGGTCGTCCGCCGCCGGAGCACGCGGATCTGCACTCTCCCCACGCATTCGCGATATTTCCTATTCCTATTGCAACCTGACCTACCTCCACCACTTTCTTCCTCCCAGCTCGAGCTTATCGGCGCGTGTGCCTCTACATCTGCCCTTGCGCCGTCATAGCAGCCAACCGAGTCAAAAAGGATAACCCGGGCAGGCGGGAATGGAAAGAACGAAGTGACGGTCGTTTGGCCAACGCTGGAATTCATGTGAACGTGCCCGTTTCCGTGTCCGTGTCTCTGGGTGAGTGTCTGTGCTTGCGAACAAAAGCCTGACGTGCATTTTCTTCTGCGTGCCGCCAACATGCAAGCCTTTGGTAAGTCCATCTATTGTCATCCCCTCGTCTTTGAGACGGCCCTGGATCTGCAAATGTATTGTCGCCTACGGCCACCATGTTGCGGAAACATGCACTGATCAACCTCGCTTTCGCAGTGCCCAAGAACAGAAAGGTATGACCTGCGCTGTGCTGCATTGTACTGTCGCTTCCCCTCCCTCCTCTCCTGCTCCTCCGCCACATATACGGACAAGCGGTGACAATGTAGCCCAAATTCGATCTCACGCTCCGCATCATCGACCTCACCAACATCCCACTCATAGCCGGCACGGTCACCGTGCGCTGGCACCTGTCCTCGTCCACCACCGCCGACCACCGCGGCCGCACGCCCTCAGCCCCAATCTCCGAACACAAAGCGACATGGGAGTACGTCAAGACGCTGCCTGTGCGGCTGACGATCGACAAGAACGGCCACCTCCAAGAATGCGACATCCACTTTGAAGTGCTGCAGGAGTTCCACGACGGCGGGCGTGGCGGCCGAGTCCATCTCGGCAACGTCAAGCTGAATCTCGCAGAGTACACACAGGTGCCGGACGTGGGCCCGGAGCGCGACCCGCAGGACGAAGGTGAGGAGGAAGGCAGCATCACGCGGCGGTACCTCCTGCAAGACAGCAAGATCAACAGCACGCTGAAGATTGGCATCCTCATGCGCCAGACGGAGGGGGACATGAACTTTATCGCCCCGCCGCTCAAATCCGCCATGGTGGTCGGCGGGATCGCGGGCGTGCTGACCACGGAGGCCGGCGTGCTGGGTGGCGGAGGCGGCGCCAACGGCGAGGACATGCCCAGCATCACATCCAAGACGCGCGAGCTGGCCGAGGCCCAGGACATCTATCGCCGCACCCTGGCCGCGACGTGGGCCTGCCAGGCCGGCGAGCTCGCGCCGGACAGACTGATCGAAAACCTGTTCGCGGGAGGGGACGGCGGGCGCCCGCCCTCGTCGCCCCACAAGGCCACCAGCTCGCGTCACCCTAACCCGGCAAGACTGGGACGCCGCGAGGAGAGCAGGAACAGCAGTTCCAGCGACGAGCCGCACCACCGACACGCACCCGCGCACACGAATCCTTCTCAACAACGATCCCACCCGCCAAGCACGCCCCGTCCGAGTCTGCTACCGCCGCAGACGTTCCTGACCCCGCAGATGGCCACGGCGCCAGGTGCAAGCCCGCAGCAACCTCACGGCCACCAACGCGGCACGAGCAGAGACTCGCCCGGCCCCTCCTCGGTGACGGGGAGTCTGAACTTGTCATCCACGCAGACGCCCGGGCCGGCGGGCCCCGGCGCCGCAGTGAGCGGCCGGTCCAGCATCGACCAGCAGGTGCAGCAGAGTCAGGCGGAGCATGGGAACCGACGGCGCGGCCTGGCCGAGCAGAAGGAGTACACGGAGTTTGAGCTGCGTGATGATTTGAGGAGTTGGAGCGTGAGGGTGCGGTGAGCGTCAATGCGGTCTTTGAAGAGGCGACCGCATAACTGGGTCGGGGCGAGGCGGGGCGGGGCGGGGCGAGCAGAGCAAAAACAAGGACCCCGAAGCAGGACGGAAGTATATAGAGTACGCGAGCGAGACAGGACAAAGTATCCAGAGACGGAAGTCCAAACCAGGGCAAAAACTCCTTTCATGAAAGTGGAATGTGACATGTGATATGTGACATATGACATATGACATGTTGATGGAGATGGAGATGGAGGAGCGAGATCCCAGCCAGATAGGGAGACTCAAGACTAGACGATAACGACCCGTGCAAGTAAGTCAGTAAATGGATCGATCTCGCCACCCACACCTATCCGTACAGTATATATATATACAGAGTATGAAGTAGTTGACTGTGAAATAAGATTCAATAGCTACTTTACTGCTGTACGTGTATAGTAATTTACATGAATAGTAGTAATGAACCATCTACCGTGCATCTTCCATGATCTATCTTCATCGTTACATAATGTACAGAGGAGAGACGGCGCACAGGCACAGTAAATACGTACTCAGTACGTGTCCAGCAGGGTATTACACAGTAAAAGCAGGTGAAGGGAAGGCACTCAGTCTGATGACCCCTTCGTCTGGGGTGCGGCCTCTGCTGTCGGTTTGGTCTGGGGTATGTTGTTCTTGGACGACCTGGTATTCATCCTCGGCTTCAACTTCGACTTCGACTTGGATTGTTGACCTTTCTTTAATGCCTTCTGTTTCTTCGCCTTCGCATTGTCTTCTGGATGCGCCTCTTTACCTGGCTTGGTGGCTTTTCTTTCCTCTAGCCGTTCAACCTCGAGGTCGTCCTGCAGCGGCTCAAACTCAAGCACTTGCCTCGCAGGATATCCGGGTTTCAGGGGATTGCCACTCAGCCGCTCCGCCAAGCTTAGTGCTGCACCTACAAAGGAAGGGAGATGCGGTTGCAGCGGCGACAGCGTCGGTGGGTGGAGGACTGGACTTTGAGCCAGACGGAGTTCTTGTCTGGTGGCGTCCGCGCCGGTGTAGGTGATATGGTCGAGGCAGAAGCGCGCCGCACTCGAGCGAGATTGCACTCTCTTCGTGTTTTCCGTAGGCGCGCCGGGTGGCCGAATCGGCAGTGTTCTCGAGTCAACGTCGACGACGTCCACCGTGCGAAGAAGATACTCTAGCTTAACATCGCCCTGTGCTGAGGTTCTTCGCTTCTGTCGAGCTGTTTTGGATTTCTTAGCCGCAGCGTGCTGGACGTGCTCGTGCGCGTTTCTCAGCGTGTGATGGATCGGAAGGTTGACAAAAGGCAGAAATACCCAGTCAGAGGAGCCGGTCGACTGGGCATGGCCAATATAGCTGCGGAATGCCTTCATCAAGGGTTGAGAGACGCCCGTATCGACTGAACCGGGATAGGCAAGGTCCTGCTTGAGCTGCAGTGTAAAGGCGACGTCGACGTCGTTCCGCGGACACGAGACAGTGAAGTGATCATCTTGATGGACGGCAGATATCCTGGCGATGCTGAGGACAGATCTCTTCCCATCGATTGCTTCACCAGCAGTCACGAAGATCTCGAATCTAGGAGACTCATGCGAATCAGCTGTCGAGCTTGGACAGAGCTCTAGTCGCAGTATGGCGCGAGCGCTAGCATCTAAATCCCCGGAAGACTGCTCAGGCCAAGGATCCATTCTGGCAAGATGCTGTGGCAAGAATGGAGCTCCCCCAACAAAGAGTCTTCTTCCGTAAGATTCCGGTGGTGTTGACGGTGCTGATGCTTCCTCCTTTTTGGCGCTCCCGGCCATGGGCTGGATTGGTGAAGGCGCTTCGGTGGAAGGCTTCATGTTTCTCAGAGTTGACTTCTTTATTTCGAAGTCGCTGGGATCACTTCCCTTCGCACAATCTCCTTCGGGAGACTTTGTACCGCGGAAACCCGCCTGCTCTGGTTCATTCCCCGCTTCCAAATCTCCTTCGCTCCCAACCGTTGTTTTGTTTTCGACGTCAACATGCGGTGGGATTCCCTGGATTAACGCTTCTCCAAATTTCGCAGTAAGATCACAATGTAGCTCCTGTCTACTCCCTGCTTTGCCAAGTGTCGCGGTAGGGTTGAGAGCATCTCGCAAGCTTCCCAAGATGCGGCGGAAAGAAGAGCTGCCGACAGTTTGCGAGGTGACGCCAGATGAGACCAGTCTCAGCCATTGGTACTGATGCAACATCACGGGAAGTCCTGCGCGAGGAGGAACAGGCTGGAGGCTGGTGGTTAGCTCATCCACGTCTGGCCAGACAGTCGACTGCTGGGTATCATCCTTAAGGGGAGCGGAGAGCAAGATCTCGCGGCGGGCTTGGTCAGCTGCACGAGGGTTGTTCAGGTGGATCAGTGTGATGTGGTCCTTGTCCCGAGCGATAGTCAGTCCTTGGTACTTCCGCCGCAGAGACTTGAGGTAGGTATCAGCATAGTCCTCCTCGGTGCGATCCCGGTATAACAGTCCCAGAGGTCCTCGCAGTGGTATGACCACCAAGGCGAGGTCCTTCGCATAACGAACAAGCTTCTGTAGCGCTCGATTCGCCTCGTGTTTGTACCCCAACGTTCTAATCCTGGATTGAGAAGGATACACGTCAATCTGGACGTCGTGTTCCTCTGCGATCCTCTTCAGCGGCTGCGTCGGGTGTGTCAGGAGGTGCTCTAGCTTGGCTTGCTCGTCTAGATTGAACGAGAATTTGACCTTTCTCGCTGTCTTGTCCGGCACCGTCGGGGTCTCGTCGCGTGCAGGAGTGATGAAACCCCAGATCTCCTCGGCCAAATATCTGATGATATCGTCCTTGCTCTGGTTCCTCTGCAGCCCCGGAGAAGGACCACGGTCGCCTTTCCGCAGACGGATGTACTTCTTCAACTGTGAGGTCTGGAATCCGGTCTTCAAGTTCCGCTTCAGTGTCTTCCATTCGTGCTTTTCCAATTGCCCGCGCATTTTCCCCACCGAAAGGCGTAGCTGCTCGATATTTTCTGCCAACTTTGCACCACTAAGCGGGACATTTTCCGAATCGATCGACTCCTGTAATGTGGTTCCAGCTCGTTCCGTGCGGTCAGCCGTGGGTACTTGGGTTATCCTGCGGTCTCTCGAAGGAAGCAGTATGACTTCGGCAGGTTTGCCCAGGGAGTCGACTCCCAGTTCAGCAGTGGGATCGGGCTTCCACTTTCGCCAGAACTGTCGCTTGCCACGGGGCCGAGGTTGGGACAGGCCTTCATCTTGAGGTTGTTGGACGGGGGTGCTATTGCTGTCGGCGCCGTAGTCGATTTCGTCGAGTGTCGCGCGGCTTGGAGCTGCGCTCTGCCATCGTCGAAGCACGCGGGCAGGGTGGTTGAGGTTGTCACCGACTAGATTTCTCTGACATCGCAGACAGACATAGACCGACTGGGTCCCACGTGCCAACATATATTTCTGGCATCAGATGCCACGATCGAGTGGTTTGATCGGAAATGAAACTGGGATGGAGGGAAAAAGTTAGGAAGCGCAGGGAAGGGCTCTGGGGGCTCGTGTCTCGTCCTTCTCCGCAAGCTTGGCGCGACGCAGGCGACGAGGTATGATGTTGAAACGCTCGCAGAAAAGGTTCACGAAATTAGATCAATAATAAATCCAGGAGTGCAGATTGACATTAACGCCACTACACAGTACATGACCAGCGGAAAGCATCATACATGTCATTGCGGCACAGATACAATCGCCCTTCAGTCTCGCAGCAGCGACTCTCGATACGGCTTGCCTGGCCCTTCCCCTTCCTCAATGCGTCTTCAAGTACTCGGTAACGGCAGGCGCGATACTCGGTCTGCGAGAGCCACTCTGTGCACTGACGATGCTTCCGCGTCGTTGGGCAAGGGTGTCTTCGGCATGTCCATGGTCCGCCAACACATTGGTCACCGACGGAATGAACGACGGACGTTGGGGTGCTTGCCCGCTCACCGAGTACCGGACCGCGAGTTGGTTCTGCTCATGCTCGTCGAATTCATCGATCTGAGTCGTCTTGAATTGCCTGGCGGGGACGTTCTTCGCGAAGAGGATGTCCAGTTCGTGGAAGGTGCGGTCCTTGGTCTCAGGCAATCGGAAGTACGCCCAGATGAAAACCAGCCAGGCGCAGCCGCCCCAGACGAATCCCGTATATCCCTGTAGATTCCATGCTTCTGGGTTCATAAAATAGTTCTCCAGAGTTCCGCCAACCGTGCCGCTGATGTTGGAGACATTCCGAGCGAGGCAGACAGTTTTTTGTCGCAGGCGAGTGGATCCTATCTCAGCCGGCAAGGCCCAGCCGAGCTGGCCAGCACTGAGCTGGAATGTAGCTGTCCAGACAAGTGTGAGGACGGCCTGAGTCCACGCAACAGATGGATGGTCGGTCCATGGGTTGAGGATTCCAATGATGCACAGCTCTGTGGCCATGAAGAACATGCCCCAAAGATAGACCGTGCGGCGGCCAAAGTATCTAAGCGATACGGTGAGAACCTTCCAAGTGGGACTGGGTTGATTTATACTTACGGCATGAGAAGGAACCAGTTCGCCAAGCAAGCCAGGAATGCCAACCCGTTTGCACCCCAACCCAAGGAATAAGCCGCGTCTGTGCTCAAGCCGACTTGCTGGAAGACTGTATCTTGTTAGATGCTTTGCAGAGTATGCGGGGAGAAACATTCGCGGCCTACAGTATGTCGAAGCGTACGCAAAGCAAAGACCGCACACGAGCTGCCCGCCAAACACCACACATGCAATCTCGGTCCGGCGTCTCTCGAACCCCTTGAAGCAATCCCAGTACTGCGTGATTGGTAAGCCTCGACAAGGAACTCCCATAGTGACAATGGCGACTTACTGTCGTTCCCACGCTGAGTTGCTCCTCCAAGTTGTTGGTATAGACGATCTGGGCTAGCGTTCTCTTGGGATCCAGTCCCGGTCCGGGAGCCTGCAACCTTCGGATCGACCTCTCTGCTTCCTCGAGCTTGTTGTGCCGGACAAGATGATAGGGCGACTCAGGGGCGAAGAAGATCAGCGGGATGAGGAACGCGGGCCAGACCCATTGCACAGCGAAGGGAATTCGGTAGCCCCACTGGTCGACTCGATGGACAAGCCCACGTAGCAGGCCCGCCGAGATGAATTGACCTAGGATAAAGCACATGTTGGTGTACGAGGTGAAATACACACGGAGCTGCAAGGGGAGGACTTCCGAGGCGTATGCTGGAGCTGTGGTGGCGAACTGTGTTCCTGGTTAGCGAGAGTGCTGAGCCCGTGGTGGAAGTTAGTGACTTACGATCCCCCATTCGAAACCCAGCAGGATCTCGCCGACCAAGAGAACTTCCTTGCTGGGTGCAAAGAAGACGATAAACAGGAAGCAAGTCATGACACAAAGCGTGCATAGCAGAACCTTGCGAGGTCCATATGCTTGTACCAACCAGCCGTTGATGATCGTGCCTAAAATTGAACCGCAACCTGCGGCACAGTTAGCCACCGTAAGTAAGGGAGATTATCAGCAGGCGAACATACCCGAACCTTGACCGAGACCAGTTTGCCAGGCAGCGGTAAGGGAGTAACCTGTTGGGGTTTGCTTCGAGATGCCGACATAATGGCCATACTTCCGCTGGAACGATGCTAAAGGCACTCAGGTCAGCCCCGTGAGCTTGGGAATGAGAATAGTTGCTACACACGGTATGCGTAGAAATTTCCCAGAAGATTCGTGTCGAACCCCTGGTGATCAATTCAGCATGGAACACGCAGGAGACGCAGAACACTGCAGTGATGTTGGTACCTCCATAATCACACAAGTCGAGATAACCAAGCACCACATAACGGCTTTCTGCGGGATGTCAGTACAGTTGAGCATATCTCGTCGTGTATGCGCATACCTTGTAGACCCCGAGAGCTTCTCTGATTGTCATATCTTTCTCATCTCTAGTGACATCGCGGGCCGCAACGCTCAATTCCTTGTCGCCCCAGTGCTCCTCTCTCCATGAGCGATCGAAGTTGCCGTTCGGATCTTCTAAGTGACCAATGGCATCACGGCCTTTTTCAGTAACCACCGTCTGTGCCATCTGGATGAGTTGATCCTGAGATATGGTTGTTGCTCGACTCTTGCAAGGCGTGTTATTTGGTTGAATCTGGCTCCATCTTTTTCTGGGGCATGCTGGTAGTAGTTATAGTTGTCGCTCGCGCGTCTCGCGGAAGGTCCTTTCGCTTAGTAGACCGCTCTGAAGGATCTATGAAGCTGAGGACGTCCATGTTGATCACGAAGAATGTTGCCAGACGCGACCGAGATGACCCATCAGCTCATAGGAAAGGCAACCAAGCAACTAGAAGCGAGGTTGGTATGCCGCAGTGGCGCTGATAGCGGCGGGATTGGGTTATTTTCATTCGCTGCCGCTTACGGAGAATCCCCCGCAAGGAGCCAGATCATGGGGAAGCTGGACTGTGGCCATGCGGGGCGAGCTCAGGCCACATGTTGACATGGCGGTCTCCACGAACCGAGGCTGGCGATCTCAGTCAAGAAGATCTCGACGGCCTTCGAGCAATCCCCAGGCAAGTGGAGCCAGCTTGTGGTCGCGCCCTCGTCGGCCCGATTGAGACACTCCCCTAGTTGTGTTCTCCGCCTTGGATCGGCAATGGGCAAGGTCGTGTCGCATAGTCTTCTGTTATCCGGCACTGTGCTCGTGTCCGCAGGAGAAAAATGACACGCATGCTGCAGATAAGCTTGTGATCACTCTTCCTTCACAGTTACCGCTCGAGCTTGCGTTGATGATCTTCAAAGCGGGACAGACCATGCTCGGTCCTTTCAACCTCGTCACTGTCTCTCAGCGGCTCGTCTTCATGAACAATATCCCACTCCGGACTCCGCCTGCCCGTGGAAGCCGTGCGCATTGACGCCCCTCGTGTAAAAGGCCTCATCTCGTTTTCGTTCAAAGCATGAACATCGGTTGTCTCGAACTTCCGCGCATCAATGCCCTTGGCAAACAACAAGTCCAGCTCCTCGTACGTCCTCCCTTTGGTCTCCGGCAACCTGTACCACGCCCACACGAAGGTCATGATTGCGGTCGTCCCCCAGAAAAACCCCGTGTATCCTCTCCAGTTAAGACTCTCGGGGTTCAGCATATATGGCTGAACGGCGCCACCGATGAAGCCAACCAGATAGTAGGCGTTGCGGGCGAGACATATCGTCTTCGTCCGTAAGCGAGTACTTCCCACTTCGGCTGGAATGGACCATCCGAGTTGGCCGACAGACAATTGAAAGGTGATAGTCCAGACGATAGTAAGCAGAGCTTGCGTCATCGCAACAAAGAAGTGATCAGCCCACAGGGTCAATGTCCCAATGAGGTAGAGGATTGAAGCCATGACCAACATAGATACCGTGTAGATTGTCCGACGGCCATAGTAAGGCATGAGGAGAAACCAGTTTGCAAGTGTTGCAAGCAGTGCTAGGCTGGTGCCAAAGAGACTTAGAGTATATGTCGTCTCAGCGGATAGCCCGACTTGTTCGTAGAAGTAAGTGGCGTTATAAGCAAAGGACAAGCCCGAAAAGTTTTGGCCTGCGAAAACCAGACAGGCGATCTCCGTGCGGCGGAGTTCGAACCCTCGGAAGCAATCCCAGTATGATGTACCGACCTGGAGCTCTTGCTCGAGATTGTTGGTGTGGACGATCTCGGCCAAGGTGTCTTTCACATCAATGCCTCTCGCGGTCGATGACTGCAAGCGACGGAGGGAGGTCTCCGCCTCATTCAACCGACCCTGGCGCACGAGATGCCATGGTGATTCTGGGGCAAAACAGAGCAGCGGAATCAGAAATGATGGCCAAATCCACTGGAATCCAAATGGAATTCGAAATCCCCATTCATCGTCCCTTTCCAAGAACACTCGAATAACAATGGCACATATGATCTGGCCAATGATAAAAGCCATGTTCGTGAAACTCGAAAGATACGAGCGAAGGACCAGGGGCAGGACCTCGGACGAGTAGGAAGGGGCGACTGTGGCGAAAACGCCCCATGGAAATCCACAAAGAAACTGTCCGAAGGCTAGAACTTGGATGTTGGGAGCGAAAAAGGTCATAAATATCAGGCACGAGAGCGTGCACAACGCGCCGACAAGGACTCGCTTCTGCCCATAACAGTCGACGAGGTGGCCATTGAGGATAGTACCTAGCACAGCGCCGATGCCAGAGGCAGTGCCGATCTGAAGTAAGAGACAAGTCAGCGCTGCGGTCAATGTAGACAATGAGCCTAGTGATTGACTTCGCCTTTCTCGGCGTGTTGGCCGAGTCTCAAGCTGGAGGCACACTCACAATGGCCATCCAGGTAGCGCTGAGCTGATATCCAGACTTTGTCTGGTCGGTAACCCCGACAAATTCACCATCTGTGGCATATCAGCACCACAGAAAGGCCACAGTCATGGTTGAACGACATACATTTCCGCTGAAATGTAGGGAAGGCATAGAAACTAGGCACCAGAATGCTGTCGAAGCCCTCCATGATAACGCACATGCTCACCGCCAAGGACCAGAAGATGGCCATCGGGTACGCTTTGATAGCCTCGCGGACCGTCAACTTGTGTTCAAACCGGGATCGAGCTGACGCAGCTTGAGCAAAGCCATGATTGTCCTGGCTCGTGCGCTCATCGTGGTCAAACTCATCGCGGAATGAGCTCTGTCCAGGCTGATAGAAGTCACGTGTTTCGATATTGTTGGTGGCAGCAAGCGAATCTGCTAATAGTGGACGGTCACCGGAATGGTCTTCATCTAAGCTGGTCCGTGACGGGGTGCTTGGGCTAGAGTCATCTCCTGCATATCTGTGAGACTCGAGCACGTGCCAGACTGGTCCAAAGCACCGCCCACTTACTCTCCATCACAATATGCACCACATCTCAATTCAAGCTGTAGGGGGGGCGGCAGGATTCAGGGGTTGCCCTAAGCCGCTTTCTACTGTAGATCGTACTCCTTCTCGCATGTACGTCCTTAAGGCCGGAATGCGGTCCGAGGGTTCGATGAAGAGCCACCTCCGCCGTGTGATGCGGGAGATGGAGCGACGGACGTTGACCGAAGCTGGCGTGAACAGCTCGTGACAGCTGCATGAGCCTTGGATGAGCCTCAGCGAAACCGACGAGATGACAAGTCGGAAGGTTAGGCGGGCTTGAATTTCACCGATTGGCGGCTGCACTCTTTTAGTGGCGGAATTGAGAAGCGCGTTTTCCGCACGACCTGCACCCTTTCCTACGCTTTCTCTCGTGCTTCCAATGGCCTCTCTCTCGCTCTGCGCAACGCGCATTTCATGCATGGCATTGAACCCCACAGGCAGTGGATATGCCGGAATGTCCCTGGTCTTTGTGCCGCAGCATGCCTCGGAGTTTCGTCAAAGGGTAGTTTTCCGCCCACCTACGTCTTGATCTGCTAGGATACCACCGCCTTGGTGCTACGCGTCGTTCTACGGCAGCTAAGTTGACACAGCTTCGAGATGATGAAAGCTGCAACCAAGGGTCTAGTACGTGCATCCACGTCTCTATAATTCGCACTTCTTCTCCAGAGCTGCATGAATTCCCAGGCCCCATCGTGCCCTTGATATATTTCTGCGTTGCGACTGCTCCTGTGACGAACCACAGTATCTCCTGTCCCTTTACCCACGTCCCTTTGCCATACTTACAATGCTGCTACTGCTTTTTCAAGCCCTTTTTAGCAAGAGTGTATCCGCCGTCAACAATGGATTAGCCCAAACTCCTCAGATGGGGTGGAACAATTGGAACTCATTGGGCTGTGACGTCTCGCAGGATCTCTTGCTCGATACTTCCCGAGTCCTCCTCTCAAGCGGCCTGAAGGACGTGGGCTACAACTATGTCGTCCTCGACGACTGCTGGTCCGACGGCCGTGATAATGATGGGTATCTACGACCGGATGCCACCAAATTTCCCAGAGGCATGAAATGGGTCGCTGACAAACTCCATGACATGGGCTTTCTTTTTGGCATGTACTCCAGTGCCGGCGAGTTGACCTGCGCCAGATATGAAGGCTCGCTCGACCATGAAGAGAAAGACGCCGAGATTTGGGCTGCATGGGACGTCGACTATCTGAAGTACGACAATTGTTATCACATGGGCCGCTTCGGTTATCCCGAGATCTCGTTCAATCGCTACAACAACATGGCAAAGGCTCTCAACGCGACTGGTCGCCCTATTCTATACTCACTCTGCTCTTGGGGGGAAGACTATGTACACACCTGGGGAATGTCCATCGCCAATTCCTGGCGGGTCTCTGGCGACATCTATGATCACTTCAACCGACCAGATGCTTTGTGTGCCTGCGATGATCCCCGTGACCCCCATTGTGTTGCACCGGGCACGCATTGCTCAGTGATGAACATTATCAACAAAGTGGCCCCTTACGTCGATCGTGGACAGTTCGGCGGATGGAACGACTTGGACATGCTTGAGGTAGGGCAGGGCGGAATGGATGATGAGGAGTACAAGGTAGGACCAATTACCCAACTTCGTCCTGGTCATAATACTGACAACAATGTTTATAGGCACACTTCTCCATGTGGGCAGCTTTAAAGTCCCCTCTGCTTATCGGAGCCGACATTCGCAGATTGTCTTCGAAGACCCTTACCATCCTTAACAATCCGGCTGTGATTGCTGTAAACCAAGATCCTCTCGGCCGATCCGTGGCTCAAATCTACCGCGACCAACATGTCAAGAAGGACAAGTACGGGCAAGGAGAAACACAAATCTGGAGTGGCCCGCTTTGGCGTCACGACCAGTTAGTCATCTTCCTCAACGCAGCGGACGAGGACCTTGAGATGACGACTACCCTCAACGACGTGTTCATACACGAAGGCCCGGAGGGTTCGGCACCTCAAACCAGGGATGAATTCGACGTATATGACTTGTGGGCGGATCGTATGGAACACCACACGGCAGAGCAAGTTTTGGCGGGAAATCATCAGTACAAGAACTCGTGGTACAACTCAACTCAGACGCCGTACAAGGAAGGCCTGGCCAAAGCCGATCCGCGACTCTTGGGCAAGCGCGTTGGCAGCGTCGGACCAAAGCACAATGTCCTGCGTGCGAATGTCCCTCGCCACGGTGTTCGCATGTTCAGATTGCGCAATTTGACCGGTGGCTCGCCACGGTATGCGATGACAAAGGACGAGCTCTGATTTCAGTAATGGCATCGAAGATTTGCCGGGTGGAATCTGGTCTGTTTGGCAAAACATTAGACTGGCATGCTCGAGATCTTGAATTGATGTCGCAACTCGGCTTCCCAAGCTTTCTTCGCCTGCATCTGCGGGGAAGAGGCTGCTCGCTTGGCGAAGTGAAGTGATCTGAAAATCGACGCCGGTTCTTTCTCCTTCATCTATCACTGTAGCAGACTGACCAGATGTCCGAAGTGCACTGGCGCTGGTCCATAATATCAGCATCCCCGTCGGACGCATGCTGGCGGTAATAGCCAGCCAGCTATTTACGAGGCCCACGATGCGGATGGCTGACGACTGACGTCAAGTCCAGCTCACTTGCATCTCACCCACACTTCAGCTGATAGACAGGCCTTCTGCCAGGCAACAATCACCTGCTATAATGCGGCCTCCCACGGCCTGTGTCGCTTGCCGGTACGCATTCTCCAACCACAATCAAGATTCCCACCAGCTAATGCCCTATTACCCTTAGGAGTCGCCGTCGCAAATGCGAGGTAACTGCTCCCGGTGCACCGTGTGTTTACTGCAAGAATCGCGATGTCGACTGCTCCTTCACTTCCACCTCCCACCCTGATGGTAGTTGGCCGAAATAGTCGTCAGCCTCTCCCAGCACGACGGGGTTGGAGCTGGCGCGGAGTGGGAGCATCAGCACCGATTTGCCTCCACAATCTCTCTGTGTGGAGCTGGTCGAGCTGTATTTTCGCTACATTCACGACACCTTTCACTCCCTGTTCCACCCCGCAAGTTTGATGCAGGATGTTATCAACGCCAGGATTCCTCGGGTCCTCTTGTATGGCATGATCAGTCTTTCCGCAAGATTCTCCAATGGTGCATACTTCGCCGGGATTGACCCCAGAATCAGAGGTAGACGATATGCGCAGGAAGCGGAACAGCTCCTCAACCTGCGTGATGTGTCCCTGATAACTCTGCAAGCCACCGTCCTTCTAGGGGCCTATGTCATTACCGAAGGAGAAGCCGCTGCAGAGGCAGTCTTCTACAGTGTGGCTTGTCGAAATGCATTGTTACTCGACCTTCCCAACATGATCGTCATGTCCAGAGTCGAGCAGGAGGTGAATTGCAGAGCGTGGTGGTCGCTATGCATGGTGGACGTTTGGTCCTCGAGGGGTGTCGGGATAACTCGATCCTTGACGCCTAGAAGCGATGTTCCGTACCCTATGGAGGAGACGGTCTTCCACCGCTTGAGCCGGCAAGAGTTTGACCTGCCCAGTCCTACCAGCATGCAAGAATCCAGCGCTTCGCTACTGACCCAAATGATCAAGCTGAATGCCATTTTGTTCGAGGTCAGTCTCTTGAACGAGAGGGCTGCCTCAGAGCTCCAACTCGGCGCAGCTCACGGTGCAGCTGTGGAAGCACTCTCTGCGCAATTGGAGGACTGGTACAACAACCTGCCCATCGGGCTGCAAGACACTCACGCAAACTTATCCCGCTATGCCGCTCTAGGACTGGGGCCTATGTTTGTTGCCGTATATTTGGGCTACTACCACTATGGACAATTGCTGTATTACCCATATCTGCACGGGGACTCATACGACGACACTGTCCAAGCCCGATACTACGCCGACAAGTGCAAGGGCCACTCGATCGGGCTCTGCGAGATCCTTTACCGTGCCTACTCTTCTGCCGGCTGCGAGGTCTTCTACACAATGGTGGGCCACGTGCTGGTCATCGCGTCCACCATACAGCTTCACATTCTACTTTTCAGTCCTGACGAAGCACAGATCCGTGCTGCTCGCTCTCGTCTAGAGCGTAATTTCGAGATTTTGACAAGGCTTCAGACCTTCTGGCCCACGCTAGATGTGTGCTTTACAAGGTTCCGCGAATTTCACAAAGCGTGCCAGAAGTACAAGGAGACCTCATTCCGCATGGACAGATGGATGCACCGCTTCTTGTTCGAATTCGCAAAGCCAATAGACGAGAAGGACCCTGATGATCTGGCAGAACTGATACCTTGGACTTTGCAGGAACTAGGCTTTACCCCCTGATTCGAGTATATGAGGTATCCACCGGCTGTTCGACGCCACTGGTCCTCCCCTCGCGGCCGCAATCAAGAGACGTCCAGGGGGTGCTGCCTGGTATCCCCCGGTCATGCCCTAGAAGCTAACGCGTAACAACGGGAGTCCCCACTCTGCCACGTTGCATCCGGCATCATCCTCAAAGACTTGCCTTTCCGGCCGTCTCGTAGGGGAAGATGAAGCTGATGAAGCCAGCCACGATGTACAGACTTGCTGAGACGAAGATCGGCTTGTTGTTGTACCCCACATACGTTGCGATAATCGGTGCCTGAAGACCGCAGATTCGGTTAAATGCTGCAGCCAGCCCACATCCCGTGCCACGATGGTTGCTTGGCACCACCTCAGGTGTGTAACAATAAAGAGAGCCCCACATGCTGCGAAACAGGTGAGCAATGGGGCAGAAAAAGACCCAGGGGGGACCGGTATACTCACATATACGATACGAAGGAGGTGACACAGTTGAAGGCCAAAATCGAAGCCTGTGTTCTGGCTGTGGTGAAGGCGAATTGGAAGACGGCGGTAAGGATCAGAGCAACGCCGAGAGTACCTCTTCGGCCAATCTTGGGCAAACCGATGAACCAGCCGGCCATCAGCGTGCCAGGAATCGAGCAAGCGATGATGATGAAGTTGTTCCGGTATGTGATGGCAATGCTGCTGGACCCAGCCTGGGCTCCGTGGAGTGCCAGGTATTCGGGAAGGAAATTCGAATACAGCTGCGAGTACGTTAGTGTTGAAGGAACGCCATGCAAGGAAATAACTGAGGACAATCACCCGGCCGTGCTGACAGAAGCACTGCAGGAAGACTTACTGGGGAAGCCAAACCTATCATGCCCCATACCAGAATAATCAGACTTGTGCTGTATGCCACTTTCTTCGTCGAGAACAGGGCTCGGATGTGCTTGAAACCACCTGGTTTGAACTGGGCCATGGTCCTTTGCCAGGCAGTGGGCCTGTTCACAGCTGCAGAGTGCCCCGCGACAGCATAATCTCTCTCGACTTGCAGCAGATCCTCCATTGTCAGTGGCTGTGTGGTGCCGTTGTATTTTGCAACGTCGTTCAGCACATCGATGGCTTCTTGATACCGTCCCTGACCGATCAGGTACCGAGGGCTTTCGCGCAGCCGGAAAATGGCGAAGCGCAGAAAGAAAGCAGCCAGCGTGATGGCGCCCATCGAGTACATGAGATATCTCCATCCCATGTTGTCCTTCTTCTGGCACTGTCCCGCTGGCGTGTCCTCGCTGCAGGAATAATGGCTCAAGAATCCCCAGGCCGCCCCTGCTGGGATAGCTTGGCCAACTGACCACCAAACAGCCAAGATCTCGAGCAGATATTGATGAGTGCCCGGCAGAAATTCGAGGAACACGGCGGAGTCGACGGGCAGATTGCCCCCAACTCCAAAGCCGCAGAACGAGACAAGCACGGCGCAGCTGATGAAGCTGTTGGCCGCGCCAGCAGCAGTCCCGAAGACTCCAGCAATCAGCAAGGTCAAATTGAATGCGAGTCGTCTTCCAATCAAATCGCCTGCCAAGGTCAGCACTTTTGTCGGTCTCACTTGGAGCGTTTTTCCTCACATCCGAGGCCCCAGAATGAGGCTCCCACAACTAGACCGGCGATAAGAGCAAGGGACAGAAAGGCCGAGTGCTGCGGCTGAAATTCTACCCCTACTTGAGCAAGCGCGTCTGATACAGTCGTTTGCCAAAGCTGTCACACTTAGCTCGAGACACATCGATCTCTGGCCCAGTACTCGCCTGATCGCACAACCAGCCATAGCCGCAGAGGAAGAACAAAGCCCACTGATACTGTCCACTGTCAGAGTTGCTAGCTTTCTCTCCGAGCGACTTGACTTTACCTTGCCCATGCCGATAGCCTGGACCGCATGATTCACCAGTCTCGCTTGGTGCTCAAAGACGGGATCGACGCCATCGACACGCAGGGTCGGCAGCTCTTTGACGAAGCCCACCTCTGCGGCTTCGTCAGAGACGGGACTTGCGGTCGCGACTTTCGTGTCTTCAGGAACGCCCATTGTTGCTGCCGGTCTTCGTCAAGGTATTCTGGGCTTTGATGCAAGGCCTGTTTGGAAGTGAAGGAAGCGGTGCCGCTTTTGTATTGCGGTTCTCACCTCACGTTCTGCATTTGACCTTGATACCAAGCTATCTACGCTGATAGGCCTATATCAGGTTATGCCTTGCTTCCCCCAGCCTGATAGACACGGGGATGCCAGGGTCCATCGGCATACAGACCGTTAACAGCAGACTATCGCGTTTGCCCGCTGCTAGTCAATCTCGGGGCGTCATTGAACAGCCATTGCCCGCCACCGCGATAGGCAAATGGCCGCAGGGTTCAATTCTGATCCGGGCAAGAAGTGATCGGCCAAGGGATTTATCGGCAGTCGGGCTAACGCTAATCTGCTCTGTTAGAGCTTATCTCGCAGCTCGAAGGACAAACCCCGGGGTTCAGGGCAAAAAGGGATGTTGAAGGAGATGTCCGTCGACTCCCCGTACCTCGCTGTACCCAGTACTTGCCCGTCGCCGTCGATAGTATCTTCGCGCACACGCGGTCCAATGGTCAACGGCGCGGTGCAAAGGCGCACCAATCCTATGGCTTCGGCCACGCGTGAATACGGCGGTGGTGGGAGTCATCATGATCTGTAGAGCGAAGGCGGCCACGATACGGTTATAAATTGCAGGTAGGAGTGAAAGATACGAAAGCCATTGCAGCACACTATCCCGGTATACACACCACCATGGCGACTACTGTCCTTCCGGTGCCGAGCGTCGACCATGCTTTCGAGAAAATTGAGCCGCTCGTAACCGCTCTGGCGACTCCCGCTCGCTTCGATGCCGCAGAGCACCTGTGCTTCGAGCCACCCAAGAGCGTTATTACCCTCAAGGAGTTGCTGTTGTCGGAAAGTAATGCCATTTCACCAGTTGCCATTACCGAGCCATTCCCGCTGTTCACACTCGAGGGCGTCAAGCAGATTCGGGCCGACCTCTTTCGCAAAGAAATCGTGAACAAACATGGCGACCGAACCAAAAGAAACTGCTACAAGATGCGCGGGTACTCCAAAGACACGCCTTTCGTCGATGCTGCCTGGCGCAGCCCCGAGGTCCTCAAGGCCTGCTCCACCGCCGCCGGGGTCGACCTGGAGGTAGTCTTCGACTACGAGATCGCGCACATCAATGTACAGGTGGATGCGCTTGAAGATGGAATGTCCTTGGATCAGGCCCTGCCGCCGGCGATGCCTCCCCGCCAGGCATTGTCCACTCCACCCGCTGCGGTTGACCAGTCCGAAGAGCTTGCCTCGGTTGGGCGATGGCACACCGACTCATACCCGTGGGTCTGTGTGTGCATGCTTTCAGATCCGTCCAACATGGTGGGAGGCGAGACCGGGCTGCGGAAGGGTGACGGCACGATCGCCAAGATCCGAGGACCACAGGTTGGCTGGGCTGTGATGATGCAAGGAGGGTGCATTGAACATATCGCCTTGCGCGCTGTCGGCACCGGTGAGCGTGTGACCATGGTGACTTCCTTCCGGCCTCGGGATCCCAGTCTGAAGGATGTCAGCAACCTGGGAAACGTCAAGAAAAGCAGCCATTGGGATCAACTCTTCAAACAATGGTCGACCTACCGACTTGAGGTGCTCGAAAAGCGATCCAAATTGCTTAGGGAGCGGATTACCAATGGCGGACTTTCAGGAGCCGAGATTGCAAAGCTGATGGCTGAGTGGAACGAGGAGCAGTTCGCGTACATGAAGCATACCGCCGTGGAAATGGTTGGCCCTGGGAATGAAGGATCTCAAGACTAGACGTCAATAACCCGGGCAGCTCACCTCTGCACAAGATGGAATTCAGCCTATCGACTCTCTGGACGCCCTAAGTTTCGCCGAAGCTGCTTCTGCCAGAATCCCTGCATCACCACCAGCTAGCATGATAAAACTGAACCCCATCTTGACTAGTCGAGGGACTGATTCTTGGGTGCCCAGAATGCCAATCGCTTTCCCAAACTTCTTGCCCATTTCCAGTACTCTCTGCAAGGCTGCTATATATGCATCTTCGTCTCCTCCCGAACCTTCGAAGCCGAGTGAATGCCTGAGATCAACGGGCCCGATGAAAATCCCATCTACTCCTTGCGCTCCCACAATTTCCTCTGCATTCTCCACCGCCTCCACTGATTCAATCATAGGCATGATGGCAACTATTGGCGCCGTCTTTCGCTTGTATTCCGCCATGTCCATAGAGCCGGCCATGTCTGCGAAAGGCGCGCGAAAAGGCCCGAAGCTTCGTTGTCCTGCGGGCGGATACAGCGCCCGCTTGAGAATGGCGTCCACTTCCTCCTTGTTGTTCACCATGGGCACAATAATGCCGCTGGCGCCGCTATCGAGGGCCCATTTGATCCACTCCACGCCGTGAGACGGGATCCGCACAATCGGACAGCAGCTCCCTGCAGAGGCCGTAACTGTAGAATGCACCATTGACGTCATCTCTTGTGCTGAGAGCGGCGAATGCTCCATGTCGATCATCAACCAGTCGAAACCACATCTCGCGAGAATTTGGGCGCTGTAGGGATCGTTGAAACTGATAAACGTACCGAGAAGGCACGATTTGCTCTGGAGTGCGCTGCGGAAGGAAGTCATCTTCCATCGATGAGTGCCTCACCGGGGTTCCCACGGCAGGCATTGCTCAGATTTATACAGCCGTGCTTCTAACCCAGAGAAAGGGCACACGCTTCACAGCACAGTGCCCAGTATCTACACATTTCAAGCACTTCCTCCCCGCATGCTTGTGCGAGGTTGGCGGGCAAGGCTCAGTCGATAGACGATGCGGAGATCTGCGGCATTGGATGTCCACGGCGACAAGGTGGAAGCTGAGAACCCGACCATAAAATGTGCCCCGAGCCCTAAGGGATTACAACCGGCCATGACGCCCCTGGGACCCAGTAGAACAGCACAATAGGATACCGTACCCTTTTTGACCTTGAACCCTTTTCCCTTGACCTCCTCACCAGGTAAAGGTGCAGAGAGACACTATTACCAATGCCATCTAGCCGCTTTCAGCTAAGATTTCCTGCTCCGCTATCGTGCGACTTTCTCATCCTCCTCTCTATCTTCGTTGGTGTGACTCGCACCCTTGATGATGTGCGTGTCGGTGTCGGCGTCAGATGGACATCTCGACTCGTCAAGAGGGACCCAGACCCTTTCGGTCCCGCCGTGATCGCCCATGCGATGCGTGTCGCGGGAGGAAGATCGCGTGTCGCATTGAATCGTCCCCGCCGTGTGCCTTCTGTGCGACTCGCGGTTGGACCTGCACGTTTGAAAATGGACCGAAGAATAAGAGACGGAAGGTGCACCCTTTCTCTCAATCTCTGGCAGAAGGCCATCACCCATCAGAGATAGAGGGTTTCGCGTCATTTTCTCACACGTGGGAGGATTTCGCCTCCGCACCCTTCGACGGCGACATCCTCGAGAGCCTTGAGCTCGCAGAGGATGAGCGTCCTACATCGCAGAACCCGGTCGAGCATGTACAAACGCGCTCGGACGGCCGCCCAGTAAGCGACAGTCCACAGCACAGCCGCCTGCAGAGTCTACGTCCAGTCCGCGGAGGGCCGCAATCTCTGGACACGAGCCGCCTTCGGCGTGCTCAGGTGCCGCCTGACACGGGACATCTAAACCGACATGTCATGCTGTCTTTGATGGACCCAAGACATCACTTGGAAGTATCACATATTCAACTAGAGCGGGCACGACCGGCACACGAAGCCCATGCTCCTGACGAGGTGGTGCCTGTTCTTATGGTCAGAGAGCATCCGGCCTTTCTGGCCAATGGTGCGGCGTCAACTTCGCAGCCTGTCGCGCGGTGGCAAGACGTGGGGGAGCTGCTCTCGGAGAAGCAACGTCACGAGTTGGTGCAGTTGTTCTTTCATTTTGTCCAGCCTGCCTTTCCAGTCTTGTCTGGAGCCGGGGCCGAAGCCGACAGCGACAGTCACAGTCACAACGAGTGTGACCTCAGCACGGCCTCGCTATCTCTATCAGCTTGCATCTATGCGACCGCGCTGCCTTTCTCGATCCACAATGATTACCTGAATGCCACGCTGACTGATGCCAATGGCAAGCGCGAACAGCTGTACTCGATGGCCGTCGCAGCCATCCTCGCCGAAGCCAACGCGCCTACCCTCGAAACACTTCAGGCATGCTTGCTCTTGCTGCAGAAAGGGCCCACAGTCCAGCACCAAGGCCTGACGCCGACATATTCCGCCTTCTCATCAATGACCGTCACGATTGCCAAATCTCTGGGTTTGCAGTATGACTGCACCAATTGGAGTATACCCCTGGCAGAGAAGCAGTTGCGCCAGCGTTTATGGTGGGCCACGTTCGTCATGGAGGTCTGGGTCAGCATTGACACGCCGGGAGGGCGATCTATCTGTTCGGACGACTACGATGTGCCGCTCCTCCGTGGTGGCGACGTCGCCAACGTGGACCACAGACAGGAGATGCCAGAGCACACGCACTTCATCTGCCTTGTCGAAACGTCCCACCTGCTATCGCAGATTTGCAGCACGTACTACACGGTCCGCGCGGCGAAGGAAACGGCGTCCGACCTCTTCAAGTCGCTCGAATTCGCCAAACCGCTTCGCTCGGCTCTCAACGAGTGCAAGCAGAAGTTGAAGGTCATCATGCCGCTCGATGGAAGCGGACAGCCCGGTGCCAGTGGCTCCGTGCATCTGGCCGCCTGCGTTACATCCATCATTTTGTTCCGCGCTCTCCTACGGCCCATCCAAGGGGGCACATCTACCGGACCACTGTTGAGGGAAAGCCAAATGTCGGCCGCAGCAGCGGTCGTGACGGGCTCGATAAACTGCGCGAGAGAGGCTGTCGAGCTTCTAGAGACCATGGTCTCCATGGTTGGACCGTGGAGCGAATTCTGGCACTCTTGGTCTCAGGGAAACTTTGCCATTGTCAGTACCTTCTTGTTCCAGCTGATGGTGATGTTGATGAGCAGTTCGGAAGACAGCACCAAAGCAGAGGTTGCCGATCTAATTGCTCGCTGGAAGAAGGCCATAAGGATTGGTGCTGGAAGCGGCGGCTGGGGAAGCTCGTTGATGAGCATGGCATTGAGTAGACTGGATTCGTTACTCAGCCATGCGGCGGGCTGAAACTGGCGCAAGCCTGGACGAACAGTGCGACCGAGACAGCGAACTCGACATACAGCCTTCGTCTGCCGCGAGAAGCGGACTTCCCGTGGGGAGTCTTCATCTGCATTGAGAAGCTAAGGTGCTGGGCGAGCGGATAGAGCCTTCATCCACAGTAATGGCCCAAGACGGTGTCATCCCCTAAATCCTTATTCCAGACAGTGTCCAGGCAGGGATTTCGCGTCCTTGCACCTAACGATGCTCACTGCACGGCAGCCAATTAATCCAGTGCTTCCGGTAGAGCATGTCTGGCCTGCGGACTATTGTCTGAAACTGTCCAACGGGCCTTCAGTGCAAATGCTCGTTAAGCTCGGCAATCGCAACCGCCAGAATTCGCCTTTAACATTACAGCATAATGGCATCGCCATGGCCCGTGGAATCAAGATCAATCGGCAGTCGAAAGAAGCCATGCAAAACATGGATGCTACGAGCTGGGACCCGGATCCACGATCGTTAGAGTCGCACATGGAGGAAGCGGTCGAACGGATCGAGGCGCACCTCCTTGTCCACTTCGTTCACACGGCACGTACTTGATCTGCCTCTGATGCTCGAATGCCTAGGCAAAAGTGACAAGGGCATGTGTGACTTCTCTCACCCGCGGCCGCGAGGGGATCTCCACGCCAGGCACTCATCGCGTACGAATACCTCCGCGTAGGCTTTGCAACTCGACCCACATCTCTGCACGATGCTCGACTTTCAGGCCTTCGCGATGTCGGTAGTCCTAGCCCTAGCCCTACTTTGCGAAACCAGATGCGACGTGGTGGCAAGCGGAGAAAAGGATCCCGAGCAGAAGCAGAACCAAGGTTTTTGGAAGTCCATCATCGAAGTGACGGACATCCTCCGAAGAGCGGCAAAGAATAGCCGGCACAACCCCGTGGCTAACCAGGCTGTCGCGGTCCTTGAGCTGCTCTTGCGCGCCCGAGTGCACGAGGACGGCGTACGTAACGAGCGCGGTCAGTGTACCGTCAAGATCGTGGTTCGCTGTTCCGGAGAAATCACTGTTATGCCACGCGCGAACCGAAACGGCTGGCTGTGCCTCTGCGTGGCTTCCTCCGCCGAAGGTAGACACAAGCGCTCCACTTCCCACCGAGACTTTGCTAGTATCTGAAAGGCGAGCCGCCGGGTCCGGTCCCTCCGTCTTCGATATCCATACGCCGCCTCTGGTAGTGCCCGACAGCGCAGGTGTACATACAGATTTATCCGACGGGAACTGGAATGTCCTCGCGAAGAAACGTGGTTGCAGAAGTCGACGAGTACGCGGCTGGGCATTAGTGCGAGGTGCTGTAATCGATGTGCCCGACAACAGGGTGACATAGAGGACGGGGCGTCAGTGCGAAAGTATCCAATACGGCCGACAGCAGGGTGAGATACAGTAGATGCCCTCGTCGCAAAAGACATCATATGTCTCTTTGCTCTTTGCAGTCTCGATGACCTCGTGCGCGCGGTGGAGGGGGGATTATCATATCAGCAGACATTATTCGGCGGTCAGGATTCATCCCTCAGCACTCTCAAGTGCCACGAAAGTCGATCAATCAACCGATCAATCAATTCGTGTTCGTCAATCGCTACATAGTCGTGTACGTGCTTGTGCGTGTGCGCGTGCGTGTGGCCCCCATGTCCACGCCGAGCTTTGAGCCTTGGGCCTCGCACTTGGTCCTTCAACCATGCCATGCACGCCATGCCACGCCATACCATGACATATCACGAAATGTGCGTCTCGCCGCGTGACTATCTGCTCTCGGACGGTAGTGGTGGTGGTGGTAGTGTTGGTGATGATGGAACGCACGCAGCCGACCTTCTCAGGTGCAGCCATCGCTCTCCCTCTCCGTCTCCATCTCCCGCTGGCGCATCCTCTCCCTCTCCCTCTCCCTCGCTTCAGCCTCCTTCCTCCGTCCTGCAGCCCACTTCTTCTCCTCATCCGCACACCCGGCGCACAAGGACAGGTAATGATCCCGCCAGGGCTCCACTCGGAGGACGCCGACCTCGCACATCGCCCCCATGCGGATGCCGTCGCCCTTGACCTTTGCGCCGGATTGGGAGCGGAGTTGGGTTTCGCGGGTGAGTTTCGAGGTTGCGCATTCGGTGAGGAAGTCTGCGTGGGCATGTGAGTGAGTGACTGGGTGAGTGAGTGAGTGAGTGAGTGAGTGAGATGGGTGTGTTAGTGTCGGTGTAGGCTGAATGGCTTTTGACGAGTTGACTGGTCAACGGGATTGACCAGGTAAGATGGCATGGATGGGAGATGTGGATGGGATAGAATATGGCTTCACCGGCCATAGATGGCGGCGTGGGTGCATGTAGAGTTCTTGTGGGCGGGCATGTACACGGCAAGGCGAAGTGAGAGAAAGGGCGAGGGAAGGGCAAGGACAGGGACGCCGGAAAGCAGAGAAGGGCGCACGAGTTACCCTTCTGGATCCCGAACTGCACGCCACACGTGCGGCAGTGGAGGCGGGCTGGTTGGGAGATGCACATTGTAGGCTAACCTGTAGGATATGGGGGTTGTCGGGCGTGGTTGTAAGGTAGTGAGAGTTGGGTGACCTGGAGGTACCTAGTCAGAGCGGTCTGTTTCTGATGATTCGAATGGTATGACGAGCTTGGAAACGGCAGGTGATTGTCAATGTGACTGTGGGCGGAGATGAAGGCAAAGTTGATATTCGTCTAATAGGTTGCTGGCTGACCGTGGTTTGACATTCGTGCTTGCGCTCAGCTTGTGTTCTGTTTCGTGGCTGTTTTTTTCGTCTTGGTCGGGATATTTCGAGATATTAGTAGTAGCTTGAGAAGTGCAAAATCCAGGGTGGTGACACTTTGTGACATGACCTCTCTTCAACATGGTGAAAACAGTGGTCGTTGGTAATATCACGATCAAGGGGAGAGAGAAGAGAATCGTGATTAGAGAAGGTGATTTTGTTTACTGGGCGTAATGAATTTGGTGATCGTAGCTCAAGGTCAATGGCAAAGGGATGTGAAACGAGACGACATGAAGGCCTACTAACACTAGTATGACTGGACTCACAAGGTGCTTGGTGATCAATCTCATGTCATTCACTGCATTTCACTTACCTCTCATCCGTTATGCCTGCTCGGTTTGAATTCATGTGCGCCTAATGGTGGCGGGAAAGAGAGTCAAGCGAAAACAACAAGAGTCGAAAGATTGATCGTCACCGTGCTCCGCGCTCAACTAATGTCGCTATCTTGTTCCTCATCTTTGCGGCGCAGACCTGTGTCAAGCATCACACTTCCGATCGTCTCTCAAAAGTTCTTCCCGGTAAATCGACTCTGGACAGAACCGAACCTGTACGGTTATTGTCAGCAGCATAATCAACAGGACTTTTCAGCAAACTCACCCCTGAGGACACTGTCTACCCAGCGCAACACTTCCACTACGCATGTAGCAGACCCTCGCCTCAGCACATGCGTTGCTCGTACAGTTTGGAGTCTTGACACTCATCTTGCCTTGATACGTGTTTTGCAAGCTCACCAGGGTATGATTCGTAGCCATGGCCTCGGTGACCTTTTGCCAATATGTTGCATTCAAGGGCGCATTTGCAGGCCATCCAATCTGGTATGCGTCGCGGGTAGAGTACTCGAACTTCCACACAGGACCGGTCTCTGAGGCGTTGATAGTCTGAAAGGCACTGACGTTGGCGTAGTATGTGAAGGCGTTGTAGACGGAGAAATCGCCTGTGTCGACCTCGTACATACGGTAGCCCGAATTGAGATTCGTCAGTGGCGTAACACTTGGACCCATCCAGCCAACATTGACGGCATGGGCAGCATCCTGGGTGGTGCCATTGTTGCTGTAGTAGATAAAGGACTGGTCTTCATGAGTATGACCAAAGAACACGCCAGCAATAACATGTGGCGAGAACCGGGCAACGATCTGGTAGAAGAGATCTGGGTATGTGGTTAGCAAGACACTCGAATATCTCGAAGAGGCCATCTTGGATTTGCTTACCCGTAGGATTGGGAAGAGGATTTGACCCGTCCCAACCTGAAAGAACATGACCAATGAGCCAAACTCGTTCTCCCTTGCTCTCAGCGTCTAGTAGTTCTTGCGCTACAAACTTGAAGGCGCCACTGTTGTCCGGGTTTGTGGTGTTGCTGTTGTCACGTTAGACGAGTTCTGGTGGGTTGGCATGCTTTGCTTACATGTAATTCAAAAGGTTTGACCGATACCAGAAGTCGGTGTTAAAGGTAATGATACGCAGCTTCGGATACTTGGGGTGATTGATGCTGTAACCTCCATAGTGCGTTCGAGCCTCTTGTGCAGCCTCTGGTGTGATCCAGTTGTTCTGCTGCCAGAGGGATGCAACGTGATTCCAGTTCCACGATCTGCCAAGATTAGCCGGGTCGCAAAACAGCGTGAGCGACTCACTGCTGCTGGCCCAGAGGCCCTGGTAAGCTATGTGGCGAGTTAATCCCGTCTGCCGAAAGATCAGCACAGTCCCGTTCGTTCAACTTTTGCTCTTACCAGGATTCGTGTCGTGGTTGCCAAGCACAGGGAATATCGGCCCAGATGGGATAAACGACTTGATCATGTGGTAGATCGCCACCTCGGCATACTCGGTGTAATTGTTCGACAGCTCGTTCTGAGATTCATGCGAGACAAGATCACCAGTGTAGATACCCCAGGCAAATTGGTCGCTGTCGCTCTTGTTGTTCGACGTAGTGCCAGTAAGTGGGCCAATGGATTCCAGCGCAGACGTCAGCAGGAAATAAGGACTGTCACATTTGAACGCTCCATACAGGGGAGATGGGATCTCCAGCTGACCGGAAGCGCTTTTGGGGTTATTGGAGCGGCAGCATAACCCACTAGTGCAGTTGGCCTCAGAGCCTACATCGTACCTGGGATCAATGTGGAAGTCGCTGAGATGGACGACCTTGACTCGGTTGCCACTTGGTTTCGGCACCGTAACGTTGCTCGGCTTGGGTCCGAAATATGCTGTCGTGTTCGATGGAAGAGTATATGGTCGAGGGCAAAAGTTACTGCTGACATAGTTGCACAGATACTGGCCGTCAGATCCAGAAACGTTCGCAAAGGCCAGAACTTGAGCATAGATGGCGCCATAGTTTTCTGCATCGTAGGACTCGTGGCAGCTCGTGTTAGACCCGAAATCGCTGCTTATGCACAGTTGGAGCAGCAATTCAGGGACCAAGGTAGGCACCCGTTGCGCTACATATTGGCCAACCTCCAAAGCCGATATACACTTCGTACAGTTGGTTGCATTGGTGGCCAAGATGGCATTGAACTGGCTGATAGCATCGGTGACGATCGCACTTCCGTTCGTGACTGTGAACAACGGCGTCGGAAAGAAGATTGGATCTTCACTCTCCTCGGGAATATTGGTTTGATTTGTTAGTTCCAACGGAAACGTGTAGTTCAAGGCCGGGTCGAACACAATGGGTTGTGGCTACCGATGTTAGTGTCGTCTTTAAAAGTCCCATGGCAGTTGACCTTACTTCTTGCGTTGGGGAAGGTGGTATATAGTACGCAGGAAAGAGGCTGGTTGGGAAGCCGGCAGGCACAGTGTAAGCTAATAGCTGAGAACTGGAGGTTCGGGCATGAGCATATTGGCAAGAGAGCAAGGCCAGTGCCGGGAGAAGGGAGCAGGAGCTGCAATACATGGTGGGCAAAAGGTACAAAACCAAGACTGAAGTCTACCCACCGTATCTCACAAAGGAGCGCATGAAGAAGGTCGTGAGATGCTCAACCATTTATTGGGTGTTTGGATTGCGGTAGAGCTTGATCCAAGTTGGCTCGCGATCGAAGCATGATGCTCTTGAAGCTTCCTGTTGGTGGGTTATGCTGTTCGAGGCCAATGACGGTGATGATGGAATGCGAAAAGCACCGCCAAGCTGCATGGGCGGCGATGTTGCGTTAGTGGCTGCCAAGGCCACCAATTGTAGCGAGGCTGGAGTAACACGTGCTTAGCTAGTCCAGAAGCATTCCCTCATAGGCAGCTCGACAACTTTGGAGCTGACGAGGTAGGCATTATTGCATAGGCGAGACGGAGACCAGTAACTGCCACGTGCATGGCCATGAATCATCCAACAGCTCGCGGGCCGTTCGCGAAAACTGGCAATATCGGTAGCCGATGGCTCGGTGAATACCCATGCCACCTGGGGCACAGTGCATCGGTATAGGCAGGTCATTGGCGAGCCTTGCATACACCTGCTCACCTTATGTCCCTAAGTTTTTCACCACTTTGGTAATGGTCTCTTTGTATTGCTTCATTCCTCTTTCCAGCTCCCGTATCCCTGGTCCCGTCCTGCCGAGGTGATATACTGTTCCTGGCACCAGTGTTTCCTCTGGCCCTCTTCCCAGTGACGTTGCGGCTAGCAAGAACATAGTGGAGTTCCTTCGACAAGTCGGAAGTAAGCATGGTCGGAAAGATCTCGTTCACCACCAGACAGCGTGAGGTCCTTCTTGCAGAGGTCTTTTGATGACGACGCAGCATTAGAACCACCTTGGTACCAGTTTCTTGGCTCCTCACGACAATATTTCCGTCGCGCAGTGTCGGGTTCGACGTGCCTCATCTGGATGCCTGTGGCATATCAGCAGAGCTAATGAGAAACTACCTTGCTCAAGAGTTGGAATGGCGGAGTCAGCACAAGAAAAGAGATTGGTGTCCTCCGTAGTCCGTTGCGCAGCGCAGGATGCATGTTTCCATATTTGATCGACGGGAGGATATGGCATAACTCCAGATAGCGGCAACTCGAACTGGAAGGGTCAGGTAGGCAGGGCCGTCTCAGAATACCCATGGAATCGGAACATGTCGACAAGCGTGGGATCTTCGGCATGTAAATAGTATGAGATCCGTAGCGAGATGAGTTAGTCTCACGACATTTATCTCGCGTGCTTGGATGAGCCGCTCTGGCTCTTCGCCATGTCTTCCACTGTGGTGAGATACGTTGTTTGTGAACGTCTGAACAGCTCAGGGTCAGCGAACTCCAAATAGTTCAGATGACCGTCATTTGAATATTTGCCCCATGACCGACCTTCATCTTGAACGGGATCGTTGAGCGCAACCCTCAGAGTGCCTACATAGCTGGACTTTGGTGCGCCCAACTGATCAGCAGCGAAGGTCAACAGCAGCGCTCGGCCTGAAGCTGAAGGCCGTCGACAAACCTTACTACCATGGCGCAGTTCCGATCAAAGAAGCTCGACCTGGGCTGTTTCATCAATCCCAAAATTATCCGTGATCACACCAAGCGGAAGACATTCGAACAGTTTGAACCACAACGGTATATATCCCCGTCCTATCCCGCATTACTTTATTGCGACAGATTCTGATGCCCAAATGATGTTTAGACAAGCGCTCCGATATCTCATCCGCAACACCTCACTCCCCGACTGGGTCCGTACGAAAGCGCAGTTCGAACTGAGGAACATGCACTGCTACACGAGGCCAACGCAGATCAAGAACCGCTGTATAATGGGTGGTCTGGCAAGAGGTGTATTACGAAAGTTTAGGATGGCCAGGTTTCAGTTCCGAATGAACGCTTTGGACGGCACCATACCAGGCGTCAAGAAAGCCAGTTGGTGAAAGACTTGTACAAAAGTGTCAGAGAAGAGTATATCATGCATCTGCACGGCGTTACGCTTGTGTTACCATGGGAGGAAATCAGCGTGGATCATGGAGGACGTGTTCAAAATATGGAATGGCCAGACCCTCTGGCAACCCGTGAGGTATTACATGCATTAGGTCCCAGTGATGCTCCGTTCTCCATCGAACGAGCAGAAGACAAGGAAATATTTCAGCCCAGTGACCACCAGATCAGAGCTGATAACGGAACGCGCTACTTCACCAATCCATCGCCATAACAGGTTCCGTGTTGCCTGTCTTTGTCGTGTCGTTAACATATGCATGTGTCTCATTGACTGATTTCGTGTTCCCTCGGCAGCCTATCAAACCACACTTGGTGCTGTTAGCCCTTGTTTCGAATTGTGAACTTGTCAGAAGCAGTGCGGAAACCTCACCAGCCTAATAAAGACGAACCCTCGGCTCCTCGTGGTCGACGCTCGGATCCAGGTTCAATCTCTCAATCATTGCGACAACACTGTTATCTTGAGCGTGTTGAGGAGACGCCTCAGGAGACGAGGCCATGATTGCGGCTTCGAAAGAGTCAAGATGTTGCTTGCGCGTCTTGTCGTCAGGTGTCGTTGGCCTGCCAGGGTCTGGAAGTGGCGTGACATGCCATTCCGATCCAGTGTTCCAAGCATCATTCTCTCTCAATGTCTCTAGTTTATTCTCTGCACCGTGGTCTTCTTCATGCTGGTTCTTGTCGCTCTTGATTCTTGCCTGGATCAACATTGCAACCCAGGCTTCGAGAGTATACCGCGCATCATTTCCACCATTGTGTGGGAAGTAGCATGGAAGGCCGAGGTCTGACATGATAGAAGAGAGGCTGCGATTCTGGGTCTCTTCTTTAAACACACGATAGAGCGGTGCAGTGTCCATAGAATCGATGATAGAAGCAAGAACCTTGGATTTTCCCTCACCATTGGCCATCATGTCCATAGCCGGAATAGGATAAGTCGCGCGGGACGGGGTGAAGATTTTCGACCCCAGATCTCTTAGATACTGGACGTCGGCACGAATATCGTGTCCCACCAGGACGATGTTGCGTTCTTGAGGTCCTTGCTGAAGACTCTCCGGGTCTGACTTTTCTGCCCCGGTAGGCTCGACAGCCTGAGTGTCGGCTTCTGTGTTCTCAATGCCCTTCAGCACATTGGCAATAGCTGCTCTGCTTGCGGCATCTTGCTCAGCATTGGTCGGTCCAATGTAAACCCCTCCAAAATCGTTCGACACTCTTCTTTGTGTGTTGTTCTCCTTTGCCAGCTTGGCTGGCTCGACAGTCCATTGGTCATCTAGACTATCGTGCTTGAACTGTACAGAGAATGGCCATTCAAAGCAGCTGTCAACGATGGCCACAGCTTCCTTGAGGTCAACCAACTCAGATTGGCCAAATTGGAACGCATCTGGATGGCCGGCGCAGAAGTCTCTGTTGACAAGATGCTCCCTGCCACTGATGCGGAAGTGACGCGAACGAATTTCATTGAGCCAGTTTTTGCCGTTAGGGCCAGGGGGAAGACCGACCAAGTCGAGAGTGTCAAGAGTGCTGATGCCGATCTCGGTGATGAGATTGTGTGCTCTCTCATACGACTCAACGTCGATTGCAATGATTACGGGCTCCTTCTCGAAAGGCAGTGGAGCTGGTTCGTTGAGATTGAGCCGGTTGAGCACGAAATGGGCTCTCTTGAGCTGTTCGTGACGGAACTTCTCCTGCTCTTCCCACGACATGGCAGGATCTGGGTGTTGGATTTGACCTGTCTTACGACGCAAGCCCAGGTAGCGTTGAGCTCTTCTGAGCTGGACGTACCAATCCTTGATACTGAGCAAGCGGTCATCTTCCCTCCTGCTTTTGTCTACGCCGCTTTTGTTCTTGCCCTTTGCTGAGATGGCCGTTTGACACATGTCCTTGAAATCCTCAAAGGCCTGTTTGATGGTAACTGGAGCATCATCCGGACATTCTCCATGGTTCATGGGAACAGCAGGAACATTGTTCTGTAGGTTGTTGACATCGTCTCTCGAGTTTGACTTGCCCAAAAATATGGGTTGAGGAGTCCCATCATCGAAGAATGTAAGGGTGAACGGAAATTTTGGCACTGACACTGGTACTTTGAAGGTCTGCCCAATCTCAGTGACTAGCTGCTGAAACTGGGCATAAGGTACGAGATAGATTGGCTTGATACTTAAAGAGAACGGAGGATGAAGGTAATACCTGGCTCAAATTAGCTATCAGTTGCCCTATGACGGATCTGATTATTATATGAATGACTCACAGATCCCAGTTTCGGGAGTAGAATTTATTGGAGGCAAAGAAGTGTCGAGACACACGGTCGTTGGTGTCGCTCATGTACTTGTAAGGGAACTTGGCCGCAAGAGTGAACTGGCAAAAGTGTCCAATAACTGGATTTCCATGGACATCTGCTGTCGGGAGGTGGACATCGTCGGAGTCGGGCTCGCTTACTGGGTCGGCAGAGGTGTGCTTCGTCGATTTGCCCCTTGCGAGATACTCAATCCGGCCTTTGGGCTTAACGATGGCATCCTCAGAATGGCCAACACTATCGGGCTCAGGCATGTTTCGTCGCTTTGACTTCACATTTTTGGTAGGCGCTTTCATTGACGGCTTCTTCTTAAAAGCACAGATGTAGTCATCTTCGTCGGAACTGGTAAGGATGTCTATTGCTTGTTGAGCTTCCTCCTTCTGAGGTGGTTTGACTTGTCTAGGGTATTCGGCAGTGGAGCCGACTCTGAACTGTGTTTCTTCTTTGGCTTCCTTCTCCGCAAGCTCCTTCTCGGAGAAGTGGAGTTGACCAGCTGGCGGAGCGGGCGGCAGAGGTGACTTTGCAAACAGTCGATCCAGCCGAGTTTGGGGGTTAGTAGTAGCCATCTTGCACAACAGATTCTTCTGTGCGGAAAGAAGTGTGAACCGCCAGTAACGGAGGCTTCGTGGGACTGGAGTGGTGAAACTTGGCAGAGAGAACTGAAGAAAGAAACTCGCCGTCTCAGGTGGAATTTCACTGGTTCGATGTAATTCGCATGAGTATGGAAGTTGCAATACGAACCAAACAGAAAGGCAAAGAAAGAAGGTACGTGAAGTGACAGAATTTGTATTGTTGGTGAAGATGGCACGTGAGGCAGAAGTGATGGTAGGTTGAGGTAAACGATCAAAGCATGCAAACTGCGGTCAGCTTCGGCTCAGCTGTACGTGTAGGAACCGGCATTACAGTCTTGACCCAGCTGCTTCCTGTAGTGGGGAAGTGGCCCAGTAGCAGCTCCAAGACTTGCCAGTGAGGAGGTTGTTACGAACAATATGAGGTAAAGGATGTGTTTAACAAACAGTCAGAAGATGGGCGAAGTACCATTGAAGGCAGAGTGGAGCTTGAAGCCCCGCACGTGACAGTTTCTGCCACTTCCCACCGCCTTTGCCGCGACCACAAATCGATGTGACATGCGCGGTCGTTCGACTGCGACTGCGACTGCGCCTGCGCTTGAGCAGGAACAGGTGGGATGTAGACGACAGCAGAGAAGCAGCGCCCGACTCTCTTCATTCTTAAAGGACTACGCAGCCTGATACTACTCCGCTTTCAACATTACAGGCTCTTCCTCTTCGCTCATCGAAGACCTATCGCGAGGCAATAGATTCGGTGCTTGAGATTGCTCACTCTGATCCCTCCGATGCGCCGCCGACCACAACGACCTACTACAGTCGGCCTCCATGGTCACCATGGCGGAGATAGTCAGCGAGCGAGCTGCGGATCCGGATGCGCAGGCTGCCGTGACCGATTTTCTGGACTACACTGAATATCTTCCCTCCGACCTTATACGGTCCCTTACCCTGATTTGCGGCCTAGACGACGCGTATCAAAGTCATTCTCTCGCGGTGGACGACCTCACCAAGCTTTATGGTACTCTACCGTCTCTTGAACCAGGCTTGCGTCCGAATCCACAAGAACTCCGCACTCAAATATCGGCTCGATTGGACCAGGCTCTTAACGCGCGAGAGTCAGCCCACGCAGAGGCCCGGCGCCTATATGACGTCGCCGAACGACATCAGAACAGACTGAAGAGCATCATCGCCAAGTTAAATGCTATACCTAAGCCTCCTTTGCGAGATCCTACTCCTCCACCCGTACCCTCGTCGCAGGTCAAGCGTTCGAGGAGCGGCAGAAAGATTGAGACCACCACCAGACTCACACTACATCCCCCTCGTAGCAATGCGGTGGCTTCCGCAATACTTAAGAAACCTCGAAGTCGCCGAGTGACGGTGCCTGGAGAAGTCATGCCACCTTACGACCCGGACTCGCCGATCGCAAGTACAGAGGTGTCGGACTGGGGATCTCCGCCGCCTTCTCCACCACGACCAGTCCTCAAGCTTAAACAGCCAAAGCCGCCGCCGCCTGCATCCGTGAAGTCTCTCAAGCAGAAGCCTGTACCTTCCGAAGCCAAACCCCGCCCAACTCGAGATGAGACGGAAACATATCGCAAACCAACTCCTCCGCCGGAGGAGGCTGAGATCGGGAGCAAATACAAACCGTGGACGCACTTGACCGAGTTCGAGATGTACAAACTTCGCAAGAAGATGAAGAAAAACCATACCTGGGAGCCCAGCGATGTCATGATCAGGCGCGAGTTGGCGGACCGCGGGAGGGGTTGGGAGAACTACTACCGAGCAAAGGCAGAAGCCGAAAAGAACGGTGCCAAGTTCATCGATCTCGATAGCGCCGAAAAGGTCTTTCCCAAGGCCGAGATGAGCGAGAAGGGAGAGAAGCTGGCCCAAATCGAGAGCGACAAAGAGTCAGACACTTTGGAAGTGGTGAACAAGACCGAAGATGCGACTATCCCAGCGCGGCTGACGGACAACGTCGAGAAACCGGAGCCTGCCGGACCTGTGGTAACCCCTGCTTCCAAACCCAAGGCACCAAAGAGGAGTGAGAAGAAGGAGAAGAAGCAGCCTGAGCCGGTACTTTCGCAAGCCGCGCTTGCAGCCCAGGAGGCTGAACTCGCAGCTCGACGCCTTGGGGACATTGGTTCCAAGTTCCGTACCTTGTTCGCCTCGCCCTTGTCTGCGCTGGCGTCTTTCAGTCGAAGCGCTAGTACTCCGACGGCCATTCGCCCAGCTAACTCGGCGAAGAAAGGCACTGAAAAAGCCTCAAAAAAGAGAAAGGCCGAAGACACGCCAATTGCCTCGCTCTCGCCATCCGCAGAGCCTGAGAATGCAAAGAAGAAGCAGAAGGTTGCGCCGAAGCCATCGCCTCTTGCGGTCAGTCCTGTTCCCGCTGCGCCATCCACATCGCCAGCTGCAACGAGCAGTGAGCCACCTCCCTCCACAATCGCACCCAGCGCAGGAACCATCAAGATTCCCTTGAAGCTCAACTTGACCGCGACGTCGGCAAGTGCTGTAGCTCCTGTTACTGCCGTAAGTAAGGCTCCTACTCCCGCACCTACGATGCGAGCGGTCAGCGTACAGCGAACTTCTGTCGCGCCGAAGCCCTCGGCGTCCCCTCCCGTATCTGCGACGCCACCAGTATCGGCAACGACTTCACGTCCGCCTTCGCGTCGCTCCGCAGCTGCGTCCGTGGAACCACAACCCGCCACCACACGTTCTAGCCGGCGCGCATCAATGACCCCATCGCTGGCTGGAGGTCAGAAGACACCTGCCGCGGAAGCCCAATCTCAAGGACCGAGTCCTAAATCTATATTCAGCGCCATTCCTACGGCAGCAAGTCGGCGCAGCAAGCGTGACGCGCCAGGCATGGTAATGCAGTCGAGTCAGGATGGCGGGGCTGCTGTTAGTGTCAGCAAGAGGAAAACCAAGCCCGCCAAGAAGGTCTCGAGTACAGCAGCGCTGGCATCCGCCGCGGCACAGATGCCCCAGATTAGGATCGACGTCGATGGGCGTCAGGAGTGGGTGGACCCGGACGAAGAGCGGTATTGCGTTTGCGGGGATGTTAGTTGGGGGGAGATGATCTGTTGTGAATTGGATGAGAAGGTATGTTTCTTCCACGCATTCTCGCCTGACCTTTTTGTTAGGACGGTCTGCTCGGTAGTGAGTATTGTTTGACATGGATTCTAGTGCGACTTCGGCCAATGGTTCCACATGGAATGCGTGTCACTGCACGAACTACCCCCACGAACGGTGAAGTGGTACTGTCCTGGAGATCGAAAGAAACTCCGCAGGGGCGAAATGACGAATGGGTTGGTTGGAAGGGGCATCAAGTAGGAATTGACATGGACTTCAGGTGGTGTGTATTCTTTCAAGCCGCATTTCCTAGGCCCAGCAGATACGGGAAGGCGGACTGTGTAAGATGGCACACTATAGTGCATAGGATGTGTTGCAGAGGCCGAGCGAGGTGACAGACTTGCTGAACCGGACAGCGCAGACCGCGCGTCTTCCTCTGTTCATAGCACCGACATGATTATAGGCTCCGGCTGTGAGACCTATGCCTTGGTGGGGGTAGCCACGCATCTACCACGGTCCTCGGATGAGCTGTCCTCATTGTTGCGAGCTGGGTGTTTCTTCTCACATTCTCGTGGGGTCTGAGGTCGACGCAAGGGATTAGTGAACACAGACCCTACATCCATCCACCTACAGCAGTAAGCACCGTCAATACAGTACCACGCGTACAATACTGGAACCATTCAGCCTGAATCTTAGCCCACCAGGGCCGGTGCATAGCCGAAAGTGGTTCAAGTGGATCTCCCTCCACGATACGGCGCACGCAATGCAGAGGACACGAGACGCCGGACAGGCAGGGTACTGTATCTATCAAAGCACCAGCCTTCGAATCTGTAATTCAGTTCTACATGATTGGCTATTTGCTACGCCGTGAAAATAATACGGCGGATGGTGGCGCCGGTTGTGCTCGTTAGCCCATCGAGCCCACGCCTGACGCGCACCTGACACGATGGTCAAATCATTCCTCCTTCGCAACTCAGACTCTGCACAAGCTCATCCAAATCACGGACATAGCGATGAACGGGACAGCGGCCATGAAAACGCCGACTCGCTGTTGATGCGTGGACTCATGAGATGCTCCTCGACAACAGACGCGGTTCCCTTCGAGGCAGCCAATACATGATGTTGGCCACACTACAGAATCTAGTCATCCTCGCCAGCTGAGTTCGTCCGTGAGCATGTCACCACAAGTTGCACTTGGCTCGTTAGTTTTTGTCGAACGAAGAAAATGCTCGGGTTGTACTGGTGAGTCCTCACCCTGGTAGATGGCAGAACCTTGAAAATCGGACCACCACATACATTGACGAGAGACTTTGCAGCTCCCAAGGTACGACTGTAAGATATAGGCGTGGCGTCTGTGATCAATGTCATTGTCTCTTATCAGCATGCGTGACACAGCAGATGGGTGACCGAATCTTCGAGAACCACTTGAAACAATGAACCCGGGAGAATGTGAAACTGTGCACAGCATGGAAGTTGTGACAGAAGACGGCAAATCGGTTTGACAGTGCCACTTTCATGGTTGCCCTCTCAAGGCTGTGTATCCTCACTCACGCCGATAGCTCGCGATGCTGTGTTGGAGATGGCTCTCCCGATGACTCTTCCCTTCACTCACCGCTTCACAGGGAGGAATGAATTGACCGCATACTCATGACTATATCTACCCAGTTTGTCGCGAAGTTGTGTCCCTAATTGTCCCAATTCCTCCTTGCAAGCTCTATTGCAAAGGAGACATCGAGGACAGTCACACTGCTGTTGTCACAGATCGCCAGCAACTGGGCGTGTTCCTCGTCACCTCTGGCGCCGCAACGAATCCTCACTGTCGTTCGCTACTGCCGTCTCGACGTCACTAGCTGTTCTCAAACAAATCTTCAGTGAGAGAAAGTGCAAACGACGTGATGGAGAACGGCTATAAAGGCGGGTCCACGGCCGCTACTTTCAAGCCTCCCTCTCTGTCTCCATACCAGAACTCTCAGACACGAAACACGACATCCACCGCAAAGCAACCATACGATAAATACGTCGTCCTTCCAAGCAAGCCCACAATCCAAGTATCTCAGTATACACCATCTGTCACCCCACGACGCAAAATGGGTAAATGCTCTTATTGCGGAAACGACTCGAGCACGTATTCGTGCAACTGCGCATCGGAGTATGCGAGCACCTCGAGCTTCGACAAGAGCCCCACCTCACTGAATGATCCGAAGCCAGAGCTGGGCTCGGGTTCTTCTAGCTACACTGGCGTTGGTGGATCCACATATACCTCGACCCAATCCACCGACTACGTTGGCAAGCCAAGCAACTCCTCCGGCTACGGAAGTCGCAAATGAGCTAGCACAGCTGAATTGGCGTTGAGTGACCGTCCTCGGCGGCGGAGCTGTTCAGATGCGCGAGTAGCATGGCTCGATATCGTCACGAAAACGACGTGAACCAGAAGATACCTGTCAGTTGGTTTCGGCAGTTGTTACGAGTAACAGACGAGCTCAGTGCTGAATGATTTGAGCTCTGCAGCCCAGCATCATGAACGGAGACCTCACATGGACTATCCTAGTTGAAGGACATGCATGTGCTGTACCAAGCAGAGACCGTGGAAGGGTTGACGACAACCAACTTCAGAGACTACTGTCGCTTTCAGAGCAAGTAGTCACCATAGAACTAGATCACTACAACACCGGGTTCTGAGCTAAACTTAACATGTTACTCCATGTCTGTAACTCCATGTCTGTTACTCCATGTCTGTATATCTCGTTGCACCACTAAGAAGGAAGCAAAACAACAACTACGGCGCTTGCGTAGACAGCAGTTCTTCGGATCGACGACGCGAAGAAAGTAGAGCCACGCAAAACAACGCTTTTGTTCTATTACCGATTGATCTTCCCTCTGAACATTTTGTTCATCCACAACCATGCGCAATCATAGTGCAGAGGCACCCAGCACATGCCTTTGTGGCCCTTTGGGCCCGTGTCTCTCACCTCTCCTTCCAACCCTCCCCCTCAGTTTTATAGAACAAGACATTCGGCGCGGTCTTGACCTTCAAAATACTCATACCGGCCTTGGCCAGCTTGGGCGCGCCCCTCGCGATCTTCTCGACATCCTCCTTCGTCACGACCTTCAGCCCAGCCTTCCAATCGTCGCCCTCCTCCTCGGCCCGATCCGGCACGCCCACGAGTTCCAGGCTCTCCAACTCGGCCGCCACGCCACCCTGGTCCAACCCGCTAGCGAGTTTCTCGACCCACCCATCCTCGAGCAGCACGCTCACGGTCAAGTCGGCGAGACCCGGGCGCGCGCCCCCGGCACAAGCATACACGACGTGCCCGACCTCGGCGGGCCTCAACGACCACATGGCCAAGTTGAGGATTTTCAGGTCCTTGAGCTCGCCCCCGTGACTGAGGGTTTCGAAGCGTTTCCTCGCGGCGGAGGGCGCCCGCCCGTCGCACGCAAAGGGGAGGACACCCTCGTTCAATTTCCCCAGGGGTTTGTCCTTGCCCTCCTCGTCGGCCTCGGCCTCCTGCAGCTCGTCCCGCCGCTGGGGGACAAAGTCAAACGACGCGCCGACCATGCCCTTGACGACCAGGCTCGACAAATCCTCGCCCTGCACGCGGGCCAGGAAGTCCGAGTCCTCGTGCCCGCGGAACGTGTACGACACGTCGACCAGCTTAAACCCCTGAGTGGGTTCAAGGGAGGCGTGCTTCTCGAGCTCCGCCCCCACGGCCGTGAAAAAGCCAGGTCGCGCGAACGAGTCGATGACGTGCAACTCCTTCAGGTTCGGGGCCACGAGGGAGAAGAACTTCTCGGCGTCGCGCCGCGAGTGCTCGTCCAGGCCGTCGATCAGGCAGCTGAAGAACGTGACGCTGCGGATGTTGGGCAGGGAGCGCGCGAGGCGCGTCAGGAAGGGCGGTGTGCCGGGGAACCCGAGGCCGAAGAGCTCAAAGGTGAGGTGCGTGATGGATTGCGGGAGCTCGTCTAGCGGTGGCTGCGTGATGATGGCGTCTGGCGGTGTCTGCACCATGGATTGGTATTCGTCGAGCTTGATGTCCGCCGTGAGTGTGAGTTCCCTTAACCGCGAGGCTTGGGGAGGGAACGCCGGCAGTTGGAACGACTTTAGCGGGATCTGCGCCGCGAGCGGGTAGGAGCCTGGGTCTTGAGCCTCAGCTGGAACTGCTGCAGCTGCAGCAGCGTCTGTGGACGCAGCGCCGTTGGCCACTGCTGCCATCTTGGGGGATGGTGGATACCGTGGTGGAACGGTCGTCTTGTGGTTGGGAGGGTGTTCGTGTGAGAGCAGTAGCAGAAGACAGATAGATCTTGGTAACTTGGAACCAGGTCTGGAGCAACCGCCTTGCAGCGAAAAGCAGAGGTTTCGTATCGTCGTTCTTACCGTAGCCCGTGAGTCAACCAGGCCTTTGAAGATTGGTTAACCGCTACTCTTACTATACACAGTCAGGTATGCAGAGTCAAGTTCTGAGAGAAAGTGATCTTAACATCGATAGAGAGCTCAAGGAATTTCTGTATGGAAGTATGTGAGTATGTAATCTCCGCTCGAATCCTTTCCCTCGTTTCTTTTGCACTGCCCGTTCTTCGATTCGGCGACCTTCCACCACCATCTCCACGGTACATGATTGCTGATGGAATGCCTGCCGCTCTGCTTGGGTTCTTACTCGTAGCTCGTAACCAGCTTACCCCTCAAAAAGGGGAGACGGGTGTCCCGCACATAGTGGCCCGCTGGTGCCGCCCATGGCGCTCGGCGCGGGGAAAAGGTGGGCAGGGGTTGATGTGCTTGGTCGCGAGGATGGCTCGGTCGACGATCATCCGGAGATAGCTCGTAACGAGGAAAATGGGGATGTGTGGCACGGATGTGGACCTGGATGTGGATGGCCACATTAAGACGAGCGGCGGAGAAGCGGGAAGAATGGTGGGAGTTTGGGAGCGTGTTTACAGCGTTACAATACCCCGTAGAGAGGGATAGTACGTGTCATCTTCTTCGGCATGATCAAGGCCGAGAATGACTGACGGCCATGTCATGATGGATTAGAAAACTAGAAGAACGGCTGCCAACGTCTCTTGCAGGCCGTCATTTTGATTGTTCTGATTCTCATGGTCACGTCTCCACCTGTAACTCTGTGCTATGGAAAGCAGGTTTGGTTACATCAGGACAATGTTGACACATCAGGTCGTAGCTCATCAATCATTCCTTCTTCAAAAGCAAGGCCTCTTCCTCATCCACCACTGCAGATTGCAGAACATCCCGGACCGCAGGCAAGGCGACGAAAGTAATCCAATGGGAGGATGTCGCTCAGACCCCTAGTGATACATGCATAACGAGCGTGAATTGTGGTAACGGCTCTGGCCGTAGATCATATCCAGGTTTATCATGCCGAGTCGTCAGGAATACTCAATCCTCCGCCATGACACTCCGTGGAAAGGCGAGCCCGGTAGGTCGCACTTAGGAAAGATCGAGTTCAACATAGGCAGACTTGTGCGCGTACCCAGACTCAGGGGACGCCGCGTCCTGGCCGGTATGCTCAGTCCAGGTGATCAGGATCTTCGAGCCACCGTTGGTGATGTCGTCGTCGCCGAAATAACCTGCATGCATGCCGCCGGCGTAGATGTATCCCTCGATGGGGGCCTCAATCTGGGCCAAGACTTTCTCGGCGGACCACTTGGCTTTGACAATGTTATCCACGTCACAGTCTTGGTCATCAGCATCCAGATCAAGAGGCAGATGGCGATAGTAGAATGTGTTGTCTGCAAGAGTATTTAGGTAGATCATGAGGAAGCTCCGGATGGCTGGAACATACACGACATCCAAGTCCTGAACCTGCATGTCCAGCATGACAGCATTCGAAGACGAAGACGGCATGTCTTCTGTATAGGAGTCACCATTCCAGTACTCATATGTCGACAAGTCCGTGAAGCCATTTGGAACCGTTCTTGCGACGAGAACACCATTATCACCCTTGCCGAAGAGATAGATATGCCCGTCGTTGCCGCCCTTTCCAGCAGGACCCCACGAGCGGATGCCGCCCAGAGTGCCAAAAGTGACTTGATCTTGATTGTACAGCTGTGGGACAACGCGTTCGGCGGTTGGACCGTAGGTAGGGTCCACCGATACCAGAAGGATGGTGTTTCCAATGTCGTTGAAAACTGCTGCCTGATTGCTCATGTCGACGACATCGTATACTAGGGCAGGATAAAGTAGGGCATGAGAGGCATTGAAAGGTATGACTGAGGATTCCGGCCACACTGCATATCGGTATCCTCTGCCGGAGAGGTCGATGTTGAAGGATTCCTCTCCAGTGGTCATGGGAGCAAAGCCTCGCATTCTGCCGACATCATCCTGCCACTCACCAAGATTGTCGACAAGCTCGAGGGGTTCGCCGTAGAGAGCTTTCATCCCGTCGTCCGTGGCGACAGAGCTAGATACGAAACCGACCATGCCTTGATCTTCGGAGAAACTTGCAGTGTCGCAGAAGACGAAAATATGTGTTTCATTGATCGTACCTCCTTTTCCACCATCACGAGACATGCGTGGCGCGGCTTTCATGTTTGACAGTGTTACACCACTTGGCAACTGACCTTCAGTCCAAGAGCCGGTGTCATCGGCAATGGGATACTTGGTGATGAGGTCGGGGTTAAGGCCAGGAACAAGGAGACTGCTTGCCAGCTTCTGGGGAGTGGCAGGTACATGACTGACGTACTGGTTGGTAGGCTTGTTTGTGGAGCTGCCCAGGATTTTCAAGTTTCCTACGTTGACTTCGGAGTAGGTCTTTCGCAGATTTGAACGAGGGGTCGGCAGTGAAGAAGATGTTGATGGCAAAGCACGTGACGCCGTAGAGGGCATGATGGTCGCACCTACGAGGTGGATTGTCGCCGAGCTAGGGTCGTGCAAGGAAGACTTCAGGTAACAATCATCGGCGCCGTTGGTGCGATCTGGGGCGAAGACAAAGCCAGCGCAGCTGGTGCCTGCCATGGCTTTCTCGTTGTAGGTCTCGCATTGCCCCAAACACTCATCGAAGGAGCCCGCAAGAATGAAGGGATAGATGTGCTGAGCCGGGAAGTCGATGTCGCAGATCATGGTATACTTTGTGCCATTGGGGAGCGCAGTGACGAAAGTGGTGCCGTTCGCAGCATCGCAAGGTAGACTTGAGGGTAGCAGAGTAGGATTGGCGCAATGCACTCCGGTACATGGGGAGACTGGGCCAGCCGAGACTGAGCTCGCTTTTGCTTTGGCGGGAATGGGATATTTGGTGGTGTGTGTTGGTTCGTACCGGCTTGCGAGAAGATGACGAAAATGATTGAAACTGTAAGGGTGGGCTGTCGCGAGGTTGATGAATGACAGAAAGACGAGAGAATGGACCAGCATCATGCTGAAAGCAATGGGGAAGGAGCGCATAGTGACGACCGATGCTGTCTTTCTGTCAATCACAAGTCCTTCAAGACGATGTTGGACTTACCCTTGCAGCGAAGCATCAGGTTGGGCGACCGATCCAGCCGGTTCGAGATTTTTCAAGGAGTGACTGTACGCAGTGAATGGCTGTTCGTCAGCCTGCGCTTTGAGAAGGAGTGGTGAGTGGGTGTCCAAAAGAAATGTTGTTGTTTTGGTCACCGAGAAGGAAAGTGGAAGGCAGAGAGGGCAAGTTCCAAAACACCAGGAGACTGTTTGTTTACAAGGTCCGGCAGAATCCATCTAGGTAGACACTAGCACTGCCTTTACCGCATCAAAGCGAGACTCTGTATGTAACCGGCGAGTGGAGCGGAATAGCAGCAGTCCGAGTACACATTACTTGGTGGTCGAGGCTCAGTCTCTGGGCATATCCTAGTGTCATCAAAACTCCCTATTCATTCGTTTCATTTCGTGTGAAGCCCCGTGTCCGACTCCAAAAGGCCTCCAAGCATTAGCTCATCATAGCGTCCATGGCTTCGTGGATATCTCTAGTTCAGGCGTCGAATCACACGAGGCTTTGGTTGGATGTGGCCAGCACCTGGAAGAAGAGGTATCGTTTCAACTGTCACTGGCATTGCCACTGCCGTATCGGTTTCCAGGTCACTTCATCATCATCCTGCTGGCTCCTCGGTTGCGGGCTGTCCTCATGTTCGGCGTGCCCGTGACAGACTGTGTCAAACTCAATATCTGTGCAACCTTAGGAACTCGCCCCCGCAACTCTAGGTTGGCTGTATGGTGACGCAGCAGACGAATTCATTCGGCCTTCTTTGCAAGTTCCCGCACGTTTGACGAGGGTGTCGCATTCTTCTCTAAATCAGCAGCCCATAACGCCGCGCCCACCGTGTTCGTGAATGCGAAAAGGAGGTTGGCGAAGGGGATCATCTCCAGCACGAATGCCACCACCCCGAATGCAGTATATCCTCCACGATGATACTCAATGTGTGCCTCCCTCTTTGACTTGCTCCATTCTTTCAGTTGGAAGTATCTCGTATGCGCTGCTGGTCCAGCTCGCTTTCCCTGTAGTGCAATGAAGATGGCCGTGCCCACTATCGGGATGAAATTTAGCGGCAGGTAGAGCACGTAACGAATGATCGCATTGGGCGTGAACTTTGCGAACGGTCTCTTGACCAATTTCCCCAGTCGCGCAATATTGTCCCCTCCAGCTCTGATCTGTCTGCCTCCCTCAACCAGGTTCGTACATTCCCGAGAGAGTAGTGTACCGTCGAAAGTGTCAACTAAGGCATCCTCTATCAGGAATGTCCTCGAAAAGAGATTGATGAGGGTCGAACTCTCGCTGAGTGTGAGCAAGGCCGCCGAGATTGCTGCAACTGGACCGGAAGTGAACGCCATGATGGCAACTTGAGGAACATAGGCAATGAGGAACATGAAGGTGGTGACGCCAATGCTCAGGGTCAAGGTCGGTGCCAGCTTCGCAGTCAACGGTTTCCAGAGGTCTTTGTGAGACAGAAAGTAGAAAATTCCCTACATTTGTATCAGAATGTCCGTGTCTCTGACCAGGGAAGGACGGCATACCTTGAGGGGATAGAGGTATGCTCGAGATCTGACAGCCTCTTGGGTCATGGTTTTGACTCGATCCGCCTCTTCGGCTGCAACTTGCTTGACACGGTCCGCCATTTCGTCTTGCAGCTAATATGAGTATCGCTTGTGAGATGATTCTGAAAAACCACCAGTGTGCGCAAAATGATGTTGAAAACAACTCTCAGAAGTCACCCAGAAGCTGCGATTGCTGCCAATGATGTCATTCTCACATCACAGCTCAACCACGCTAGCGTGCCCCGGAGCCAGTCAAGTACTCCGTACTGGTGGGCGCGTATATCTCAGGCGCGACGCGCGGGAGTTCCGCGTCCAAAAGTAACTTTCAGCCTCATGGCAGACAACGAGGAGCCGCTGTCCAAAGACGCATTATTGGCAGGGCATAAGTAAACAGGGTAACCGACCCCGAAGGTAAGACACTGTAGCAGGACTCAAAGATGATGACTTAGCAAATACTTCAGTGCGAGAGGCATCCGGAAGTTGAAAACCAGTCAATTCTCGAGCAATCGAGACTGGAAAACTCCATTAGGCTGCCGGTACCGGAATGAAGCTTGCAAGACGATTGAACTCACATATCTATGAATCACTCAATTGAGCCCAAGCGGAGTGACTCGCACTGAGGACGCCGGATGAAGAACACTCTATGCAATCTGACTTAGAGGAGTGGACAAAGCACTAGATGGTGGGCCCGGGATCTAGACTCTCCCTTTCGTACTCTACTCGTACTCGGAGACGAACAAAGGTTCAACAATTGGTTCCAAGCTCATGAAGGTGAGATACGGTTTACATCAGTTGTTTCCCGGGAAAATGGACCATGTGTGGTGAACGGCATAGAGAATTTACAAGACGAACGCACGTGCTCTAAGGCAATGGTCCGAGTACCCTGGATGTTGATTTCTTGCAGGCATCAAAGTATGTGCTTCTGGAGTCGAAGGATCCGACAAGAGGGAAAGACAGAGTTTCTGGGCGGTTACCGTTCGGGGGAGGGCAGTTTGCGTCTCTGAAGTCGTGCCGAATTTCATACGCGAACAGCTCGCAACTCCGAGCAGTTACGATGGGACGCTCACTCAGCACATCAAGGTGGACAGGTCGGACGTGATCGGCATCATTGGCCCAGACGTCCTTCACTTTGGACGCGGAGAACTTTGGATACGGGCAGCAGGCTGGAAGTCCAGAGCAGAGTTGTACCATTCGCTTGAACCTCTACGTCCTCGGGTCCTGACCTGCCTGTACCTCCGGAAAATGGGGCGGACACGACAAAAGGGAGCGCGAATAGAAAATCGAGCCGCTTGTGGAGAAGCAGGCTGTCGATGGATAGTCCGAACGATACTCAGCTGGAAAGATTTGTGTCATTGACCTTTGCTCGAAGTTTACTGTTCAGAGAGGTCAATGCCGGAAAAGTCGCGAAAAAGATAATAATCTTTGATTCACGGCCCTGCGTCACTGCTCTTGGCTTGTGCTCTACATCCCTGGCAAGGTCTCAGTGTATTGTTCGGAGCAAAGTAATACCAAGATCAAGGCCAGGTAAAACTAAGGTACAGTATACTCAGTAGGCTCCTCGAGTTAGGGTTTCTGGCTCTGCATTCTCTAGATTTAACAACCATCATCGCCAGAGATGAGAGCGGACAAGGATGGAAACAATCAATACTGCTGTCTCACTACACCCTACCATGCGCCGAGAATGACTCCTTTGACCAAACGAGTTTGAACCATCGAGCACCTAGACCAGAAAGTCTCCGCCCATGAACCGTTCTGTTCAGCATAGGTGCGACTCTGCCGTATATGACCACTGCCTTCCCGTCGAGAAGACTGCGGATGACGGCCGCAACGTTGTCGGTGCGAACAGGCTCCTAACCAAGATTCCTTCATACGAGCACAAGAGACCAGCAACCCAACAAGCACATCCAAACCAGCTAACAAGCACAATTGTCCTTCTGCTGCTTTGCCCTCTCGTTCAGATTGACTCTCGCTTCTTCCGCCCGATTTGCGGCTCCGGAGAGTGCTGCCTGCGTACCTCCCCCAGCACCGCCCCGAGCACCCTTTAAGGATGTTTCTGGGATTGCGTTTGCGATGGCCGAGAATACCTCGGCAACATTTGTACCCGTTTTTGCTGATGTCTCGAAGAACAGTAAACTCTCCTCTTCTGCATACAACTTGGCTTCTCTGGTGGAAATCTTTCGTGCATCGCTGTTGTCTGTGTGCTCGACCTCGGCTTCTTCACTGCTGTTCCCTGCAGCATCCTCGCCCTCCGCAGGTGCGGCAGAGTCGTCCACTGAGTCGGCTGTCCCGCTAAAACCTTCAGCGCATAAGTCGAGTTTATTGCCCACCAATGCGATAACGATGCCGGGCGATGCTTGCCTCTGCAACTCAGCGACCCAGTGCTTGGCTTTCGTGAGCGAAGTGGGCTTGGTCAGGTCGTACACTACCAAAGCGGCTTGAGCGTTGCGGTAGTACATTGGGGCGAGGGAGGCAAAGCGTTCTTGGCCTGCAGTGTCCCAAATCTCGAACTTGATGATGCGGTTGGGTAGGGAGATCTTTTGGGTTAGGAAGGCGGCTGGAAGGATGTCAGCTCGCCAAGAAGGGACAGTAGCGCGCCGTGGGGTGCAAAACGAGAGAAAGAAGGGTATGCTTGAAGTAGAATAGCTGTTAGAAATGACAGAGGGTAGACATACCGCCGATGGTGGGTTCCTTGTTCTCCTGAAAGTCATTGTTGACGAAGCGGAGGACGAGAGATGACTGTTTAGGTTGTGTTAGCGATGATGTCCCTACTTCTCGCGACATATCAGGCCATCGTCTCGATTCTCTCCTTTCGCACGCCATGAGTTGCAGGTGTGGTGATGATAAAGTATCGCAATTCCAACCGTGCTACCACCAAGTGAACGTCAAGCTGTCGGGGGAAATGGCAAGGCAGGAGAACTATTGAAAGCCGGGGGAGGACAATAACGACAGCGGTTGTAGGCGCAACCCACCTTTCCAACGGCGGCCTCTCCAAGCAACACAAGTTTGACGCTGCTGGAGGGCTTCGGGGCTGACGATGAGTCTACCATACTTCTTATATGTGTTTCCGCTGTAGTAATGCGTCAAAGAAAGCAAGCAATCGCAGGCGAAGGGAAGCCTGTTTGTTGAGGTTGGGGTCAGGTGAGGGCGGATTGATGCTTCGAGCTTGCGGCAGCGGGAGAGAATGGCATGCAGAGGGCAGATCTCTTTAGAGCTCCGGGCGTCGGGACGGCGGCGAACCAAGGATTCAAGACCAGGAAATACAGAAGAGAGTTTGAGGTGAAGTTCAGGTGGATTGGAGATGATGAGAGGGAAGTGGTGGCTTGTTGATTGGAGTTTAATCGCAAAGCAGTGACGACGCAGTCCAAGTTTGATCGCGACTTCTATGCTTCACCGTACCCACTCAGCGGAGTCAACAAGAATCTGCACCCCGTTTGTATTTTTCCCTTCACCACATGCTCGTTTCGGTCTGCCTAAGAAGTATGAGAGGAACTGACCCGTGGCACACGGAGCCTCGTGCTGCACTTGCACACATGGGCGCACACATTTGAGGATGCCTCTGATGTCAACTTGCATGGTGAGGCTCATGTGACTTAGTTGATGATATTACTGAAGTTCGTCTACTTCTCAGGCAGCAGCCTGTCTGTGACCCATGGTGTTGGTCAATAGCTCAACCACAACGAATTGAGCTCGCTCTTCTAATCTAACAGGCCGTTTCATTCCGCTAATCACATCATATAGGCAGCAGGCAGATACATTCTGGGACCTGCGAATGGCCGATGCGATCGAATTATGCCTTGTCTTTCCACTGCACCGAGAAGAAAGCCCCCAAAGGAAATTGTTGACCTGAGTCATACAGTCTATGCCGCAATATCATGATCTTTTTTGCCGCCCGTATCCCATCCCAACCCCGTCTATCCCGAGAACGCCGTGTTGAAATGGCACTTTTTTGAATACACACAATAGTAGGTTGGTTGTACAGGAATGGTCGTACAGGTCGGTGCCCACGAGAATCAGGATATGTTCCATGCGCCGTACATGCAGGGTGAAAAGGAGTCGCCGAGAACGCTCAAAGCCTTGAGACAGTACTTGTACAGGGTAGTCGATCATTCGAAAACAAGAGGAAGATTAAAAGTGTCGCCGGAGAAGCGTAACTCTGCTCGCTCGAATGTGCAGCAGGCAGCTTGGATCGTCATCATGGCGGACTCGATGCAGTCAGAGCCAGCTGTCTTGTGGGGCGCGCGCTCAGTCTGCGATTATTGGTGACGATGGGCAGCAGAAGTGAAGTTGGTTGGCGATTTCGCCAGATGATTGCGGATGTGGGAAGCGGAGCAGCCCGGAATGCTATTTTTGAGGAGGCTTGGGTTTGGGAACTCCCGTTGTGTCGTAGCCACCACGGCCCATGTCGCAAGGAGCGGAAGATGACGATGATGATGAGGCAGTCATTGTGTTGTCTGGGTGTGGAAGGCGTTAGAATTGCAGGTTGACAGTGGAAAGTGTCCAGGAGCCCAACAGTCCAGGCTTATATAGCCAGAGAGGACACGAGGGGTACGGCTGACTCACTGGTGATACCAAAGTCCGTAGACTATTTTGCGCCTGTCCACTGAGAGCCCTGACAGACTCGAGTGTGTTACCGAGTGGTTGCTGACTGCTTGCCTGGCAAGAGTGGCAGCGTCCAGAGAACCTTCTTTGTCTCTTTGAGGTTGCCGGTCGAGTCAAGGGGAGGGAATGCGGGACGAGCCCAGGAGTCGCGCTGAGAATTTGAGTTTCGCTCCCTGTCAAAAGAGAGTTCCAGCCCAGAACAAATGGCTGGCTGTGATGACGGACAGGTCTGAGATCAGATCGATGATCTTGACAGTACAGGTTGCCTTCTCCACGTCGTCGAGTCTCGGATAGCTTAATTGCGAACAGATAGATTTCGTACACGCCCAGAGTTGTGTCGGATCTGAGGAGGCTGCGGCGATGTGTCGAGTGGGTGTTTCTCGAATGCCGGTATATGCTCCAAATTTGGTGGAGTGCTGGATCACTTTTCGGGGCTGTGAGCAAGCAGAGAGCTGCAAGGCTGGAAATCAACAAGACGGACGGCAAAGAGCGTAGAGACGAGATTGAAAGAGCGAAGCGTGTAACATCCAACAGCCCAGGAATGGAAATGCGATGGTTATAAGGTGGACGAGGGAGGCAGCTGCACTTACCCCTTATCCACCCATTCTGGCGGATGGGTCCTAAATTTGATGGTACCTGACGATAGCACTTCGATTTCAGGGCCTGTTTCCAAGAGGGCTTTCTTTTTGGGGCCCGGCGGCCACAAGGCTTCCACTTGCCTCTTGCTGGGTGAGCGGGTGGTGGGGCCTGACGTGACGCCTAGTCGAGCCCGGGAGCCCTAAAACTGGTTCCAAAGGCTAAGGGGGGTTTCCATTTCTCCCTAGCTTGGCCCGAGTTGCAGCGTAACCGAAGACGGAGGCAGCGGCCCAGGGTTTCGAAGGCATGTCTAAGGTTAGCCTGTTCCCGTCGGAGCCCGTCTCGAGCAGACCGAGACGCCAGGAACCTGCTTCCGCAGTCGAGCCAGGCATGAAACTTAACGCACGACTCGACCATGAGGAGCAGGATTCTGAATTATGATTGCGATGCCGGACGGGATGCATGGACCCTCCCACCGCGACTCGCAATTCTGAGACGGCGGTGTGCTCGCGTGGACATGTGCAGAGGCCATTTAGAGATGTTTACATCCGCAGACCACGACAGGAGACAAGCTCGAGGCATCATGACGGCTCCGGATGGTGATCCGTATTCCGCCATTTCTTCTAGCAAAGGGATATCAGGGAGCGCGTCTGACATGTTTGACAGCGGACTACGCAAGGGGCAGCCACCCACAACTCGACTTTTAGAATTCGCGAGCAGAGGCCAGCAGAATCTGATGACAGTGGCCACAAGGAATAGGCGGGAGAGACTTCTTATGCCAGTCGAAAGACCGTGATAGTGATGGAGGGATGGTATGGAAGCTCAGCCGCCGACAGGCACGGTTGACAGGGGACACAAGATAGCGTTTAATCGAGTGGAAGAGTCGCAGTGGATGGAGGAGCTAAAAAGTGATGTGCTAACGCAAGGGCAGGCGCGTGGATGTGAATAGGCGTGATGGAACCGTGCTTAAACGAGTACACTAGAAACACTAGAGAACCGTCTGCCAATCCACCGCCTGATCAGCCACACAACTGGAAGAATTGGTGTCAATTTGCCAGCACTGGAAGAAGCGTCAACCAACCCGCTGATTCACAGATGGAAACGTGCGCAGGCACTCGTATGAAAAGTGCGAAGATTTCTTGCTATGACTCCGGGTTGGACTATTAGAGCGCATCATTGCTTTTGACGAAACAAAAGCAAGGCTGGCAGGAAACCCAGAAAAATAATAATTTTCGACCATGGTGACCCCTGCTAATCGATACCGCATCCGCTGGCCGTTGAGTGGGTGGGTCCCCTTGATGCTGCTGTGGCTTGCATTGGCGTGATGCCCCGACAACCTGGCACGGTGGACACCATTTGAGTTGGCCCCGGGTCCCTGCCGGCACAAGCTGCCTGGTACCTGCACAAGCGTCGATCAGACGAAGCTCATCACCTTCCCAGGTCTCACGCCTCTGCTGCGTTTCTCTCCCGAATGAGCTGCTCTTTCTCCGCATCAGTTCAAATTGTCCCCGTCCCATCCTTTTGAGTCGTGCTGCTGCCATGCGTCGCCGCCCGATCTTTGACAGACCACTGACATCCGATATAGTCATGCATGATGCTACCGGCATATGTCGGCCTGCACGTCAATCGTCGCCCGGAGCCAACCAGATGAAATCGGCTCTTGCTCACATCCTCGCATGGAACCCATCCATCATTAGCCACAGCGTCGAGAATCTCGGGTCGTGTCACCGCACTCATCTAGAATAGCCAACTGTCAGGCAACAAAGCGGCCTCCGCGACCATCAAGACTCATCGTGTATGCCTGCTGCTTCCGGCTTGGGTAGGTAAAGTGTCTTCATTTCTCTGAGTTCAAATGTAACAGCTTCCACTTCCCACAGCATGGCAACGGAACTTTCTGCCCATCACGCTCAGCCACCGCAACAGTTCACTAGGGCTGTCATCGAGTCAGTCTCCGTTTTCCTGCCTGCCGAATGCAGACCCAGTATTCCGTACAAACCCCAAACTCCCATCAAATCACATTGAGATGATCAGACGCGCCGTCATTTACTAACCGACATTCGTTCCTGGTATGGATGCTCGGTGTCCACAATTCCAGACGCTTCCGCAAAATTGCATCCTCCCTTCCCCGGCTTGTCTCTTCGTGCTAGTGTTTCTACCTAGAATGCAGCTAGAAGCGTGATGTACTTCCCTCATACCCTCGGCCCGCCGGCCCTGGTATTCCGCAGGAACACGGAGTAAAGCAAACATGAGAACTTTATCTTGCTGCACTCACCGCGCTTCCATGTATCCCAGCAAGAGGAAGCGGAGTCTCCTGTCTGTTCCCGCATGAATCGCAGTCAGAAAGACACCGGTATCTCAATCATCGCCCAGAAAGCAAAGCTACGGCCGCGGTGCTGTCCTAGTGTGAATTTCAGTTACACAGTATGTGACCACCTCACAAGCCCAGGATGGGGCCTCGCACAATTACGAACCACGCTTGCTTCTTCTCGATAGACGGCTAATCGATGGGCCGCATGCTGCTTTAAAAAGCGCTACACAAGGGACATGCCGCATAACTCACCTTCACCTCAGCCTTTTCGAGGGTGTTAGAATTTCGATGATAGCTTCCGCATCCGCTGGCCAGTCATGAACAAGAGCCCTTGTCTGATCGCCCGATTGGCTTGATGTTGAGAAAATGCGAGGCCCTGTCCTCGATCAATTCTGCTGATGAGCCATGTGGTTGGGAATATCCGCTTCAGCCTCTCAACGCGATTGCTTTGACCATGCTGCCTTCCGTCGAAGTCAGGTTGAGCCACTTTGAGGGGTCCGATCTGACATGTCGCACAATGCACTTGTACTATTGCACGTCAACGTCCAACTGCAGGCCGAACAAAAGTTCTGCACTAGCGGTGTTCAAAATCTCTCTGGAAGAGTCATTTCCAGATAATCAGCGTTGGCTGGTAGCGGGTACTTTAGAGGACACCACACAGTAGTCCTACCGTACGCTGGATGCCCATTAAACCAAACCAGCATGAATTCAACCATGGATCATCCGTGTGGGGACAATATCATACCAACGGTCTTCGCGAGGGGCTAACAAAATCAGTCAGGGTGATGACACTTCGATCAACGAGCAGAGCCGGCAGGGCTCGTCCAGTGATCTGGTGGCTACGAGGTACTCCGTACTGGCGCCCGGGGATCCATTTTAGGCCTGGTTACCATGTGTCGCCCAGCACACGGCCGCATCCAGCACTTTGGTCTCGGAAATTATCTTGTCAGCCCCTCGATCAGGCGTAGCTCCGGTCCAGGTAGGTGCAGGGGGTACGGGGTACACGGTCCTCACTTGCTCAGTGCCCTGCAGCGCCCACTTGCCGCCAGGTCCGCGATGCGTCCACTTCCCGCCAGACGTGACGCGCCCGTCAGCATTTGTTGACGACAGGGCTTCCAGGATGATCGCCTCAAAGACATCCGGCTACTTCATAGAAACTTGTCGTGCGTTTACGGCCTAAGAATTTGTTGGGTCGTTGCCGAAACCAACGAGCTAGGTCTCACTGCACAAGCACGTCTCCAGCCTCAAGGCCTCGGAGCCGGGAGCCGGGCTGATCCATCTTGTCGCGATAATGCTTCCCACACAGTCGGGTCGCAGCACACACGTCCCCGGGTTGAGCCGCTGTGAAACAGCGTTGATATTCGGTTTCCATTTCCGTCCGGATCTGCGCTGTCCGGATTTCGGCTGATGACAGCAGCTGGCAGATCGAGTTACCCAAAGTGCACGATAGCTGCACGCCCGTTGATGACTCCGTACGACACGGGAATTCGATTTGGAATGGTCTAGTTAGGTCCTACGAGGTCACTCGCAGAGACGCCTTGCCTTCATGGTACCTCCTGTGACTAGACAGATCGACTCTGCGAATGTAACAGCCTTCCGTCACCCATCCGCCATTCAAATCTTCCCAAGGCTACGAATGCTAAGACAAGACTTCCTACGAATTTGGATGGGCGCGAGAAGGTGTCATGACTCGACTCTGCGAATGAGCGCTACCGTGTGCACGCACGGTGGAAACACAGATGCAGCACGTTTTGGTAAGTGTATCGATGGGACTACCTTGGTGAGGACCAGCGCCAGGTCAGGGACACGGCATCAACCATGTGAAGAAATGGCGCCAATTGAGACTACCCTACTTTCTCAATTTTTTCTTGCGTGCAGACAATCATGCACCATACAGCGATAGAACACTACACGGTGCAGTCCAATGGGCTCGCAAGCTCCTTCACAACGGTCAATCTTTCTAGATCATGCATGGACGCACTTCTGGACGTCATTCCTCCTCTTGTCAACAAGAACATCTCTGACGAGCATCCTCCACGGCTGCACGACATCACTCTCAGGCGCAGGCAGCATAACACCCTTCGGCCCACGGATAAGGGTCCTCACCTTTTGCCCGTCAACAGATCTACCAAGGACTACAGCCGTCTATCCTGTCTCCCTATTAACGTCGAACTCGTTGTGGTGCCTTCGGTGGCTCTTGTCCATCAGCTCTCTCAATAGGGAAGGACTTAACTTGTCCGCTTCGAACTGAGCCATGAGGACTTCTACATCAACCAGCTGCGCGGTGGTGGCGTGTTGAATGCTCATTTCAGCAGCAGTATACGAGAGTGGTTTGTCGCAAGAGCTGTCCAGCTCCCATGCTCGAACATGGACCTACTGTGCTCGTCGTCACAACTCCTAGCTTAGATAGATTCTCTGATGAGAACAACTCAGTGTACTAAGCTCTGCAGCATCTCAAGACAGTCCAGCGCGCCATGCAAAGCGATCACCCCAGCGTGTACCTTCACGCGTATGGCAAAGCTCGCCCATATTTTACCGAAGCCGAAGGCAGAAGGCTCTTGTCCTGCACGGCAGCGCTACGCCGACCTCTTAACAACAGGTCGGCGGCGTGCAAAGGGGCTCCAGCACGAGGACTAACTTCACATCCCATAGCAATAGCCATGAGAAAGATATAGCCCGAGAATGTCTTTCTCGAAGACTCTGACTCGACGCTGCACATAACCGGGAGCAAGCCCAACCGGGAGTGCAACGGCGCGGTGCTGTGGTACTCATTCAACTTAGACCCTTCGATGATGCTGTTGTTCTCATCGGGAAAACCTCTTCACTACAGAATCGCTCCCAAACCCCGGTTTATGCTTCTGTTCACCACTGACATACACCCCGACCTTGATCGATACTCGAGATTTCTACGTTCGCCAATGTGCCTCGTCATCTCCGGAGTTGGTGCCATGTGCGACCATCGGGCGTCAGTTTGGTCACCGACACAAGCAAGAAGACATCAAAGAGGTCGTGAGACGCGAAGGCTACACTTCCGGGAACGGAAGTGGAGTTGGTACGTAGCCCCAGTCGGTCAATCAGTACAGTAACAGCCTCGGATGCTGGAAGTTATCCGCCGACGTGATCGACACTCTGCACACCAAGCTGTACTGCGATGATCATGCTTGATATCTTTGTATCCGCCCCATGCTTTGACCTCATCCAGAATCTATCGCCAAGGAAGTGCCAGCGACAGTGAGCGAGCCAGAAATAAAGCAACAGGCCGAGTGTGGCCTTCTAGATTGCAGTCCATCTCAGACGCCTTTTTCCGTCCTTCACCACCACTTCTATAGCAGACCATGGGCTCAGCAGACACCTCCACCTCGCTCACAAGCGCGACCACCAGGAATACGGATACCGCCACCCCCAAAGCCTGCTCCCCCCTCACCGGCGCGAGTCGCCTGCGCGAAATGCTCCACGACCCCTCCAAAGTCGTAGTCTGCCCCGGTGTGTTCGACGGCTTGACCGCCCGGTTAGCCCTCGCTGCCGGCTACGATGCGCTGTACATGGTACGTGGGGAGGCCATTTCCCGCATTTCAACGATAGGACTCGCGCTCGCCCATGGTCGTTGCTGTCCACGTCCCAACCGCATCACTGTTTACTGACTGCGAGTACCCAGACCGGCGCAGGCACATCCATGTCACGCCTAGGGTGGGCGGACCTGGGCCTCGCGACGCTCAACGACATGCGCGCCAACGCCGAGATGATCGCGTCGCTCGACCCTTCCGTGCCAGTGCTCGCCGACGCGGATACCGGGTATGGCGGGCCCATCATGGTGACTAGGACGGTGACGCAATATGCCCGTGCTGGAGTCGCAGCGTTGCATATCGAGGATCAGGTTAGATTTGCTTGCGTTTGCTTTGACTTTGCCCCTTGCTACATACTGCTTCTGGACTGCCCCTGCACAATTACATATGCTCTTTGCACCAACTCGGGTTCCGGTTCCGCATGGGAATCGGGTTTGGGATTGTCATTGCCATTCATTTCAATCCCCCATTCTGGTCCCGCTCTGGCCGATCCTACTGTGTCATCCGCCGGACTAACATGCCCATGATCCGATCACCCCCAGGTCCAAGAAAAACGGTGCGGCCACCTCCTCGGCAAACAGATCGTCGACCGGGCCGTCTTCCTTAGCCGCCTCCGCGCCGCGGTCTCGGCCCGCAACAACTTACACTCGGACATGCTGATCATCGCGCGCACGGACGCCCGGCAGACATACGGCTTCGAGGAAGCCGTCGCGCGGCTACAAGAGGCCATCAAGGTCGGCGTCGACGTCGTGTTCCCGGAGGCACTACAATCGCACGAGGAGATGGCCGAGATGTGCCGACGCATGGCGCCAACGCCCGTGCTGTTGAACGTCGTCCCCGGCGGCGTCACGCCCGAGTGTACCATCGAAGAGGCCCGAGGCATGGGGTTCCGCGTCATCATTTATCCGGGGTTATGTATCAGTGCGGTCGTCGAGAGTGTGGCGCAGGAGTTGAAGACGTTGAAGACTACTGGGACGACTTCGTCGCGTGGGAGTGTGGGCGCAGGCGTGAGCATCAAGGACGCGTTCAACCTGTGTGGCCTGCAGGAGTGTATCGACGTTGATAGGCAGGCTGGGGGGAAAGCGTACGATACGGTAAACGGAGAAGAATAGACAACCATCGATCAGATCATATCACATCTATTGGGCATTTTCTTCAGTTCTCAGCCGGCCACAGGTGGCATAGATATCGCAGCCCGCTGGTGCTCGGAAGTATGAACCTGTCTCGTCTGTACCGCACTGACAAGCTTGACTGGGAATCGAAATTGAATATCCAGACACTTGTGTCTGTGTCTGTGTCAAGACGCCACAGACGCAGACGCGCCAACCACGTCTCCAGACATACCAGAAACCCCATCTCCGCTCTGCGTCTGCGTCTGCGTCTGCGTCTGCGCGCCCACTCCCACCCTCGTTCTCGTCTCCGTGACAAGCAGCGTCGACGTCGATGTCTGCCTCACCGTAACGGTCGTCCGGGTCACCGTTTCTAGGGCCACAGTCCTCGTCGTTGGCATCGTGACTAGCACGGTGACAGTCTGCTCTCGCCCTGGTGCTGATGATAATGAGCCAATGTTTGCGATGTCTCCACCTTCCCCCAGCCGATGCCGCGCGATACTCGACGATATGAGCACCGCGGTCGTCGTGCGGGTTGTTTCGAATGAGAGGGTTGTTGTCAGGGTGTACGTTCCTGCCGTCATGAGCGCCGGCTATTTCCAGAAGGAAGGGTCAGCGTCGGGATCAGCGTCGAGATCGCAAAAGATGAAGATGAAGATGAAGTACCCAACAGCATAACGATCGCAACAAGACAGCAAAGTAACTGAACAGCATGATGATCACGACAAGAAAAAGTATCAAACAGCATCAGGATCGCACCGCCAAAGACAAAAGTACTAAGGTGGATCAGGTAAGGTGAGGTAAGGTGAGGGTAGGGTAGGGTAGGGTAGAGAAGGCGAATTGAGTTAAGGCTGAAGCTGCTGAAGCTGCCGTAGGCACAGTGGTAGGCAGGCATACGGAGTACTTACCCCGGCAAACGAGACCACGCTGGTCCCCGTACTTGTTGTCGTCGCCGTCACCACGTCCCAGCTCTCCCTTGACGTTGCGCAATCCCATTCCGACGCCGGCGCCATGGATCCCGACCCCGATCCCTGCACACAATTTTGCACCTGCACATGATTGGGGATTGCGCCCTGCACGAGGTCGTACCAGTGCGCCAGGTAATATGCCACAGGCCTGGGAGGACCACCAGCATCATCAGCGGCGGCCACGGAGGTAGGCACAGCAGTTGGTGCAGCTTCGGTTCCGCACGCATCGAGTCTCTGACTCGAAAACGTAACCCACTGATCGCAATCCGTGACGGAGACCGCGATCATCCCCGGGGGCTTGATGGTGGTGGAACACCACGCCGTGGTCTTGGCGCTGTATACTGTTTGGCATCCATTGCTATCCAGGATTATGCGTGCCGGTGCCGTTTCATCATCAGTGTTGGACGAAATAGCTACCGAGGCTGGTGTGGTCGTTTCGTCGTCGCCAGTATTGGACGAAATAGCTGCCGTGGTCGCAGCAGACAGGAACACAGTCGTGCTCCCGTTCGGTAATAATGCCGTAGCGTTGACCTGGGTGGGGATGTACCTCGTGGTGGTGTCGTTCGTGGTGATCGCCGAGCCACGCGTAGCGTTGGACGCTAATGCCACGGCGGATACCAACGAGGATACAGGGAGGATGGAGAAGAGTGCCGATGAAGCTGGTGTGTCAGGGCATACCGTGGCCACGGGTTCCTGGATGACTGTTGTCGGGAAAACGTAGGACGATATCGTTGGTGTGACGGCTGCTGTTGTGGGCGTTTGTGTAAAATGCGCAGGTGATGCTGTTATGAGTATTGCCGTAGCAGGCCTAGGGGATACCAGCGCTCCCAGTCCTTGCACTTGTCGACGTTGCGCTGGATGTAGATGGTCTTTCCCTTCATGTTTCCGTGATGCTGCCATGGGTGCCGCCAGGGCGAGGAGGATCGCCAAGACCTGCATGACTTGTCGGTATGTTTGGTAAGTAGAAATTAAACTTGTTAAAACTTGACCAGCGAAGACAAATGACTCGAGATGGGCTTTATTGCACCATGTCAAAGTCTTCCAGAGTGGCAGGGCATTTCAATTACACGCATTGCTGTCCGAGTCGCGCCTCGGGCGCATCTGTGGAATGCCGCTTGAACCGCGAGTTGGTATGTGCATGTTTCAGCCCTCTTCCTTTTGCCTCCTGAGCCTTTTGTCTTCTGCACATTCCGAGCCTAAGACCCGCCTTCTGGGTTGAGCAGCTAATTCATCCCTGATCCACGGCTAGACTCACCCCTCTCCGACTGCCGACCCTGACCCTGGTCATCGTGATATGCATTGCTCATAAACTCAATCTCCGCGTCCGTGGCCTGCTGGAACTGCATCGAAGGGTCGCTCATCATCATATCTGGCGGGAAGTACTGGTCGTATCGCATCATCGGGTCGAATGCGGCGAAAGCTTGCGAACTCGTCACATCAGGCATCGTGGTGTACATGGACGCTGACACCGGTGCGGTCGCATAGAGGTTGCCCGGCATGGGGCCGGTGACTCCGGTGAATTCTGACATAGAAGCGTCTTGCGTCGGAGGGACAGGCTTGCCCGGAGGGTTTTGCGGCAGATCGTCCACGTCGCGCCCAATCTTCTTTGCTGCCTCCTTGAACAATTGATTGCATATTGCCCAAGCACGTCTCGCTGAGGTATTGTCCTCTGCCAAGGCGTGTAGCCAGCGGATCCCTTTCTTGCACGACTCCAGAATAGCCTCTGCTTCTTCCGGCATATGGTTCGCTCGGAAAGAAATTTCAAGCATCAGAACAGTGGTGGACTGAACCAGCCAGTGCAAGATATTCCACCACGGCCCAACACGAATTAGACCAACAGCATTCGGCTCGTCGGGGATGAGTTGTAACATCTCCATTGCAGCTTCGACACATGCCGCCGCAGAGTCGCGATTGAACTCGAGTGACTTGTTTGACTGTCCGGGGATTTTGCGATCCAATCTACAGAGGCAAGGTCGGTGGACTGTCATTTTGGTGCTGTAGTAGAAGAAGCCCAGGTACAAGCGGTACTCATAGGACCCCCGTTCTCGCTGCTTCCGACGGAATGCGAATGCTGGTGGTAGCTTCCGATACCAATGCTCAAGTCGTTCGTCCAAGTCTTTAACCTTGGACTGGATTTCTGACCAGGTTCCCTTAATCGAAGCCGGATTATATAGGTTGTGGAAGATGGCTTGGGTTACTCGGGTCAGCTGCACCAGGTGAAGGAAGTAAAGGGAGCCGTTTGGTTGCACGTCTTTCGCCCACTCCAAGTCGCCGGCATTTCCACCAGGCATCGAAGGTGAACGTGAGTCAACTTTGGTCTGCGATCGAGAGCGGTCGGTTGATGGCGTTGACATGACACTAGGCGTATGGGAATTGGATGATGGCGCACGATCCCCTTGCTGTCTGACCTTGCTGAGCAATTTTTGGCCTTCTTCCGTGTCAAATTGTTCTTCCTCCAGAGGTACTGGAAGAGGAGTTGTGCAATGGTCGTCCATGACGCAGTTTACTCTGCCAGTCATGTTGCAGAGGCGATGCTCCAGAGCGTAAAGAGCCCACCATAGTCGATATCGGACTTCCTTGAGCGAGTCTTTCAATTCGTTGCTATCGTTGCGCATATTCATACCCAGTGCCCCAGCCTCTCTTAGAGCATACCCGCTCAACATCCATGCACTGCTGGTGTAAGCTCCTGTGCTGTGGATAGTAGGAACTTCACTTACCGATTGATTTGGCTGTTGCACAGTAGGTACAAAGACATCAAACTGAGCACCTGAATCATCTGCAAATCTGGGTGCTGAAAGATCGTCTCAGAGTTGATCGTCAGTAGTCGTGCTCTAGTGAAGTAGATGAGATGATCTCGCTCATCGCCTTTCCAGTCGGCATTGATCAAGTGCGAATACTTTGCGCCGATGGCAAAGATCAAATTGATGATGGCAAGCCACTTTTCAGGCGGTCTTTGTACAGTGCCACTGATGACTCTTCGAAACTGACTGGTGAGATTCAGCCGCCCGACAAACGGGAACGAGGAGTGGACTCTCTGCATGTAGGCGTTGAAAAGGTGGTCAGCGATTTCCGGAGGGGGCAATTCGTAGGTATCGACAGCGTCGTAGGTGAATATCGACATGTCGTCCATATGGTAGCTGGAGTCCTGGATGGTAAAGCCTGAGTCTGCCTCGGATAGTGGGATCTGAGTATCTCCGACTGGACGTTTGGATGTCAGCGAGGCTGCCGACATGCCGACGAGTCTCTTCTGCTTCGCATTACCTTGTTGATCCTGCTGCACGTCACCGTACTTGTTTTGTTCCCTCAAGCGTTGAAGCCAGGTGATCTCAGAATTCTTTCCCATGAAGCCAGTGTGTCTAGCCTGCTCGCGCGTGAAGTCCTCATCGGTTCTATCGAGAGCACCTGTCGAGCCAGCTCCGGCTGAAGCTTCTGATTCAGCACCAGACTCTTCCTCTTCACCATCGACATCGAGGGTGGGAACCGATGCTGCCTCGGGGGCGCCTTCTGTTGCAGTGTCGTCGGCGTCATAACTTGTCTCCTGGTACGAGTAAGTATGAGATCAAGAAGAAGCGAAGGCGGAGAGCTGATCTACCTTGTCCAGTGCCGCTCGGATTCCACGTGCGTCGGCTTCGTCTACCCTGGGTATCAATTCTTTCAACAACTTCTCGTAGTCTGCCACTTTTTCCGTCAGGGTACCGAACTGCCTGGGGTGCAGTTAGCATTGGATGTCCCACGATCGGACAGATCATCTCACTTTTTGACCCTATCTCGTTTGCCATCTGCATAGAAGCATGTTATTTTGAAATCCTGACAATGCCTACAAACTGGTCTCTCGCCACTGCACTTAGTCTTCCGGTGGCGACAGGGTTCGCATGCATGGTTGACACGGTGTCGTCCTCCGGACCGCGCAGCATCTTCCCCTGAGGCATCGATGGATCTTTTCAGCCTCGGGATTGCGACCTTGGCCGGTTTCTGCAACGATTCGCCGCCACCGTTGCCACCGTTGCCGCCGTTGCCACCACCACCGGGTGCAGCGCGGGGAGACTGAGGAACGCGAAAGAGGGGAGTCCGGGCAGGTGAAAGCGGTGTGCGTGATGTTGACGAGGATGATTGGCGATGAGAGAGGTCGGAGGTGGGGTTTGGTGTCTCTATTGAGAGCACGGGGGCCTGTGCTGGGGTGTGCGGGAAAGATAGCCTTGAGGAAGACTCGCCCGGCGCACTCGTAGGTGGACGAGAAGGATCCCCCCGACGCTGCTGTCTCGGGTCGGACATGGTGAGATAGAAATAATTTAGCGCTTTTCCGAGCAGCGGCGTATGGACAATTGGATAGACCTCGAGACAGCTTCGGGAGGCGCGGAGAGAAGGCGCAAGTGCATTGAAGGCACGACTGAGGCTGGGCTGAGGGCGAATTGAGGTCGAGGTGTGCAACAGCAGCAGCGCAGTGAATCCCGACCCTCGGAGCCAATATGCATCGCGCTGGCTATTTCCCGCGCTCGGAATCAGAACTGGAACTGATTGCGCGACCAAAACCCAAAAGTCGAGAGAATGGAGGGGAAAGGACTATCCCTGCTTTTCTGGTACGTACAAGCATGCACACAATGCGACGAGCAGGGTGGAAGTTTGTTCCGGGTGGCAGAGCCACGGGCACCCAATGACATGGCCTCGGAAGCGGGTTTCAATGCATATCTACGAAAGAGGAAAGAAGAAAGCGGATGCCGCCAACTACCTAGCCGAGGACAGCACCAGCAGGGCGAAATGATGATTTTCTCTGCAAAGAAGGACTTGACCGACACGAGTTCGTGGGGACCTCGACTGTATGAAGCACAGCATGTGCGCCGCAGCTTAGCCTGCAAACGGAGGAATTGCCCGCTCTCGCCACTGGCAGATCCCACATGTTTAAGGCCATATCATGCAAGAATTACATCATCCTGCACCTGCCAACGCCTTGCAGGTCCAACGGCGGTATTGCTAAAGTGGCTGAGAGGTACCTGAGGGTGAGAGAGAGTTTCCAGGGTCTTGTGGACCAGTCCGGTGTGAAACAACCTGAGCTATAACTCGTACAGCGAGATCCCCATTCGCCGGCGACAGTGACGACCATAGAGGCGTTACACGCCAGTCTCTGTTCAACCAGATTAGACCTGGGGATACACCCCGTCGGGACTTGCCGAGTATTGCACGTCAAGCCTTACGCGAATGAGCCAGCGATGCTCGTGGCTGCTGAAGCTCGCATGCCAGGGCACGAGATCTGGGGTACTCGTACGAGCAGCAGGCTGAAGGGCGCCCTCGGAAATGGAAATGTAGTCGCTCTATTCCTGTCGCTGGCGTTTCGCCCCATGTTGGTTCCAATCCCCTTGCCCGCCAAAATTCGATCCTTGTCCTTGATTGAACATGCCGGGGTTGAACTGATTGCCCTGGAAACCTGCTATAAAGTGTCAACAGCCACGGTCTTCATACTGACGAAAGGTTGAACGTACCACCCATACCCATCCCGGCCATCATAGGGTTCATACCCATATTGCCCACGCCCATCCCGCCTGCCATGCCCATAAAGGTGTTCATCCCTCCCCGACCTCCACGCATTCCACCCATACCGCCACGCATGTTGTTATTCATCATACCGCCTCTGTTGTTGAAGCCGCCATAGTTGTTTCCCATGCCCATGGTGCCTTGAAAGCCCATGTTCTGGTTGTTGTAGCCGCCCATGGGAGGCGAGAAGTTGCGGTTGTAATGGCTGTTCTGATTGTAGCCGCCACGGTTGAAGTTGCCACCTCGGCCGCCGCGAAAACCTTGATTATTCAAGCCGTAGTCGCCACGAGGTCCGGAGTTGAAGCTCCCACCTCTGGCAGGTCGCTCGTCTCGGGCCCGCGCTGGAGCATCCTTGGGCAACGTCTTAAAAGGATTTTGGGTTGCACTGGTGAAGGCAACGGTGTGCTTGCGAGAGCTCGGCTGATTGCCGGTCAAGGATTCGATCTTATGCCTGGCGGCTGTGGATGCTTGAGGGGACGAGAACTCTAGGTATACCTGGCTACGAAGCATGGTCAGCAGGACTGTACGGGAAAAAAGGAATGACCTCGCCACCAACCCCTTGCTCTTGCCGTTCACCTTGTGTTCGCTGAACGTTAGGTCCTTCAACTCGTCTTCGGCCCCTGCATCATTGACCCAGCCCCGGATGTCGTCTTCGGTGGTCCACCAATGCAAATCGGAGATCATCAAAGCGTTGGTCGCGCCGTGGTCGATAGGTCTCTCGTCCGAGGTCTCTTTGCGTTTGACGCCCTGTTGCGGGACAGCGGGCTTGGAAGGAATAGGCTCAGATTTCTTGATCTTGTCATCCTCGACTTTGCGCTGAGGCTGTGGAGGGACGGAGGTTGATGGTGGTGGTGGTTGTTCTTCCTCGAGCTCGGTCTTGACTTGGGACTCCTTGGGAGGAGGTGCTTCTTCGTCTGTGTCTATATTGAATTGGAGGTCGTCGTCATCACCCGCCTTGTAGTCCATGGTCCCATCGGCAGTAATGTCGCCTTCTCCGTCGCCATAGATGTCAATATCAAAGTTGTCCTCGTCTGCAGAAGCCATTGTGGCGGAGAGCTAGGAGTGGGTCTGTGAACAGGTGTCGATTGTCTGTCTGCCAAAGATCTATGCACAAGAAGGTGAAGTCAATGGACAAGACATGAGAATCAGGACAGTTCTGCATCATATATGCCAGAATTAGCCACGGATACATGTAGGAGACAGGGTGTAGAAGCCAGAGACGCCAGGTCAACCCCGTCTTTTGCAGCGCCATAACACCAGCTCACCACACACGCGCAGGACAGCCGTGACCGGATTCCGAAGGACGTTTCCCAACAAAACATACGTACAGGACTGGATATCACAGTTCGCACTTCATCGGCTCGTCAACATGTGTTTTCTTAGCGTCATAATACACGAAGCAGGCCAGCTGTCTTCCCAATGCTCGTGATACAATTTTTCTGCCGTGTCAACACCAGTAAGGAAATGAAGAAGAATTAAATGCGAAGAACAAGCTCCCTTGTCCCAATCTGCGGCTGGTTGCGCTGAAGAGGCTGGCTGGTTCGGCTTGAGGTGAGAGAGGTGCAGACCGACGGAGGGCGTCTGTTCAGCGCAAGTAAGGTTGGAATTGGAGGATTGGTACAGGCGATGGCCGTAGAAAGTGGCCTGCGCAAGGAGACTACTGAACAAGAACTCGACACAGGTGGAATGGTAACGAGACAAAGTCGCAGACCCGTCGTAATGCAGGGGAAGCAGAGATGAAGCTGAGGCCGCAGCTTGGGCTCCGCCAAGGCATCTCGAAAAGGAGCGCAGCGCAGATGCCACCTAACCTACTGTCTAGACTACGAGCCGACCACAACTCTTTTATCCTAGGAGCTCCTGCCACTGCACCACTCTACTCAAGCCGACACAGAAAACCCACACATTCAAGATGTCTGATCTAGTGCAGGAAATCGCCGACGTGCCCAAGGAATTCTTTAGGGAGGGGACCCAGTTCATCCACAGATGCACAAAGCGTACGTTACTCTAGTCGCACAGTGGACAAGGCAAAGGACATCCTAGCCACTGCCCAGTTCTTATTCCCGCTACTTTAGAGGAATACCACTGACTTCCGACATCCACAGCCGATCGAAGAGAGTTCATCAAGATTTCGCAGGCCGTAGGAATGGGTTTCCTGATCATGGGCGCAATCGGATACTTCATCAAGCTGAGTGAGTGGAATGCCTTCATCGGGTCTCGCGCAAGACGTTCGGCATGGACCATACTAATACTGCCGCCTTGTCTGCAGTACATATACCGGTGAACAATGTCTTAGTGGGATAATACCTGGCCGCGGCACGAAGTGAGGCAGACATGATCACCGGTCGAGGAGCTGTGGCCGCCATCACTCCGGTTTCTCCGAGATGATTCTTGCTCGAATCCCCATCCACTATCTGCGACTATCACAATTTGTATTACTATACCAGACCAGCGACAGCGATGACTTCCAAGAAGGATATGCAAAATTAATGGAGACACTGTGAATACTCAGTTTCATAAATGGCAAAGGCACCAGTGGTACGACGACACAAGCTCCAGTCCACCGTGGAAACTCACAGAGGTATACTTCGGCAAGCCACGAGAGGGTTGATTTGGTATCGCTCAACATCATTCTTGCGGAGTCTTCATGGTTCTTGTGTCTCAGACCCAATACGCGGTTCGGCTTTGTCAGGAAAGAGGCGACGGAATGCCTCCCAGCCAGTGGCTTTGCAAAATGCTTGGATCATCACCAGATTTCTCGAGTACTGTGTCATTCCTCTTTCCCCTAAATACCTCGGGATTGTGGCCTCAACTTGTGTCCGATGTCCTCTCCTCTGCTCCTCAAGCTGGTTTCATGCTACGGTCATGTCTTTTTTCGTTATGTATATCTTCGCCTCGTTATCATCGTCGTGTCAAATCCTTGGCGTCATTCATCCCTCATCGCGTGGAAGGACCAGCTCCATCCTCTCCCTCAACATCATTCTCAGGCCAAGCGCCCCTTCTCAAACTCAACCGCCTTCTCAACCGCCTCGCCACATCGACGACCCCGACGTTCCATGATTGTCACCAGATACTCCCTCCTCCACCACCACCACCTCCGTCTTCGCCCAACCTAGCCGGTCTCACAATGCTACTCCTCAACCCCCTTCCGCCAGTCCGACTTCTCGTATCTGTAGAGCCGCTCCTAACACCCCGTTCGATGTTCTTCGCTCGGCGCATCGTGCTGTTGAAATCCTCGCGGGAGTCAAGGCGCGCGTTATAGTTCGAAGACATGGCGGGCAACGCTTCGTCGTCCTCGGCGCCATCGTTCCATGAATGCAGGGAGACCGTGCCAGTGGACATGGCCCAGCCGTTCCAGGACGTTGCTATGACCAGCCGTCAGCGTCCAAGCCCTATATCTCACACCACGTGCGAGTGTTTCTCGGAGGAATGTGGAACTTACCAGCCAAAACCGGCGCCGTAGGACTCCAACTCGCATCCCGGACACAAGTCTTCCATGCCGCGTCATGGTGTCCATGCATCTCATAGCCATACCCGCCCATCTCGGATCCATCGTGCCTGGGTCTGGTGTATTTCGTCGCCGTATAGACATCGATTTTCTGCTTCAACGTGCCGTCCAAGTTCCAGATGTACACCTTACCATCCTCGCTGCCACTGTACACATATCGCGAATTGCTGGAGCCCGGGGGCGAGAAGTGGCACCGTATCAGCGTCTTCAGCACACTGTGTCCCCGGAACGTAACGACAGAGCAATCCTTCGGGTTCGGCACGTAGTCGTCCAAGTCATACGTGCTGAAGCGGTAGTCGAAGTTCGTCGTGTAACTGTGTAGATTGATTTGCGAGAACTCATTCGGAGAGATCATCTTCCTCAGGTCCCAGAGTTTCATCATCTGATCTTTACCGTTCGACAAGACATAACGGCCGTCACCTTTGGAATCTACGTACGTGAGACCTTCTGTGTGTCCGACGAAGATTCCTGCAGGCCGGCCGTCGGCCATCGACCGTCTGTCCCATACCCGCAGAGTCTGATCATCACTGCCCGAGTAAAGGATGTGCGGCGACATCTTGTCACCAAAACACACGGCATTCACGTCATCGTCGTGGTTTGCCAGCTGGACTGTGCTCTGCCGTCTCTCCAGATCGTACACCACGACGGAATGATCAGACGTGCCGGCAACGATCTCACGCCCGTCGCCACTAAACCGTAAGGACCAGATTCCGAAGCCGTGGCGGCCCATGTACCCGTATGTCTGCCGCCCCGTGCTACTTCCGGGGGCGAAGTTTGTGAAGTCCAACAATGTGTTCTCTGAGTGATCGGTCGGATCTGTGGGCGCCAGACAAACAGTATGTCGAATGCTCGAGTACGCAAGCCACTTGTTATCGGGACTCAGCGTCGCGTCGGTGATGGTCCATTGGCCGTAAGGATAGTCTACGGTCTTGTAGTATTTCCACTCGTAGGGATTGGAGGTGTCGTACATTCTGACCTTGAAATTCTGGGTGCAGGAGAAGAAAAAGTTACCATCGTCGGAGAATTGCCCGCTGTAAGCCCGTGAGTCGTAGTGTATTATTTTATCTGCGGTCGTCGAGTCGGGCACCTGGTCCTGTGCCATCAGATTGTTTTGTCGCTTCATTGTGGAGCGGGCTTCCAATCCCAATCTTCGCCAGAGAAGGCGCTCGGACACGTTCTGGCGCCGTTTTCGTCGAATGTCCAGGTATGAGTCTCTGCAGCCAAAAGTGCCAAGGTTCATCAGCGCTCTACCAGCGTCAGAGGGTACCTTGGGAAAGCGGTCGCCCTGGGGTTTTGGACGTCGGTTGCGGCGTCGGCGGGCACCGTATAAGTAGTCTTCGTCGTCATCGTCGTCTTCGGCGAAGAGGTCCCGGCCATTGGGGCCGAGAAGGCGGTAGCGGCTGAGAAAGAGTTGGCGGAGAGGGGCGCTGGCACCTAGGAGGCCGCGAATGTCGTTGGCCGTTACTGTTGAAGCCCAACGGGTAAGCAAGATAAGCCAGGTCTGGGAGAACGATGAATGGTGAACAGAGACACAAACCCTGTGCAGTAGCCCGGGTTGCCGTTGCGGTGGAATTCTCTTCGGTTTCGGTCTCGTTGTCTCCCTCGTCATCATCCCCCTCATCGTCCTCTCCTTCGAATATTATTTCGATGCCATTGAGGGTTTCTTGGGCGTCTGCGACATGTCAGAAAATAGTTGTCCTGAGTGTGCCCCGAATGTACCCGTGAAATCAGGATCGCTGTCTTCTTCTTGGGAGCCAGTGGCATCTGTACTTTGTTCCTCCGTTGGATGGTAACTTTCGACGTCATCATCCTCGTCTTCATCTCCGGTAAAGATGTCGAGAATACTAGCGGGTGGGGGGCTTAAGCCTTCGCGGGAATCTGCAGATGTCGACATGGTGATTGTCGGGCGGGAGGTAGCATGGACTGAGGATAGTCTGAGGATAGACAGACTGCGGTTGCAGCTGCGGCTGGATAGTAATGAGGTATCGATTTGCGGTCGGATCTGGTGGATGTAGGCTTATCTCCGTGCCGGCAGCAATGGAATGGGTAGCTTGGTTGGAGTTGCTTCCCTCTTTGATGGACCATGTAACAGACGAACGACAACCTCTCTCAAGCGAAAGGAATCAACTTGTGACTGGAATGAGGCGACCATCTGTGATTTAGGAAGCACAAGATAGATGTGGCGTGGCGATGGCCTCACAGCCGTTGGCGCAGCCGGACAGATGCACGTCCATGGTGTCCCGCACTCCAGTCACCCACCAGTGATTGCGTGATATGTCGGCAACATTGCTCGACTCCCTACGTCGTGAGCTTCCGAAAGGCTTGACCTCTGTTGAGGACTATACCAGTGGGACGCCAGCCCAAGCTCGTGGTGCTCTTTGCTGCCCAGGCCAGTTCTTTCGAACATCACCTTTGCTTAGCTCGCATACCGCTGTCCTGGGGATACCGCATGCGAACAGCTCCCGCGTTGACCTCGAACAAGGCGTCGAGATGTCCCGGCGAATCCAGCACCGATATATATATACCACCACCAAGTCTCAGGCGTCATGGAAATTACTGAGTGCAGCTCCTGGTCCAACTAACTAGTCTGGTGTGTCCTGCAACATCTCGGGCACCATGATCCACAGAAGTCGTGGAATTTCCCAAGATTGGCGCACTTACTTCGACCAAGTGTCTGCATAACCAGAGAGCCCTGCAAGTCGACACAGTTTCGACGGGGCTGAGAATCTGGTGGCACGCGCTGATAAGATAGTTCCACATATTGCAGAATCACCACTTCCTTTACCGAATCAATTGTAGCGTTGGCCGACTGAGAAGTTGTCCATCCGGGAATCTGGTCGATTTAACCCCATGGCCCAGATGTGTTTTCTGTCCCTGCAACGAATGCCCAGCCTCGATATCGTCAACAAAGCTGTGCTGTCACTTACTGCCAATGAACCGCATTAGGTAACTGGGTTGCCTGTCTGTCGTTCTTGCCATTTCCTTCCGACCTCTTGCAGCTCTAGTGCGCTTCATCTTTGCTGGACCGTTCTATCTTGGCATGGAAGCTGGATCAGGTTGGTAGGAGCGAAGAAAGGAGCGTGAGTCAAGAGCCCTGCCTTGGTGGTTGGCAAAAGGAGAAAGCTTCTGAACAAGATGCAGATTTCAATGAATCGTGCAGAGATATCTTAGAGCAAGGAAGGCCTTCGAGGGCACTGCAACAGGCTCTACTGAGGTTCAATCCTCTCGTCAACAAGGATCAAACTGGTCCTTCCCGAGTGAACATGTGAGTAAGACCCGCCGGATATGGTGCAGTCGGCCGAGGTGGAGAACTGCAGAGCTTGTACGTCCATGGATTGCATGAGGCCGAAGTCAACGCCATCAGCAACGTCCATTTACCCGTTCAGTTGCATGGGTTAGGAAGGCGATGACCAGAGGAGGTGATCAAAGGCCACGTGTTGGTGGAAGAGAACAAGAAGCTCAGAACATACTAAGCCGCAAGACATCGGTGAATATTGTGTGCATCAGACGCTATGCCTGGCTATTCACTCTCAAATGCATTGACTGCAAGCTGGTCGAGCATTCGACATCTTACAAGCAATCTCTTACTGGTGAATTCATCATGTTGTTTCCTGCAGATTCCCATCGTCCCCACCTTTCCGAATGCCAGTGTACAGGAATACCATGCAACCCGTCAGCCGTGTCTTATAACCGTTGACCCCGAGTGCCTCCCTCCGTGATCTCCCATTATGCGGACTCAACCATCGATATATGCAATGTCTCCAGCAGCCGCAAGTCGAGCCAGGCCGTGGCGTATGTCAAGGCCTCCACGGAACGCAGGCTCCAGGTATGTTGCTTCTGCTCAGCGGCCTTGCCAGGTCTTGTGTATTCATGTCTAGCTTGACTTCTTCTTGGCATACCTCAGCCTCCTGACGGTCGATCGTACCCAACCTCACAGAACTCATCCAACGCAGTCGTGAAACTCTTGTTATCAAAGTCCCTATCTGCTAGTTTTTCGACCGCCCAACCCACCAATTTTCGCCTCCGGGATTGTGTCGGCAGGTCTTTACACTTTGGCCACCAATGGTATTGTCCCCATGTGAACTTCGCGAGATCGTCGCGGATCTCACCGGCGAGGTAGGGCGTGGTGCTTTCACAAAGCTCCAGGTATTTGAGGAAGTAGTCACTGTGGAAGCGTCGAAGGTCATTGTACCGGGAGGCCACCGCCCGTTTGCGCACCTCGATGTTCAGCGCCTTCATGCGTCCGAAGCTGCCAAAGTAGCTGCAGAACCGGCTGATGTAGAGCTGGATGAGACGGAGCTGTTGTTCTTTGGTGGCTCTAATGGGAGACCGAGGGACTCTGGATCTGACTGTTGTCGACGACCTCGCTCTGGGCCGCGCCTTCGAGGGTATCGTCGACTCAGCCTCAACGATTGCTATGAACGGTCAGTCGATAGCGATATGACCTCCCCGGGGGACTCACCTTGGTCGACGACACTCCCACTGCGAGGTGTGGACTCTTGCTTCTCGGTGCTGTCAAACATGGCTGTCGCTGACCTTGTGGATCTGGACTGTCAAGCTTGTCAAGAACCCTATATATCACAACACTCGGTGACAGGGTCTTCGAATGTTGAGATAGCGGGCTTCTCTCGATGGGAGGCAGGTAGAATGGAACGTGGGAGGGAAAAGGTATACGGAAGAGGAGCTTCGAGAATAAAGAGCGAGGTGAGTGAATACAGGTCACCTTCACAGTGTATAGCAGTCATGTTCCTCGACTGCGGCTCAGTCAGTCGTTGTTGTCAACCGACAGTGAAGTTGGCGCTTCTCGATCGTCGACACGCAGCCTTGTGCTGCCCCTTCAGGCGATGGCTCCCGTCCTGCCGGCACTCCCCTGCTCCATCTTCAGCTGTTGGGAGGATGAGTGCTGGAACCTCGGCGTGCTTGCATGTGAAGCGACTTCCCTGGAATCCCAAACTCGATGCGGCTGACTTGAGTCGGACGTCACCGTCGCCATTCGCAAGACGCATGAAATCGTTCGCAGGTTTAGCCTTGCGTTGATGAAAGTTGCCTTCGACTCCTGGTCTTTCCGATTCGTCATGGTGCAACGGCGGAAGATACGGTAGTGGAAGAGAAGGGGTGCAGGACAGGTTTCAGGAAACAAAAGAATTGCATACAGTTATGAATGATTTTGAGTGCGAGGCCGAAGTGAGCACAATGGGGCAGGACGGGTTGAGGCGACAAAGAGGCCGAGGCCAGGGCGGAGCTGTAGGTGGTAGCTCGAGGAGCTTTGACTTGAAATTCAACAGTTGAGTCGAGATCCGCACTTACTGGCAAAGTCGCCAGGTGTGTCCCTTCTCCAAGCCGAATCGGATGCTCCAGAACCGAACAGTACTTTTCAAAACATTTGCCCATCTTGAACCACGATGCCAACACGATGCCCACCCAATGCAATCGACGCCGTATATATCTCGTTAGCTCATCAACGGCCGGACAATCCGAGTATCGATGTCCGAAAACAAGTCTAGATTCTCCAAAGTAAGGTGGAGAGTTTTCTCCTGGTTTGTCAGTCTAATGTACATGCTGAAGGTGCATCCGTCCACCCTGTCAGACGGTTGGCGATGTCGCTCGCGTAGCAGTGTGTTGCTGAGCCGCTGCCCAGGTCGCCCGATGAATCAATTTCGCCGGAGTTGTACAGTCGTGCGGCGCGATAGTATGCTTGCGCATACTCCACACCATCGAGTGTTGCCTGAGCGTTGAGATCAAGGGCATATCCGTGGCCGCCATCTGCTGTGCCGGCAACTGCAAAATTGGGATCAGTAAACCACGATGCCAAGAGGTAAGTCTAGGCGAAAGGCGGCTCTACTCACCTCCATCCTGGATCATGCCCAGAATCTGTGCCTTGGGACACGGATTCTGTACCTTCCCATCATCATTGCAGGAATGGTTGCCTCTGAACGATTGCAGAATTCCCGGGTTTTGCACGGTCCCATCTGGCGATATCGATGTCTTGGCCCTCACGCAACCCCTCGTCTCCTGCATGGCTGCGGCTAGGATGAATCGGTGGTCCACCCTCGTCTGCTGTGAAACTTGCTTGATGGCATCATAGAGGTCCTGGACCTCCTGGTCGGACATGTTGGGTGCGTCGTAAAGACTGTTGCAACTTCGAGATATTATGTTCTGGTTTGCGACCCACATGTCGTTGAAGGATATCCATGAGAGGTCTAACGGCCATCCTGCACTTGACGAGCCGTCACCTGTGTATTGAATGTAGTTGTTTCGTCCGCCTGTTTATGTCCCTCATCAGCTACCCCCGCCTGTCGCCTCGAAAAGTCTGATCTTCATACCGTCGTAGTCATTCCAGAAGCCGTCACTGCCAAGTTTCCCTTGTACTACATCGTTTTCTCGTTTTATCAGAGGACTAGCAAAGGTAGAGGCTATAGGGAGGAGTGCGAGCAGGACCTTGCAGCAATGTCAGCCTTCTGGTCCGATGTTATTCTGAGGGGTCACTGGAAGTAAACTTACTAGCCGCGACAGAGTCATTGTGCATATGGTAAGGTCCGCTCAAAGTCCGGGTCAAGCGAAAGCACGGATTCTTGTGCGAACACACCCAGATAGGATCTGCAATGTAGTAAGGAATGATAGATTGGCGCAGAAATAGTACACAGCAGGGGAACAACGAAGGGATGGAGAGACCGGGATCGTCCCTTTTATATCAAGTCCACCGCGGGAGTGGAGAGCCTCTCATACGGACACAGCGGCAATGCATAGCATACTCATAGCCAAAGAAGGGCTTCCGGTGGCATTGTCAGGCCGCTGGCAACATATTTGACCTTTAGAGTGTTTCAGACCGGTATCCGCAGCGGAAGGTCCACAACGCACATCCATCGAAAGGATGACATGGACAGTGGGGACGTTCAGGATATGACGCTACCAAGGGGCCTCAAGCAGCTGGAGATACCTACGTAACTATGCGGGCAAGGACGAAGCGGTCGTGGTTAGAGCCTTCAAAAGGGGCCTGACTCATCACCGGAATCGTTCCAAAGACTGGCACTCAACGTTGGTAAAGGCTTGGGTGGCCGTGTACTGATTGCAGTAGATTTTCGGGAGAACCAGAAACTTTCCACGAAAAAATGCTGAGCCAAGGCAACGACGATGCCATTTCAGGGAGTTCGGTTTATCCTTTAACTGTCGTGCGTGAATAGAGGAAAATTCGAAAAGGCGCACGATGGCGGTAGTCGATTCAACACAACTCCACTCACTCGGCCCGCGTCGGCCAAATCCCTGCACAGGCGTCTCAGCAGCGCGATATATTAATAATTCCGTACTCGTCTGACTTGACTTACTTATGTTCGAGTGTGAGTGATTGCCTAGCATGTCTGACCCGACAGGGAATATTCACAGGTATCATCCTGAGGAAACCCAACGCCCAAGTCTCGAAGAAAGTGAGTTCAAGCTTTTTCGATGCATTGGGTGCAATTGGCCTCCCGCCAATGCATGTCCCAACCCTGCAGGCCAACCGAGGCAGTGGCGTTGTTCGCTCCATGCTACGGAGTACAAAGTACAGTACAGGAGTGAGCCACCGATGCTGGATACCTAGGTATGTAACAACAGCACAGCCTCATCTACGGTAGCTTCCAGTCCAGTGAGAAGTAGTAGCTTCGCTGTTCGACGGCCTCGCACTGCACTCCCTCCTCCGTACTGTTCCTGTTGTCTGTAACTGCTCCTTGAGCACATACGTCGTGGTGTAGTGGCTTTTCATTCCACCAACTAGTGCTTCTGTAAAGCAGGCCGACAGCTATTTCGCGCACTTTTTCAAGTCACATTTGTCATATCTCATCAATCTTGCGGGCACATGAACGGCATCATCCACTTTGCTGCAAGCTTTTGTTGCCGCGCCCATCTTCTGGAGTTCTTAGATTCCCGTCAAATCCACTCGCCGCCGCCGGGCGCGGTGCCTCGTCCCAGTCCGCCAGAAACTACCGATAGTGCCTTAGCGGACCCAATACTCTTCAGGATGATGCTGGCCTGGTCGCTCTTAAAGCCGTCAACTTCGATGCCAAACACATCATCACTAGATCGTCCAATCTGGATAACAGGAATAGGTCTGCCTGAGGCGCTGGTGTCCATGACTTGGGTGGAAGACTCTGGCTTTGTTCCATGTCGAGGACCAGCATCTGAAACTGAACGTTTTATAGACGGGGCAAGGTACACCGATCTGTCAAGGTAGGCCGTGTGCAAGTCCCAGGCGTCGATCTTGGTCTTCAGGTAGTGAATCGATGCAGAATGTTGGTGAGAAAACCGACTCCGGCGCTCGGATGTCAAACCCTTAACCCACCCCGGCCCGATGCGGGGATCTGGGGTGCCTTTCACAGGGAGATCTAGTGCATCCATGAAACTAAGGGCTCGCGCATCACGGCTGTATACGCTTGATGCTCCTTGGCTGCATTGGCTTCTCGGACCAAGAATTGGCTTGAAGGTCGTTGACAGCGAGGACGAAGAGTAACGGCGGGAAAGCTGCGCGCTGGGTCGTAACTTGGACCAGGATACAAGCTTTAGCCGACCTGTATTCGATCGCTTCTTGAGAGCTTTTGACTGAGGGGACCTCTTCGCGGCTCGATTAGCACGTTTGCTCGGGGTGGCAAACGGGAGGGCGGTGAGCATCTCAGAGCTCGGGAGAATGACTGAGCTAGGTGTTCTTCTGTGTGTATGAGAAGGCACCGCCATACACGGAGGTGCAAGTTTTGACTTTGAGGGTGTCGAAGGAAGTGGTTTCTTCTCGGTAGAGTATTCCGCCGAGGTGGGAGGTGTCGAGGACAGCCCAGGCGTCGTAAAAGGGTTGCTGGCAGGCGTATAGAGACGATTCGACGATAACAAACTCTCCTTGTTGATACCGTCTGCGGCGTTGTCAAACCGATTTCGAATCTCGGCCACAGGCGTCTTGGGTCTTGTCCGTGTGTCCATTCTCTCCAGTCCTCCCTGCTTCTGGTTGTTAGTGGCTGTTCCTACCTCACCGTCATTTGAGTGCTGCAGTTCCAGCTCTTGCAGTGTGTGTCGCTGTTCTGCGGCTGGCGCCTCGCCTACGGTAATGCACGACTCTCCATGCATCGCTTGAGTAGATGCCGCAGTTCGAGCCATAATATCCATCACGCGTCTCTCGGTCGCAGGAGGCTGCTTGAACTTCTGTGGAGCTGGGCAAGGAGTACCGAAGCTGTCCGCAGTCGTGTCCGAAACCCGTTGACCCAACTCTTGGAAAAGTTTCAGAGGATGTACGACTCCTCCGTCACGGCTCGGGTCGAGTAGCTGGGGTATAGGAAATCGTTCCAGCTGTCTGGTCAACGGTGGTGGTCGGCCTGCTGGTCTTGGTTTGAGGATGAGTGGTTCTGGTACCGGGAGGATGTAGTCATGGTTTGCGCTAAAGGTAGTGAATTGCCGTGGGTCCGGGCCTGTAACTCGTCTTGCTGCCCTTGGATTGTGTCTCATACTCACGCAACAATGAGGTGGGGTAAAGAGTCCATGACTGTGGATGAGCCCATGCCCTGGACCACTGCCTAGGTCTGATCGAGCAGGACTGCTTGGAAAGGGACTTTCAACTCTGGGATTATACCGTTGGACAGGGGCCGCAGGCTGCTTTCGAAAGCCGCGTAGCAGAGCAGGGTGACTTGGGAACTTAAGAGGAGGCCCGAAAGGATGTGGGTAGTTTGGGACCACGGGGTACCGACTTCCAGGTAGAATTCTGGGTTTCTTTCGATATCTTGGCAGAATGATGACCAAAACCAGACACGCCAGGACGACAAGGAAGGCAATGACTGCGAAGATGATAGAGAAAGTCCGACCGGGACTGGTCTCGCGCCGCTCCAGATGATGCACAGTTAGTGGCGGCATATTGGATGTTCCCCTTGATCAACAATAGATAAGGGGGTGTTAGGGCAGCAGACTTTCGTGGTTTTGACATAGGAAGGGAGGCTTTGAGTCCGATCTGTGCGAGGCAGAATAAAGTCAAGCAGAGAAGAAAGTGAGCGCACTTTGAGATCCATGAAGGCAACTGAACATGGCAGGCACGGTCCGGCACAAAAGAGAAGCCGACTTGCGCAGCGCTTTGGCGGTCGGTGTAGGTTGCTCTTTCCTCATAGATTCGTCAGATTGACCTTCACCTTCATTTACTAAAGTGACCTGATCAAGGGCATCAGGCATTTCGTCGCGCTTTGTCTTCTGCAGCGACAGAAGAGGTACAAGATAAGGCTCTGGAGCATTGAGAAGTGAATTGATTCTGAACATGAAGGCATTAGACTCACGTGTAATGGTATTCAACCGCCATAGTCCACTCGGTCTTGCGGCTGAGCACCAAGAACCCAACCTAACCCGCTTCCCACCATATTGGCCACCATATCTCGCTTCCGCAGCCTTCTACCATCATCTGAAGTCGGCGAACTAGCCTGCTCCCGTTGTAGGTCTTGCGGATTGGAGGCGGAGCTAATTTTGAGATCCCGCAAACCGTTCGCCCCGAGCGGAAATGCAGCACTTTTTCGTAAGGCTGAAGCAGCGCCTCTAGCGACATCGAACAGGCCCATAGGTGCCTCTTCCTCATAAGAAGGGCCGGATCCTGCTGGCCCACTCCGCCGTGCCATTACACGCTTTGTCTCAGCTACATCTGCTTCGCGATCTTCGATGCCGAATGCTCCTGGGAGTGATGCGTCTGCTTTTGCGTCGAACACTCGCTCTTCCTCTACAGCTTGCGTCTTCAAGCCGTCAAGTTCTTCTTCGTAACGGCGCCAGGTTGCTAGGATTCCCGAGAGTGCTTCTCCAGATGGTGCCAACAATAAGGCCCGGGAAAGGAGTTCCATACGCTGTGCTAGACTATCAATGCGAGCATTCAAACTTTTCGGAGATGCACTGGGACGGTATTTACCGGCAGCATATGCCGCGCGCCATGATGTGTCGTCAGTGAACACGCCGGCCGTAGATTGCTCCGGTGAAGTGTGCAACCGTGTTGTAACATAGGCATACGCAGTGTCAAAATCATTCATAGCAAGCGCTGCCATGATCGCTGCGTAGGTGACCCTTTGTTCGGCCAAGAGAGTACGAAGCTCAATCGGTTCCGAATCGTCTACCATGTTTCCCCGGTCTGAAATATGAGCGCGGACGAGACTGCGTGCTATCTCCAAAAGGTCGTCCAGCTTGGTGTAAGCTCTTGCATCCTGTGCCAGGACCTTCTCCAGTAGTGTGAGCGGATCTTTCTGGACGCGAATAGCGACAGGCTTGAAGGGGACTCCGTGTTGCAGGGTCAGCTGGTAGAACGACAGGCTGTGAGTCGCTTTGATGAGATAGTCAATCCCGGTTAGAGTTGACGATTGAGGAAAGTTGGGTCGAAACACTTTCAGGATATCGTTCGCACGTTTCATGCCACCACGGTCTCTATTGCCATTGCTGGCATTGTCATAGGCTTCGTAGATTGCTGCAACTACACGGGAATGGACTTCGGAAGAGGACAAAGGCGGAGAAGCGCTTGTAAGATAGATCTCTTGAACAAGGCTGTACTGAGCGGCCTTGAGGAGAGCGTCAAGAATTTGTGTCTCCACCACATCGAGAGATAGTCGTGACAAGAAAGCTAGGCCTTCGCGGCCGTCAGTCTGCTGGTTTGCCGACCAGGAATGAAGATATAGTATCTGCTGCCGTACCGACCGCCAGTCGATTGCTCTTCGGCGCTGAAGTGGAATGTGTTGAAGCAGTCGGTGAAGTTCATCCTTATGACGCCGTTCCGAACCAAATACACAGGTGCGTGCTAGATCGGCTATTGTCCATGCCAGTCCGTATCCCGATAAAATCCTTGCAGTGGTTAGAAGTCCAGCTAATAGCAGGATCGAAGTTTCCGACGGCCGAGTGAATCCGTTCGTCTTTTTAAGGAGCGAATGGTGCAGTAAATCCGTCTCATTGAGACCTTTTGTGGTGTTTTCGGGTAGTGAGATCTCTGGCTCGCTATGCGAAAGTTCGACTTGGAGGAGCCCAACGAGCCCTGCAGCCTTGCCGAGCACTTGTCCGCAGATTGCGTAGGCATCGGTTGATGCCTCACGGCATCCATAGATTATAGCCAGTCCTGTCTGTGCATAACCAGCAGCCTCGTCTCCTGATTGCGAGCTTCTGGCGGGACCAGTCCATTCCACATATGCCTTCGCTGCGACATCGAACCTATTCACGCTCAAGGAGATCAGCCAGGCGTACACTGGCTCCCACGATACCTCCTCAGATGAATCCTCTTCTGGTTGATGCTCGAGTCTTCTCCTCTTCGCCCGGTTTGCCCCATTGACCCAAGGGGACACCACCTGGTCCAGATCTCTCGCCAGAACAGAAGGGTTCTGCTGTCCCTCAGCATACTGTAGAAGTGTGCTTATGCCTTCCGCCCCAGAGAGGTTCTCGATTTTCTCCAGGTCAACAACGTTGTAGGCGCCAGGATAAAACTCGTATTGCAGTCGTAGTAGCGGGACAAGGTATGTTTCGTACCACAGTCGCAGATCGACGTCGTCTTTGACGAATTGCTCCACGAACTCCGCCGCCGGTTGTATAGCCCCATGGAGCTCTTCCAGACGCCTCGCCCATTCGATGACGAAGTTGGCCAGTTCGCTCTTGGTATGGATAGATGCGTGTTCAGCTAGCGCTCGCAGGCTTAGAATGCGACATTGACGTGACGCCTCGCTTCGTGACAGGCTAGATATTGACGAGTCGAGACTCGGATTTCCTGGGCTCTCCGGAGGCTCTGAGGGTACCCCAAGCGACTTCAAAAATGCCACAATAGGTGCAGCCTCGGAGGTGTCGGCAGGGTAGAAGGAGAGTACCAATCGGTATGTTAAGTCACGGGCAAGCACATCGGGGCGCCATCTGACGAGTTGAAGTAATGTGTCCAAGTCGCCTTCGGAAGTGGCTTGGACAGCATGAAGGACGATATGAGCCTCCGATGGCTTCTCCGAGCTCTTCATACCTCTGATTTTACGTGCATATCGCGACCACAAGTCTAGCTGCGCATTGTTGAATATGTTGACAGCGTGGAATGTGACTAAATGCGTCACCAGAGTCGGGCCAACTTCGGTGCGAGAGCCTCACTGGCCGTGACTTGAAGCTCGAACACCACTCGCTACCACCTCAACCAAACACTGAACTGCGCTCTCTGCACACCCAAATTCCTCCTGTGCTCATTGATGATCGTGTCTCGAGGTCTTTAACTACCCGAAGATGGCGTCAGGATACGGCTTGACCGGAGGTGAGTCACAGTTCTGCCGTGTACTCACTGTGGTGTGCTCGTGTCACCCACATCCAACCTGAACCGAAGCTCGATACTAACGGAACTTTTCGACCGTAGGTGTCTCCCGCTGTTTTCCTTTCTGGCAGGAGTACATGTCTTGCTACGTTATCAATCAGAACGATCCTGAAGCCCGAGCCAGAGGCGTCTGTGCCCCACGATTGGAGGATTACTACGAATGCCTACATCACAGAAAAGAGGTAGACCATGTTCACAGTTGGAAGGATGCTTATTGGATCTAACAACGTAACAGTACGCACGGACAGTGGCGATACAGAAGGCACTACAGAAGGCTGAGGCTGCAAGTCCCCGAGAGAATGCCCCCAAGCTAGGTCAGATACGAAGCCTTGGACTTATCGGCCGGGAGGAGGATTCGAAAACATTCTTAGGAACAACACCTGGAACTTATTCTTGAGGGGGGAAAAGCAATAGTCAGCAGCCTTACAGGCAAACATGCTCCGAGACGAAGAGGATGGGTGCCCCGACTGTACATATCGCAGAAGCGCAGAAGAAGCTCAGTTCTTATGGAGACTATATCAAATGCAGGTGACCAACAACTTCTGCCGACCATCTTTAAGTCCGCGTGATGTCTCGAATTGCAAACAAACAATGTCTGCTAGTTTATGAAAGCCGAAGGAGTATCAGCACAAATCCTGATGTGGTACGACTGTGCCAGCAAGGCGGAATCCCCAATAAGTATCCGAGTTGCTTTCTCGACCGGATCGCTGCGAGGGCGAAACTACAGAACGGCCGGCCGCTCCTGATTCATGATGCCCAGTGACTGAGGTTCATCGTGTCCTGAGTGAACTCGTGAACTCGTGAAAACCTCTTTCCGAGGATGGTGTATCCAGCACTTGCGTAGGGAAAATTCCCGACCACGTAACCCTCCCGCATGCTAGAAGGCCGTAGAGATCAGAGGCGCAAGCGTTGCAATTATTTCTTTGGCCTTCGGCTATATTTACGCTCACAAGTGATCGAACGGCTCTCAGGTGAATATGAGGCACAGATGAAAAGTGCCAAGCACACGCGTGAGAAGGCTTCAGTGCCCGGTTGGGTGTTAGCGCAGCCTAAGTGGTAAAGGTGGACACTCGGAAGGAGCAATCAGAGGCCAGGGGCTGATGCAGGCTGCGCAGCAAGCGAGGATTTAAATGCCATTCCAGACCCTCTTAAGCCCACGCTGCGCCCCCGATTCCAACTCTCTGATCTGCCAGTCCCCATCTTGGACGAAGTGCAAGGCTCTGCTCGCACACCTTTGTCACAGACACTTCATTTTCTGGTACAGAGAAATTCACCGCACCACAAGCGTCACAGCTGAACCACTACAAGAGTGGCGGACCCTTATTTTTATTCACTATTAACCCTCATCTTCCATTCACGCCCTTTGAATCTTCACGAAAGGCTCATGACATCAAAAGACCACCGCAGAACGTGCGATTGATGGCTTCTAGGTCGCGAGCCGGCAGGAGTGTGGTTGAAAAGACGAAAGTTGGTAACGAATTCCTCAAGTAATAATAATGGCCACTGGGACTTCAAGGTTTGAAACCCTCGACCCGATCACCTGCCAAGCTGGGCTAACTGCTTCTGAACAGACTCGATCGACTGGTCACGTGAGTGCCATTAAACCTCTCTTGCCGCTGGATTTCCAGCATACCTCCATGCTTTTCAAACTAACCTGAGTTACAGCTTGCTGGACAAGGGCAGCACACAGCTCATCCGGAACACTGCTGCACAGCAGCTCGCAGATGTCCAGAAACAGAATCCTGACAATCTCTTCGCACTACTCGGCAGAGTCCTTCCATACTTGCAGTCGAAATCATGGGATACCCGCACTGCAGCAGCAAAGGCCATAGGCGCTATCATCGAGAACTCCGAGAAGTTCGATCCTAATGCGGACGATGTGGACACAAAGCTCGAGCAGCCGGCAAAGGTCGAGGACGGACCTCCGGAAACGGAGGATCTCCTTCAGCTCAGCAGCTTGGACATCAAGCTGATCCTTACTCATGGCAAAAAGCTCCTGGGTAGTGCTGGCAAAGAGTATGAATACTCCATGGCCGGATTGACACCGGCTCAACGCCTAGCCCACCAGAAGCAAAGTCTGGCCGCACGACTCGGTCTTGGTGGGGAGTACATTGAGGATGATCTAGTCAACGAGCACGACTTTGCCGCCAGTTCGCAACAGAAGCTTGTCGCCACACCCGGACTACCGCGTGTGGATACCAAGACGTCAATCAAACGAAATGATAGCCTAGCTTCTCCATCACCATACAGTGCACTATCCCCTTCAGAAGGCAACGGCCAGACTCTGGCTGATGAAGCCGGACTGAGTAAACGACAACTAAACCAACTCAAGCGTAAGAACAAATCAGCCGCCAAAACTGGTGCTAGCAAGATGCGGGTGGTCGATCTATCAGGACGTCGTCCGTCTGAACCTGGCCAGACTCCTGTCCCACCGACTCCTTACCCCGTCAAGCTCAATGGCCACGAGGACGCGAACGGAGATGCGAAGCCCGATTATTTCTCTATAAAGCGGGAGGACTCTGACGACAACACTGCACTCGTCAAGGAGTTCAAAGGTGAGGAAGTCCCAGAGAAGCCGCTCATCCAGCCCGACGATGAGCATGCCCATGACTGGCCTTTTGACGTCATGTGCGATTTCCTGTCAAACGACCTGTTCGATCCAACCTGGGAAGTTCGGCATGGGGCTGCTATGGGTCTACGAGAAGTCCTTCGTGTGCATGGACGTGGTGCCGGTCGACGCTATGGCAGATCTAGGGTGGAGAATGATCTTGCAAACTGGCGATGGCTAGACGACATGGCTTGCAGGCTGCTCTCCGTCTTGATGCTAGACCGTTTCGGAGACTACGTTTCCGACACCGTGGTGGCCCCAATCCGCGAATCAATCGGCCAGAGCCTTGGGGCTTTACTGAGCCAATTACCTGACGATATAGCTGTGTCCGTCTACAACTATCTTCAAGAGATGGTTAACCAGCGGAATACTGGTCTAAAGCAACCAATCTGGGAAGTATGTCATGGAGGGATGATTGGCTTACGCTACTTTGTTGCTGTTCGAAAGGATCTCCTCCTGCGGCACAACAGCTTGCTTGATGGTGTCGTTGAAGCCGTCATACAGGGACTCGCCCATCCTGACGATGATGTCAAATCAGTCAGCGCAGCGACGTTGGTGCCAATTGCTCAAGAACTCACCACTATGCGCCGCAACGCTTTGGGCCGGCTCATCAGTGTGGTGTGGGATTGTCTGCTGGATATGCAGGACGATCTAAGTGCCAGTACCGGTGCAGTCATGGACCTACTTGCGACTCTTTGCTCCCATAAAGAGATCATTGAAGCAATGCGAATTAATGCCGCCGAAAATCCAGACCAGACTTTTGAGCGGCTTGTTCCGCGCCTCTACCCATTCTTGAGACATACGATCACCAGTGTCCGAATGGCGGTCCTCAAGGCGCTGGTGACATTCTTAAATCTCTCGGATGTAAGCAATTCTGCGTGGTTGGGTGGACTCGTGGTACGCTTAATATTCCAGAACATGCTAGTCGAACGGAACGAAGGTGTTCTGCGGAAGTCCTTCGAAGTCTGGCAAGCTCTGATTGCGTCTATGGAACGTCAAGGATTCTCAACATTGGATCCTAGCTTGGAGCCGCACATCTCTCCTATGATTCTCGCGGCCATCCAACCTATTGGCCAGATTCGAAGCCCTATACCTATGGACACGTCGCTTCTGATCAGGCCAAATGGCGCACCCATGGCTCCTATCACAACCAAGCATAGGCAAAGTCCAGACTCTGAGTCGCAAGCCAAGAAACGGCGGAAAGTCGAAAAGCCAGAGCCCAAGGAGCGTCTATCTCATAACACCGACGGCCATATCCTACACGGCGAGGTAGACCTGGTTGGGTTAGAGATCATGCTACGGACAAGGATTGTCTGTGCACGGGGCCTGGGTTTGCTACTAAGCAAACAAGGAGCATTTGCCATCAACATGTATTGGAGCCATCTTATTCCGGTAATCAGCTCTACACACTCGAGTTCGAGGTTATTCGCTGGCATGATTCTTGAAGAACTCGCATATCACCAACCCACAAAACCCACAAGCACACCGGAATTTGTCTCCCAACTACAACAAGCTCTCGATGACGACGGCAATAGCTGGTATGCGGATATTGTGTCCTCACTGCAGGCTGCTCGAGGTCAGTGCCAGTCCTTAGTCAGCGCATTTCAGAATCAAGCACATGTCGCCCGGGAGAGACTACCAGCAATAGCTGTTGTCTGCCAAGGTGAGAGCGGTGCCGGTCCCAAAGCCTTCTCATTAGCAGATGCGGGGAGGATTGTAACAGCAGAGTTCGACCGCCTCTTGAAGAGTCTGACACCAGCCCAACGTGTATCTGGGACTCAATATCTGAATGATGCTCGTGCCAACGCAAAGAGCGCTGTGGACGAGGCTAAAAAGGTGAAAGAAGCTCGCGACATCGCCATCAAAGCTACAGTTGCATCTGTGCTTGTCCGGCTGGGTGAGGTACCGAAGAAACCCGGTCAGGTGATCAAATGCATCATGGACAGCATCAAATCAGAGGCTTTCGAGGAACTGCAAGCTCGATCGGCATCGGCTGTCGCAGGCCTGATTGACTTCTACACGAAGAGTCCCAAGCGCGGCCCAGTAGACAAATTAGTGTCGAATTTGGTCAAGTTCACCTGCATCGATACCTCGGAGACTCCGGAGTTCGGGCCCCACGCAACCTTCGAGGACATTGTATTGTCGTTGAGGAAAGAAGAAGATAGGAAGGATCACCCGGATGCAGCTCGCTTTGAACAGGAGGCGAAAGAAGCCCGAATCATGCGGCGAGGGGCTAAACGGGCTCTCGACGAGATGGCGCAAGCATATGGTGCCGAGCTCTTCGACAAGCTGCCGGTTCTGCGTTGTCTTGTCGAAAACCCCATTCGCGAACTGATCGAGCCATCCGACCCAGCTTCTTTGCAAGTCGGGGAGGAACAGGGTCAGTCATTGGTCGATGCGCTCTCAGCTTTACGTACCCTTGCGCCCGCTCTTCACCCCTCGCTTCACGCCTGGGTCCTGTCGCTGAGTTCCCTCACGGGCAAAGCAATGAGGAGCCGTCTGTCCGTGATCAGGTACAGTGCTGCCAAATGCTTTGCCACGATATGCAGCGTCATACCTACTGAAGGCATGACGAAAATGGTGCAGGACGTCCTACCTAATATCGGCAATCCACTTGATTTGAGAGATCGACAAGGTATCACGGAATGCGTGTATCATCTCATTCAAGCGATGGGCGACAGGATCTTGCCGTACGTCATCTTCTTAATCGTCCCTGTTCTTGGCCGAATGAGCGACGCCAATAACGATATTCGCCTGCTTGCCACAACATCATTTGCTACGCTGGTCAAGCTGGTGCCTCTAGAAGCTGGCATACCTGACCCGCCAGGGATGCCGGAAGCGCTGCTCCAAGGACGTGAAAGGGAACGGAAATTTATGGCGCAAATGCTCGATCCGAAAAAGGTTGAGCCTTTCCAAATTCCCGTGGCCATCAAAGCAGAACTACGGTCGTATCAGCAAGAAGGAGTGAACTGGCTGGCCTTCCTCAACAGATACAACCTCCACGGGGTCCTTTGCGACGACATGGGGCTGGGAAAGACCCTTCAAACCCTCTGCATCGTTGCCAGCGATCACCACATGCGCGCCGAAGAGTACGCCAAAACGCAAGCTTCAGAGATGAAGCGTTTACCATCACTCATTGTGTGCCCTCCAACACTATCTGGTCATTGGCAGCAGGAGATCAAGCAGTATGCACCCTTTCTGAGCTGCGTGGCTTATGTTGGACCGCCTTCGGAGCGAAACAGCCGCCGCTCTCAACTGGACAAGGCAGATGTTGTGATCACATCCTACGATGTGTGCCGGAACGACACTGACGTCCTCAGCGCCGTAACCTGGAACTACTGCGTTCTCGACGAAGGCCATTTAATCAAGAACCCGAGAGCCAAAATCACCCAAGCAGTCAAAAAGATTGTGAGCAACCACAGACTTATTCTTTCCGGTACCCCAATCCAAAACAACGTCCTCGAGCTCTGGTCTCTGTTCGACTTTCTTATGCCTGGCTTTCTCGGTACGGAGAAGGTCTTCCAAGACCGATTTGCGAAGCCGATTGCTGCGAGCAGGAACGCGAAGTCTTCATCCAAGGAACAAGAGGCTGGAGCCCTGGCTGTCGAGGCACTTCACAAGCAAGTGCTTCCGTTCTTGCTCCGGCGCTTAAAAGAGGAGGTCTTGAACGACCTACCGCCTAAGATCCTTCAGAACTATTACTGTGATCTCAGCGATCTGCAGAAGCGGCTATTTGAGGACTTTTTCAGGAAGGAAAAGAAGACGGTGGAGAACAGTGTCGGCTCGGGTGATAGAGAGGCCAAGCAACACATTTTCCAGGCTCTTCAATACATGCGGAAGCTCTGCAACTCGCCTGCACTCGTCGTCAAGGAAGGAAACAAACAGTATGATGCCATCCAGAAGCAGCTTGCAGCGTCGAAGTCTAATCTGCGAGATGTCGCACACGCGCCAAAGCTGGGCGCTCTGCGAGATTTGCTGGTCGACTGTGGCATTGGCGTTTCGAATGAGGCGAATGATATGTCGGCGTCGAACTACGTGTCGCAGCACCGCGCGCTGATTTTCTGTCAAATGAAAGAGATGCTCGACATGGTGCAGACTGAGGTCCTGGGCAAACTTCTCCCTTCTGTCCAGTTTCTGCGACTTGACGGAAGTGTAGAAGCCGCCAAGCGCCAGAACGTTGTCAACCAGTTCAACAACGATCCCAGCTATGACTGCCTACTCCTAACCACCAGCGTTGGCGGTCTCGGCTTGAACCTCACCGGGGCCGATACGGTCATCTTCGTCGAACACGATTGGAATCCGCAGAAAGATATTCAAGCAATGGACCGAGCTCATCGAATAGGCCAGAAGAAGGTCGTCAACGTGTACCGTCTCATTACTCGCGGCACCTTGGAAGAGAAGATTCTCAGCCTTCAGCGATTCAAGATCGACGTGGCATCCACGGTAGTCAACCAGCAGAATGCGGGCTTGGGCAGTATGGAGACTGACCAAATCCTCGACCTTTTCAACTTAGGAGAGTCTTCCGAGACTAGCGGTGAAGCCGGCGCTGCAAGGGACGAGGACATGGTCGATCTCGAGACAGGTGAAGTCAAGAAGAAAGGAGAAAAGGGATGGCTGGACGATGTCGGTGACCTGTGGGATGAGCGGCAGTACGAAGAGGAGTTCAATCTAGACTCGTTCGTGCAGAACCTGCAACAATAGAGCCGGGCACGACTGGGTGCAGATTTTGACGTGTTGTGGTTGACTTGGAGATGGGGCAGTTCCCGGTCCACAAACTATCTCGCGAGAAGCCCGGCATGGGGACGACGTCCTCGATATTTTAGAAGGCCGTGTCTCCCAGCAGTTGAGAGCTGGAGGCCACCGGGAGGCAGGAGCTATAACTTTAGGGGGAGACCATGCGCTGCAGCGCAGAAAGTAACTCTGTGCAGGAAGTACTCGGATGCTGGCGCAAATCACTCAGCCGAGGAAAGCTCTTTTCTTAGAGGAAGGAAGGAAGGAACGACGTGCTGCCATGAATCTATTTCCTGTACGCACGCAGCACAGCTCCTTCAACAAGACGTGGCAGGCTGGACCTGCTGCCAAATATGGACCCGGCCACCTGGGGTGGGATGATCACTTGGACGAACCAAAAATGCCGACTCGGCGCTTACTCGAGCGGAACAGAGCCTCGTTGGTCGGGCCAGGATACCATGTGCAGTACGCAATACAGTATTCCGTGGGGGCAGCAAAAAGCTTCAGACGTGCTTATGACCTCCTTCAAAGTGACGGGAACAGCGGTCCAGCAGACGCGAACCTCAGGCCAGAGCCACATAACCAAGAAAAGGCCGTGTCGCAGCTTCGCCTCTCGTGTGGACTTTGCGGAGGTTCCTTCCCACTGTGTAGAGGGTCGGCTGCGATCTCGCTTATCGGGCAAACCTTTCCGAGAGCTCTACTCCATATCGACGGGTCAGAATCAAGATAAATACCAAAGAAGAGTGCTGGTGTCCGCGCTGCGCGTAGACAGTAATAATGACGACTATGTAGGGAAATCGCGGAAATTACCCTGGGGTGGGGGTTCTGGCTCAAAAACAATGTCCGTTGATGTGCTGCGTCTGCATACTGTGCACTGTGTACTCCGTACTCCGTCCTCGGAAAGCTGCACCAGAGGGTCTCGTGCCTGCGATGAGCTCAAGGAGATCTCTCTGGTTGTACGAGGCACGCAGGCGCCTTGGCCCTGGCACACCATTCCTGGAAAATTCGACCAAGCCGAAAGGGACGGTTTCTGGCCGAACGATCAGAGTGCTGCAGAGTAATTGACCGGTGTGCTCGTACGAGGTACATGCGGTCAGCTCGGTTCCCCAGGCAAGCCTCGGCATTGGTAGAGGCGGCAGACACGTGCCCGGAGATTTGGGCTGGCCAATGGCTATACATAACCCGGACGCCGACCTTACTACCCACGGCTAGCGTTGGCGATGAGCAACGGCTTACGCACTGTGGACTCGAAAATAGAACATTCGCCCTTTGGTCGCTTCTAGCATAGCGGCTCATCGCCTCCGCAAATTGGGCTCATCACCCGCTTCGCCGCTGACCATGACTTTTGCTGGCCATTGCCGTCTTCCTCTTTTACACACACTACTCCATACTTGCCGTGACCTCGGTACTTGTGGCATCCCAGATACGTGAGCACTAAGCCGCATGCGGCTGTATCAAAGGCCGAAATAGGTGCAAGACCAGTACCGAGAATAGTGCGCAGCGGTGGGATGGGACGGCTCTCCCTCTCCCTCGACCACTGCCGACCGTTGGCTGTCCTTGTTACGGCACCATGTACTTGCCCGTCCTTTGATTGCAGAATCCTGACAGCTGTGTACACAGCAGTGATCTCGGCCTCGGCCACCGTGCGCAGCAGCTGTGGCTCTCTCTCCACAGTAAGCACCTGCAGTCACCAGGCACTCCTCCTGGAGGAACACTGGATCCTTCCAAGCGAGCTGTGTATACACAGTAACTCACACACTCGCTCACGCAACATACATATATGCCTCTCTGCCTCCCGTTCTCACAGTCCTCTCTCTCATTCGCATCACAATCCAACAAGCAATCCAATCAATCTTTCCTTAGCCTCAGCTAATATTTCCTTGTGTTCTTTCCTTACTGTCATCGCACGCTCTTTAGCACAAGCCAACTACAGCCAACTACTCCGTACAGTCACCAATAACGCTAAACCTAATTTAACGATAAACGCTCCTTATAATCACAATGCATTCTACCTCGCTTCTCGTTGCTGCCTTCGCCGCCGTCGCCGCCGCGACTCCCATGGGATCCGGACCCGGCTCTTACACCGCCAGCCAAGCCTGGACGACCAGCTACCAGACCGCTCCGTCGGCCTCACACGCCCCATCCTCCTACCCCAGCGGCGGCTCCCCCTCAGCCGTGTCGACCGGCCTGCTCGGCAACCCGGATGCGACGCCTAACCCCAAGCCCACGGCCGGCACCATCGCCAAGCTCCTGACCGAAGACACCCGGGTCGACCGCTTCACCGAGATCCAGGCTGAAGTCGCGGCCGGCAACTTCAACCTCAAGTTCGACTTCAACCCCAACGCCAACCCGCCCAACCCAGCGGCGCTCCCGCTCGGCGGCCAGGTCGACCTCGCCAACCGCAAGAACTTCCCACTCCTGACGGGTCTGGGCATCTCCGCGGCAGGCATCTTCTTCGAGCCCTGCGGCTTGAACACGCCGCACATCCACCCGGACGCGACCGAGTTCTTCACCGTCGTCACCGACAACAACATCTCTACCGGGTTCGTGCTCGAGAACGGCTTCACCACCGAGCAGCGCACCAACCTGACGCTCTTCCAGGGCACTGCCTTCCCCATGGGCAGCATCCACTGGCAGCAGAACCTGGACTGCAAGCCTGCGGTCGCCATCGCCGGCCTCAACTCCGAGGACCCCGGCGCCAGCTCCATCGCCCAGAACTTCCTCATCAACACCAGCGCCGATATCGTCGACGCTGCCCTCGGCTTCCCCAAGCAGATCGACCAGAACAACTTTGCCGACTTCCGCGCCAACATCCCTGTCTCGCTGGCCCGCGGTGTCGAGGAGTGCCTGATCCGCTGCGGCCTCAAGTACTAAGCGTCAAGCTTGCATCCTTGGTGAGTCTCCGTCCGTGATGCAGAGAAGGCGACGGTGACGGCACTTTTCGATATGAGACATGAGACATCTGTGCATCCGGAAAAAGGTTCGGGTCAGTCTACTGGGTATTACTGGCGTTTTGGGGTTTTCGTAAACATAAGCCAGGGACGGTCTTTCCGAGCGGCTTCCTTTTAGGCAGCGAGGATGGACAAACCACGGCGACTAGATAGCATCATAAAACTCTTGTCGGAATCGTACTCTCCTTTGATTCCTACCAAGCCACACTGCTCGAATGTCCACACCGAGCATGATAGCATTGACCAGAGTTTGAGTTGGATCGCAGTCGCGGTACCCTTGAGCGCTGAGCCTCGACACGGCACTTGACGCTTCGTCCCAGGCTGAGTATTAGCGCGCTGGGGGCGAAAAGGTCGGCCGACCCAATGCTGTTCGACGGTCAAGGTCTCCCTTTCCCTTTCCTGTTATCTCGCCTGGACTGCCGGACGAGGAGGAAGCGAGATATCCCTCCATTGCACGCGAGGAATCTAGCGACATCAACAGTTTTACCAGGAGACGGTGCATACTTCGGGGCAGGGGCATCTATCATTGACTCAAGCAGGTTGCTCGTGTTCATTGCTGGAGGTTAGGAAAGTCGGCATGGGAAGCAGGAGACTGCTTGCAGGTAAAGTTGAAGCTCGAGATAAGTACGGATTACGGAGTACATGTTTCCACAAGCCGTTCGCCAAGTCGCAGGTGGCGCTTATACCTAACCTGCAAGGCCGCATACGGAAGGTGTGCCTGCACTTGAACCGGAAGGAGTATTCGAGAAGCCTAGCACGTGCCTAGTTACTGTAGATGCGAGGGGCACCCAGGGAGCGCCTGTAGGCTGAAGCTCGGCTACACAAATCCGGCGCGATACCCCGCTGGGCGAGGTGCCCTCCTTCCGCTAACAAGTGACACGACGATACTCGGTACTCCGTAGCTATCTGAGAGATAACAGTTCGATTCTCGGCTGAGCTTGAAATTCAAATTAAGAGACCAAGGCGGGGTTCGCGGGCGACCATCTCGAGAAGTATCGCTATCCGACGCTGAGCATATACAGAGGTGTATCATACGTCTGAGCGTCGAGAGCGGTTTGAATCAGCACGCCCTCGAGCAACGCAGATAGCAGGCACAGACATCATGCCGGTTCCAGGTACGCACCAGCCTGCACTTCGAAATGCGTCTGAGCTGACCTGCGCCTAGTAGGAATCACGGTGCCTAAAATCCTCCCCGTGACGGGCACATTTCTACCAGGTGGGGTTTCTCTCTCTCGAGGCCAGTAAGCCAATACAGCAGTCTAGCTGACAGGCTCTGGAAGCATTCGCTGCATACTATGTTCTGCTCAGCTTTCGTGTCAGCCTTTCACGGGTGGCGACCGACACCATGATCGGCACCGACACGTCGAAGAAAGCATCTTCAGATTCAAAGCCCACGAGCAGCCAATCGGACGACCGTGCCCTGCTGGTGAATGCGCGATGCCATGGGAATTTCGTCGAGAATGTCCCGCTCTCCCTGCTGGTTGCATCAATCGTCGAGATGAATGGTGGAGACAGAAAGGTCTTGACGGGATCGCTGGCTGCCCTGCTTTTCTTTCGAATCGTCCACGTCGAGTTCGGCTTGAAAGCGGAGCGTTCGATGGGTTCGGGAAGGCCGGTGGGACACTTTGGCACCTTGACGTGGGTCCTTGGTATGAGCACGTATGCGGCGTGGTTGGTGAGGAGTTACTGGGGCTTCTAGAGTGGTAGACGAAGGGGTTTTCGCACATCGATATCCTGAGTATTAGTGATTGGCGACGAGTCGGGCAGAAGGAAAGTCGCAGGGTTAAAACCAAGGAAGGTGCAACGCGTTGAAAGGATATGATTTTCACTTGACCTCGGTTTCCTCTCTCTTCCCGGCATCAGTGAGCCACAGGAACATTCATTTGAGCTGCATCACTTTCGTTTCATGGCCTATCCGCAATACACCGGGGCTCCCGGTCGGACTCTATCCAATTCCGAGATATCAGCATCGTCGTGTCAGCCTATCTTCAGCGCAATTGCCACTCCGCCGCCGCTTCCACTGCCGGCGTCTAGACAACAACCTAAGGCCGAGCTGGCCCGAGAGGCGTCGCACACGTTCCTTTGTACGGTTTGCTGGGCGGAACAGAACTCGCAGCCGCATACCTTTGGGCTCGAGGGTCGTATAGTCTGCGAGGATTGTTGGGACTGGATATATAATGTCAGTATCTGCTGGCGATGCGGAGAGGTCGTCTTCCGCAAGACAGATGCCGTAAACTTCGGCTGGTGCTAGTGGCATTGGAGCTGCTTCTCATGTCTCATCTGCGCGGTATGGATATCTCGATACGGACACGTGAACAGAGGCTGACAACATAAAAGTCTCCCTTGCAGCCACCACCCTACTTCACAAGCGATGGCGAGCCACACAAACAGAGCATGCTTGTTGAGGAACCGCCAGTGTGTCCTCGTTGCGCCGACGAGGCAGCATCAGTGGCAAAGCTTGAGCAACATGTCAGGAGACCCAGCAAGAATTCAGGAGGCGCAAGAAACCCGAAAACATTATTAGACGGAACTTCCGAGAGGGTCTCACTGGCAGACCCTTTGAACCCAGACGCCAACAAGATTGGGAGGTCAAGAAATGGGCAGAGAATGCCTCCTGTATGGATGGCCTTGCTGCCTTCCAACCGAGCTTCGATACCGACTCCGGCCGAAGGCCCAGGACCTCCAACCAAGATGGTCCCTTCAGCCAGGGATTGCACAGCACCTTCGACGCCCTTCGTGACGCCGCCGCATTCACCCAAAACCCGACACAGAGACTCTTTCTTAAGAACTCCACCATTAGTATCTATCAAGGACATGGCGACCCGCACGCCACAGGCCTCGCCAGATTCAATCATGACGCACCAAATGCACACGATAGAGGAGACCTCTGTAGGCTCATCAGACCAAGAAGGGCTTGATATCACAGCGTCGAAACAATCGAGCATCTCTCAGTCTCCAAACTCGTTGACTCGGGCGTCCAGTGGCTCTAAAGCATCCCAACCAGGCGCTATCAACCGGATACGGAGGAGCTTCTCGATTTCCAGAGGGATCAACAATCTGAGAAGGTCCTCCACCACCAAATCAGTCGCAGATCCTACAGGCTCCCGGGGTTTGCCAGAGTCGCGCACATCAACACCTGCAATTGACGTGGCGCCTGAGAAGTCTGCCTTTCTCAAGGAACTCTCAGATTTCTTCCTTCCACGTGCGAAGAAGGGAAAGATGATACTGCCGAGCCGAGTCGGTGGCGGCCACAGCAGCACAAAGATCCATGAATGTCCACCAAGCACGCCCGGTACAAGTGGATTGGAGACATCTTGTGGGAGGTGTGGAGTGGACACGTCAGATTGGTGGGTAAGAAGGGAGTCTATTGTTCACAGCCAAGATGACCATAGAGGGCATGGCGACCGAACTTGTGAATCCTGTAAAGCCGCCGAAACAATGCCTGGGACAATGCCAGGTGGTTGGGACTAGTTGCCGTTGAGGAGTGCGTCGACCCGTATCCTTCCGGCTTTGATAAGACATCAAATGCCACGGCTGTCTTGTCACCTTCCCTTGTTACGCTGCGAACGAGAAACGGCCATGGGTTATATCATAAGCCGATCCTTGCGGCTCAGCCACCAATCCTTGGATTCTGGTAAATATGCCGGGGCCTCCTCGAAGCGCCTGATTTCGCTGCGAATCCGCCGTAGCCCAATCCACGTCTGCCGGTGTTGGTAATTGCGCATTTTATGCCCTGTTGTCAGAATCGTCGTGTCTCCATGCTTTCTGACTTCCCAGGACATGGTGTCCACGTTGACGAACGACGGGGTTGCGGCGATGGAGAGGAGTTGCAGCGAGGGGCATTCGTTACGTAAATGCTCGAAGATCCTCACTGCTTGGTAGTCAGCCACCGGGAGGCGATGGCACAGGCTTCGGCGGTCGTGAGGAGAGCCTCTGGCCACGAAGGGCGGAAACAGGCGGAGAAATTTGAGGCGGCGAAATTTGGAGATTGCGTTGAGAAACGCATATTGGCCGACGTCGACATCCACGCCCGGAACCGCGACCGACTGCCACAAGTTCTCGATATAGCCGACGTCGAGTTCCAAGTGCTCAAGCTCCGGGCATAACTGGGCAGCGAGCAGAATGTCTCTGTGGCATCGTTGGCTCTCCACGCTGTGCACTGAAAACAAGTTGTCCTCGCGATGCAGACGAAGGGAACGGAGGCCTCCTCCTACCAGCTGGGAGACGGCGATGTGATTGCATATTCCGTCGATTGCCAGCTCTTCCAGACGCGGAATCTTGTCATAGTCTATTGTCAAGAGGTGGGAATCGGGAGGGTCATCGAATATCCTGCCGGGAGGCGCTTCGTATGGACAAGCCGGATGATACCCGCGCTGCCGGTACGCACGTAGGTGTAAAGCCCGAAGATTGAAGAGTTGGTGGAGAATCGAATGTAAAAAGTCACCCATGGGCACGCTGTATTGCCAGTCAATGGAAAGTCTTTGGAGCTCTGTCCATGGGATTAGCGACATTTCCAGGTCGGAAAGCGAATGGCGCGGAGTCCCGCTTGCACGCTCGACGACGAGTCCCAACTCGGTGCATGAAAGTGGCTTCCTGAAATGGGGTTTCGCAGAGACGTCTTCGGCATCCTCTTCTCGAGCAGTCCCGGCACCCAACAGCCAGGCCATGTGTAGCTTCAAGGCTGCGGCCTCTGAGATCAGGTCGAAGGTCGCCTGAGTAGGCCCGGGATATCTGAAAGGGGGCGCACCAAACGCTCCCAGCCCAAGACAATGGCGATCAGCAGCTGAACAAACCTCAGTGGTGGCTTGCATCAGATCGGGCCAGGGCCATGATGTGCACAGACGGTCAAGGATGACTTCATACTGTTTGCCCTCAGGCAGCATCTTCAGGATTCGTTCAGCGCATTCAGGAGAACAGTCTAATCTAAATCACGATTAGCACCCATTCCTGGCCGACACAGGGCCCGGAGTCATGGCCGGCGATCAGTCCGTGCGCCACTCGGTTTTATGGATGCATACCTAATGCGACGGAGTCGATGCATCAGCGCCAGACTGTCGCGTAACAGCTGGAAGTCGCGGGATTGGTACTCGCGGCGGATGTCTTCCGCAGCCACAGAGCGATGCAGCAGGAGATCATACTGAATCGCCGGTGGTTGCGTACTTCGAAGACGGCGCATCATCACATCTTCCTGGTGTTCCACAGGTGCCAGCACGTGCAAGGTGTGGGCATACTCTACCAGGCCTGGTCTGGTAGCGAGGCGACGGAGCAGTCCATGCTCGCCATGACGCAGTTGATCACGGATAACGTGCGAGACGGTGCCGAAGAGGTATGGCAGCGTCGACTTTCTGAAATGCTTGGAGACCAGGGAAAAGGCAAAGAGTGAGTCAGGCTGGCGGTAGCTGCCCTCGTACAGAATCCCTGCGATCCCGTCGAGGACTTCGGATGGAAGTTGAGGATGAGGCACGTGCTCGCTCGTTGACAGTGGCAGTTTCATTGTTTTGAGGGCCAGCATGGTCGCGCCGTATGGGTCCTTCCTTCACAAGACCCCTGGTAAGCTGGACTGGACGAGCTACAACCTCCTATTTTGATGGAGAGGGGGACAAGTAGGCGTGAGCTGAATGAGAAACCGTGCCTCGTACCGCGCCACTGAAGTCACCATGTGTGCCACAGAGGGCGAGAGGGGCGGGCCTGTGACCGGATCATCGTTGCTCCGTCCCGGGGTATGTCCCAGGGGCGTTTGTTACAGTACACCAGCTATCCTCGAGAGGTCAAGGGAGACCCAGAGGGGAACGTGGTCACTGTGCCCTCTTTCTTGAGCGGAATCACATATGTCAGTCGCTGTGACTGCGCCCATGTCGTCGACCAAAGCTCGACTCACGACGATGAGGTCCACGCGGTCACAGCTTTCTCCCCAGGACCTCCCCCGTGGATGATAGGTGTACTTTTCGGTATCTCCATGGAGATGCCTGAAGACATCGATGCCGCGCATGCCCTTCTCGTCCGTGAAAAATTTGGAATTGAAGTCTGCGCGGTTCTTGACGTGTTGAACAGGCGATGTTCGTAGATTGGGATGGCCATCAATTCGAGCCCGGGCGATGTTCATGTCGCCCATCAGGACAACCTGATATCCATCCCTCCCAAGCTGAAGGGTTTCATCCAACATGTGCTGATGGGATCGCAACTTATGATCGTGTCGCGTGCCGGTTACTTTGCCGCTGGCAGGATCCCGATATGGGTTCGAAGTCCCGTTGACCCAGTACCCGTTTATTATGGCAAGCCCTGTCTCATGTTCGTGGATTAGCACCCGGCCCTCAAGATCCCAGTCCGGTTTCCGTGTCACACGAATACCGGTGGCGAAGTCGTCCCGGATCAAAGACGCAACGCCGTGGACTTTGCCCCCAAACCCCGTAGCATTATACTTGTCTCTCGGTAAGGAGAAGTGAACACTGTAAGTGGGCTCGTCGGCGGCATTGCCTTGGTTGGCGGCGTGCTGTAGCCGTCTCTGAGTTGCACTGTCCTTTGGGCTGATTTTCACTTCCTGCAAGCATAGCAACTGCGGCCACTGATGCCGTTTGAGGAAGGACCTCAGTGGTGACAAGGAGCCTCGCTCAAATGACAGATGTTTCTGAAGCAGTGGCCCGATGCCATTGACATTCCAGCTGAACAGCCGGACTTGGCCTGACCATGTGTTTGGCACGTGTTGCGACTCTGTCGTACAGGACAGCTTTCTCCTCAAGGCAGGAGGCGAAATCGACCTGTCTGTGCTGCTCAGAGATCTCTTCGACACGGGGCCCATTATGCGGAGTTGAGCGGCGCTTCTTATCCAAGCCGTGTCATCACCATTTGGTGGATGAGAACGCAGTAGCGCCCGCAAGTTGTTGTGAAAGGCAAGGCTGCTGAGCATTCAGCGTGGGGACGGCGACGTTAGCCAGGAGTGACTAATTCGCAGAGCTGATAGGCGGGAATCTAGGCGTTCCTCAAAGGGATTTCGGGCGTCCTTGAGCGCGGACCGAGCCGCAAAAGAGGATCTGGTCTCCTGGGCGCGACAGACTTAAGTGGTTGGACACTCTGCTTCGGGCTTCAGGGCAGCCAGTCACCCTCCTCTGTGCTACTCCTAGGGGGCTAGGACGCCGAATCTCTAGCCCTAGTGGTTGCTTGCTTAGGGCGTTATGGGTCTCAGAAGTCCGTAATAGGCAGTTGAGCTGCCTGCAGCAACGCTCCGAATCGCGTGTTCGTCCATTTTAGCCTTCTCCCAGGGAGGGTCGGCGCACGTTGGTGGAGGTGATAGACACGGTCGGAGGTGAATAGGAGATGGAGGCGCGCCTCAAGTCACTGATATGACAATAATTTTTCCCGTATCTGCGGAATACCGCTTCTAACACCTCGTCGCTGACTGTCATCTCCCAGGCGCACCGCTTAGTCCGCCATACGAACACAACGCCTTCGTGTTCCTGACGTGAGCTTTCCAAGGCCGACGGCATTGTGAGGGTGGAAAACTGCGAGATCTGCTCACCATTATCGAAGGACCTCGAAGCTATCGCACGAACGGACTTGACCACTTGATAGATGCCGTATCAGTCGACTCTCTCCATCTGTCTAAATCTGATTTGAAGTCAGCTCTCTCCCCACTGCGCCCTGATTCTACGGCTAACGGACTCACCAGCCTCGCAACACGAAGCCTCCCGTACACCATACCAGCCATGGCTCCTCAGCCAGAGCTCTACCCTGCCTTACATCGAGTGCGCGACGTGGAGAGCGCCGGCATCCAAGACCTCCAGCAGATCATCCAGACCTTCCCTGTGATTGACAATCATGCTCATAACATGCTCACCGAGGACAATGCATATGGCAGCCCAGAACATCCATTCGAGTCCATCACCTCCGAAGCACAAGGCGCCGCGCTGACAGACCATGTCCACACAAGCCTTGCCCACATGCGCGGCATCAAACACCTGGCAGAATTTTATCAATGCCCCGAAACCCTCCAGGATGTCAAGGCCGCCCGGTATGAATGGGTCCGACGGGATTACCCTGGCCTGATCAAGAAGTGCTTTGAGGGGACACATGCAATCATGATGGATGATGGCCTTTCGCCCGAGGTTATTCACCCCTTCAAGTGGCATCGGCAGTTTGTGCCCACGGTGTCAAGGATCGTAAGGATCGAGGCCGTGGCCGCGGAATTGCTTGAAAATCTTGCCCACGCAGCAGGCTTTATGCGGGTTGGTCTCGACGCGGACTGGCACATCAGCCAGACAGAGAGCTTCTTGGTCCGCTTCAACACTGTGTTCCGGAACCAGGTGCGCACGCTGGCCAATGACCCGGATGTGCGGGGCTTCAAGTCGGTGGTCTGCTATCGGTCAGGCCTTGATATCAGCCTCGAAAGCAGGAAGAACTTCCGCCCTCACCAGTCTTTGACCGAGTCGACTCTGTTACAATCATTTCACAGCTTTCTGCAGAAGGCGGTTCGTGACCATAAATACCGCATTCAGCAGAAAGAAGTCAACGACTTCCTGGTCGTTGCAGTGTGTGATGTGCTTGAGAAGTTGGTTGACACCGATGGTGAATCGCTGCCGTTCCAGTTTCACACTGGCCTGGGAGATACCGACATCAACCTGGTCAAGGCGAACCCGGCATATATGCAGCCCCTGATTGAAGCTTTCCCTCAAGTCGACTTTGTCATACTGCACTCTTCATATCCTTACACAAGGGAGGCGGGCTACCTCGCGGCTAACTACTCGAACGCGTGGCTCGATATTGGCGAAGCATTTCCCATGCTCTCCAGAGACGGCGAAGAGGCCATCTTACGCCAGGCGCTTGAATTGACCCCAAGTTCGAAGATCCTGTGGAGCACAGATGGCCATTTCTTCCCTGAAACGTATTGGCTTGCCAACAAGCATTTTCGGGAAGCCTTGGAGAGACTTCTTACGTCTTATATCGCTGCAGGTGACCTCACCGTCGCCCAGGCCATTGACATGGCTGTCGATATCATGTTCTGGAACTCAAACTCACTTTACAAGCTCGACGAGGAGCGGAAGTACCCAGAACTTCTTCGAGCGTGCGGCAGGGAGGCCGTTGACAGCATGCGCACCCTTGTCAACGGCGGTTCGAAAAGTCCTTCTTTCAGGTCTTATGCGAGCACTACAGTCGCTATGCCTGGAGCAACGTCAGCCCGATCCGGGGCGTCCTCGTCTACCGCCAATATCCCAATGGGGAGCCATTCTCTGCCTCTTCGTATGGGAAGTGCAAGTGCTCCTTCGGGTCAAAGCTCCACCGCCCTACTCGCTCAGAATCTCACGACTTTCGACACTTTCCTCCAGGCGAACGCTGGTGTCAAGTATATCTGGGTCCAATACCTTGATTACACTGGAACTTTGCGAAACCGGATGCTCACGACGCAGCAATTTCGAAAACAATTGTCGACCGGCAAGGCGCTGGCGTGCACAACCGCTCTGACCCGGCTATTGCAGGATGACAACCCTGCAACCGGGTGCTCCGCAACAGGGCAATTCCTGTTGGCTCCGGATCTCTCGACGCTCACCCTCAACAAAGGAATCGACTCACCATCCGCGACTGTGCAGACTTGGTGGATGGCGGACTCGGAGCAGGTCCCTCTGGTCGAGCACTACGATCGCTGTCCGCGCTGGCTGCTTCAATCTCACTGCGATGCGCTCAAGTCAGAATTCAACATCTCGATGCTGATGGGGTTCGAACTAGAAATCATTTTCATGCAGCCCGTCATGAACGAGAACAAAGCGGACTTTGTCGAGTTCGAACCCTTACATATGGTCCACTCCTGGTCGAATATGACGTGGCAGCAGCTGGACATGCTTCCGATCATTGAGGAAATTGTCAGTCACCTGGCAGAGATTGACATCCACCTACCTCAATTTCATTCTGAAGCCGCGCCCGGACAGTGGGAATTCCCGTTGCCCCCTCTGGAACCGGTCCAGGCCGTGGACGCACTCTACAAGACGAAGGATGTGATCCGAAATGTGGCGAAGAAACATGGCCTCAAGGCAACCTGCTATCCTCGTCCTTACTCCTTCACGTGCGGCAGCGCAAATCATGCCCATTTCAGCATCAACGGCCCTGACCACACGGTCGAGAAGTACGAAGCTCCCTTCCTCGCTGGTGTTCTGGAACATCTCCCAGCCCTGCTCGCCTTCATGCTGCCCGTTGAGGAGTCCTACCAGCGCGTCAATGCCGGAATCTGGTCCGGAGGTGAATATGTATGCTGGGGCACGCAGAACAAAGAAGTCCCGCTCCGCAAATGTGGTCCCGGGCATTTCGAGCTCAAAACCATCGACGGAATGGGCAACTCCTATCTATCCATGGCCGCTTTGCTCGCGGCAGGGCTTCACGGCCTAAGACAGGATCTCAAATTGGAACACAAAGACTGCATGGGTGATCCTACAGGCATTGGCGAGGGGGAGAGGCAGAAACTCGGCATCACGACGCAGCTGCCGAACACGCTGGAGAAGAGTCTCAAAGCCCTTGATAGAGACAAGGTCTTGCGACGAGGACTGGGATATGCTGTTGTTGACGACTACCTGGCTGTTGGGGAAAGTCTGATGGCGAAGCTCAGAGGGTTTGGCGATGTGAAGAGGCGACTTTGGCTGCTGGCGCGCTACTAAGTACAGTACCGTACCGTGTCACGTATTGGTGGGTGCTAGTCTAGTGGATCTTGGGACCTATCTGGGAAGTGAGAGTCGCGCGAGAAGAGAACCCAAGGAAGCGTCTCTCGCGGTAATATGGAACACTGTTGGGGGTCTACTGGAGGTGCCCGTTTGGCAGGGTCATGGACTGGTGCCTCGACGGGACTTTCGTGGGGGATCTGTTTGCGGAAGTGCCCAAGCGTCGGTATACAATTAATGTTTTGTGTTTGCGCTCTGCTTCTATGCTGCTCGAATATTGTTCCACGTCTCCTACGATACTCACTCTACGACGTACGGATTACTCCATAGAGAATGCTACCCCTGAGTCTGACGTTCTGGTGTCCTCTTGCTCCACCGAGTAAGAGCACAATCTGCATCGGTAATCGACCGTATATTTCTTGGCAGGAGATTTGACTTGTTGCCTCACGCCGCAAGTTTGAGGCAGAGTCGACACAATGCACGTGTTGTGCTCGACGTTTCTCGCAATGATTGAGAGGTAATACTCGGAGGCGCATAATGGCGCCGCCTACGGAAGCCGCTGCCACCTTGAGCGCTGCCTCGACACCTACTGCTTCCCCAGGGCCTTCCCCGATCCCTCCGCCGATTCCTGTCGAGACTCACCCAAACCGAGGGAAGCCGCCGGCGAACAGAGTCACCCCAGACCCTCGTCGGCTTGCTCCAGAAGATGCATACAAGACTTTCTCTCCGCCGCGACTGCGGCCGGTGCCTGAGATTGGCGGTTCTGCTGCAGCAAACGCTGCCGCTGCCGCGCTCCGGCCTGCTGTGGCCTCTCTTCGAGCACCTCCCGCCATCCCTCCTGTGGCCGCGCGCTTAGCCGAGGAAAGACGAAGGGCAGCGAGCAAGAGGCGAAAACAGCCGCATGTATGGAAGAAGCTGTTGTGGATCAAACAGCACGGGTTCCCCGACAATTACACCGACACTGAGACGTTTCTCGATCATCTGCAGCGGAACCCAAGACTGCGGCCCTACGATTTCTGGTCGCTGGTCGCCGACTCGGCAGTAATCGTCCAGCACGTCTGCTCTGTGGCCATCTTCGTTTGTGCTTATGCCGCCATCTACCAAGATCGGCTATCTCCAGTCTCGGTAGTGACATGCGGCACCATTCTTACGTTGGCCGGCTGGATCGTGTGGGACAAATGGATGGGTCAACAGGAAGCCCAAGAACTGGCCGCCTTTCACAAAGCGAACAGACTCTCGGTCGAACTTGATGACGGCTCAAGTACGAGCTCTGGTGCCTCTTCCAAGCCTCCGATGAATGGGAACGGTCACATCGGCAACGGGCACGTCAATGGCCATGCGAACGGTGCATTGAATGGTCGTGGCGTTGGACTCAAACTATCGACCACCAACCTCGGCGTCAAGGACGATGAGTCGAAGTTCTCCGGCAAACACGGACAGTCGCTGTCCAAGTCATCCTTTCAATCGATCTCGCCGATTGATCCCATCGGAGATGGTTCTGCAGAGCCGTTCCCAGGACTTCATCGCCCGACCTCCCGCCCCCAGATACCTCAATCGCCCAGCATTGTCTTCACTCCCACTACCTTGCCTGCGACCATATCAACGCGGAATCAGGCACGACTTAAGACGCTCAAATCTGCGTGTCTGATCTACTTCGCTCTTTTGGGGCTCTCGCCCATACTCAAGTCGCTCACAAGGTCAACTTCCTCGGATTCTATCTGGGCACTGGCGACGTGGCTTCTGATCATCAACATATTCTTCTTCGACTATGGGTCTCTCTATGTGCCTCGAAAGCAACAGAACGTGGCTCGACCCGCCGAGGCAGCCGGGGTCACGACAATGGACCCATCCCCGCCGCAAAGGAGTAACGCTTTCCGTGCTCCTCCCTTTCCATCTTCTCTGTCAACCAACGCAGCGTTGATGGCCAGTACGGTGCTCGCCTCGCGTCTGATGACAACCACGGCCGTGTTCAGCTTGACACTGTTCTCCATTCAGGTTTTCGGTCTTTTCCCCGTCTTCCGTCGACACCTCCACTACAAGTCCGCGGACCTACATCTCCTCCTCACCTTTACTTTGGTGACAATATCGACCTGCGGGCTAGGTCTGATTCTGTCAAAGTCATATACACATACCTACGGGAATTGTGGGCTATGCTGGGGTTGGATCTGGCATGTTATTCTGCGGAGTACCATCGGTTTTGTGGTGGGAGGTCTCAGCACAGCATTTGTGATGGGGGGTTGTTCGTGGTGGTTAATCGGGTTGCAGCGGTACAAAAACGTGGTCATAGGACCCTGGGATCCGGCCAAACCGGTGCTTGCGGGTGGCGTCTACGGAAGAAGTAGAACCAATACAGACTGACTGACTCCAGGCATGTTTCTTGTTCATTTCGAAAGAGGCTCAGGCTTGGCAAGGGAAAAGCATTCCACAGGAATGATCGCGGTTGAACCCGGTCCGGCATCGGCTCGGAGTGAACTCGGGAACTCTTCGACCATCCACATCGTTGCCCGCATCTCGAAGTTGGAACTGGCAGAGAGTTCTCGTAGATGGCCGACCGTCTCCAACTCTCGACTGTGCTTCGAGCTTGAGCAGGTAAGATTGTCTGCGAGGCACCCAGCGACCGGAGTCTGCGGGGTAAGGCCAATGATGCGCGCTCGATCCACGTCGTCTTCCCTCGGATGATCACCGATACTACAATATCGTCTCGCCCGTCCACTGCACTTTTCTCACTGTGTATGTTCGCAGCTTTCACTTCTTCTGGGGGCCTCTGATACTGTCCTCCCTACCTAATCTGTATATAAATTTAACAGAGTACCTACCAATCAAAATGGGCTCGTCTTCCAATCTCCCCTTCGAACTAAAAGACCCAGACCTCCTGAAGCAGGAGTCCTACGTCCATGGCGAATGGGTGCAAGCGAAATCCGGCAAACGCTTCGACATCATCGACCCGGGTTCTGACAAAGTGTGGGCTAGCTGCCCCGACAACGCAGTTGAAGATGTCGACGCTGCGATCCAGTCCTCCTACAAAGCATTTCAGGACTATAAGATACTCAACCCGCGCAAGCGTGCCCAACTCCTTTATAAATGGCACGAACTCATCACCAACGCAAAAGAAGACCTCGCCAAGATCCTCACCTACGAGACGGGGAAACCCATTGCCGAGTCAATCGGCGAGCTTGACTACTCTCTCGGATTCACATGGTGGTTTGCTGGTGAAGCCGAACGCATCCACGGCTCGGTATTTACGCCTTCCGCGCCCAACCGCCGCACTTTTGTTGTGAAGCAGCCCATAGGCGTTGCCGTCGCTCTCGTGCCGTGGAACTTTCCCATCGCCATGATCCTTCGAAAAGCCGGCGCGGCCTTCGCGGCAGGGTGTACCATGGTGGTTAAGCCTTCGCCCGAAACACCACTGACGTGCCTTTCGCTCGCCTACTTGGCCACGAAAGCCGGCTTCGCGCCCGGAGTATTCAACGTGCTGACGACAAGCTTGGACAACACGCCGTCGCTGAGTGAAGCTATGTGCCTGCATCCCTTGGTGAAGAAGGTGACGTTCACCGGCTCCACGCGCGTCGGTAAGATCGTCGCGGGTCTGTGCGCCAAGAACCTCAAGAAATGCACCCTCGAACTCGGCGGAAACTGCCCCTTCATCATCTTCGACGACGCAGATCTCGAACAAGCTCTCGCACAATTCATGGCCCTGAAATGGCGTCATGCCGGACAGGCCTGCATTTCTGCCAACCGAGTGTACGTGCAATCCGGAGTCTATGACAAGTTCACGCAGATGCTCGTGGAGAAGACAAAGGCCCTCAAGGTCGGCCACGGCGCCGAGAAGGGCACGACCATGGGCCCCGTCACCACTCCGCGCGGTCTCGCCAAGGCCGAAGAACAAGCCGCCGACGCGATCAAGCACGGCGCGAAACTACAACTCGGCACGGGCAAGGCGTACAAGAACGCGACCGCCGACGAGGGCGCCGGCTCCGGAAAGGGCCTGTCGGGATATTTCATGGACCCGACCATCCTGACGGATATGAATGACCAGATGCTCATCGCCAAGGAAGAGACCTTTGCGCCCGTCACGGGCCTGTTTAAATTCGAGAAGGAGGAGGAGGCGGTCAAGTGGGCCAACGACACGAGCATGGGACTGGCGAGCTATGCGTTTACCAAGAACGTGGACCGGATCTGGCGGATGTTGGAGAATCTCGAGGCAGGCATGATTGGGCTGGTGAGTTTGAGTTTCTTCTTTTCTTTTGCCCACCCGCTCTTGTGGTTGTAGGGATGTGTTTGCTGGGTTTGAGTCTAAGTTTTATTTCTGGCCCACACCTGCCATTGCGATTGTAGGGATGTTTTTCTTTTGCTGATGTGCTAACCACAGAATACTGGCAACTCTTCTGCCGCCGAGTCGCCGTTTGGGGGCATCAAGGAGAGTGGCTATGGCAAGGAATCGGGCAAGGATGTCGCTGTCAATGAGTACTTGATTTCCAAGACGGGGACGCTCACGATCGACGGGCAGTATTAGCGTGGTGGTCCCGGAAGTGGACAGCGGAGGCTGACGTGGTGGACAATACCGTGAGTGTGGGTGCGTCTGTGTATGTGTACAGCTGGAGACGGGCCTTAAAGCGCCGGGGAAACGTGAACAAGCGTGGGTTGTGTCAAGTATTCCATGAACGGAATCATGTACAGAGGTCTGTGGTTCTTCCTCCCCTGCGTCCTGTTTGCTGCTTCCTGCGTAGAAGGAAGCCTTCGGTGCTTTGTGGGCGTAGCTGAGGACGAAATTCAAGAGGAAATCATCGCCAGTAGGAAATACAAATGGTGCAATACAATGCAGATGACGACGACAAAGCCGTGACTATGCAATCATCAAACTATGTAGCGATGTGTCTTCCCTGTCTTTTCGTCTGTCTACCCGTCTGTCTGGCTGTCTGGCTGTCTGGCTGTCTGGCTGTCTGGCTGTCTGGCTGTCTGGCTATCACCGCTGGCACCGCTGGCTGTTCGCCGGTCTCTTTGTCTCCCCTGCTCAGCGAAACTGGTCCAGCTACAGTACTGTTATCATGTGTTTATGTGTCAGGCAGCCGTCCTACCTACCTTCATATGTACATACATACCTAGCGGCCAAGGAACGCGCTCTCATACGATAACATCTCACCGACACCAGCACCCGCACCCACAGCCTTGCGGATGTTTGCGGATGTTTGGCCAAGCAGATGCATAATTAGCACTTTTCTTAAACTGCTATGTCATGATTTGGTCAGAACTGGTCAGAACTAGTTAGATCTGGCTGCGCTAATCTGCCGATGTTTGCTAAGCTTTCCAACGGCGCTTTGATAAGAGCGCTGCCTGCCATGAGGGAGTTCTGAACAGCGTCCCCATGTATGCTAAGCGGATGTATAGCACTTTGCTTAAAGTGCTACAGTAGAACTGGTCAGATCCGGCCAGAGTTGGCTTGATTATCTTGCTGCCCTGATCTCTCTGCCAATGTCTGCTAAGCTTTTCAACGGCGCTTTGACGAGAGCGCTACCTGCCCGGAGCGACTTATGGCAGTGACCGGATATGTGCTAAGCGGAGGTATAGTGTGTAGCACTTTGCTCAAAATGCTACATCCTGGTCTGGCCAGATATGGTTTAATCTGGCAAGATATGGTCAGAAATGATCAGATCCGGCCAGATCTAGCTTGACTGCCCTGCTGCCCTGAGCTCTCTGCCGATGTTTGCCAAGCTTTGTTTTTAGACGGCGCTTTCACAGAAGTGTGACCCGTCAAGCGGACTCGGCTGGGCGCCGTGCTGTACTGTCGTCTGTAGGTGAATAGACAGGGCGGGCACTTCAGTGCAACCACGATAGGTGCTGTCCTGCACAGTGGTCTCCTGGTGATCATAATATGCGTCCCTTGGGGAAGTGCGACCTACCGGCACCCAGCAGATCAATACGAGCTCTGGGATGGTTTCGCACACGGATCAGACCATGAAAAAAAGCGCAAAACCAAGGCACGACGCGAGACACCGGCACCTTGGAACAAGTTGATGCATTCCTCGACTGACATCGGAGAGTGACATGGCGACAGCATACACAACTCGAGCCTGAGGCAGGATTGGTGGAGGAGGATTGCTGCTGCATCTGCCGTTTCGCTAGAGAGTCGGTTGATGACCAAGAGGTGTACGCTCCCGGAGGAGAATTATTGCAGTACTCCTACCTATCTGGCCCTGCAGCAGGCTCTCGGGCAGAGCATGAGCTCCAGTGCAGGAGCTGGTGCAGTCAACATGTAGGGGCCAAAGTATTCCAGCGGGTAGTGGCTTAGAAAAGATACTTGAGAGCAAATGAGCAAGAAATACGGCGTACGGAGTACTCCGTACAGGAAGTAGACACTCTATGGGTACCTAGTACTCCGCGGTCCGTACAGAGTACACCGTGTTGTTGACATACCCACCAACTCACGATTCTCTTTGTTGTGGTTATCCCATTTGCACGTTGCCTACAAACCAATGTCCCATCCTGTAGCAGCAATGTGCCAGCCTGACACGACGCCACCATGACAGGCTGAGGACGACAATCCTGGAGGTCTGCCCGAAGTCGACAGTATCTCCATATGAGAACCAAACAGCAGCCAGTGAGATCCTCCTAGTGGTTGGACAAATGGCGGGTTGACGCTCTTATCACTCTTACTATGATATACGGAGTATATCCGGATAAATTCGGTTGCATGGCTACAATTGGTTTCGCGAGCAAACCGAACCGGGTCGTCCCTAATCTCCTGGTATGTTATCGGTCATGAGTCGATTGACTACCTCAGAGGACGAAGCTCTGTATCTGGGAAGCCTCTCGTTCACTGCCGGAGGATCTGTACATGCAGGGTAAGATGATAAGTGGAACAAAGCTGAGTGAAATCTCGAAGGCGAGGTTCCGGCGAAAACTCTGAGTTGGATGTTGTCTGAGTAGATATTTGACCTTTCGGCTGCGCGGGCAGAAGAGTCCACTCACTTCCTCGACGTCGAACACCTGGTCGAATCCAAGCACAGTCTGAAGGCAACTCCAGTAGTTCCAGTCGTTCATCAGTCGTCAGTCTCTACTCTCAATCTCAACCATTAACATGCCTTTCACACCCAGCGTCCTTGTCACGGGCTCGAAATCCGGCATCAGGAAAGGGTTGCTATCCACATATGCTTCTCGCCCCACCACGGCCGCCTTTGCAGCTATCCGAGGGGGACTAGATTCTGGAGCAGTCAGAGCTTTGACCGCAGTGGAACAAGGGAGCAAGATCGTAGTCGCAAAGCATGATGCTTCTTCAAGAACGGCGGCCGTCGAGCTTGTCGGTTTCCTCAAAGACAACCACGATGTCAGCTCTCTCGACATCGTCATCGCTAAAGCATGCATCGTGAAACACTTTGGACCAGCCCTAAAAGCGTCAGCGAGGACCATCAGTGAACACTTTGAGCTCAACCATTTGGCGCCAATCTCGCCCTACCAAGGCACTCAGTGACTCTTGCATGCCTCTAAATAGACACCCAAGTTCTTCTTTACGATTTCCAAAATCGGGAGGAACGGTCTCCAAGACCACTATCCGCTGCCTAGGCTTGCTTATGGTCTATCAAAGACCGCCTTCAACTAGGCGAGTAGTCTTATCCGCCGAAAGAAGGAGCGGATTATCGTTGTCGCTATGCAATCCGGTGGGGTCCAGACAAGTACATCACAGACGACATTAACAATTGGTATACGGAGTACAGGGATACTGACATTGGTGGAACAGCAATGGGGGAGATTCCGGCGGCACACGCCGGACTGGGTCCAGAAGACGTCCCGGCAACATTGGAAGACTCTGTGAATGGCTTCAGCGCCGTTTTCGACAAAAGGGCAAAGGCAAATAAGGCCAGTTATAGCGGCAAGGTCTGGGGTCAGAATGACGTTCAGCAGCCTTGGTTGGGGTGCAGGAGTGGCTACTCGTACGAGGTAGATGAATACTTGTATAGTGCGGACCCGGGGTGTCACTTTACACCCGGACGAGCGATTAACAACGTGCCATGTTGCTTGCGGTTCTGGGCAGTGAGCACCAATGCCAAATTGTGCTGCCTGAAGCCTTGGCTGTCGGTCGTATACTCAGACCCGCAGGATTCTCCGGCCACATCGACAACGGCGTGGCCGGCTCGAGTCAGTGTTCCTTGCGTCGGCGCCGTCCTTTTGCTGATCTCCGGTGTGTAGCCCATCCCTACGGTGCCTAGAGGGACCTTTGGGGATCGGCACCGGCTGATTAAGTATCGCTCCCGCGTTTCTGTTCGGCCAGTGAGAGGCAGCATTGGCCGTCGTCTCTGCCTCAGCCACGAAACGCGTATGAGAATGGACTAGCATCCCAGGTATCCCCACCGAGCCCCATGCGCTTCTACCCTCTGACATCCGGTAAGAAAACATGCTTCGAGGTTTCACGCAGTATACGAGACAACACAGAGTGAGGCGGACTGGCGGGAGACGAGACGCATAGCCACTGTGCCAAGTCGGACGAAGACTTATCTCCTTCCATCCCCTGCAGTACCCACCACATAGCTCGAACTCAGGCCTGCCAGACGCTAACAACAATTCCTGAGGAATGATTATGATGCGCGGTAGATGTTCGACATAAAGGTGGCAATCCTCAGAAGGACACATTATGCGCCCCTGCTTGAGCATGCGGATATGTAATTGACGTGAAAGCCGCTACCTGATTCAACTACTAGGGGAGGACTACCGACCGTCCTTTAATGCCAGTTCACAGTTTGGTAGACCGTCGCGGGCTGCCTCATTGATTTTTCACAATGGTGTATAAAGGACCGAGTCGGGGGTGCTATATGTGCCGGAAACGGCGCGTCAAGGTCATTCTGCTCTCACTCTCCACTCAACCCATTGCTAACCTGTCGAAAGTGCGATGAGAAGCGACCACAGTGTGGCAACTGCGTCAAGAGGCAGCAGCGCTGCCCAGGGTATCGAGACTTCTTCGACGCCGTTCACAAGGACGAGACGTCTTTCATTTCCCGCAAGAGCGGCCCAAAACGACAGAAGAGAACACATGCTCCTGCGGAAGATGACATCCACGCCAGTCTCGACTTATGTCTTTCCGAAGAATGCCCCCGCTACAGCACCGATGAGAGCATCGATTCGTCCATCTTCCCGATTCCAAATCATGCCAGCTCCTGTCTTGCTTTGTTCACACAGCCATCACGGAATGTGGTGTGCGAGTCGCTGGGCTACTTCTTCACGAATTATGTCAATACCCCCCGAGACCCCAGCACCAACATCTTCATCGAGCATATCCTCCCAATGTACTTGAACACTCCGCCCGACTCGGCTCTCTACGAGGCCATCCAAGGAGTTGCCATCAACGTCACCTCCATGTGGATGGCACGACATGTGGACTCTTACCTCGCTCGAGAAGCCTACGGTAAAGCCGTGACTTGTCTAAAGGCCCTGCTGGAAGACCCCGTCCAGTGTAAAACGGACGAGACGCTCGCTACGGTCTTCATGCTCGACTTTTACGATTCGCTCAACCAACGCTTCGTAAAGTTTGTCGACACCGGCACCCACCAACAAGGCGCGGTGGCTCTGCTCAAGCACAGGGGAAAGGACAACTTCAAGACTCCCCTGGCTCAACGCCTTTTCAACGCCATGAGAAGCCGGCATATCAACTACTCATTGCAAGCGGGCAAGGACATAGAGCTGGATCCTTCCCTTCTTGCAGATGAGACGGCCGTTCTTCCGTCCGCCAAACTTGACCTCTTGAACGTGGAGCTCGCAAATTTGCACAAGCTGGCTCAAAGCGGACCCGATGCGCTCCACCTGAGCATGACCGAGTTTTACAAGCTTGTCTTGAGCAAAGCGTTGTTTCTGGAGAAGAAGCTTCAAGCGTGGTTCGATTCGCTTCCTGTTTCATGGCGGCCAGTTTCAGTATCGGCAGCGGACTTGCATCCTACTATCCGTGAAGCCGGACTCTATGAGAATATGTGCGACGTATATTCCTCGCTCGCCGTATCTCACGTCAACAACGCGGCCCGGTCTTCGCACGTGGGTGCATTGCGTCTGATTGCACTCTGCTTGCAGGGGCTTCAGGATCTGGGCGTCGCCGTCGACCCGGTCATCGACTTTCATGTGAATGACAGGATCCAATTGGTCGTCGATAAGTTCTGCGCTTCGATCCCTTACCATCTGGGAAACAGGACAGGGGTCACATTTCCCCACGAGCAAAGTGAGTATCCTTGGGTTCCCTGCGATCTTCGTCGGCTAGCCAACTACGTCGACCCCTTTGGCAACGAGGTCCACATGACTATGGAGGACCATGCGCGAGCCGCAGCAGCAATTGGAGGCTGGTTCATAATGACGCCTCTTGCCGGATTTCTGAAGGCCCCAGCACTGCGGTCACCCAATGCGAAACCAGGGCCACTGATGCGCAAGCTGCGGCCCGGCCAACTGGATTGGATCCGTGATCAGATGGCTCGGATTCAGAAAATTTACTTGTTCCCTGCTGACGGATCTCAACAATATCCTGATTGGACCTGGGTTTTGAAAAGGCCTGGCCCGGGTCACTGCAGAAAGTCAACCTCAGCCATGCCGCCGCTCAACCATAGTTTATGGACAGTGTGATGGATGATTGTACGCCATATAGTGCAGCAGAACAAGTCCTGGATGAGTTGTTTTTACTGATTCACATATCCTTTCAACCATGGTGGTCATACCCACTATGCACGGCCGCATGATATCGGGCATCGGTGGCTTGCCCGGTTATGCAGTAGCAGCGCCCATATGATGGGGACCAAAGTATGTTGACCTGGAGCTGGCCCCACAGTTGTAGTAGGGGACACAGTGGTCCCGAAATTCTTCTTCTGCATGGATTCTGAGAGGGAGCCCACCTCCACACGTACGTCCTCGCATATGCCGCATCCGAGGCTATCGAACGACCCCTGTAGATTGCAGGGTTTTGATTGGCAAACATCGAGAGGCTTGCATCAAAGAGGAACAACAAAGGTGCGGGTTAATGTTCTTACATGCATATGCTGGCCGATGAAGTCCAGGGTCAATTTACTCTTTCAGGCCCCCAGCTGGCCCGGTCGGGAAACTCGGCGACGGAAGGGGCTTGGTATGAACCCACGGGATGGGAGGCTTGCTTTAGCGACCTCGGGTATGTACCGTATGCAGTACGCGAAGGTTGCGTTCTGGCGCATCATGTGTCATGCTTGGTCTTGACGCCATAGACGTCTTGCTTGTGGATTGGAGATGGTAACTTTTGCCATAGGGCTGCTGCGGGACTTTACAAGTCAGACGACACACGGCGCTTGAGATCAAAGTGGTGTTTCGAAGACATGCAGGACATGCAGCATGATACGAGTCACCCACGAGTACTGTTAAGCTATTCGGCGCTGACAGGATCACACCCTACTGTACTGGGAGGAGTAGACTCGAAGGGGCGAAACAGGCGGTGCTGGCTCGCCTCCAAGCACCCAGCGATGGCATCGAACGATTGTCCAAGCAGGTAGGGCGCTTCAGGCAAGCCTCTAAGCTTGTCACGGTAGCTCGTAGATTCAGCGCAGAGCGGTGCGATTGCGCATTTGCGGCCGGTCGATCTCCCGCATGGTCTGCCCGCGGGCAATCCTTGGGGCAAGAACAGAGGAAGGGCGGCGGGAAGAGCAATTCATCAATAAGCAGAATCGTAGGGCGATGATCCTTTTCGTATCCGCATCACTGTCACCCGACAGTACGGCGTACTGCATAGTTACTTGACGCGCGCGACTGAGGTGTCTGACACGCACTGCCTGCAGGCTGCACGAGGCGAGCAAGCACCACGTGCAAGTGGATTGCCTCTTGGTCAGTTGCCCAATTGTGAAAGCTTAAGGTGCTTCAGAGCAGAAGACAGGTTCGCTTGGTGCATGATGATGCGCCAGCTGTCATCCACGGCTCGGATCGTGCATATGTTGGAACACCAAGTTGATGTCGGTTTTGCCTGTTCAGATGGTTGTCCGACCAGAAAGAGAAATGTTCTCGTTGTGGTCGTCAACTTTTACCCGCGGACGCTGTGATACCTGCAAGAATTGTGGATGGAGTACGAGTTGACCCTTGGTGGAGGGGAACTGGAGTAAACTCTTCCGCAGTTCACGAGATTGCCGAAGAGTGGTTCCTGCTCGCCAGAATTTTTCTAGAGGTGTTGTAATGGTATTTTGGAGACTGTGATATTCCTAGAGACAAGTATGTCACCGACATGTTTCGGCTGAAGCTTTGTCCTGTGTCTGGATTCAATCATGAACTTCCTCAGGAAAACTTACGGAGGATCAGATGTGCGTTGGTGCAATTTCCACAGGCCACACGAGCTGTCGTTCTACCAAACTCCGCATTCATGCTTTCAATCAGTCTCCCGTGGGAAACTCGCCGATACAGCCATATCCGCGCGGGAAGCCATAGAGCAGCCATCGTGCAGCCAGAATGTCGTGGTTCTCTTCGCTGTTCTCCTCCTCCAAGCCACCGCCGGCAACATCTGGAGCCGCGCAGCCTCCAGCCCTCGACCATCGAATCTTAGAAGAACCAGTCCGGCAGCCCGAACGCGAGCCCGTCGTCGAAGCCGCCCAACCCTCGCCCTCGCCTTTACCATCCAAACAGCTCGACCGGCCGAACAGGAACGCCGTGATCTTCGGAGCCGGCGCCGCCTTCTTCGTCTTTTCCCTCCTGATCACAAGACGAGCCTTTGCGCGGAAGCGCCTGGCTTCCAGTCCGGCCTTTTATGCCAACGCTCCGGGCCACCAAGCGGAACAGGCCAAGAATGTCAATGGCGCGATGGAAGCGCTGGAGGCGTTGAATCTCGCGACGGTCAACGTGCTCAGCCTGTCCATGATGGCGACGGGAGGCACGCTGTGGTATCTCAATATCAACAGCGTGGCGGACGCGAGGAGGATGATTCGCGGAGGACTGGGCGTGGATGGCACGGGCAGGTCGGAGAAAGATGCGGAGGAAGACTTTGAAGAGTGGCTGGCGACGACACTGGCGAGGAAAGAGGCCAAGGGGTCAGGGGCACAAGAGGCGCAGGCGAAGATGAATGAGCGAGGTCAACAGCGCTGAGCGTGGCATTCCACGGCGCGTTTGCAAAGGGTTGACTATCTCGTCGCGTGAGGGGCTGTTGACGATGGGCAACCCTGATAATGCTCCTTGCCCTCATGGTCTGCTCCAGATACAACCACAAACAGCATGGCGCCTTGACGTCCTCTCCCACGCATACCACACCGCGTCGGGTCCACAAAGCTATGAGCACAGATCTGCCAGTCCACTGAGCTACTTCGCGCCAAGGAGCACTTACAATCTCTCTGTCGAATGTGGGCATCAATACAGCACGACCACAAGGATGGACAAAGCGATCCCTGCCTCAGCGACACAACAGTCTGGCGTCAAGACTTAGTTACAGTCGTCCACGGCAAACCTTCACACCTCGCCAACAGTTTGACACGGAGCAATGGCTCCTGGGCCTGCAAGCCTCGAGGCCAAGATGGCGCTGGCGGTAATCCTTGGACAGGGATAGCTTACTGGTGGGTATCTTCCCACCGTCCCTGGTAACCTATCCTGTTGCTAATGCCATTGCAGCGAACGCCTCAACCAACGATGGATGTCGGGGTTGGAGTTGACCTGGCGCTCTGAATAAGAAGGTGTTCAGAATCCAAAGCAGGCGCGGTGTGTACAAGGCATCTCGCCATTGTCTACAGTTGTAAAGGAAGGCGCCAGTGTCCATAGCATAGATAATAAATCCACTTGGAGTCACCTCCAGCTGACACTAGCTGTAATGGCGCTGTAGCTCAACCGCTTGTTAGCACCTGCACCGCCAGTGATGGCAACCACTCATTGTCCTGTCCGCTGGTGAGATGATCGTCTTTCCGAAACCCATTGTTCGGTACCCGATTGTGATGTGGAGACGACGCGAAAATCCATGGGCCGGGATCGAGGTCCGCTCTGGCTTGTCTGCCGTGCCTGACGAGCGTGTCGGTCTCGGCGTCATGGATCTGGATCAGCATCGCGCATCTGGACGGACCACGCGACCCTGAACTCGCTTACAGTATTTTCAATCCCAACTGCGAGCCATCTTCCGTACCTCCCAATGCCTGACTTACAAGCAGCCAGGTCGTCGTGCTAGCAAAATTGCGTGGCAGTACTCTATACGCTCCGGTAAACCAGCCCCAGTCATGCCTCCGCATGGCCGCAGTCTCGGCGATGACGAACAACGGCCACTTCTTCATCCCGACAGCGATGCAGCAAGCCAGTACAGCCATGAAACCCTCCAGGTTCAATTCACTGCAGACGATGAAGAGAACCCGCGAGCATGGGGCCCACGCAAGAAACTCATCAACGTCGCCATCATCGCCTTGATGGCCATCTTGACGCCTCTTGCCTCGTCCATGTTCACGCCGGGCATCCGACAGATCGCCGATGATTTGCACACGACTGAGCAGAAAGTCATCGCCACCACGACGGGCTTTGTCATCATGATGGGATTCGGGCCCTTGGTCTGGGCTCCCCTGTCAGAGGACTTTGGCAGGCGCACGCTCTACATCTTCTGTTTCGCCGTGTTTACGGTGCTGCAGGCGGCGAGCGCCGTGAGTCCGAACATCAGCTCGCTGATCGCCATCAGGACCATCAGCGGCTTCTTCGGCAGTGTCGGCCTCGCCAACGGAGGCGGCACCATCAACGACATGTACGAGCCGTCGGAACGCGCAGGGGTCTTTGGCTGGTATCTGCTGGGCCCGCTTTTGGGTCCCACGCTGGGTCCGCTCTTTGGGGGTGTCATCGTCACTCGCCTGGGTTGGAGATGGATTTACTGGATTCTTACCATCATCTGTGCCATCAACACGGGCATCGGGTACTTGTTCCTCCGGGAGACGTACGCGCCCGTGCTCCTGGCCCGTCGCAAGGCAGAGCTTACGCAACGAGATGACACGGGCGGGAAGAGGATGAGGTACTATTTCGACGGCGAGGACGAACGGCCGCTGTCGAAGAAGCTCCTCGCGAGCATGAAGCGGCCGTTTGTCATCTTCGTGCAGCCCATCGTCTTGACCATGAGCCTGTATCAAGCACTCATTTTCGGCACCACCTACAGCATCTATACGAACATGCAAAAGATCTACTCGGAAGAGCCTTACAGCTTCAGCTCGGAGAAAATCGGTTTGCTCTACCTCGGCCCAGGCCTTGGTTTCCTCACATCTGTCCGTTTCCTGGTGCCGCGCATCGACACGGTCTTCAACAGACTCACAGACAGGAACGGCGGCAAGGCCCTTCCGGAGTACCGCCTGCCGCTTGCAAACGTGGGCAGCATCCTCATCCCGGCGAGTCTATTCTGGTTTGCCTGGACTGTACAATACCGCGTCCATTGGCTGGCATCCATCGCTTCCACATATTTCTATGGCGTCGGCCAAGTGGTCGTTTTCAACAGCGTGCAGAACTACTACATCGACTCCTTCTCGACCTATGCTGCCTCTGCAATCGCTGGCGGATCTGTCTTTCGGAGTATAGTTGGTGGAGTCGTGCCCTTGTTTGCGCCCATGTTGTTTGACAAGCTGGGCTACGGCTGGGGGATCAGTTGCTTTGGGTTTGTAGCGGTATTGATAGCCCCGAGTCCCCTGCTGTTTTATTACTTTGGTGAGAGGGTTCGGGAGAGGTTCCAGATTACTGTTTGAGCGTTGCAGGAACTGCGCTTCGTGTATCTGGTGTGAGTGGCGGTGAAGTACAATGGCGTGAAATATCAGATGACAGCAATGAGCGCATGGCCGAATGTCGAAAGAGATGCATAAGATCCACGGCGACGTGCAAAGCGTAGGAGACCATGAATCTTTCCCCCACAGCTATACGACGCGAATGAGTCTCGTCACCCATGGGCCGAAGCTGCATTTGTTCAACTCGCTTTTCGACCTTCCTCAAACATGGATGAGCTGTGCCGCTTTGTTCGAAACCTCGGGACAGCTACACCGTGGAACGTCGAGTAGCACAGTGCTCGCAGTGAAGACGGGCACGGCTGGCCCGTAGTGCCGACGAGACACTGGCGACTTGCAGAGCGCGGGCAGCATTCACCCACTGCCTACCTACCGTTATTGACGAGGCAGCAGAATCTCAGCGCGCGTCGAGGCAACTGCGGCTCTCTCGACTGCCTCGTGGCTGCCGACTCATTGGTCTGCCTTTGCTTTGTCGGTTCTTCCATCTAAGCTTTCGTCTTTCCGGTTATTCCTTCGTCCTTGAATTCTACTTTCCAGCATTCTGACCTCGACCTGGACCTCACCAGCTCGATCATCTTGTCCAGGATAACCCTCGTCTGATTGATCAGCACGCTTGCAAGACCGAAGGCATGGCGCAAATGCGTACCGTGAGCCATCCGTTCGATGCACACTTCAAACTAGGCTATACGGGAAATTCATATGCAGTCAAGCCAGTATTGTCCGAGACCAGCTTCCGCCGAGGGGCGCCTTGGCCCATCAGAGAAGAGCGTATGGAGATCGACGTGAGATTCGGTTGCTTTCTGGATTTACCGGCCGACATCAGGTCGGAGACTTATTCATACTTCACGAAGCTGCCAACCACTGAGGAGTATGGACTTGGTGTTTGCGACCTAACATACCCAATGGGCGCAGCCGTCGGGGGCAGCGGACTGGAAGGAGCACGATGCCATCCTCAAGACGTGGAAGTCTCCACCCTATGGTTGCCACCAGATCGCCGCAGATATAGCACCATTGGTGTACGAGTTACCGCTGCACGACTATTATCGTGCACGCCGAGCGACCACCTGTTCCTAATCCTTGGTACGCCCCTCACCCTCTCCAGGAGTCTAAAAAGAAGTGGGATGGGTACGTATTCGAGGCCAGCAGCGTTAAGGTCCAGCGGATCATCACAAGGGGCACAGCAATAGACTTTGGAGACCGCTTCCTCCGAGCACTCCCGTCATACAAGCTCTTCAATATCCGATACATCGAGTACGACGCTTCCATCTGTGGTAGATATATCTGGCATCCGAACTTGTGCATGGCCTTTCCATACGGCAAGCAGATAATCAGGATCCTCACGCCCGAAACAACCAACATTGACTTTCAGGGCTTATCCAATCTGTCAGATGTCCTCCGGCAGTACAAGGATGCGCTCAGCTCCCTGAAAGAAGTGAAGCTCTACGGCGTGCTTGATGGAGAACTTCGGCATAGTCCCATCCTGGAGAAAGATGTCAGCGATGCTCACATGGTTTGACAGCAAAGAGCAAGTGAGGGTGGCCGGTTGGAGCAGATTGAGAGCATGCTGGTCAAAGGTTCACGAGAATCCGTGCCAACATTGCCAAACTGGCAGATCACGAGAACAGTGTCAGGGAGCGAGGGCTGCTGGGAAGTATCCAATATTAAGAAGGTGGAGGCGTTGTTCCGAAGATCCGAGCAACCCGTCTTGCAGCCGGAGGAAGCAGATGTCACAGCACATGAAGGTGGTAGCGGGAGTGGCGCTCCGGCAACGACGCCGAAAATTCTGGTGATTCGCACGCCGGGGGATAATTACGAGAAAGTGATTGGGGTCCACGAGGCGATCTTACGTTCGAGTAAATGGAAGGCGCTCTAGTTCAAGATGACTGGAACTTGCCCCAGCTCGGGTACTCTGACTTCACCCGTGAATTGAGACAATTTGGTCTCTCGAGCTTGTCCTGTGACAGGGGAAAGCAATGGCAACGGGAGTGGCCATGGGATCCGCAAGGGGAATGGCAATGGGGATCGCAAGGGGTTAGGCAAGATGAAGGAACTTGCTGTGAAGCATCCACCCACTCCGGGAACGCCTGCATGCACTCCATCTCGCATCACCCATTCTCCAGGTCGAGAAATGCAAACAGCGAATGCGATTGCATGCATCCATGCGTGGATGTACCTAGGTTGTATGTCGTATGTTTGTCTCTGGTGTATGCAACCCCACGTACCACCAATTGTTGCTCCCATCGTCAATCAATTCGTACTTCCACGGAGCATGCCGGAACCCTACTCCCATGATAACCAGCTTCTGGGACGCATACGCGGATGGTAGATCCTTCAGGACTCACCACAAATACAATCCTCAGGGCAAACCTCTGCCTCTACGACACTGAACCCAGCGGGTTAAGGGTTGACACAGTATGTACGCAGCTGTTCAGGCCAGGGATACATGTGGCAAGTATGCAGGCACGTACGGAGTACCTGTTCCTCTAATTACCCACCCGTCCTGTGAAGCTTCTGAAGATCATGGAGCACACACAGCCAACCAGTGGAGGTGAAGGAGTGTGTTGAGTGTTCCGTGCCCACTGCAGACTACCTAGGTAATATCACGCGAAAACAACCTGTTCTTCCATCTTCCCTTCTATCATTTGTGATTTAGAAACTAGCCGCTCGCCGCTCGCCGCTCGCCGCTTTGCTCAGCGCTCCACCCTCTGGCTCACCCTCTGGTCAGCCCACCTGCTGCCTTCCTGACTGCTCCTGTAACCTGTTGTCTGCCTGGACCGAGCTCCTAAAGACCTTGATCTTTCTCCCTCCTCCTCCTCCTCCTCCTCCTCCTCCTCCTCCTCCTCTGTCATTTGCCTGAGCCCCCCCCACAGTAAATAGTCTAGCTCTCCTCCTCCTCATCTGTCATACCGATTTGGTGAACTCCAGACGATGGGAACTGTTTGAGATACATAGTACCAGGGGATCGCCACATGGCTCCATTCTCCACCATGCTCGAACTGTCGAGCTAGGTAATGTGACATGTTGGCCCTTTAGAAGATTTTTTGGAAAACCGACTCTGTTACAATCAAAAGGTTGGCACAGACTCGGTATTTCACTCGATCCGTTCGATCAAGCGCAGCAGCAATGTTAGCCTCTAGCCTTTTCTCAACCAGATTCACTTGACACTGGTAACAAGACCTTCACACAGCGTTCCAAATCAGCGACTCTAGAGCTGTCGAAATCTTGCAAATCCCCAATTGCCCGAGTCACGCCAAAGCGAACCTCTCCGCGCCAAGTCCATACCTCCGTCCCAGTCGCCTCCCGACCCGTCTCGCCGTGCCGAGCCCCATCTTCGGCGTTGGATGCGGTTCGTGGATATGAATTCCCCGAGTGTTTTCCCCATCTATTCCATCCGGCGGGGTGAATTGCCATACGGAGCCGTATAGCTTTTCCGCTGCAAAGCCAATGCTCGTCATCGCGTGGAGGAAATCCGTCCAGTGGATCTCGCCGCCGTCCTGGAAGGGGTTGGAGGGTGTCGGGAAGAGAGAGGCGAAGACTTTGTATGCGCGGCTTCGGAGGGTGAAGACTGGCAAGGGGGGCGTCGAAAGGGAAGTCGGATCGTCGATGGGTACAGGTGGTGTTCCATCACTAAAATCGGGCGGCGGGTGCGATGGGCCGCGGGTTTTGACCTTGGATGCTCGAAATCCTTCGGGTCCTTCTTTGAATTTGCCTGGTTTGTCGAGTTCGAATCCGATCTCAAGGCGGGAAAATGAGTCGCTAGGAGCTTCAATTTCTTTCCCCTTGTTAGGCGCTGGTGAGGGTGTCCATTCTGCCGTGCGACGGATCTCTCGAGCTTCCACATCGCGACCGAGGAATATCTCATGAAGTGTCTTGCTGGTGTGTTTTCGAAAATGCGCATCGACGACCTTCCACAATCTGTCCAGCCGATCTTCGGCTTGGCGGCAGGCATTCACGTTTGTCACGTTGTCGGCCTTTTCGATGGGATATTTCAAGTGTCTTGAGAGTGGGACGACGATGTGCGCAAGATTCGGAGCAATGTCTTCACGGAACAATCCAAAGACAGTTGCCGCATCTTCCGTGGCTTTGGTGTAGCCTGGACCTCGCTTCTCTGGGCTCATCTCTAGTTCCAAACCCGCGGCCCACGGAAAGAAGGTCTTTACCTGCCTGACGATTTGTGCAATGAGGGCCAGGTCCGAGAAGTACGCGGCGACGCAGGACGACATTCTGCCCTTCTGACCAGGGTCGTGGTCGACGCATCGCTGCAACTCATCTACGAGGTTGGGAAGCTGCACTAAGAACACCTGGTTGTCGTCCCATAGCATGCTGAAGAGCTGTAGTAAGGGATCCTTGCCAACATCCTGTTTCGTCTTGGTTCGCACGACGGTGGTTCCAGGTTGTTGGGGTTCTCGAACAAAGCGCTCGCGCATCGGTGGCGAAGCTGGCACGCTGTATTTCAACTCTCCAATCAGACCCTTCGAGGTCATCCCGGTGGCGAAGCATAACTCCACCAGGGCGGCCTCGAGCTTCTTAGGCAGAGGTTGATCGTGGTCGAGAGTTCCCGCAGATTTGAATGCATCGTCTAGATTGACTGCGTAGTGGTAAAGCACATCCCAACTGAGAAACGACATGTAAGCATCGACCGCTACGCCTCTTATGACTCGGTTCCAGAAGGCTTCGTCGTCGTCGTGTGAATGGCGTTGGCCTCGCGTGTCGAGAAGGCTTTCCTGGCGATGCTGCGCTTGATCAACAGCCACCGATGCGAAATAGCCTGGATCTTCCCGAAGATCCCAAACATGGTCTTCAGCAGCAGCTCGCTTGGCCTCTACCAGGAGCACAAGCCTGTGCGTATCAAGCTTGGCCGGCAGTCTATATGGCGCTTCTGCTGCCACTGAAGAAAGTTGTGCATAGGAGGTCCCAGAAGCAACGATCGATGGTGGCTCAGGTTGCTCAGGAAGTTGTACGCTGGCCAGCTCGTCTCGCGGAACATCGTGGAAGAGTTGGAAGCAGCATTCGAGAAGGAAAGAATAGATCTTGCTCTGGATCTCCAAAACAAGAAGCCCCGTCCCCGGGTGGAACTGGAGACAATTGTGCATCAGCATGAATGCGTCGTCGTCATCGTCCCAGCTAACCAGGCGACCGTAGCTATCTGGATCTGATTCGCCAGCGATGTACATGGTGTATTCGTTGAGGAATACCGGCATGATCATCTTGCTGGTCTGTCCAACATGCGTTGCGTCGAGATCGACGTGGGCAAAGGTATGGGGTGGGTTTCGACCTCGTGAATTCAAAAAGAATAACAATGCTCTTCCTTGGAGAAGATCTTCCTGGTTGACATGGGGATATTTGAAAGCTTCGATGTTTCTTGACGCAGCACGGGATCCGGTCTTCCCAAGCTCGTGAAAATCTGGGCGGTGTCGCTCGGGCATGCCTGGCCAAGCGGCCAAGAGAATTTTCTGGCGTTGTTCTCTTCTCTTGTTCGTCCAGCGTTTTCGAATCGCCTCCTCGCGACGCGCCAAAATGTCACGGAGGGTGGTCCAGCTGTTGAAGATCTCTTTGGAATAGGCCCTTGACTTGTTTCTGACTTCAGCAGGAGATGGAAATGAAGGGGGGACTGGTAAGTTTGGGTTTGCCTGAGCCATCATGGCGAAGAATGCCTGTGGGTTGCTGTAGAAAGAAGACATATTGTGCAGAGAAATCCTTCGTGCGTGGCAGAGTCTTCAGGTAACCGTTGGAGCAAACACAGTTGACTGTGTAACGCATCGACCAAGATTCCTCAACTGCTTAAGGTCTTATTTCATAGCCATGGGTGGTGTGGTGGCACGAGGCACCCAGTGTGCCTCCCACTTGAGGGTGCTTGGCAGGCACCAGTGCTATCTTCAGACAGTTAGCTGGTAGCTACCTTTAGACTCGCAATCACTGGTTCACTCACTAAACAGACGCCAAGCTGGTGTGCGTCTAGTAGATGGGACAGTAGATGCTTACGCGGGCTCGTCGTAGTCGTTTCAAATGAACCGGAAGAATTGTACGATGTGGTCACGTGGCAGACTCTCATGGCCTTGCTGACATGCACCCAAACAAGGTCACAGAGGTTCAGTGGTACACTACCAGGCTGTTGGGTACGGAGTGGCGAGGGGATAGATGCTGGAGAATGCCTTTTGTGACTTTGCACCGCAGGGATAGATACTACTGTAGCCTGCCGCCGTCCAAAACAGATGCCTGGCCAAGAGGCAAGTATAGCCGATCGCAAGGGCCCACATCAGGTCCCCAGATGTGTTTGCTTTGGGAGTGCGCATGACTCTTGTGAGGTGAGCGACTGACAGGCTGGACGGCAGACTACCACGCGTAAGATGGGATGTCCTCGCAGAATGTGAAACGCGAGGAAGGGTATCCACTTGGAGCAATAAATCCACCACGTACGATAACAACGCTTCATTTCTCCAGATTTGCATTATCCAACACCGTCGCCGGTTCGACTCGAGGTATCTGCTTGCTGACTGACTGACTGTACAATCGTATCCAATCTGAACTCCACCGCTGATGCTTGGAACTGATTTTCAGAACTCGCTAATGTCGCTCGGATTCTCGAAACAGAACATTTTGACCCATCATGTCAAACACTGTGCAGAGAGCTTTTTGCATGCCAAAGCATAGGCTATCCACGCAGCTGAACATGCGCCTCCAGCTTTGCGTCCGCCTATGCGAAGCCCAAGTTCTCCAGAATCGCCTTTCCTTCATTCATCGGCATGCCCGCCACGCCCAAGGCGCGAACTTGTGAGCCGCGTCTTAACTTCTGCAGCCCAACAGCAACCTTCCACCCTTCGCTTTGGGACAAGATGAAGACGTATTTTTTGCCTTCTTGATCGCGTATGCATGCGCGGAGGACGTGCAACCCCGATAACTCGCAGCTCTGTTTGACAGCACAGTCAGTATCAGATGATTCGGTAGAATGTCCGCCTGCGGGGACATCAAGTGAGGAACGAGAAGACCAAGAAGACGAAGGGCGAGAGCTGTGCATTGAGGCCCGAGCATGAGCCCGAGATGACCCCTTGCACTTCCCTCCGCACGCTTTCATCAGGTTGATGACGAAAGCAGAAGATTCGCTCTGCGACGGTGAAGGTGTTTCTCGCCTCGAATCGGCATTCAATCCAAGTCCAAGGGAGAAGGTCCTTTTCTGGGGAGTAGTCTTCACGTCACTTCCTTGGGGAGAAACATTGGGGCACCATACCTCTGCCGATTTCATAGTCCAAGCCTTGATATCCCATTCTCGTTGGCCCACGCCCCGTACGTCGTCATCGACGAAGAGACCTTCAGTGGTGATCCGGAGAATCAGTCCATCTGTGACATTACCTTGACCAGACACAAGCTGAGCAATTGGAGTGCGCGAGAATGCATTGTTGAAGGTATAGACCCCTTTGATCACGATCTTCTCCGGGTCCTTCGTTGAGTATGGTCCACGCACCGAGGGCGGCGGCGTGGTTTTCGCAGTGCTGACTGACGGTGCGTATGAGGACTCTGAGTACATCGAAGCCGCCGAGTTGGCCTTGTGCGTTCGCTTGGGCCGATCGTACGGTCTGAACGAGTATGCGTCGTCTTCTCGTTCTGTCGCCGCAGAAGGCATGGGGGGACGTTGTGCAGCACTTCGGGCAGCGTGCTGGGCAGTTTGTTCTTGCCTCAGCTTCTCCTTCTCCTCCTCCAGCCTCACCCTTTCCCTCTCCAGCCTCTCTCTCTCCAGCTTCTCTCTTTCTCGCTCAGCGGCCTGAGCTGCCGCTCTTTCAGCGGCGGCCTTCTCTTCTGCAGCAGCTTTCGCCAGACGATCTTTCTCTTCCCGCTCTTTTTTCTCTTTCAGCTCGCGCTCGAGTCTCTCTCGTAGTTCCTTCTCCCGAGCTTTGAGCCGCTGTTTTTCCAACTCCTCTTTCTGTCGTTGCCTCTCTTTCTCCAGTTCCTCTCTTCGCTTTCTCAGCTCCTCGGCCCGTTTTCGTTCCTCTTCCCTCTTCCTAGTCTCTTCTCTTGCCTTCTCCCAGCTTGACTTCGCGTTTGTGGTATTGGCTTTCGTGTTGGCCTGTGGCGGTGGTCTTTGCCATGATGACTGAGGAGGAGGGCTGCTGGTTTCAGGTGGTGGTTGAGGCGGAGCTTGCGTTCCATGATGAGGTGGTGGCGGCGGAGGCGGAGGTTGCGGTGGTGGAGCGTGCGTTTGAGGCTGTGGTTGAGGGCCTGAGTGAGGGTATGAGCCAGCGCTGCCGTATCCTCTATGGCCTTGACCCTGGCCACCAGCACCATGACTGGGACCAGAGCGACTGGAAGGATTCGGCTGTTGCCATTCACCCTGTGTCTTGCCGAGCGCCCAAGCCAACACTGCAACACCGCAAACCAGGGTAAAGACGCCCGTCCCACCACTGTGAAGGGTGCTAAACAGCCATTCTTTGACCACGGGCACAGCAGTATAGTAGATGAAGAAAGCGGATGCTGTACATATGACTCCAGCCAAGAAGGAATTGCGCTGGGTCTGGAGAGAAGGAAGGTACAAGAAGCCTGCGCCTGCAGAGTGTGGAGGGATGACAAAAATGTCATATTTCCCGTCAGGAAGACCGCCTGACCTGCCGCCGCCTTGAGGATTGGATCCGTGCGGCGGCGGCGGTGGTGGAGGTGGCTCCATGAGAGCAAAGCTCTTTCTGGAATGTAGACCCCAATTATCTCTCCAAGCAGATGTGAACCGTCGGTCGCAGCTGCGTAAAGGTCTTCTTTCTCATATTAGCAGCCAGACTGCACTGACGGCAGTCCGAGGATGGCGGCTGCTGCGATCGGTCGATTGACACAGGGAAGGCGCCGATGCATTGACAGGAGCTCGTAGTTGTCGGCCAGATTAGGGCTTCGTTGGTGGTACGAAAAGGCGCGATACTGGTTCGTCGAGGTCGATCACCGTGTTAGGTGCAGGTGAGGAAGGGTTGGCGTTGCGGAGCAGTTGTTGATTTGGTGCAGAGAAAAGTCTGGAAGACAGCCAGGAGGGAAGAGCGTCGGAGGCGAGACGCCGACCGGCTCGTGATGATGTCTTTCGGTTGTGAGTGACTCGGGACTCGAGCAACAGGGAACCAGGGCTTTGTGTCCGAAATGACTGGGAGGGAAATGTGACGGCGCTAAGCGGGAGGAAGGGACCGCCTCGACCGACGTCAGGATTCACGTCCGGCGGCCGACCAGGATCTTGCTCGTGGTGTGGTGGTGTGAATACAAGGCTGTCAATGGATTGTGAATTGTGAATGGACTGGATGAGCTGACCCAATCCTCGCCTGGCGAGATTGGTGAATGTGCTCCGGACTCGGAAAGCAAAACTTCAAGCAGATAGAGAAATAACGGCGAACACAGCTGGACAATCTCACTGCCGGGCCTGCGACATGCCTGCCTGCCTGTCCGTCTACCTGGTTTTACGGAAACGACTCTATTTACTACACCCGAGAGGTTGCTCTGAAGATAAATATGGTTTTTCCAGTACCCTATGCGACCTTTGCCACCATTGAAGAAGCGATATGCAAAACAATGGAAACGAATATCCAATCGACCCGGCTGTCAGCAGCCAGATGATACGGTGGGTGCGAACGAAATGTGCTAGGCTGGCAAATCATCGTCATGGCTGCTGGGCTCAGCGCGCTGATAGGCAGAATTTCTGCAGAATTGGACGCGCTTGGGAGTTTAGTGGGCACAAAGACCGCTTCCTTCGACGTCCAGCACGAGATGGTGAGTGACGGCTGGTCACTTGACGCATCACGGAGGACCACGTCGTGTCTGCCTGCGAGCGGTGAGGTGTTGTGATGGGTTTCCATCGTCCAAGCCTGCTCAAGAAGCGTGGTTTGGGGCTTCATCTGGAGATAAATAACGCGCGCCGTTGGTTGCGCTGGGAAACGCGGGTTAGCCGCATGCAGAGAAAACCTAATCTATCACTAACACGAACCACGCTGCGGGTTACGGCTGTTGAACCCTGGAACGCGCTCCGGCGCCCTCCCGCCGGGAAGTTAGACTGCCAACGTCGTCCAATCACTTCCCCTGGTGACCGCGCCTAGTCCACGCGCTACCCAGCACGAGGTGCTCCGGATGTGCTCGATCCCTCCGGATAGCACTTCTGCATGATGACTTCACGGCAGCGTGAAGCTCGCTGAGCCAGCCTCGTTTATGCTCTTATCCCACAACATCCACAGTGCACGTCGTGCATCTCGGTAAAGATCCAGAGCAAAATCAACGACACGTTCGAGAACGACATCGGTGTGCATATCCATGGCAGTCAGATAGCATGCGCCCAGGAATAAACCTGTCAGGAAGCATCGCTGAAGACTGAAGCAGCGATTCCCGTGATGATTCGAGGATCGTGGTAGGGTGCGGTAGAGCATCTGCATGAACTTATTGCTGACTAGCTTGTAAACAACAATATTGAACACGAGCTTGGTACTGTGTCGCCTTGTGTGAATGATCATTCCATCTAGTCTAGAAGCTCTAGTAACACCCATCAACATAATTTTCTGAGAATGTTCCGTGCCTAAAGATCGGACCATGCCCACCCGATGTGCAGCTCTCCTGATGCACATCTCTCGTTGCAAAGGTTCCGAGCACCCTATCGTCTAAAGTGTCCGTCTGGCATGTGTCCCACAACCGCCGCCGCGCTAGAGCCGGCATGAATCCTGGGGTAGACTGTCCCTCTGCATCTCTCGACCCTCATTCCAAAATTGACAGCTTGTGCACAACCGTCCCTGGTCCTTTAGCCAGCAGCACATCCAAGTTGTCTGGCTTGGTGAACTTTAAACCCAGTCCACATGCTAGATAGTCCAGGCCGTTGCCGCTGGAACGGACCGAGACCTCCTTCTCAATATCCCAGCCCTTCAGCGCGCCACACCAAATATTCCCATACAGACGTCCTGCGATGCCAGCCCACGGCACCCACTCCCAGAGGCTCATCGCTACACGAGCAGGAATTGAATTTCCGGGGTATTGAAACCCTTTTCTGTGGTGGTAGGACGTATACAGCCTGACCTCAACGAGAGAGTGAAGCTCCGCCTTGAACTTGCTGATGACTGCGACCAGAGCCTTTGTTTCTGCGAATGGTGCTAACCTACAACTCGCTTCATATGTAATCTTGCGGATATTTCGAAGTTTGTACTTGTCCAATGTCTTCAGATAAAGGTCACAAAAATCAGACGGCTGGTTCAAGCGACTAGCAACGATGGTTGTGGAGCCTGCTTCGAATCAGCTGAGGTTCCTCAAAGGACGAGACAGCCTTCGTAAGCCTGAGTGGGTCATGAGCAGGTCCTCGCGAAAGAAGAACGTACGGTAGAAGAAGGGTATCCATTCCTGGCTGACCCGACGAGACACACTCAGGAGTGACTTCCTTCCCATATGGACTTCGACCAGCTCGGATGTACAACCAGACGTTTCAGGACGCGGATCGGAGAGAGGTAAGAATAGATCCGCAGTCTTATCTCGATGGGAAGTTGCAGAAAAGGCGACTCTTGTTGAGCGATGTCTGGTTGCGCTGACGGGACTGGTGCAGTGATCTTTTCCGCCGGGGCCTTCTTGCATTGTCCTGCGTCTGGTTCGCGCCCAATATCCTTAACTTCCGGCATGATGAAGATCGCGAGGTGCTCGAGTGTAATGCGAGCAAGCCTTTGTTGGGAAGAGATAATGCTTGGTGTGGATGTAGGTATGCGAAGCCGACAGAAACGACTGTGACGGATATCAGAAACATCTGGCAGACCGGAACCGTAACAATCGTTACCACCACAAAAGTGACTACCAAAGAAGTGAATATCCAGGTGCGAGCTTGTGACAGCTTTCACCGCCTGGCGGTCAATCTTTCAGGGTCAGTATAGGTACTCATCGCAAAGTTCACTGTTCGCCTGTTTCTGAACGGACGATGAAGGCATCAGCATTAAATCTCACATTTCTTATCCCCTTTCATTCCTTGGAAACAAAGAGACAATTGCTATGCTTCCAGCCATCTGTACGTCAACTCCAGTCTCTGAAACAACCGAGCGGATTATTAGAGGCAGTCGCAAAGTAGAGGGTCAAGAGTACTGGAGAGCAACGCCTAGCAAGACAGACAAAGGTGAATGAGAACAGAAGTGAGAAATGCCTTGCCAAAACTCGGGTATCCAACAGCCGAGATTCTCGCCAACCCAATCTCGTTCGACTTCTCACATTCCTCAAGATCACTCCAGGCTGGATGACAGTGGTGATTACAGAGCTACGTTGACCTGCGGATGTTGTCTCTGTTACGGCGTTGGTGAGTAGCGACGTGGAGCGTGCCCAGATATCAGCACCAGAGACCAGGCAAGCGTTTGCCTACTTATGGGGAAGAGATAGCTACTCTGCGCCTTCGCCATGAGATACTGCAAGGTGAAACCCCATCTCGTTGACTGTCAGAATTCAGATGGCTGCTGAGAACCATATCACAGTTCAGACGCCAGGCTGTGATACGAACAGATATTCCGTTCCTTCACATGCTTGAGACAGCGAACGGTAGCGATTCCAGAGTTCTTGCGTGGTCCCTCTAGAAATATGGTTACGAGGTACGATGCCGCGCAGGCGTTGTACCTAGGTATCAAGCACCGAACGCTGATGACGTCTGCAGGAGTTGAGCCCGGGTGGGTGGCCTTATTCAGGGTCAGGAGATACAGAACGTGGCTGGACGAAGCGTCGACCTTATCCGCCTATCACACCGATAAGACTGTGGCATGCCGGGGGCTGTACGAAACTGTAACCACTTGGGGAAGCTCACAATAAGGCGCAAGCGGGACACGGATACGGCGACGCTGAGTGCTGGGCTCTCTTTTGGTGTCTGCCTGCGATTTGATCGGCAGCATGGCATCAACCATTCTCAGCTCGAGACAATAACTCTTGGTAAAAGAACCCAATGCGATGATTTTGACCAGAATAAGCTGCCCTTTCTTCGATACTTCTTAAATCTAGGCATTTCACATCTTCTTTCTGGCTCACATGCACTGACTTGTATCCCACGTTAATTGACTGGCACTTCGCATTTTGGGTTGAAGATGACGGTTCACAAGCAATATCCCCCTCGCAACTATGAGACCCTTGGAGACAGTGAAGATGCGCTCAACCAATCTCCCACATCATACCGACAAGGAGGCGATGCAGACAAATCGCGCTCGGCAGCAGTTGAAGCCCGGAGACTGGCGTCCCAGGGCTCATGGGCCGACAACTTTACGGGCGGCACGCCTGCCACAAACAGGACGCCATTAGCCTCAACTGTTGACGGCGATGAACAGAGGGACGTCGAATACCCAGATATGTCCCAAGATGGGGATCCATCCGATCCTCCCCCAGTCTATACCCCCTCCGCCAGTACGCAGACGGCATCGCAATCCCCAGTAGCGCCTGCCTCCCCCGTGGCTGCGAGATCAGTCCCTGCTACGGTCCCCGGGCCAGTAAGCACTCCCAACACACAATCTCCTTCACACACACGTCCTGCCCAAACCCCGTTTCGACCCAATGATGAAGAGGAGGGTCCGTCGACTCTACCTGAAGCTGTCCCGCAACCGCACCCGGGAAATCCCAATCATCATTACCATGACCGTGATGAGGAGGCAGAAGCAGCAGCAGACTCAGACTCCGACACTTTGCCGGTCTTCTTGCAGCAACAACAACATCAGCGACCTAGGCGAAAATGGTGCCGTGGCCCTCGAAAAGCCCGGTCGTGTGGCGACCGGCGAAACGGTTTCGGACACCGCCAACATGACAAACATCGAGCCCGCCGCTTCAAAAAGACATGCTTCTTCCTGCTCGCACTACTGGCTTGCCTCTGGCTCCTGATTCCAGGGCTCTGCAAGTCCATCAAGAATGTACAGGAGCCGTTTCTTACGTTGTGTTCGAGATGCGGTCGATTTTCCCGATGTATCTTTGCTGACATGATCTGCTCTGAATAGGACGGCCGTTACGATCTTCCGAACTTCGGGAAGCAGCCATCGCAGGCTCCATGGCCACCCGAGAAGCGTGAACACCGCGAGCACGAAACCTTCAGATCTATCACTGGCACATATCAACTGTACGATCTACTTGATTTGTCTACAACCAGCGGCAGCATTACCGTTACGATCGAAGTTCAGCCTGGCGACAAGCCGGCCGTGCTCCGTCTCTCAAGCCAAGCGGGAAGTGTCAACGTGAGGATGACCTCTGGAGGTGGCCTGTTCAAGAAACGAGTTGTCTCTGAGGTGGCGAAGTCGAGGGTTCTTCAGACCGAGATATCTAGCAGCGCAGGCAGTGTCTCAGGCAACATTGTTCATGGTAACGGCGGTACAGCCTCGATCTCTACGAACGCCGGTTCTGTCAACTTGGATATCTACACAGTTGGTGTTTCGGAACTGGATGCGCATTCACGTCTTTCGACTGTTACAAACCAGGGAAGCCAGCATGTCAGGGTGTACTCTGACGTTAGTAACACAGAGCCAATCCGGGCTCTTGAGGCTTCCCATACAGTGCGTGGTAGTGGGAGTATGACGATCGAGTACCCGACTGAGTGGGAGGGGATGGTGCACATGACCTCTCACGGCTCTGGCAGTATGAGTGCCAGCGGCCGCGGCCTGATCGTACGCAAGGAGAGCAGTCATGAACTCTATGGTTACAAGGGATCAAAGGAGGGGACAACGGTTGAGATATCGGAGCTTGGGAGTGGTAGTGTGAGGTTTACATGCTAAGTACTGGGACGATCTTGAGAGGATTTCAAGCCCAGGCGGGAGCGGGACGTTACCGGTTATGACTATACGATATGCAGGGGAAAATCTTTCACTATTTGTGGTGATTCCGGAGGATTTATTGGGACACAGGTATGTATTCAAACAGCAACGTAGTACCGTGCAACTGGGAGAGATCCATGTACTGTCACCCTTACTTCGTAGCATGAACATGGCTGTAACACAAAAACGGGTTCGGACCTCGGTTAACGAGGCGCTTCGAGCCTCATTCACAGCACTCTCCAAATTCACAACACCTCCTCTCCTATGGATTGCAACCGAACAATGATGTGAAGTAAACTAGTATGTTGGCCACATCCTCTTTCCCTCCTTCCTGCCTTTGGGTATTTAGCGGCGCCCCCAGATCGTTGTGACAAGTGTGGGCAAAGATATCGTGCAACTCTACCATTACGCTGGCACAAAACGGTCACCATGAAAGCGATACACATTACCGAATTCGTCCAGGCCAACTCAGAGCTGCGCGTAACAGAGATCCCCGCTCCGGTACCTGACCCAGATAAAGTCCTCGTCAACATCACCCACAGCGCTTTGAACCACGTCGACCTCCTGTATGCTCGAGGGAAGCACCAGAACAACCACATCGGCCTGGTCAAGCCGCCATTTGTCCTGGGCATAGAGTTCGCTGGTACAGTTGCCTCGGCACCACGAGGCTGTTTGTTCAAGACGGGCGACCATGTTTGGGGGACCGGCGTAGGTGGGTTTGCTGAGCAAATCGCCGTTCCTGCTTCGGCTCTGTTCAGGCTACCTACCGGATGGACGTTACATGATGCGGCGGGGCTAGGCGCTGGTACTGCTCCCGTAAGTTACGGTGCTATGATCAGAACCGCGGGAGTCAAGGCGGGCCAGACCGTGCTTGTACATGCTGCGGCTGGAGGGTTGGGAGTTGTTGCCGTGCAGATCGCTCACGCGGTCGGAGCGCGGGTCATTGGGACAGTGGGTAGTGAGGAGAAGGCCGAGGTTGTCCAGAAGCTGGGCGTGCTAGGAGTGGTAAGGTATGATAGAGACGGATGGGAGAAAGACGTGCTGAAACTCACAAATGGTGTCGGCGTCGACTCTGTGTACGATACTGTCGGCCTGGTAGAGAAGAGCATCCGGTGTTTGAAATTTGGAGGCAATATCGTCATCGCTGGTTTTGCCGGCCTCGGTGGGAAAATGGAGACACTTGCTATGAACAGAGTGCTGCTGAAGAGCGCCAAATTGTTAGGATACGTGAGTATTCTTGGCCGAGCCGTGCACTCGGTGTTGCTGACCCTCACGATAGCGATTCGGCGAAACCGGAAGACGAGACCCCGCCGAGAATGAGGAAGTCTGGAGGGGCCTCAACGAAATGCTCGAAAGCGGAAAAATCAAGCCTGTCGTCTGTGCTACGTATCCTGGGCTAGAAAGCGTCCCAAAAGCCCTCGACGACCTTGCTTCACGGAGAGTCTGGGGCAAAGTTGTCATCGAGATTCAACGTTCGAGGGTAGAGCTACAGGCCATGTTATAACACGTTCTCAACTCCCTTTCGACAGGATCGAAGCCTTGGGATCAGTTCATGACGAGCCCGCCGTCTACTACAATCTGTTGTCCCGTCACTGCCGCGGCCCAAGGACTAGCGAAGAACAAGACAGCACCAGCCATGTCCTCCGGTGTGGTGACCTTCCTGAGTGGCGTCACGGCCCTGATCTGGTCGAAAACTGCCTGTGGAGTACTGGCACTTGCGTCCGTCGTTTGCAGGAGGCCTCCAGATACCATGTTCACAGTGATACGTTTTGGTCCCAGATCCGCAGCACAAGTCCGAGTAAACGCAAGCAACGCGCCCTTGGCTGCGGTGTAATCGTGGTACGGCACAACCGGATTCTGGAACAGGTTGGAGCCAATGTTGATGATCCGACCGAACCCAGCATTTTCAAAACCAGGCAGCGCGGCCTGCGTAGTGTTCAGTGTCCCGCAGAGAAACCCTTTTATCTGGGCGTCAAAGTCTGACCATCTCAACTCCGCCACTTTGGGCCTCGCATCTCCATTGAAAGCAAAGTTGCCCACCATGGCATTGTTCACAACAGTCGTGATGGGCTTTCTGAAATGGCGCAGTGCAGCCTCGAACAGATCTTTCACTTCGTCTAATTGAGTGACGTCGGCACGGAAAGCAAAAGCATCGAGCTCCTTTGCCAGCACGGACACGGCACCCTCTTCGGAGCTGTAGTAATTGAGAACGACGTTTGCGCCCTCTGCACGGAATGCCCTTGCGATGGCGAGTCCGAGACCGCGGGAAGATCCTGTGTCAATCGTGAGTGAGTATGGGTTGTAGAACTTACGCTGACTGAAACTGCGACTGACGAGCGGCGTTTGAATACACAATAGATATGGCCCTCCAAGAGATTGAGCTACTTACCCGTAACGAGGACGATTTGATCTTCAAGCTTCATCCCCTCTTGTGGTCTTCAGCTACGTCAAAGGAATTATGTCAATCTTAGTACTCGTGATGTGGAAGCCACTATGCCCTGAAGGGCCATGCAGCCTCATGCAGACATTGGGAGTCCGGAGTACAAGCCTGTGTACTCCGTACCCCTCGCCCCTCTATCACTCACGGCTAGGCACGGCTTACAGGGATTTGGTGGGCACACGAACCTCGGCCTGCTCCCGAGTCCGCCAAGAGCTAGTTCAGTCACCACACATGATAGATTTGCTGGTGATAAGTTATAAAGCCAGAAAATCACGCCAAATTTGAGGTCGAGATCGACCATCAGGGGTTCGAGTCAAGCTCAGCTCCAATGGCGCAATGGTAGCGCGCCAGACTTCTAGCTCTCAGAGCCGGTCATCTGGAGGGTGAGCACATCCTCCACCACGCGCTATCCTTATTGCAATAGCTAACACCAACGATAGTTGTGGGTGTAAGTTGATATTAATCTTCTGGCTCTGAACCATGAAACTTACAATCATACAGTCGAGTCCCACTTGGAGTGTCATTTCCATTTCCCTTTTTATTCCTTTTTTGTCCACGCAACGTTCAACCGGAGATATCTGACCAAGCTTGGCAGTCAGATACAGTACCTCGTAGTCCCCGCCTAGTAGGAGTATTCATCGCGTACTCCGTACACTAACGAGTTACAGTAATCAAGATCTTTTACGGCAGGTGCTATTAATACTTACAGTAGATGCCATCAACTCTTTGCAGAACCCCTTCGAGATCGCCGTACATAGCAATGACCCCGGCTGCTGAAGGCGTTGTTGGGCTATTGTGCCCGCGCTCGTCACCTGTGCCTGATCTTCCCAAGTGTACGAAGTAAAGAGCAGTTACAGGTGTTCGCATGAGTTGTTCAGAAACGCCCGCAGCATCGCAGCCAATCAAGAAGAGTTGAACTACGCCAACCACATCTGCGTCTACGGGCATCATGTCCATTGTACGGCGAACTGGGTCAGACGGTGAGGAGTTCTACATCAGCCAGACCGTTGTTTTCTTCGCCGCAGGAACTAGCACGCACGATCAGATGCTTATTGACCCCGATTTCCTTCATCACGAAAACTGGCACGCACGACCAGATGCTCTTTGCCCCCGGCTCCCTTCACCACGAAAACTGCCACACACGGCCAGATGCTCGCTGACCCCGGTTCCCTTTCGCTGCGATCACTGGCACTCACGACTAGATGCCTTCTGATCCCTTCGCCGACGACCAAAAAAAGAACTTCGCAACGGAGGCACGTGCCGCAGAGCCCCCGGTTTTGATGCTCCGCCGGCATCCAACGGCATATCGCAGACACACAAGCGAGCCTGAAGATGCTGCGACCGCCGACGCCTGCAGCGGCTTAAGCAAGGGACTGGGATGTCCGTCGAGGGTGTTCGTCCGAGCTATTGAATACTGCCGGGGTCGACCTTGAACGGCACTTTCTAAAGGGCGTACCCCTGGCTCTGCCGTCGAGGCTCCGCAAGGACCACCAGCCAAGACTCGGCGCAAAAGGTTCATGATTGCAGGTCCACACCCCTTTACTTGCGACGTACTCTCGCCTCAGTGTCGGCGACAGTCCTAGAAGCAGCGGGATGCATCTTCTTTGATTCATTCACACGCAACTCATAACTCGTTCAAGCCGAAGACAAGCGCCCTGAACTTCACTTTCAGTGTTCGTTCGGATGTACACCTGAGCCAGGGTGGGCTGGCGTGAGCCACGCATTCGCCTTGCAGCAATCCCTATAACTGAACGTCTACCGAAATGCCGAGCTTGATATTCTCCGCACGATGGGTGTCGCTCTCAATGGCATTAACATGGGCAGTTAACGATATCGTTTCGATCCTGTACTCTCCGGTAGATCTCAACCGCAAGGCGGGGGGCGTAGGGGAAAACACCCTGAGAGAACTTGCGGCACTTGCGGCACTCGCAGCAACAGCCATTTAAACGTGGTGACCAGGCTACGCCTGCTCCGCCTGCTTCGCCCGGCTCAGCTGACCTCCAACCATGAGAACCACCTGTCGCAAGACTCGCGGTTGAGCCGCGCATCCCTCCTGGTCAGACAATCCACATAGTATTCATCCTCCGGTCCGTAGACTTTCAGGGCCAGGTCCAGCTCCTGTTGCGCCCAATAGTCGCTCTTCGCCAGGTTGCCTCTTCGACAGTTCAAGTGTGACAGATTCTGGCACGTAAAGACGCTGGTCTCGTCCGTCGGTCCGTGGTAGCGGTTGGCCTCCGAGTCAAGGGCAATGACCTTCTCGAATACGCTCTCGGCATCGTCCCAGTGCTGCTGTTCGACGTAAAGGTTGCCCAGTCTGCGGAGACAATTTCGTCGCGCCAGGCTAGAGTGGCCGTGGGACGCGGCGCTGGTGTCGCAGGCCTCGAGGATCAGCGCCTCGCTTGCGTCAAAGTCGCCGGCACGCATCAGCTCCACGCACAGGCCTTGTTTGAGGAGTAAAACTTCGGGATGCCCTGGACCGAGCGCTCGGGAGGACGTATCGAGGACGACTCTCATCGCGGGTTGGGCGGCAATACGCATCATCTCCCAGCTTCGCATGTTCTTCATGATGCAGGCGAGCGGGTGTCGTGGCCCTAGTGTTTTCGATGACATGGAAGCCATGAATCGCACAACGGACATCCATGCTTGCTGGTGTCGGCTCCAGCGGCGGTTTCCCATCACAGCCAACAGACTCATTAGGATTTGTCTTGTTGGGCGCAGCAGATATCCTTCGGCCATGGCACAACCTCTTTGCAAGTCTTCAAACGCAGTGGGGAAGTTCGCTTGCTCCAAAAGGGTCAGCCCATGCTGGAATTGGTGCCAGATATAATTCTTCCGTCGTCTGAATGGCATTATCTGCTTGATTGATTGCTCGGACGAGATCCGGGTAGGGACAGCAAGGTCTGCTCCAACGGCGGTGGTGATGAAAGCTTTGGTGGCCATGATTATGGCATTGGTCGTATCGTTCAAGTCGTCCTTGAGTATGAAGTTAGGTATCGAGGTCGTGTTGCTGGGTTGTCGCTTCATCATCGCCCGTCTACCGTGTACTGGTGTCAGGATCCCAAGAGAAAGCACATCGGACTGCCGGTGCGGAGTCCCGCCTGAATCGCTCGATGTAGGTGAAAGCACCCGAGAACAGCCTGTAGCTGTGTCATTGTCCTCGTCCTTGATATGGCTGGGGGAGGATTTGGTGCTCAAAGTCGACAGAGATGGGAGCTCGAGATTGCTGAAGATACTCGGCGACCACGTCCGGCTGCTTGATCTGTAGTGTTTGCGGATGCCCCATCCTCTCAGTCTATTCTTGTAGGACCGCAACCTGTATGGAGATTAGTAGTGACTCAAATCTAGAAACAGGACTCCACCGGGCACTCACGAAGATTTAAAATGGTACCTGTGGCAAAGAATGTGTTGGACTTCAGACAAATTCCGGTCTTCTTCCACATACAACCGTGTTATGACAGCTCGATGGTCTTCCCAGTCGGCCAGCGACGGCGGATACGCAGGTTTAGGAACGGGAGACATGATGTGTCGATTACAGGTACATTCCCGAGATAGCCACACATCCGACACGCCGATGCGGAAGAGTAAAGGTTGCGGGGGCCGGTGGGACCTAGCTTGGATTTGGGGGCCAGAATGGTGGTATGAGGTTCCACAGGCCTTGGAAAATTATCGAGGATGAAGAGCGAGATATTTGGGAACCGTGGCACGGGACAGTACTGGTATGCGACCAAGAAAGACGCAAGATTGGGCGAACTGTTCAGCCGAAGTTGGTCCCCGTCGATGCCAGCCTCGCGCCTTTCCTAAACCGGACGCGACGAGGCTGCGCTTTCCTCAAACACTAGGTACGAATCCGCGGTCCACCACTGTTTGATTGACGATGTTTGCTTGCTTGAGAGCTGATTACTTGAGACACTATCGATTAGTCCATCTCATCTCATTTTAGATCCTAGATATCTTGCATGTGCGATCCGTTCTGAAGCACATGCCCTCAGAATGAAACGCCTCGCTAATGCGCTCAATCAACGTAAGCCAGTGCGAATGGACATGACTCCCACCACAGCTGCGCCGTATCTTCATTCGTCGGCATCGAAGATCTGAAAGGTATTGTCTAGGATGGTCTCCACGACCTTAGCCTGCCACCCTGAATCTGCAATATCCGCACTTCCGGGCCCGTTTCCGTTGACGCCGGCTCGTTGGCCCATCAGGGTGGGCGCAAAAACAATTGCCAAGTTATTGTGGGTCATCTTGTTGCTGCTGCTGTGCTGTGCCACTTTGTGAAGATGGATTGTCAGAACCCTCAGTGTGGCGTAGTTAGGATCGGGGAGCGCATTGACAAGCGCGTGAATTGCATCCCTTCGCTGTACAGCGTCCTCCAGCTTGGCGGCTTGAATGAAGTCTCGATACTGCGCCGCGGTAAGTAATGGATCCGGCAGATCTCGAAGGAAGTGCTTGAGCAGAGTGGTGACCGAGGCAATATCGTCCGCGCCACGAGTGCGGAGGTCTACTGAGTTGGCATCTAAAAGCATGTTAGCGAGGTCCGACCAGACACCACTAAGATCTTACCATGATCGAATTTCTGTCTTAGCTCCATGATGTTGTTCGCCGAGCCAGAGGTTCTGTAGATGCCTTCTACGTTGAGTCCGTACATGTCGACTGCTTGGACGCATTGCATGACGATGAAGGGGACGGCCGACCCTTCACGCTGGAATAGCTCGTCGAGAGAGACCCCAAACACAGGACGAACAGGCGGACCAGCTTTCGGGACGGCCTGCCGCGACGGAAGTGCATTGACACCTCCTGGCCGCGGTGCTCCGTTAGGAGGTCCGCCTGCTCCAGGACCTGGCATTCCCCGGCCGGCGCTTTGAGGTGGCATACCTGGTTGCTGAGGTTGACCCATGCCACCTGGACTTTGAAGTCCTTGTCCTCGGCCCATCACAGGTGGCGGGTAACCTCGTCCCAATTCCCCAGGTGGTGGTTGTTGTCCACGTCCCATGGAGCCTTGCGGCGTCGGACCTGGCTCGCCTGTTGCACCTTGACCCTGCGGGGTTGGGGCTTGTGGTGTTTGGCCCCATCCCATGCCGCCCAGAGGCGGTTGACCCTGGTTCGACCCGCCTGGCGGACCTTGCGCTTGACTTATGCTGCCCGGTGGAGGTTGAGCTCTACCGATCCCACCTGGAGGCGCGGCGCCTCCTCCCATACCCTGTGGTTGGCCTCCTCCCATTCCTAGCGGTGCTCCTCTGCCTGGGCCCATCGGCGGTTGGCCACGACCCATTGGCGACCCTTGCCCACCTAGTTGCGGCGAGGGGCTCCGCGGAGGTTGAGACTGTTGACCTGGGCCTAGCGAAGGACTGCCACTGGTCAAATTGCCGCCATTCAAAGCATTGTTCTGCGGTGTTTGTGGTCGTCCGGCACTAGCAGGACGGCCTTGCGGATTACCTTGCAGTGGCATTGGATGCTGCGACGATTCATCGCCATATTCGTTGCCCGGGTAAGGAGTCACCCCAGATACTTGCCTTGAGTGCATTGATGGATAGTTGTCATCTGAATAGTCCGGCTGCTGTTGTTTCGGAGACAACGAGGGATGTTTCTCGTACTTGATCTCGTTGGCTCGCTGCGGCGGAGCTTTGGTGCTGGCAGCGAGGACAAAGTCAATGAAGTCTCGCTCGTTACTGATGCCCGAAGCCGCTTCGCGAAGACTCCTTGGCGATTGACCAGGAACCGACGACTGTGCCTTCATGGGGGTCACACAGAGGCCGTACCCCAGCATCAGCTTCTCGCTCAAGTTGGCAAATTTTTGCACCTGCCCGCTCAGGCCTGCGTCAATTTCCCTCGTCAACTCTTGTAGAGCATTGGTAGTCTGGGGCCTATGCGTGCTCAGCAGCTCATTCCGCAGGCTCTGCGCAGAGTCCACTTTGGCGGCGTAGTCGGCATCGGCAGCTTCGAGCTTGTGTCGCAGGTCTTCCTCAGCCTGGGCTGCAGACCTCTTCAACCCGAACTTGCCTGACTGTCTCTCGCCGGTCCTTGCTCGATCATATTGCTCGGCTAGCGAGTGGTAGCGGTTTTTGGCCTTCTCCATCGCTGTCTCTGCATCCTGCACTCGCTTTTCCGCACTCATACCCGCCTGTTTCCAGTGCTTCCGACCTCTTTCGGTGTTGGCTGCCAGCTCGTATAATTCTTCCGACATGCCGAAGAGCGCATTGCTGAACTGAAGGCCATGGTCGGCTATTCTCTCGTGGATGCTCGTGAGCTCTTTGTAGTTTTCGGCGAACGTGCCCTGCCTGCCCTCGGGTCTTGCGATCGAGTCGTGTGTGGCCCGGCTGAGTCTCTTCAAGCCCTGCGAATGCTTCTCCTCGAGGGCCGATCTTTCCTTCAGGAAGGCCGCAAAGTCCTGTTTGAGCTGTCAGCGAGCCCCGATTGTTAGGTAGCAAGAGGGCGTACTTGCCTTTGTTGAATTTATGCTTTGTTTCAATCTGGTCATCAGCGTGGTCATGCCGATCTAAGGAGCGCGTTAACAATCGTCGCGACTAGGGGACACAGTGGTTGTCCTTACGTCTGAAGAGAGAACATTGTGCATCTTCTCCCTGTACGAGGGATCCAACTCGTCACCAGGCCCGTCGCCAGCAGGCACAGGAGGCAACGGTGCTTCATTGTCGCGCTGCGGTCCTGGTGGCATGGGCCGCGAGCCGCCATTCATGGGCACGTAGGACTCAGTCGCGGCAGCCATTGTGGAGGACATGCTGCAGGCTGGGCAGGTTCCGCTGCAAAGACGTTATGCCCGTGATGCGGGGAGAAGGAAAGGGAGGACGATCGGCGAGGGAAGCAACATTCGTCGGCTTCCGGAAATCGACACTACGAAGGATTAAGGGACCGCGATGCTGGCCTTGTGGTGAAGGTGCAATTATCGCAAGAGACTGAATTAGAAGTAGAGAATACCTCGTCTTTGTGCTTCCCAGTTTTCTACTGTACGACCAAGGCATCACCAAACTGCGGCAAAAGCCCCAATTCTGGCAGTGATGCGGCTGTTTAAGCTCCGCAGGCGTCATCCTAGTTAAGCTGCGCCACAGCCCGCGTGTTGCCACAAACGGACGCGTGTCTGCACGGAAGACGGACTCTTGAAGCCAGAGCGATCCACGATGCTTGACACGTCCGAGCACGCGACTGTCCACGACAGATCAACAGCAGCGACATCTACAGCTTGCCTTGGCGCCTATCCTCACCAATCTTGAGGATTGGTTTGAGATTGTCTTTCTGGACGCGATCCCAAAGACTTCCAAGCCCTAGCTTCCTCCCTCGCTCATCTTCTCGTCTGAAGAACTCTTCGGCGCTCTTGATCCTGTTGGGATGAATCTCATCCAGCAGCTTGTAATCTCGACGAATAACACCCTTGTTGCCGGCAGAATGCTTCCACATGTTGAAGAACCCAGTGAAGTTCTGTCTGTAGGTCATGAAGGACGGGTCAGTGGGATCTGAATTGAAGCCTCCCCCAGTATTGGCAAGCTGCTTATTGCGTCCCGTGTTCCAGAAGGTGTCAAGGTCGACGTCGACATACTTGGCCGGCTTCCCAGTCACCTTCTGGAACGCGGCCGCCAGATCGGCGTACTGGATATGGTCGATAGCGACTTCAAGGTCCATGCCGTTGGATCTCTCTGGGTGATCGAAAATCCACCGGACATAGTGCTCGCAGTCATCGAGGGAAACGTGCACCACAGCTCCGTCGCCGAGTGGGAACCGCCATGTGACAATACCGTCGATGACCGTAGGGGTGAAGGCGGCCAGACCGGCTATCGCCATCTCGATGTACGGGCCGGTGGTGAACACAGACACACCCATGCGAGCGCTGTTGACCTGGTTTTGTGCGAGCACCCACTCGCCGATCCTGCCTTTCCCGTCGTAATGCCCACAGCGGAAGTTTGGGTCGTATCCCGACTTCTTGTAGACGTAGTCGAGATTTCCGTAGACGTAGAATTTGATCCCAGCCTCAAGCGCAAGCTCGTAACTCCTGATTGCCCAGAAGATCTCGGTCTTCTCGCCGCAGTTGAAGCCGTCGATGTTGATGAACGCTCCGTCACAGCCTTGGTAGAGCTTTCGAAGATCTGGTTCACTCGCAAAAGTGCCCTCCATAAGCTCAACGTTGCCCATGGCCACGAGATCTTTGGCCCGCTGCGAACCCAGGTTCCGTGTCAGGACCCGACATTTGTACTTCTTGTCCTTGACTAGGCCGCGGACAACGGGTATGCCCTGGGCTCCAGTACCTCCTATCACCGCGATATAAGATGTTTGGTGGCGTGAGGACATTTTTACTGCTGATCGTCTACAACAAAGCAACGCCCATGATCTGAGAAAGAGGAGCGAAAGACGTACCGATTCGAAGCTGGACTCACAAAGGCTTTAAAGCTTCCAATATGTCCGTCTGGACGTCGTGATTGATTAGTCTTCTTCAGCTGTCTGGGCATTCTTTTCGTTTCACTTCCGGGTGTTTAGTAAACCCAGACGTCCAAATTACGCTGTGAAGATGTACGAATTTCGTCCAAGCGGCCTTCCGTACATGACGAGAAGGTCATGATATCGTCGGTGACTCGAGCTGGAGGAATTATTAATATATAGAAATGGAAAATGCGAGGGATGTACGAAGTACGGAGTGCTGGTACTGTAAGCTCTCGCTCGAGATGAAGGACGAGTGATCGACGGCTGACGCGCATCCAGGGACACACCCAAGAGGCGCCTGATAGACCGTCACCAAGCTGAGCTACAGGCGGTGGGCATTACCGAGGTACAGTATCAAACGCGCCTCAAATACCTGGTCAGGTACTCCGTCCATAGGCACAGCCAGTATCGGACGACACAACTACAGTACGTCCGTATCTCGCTGCACCACAAGACAATGTGAATACATTCTGTACCTGGAATCCGTCTTATGGCATCGCATGGGATAAGCACGACATAAAAAGACCGAAGCATCATCAGCAACCCCCTTACCGCAGTACTTTACTCGAACAGGTACTGACTGGTCATTCCGATGATAGGTCGACGAGAATGTTGTGCCTCTAGCAAGAATCGTAAGCGTGATCACCCCGCAGACTAATGACTAAAGGTAATTAGTTAGGGATCAAACTGGCAAGACAGGAGGAACAAGTTTGCTGTCTGGCCAGCGACAGTAATCAAAGTAGTAGCGTCCACACTTTCATTGCACATACATTTCTGGGCAAAGGCACAAGTATTCCATATGCTCGGCAGACACAGGTCCGAAGGAACAACAAGGATCTGCTGAGCGAAGTAACCAGCAGGAGTGGTGAGAGCGACGTCTTCCCAGCTGTCAAAAGGGCGCAATATGGCCGTTCCACCAGTTCGTTCAGATGACCAGTCTCGGGCGTGACGGATACCGAACAACGACAAGATCGTCGGAGGATGCACCACCATGTCCACATATTCACGTTCTGCTGTGATGATTGACTGCTTGATGTTATGGTCATCAACGCCCTGAAACACTGGGTCAGCGCCCGGTTGCCTTCAATACCACCTCGTGGCCATGATCAGGCTGACTGTGCTACCATTTCATGAATTCTCCTTTCTTCGCATCGTCGATGGGAGGGTTGACACGACTTATATAAACCATCTGGCTGGAGCAGAGGCAGCATTGGTTCTGAGTAGGCAGACTCACACTCACTGCGTACCCCTCTAGTTCACCATCAATATGCGGTTCTCCTCCGGATCCCTCATGACAGCCTTGTTTGTGGCATCGGCCACGGCGCAAACATTCAACAGTGCCAACGTCCGCATCACCTTCTACAGCTTCGTGGACAACACGGACAACCTGGACGGCGACTGCAACGCCAACTGCGATGCCGGTGGCACGGCGGGCAACTTGGAGCTGGCCATGCAATGCCCCGGCCGATCCGGTCTTGCCGGTGGCGTCGGGACCCAAGATAGTCCCATCACCGCCGCGAGTGCGGGTGACGGCCTCCCCGTCCAAGCATGCGGCTCCTTCTATGTCCCGTACTTGCAGAAATGGTTCATATATGAGGATTTCTGTACCGACTGTGAGGCCGATCCTCCCCATTTTGACCTCTTCGCCGGCGGTGGGCCGGACAACAACTTTTGCCCGAACATTTGCGACTGTGAAAACCAGCTGACTCCAGGTGGAGACACGTAAGAGTCCTTCCACGCATTCGTGTGTTCTGTTCTGACTCACTTCTCTCAGTTGCATTTACACGGACATCAGTGACGGTGGTTCACTCACTGTGTCAAGCGCGGCATTGTTCGATGGGAGCAACTGTAACTTTGCAGGATCTTCGGCGTCGTCTTGCTGAAGAGGAGGCGCTAGCAGGGCGGGAGTTCAGAGCGATTCTTGTGACCAAAGGTTGTTCAGCTTCCTCGACCAAAAGCCAGTAGCCACCGACATCGCGTACTTCATTCCATCTCGAGTATTCTGCAGAAATCCAATGGTTCTTCCCCACGTTGCATTCTCCACTTGTTCGTCGAGTTCTGTACATTGATCGCCCCTCGTATGAGGAATGGCCACTTGCGCGCAAAGCACTCGGTCATCTCCCACCCGTGGATGTCCCAGGGTTCGCCCCATACAATCAACCCATTAGTCTGCTGAGTGTCGAGATCACCCGAGCCCCCAGGGTGGTGCCCATCGCCGACCATGTCCAGACACAAGTGCAGATCATCGATATTCTCTTCTCCATATCGCAGGATATTATCCCGGATCTCCGGGTCGGGAAAGATGTCCCACATCGGATGATGCGCCATGGTCTTTTGCAGTTCCGTCGGCTCGAGCGTGGGAGGCAGCTGGCGGATCTTGGAGGACGCGGTCGGAGAGAGCGGTAGGAAGGGCGACGGATAATCGTCGCTGTACATCAGATTCAGGTCCAGTCCGAGGAGGTGCACGTTTGAAATCAAGGCACGGTAGACGTTATAATAGACCAGCGAGATCAGGTGATCGGCCGGTAGCTTGTACAAGGTGGCATCATCTGGGCCGTCCTGTGTCGACTTCTCCGCCAGCTCCTTGATGCTGACCAGACGATCCTCCAGTAGCACCTCGTACCACCGCTGACACGAGTGCTTGCTCCGGATGGACACAAAGGGCGACTGGGTGGCCTGGCTGAACGTCTCCACGGCGGCCTGCCACTCGGTGCTGCCGAGTTGCTTCGTCCGCAGCTGCACCACGTCCTTGAGATCGATGCGTTGGTGCAGGCGCACGTCTTTAAGCCCTGCAGCTCTAGCTTTCGACGTCGAGGGCCCAGCTCCACCTCCGGCCTTCTGCTCAGCCTTGCGCCGCCCTATTCGACGTGTCAGCGGGTTGCCTGCTGATGATACCGGATACTGAGAGCAAACACACTTGCCGCTCGTTGATTCAGCCGATTCTGAAGCTTGCGACGGATCACCGGGTCTGTAATGCCTGACCACTCCTCATCCAGCGACTGAACGTCCTGATGGAGTTTTAGCTCGGCACGGAGACCAGGAATAAGTGGCATGGTTCGGTTATTGCCGCCTTTACTTTGCTCTGTTCTGAAGCCACCAGAGGCAGCCCTGGGTTCTGGAAAGCCCAAGTCATCGCAATTTATGGTCTGCAACCTGCTTACACCGGGTCTAAAGCGCCAAGGGCCTCAACAGCCACTGTCACACCATTCGAGTCGCGCGCATGATGGCTGATTGGCTTGAGTTGACGGAGATATGCAGGTCGCTGACAAGCGGGCCTTTAGGCCTTCCCCTACTCGTCAAAACACGAGGGATATACTCTGCAATGGTCGCATGCTTGAAGCATCCGGACATATTCCGTGGCAAGGAGGTAGACTTGACTTGGAATCGACTTCGATCGCAGATTTTGAGCCCCCTCAATCTCTATGGGGATGGCCTGGTCGATTTCGGGATCATAATGGGAGGTGGCTGGCTTCACGAGCCATGACGCAGCGGATTGTCCGCTCTTCATCCTTCGCATCAATCCAGCTGGTGATGCAATAACAAAGCTGTATCTTAGGTACCTTGTCGCCCTGTCATCTACCCGCATAGTACCAGTCCCTGCGACAGTTCCCAAGCAACACGTCTACCGCCTGCTCTATTCGAAATAACCCAACAAGTTGTTGAGGGCGATATAAGACTGTCACGATGTCCAGGGATAGCCAACATGTCCACGAACCCATCCTCAGCGCTCAGATTTCCGCGCCAGAAGACCCACGCACCTTTATACGAATCCAAATCTGCAACATCTTCAAGTACCGACGATGTCCCCCCATCTGAAATGGTCCTCAGAATCGCTCCCTTCGCTTGAGGGACGGACTTATGTAGTGACGGGCGGCAACACCGGTATTGGCTGGTGGACAGTCTATCATCTGGCATTGCACGGCGCAACGGTATACCTGATCTCTCGCTCGTCAGAGAAAGGCACCTCGGCAGTCGCGTCAATTACGGCTTCAATCAAGCAGACCAAACCCGAACTTGTGCCCAGAATCCACCTGCTTCTGATGGACCACATGTCCCTGAAGTCGGTCGTGGCCGCGGCGAAGCACATCCGCTCGCAATGCACCAGCTTACACGGCATTGTCAACTCCGCAGGGATCATGGCCACGCCCTTCCAACTCAGCGAGGATGGCTACGAGGCACAGTGGCAGACCAACTACCTCGCTCACTGGCTCCTCACCTACCACCTGCTACCACTGATGACGGCGACGGCTAGCACGTCTCCCTTGGGGACCGTACGCGTCGTCAATGTCAGCTCCATGGGCCACGCGGCCACCTTGAAAGAAGGCATCGATTTCGAGGACACGAGTCTGGAGAACCACTTTACCTTCCGTCGCTACGCGCAGAGCAAATTGGCCAACATTTTGCATGCACAAGCTTTGCATGCCCGGTACAACTCGCCCATAGCCGCAGAAGGCCACCCGCACATTTGGGCCGTCTCTTTGCATCCGGGCAACATCGACACGCAGTTGAACAAGAGATCCTGGGGTGGGTCGACTCTGGTGCCGCTTCTGAGATGTATGGGAGCCTACATCGAGCCTGAGCAAGGGAGCTTCAATTCGCTGTGGGCAGTCGCGGGGAAGGAGATGACGAAGGAGATGTCGGGCGGTTATTTTGTGCCCGTGGGTGAAAGAAAGACGCCCAGTAAACAAGCGCAGGATTCGACCTTAGCCGACAGGCTTTGGGACTGGACTGAGCGGGAGATGAGGGAAAAGGGCTTCTTAGAGATGAGATAAACGGGATACTCGGAGGCATAGTCGTTCAATTCAGAGGGCGGCTTTGGGTTTGGCGGCGCGAAGATTTGATTTTGTGATCTTTGAAGCCGATGGCAGCGGTTGGCGGTCGGTGGACTGGGTCTTTGATAATGTCAACCAGAATAATATGTTTCGCTTACCATACTCCCATTGATCAGGAGAGTCTTGTAGCAACTGTGACAAGGGCCCCGGTAGGATAATCACTCATCTGCCGTCGGGCTTCGAGAGCTTCAGTAACATGGCTGCATATCGTGCTTCGGTGCCGTCCAGACCATAGTCAGCACTCAGATTCATGCGGCTGCCTCACGCACTTCGTCATGCCAGCCATCGATGATGCCCCCTAGAAGATTGAAAAGCCACCTCTGCTGTGATTTCGCTAGCGAAGAGCTGCGCGACGAGTAGAATGGATCCCTGGACATTAGTATCTGCTCAGCGGAACGATGCTGAACCCCAGCAGAATGTTCACGAGCGGTGCAGAACCGCACTGGAGCAAGCCTGATGGATTCTGATCTTGTCTCATTGTTCCACCACGTCTATGCTTGCCATTTGTGGTATGTACAGTCGGCTCGCTCAAAGCTCCTCCATGACCAATGTTCGGGTCTGAGGCTTTCTCACAGCTGCTTCCCTCAACCACCACCTGTAAACAACCAACTCAGTGTTGAGCGCCTCCCGCATCTGGGTTCTTTGCACGGGGATTCCGGGGATCGTTTCTGAATTCGTCCGCTATTCAAGGCGAAGTCGTCAGCCAATGCGCGTTGACCAAACCTATAGATAAGGTATTGCTTGTAACTCACAGTCCATCATGGCATTGGCGCCCTTGTTGACTCCGTAGAAGACGATGAGACCGGCAATGTAGAAAGGGAGCATAGGCTCGGCTGTTCGGCGTGTCAATATTGTGGCAAGGCGATATCTCCAGTTCTTGCAGACGTACCGAGCTTGCCGGGGAACTTCTTGGGGATGAAACCAGGCATCTTGACGGATAGGCTGGTTGTGAGGTAGCTGGTGGATTGCGTGAAGGCGCAGTTGTCGTCAACGAGCTGTCGGAGAATCTCAGGTCTGCGAGCTCCAATCGAACTCGACTAAGCCCAATTGGGATTATTCTTGGCGAGTTTGAGCGCTTTGTTTTATGCGGCTGAACTCGACGCGCAGCCATCACGATCGTTTGTTGATTCCAAAGCCCAAAGGTATGGGCTACAAATGGGGAAGTGAGTGCGTACTCGAATACTTCCTGGATTGAGTCGAGATGGCGGCTCTTGGCCCGGCGGTCTCTTCCCTGCGCTCGTCTCTCTCCCTCCTCGAATCCAGTATTTCCGTCCTCGACGAAGGTGTTTCCGACTTTCCTAGGCTGTGCAAGGTCCTACAAACACAACAGCACTTTGAACTTCTTCCCGAGCCCACACTTCATGAGGCACAGCAAGCGCTGGTTGACGAAATTGTCCCAGCTATTAACCAACTCCTCTCGACCGCAGAGAACTACATCAATCAGCTTGGCCGGAAAGAAGAGAATTTGAAGGCCCGGTCTGAATTGCTTGAGGGCAGGCTGAACAACAACAGGCGGAGGACGTCGAGTTTCGGAGGTAGCACGGAATTCCCACGACCTGGCAAATCAGCACAATCCGCAGCACCTTTGAGCGATGCAAGAATGCTAGAGATGAAACGCCTACAGCAGAAGAAAGAGAGGTTGCAATATGCCATTGAAAGACTAGAATTGCAAAGCAAGCAAAGAGAACGAGAACTGAGGAAGAGCATGGGCTGTCGTCAGAGAGTGACCGACAGCAAGCCACACTGACACCCACTATACATTGCTTTTGAGACTGCCAGATTATCTCATGGACGAAGTCACAGTGAACAACACTATGACTCAAGCATAGATGGAGAAAAACAGCAGAACAGAGCTGAGCAAGAAATGAGTCTCGTCAAAAGCATGGTTTATTGCTATAATATGCGTGGCAAGGCTTGCTCGACTTGTTTACTACGCGATCTCTTCCGTACGCTGAGATCAGGTGCTCAGTCACGTCCTGCCGGAAGCTCAAAGCCGATGTTGGACGAGGATAGTCTGCATGTTCAGAGCATGGAATGCTCAGCGCAGGACAGGTCAGTAGGCTAAATGGGGGTGTGCAATGCAGAAGGGGTATCTTATCTCACAACGAGAAATGAAATCCGAGGGTTGTGGCGGCAAGGGGTGAATGGAGGCAATCCGAATTCGAAGGCGCGGTCCAGCTTCTCCACCGACTCGCAGTCGCCGCGGCGGCCCTCTCCAATCGCCATGGTCCATGGGCCACAGATCACTACCTTCGGAAGGACCCACGATTAGCCGGAAAGTCGAAGCCTTCGCTCTTTGTCGATTGAAACGGATATCCAAGGTACGGGCTGTCGATTCTTCTCTCTTTGAAATCGACACCGTTCCCAGGATTGTCGTTGCGGTTCTTTCTAAGCAGGCACTGCCACTTTCTTTCTTTCTCCGGTGGCTGTGTTGACCTCATAGACTTGACTGGTATCGATGTGGTGCATTTCTGGCAAGAATTTGCACAGCGAAATGTTGCAAGTTCCATTGCGAGGACACATATGACCAAGCGGACATTGTGGGTCTGTGCAAAAAGCGCTTCGACAAGCGGATGTTCTGGCTTTGTGTCGAAGTGTGTCGAGTTGAAGCTGGTTAAGCACTTGAGAATGATCCCACTCGCAGGTGTTGCCATAGGGGCAGTGACCTTTGAGGTAGAAATTGTTGCAGAGCTTCGAGTTGTAGTCGTACAGATGTTGTAGATATTTCCGATCGTAGTTCAATGGCGGGTCCAGTCGTTGCCCGTACTGATTTTGGAAGATGGTTGGCGACAGTACTGGTGGTAGTGGAAGCTGTGGCGCAGCGGGAGGCGCCTGTGCCTTTGCAATTGTGGAAACTGGCGTGGCCAAAGGAGCTGGCGGTCGCTCCCGAGCAGCAACCAAAGGCTCAGCCGCTGGTCTTTTGATCCCAGCCGTGCCAGCAATCGAACCATTGGGGATTACTTGTAGCTTGACCGTTCTGAAGATATCCGGAAAGGATGTCTGCCGGAATCCCTGCGCAACCTTCTTGAGATCACTTGGAAAGGCCGGGCCCTCGAGTAACGTGATGCGATCATTGACCGCAGTGGGAGCGGCGAATGGGCTCAGAAAGCCGGCATAACTGCTATCTGCGGATCCGCCGAAGACAACATGCTGGCAGTGGAAATTTCGGTAGAAAAGCTCGAAATTGGCTTCAAGAAGTCAAATCACTCTATGACATTGGCTCGTGGGCAACGTACCTTTCAATTTCGAGTCGGCAGCTTCCTTGCGATTGCCTGCATCGATATAGTCAGAGAGCGGGTGGCTGTTGTTGAAACCAATCATGAATTGCTCAAAGACACTGTCCTCGGGAATTATTTTTGCTGCTCTGTAAGTCTTGGCCAGACCGCGACAATTGGCATAAACACGAATAACAATCCGATCATCGGCGTGGTATCTAGGTGTTTTCTTCAGATAATCAAGGAGAGCTGAGCGAAGATGCTTGGCTGCATCCTCGCCGCCCTGCAAACCTCTCGATACGAAAGCGTCGACGAACTGGAAATGTCAGTCATAAAGATGATTCGTGGTTGATCCACGTTTGAAAGATATGGCCTCGATTCAACCTTACCGGCATGCTGTCGCCATCTATCAAGACAAGCACGAATCTGTCACAGTCCTCCTGCAAGCTGTCAGCCACGTGGACTCAAGTATCAGTAAAACCGAATCGCCACCATAGATGTCTTCATCCGCGAACTCTCGGCTTCCGCTTGTACCATCTTCTGGTAGTAAGTCCTTGCTGTATCTCGGGCCATTTCGAGTTCATTTTTGGCGGCATCACGTTGCTGCATAAGCTGTTCGACGTTCACCAGCATCTCCTGAAAAGAATTAGTGCCAATACATCAACATCTTGACCCGACGTGCCTCAAGCAGAGCATTCTTTGCTGCATCGCCACGAACCACCTCTTCCACACGCGCTCTCAGAGCCGCCATCTTGGAAAATGAGCCGGCCAGGACAAAGTTTGGATAGAATTGAGGTGAGGCAATGTTGCGCAGAGAAAGTTCCCAGGTTGTCACTGCCGCCTGGAAAAAACGCCAAGTATGCCAAAACCTTGGCATATTTGTCAGTGTGATTGTTACTGAAAGCTACCAGTACTGCAATCTGGACTAATCTATTCTTCAACTTCAAGTTAGTTACATTTCACTTCATCTTTTCACCTCTGCATGTACAGCCTTAATGTTCCGTCGTTGGTGACCTTCAGCTCACACACAATGGCGCCCACAACGACGCGTGTCCCAGTCACATTCAGACAGTAATGAAGCCAGTTATTTTGGTATCGACCCTGTGCATCTCGTCACCAAACCAACATCTGGAGCCTTTGTCACAGTTCGCTCCCTGCATACATCGATGCCCGGAAACACAGTCGGGGTCTTCACAATATAACGTTTGGCAAGGGCTCAGACGTGCAATGAAGCGAAGAGCGTCGATCTCGACCGAAGTCAACTTGCCTTCGTGGTTGTGGCCACAAGGGTTATGATAGCATTTGGTCAGGAAGTGACGGTTGCAGAGCTTCAGTGGTTTCAACCTGTAGGTGGTGGCCTTGTCCGCTTTGATCGGCTGGTCGACTCTCTGACCTTTGTTGTTCTGGTAGATCCTCCGCCCTGCTTCGACTTGCCCGCCGTCTATGAGTGGTGACTTCGGTAAGACAGGCGCTTGTTTCTCCTGCCATCCGTTCGGCTGCTTCACGGTGGACGCGTAAGTTGCAGGTGGCGTATCCCCTAGTGGACCGGGCCTTTCTTCGTGGAACAACAATGCTTTCTTCTCTATCTTATGGTCCCGGAAAAGACCCTGGAGGTGCGTCTTCTCGAACTTAATTGCGAGCACATCGAGTTGATTCGCGAAAGGGATCGATTCGATTAGCACGACCCGAGAAGAGACTTGATCCGTGAGGGTATATTGTCGCAGAAAGCCTGCGTAGCTGTTATCGCCGGAAGCAGCTAACATGATGTGCTTGCAGTGCACGTTATCATAGAACAACGCCATCTCCGCTATCAGTTGGTCAGCATCAATTCTTACATTGCCTGCAGCCGAAAATACCTTTCACCTTGTTGTCCGCTGCCTCCTTGTCATCTCCTGCATCGGTAAAATGGCACAGGGCGTGCTCTTTATTGAACCCTTGGACAAATTGGCGGAACACTATGGCATCAGGCAGCAACTTGGCATCATAGTACGTTTTGGCCAACCCTGCCATGTTGGCGAGAACATGAATAACAATCTTGGTGTCAGGCAGGAAAGCGTTATCTTTTGTCTGGAAATACTCGTACACGGCATTTCTCAGGTCACGAGCGAGATCATGACCACCCAGAGAAGCACGTTGCACATAATCGTCGGAAAACTAGTCATCTCTCAGCGTCAGGTGTTGGATTCGCAAGGAGGCAGTCATCTCACCATCGCGATATCCCCATCAATCAAAACAAGAACGAATGGATTGGAACCCTAGCTGGGTGGTCAGAAGCTGCGAGGCACTTGCGGAGAAACAGCCATCCCTACCATCATTTGTTGCGTGTTGGCTGTTTTCTGCCTCAGACTGATCAGATCGTCGTCCATCTTCTGGCACAGGTACTGAGACATTCCAAGCTCTTTTTGAAGCTTATCGTTGTAGTCCTCAAGGCTTTGATCCTTTTCACGAGCCCCTTCACAAAATGTCAGCCTGTGGCGGAATGCCACAATCGCTTGGCTCCTTCACCTGGATAAAATCGGCCTTTTCCTCATCCTGTCTAGCGATTTTGTGAAGTTTCTCCTCGAGACCGTCCATTTCGAAGAGCTGGCCGGCGAGCGAAGCAGCTTGTTGACCAAGTGGAGGACAATATGAACAATATATAACGCTCTCACGAAAGAGCGTGGTCGAAAGGTAAATGGCACAGCCCACTTCAGCCTTATGGTAGGCTGCCTCGACAGGGCGCAATGCAGCACCCCACCACAGCCTAACCAATGGCTTGGGCCCACGACAACAGCTGCGCTCGAACAGAGGTCAGACAGGACTACTCCGGTATGTGTCTATACCTTATTATATTTCCAGCGCCTCCATGTCAGAATACTCGTTCTCATATGCATGAGGCACAGGAGCACGATCACGCTCGGGTATCTCGAAAGGCACATAATATGTTGCGGCATGACTTGGGCCATCATCTCACGAGCCACGACGCTGGATCGAAAAACGTATGCCAATCCAACGACCGGGGCGCCATGAGCATCCACTACCGTCACTCCCACTTTACGACAACGGGGAAACCAATGTAGGAACGACCTCAATGACAATCGATCCTACACCGGCATTCAGACGCTCTCTTCAAAGATGCTGAACTGTCACCTCTTTACTCTCAGCCTGGATACCATCGAATCCAAAGTCCGCTGTTGCTTGCCCATCGTGGGCGGCTGTTCCTTCATGGCCTTTCTCTTCGCCGCACGAACATCGAGACTCTCATCACCGACGTCGATCTCGTCGTGCGAATCATCCTCACCATCATGATCAGCCGCGCCGTCGTCTCTGGATCGCTTCTCGCCTCTTGCTACTAGTATGTCACCATTGGCCTCTTCCCTCCACATCCCACCGTCGTCATCTCGTTCGAACAACTTCTTCCACTCCCCACTGACGACCCTCTCGTCATCGCCATACAATCCTACAGCATAGGCCTTTTTCATCTGATCAATGCAGAACTGCTTCCTCTCGGTGAAGTCGAACATGGGTTTCGGATAGACTGCATAGCCCCTTTCCTCCACATCATCAACTCCACCGCTACCACCATTACCCTTAACGACGCAGCCCCAGGCCTTCTGATCCGCTATCGGCGTCTTGTGCGGCTCATAGATATACTTCTTGTCGAACCTCTGAAGCTCCGGCACGTACTTCCTCACAAACTTGCCCTCAGGATCCCACTTCTTTGGAAAGGCCACGGGGCTGTAACATCGATAGAATTGGCTAAAGAAGGCGGTACATGAGAGCCACATCCAGTTGCCTGCATTGCACGCGACTTCGTGGTCGACGAGCCACTCTTCGAACACTTCGGCCCCGCGTTCCCAGGACACGTAGCAGCCTCCTCTGGTCAGGAAGCAAGCCACGGCGTGGCGGCCGAGGTGGTGGATCCAGCCCTCCTGCTTGAGCTGGCGCATAAGGGCATCGATCCAGGGAAAGCCCGTGCAACCGTGTTTCCACCGCTGGAAGTACTCCTCTGCCTTGGCATCGTCGACGATATACGTTCCATCCGTGACGAGTTTGGCGTGCGGATCCGTTCCAGCGCGTCGATAGCGCGACTGCAAATGCCAGGGGATGAATCGGGCGACCGGATTGCCGATCTGCTGCCCGAAGGCCACGCCCACCTGACAATGTGCCGCAAAGTACATGTCCCGAAAGAGCAACTGTCCTGGAATATTCACGGGCTGGTGACTGACGGGTTTATGCTCCTTCCGCCGCCGCTCGATCACGGCCTGGACGTCCCACCAGAACTTGCGGCACGAGAGGCTGCCGAAGTGCATGTGCGGGCTGAGCACCGTCGTGGCCGGAGGGTCGAACGCCGTGGGCGCCGTCGCGGGCTTCTCGAACGTGGCGATATATTCCTCATTGGCGACGTGTTGGGCCAGGGCCTCCAACGCGGCCGTCTCGCCACCTCGATGCGGCGTCGTCACGCTCGCGGGATCGAACCCCATCTCCTGCAGCGTCGGGACGCCAAAGTCGCGGCCCGGACCCATAAGCCCACATGAATACTGAGTTTCTTGTTCTCTAAACGTCCTCTGCACGGCATTATAATCATCCAGTCCTTCAGCGCGAGGCCAGCTCTCCGCGGCCCGAGAATGATCCTGGGCTTTATGGTCCTTCCTCGTCAGAACGTCCAGCTCCGCCTCCAGGGCCGTCAAATCCATGGCCTGTCCGTCCAGCGGATCCGGCAACAGTGTCGGCGCGTCGAGTGGTCTGGCGGGGACACCACCATTGATCTTCTCCACGGCCTTCAAAAGCTGCGCCATACTCATCGTCGGCCTCCCCGCATTCATCCTGACGACCTCGCGCGACGCGAACAGCGTCCGGCCCGGTACTGAAACAACCCGCACGCCACAGCGCTCCGCCACCTTGGTGACTTCTTCGTCTCGAATGACGGCGTAGGGATCCGTATCCTGCTCAAACACAAGGACATCGATCCCCCACCGCTCGAACAAATGACGCATGACTTTTCGCGGTGCCGCGCGCACGACGAACAATTTCTGCCGCGCATTTAGCGCCGTCAACCGCTGCGACAGGTCGCGCATACACTCTGTCAGAAACGCCCAGCGGTTGGTGGCCCCGCGCTGGCGGTAGACGTAGTGGGGGTCCCATGTCCAGAGGGGGATCAAGGCCGAGGGCGCGAGGGACAACGCGTGCGTGAGCGCCGGGGAGTCGTGTACGCGCAGGTCCGTGCGGAACCAGTACAGGACTCGAGGGCCAGTAGTAGGAGCTGAGGGTTTCGAAGCGCGCGGCGCCGTGTGGATTCCAGTCGAGGGTTTCGACGACCTGGGGCGCACCATGTTGATGTTGATTCCAGCCGTATAGGTGTTGGAAGTGGCGGATCTGATACTGGCGTCGCGAAAGCGACCTCTCAAAGAAAGAATGTAGTCGGTGCGGTCGGTGTGCGCAGGACCTTTCGCATCCGGTCCAGGGAGACGACCAGAGGGAAAAGGGTGTCCGAATCCCGGTGACGAAAATCGGGTTCCTTCCAGTTGGTCCGGCCTGGCCTGATCTGGTCTGGTAAGGCGGCGCTCAAGCAGGTAACGGTGAGTAGCTACCTCGAATTAGTGGTAGTGGTAGAGTAAAAAACTCCTCTGCAAACCACCACAGTAAGTAATACCCGGTAAGTATTACCGTGTATTCACCCCTAACACATTGGAAACTCGGCGCCGCACGCTGGCCATCGACAACGCCATGTACTCGTGCCGTGAATAGTGAATCTAGAAATCGTAGTCACCTACACAGTAGTGCTAGCAATGAGACGGTAGTGGCACCCAGTGGCAACCCAGTGGCAACCCAGTGGCAACCCAGTGGCACACAGTGGTGGGTGAGTGGACGAAGGACAATAAATGACGCCACCACTCCCTCCCCCCTTTGCCGAGATCAGATCTCTAGTCTGATCTGATCTGGTCGGATCTGGTTGGAGCGTGGAAGGCGAAAAGCTTATCGCAAAGTTTATCTTACATGAATACTGGGTGTACGTACACTCCCAGGACTGATGTATGTAGGTACCCCGTATGTACAGTTGATCCTAGAACTTTCCAGTGCACGTCGGAACCTACTGGAGAGGGATTGTTCGTCGACCGCCGCACCGGCGAGCCCGGTGGCGGTAAACTCCCCAAGATGACACGAGATCAGTTGAGATGAATCCATGTCAGGTCGCTTTGGTAGTCTTGATGCATTATAATCGTCATTCATTCACTTCATCTATGTGCAATCAATATGCGTCCTTCCACCCTCTTTAGAGCAGGCGAAGACGCCCACTGTAGTCAATAATCGTTGCCGTCTTGAGTTGGTGCTCTCTAAACACTTTTCCAAACATTCGTGCTCAATTGCGCAAAGACACCAATGTTTCTCGGCTAACCCTCTTTTGTTCCCTCATTATGATTAATGGCAGGCTACACGCGTGGTTGCTGCCGACTCCGCTGCCTGATCATGCGGACGTAGGCCGAGCTTGCGGTTGACCATCAGACAGCTGACTTACAGCGGGGTGTGCTGTTGTCGCCCCATTTTGCGGCTGACCATCACTGATTTGAGAAATAGGTGGTCCCGTTGGAGCCCCATTTTGCGGCTGGCCATCACTAATTTGAGTCACTGGCGAACCCGTCGGGTGTCCACCATATGAATATGTGACTGAGCTTGCTGGAGACGATGGAGGAGCCGAGGACGAGGTGCCATGGCTGCCTGGGGGTCCAGCGGGTGCGGGTGACGAAGATCCACCACTTGACAGAGTGCCAGAGAGAGGGAGGTTTCTGCTGGACGCGCCGACGTAGATAGTTGGATTCTGGACCTGGACCCAGTCTTGTGAAACAGTGTCCCAAACGGACACATCACGGCGGGTGAGCTCGGCGGTGAACGTCGCGGACTGGCCAGGAGCAATGGTGATGCGGTCGAATCCACGGAGGACCTTTGGCGGCTCTCCCTCCCCGAGATAGACGTAAAGTTGGGCAACCTCATCACCCACAACATCGCCAGTATTGGTGATTGTCGCTGTCACCGTTGCCACAATCTCATACAGCAGAGGATTGCCGCCAGGGGCGCCTCCCGCCGCTTGAATTGGCTGCGGAGAGCCATCTTGTGCGCCAGCTGGAACCCACTGCTCGGTCGGCTGGCCATAGTCGGGATCGCCTGAGGAAGCCTCAAGATTAGTGCTGTTGAGGTACGGATAGATGAACTCGTAGACTCGATATGGAATGCTGCCATTCGGGAAAAGATATTCAGACGCGTCTGTGGGTGCGGTACCGTAGCTCGGCGCCGGTGCCGTCAAGCCGCTGTTTGGAACATATGGTGCTGGGTTCCCAGGAGTGATGACCAAGTCGGAATATTCAAAAGTCGTATAACTGAGACCAAAGCCAAACTCGTAGATAGGTTCGATACCTGCCTGGTCGAAGTGTCGATAGTCGAGGAAGACGCCCTCGGCAAAGTATTCCTGTGGAGCATCGAATTGCCCGTTGTTTGGCTCGTAAAGGACGTCGGTTCCATAGTCCTCTCGGTTGCGGGCAATTGTGAATGGCAGTTTACCGCCGGGGTTGACAAGACCATACAGGACATCGACAAGAGCATTGCCGCTCTCCTGGCCAGGAAGACCAGCCCAGACGATCGCCGTGACATTTTCATTGTCGTACCAAGCAGACACGTTAACGGCGCCCACAGTGTGCATGACGACGATGGTGTTGTTGTTGTACTTGGTAACATTGTTGATCAGTCGATCTACTCCTTCCCACAGGGACAAGTTGTTACGATCGCCAGTATTGCCGTCGATGGTGATGAATCCTTCTCCAGACTGGGCGTTTCCGAAGACGATAGCAACATCAGCTTGGGACGCTAGAGTCCTGATTTGACTGTCGGCGTAGTTGTCGCAGATAGTTTGCGTTTCGCTGTTTGTGTGCGTCAAGATGTAATTCTGGATAGCTTGCTCCGGTGTAACGAGGTATGGGAACTCCGCTGTGCCGCTCCCATAACCCATCGCGAGAGTGCCGTTGTTACATTGACGATTGGGACAGCCATTGGCACCCCAAGGGTTGCTGCAAGCATCGTAGCCGAACAGCCCGACCTGCCTCTCACTACCTTTGAGTGGGAGAGCACGGTTAGTGTTCTTCAGGAGGACGTTCGATGCCTGGCCGACTGCGCGAACAACATTTCGATGCTCGTCCTGGACATTCCGATGTTCGTTGACGATGATCAAAGGAGTGTTCGGGTCCGCGGCTGAAGCGTGTCCATAGGTATCCTGACCCCAGGCATAGAAGTTGGTAGGGGTATAAGCGGCGTCACGCCCGACATAGTAGTAGCCTGCCATGATCCTCGTCGCCATATCGTCAATGCGCCACTCCGGGACAGTGCCATTGAGAACAGCGATTGTCAGGTTGGTGCCCCAGAAACTGTAACCAGTATTGAAGAGTGTGTCGCCGGGCATGGCCATGTCGAGTCCGTCCAACGAAGTACCAACACCAGAATGTTGTGCCTGCCAGTCGGACATGACATAGCCCTGGAAGCCGAGCTCGCCTTTGAGGAGATGGTTCATGGTATAGGAGTTCGAACAACCATAGGAGTTGTTCACTTGGTTATAAGAGCACATGACTATGCGGTTGTCAGTATAGGCAACCCGATACTGAGACAGCACTCACCGGAAGCGGTGCCAGCTCGAACAGCATCAGCAAAAGGCCAGAGGTAGAGCTCATGCATGGTCTTATCGTCGATGTTTGAGCTAAGGGAGGCAGTGATGTTGTAACCATAGCCGATTGACTCTCCAACTTGGCGGAAGTGCTCTTGCTCGTTTGCGATGAAATGCTTGGTGCATGCCATGACACCCTGGCTCTGGATACCTTGAATCGTGGGTGCGATCAAAGCTCCAGTGAGATACGGATCGGGGCTGAACCCTTCCTGTTGCTAGTCAGTATGGCCATGCTCGGTCATGGAGCAGAAGCACGTACCCAGTTTCGGCCACCTTCCGGGTGACGACCCAGTGGACCACATACGGGGCCCAACAGGGTATCGACGCCCTTATCTCTGTTCTCAGCACCCATAGATTCACCGCGGGCTCTCGCAAGGTCGCGACTCCATGTGGCGGCCACGTTGATTCCTGCGGGGAATGCGGTGACATAGTCGGCTTGCTTCCTGTCAGCGGCTGCATGCATCCAATGGTTATGCCAGGGCCTTACCGAAACGAATGCCAAGGGGACCGTCCTGCATACACAGGGACGGAAATCCGATTCGAGGAATGGCGCCCGTGTTTCCGACACATTTATCAGATTCCCAACTTGATGCAGATCAGCGAGAGTTCCCAGTTACGAAGCTGCTATCACTGACCCAGTGCCGGTTGTGAGGTTGACCTTCTCCATCAAGGTCAGCCCACTAACAAAGGTTCGGGCCTTTTCGTAGGCAGCAGCCCAGTCGCCGGCACCTGAACCCCATGGCGAAGGGTACTTCGGCGGGGATTCCCAATATGGACCGGTGTAGTCATTGTTGAATGGTTGCGCAGCTTGGCGTTTGTAGATCGCGTCCACCGATTCGACAGGCTTCAGCACAGCTTGTGAGTACTCGGACACCTGTAAAGTGGCATTGACGCCCAAAAGCAACGCAGGGGCAAGTCCAAGCATCTTTGCATGTTTGGAAGAGAATTCCTAGGCACGAGGGCATCTGATATGGAAATGGAAATCCATATTGTCGGGATTGGACTTAGTTTATCTAGGGGCTAGATCAGGGCGGAAACGTGAAACGACTTACACTCGCGTGAGTCCGGGGCAGACAAGGCAAGACTGCCAATGCCGCCACAACCGCGTCGGGAAGCCACATCTCTGCGACGCCAATTAGGCTGAATCTCGGAAGGTCGAGTTGACGTCAGCCAGTGAGGATGCGAGGCTTGGTGCGGGCGAGGCTCGACTTCAATAAAGGCAGAGGTGCTCAGTCTCCCTAACTGAGGTGGATGAAATGGAGATACCCAAAAGATGAAAGGGGGTAGAAGCACACCGCAGAGGAATGACGGAGATTGCGGGTGGAAGAAAGAAGAGAGAAGAAATCAGTTGCCGAGAAGGAGAAGTCGACAGATATTTGAATATTGCGGGCTACGCTGCGGTGCTGTGCTTTGCAAATGTCACGAAGGATGTAGAGGTCATCGACGTATTTTTTCCCTTGCGGGGAGACACAATTCCTCGCTGGATCTTGCTGTAGCTGGCGAGCTGAGAGCTCATGAATCGGGAAGGAGCGGACCGTCGAACATGGAGCACATCTGCGATGAGCTGGAGCTGGTGCAGTGGTGCGTGCGTGAGTGGGTGGATAGCTTCGGCCGGCCTTGTGATGTGCAAAGAGATCCATATTCACCGACCTGTGCAGCAGTGGTGCCTGAAATGGCATGTGGAAAAGAAGCGAAGTTACATTCCATGTCACCCAGCCATCACCACGGACGCCTGAATGGATGGATGTCGATCTTGTCGAAAGTCCTGCCCATCACCAACCGGCATGCACTACCCCGCAAACTATGCAATACACCCTCGTGTTCAGATCCAGAGCTAGTTTTCCATCTGGTCTTCTGAACGTGCTATAGTAGTACTGTGATATCTGTGGTATGATGAAACCATGTCACAAAGGGAGGGCAGGAGGTCGACGTGGTGGTGGAAGTGCAAGAGTACAATTCCTCATCCACTACTCACTGAAGCCTCACTAGAGCCATCACGAAGAGACCTACATCGCGCTACCGCAAAAAGAGGTTCCAGCACCAGGAATGACGTCGTAGTGGCACTTTACCAGCTCAGAATAGGCCCGAAGACCGCCGCCTGGGGACTCCCCCATATTTTATCCGAAGCTTAAGAGCATGTCAATTGCACTGCAACTGTGCCACAAGCCTCGGCCTGGGGACGGGAAAATTCGAATTGATCATATGCTCACCAAGCCCGCAATCTGACAAGCTGCAGTGGTTGCTTGTCTTCCGCCACACATTCAGGGTAATTCGTCCGAGTACTCCGTACAACGCTCAGCGAAGCTTTTTACAGGGTCTTCTCGTCCTAGCTCTCCCCGCAATCGGTTATTCCTCGTACTGCAACGAGCCTCCCTGGCCGGTTCGATTGCAAGATATGGACTAGGCACTGCATGCTGACCAGCCTGAGCGCCGATATTTAGCCCATTTGTCCATCATTTGCCGGCACCTGGGGCTCTCTGCAACGAACCGTCCGGTGATACGCAAGTGTTTGTCCGTAGCTCCGTACTGACATCTTTTGCTCGTCCCAATCATTTCTCATGCTCAAGCAGGACAACGGCCCATACTCCGTACGACGATGCCATCTCCATCAACCACAGCATCCGCCGCCAAGTGTAACCTCAGTCTAGAGCACACCACGGCAATGCTTCGCATCTCACGCCCTTTGCCTCCTCCAAGCTTTCCCCCGATATCGATCACGATCCTCACCACCATGAGCGTGTTCGGCTAGCAAGAGCTTGTACGGAGTACCCTCACTCGAAAGCGGAGCTCTAGTCTTGGGGTTATTGCGAAGTTAGTACCAATGTGGCACAGCGCACCTCCCTCTGCTGATCTTGTTGAAAGAACGCTCGCACACCTGACCCATGCGGGTGGCTGTCCGAAGACCTGGGCCATAACCTCCCATCATGCATCGATACTTTTGACTGTAACCTAAGCTGACTGGAACCCGCAGGATGGTGTGCATAGCCTGCTGGAGAACGCAGGCCCACAATGCGCGAAACCGCTGGCTACCTGGTAGGTATTGGGGGGACGTTTGTGTGATCCGGCATTCCGCATCGCTTGGCATTCTAGGTGTCTCTGGCCGTGCCACTTGTACACGGTACGGGTACCACAGAACTGCGTGGTCCGTGACCCCACTAAACCACTACATCACATTCTCGTTGAGGTTGAGGTGTCCGCTGGAATGTCTTCCTACCGTCTTCGGTATGTTGGCGTGGCATTACGTTCGGCAATCGAACGGCACCAGTGCCTGATCTCGATGTTGTAACGTGGAAAACGACTGCATGATTCACGCGATGCTACCTCTCTCCCTGCGCAAAGCTCCTACTCTTCTTTCGCGGCGTGAGACCCATCCATCGCGTCCAAGATCTCTGCCCCGAGCAAATACATGATGTATGCGGGGAAGACTAGCCAGAGGCCGTTGGGGATAAGCCATAGGAAGACAAGGTTGTACGCGGAGTTGTGGCCAATATTGGCAAAGCCGGAGAAGTACTCGTTGAGCCCTGAGGAGCGACCCGTTAGCAAAGGCCTTCTAGTGCGTTGTAAAAAATATTCCCGGTTCTTCAAGGTTGACTGTCGCAACTCACAGTATAAAACGGTCTTGCTGAATGTCATCACTGCAGCGGAAAACAAGTAGAGAACTGCCTTGGCAACTCCAGGGCCTCTGACAGAGTTTTCGTCCTCGCCCAGGAAGAAACCCTGTATACTCGGAGCCGACAGTAGATTTCCCGACGCGTTCCTGTATATGGCAATGAAGTAGTAGATGTACATTGCTGTCTCGACAGCATTTAATGACGCTTGGGCGGCCGTGAAACCGACATGGCCGTTCCATGCCGGCCAACCATATACATAGTCGACCGTACCATACAGGGCGTATAGCTTCCAGATAGGCGAGTGGTATTTCCCACCAGGCATCGAATGCGGGCGGAGAGCGATATATCCCGTATCCCAAATCACTAGCGGTAGGGAAACGAAGAGCCAAATCACCAATAAAGGGGGCACCTTGTGCGAGTAAAGGTGGATCGAAGGCGTTGCCGTCTTTGAATTGGTCGTTCGCTTCGCCCTGCGCTTTCGAGATGTCGAAGACACAGTGGCCGAGTCGTCAGACTGCGGGGAAGAAGCTGAAGGTGACGCCTCGGATCGTGCTGTTGCCTTCGGCGTTGCAGGGTCCGGGAACGGCTGCGGGTGGTGTCTCGTGGCAACCATCTTGATGTGAGAACCGCAGGCAGCGGTTGTGTCCAATGCCTTCGTCAGGACGGCCGCAAGTTGTGTGCCGTGTTCACGTTGATAGTCCCTCAGCTCTTATGTCCGGCTACCGTGCGATACACTTGCCGTCCAGACACAACTCTGACCCTGCGAGGATATACCCAGTGGCGACCAGTTCTTGCGCGACTTGAGGATGTGGTGAACTTAGGCCGTGCTCTAAAACAAGGTTCAGGAGAGAGGACACCCGATGAATGGCTTTTGAGTTATACCAGCACGTCAGTTGAGGGTATTGCTGAAAGACACCGAGGCAGGAGGGAAGGGAGGACACCGAGTTTCGTCAGCTGCAGAGCGTGGTGTTCGTGTTAAGGACAAATCGTGATTGTGTAAAGGTACCTAGACCTGGGAAGTAGATATTGTACATGTATGTACGGACTGCGAGGGGAAGGAACTTGCCCCGGATTTGGGTGCCACAATAACTTGGAACAACCCACCTCGGCTGCGTCGCGATCCAGGCTCACTAGTGATGCCATGCTTCGTATCGGCTAGCACACTTTCTATTGCTTGTTTCAGAACGCCGAGTACGCCTTGTGCTAACAAGAGGTATACGAAGACCATGGATTTCGTGTTCAGAATGCGTATTGGTACCTGCATGACCGTGTCGAGTGCCTACCAAAGTAGATCATCATATCGCGTGACCATTAGACGAAGGACATCGCCATGAACAGATCAGTGAGCGAGTTACAATTAAGTCACCAGTTTTCATGTCAACAAAATTGCCTTGTGTGATACGAAGTAAAGCTGCCCTCGTCCCCTAAATTTGAGGAGATTGTCATTTGTTCCATTCTACCATGGCTCCATTGGGTTCTTACTTCTTTTACAAGAATCTAGTGGTGGCAGGACCGCTGATGATGCGCCGAGAAAGTATAGATCGCAGTAGGCAAAGGAGAACATCGAATTGGCCGCCGAGCATACCAAAACTTGGGTAAATTAGGCGTCGTCTTTGGGACTGGCCGGATCAGAGTGCATCTTGTGACTCGGAATATTGATGGGTTGCTTGTCGAAGACCTCAAGTGTTGATTGTTGACTCGGAACGCCGCCGAAAGTGCCATAGCCTGCAAGATTTGCAATTTGTCAGGGTTCGTGCTGTCCAAGATAGACAGAGATGACGGGCTATATGCGGCTGGGTGGACTGTTCTTGTATCTTGGGTCGTCGGACTGTGCAGTCTCGGGTGTGTTCTTGCTGGCTTTTATGACCGTTACTCTGTTTGACGAGAAATCCTCGAGCCCCACGACGGATGGCGTTTCGCTGGACAGGGTCGTTGAGAATGCCCCAATCTGACCATAGCCTTGTGGGTAAAAGATCACACCCTTGGCCGAACTGTGTCGACAGAAAAACGCTGTCCCAGGTTGCCGGTCCAACGCGCGCAGTCCGATGGTGATACTCGCCCAGTGTTCTTTTCCTTGGGCTATCTTGTGTGCTAATCTTGGGGTACAAGTATGTCGAAGTAGAACAAGACGTAACTTGCCTTAGGGCTAGGACTGCCGTCGTCCTCGAGATCTTCCAGTTCTTAGGGCTCAGGATGGTACAGCGCGGGCTGATGAGGGACCAGGATTCATGTCGGGCCTGGACTCCAAATCCCCCGTGCTCCGTTCTCCAGCATCTCTGGTAGGCATCAACTATCTCGATGCCTCATGTTCATCAGTCCCATTTACTGTAGCTGACCGTGCCTCATCGGTCTCGAAGAGTCTCGCGATAACATCGGGTTTGATGAGATCTTTTCTAAATTGTTCTTGCTGGAGCAATTCGAGATTTCGCAACGTTGACCCTGGATGCGTGAGATACTGCGCGTATTGAGGGGTACGCCAATAGCTGTATAGGTACTTGAGATATCTTGCAAAACGGTCGGCGTCTGAATCATCTGCTTCGGCTACATTGCGAGAAGTCGCTGGTTTGTTTAGCAAATGTGGATAAAACACAGCGAGATATTGAAGATACTGCGGGTTCGCGAGTGAGAGGACGAATTCGAGTTCCAAGGTGAAGCGGTGAGACAGGACCAGCGGCGGTTTTGTCGCATCCATATTCCAAGAATTAGGTGTCGAAAGCCGTTGAGGGTCCCGAATGCTCGATATTTGGAAGACGGTGAACGAAGGATATGGTAATAGGGTCGTGCAAGGTTCACGTCGCCGCGGCTTGATCGATAAGCAGGTCGGTTCAGTTTGGAGACTGGAGTGCAAAGTATGTCGTGCAGTTCAATTATGGATCAGATCCGGCTGAGGCAAGCGGTACTCGTTGGTGTTCTAGCACGTCTGTCAGCACCGCCAGCTCAGTTGACCGATATCTCATGGATGTCGGTTCACGTTCACTCGGGTTGCTCGAAGTTTCACGAAACGCCCCCACGTCACTATGCCCAGACTTGCACGCGTCCGTGATTGAGTTTCAAGCAGGGATCCCGAGGGCGGAAGAAACGGGCGATCCGTGCCCTTGACCATGCAGTTTCCAGGGGAACTTGAATTTTGGGCCGAAAGCCAGTCCAAGTAATTCTAAGCTTGAGCCGCTGGGGGGACGATGGAACGGCCTGCGACAGACCGTGTGTTGTCGAGACACCTATCATGTAGTTGATCTTCAGTTGAGAAAAATTCCCATGGAAGGACAGAGGGTGGTTGAAGATGCCAACAAGATTGGCTAGCGTTGTGCTGAGCGTGTTTCAGAGGAAACCGACAGCTGCCCAACGAGGCTCCGAATGGGCAAGAAGATGATCAGGTCGAGCCCCGAATGAGGCAGTGCTTTGTGAAATTTGGACTGGTTTGCGAGACTGAGCAGGTGACCAGTAGAAACCGTCAGGGCTGGCACAGCAGCTGTTTGCAAACAAGAGACCTGGAGATCGACACCCGGACGATGGGAACCCTGGCAGCGTGAATCGCGAGCAGACCAGCGACCTTGAATGATGGACTTGTTGTGCACGTCAGTTGTTGTTCGCAATCCGATTCCAACGTCTAACATTCCATTCTTGAGCTCGCCAAATGGTAGCGTGGTGTGGCGTGAGCACCCCATCTTTTGGCGCAGTGGGTAGCGGAGCCTTTAACCAGCTGGGCCCCATACCGGCCGGGTGCCCTGAAAGAAAGGCCCTCAAAACGGCCTCGGACACCAACGACGCCCCTCCTCTTGTTCTTGCACCCTTCCCCTTCCTAGTTCTTCCTCGCAAACACACCCTGTCCGACGACCTTTTATCCCCCTTCTGGTGTTTCCCTCCCCTAGGCGTGCATAGTGACCACAGCCAGCATTTGCTACAACAATATCGTCTTCACCAACAGCGTTAGGCTTCACAGCGCCCCTTGGCTATTAGCGCATAGTCATTGTCTGCCTTCACGACCCTGCCCTTCTCTCTCCTGACCGCAACCTCATCACCTTTGTGAAGAGTGGCCCGACCTCCCTCACCTATACTACGTGGGAACATCATCCTTCGGAACAAGCAGTGCTGTGTCTCTACGACTGCGCGGGACGCAATCGAGTCTTGACTCTCCAGTGACCGACCATCAAAACGCATAGCACCGAAGGATAAGGAGGACAATGGCACAGGCAGCGCCTCCGGCCGGTATGTTGAGACAAGCTCTATCCTCAAGTTCGCCTTTCGACACGCTCTCTCCTTCTATCTACCGTCGCTGACCCGAGACCCACGTCTGGTACCCTTTGCGCGACTGTACACTGACATCCGTGCCGCAGAACGCGGCCCATCTCCGCTTGCGTCTAAGAACCCCTTCCGGAGCCTTGTATCAGAGAACACCACTGTTAAACCAATCTCAACGAACCCCTTTCTCGACTCCAACGAGATCGTATCTCCAAACACGGCCACCCAGGTTACCCCTACAACTGCCAGCGTCAGTGCGAGTGCCAGCGCAACAAGCCCATCTAGCGTGGCGGACAAGACTGCCGATATTTTCGTAAGCTCTCTGCTCTGTGTATTCTAGCGCTGTCACTGATCCTAGGCAGGCGGCTCTCGATTTGAAAGACTCCTCGAAGCCCTCACAGCCTCCTGTAAACGGCAGTGTAAGGCGAGAGAACATGCCTCCTCCGCGAGCATATCCACCACGTGGCCCTCCTCTCCGTCATAGGCCTAGCAATTCGGACGAAGAACGCCGGCGACAGCAAGGGAAACCTCGAGGTCCGCCAAATGAACTTGACATCTTCGCAGATCCTTCGGACGCCAGTCGCGCGCACGAAAAGCGTGCGCCGCCACGACGTAATAGCGAGTCGTCTGTTCGCGAGAAGCCAAAGGATGTGGATCCTGACGCGGAAAGGCGAAGACGAGAGCGGAAAATCCGTGAAGGCCGTGACGGAAAAGGCTCAGTGAAATCAAAGAAACCAAATGCGAGGTTGGATATTATCGATAAACTGGACGTCACAAGCATCTATGGTACTGGCTGTGAGTTGTGGACGCATTTTCTGGCGTGAGATAGCGCTGACTCGTGCAGTATTCCACCACGACGGCCCGTTTGATGCCTGCAACCCTCACCGAAATCGTAGGGGCGCCAGGCAAGCCCCGATGCAGGCATTTCCCAAGGACTCACTGAACATGCAGCTCGGAGGCTCCGGGCCAAATAACTCTAAACTTAACCTCGACCAGTATCATGGTAGAGGCATAGAAGCGAATCGCGATTATAATCATGCGGCAGTACAGGATGCCGATGCGGACTATATGCGCCGACCACTTCCCGAGAGAAGCGCCAGCTTCAACCCGACAGCTCGAACCGAACCTGTCCACGGTCACGAGTCAGCTGGTCTAGGAACGAGCACTTTCTTGGAGGGCACGCCCGCGAGTCGAGCTGCGATCCAGCGTCGAGAGAGCGAGCAAGAAGCCGCCGATCAAGCCATGGCAGCAGCTGGTCTCTCCCGGAAGAAGAGCTTGGCCCAGAGGATCAAGTCTGTCCGACCGCGAGTGAACGACACGGGACGCATGACATCCCCCGAGCCCTTCCCTGCTGTGAGTCCCACCAGCCCGCTCGGGACAGGCCGGTCCGAGCAGAACGGCGTGAACCCATTTTTCAAGGACTATGACAAAGAGTACGAGAAGAAAGGTGCACAGATCGCATTTGCAGAGGAACAACTCAAGAATCCTCCCCGAGCTCGCGCGCCATCCAGTCCGAAACGCAGTGCACTGACGCTGGAACGGAAAATGACGGCCGAAAGTGTCGGCCCTCCACCTGAAGAAGGCAAGGTCGGCGGTAGTGGCGGTGGTGGCTTCCTCAGTCGAGTCAAGAGCATCAAGGGAGGCCGGAGCAAGACTCGCGAGAGGCGAAATACCGAGGCGTCGTCGTCCTAGTTGAACAGGATCATCGAGGTAACGCCCTGAAGAAAACCCACCATCCCCGCTGTGGCAAGCATTGCGGGTGCTTTTTGGGATATGCCTGTGAATTGTCGGCCTTTGTTGCAGCCCCGTGCAAGTGCAAAGGGGCAGGGGCAGGTGCAGGGGCAGGTGCAGGGACAGGAGTTCTCGGAATCGCATATGTCTGGATGTCTGGAATTCCATTGAAGGTCAGGCCACAATCCACGGAGCATTTGGGAAACGGGGCCAGCGTTCATGCGTGCATGGCATGAAAAAAAATTTGACGATATGACCATTCCATTGATTCGCCTGAGGGCTCGAAACTCCGCCCGTGGAGGACAACGAATATGAGAGAAAGGGGACGAGCTATACGGATTTTCCCACCATCTCATGGGCGCCTCTCGATGTCGGGAAGCCCCACGACTTGAAGGAACCGCTGATCGCTAACTGCCCGTGGTTGAGTTCCGACTCCTGTACCTCGTACAGTACTCCGTACGGAGTACTTCCCTTCTACTTCTCATGATCCACTGGTGTTGACAGAACAAGAACCTGTACGTCTCGCGTATTGTTATCTACATGTAGATTGATGAATTGAACCACAGAATCCCCGTACACAGTACCGGCACTGTATAATTTTATATCTTTGTCAGTGTTACAGTACGGAAGGTTACAGGAGTTACTCTACGGAGTAGGCGCTGAGCGTTGGGCCTGCTGTTCAACATACTTCAGTAGGACGGACTGTACGGAGTACTTCACTCAGGGGAAGATGTCTTACGAGTTTCCGACTGAACATGGGGTACTCCGTACACGGTACAGTATTTGTTTGAATTGGGGACTTGCTGCTCGTTCGTTGCTCGCCTTTTCTTGCTCTGCGGTCCCCATACCCGCCAGGTATTCCAGGCAATGGTCTACGAATCCTCCTCGAAATGGCGCCTGGCCTTCCCTACTTCCCTGCCTCCCAGTGATATCCAGGGTATACCGATGAGCCAACCTGTACTGTGAAACTGTCCACCGAGAACGTAAATTGAGGTTGTTATTTACACGTCCACGCATGCATCTGTTGCACTATTCATTCGCCCACCTCGCTCACTCTGCGATTCCACCCCACGTCGTCCAGCATCACCTTTGTTAACGCGAAATTCATGCCCTTCTACCACCCACGATGCGACAGTCCGTAGCGAAATCAATCGCTTGGTCCGCCGACCCAATCCAAGACCGCGCCAGTGACAAGCGTGCCAAGCACCCAGACGCCGGCATATCCAAGCGCTCCTTGAAGTTCGACGCCCTCGACGGTACCCCAGGTCGACAGCACTGTCTCACTGAGGAGCAATCCCGCGAGTACCACCGTCCGGCGGATGAGTTCCTTCTGCCGTGCAGAGTACCAACCCCATGAGTTATAGTGGATGTGGTCCCAGAAAGTGGCGGTGGAGGGGTCGAACTCCAACACGGGCGCACCTTCTGGCGAAATGACGATGGTCGAGCTGGTGGCGGCTGTTGACGGTGCGAAGAGGAACTCCATCATGGCGTACCCCGCTGGGAGGAGCGCGAGGAGGAGGGTAGGGAGGCCCGCGGGACCCAAATGTGCGGGTTCAAGCGTTCTGAGGCCCTCGAAATGCAGGATCAGCCATGTGGGGAGGTATGTTGCGAAGGACGCTTCTAGGAGGACGGCAAAGATTGCAGTCGCGAGAAGTGACGTTGCGAGGGTCGTGTACGGGTCCGTCAGGATGGGCCGGTTCCGAAGGCTGGATTTAGGCGCGTAGCTTGGGATGTGAGACAGGGAGAGAGGTCGCACGAAGTAGTAAGGAAGGGAGTTGGCGATGATGGCGGAGAGGGCTATGGAAGCCAAAGTGATGGGGGAAATTTGGTAGAACAGGCCGAGGAGGATGGCTTGAGGTGTGTGGAGGAGAAGGGAGAGTGATGCGACGTCGTAGGCTGTAGTTCAAACAGTTAGCTTTTGAGAAATGGAAGATGTCGTGGCAAAGGACGTCAAAGCCATAACCCATTGGGACGTACCGTCGAAGTTGCTGACCCAGTATACTCCCAACTTTGCGACTTTCCAGCCCAACAACCCAAGCACCTCAGCCCATGTGCCGGGCCTCCTAGAAACTGCAGCTAGATCTCCTACTCCAACCGTTGCCGCCCCGGTTTGCAAGGCCGCTTCCAGCACTGCGCTTAGCACCACACTTGCCGTGAACTTGAGCGGCTCGAATTCCCTTTTCTCGGTAACGACAGGTTGTGCGGCCCGCGCGACTGGCTTTGGTACAGCGACGACAGGCGAGCCCGGCGGAGATGTGGTCGAGCGTGATTGACGTCGTCTGCGCGTCGTGGTCCCAGCAGGAGAGGACGGTTTCGAGCCCAGAGTCCCTTCTAATATGCCATTGACGGCGTCGGCTGCACCAGTACTTGACGCGATGCTGGAGGATTTGGTATGCCGACTCCGCGGAGCCATGGTGGAACCTGTGATGTTGGAGATGGAGGGCTCGTGGGACGGGTGCACGAGGGTAGTCGCGAGTTCGACGAGGTCGCCGAGCATGGGAAGCTTGAGAATGGTTGATGGTGCAACAGTTGGTGAGTGAAGCCAAAGGAGAGGACGAACTGCGTCAAGAGTACGTGGGCGAGGACGTCTGGCGCGTTCTGGGTGCCGTTGTACTGTAGGACTGAGAAAGTCAAGTGGCTGGAAGCGGGTGGTGAGCGAGTGGCAGACAACAGACGCGATCGTGACGTGATTGGCCACACACAACGAGTTGGATGGCGCTACGTCACAGCAATCCAGCGGAAAACCGTCTCCGGCCACGGTGGAGTACAAGTGGTGCAAGTGCATTCGGTACCTCCTGTGGGAGAATACCGAGTACGGAGTACTCGAGAACGAAAACCTAAGTGCCATATAGGTACCTACGGTTTGGTCCTAACTTCAGGAACAAACTTTGCTGCCAAGCAGGCAGCCATCGGCACACATATAGAACCGGGCGAAAATAGCAGGAAAAATTCAACTTCCTTTTCTACACTATCGATAGGGTGACTAAGAGATTAGCCGATAGATACGTGACCGATCAGGGGGCTTTCGAACAAACAAATGTCAATGATGAGCTTAGGACTCTAAACACCCTCGGGCGCCGGTATATTCGGTCAGCCCGTCGACTGTTCAAGAAAGTGTACCGTTCGGAGACGATTTGATTTCGAATGTAGACATCGACCGATCCTCGCTTGCCTACTTTGGTCGGATGTGAGCGCATCTCCATTCGACCAGGAGAAGCACATCGATGCCTTCGCCGTCGGAGTCATGGCCGTGCACCATGTCTCGTCCCGTATCTTGCCACAGCTCCAGGGTAGATCTCCTAACACGATGGCGAGCATTGTCGACGCCCTCGAGGACAAAGCTCTTTCACCTAAACCAGTGACTGGAGCTTCCGATAGGATAACTCCTTGAAAGCAACCACGAGACATCAAAGCAGGCAATAGCAGCTTTGTTCAGGAGTTTGTCCAAGATCAAAGACGCAATCCGAGTCTTCATTATGCTTTCCATTTTAACTTCATTGTCAGAATGCTTCGGTGGTAGGTATGCGGCTCTATATCATGACCCTTGCCCCGGTCGCAAAGCTGCCAATCTACTCCATCTGCATCAGTATCAGAGAAAGCCAACTGTACCCATCGAAGAAAATGGGAGGACAAAGCCACGTCATCGCTAGCCTCGACGACCTAGCAGACCTGCTTCAACGTAACAGCCAACTCTCCACCACCTGCGACGTCTGCGCAATCAGCTCCGACAAGGTCGAAGTCAAGACTTGTTCACGCCCTGCTGATCAATATTCCGGCTGCTGCGCCAGCAATGTCTGTCTGTACTGCGTGATGGCCGCCCAACGCGACGTATCCCGCCACAAAAATCAAGAACATGAACTGCACTATTGCCGTCCGTGCAGCGAGGCAGTCCAAGCCCAACAACGAGACGAGCGCTGTCAATGTGACTCGCAAACCCGCAGGGATGTCCTCGATCAGTCGCGGAGTGAGTGGCAGTGCCCTCCTTGTCGGTTGTGGTCAAGTGATATGCTCGAGCATGTTGCGCACGATAACCTCTGGAATGGGGAGAACGAAGGTCGAGTCTATCCCCGCGACCAATACGAGGACGGCCATGCTGGTCTCAAGCGATGGCTTGACCCTGCTGACGCGAATAGAAACCTCTGTCCCGGTTGTGGGTGTGATTACTTCAAGATTGTCCGGAGCTTTGATGGTGCCGAACTTGATAAGTCGGGCTGTCTTCCTAGAGATCTGGTGAAGCAATGCATCCTTTGCCTTGAGCAGAAGCTCTGAGTCTAAGGTAACTTGGATTTGATAGTTAAAGTGTATGGTAAGTTCGTGCCTTGCTCTTTTGTATAGGGGTCTAATTGTCTCGTCTCGTGTGAAATGAGCCCTTGACGCGCTTCCAGGCCACCCGTTTGCCCAGTAGAATTGTCCCCCCATGATATACCATCGAGGTCAAGCCGTTCTGTGTTGTCGTCTCGTGATAGCTTAGCGCGATATGAATCCAGACATGTACTAGAAGTAGCAACTGCACCACGCCCTGCCCGCAGCCTCGTGATAAGACCTTCGGTTCCGTAAAGCCAAAAGCTGGCATGCCATGGGTTGCCGATGCGACCCGTGGGTCGGTGCGGTATTGTTCAGGGACCGTGTTTCGGAACGGCAGAGCAAGGACTGTAACCGTAATAAAACCCCCTTTGGTGCCAAGTTGATTGTAAGATGTCGTCGGTCACAACCCCGACGACGACGGAGGCACCACGATACGTCGTCCTCAAACTTCTCGGCATATAGAGCGCAGCTCACCAAATCAATTCACGCACCCAAAGGAAGGCCAATCTCCGATGTATGCCGAGCAGATTGATCAGAAGGCGTGGTCCAGTTGACGAAAACGGCCAGATCCGAGGACTATTTTGATGGTCTGAGGAAAGGGAGATTTGTGCATTGCTGGGCTGGTTCAGTCATTTTCGTCGGGTAGATTGTCCGGAACAACTCGCATCTCGACCGAGCCGGTCTCTCGTCCTCGAGCATCCTTTGTGGTGAAGGTGTACTTGCCCTTTTGCTCTCCCTTCTGTTCAATCCATAGGTCTTTGAAAGTGAGTTCCTTTGTTCTGTTGATGCTTTCAATGGCTGAGATCCGATCTAGCGTCGCTTCCAAATAGTCGTCAAATCCTTCTTCGGAGCATATTTCCTTGAAAGCATTCATCATCGGCACGCTGTCCGCACGGACGTTTGCACTACTGTCGATCGTGAAGATGTTCTCGTGGTCGTAGCTCTGAATAAAATCAGCCCGAGTCATGATTTGCCGAGCAATGTAAAGCGGGATTTGTGGTAGAATGTGGCCTTGGTCTTCGTCATAATTCGTCTCCAACTCCTTATCTTTCTGGACAAGAGCTCTGGCTAGCACCATGGCCGCGCTTGCAAATTTCTGCTGGTCCATCACATCGTCGTCCATTTCCTCGCCGAGGATGCCGCATTTGTTCAGGAACCAGGTCTTTTCATATTCCTTGATCTGATGACACATTCTGAGCATGTCCGAGCTTTTAGCGACGCGGCTGAGGAAGTTCAATCTTCCACCAACCAAGTCGTACACTTGCTTGAATATCTCGGGCTTGTGCTCTTCACGTGGAAAGTACTTGGCTCGATACCTCTCGAGCGCCGGAATAGCAAGGGACTTTGGCAAGTCCAGAATAGGGATGACCTCCATTCGCGTAGCATAGCGTTTAAACCGCTCATAGACCCAGTAGTCGTCCGAGTTGAAGATCATGGTGACGAGATTTGCAGCTGCCCATTGCTCTGCGCGCTGCTGCATCAGTTCGATCAGATCATTCCCGTCCTCGTCATCTCGAATGAGATGTGCGCAGTTAACGATGACCACGAGTGGACCTTTGCGACCGGTTTTGCTGCGTTGATTCCTGTTCTTCAAGGCGATTTTTTCAAGCTTGTTGAACGCGCGTTCGATGTCCAGAAGAGCCGTCGTGTCGCGTGGCCCTCGTATCGAGAATAGGGAGCCGATGTAGTCTTCGTGAAACTCGTAGTTGAGAGCCCTACCAAGGCGGATGCGGAAGATCTCGGGATCAGCGTGTGCCTCGAACATGGAAACACCCTCTCCGTTATGCTCTTTCATGGCTTCGAGGATCATAGACGATTTCCCAGTTCCCTTCTCACCTACGAGGAGATAGTATCTGCCCTTAGACTCTCCACTGATGATGGCATTGATCTTCGCCTGCTCAGGTCGCGCCACCCACTGCTCGTCGTCGTCTCCAGATTGGTCTTGAGGCGGCACATGAGGTCCCGGTGGAGCAGCCAGTTCAAGCATAGGGTCTCCCGGCGCGAAAGCCTTCTCTATCTTGCGAAGGACTAGAGATTTGTAGTAAATGTGGTAGGAATAGCCCGCTAAGCCGAGGACAGCTATTGACGCGAAGGTCGTGAAAGCTGATTCAAATGCTTTGTATGCGGTCGTCCCGAACCGGCTCTCTCGCTCGGGCTCGGTCTCGGGCTTCGAACGCGATTTCTTTCGAGGTTCATCATCGCCTGGGTCCGCTCCCGGTATGTTGTTTGTGGGTTCCGTGCTAGGGCCGAACTGTTGAGCATATGCACGGATATTGGGCCGCCTGGGTTGCAATGTACCGGTCCGAAAGCACAATCGAACAGCGGTGGACTGGGAGACGACGCCTTTCCGCATGATTCTCGTGTTAAGGTATGCGCCGCAATTGATTACTAGAATTATGATCTCAAAAATTGCATGGCCACCTCGACCGGCACAGGCGCGTGTGGAAGAAGATAAAAGTGAAAATCGGGGAAATGGAACAGAGGCCGGCCACCCAACTGTCAGGTACCGATAAAAGAGAGTGGCGCGAGTTAAGGAGCGACCCGGCAGGATACAACGTGAGCTTGAGCGACAATGTTTGGCCTGTTGTCGAAGGAAAGCTCGATGGAAAGGGGCGTCAGCTAGGAACGTCTGTGTCGAGGACTGGGATGATTCGGTGTTGCACGTGCTGGAGTGATCGACTGCCCAGCCGGCTGATTGGAACGAATGAACACCACAACTCGCGCAGTAGAGTCCTCCGTACTCCGTATGTATGTGTAGAGCACGAGCTCTCCTCGGTCCTTACTCCGTACATAGGTACTTTCGTCTCAACCATACGCCACAAGTCTGGGAGGCACCCTAGCTAGCTACATAGCTCCCTCTTGGTAGACATTCCCACGATGCCGTGGGTCACGGAGTAAGAGGACCTACCTGGTACTGTAGGTATCGAGGCTGATGTCCCGGAAAGACTCGCAGATGAGAGCCCTGACGCCAGTCGCGTGACCCCAAATTGGCTGCTTCGGCGTTCTTCAGGGGCACTGCAAGGCTTCGGTATCCGCGGCACTTCCCTAAGACCCCTAGAGCTCCTAACTCCAAGCAGCAACAGGCGTAGGATGGCCTGTCCAGTCCACCCGAGGCGTCCCGAACAAGACCCCGGGGCTTTCTTCCATGTCCCCGGCGTGCGGTTGCTGTCGAATCAGAATGCTCGTATGGCGGTGATTCTTGCTTGAAGTGTTGGAGATCAAAAAATGCATTATTCTCAATCCAGTTGCACTCATTACACAGTTTTCTTTGCTGGGACGTTGTCTTTCCTAGACTCACCATTGCGGCTTCCTTCGTGTATAGTATTCCTTCACTCCTTTTGTTTGTCAGATCCGGTTTGACTTGCTCTGTTTCACGTCGCCTCGACTGTACAATATTCGATTCACGGCTCCGGACAGCTTCGTAATGGCTCAAACAAATGGTGACGTGAAGACAACTTCAGGTCAGTGGAAGCTCAGCGAACCTTGACTCTCAATCTTCTGACGTGCCGCCAGATGTAACAGATACTCAGGGCGAGGCTGACTCCTCATCGGCGCTTGCCAACGGTACCAATGGCACCAACGGCCACCTACATGACCATTCCCATACCCACGATCACGAGCATGACCACGCTCAGGACGACCCCAATGCTGGAGCACTGTTCCAGGTCACTGTCAAGCTGCCGCACAAGCCCTACAAGCAAACAATAACGGTCACGAGTCAAGAGCAGGTCCAGGATGTGCGCCAGTCTATCGTGGAAACTCCGGATACCTTTCAGTACACCTGTTTCCACCTCGAGCACAATGGACAGAAGATCAACGACTTTGTTGAACTTTCCGAAGTCAAAGACCTCAAGCCAGACGATGAGATTGTGCTTGTCGAGGATCCTTACACCGAGAAAGAGGCAAGGCTGCACGTAATTCGCATCCGAGAGCTCATTGGCGCGACTGGAGACCGGTCCGACCAGCTGCATGGCATCTGCGCTGGGGTGTCCCTCCACGACGATAAGTTCGGCTCTGCCCACGCTCCTGCCGACAAGACGGAAGGCAATCCCTTGGTCGGCTACGAAGTCGACGGTCGTGTGGCTCTCGAAGCATTACTCCCATCTCATCAGGACAGCTTGCCCAAGACCATCAAGTCACTGTCGGTGTCCCAGTGGAATCCTCCACCATATCATCTCCGTCAACGAGGTCATCTGCTCTACTTGCTCCTGACGACGAATGAGGGCGAGCAACACCACATTACCGCCACCGTCTCGGGCTTCTACGTCAACAAATCCTCGAGCAACAAGTTCGACCCTTTCCCTAGACCTGCTCCGAAAAATCACAGTGCTCACTCCCTGCTGAATTTGATCTCAGCATTATCGCCATCATTCAATGAGACTTTTGTTGAGCTCCAGAGAATGAACGGCCGCAAAGACCTTCTCACAACATTCCCATTCCAGAATGCCATACCTGCAAATCCATGGATCGTTTCGTCTTCCTATGCACAAGGAAATCAGCACCAGGCAGATCCCACAAGAGCTCAGGAGGCATACTTGCTCGGGGGCGCTGATGGGGCCGAGAATCTTCGAGATTGGAATGAAGAGTTTCAGACAACCCGTGAGCTGCCGAGGGAAAACCTGCAGGACCGAGTATTCCGCGAGCGTTTGACCTCCAAGCTGTTTGCCGACTACAACGACGCTGCCGCCAGAGGTGCTGTGCTTGTCGCTCGAGGCGAAGTTGCGCCACTGAATCCTACCGAAGGTAGGGATGCCCAAATCTTCATCTACAACAACATCTTTTATTCATTCGGTGCCGACGGCGTACAAACATTTGCGAGCGAAGGCGGAGACGAGGCTGCAAGGGTTGCGGTGGGAAAGGACGTTGCCGGTGTCAAAGCTGTAAATCAACTGGACATCAACGGCCTTTTCACTCCAGGCACGGTAGTAGTAGATTATCTTGGCAAACGTATTGTCGGTCAGAGCATCGTTCCTGGCATCTTCAAGCAACGAGAACCCGGTGAGCACCAAATCGACTATGGTGGCGTCGAAGGCCGAGACGTTGTGACCGAGAACGAGGCCTTTGTTCCCGTGTTCGAAAAGATGTCTAAGGCGTTACGCGTCAAGAAGCATGCCGTGTGGGACAAGGAAGGTAAGCGACACGATCTTGAGGGCAGCGTTGAGACAAAGGGCTTGTTGGGCACCGATGGCCGAAAATATGTCCTTGATCTATACCGCATCACACCGCTTGATGTGGCCTGGTCGGAAGAAGTTGAGGCCGACTCAGGAAACGACAAATACCCACATCGGATGTCCGTGTTACGTCTAGAGCTTGTGGAGACCTATTGGCGCATGAAAATGCAGGAGTATGTCAGAGCGGAAATCCAGAAGCGCCGCTCGAACGGGAACAACGGCCACATAGAAGACGCAAAGAACGGTGAAGAGGACAAATCCAACGCTCACGTACCTGAAAAGGACAAAAAAGTGGGAGAAAATGGCGATGCTCCTGGGAAGGAAAGCATCGAGGAGAAATCCGATGAGAAACCAGACCCATCTGCCAAGGCTGCTCCTGCACTCGATCAGGAACGCGTGGACATCTCTAACTTCCATTTCGCCCTGAACCCGGATGCATTCAGTGGGCAGACGCCACAAACCGATGAAGAGAAGCAAGAGTACGACGCAGACGAGAAGGAAGTCCGAGCAGTATGCGAGTTTCTGAGGAGCAAGGTGATCCCGGACTTGGTCAAAGAACTCCATGATGGCGACGTTGGTTTCCCAATGGACGGCAAGTCTTTGTGTCAGCTCATGCACAAGCGTGGTATCAACATCAGGTACCTAGGAAGGCTGGCAAAAGCCGCGGAAGAGAAAGGGCACCGCTTGGAAGCCTTCTCTGTCGTTGTGCTGCAAGAAATGGTGGCTCGAGCTTTCAAGCATATTGCTAATCGCTATTTGCGTCATCTCCCGGCCATATTCGCAGGTGCTTGCGTCTCTCACCTGCTGAACTGCCTGGTGGGAGCTGATGCGAACTCAAACCCCCGAGCCGAGATTGATGAGGACCTACGTGCTCTGTATCCAGACGGAGACTTTTCATTCGAGCAGATCAATCCGTCGAAGTTGCAGGCGGAAATCGAGAAGCAGGTCAAGATTCGCTACCGGTACGCTTTGGAAAACGGCTGGAGGGCGTCGATCCGTCCGTTGCCAATGCTCAGAGAGATCTCGTTGAGACTGGGGCTCCAACTCGTAGCACGAGAGTACACTTTTAGCAAAGGTGTACAATTGTGCTTAGATTCCTCCCCCGCTCGGAGCAGCAGTGACACTCACTCAAGCAACGGGGCTCAGGCGGAAGAGGGCAGCAAGAAGAAAAAGAAGAAGGCGGGTGAGCAGGCACAGACGAATGGCCTTTCTGCCAAGTCTAGCACGACCTTCACCGCAGAGGACGTCCTCAATATCGCCCCCATAGTCAAGGATGCATCGCCGAGAAGTGCCCTGGCTGAGGAAGCCCTGGAGGCCGGTAAGCTCTCCTTAGCACGAGGCGAGAAGCAACTTGGGCAGGAGCTCGTCTTGGAATCATTGTCTTTGCACGAACAAATCTACGGCATTCTTCACCCCGAGGTCGCAAAGATGTACAACTCTCTGTCCACCATCTACTACCAAACTGACGAGAAGGAGGCAGCCGTAGAGCTAGCTCGAAAGGCAGTGATTGTAACCGAGCGGACACTGGGAGTCGATTCTCACGACACAATATTGGCTTATCTCAACCTCTCATTATTTGAGCACCACACGGGCAATACGAAGCAGGCCCTGAAGTACGTCAGACACGCGCTGGAACTCTGGAAAATCATCTTCGGACCGAACCACCCCGACTCGATAACGACGATGAACAACGCAGCTGTCATGCTCCAGTCGATCAAGGAGTATTCTGAATCTCGTAAATGGTTTGAAGCCTGCTTCACAGTCTGCGAGAATCTGTTCGGTCGCCAATCGGTCAATGCGGCCACCATTCTATTCCAGCTGTCGCAAGCTCTGGCCCTGGATGGAGACCCGCACGGTGCCGTCAACAAGATGCGGCAGGCGTACAGTATCTTCCTGGCGGAACTTGGGCCCAACGATCGTAACACGAAGGAAGCCGAGAGTTGGCTAGAGCAACTGACACAGAATGCTGTCTCCATTGCCAAGCAAGCCAAAATGTTGCAGAGCCGCCGCATCACCGGCATTCGACACTTGCCGCGAATGGGTCTAGGTACACGACTTCAGCCTCAGAATGCAAGCACAGCAGCACCAGATGCTAATTCGCGGTCTGCCGCTACGCAACCAAGTCTGCGAACCGGGACGGGCGACCCCACTGTCGACACCCGAAGCATCGCCGAGCTGTTGCGATACATCGAGGGCACTGATACCAAGAGCAGTAGTGGACGTACCAAGCAGAAGAAGAAATCTCTCAATCCTAAAGCCCGGAGGAGCACAGTAACAGCTTGAGGATGGAGGATCGTCGAAGAAGGCTGGAATGCCTCAGGAAGAGTCATCGATTCTACTCTAAGCAACGAGCCAGACAAGAGCATTACTGACTTGTTGATATCGTCTGGCATAGTTCAACAGCATGCAGACACTGGTCAAGGGCAACGATGACTGCAGCCGGCGCATCAACCAAGATATACTGGCTTTTTGGTACAAGCGAGCATCTGTATTATATGGGCACACGGTGTCATCTTCTGGGTGGCCGGCGTGGCGCTTGGAAGCAAAAGGGGTGTCGGTCACCAAAAGAACAGTGCATATTGTTGACCTACAGGGTGATGGATCTGTACCAATGAGTCATGGAGCACAGAGGAGATGATATGTAATAATCAAGCAAGCATTTTCCACTCCTACAGCAGATGAATTGGTTCGAAGCACGATGGCGAGATGCGCGCTGACCAGATGCTGGATCAGCAGAGCGAACATCCCAGCGTGTTGCACTTCGCCCATGAAAAGCCTGCGCACAATCCCGCCCAGGGAGTTATTACGTCTCATATTCGCACCTCTTCACTCTCCGTAGTTTAACAATCACATTCCATACACTGGTGGTGGCTGGTGTATGAGTTCCAACACGGAGCACGTGCCATCGGACGATCATGCAGCGTTTAGTTCTGTTTGTTCGCGAGCTTCCTCCGGATTCGGAAGCGACTAGTGCCGCTAGCAGGGAATGATTGCCGGCTGCGGACGTTGATTGGTGAGGCCATTTGTAAGCGACAAGACTCCCCGGCGTCCGCTCCTCAACATGACTGTCCGCTCTTTCCAAATTCCAACGACGACCAAGCTATTCCACTACCTTCTGCTCGTGCTTCCTCACCTTCGCTGTCCCGTTTGTCGGAAGTAATTCAGCTTCGACGTTGAACTTTCCGCTTTTGCGGCGTCCAAGGCAAAGGCCTCGTATACTTCGGTTACGGCCGTTGTAAGCCGAACTGCTCCTCGGCGCATACGGAGTACCCCACCTGACGATCGATTACTGAGCCCGGAACACGGTGTGATCGATCGGAAATACTGCTCACGCGACTCACAGCCTTGCTGTACTGTCCCATTGCCTCCATCACAGTCGCAATCTCTTGGTCGAGGACCGTCATCCTCAGATATCCCTGGGACATAGGAATTCCGAGCGAGTGATTCCACGGCTGAACGACCCAGAAATGTCCCGCCGGCCCTTCACTACGAGCTCAACTTACACGCTCGCGCACACAGCACAATGTAAACTAAAGCTAGCGGCAAACCGACCTGATCGGAATCTTCGATTCGTGCTCGGCCACGCATTCACGCTCGACAATCTAATGCTTCGAATAGTGGAGATCGAGAACCGCAGCGCCAAGTCTCTGTTCGAGGAGGGCAAAGCACCCAGCAACCACGGCGCAGACGAGCATTACGACTGCACGGCAGCAAATCCGGTGTCCGCAGAGCCCGAACCTCATTACGACTGTGCTGCTGCACAACCCGAGCCCGCGAAATCAGCCAACAATGACGGAAGGGGCAGGAGGATAAGTTTCCAGGATAACAATGCTCGGCCGTCCAGCATCGGGACGGCGGGCGTGGCGTCGAATAACAACAGAAATGGCACATCTTCGCCAGCGCGGAAACAGTCTCCCCCGCCAGTGCCCATTTCACAAGACAAATACCTCTCCGACGACGACGAGGACGATACCTCGTCAGACGACTACGATGAACCGGACAGTTATCTATATAACTGTGAAGCCGCAGGGCCAGAACCGGAGAAACCAGCAGTGAAGCGGCGGCCGATTCACGATGCGTATTCCGACGAAGAGGATGCAGCATTAGACTTGGCCGACGACGAATTAGACGACGACCTGGGTGGCCTCTCGCTTACACGCTTCCAAAGTGCATCGGCGCAACCTCCACGGATGGTTCGCTCGGATTCTTCGAGCTCTGAAGAAGACCTGGGAGAGGGGCCGGTGACGCCGCCACAATTGCCCGTCGACGTGGATGTGCGGGATCTCATCAGTGGTGAGAAGGACGCCGAGTTGGAGGATTTGTATGAGAGTGTGAGGAGGTGTGGTTGTCATGGGCACCAGGAGGACCCGGAGTTGGGACGCAAGGCGCACGGGGTGTGGGACATCCCGGTAGAGAAGGCAGGTGGGAAGCATTTGGCTGTTGTGGCTGTCGCGGGCTGAGTGGTTGGTGATGCGGAAAGCTAGTACCGAAGTCACAACAGGAGGAATATTGTTCCATTCAAACGCTGCACAGATGAGCGAAAGAGCATCAGTGGTCATTGACTCGTTTATTCATTGATCCATTCGGGTAGCGCAAGGGTCGTCCGGAGTCTGCAACAATTGGGATAGTAGCAGGTCAACTGAGCTTGAGGTCCATAAGGGAGACAGTTCCGCTTGCACATGTTCCATACCTCGTAGCACGTTATTGCATATCCCGTAACACCAAGTGTCATGACTTGCGTTTCCTCTTTCCCGCGACTGCCATGGGCGCATTTGACCGAGTGGCGCTCTCCTGGACTTTTCTCTCCTTGCTCCTGGTATACACTAATTCCAAACGCCTTAACAGTTGCTTCACGTTGCAGCCCTCTGTTTCGTCACCCGTCAGTATCCTCTCGACGTCCCTGACCCGGCTTCCGTCTTCGCCGATGACCACCGCCTTCTCGATCCTGCCGTCATCGGAGACCTTTAGGCGCCCGACACGGTCGTCCGACCAGATAATACGGAGTTGGCGGGCGTCGACCTCAAGAGTGGTCAGCGAGTCGACGTTGAACCTGCCGGTGACTTCATCTTCGTCTGAGTCGCTGTCTGTCATTTCGGTGTCTGGGGAAGAGTAGTTTTCGTCCTCATGTTCACTGTTGGCGCTGTCTGGCTCGAGCCTCTTTCCACGCTCTCCACCGCTCGAATTGGCGGAATCCGGGCTGTTGGATCTTTCCCCACTCCTGCTCTGCCTATCGAAGAGACCCAGCTCTTCCTTCAGCCATTCCGCCGCATCCCTCCTCAAGCGCCAGCTCACGAGATCATACCTGACTCGTGACACGAGGAGATGGAGGTCTTGCTTTCGCGCCTCTCCTGTCGTATTCTCGACCCCGTCCGACCCGACATACCCTTCGTCCTCCTCCCGCGCCTGTGAAGTCAACGGTAAAAACTCGCGCTCGTACTGCTCCAGCGGCACAAGCGCGGGAATCGTATGCCGATGAATACTTAGATCTTGTCCGCTATCGGTCGATCGAACACAGAATATATAGTACGGCGAATCGAATTTGCCGTTGCGGTTGCACACGTCGATCCGGATGCCGAGAAGTGGGTTCTTGGCCTGGAGTTCGGGAGAGGGGTCGATGAAGGGGAAAGCTGTCACGCCGAAGGCTAGCCGGTGGATGTTGGACCGGTTGTGCTCTTGGACGTTGTCGATATTCAGCGGGGTGGCGTCATTTGGAGGGTACGTAGTGGTGGTGGGTGGAGAGGTGTTGGAGAGGCGGGATTGGACTTTTGTCGAGGCAAGAAGGGACGAGGTTAGGAGTTTGCGCTGTTGAGTCAGGGCTTGTATTTCGGCCCTCACCTGGGCGATCTCGTCGTCTAGCACGTCGCTCATCTTTGTGTCTGTTGAAGTCGGCGTCGAAGCTGGAGCGGCGACATGCCTTGAGCAGGAAGTTCAGGTGGGCGCGGCTGAAATTCGACGCGTGTTTGCTTATCGGACGCGTCAGGTCCTTATCGGCGTCCCCGTTCCGAGCACTACTAGGAAGTTAGTCAGGGGCTGGACGCTAAGCCTGTGGTCAGTAAAAGCCCAGGCGAGAAATCCGGGGCTGCGCTCTTGCGCTCGTGGTTTCACATGGTGGTCTTGGACAGAGGTCACCATGAGGATCGCCGACGAGAATCTTCAGTGTGGAGGGGAGGTGCGATAACATGCTTCTACTGTGTACTTTGAGACCTGGCGACTTCACCTTTTCTTCCATGTGTTTTGACATCTCAGAGAGCAAGATCGACCAGTGAGGTGTCGCCCCTCTGAAAGGACACACAGTCCTTTTCCTGTACTTACCCACTCGTTGCCGCCGCCCACCACGACCACACGCTCATTTTTTGCATGGATGCCTGGCTCCTTTGCGGAACCATATACTATCCCTGCCTTCCACGCTCGCTCCTGTTCCATAGACCGACCTGTCCTTCCCGTTCACTCAGCCGGCCGAAGCATTACCCGACAGTCTCATGAGATTGAACTGAACGAGTACCAATCTGAAAAGCCCGTCGACGTTGAGTCTCCCACGTCCATCAGGTCCGCCTACGAGAAGGACGAAGAGGCGAGCGATTCCGAGACAGACACTTCCGAGAAAGACCACCTCGTCGCCGAAGGTTCCGATCCCATGCAACGCCGAAAATCGAAGAAAAACAAAGACAAATCTTCCCGACCAGATCTACGCATTCAAGTGGAGCAGAACGGCCACGCGAATGGCCACGCAAACGGCGATATGGATTCCCACATTGAAATGAGACGGAAACACGTTACGAGTGACGATTCTACTGCGAACGCAAACCGCGTTATGAGCAGAGATGACTTCTCCTTGGACAGAGAGCCACCTCCGCAGACACCTCAGACCCCGGGCATGGTCAATACCAGCTTCGGCGATTTGCCTCCCAAAGACAAGCGGAACTTTCTGCTGCTATGTCTCCTCTATTTCCTGCAGGGTATACCCATGGGCTTGGCCTCGGGCTCCGTACCGTTCCTCTTAAAAAGCTACCTCTCATATGGCCAGATCGGCATATTTTCTCTCGCCATATACCCTTACTCTTTGAAACTGTTGTGGAGTCCGATCGTGGATGCAGTGTGGAGCAGGAGATTCGGAAGGAGGAAAAGCTGGATTACTCCCATCCAGACCATCTCTGGGCTGTCGATGATCTATCTGGGAGGCAACATTGACGACATGATGAAGGCCGCGGGCGAGAACGATGGAGCTGGTGTCTGGGGGTTCACGGGCTGGTGGTTCCTGCTTGTGTTCTTATGCGCGACTCAAGACATTGCGGTTGACGGATGGGCCATTTCACTTCTCTCTATCCAAAACATCTCGTACGCCTCTACAGCACAGACGGTGGGCTTGACGGCTGGCTCATTTCTATCATACACGGTCTTTCTCGCCCTGCAAGCCCCGGATTTTGCGAATCGCTGGTTCAGAGTCGTGCCCCAGGAATACGGGCTCCTTACACTTGGTGGATACATGGCGTTCTGGGGCTGGGTTTACCTCATCGTGACGGTCGGCTTGGCCGTGATGAAACGGGAGGACAAATCCAGCGAGCGAGAAGGCATTATGGAAGTCTACCGAAGTATGTGGGCTGTGCTCAAACTTTCCAATGTGCAGACCATCATCATCGTCCATCTGATATCGAAGCTAGGCTTCGTCGCCAATGACGCCGTGACGAATCTGAAACTACTGGACAAAGGCTTCGGACAGGCCAACATGGCATTGGTCGTCCTGATTGATTTTCCTTTCGAATTGGGCCTGGGATACTACGCCGGGAAATGGTCGACCGAATACACGCCTCTGAGATTATGGTGTTGGGCATTTGTAGCTCGTCTGTTGGCAGCGGTGTTCGCGCAAATCACCATCATGATATATCCTGTTGGACCACACGACCCGGTCCCAATGTGGTATATGCTCGTGGTGATTTGCGCGCACGTCTACTCGACCTTTATGAACACCATCATGTTTGTCGCTTCGGCTGCTTTCCATGCCAGGATAGCGGATCCGACAATTGGCGGCACTTACATGACATTACTAGCCACGTAAGTTCTTGGCCGCTTTTAAACTTATTCGGGGCCACCTACTGACTATGCATGCACACAGCGTCTCGAACCTCGGAGGCACATTCCCGAAGTTCTTCATCCTCAAATTCGTCGACCTCTTCACGCGCGCCACCTGTATCCCGCCGAGCGATCCCGATGCGTTCCTAAAATCCCACCCCGACACCACCCCCATCACATCTTCCTTCTCCTGTGCTCTTGAGGCGGATAAGACCGTCTGTCTCAAAGGGGGAGGAACATGCCTCATCCAGCGCGATGGCTATTACATCACCAATGTCGTGTTCGTGATTATCGGGGCCGTCACTTTCTGGTTGTACATTGAACGGAAGGCACTGGCGCTGCAGGCCTTGCCGTTACGGGCGTGGAGGGTGGGCGACCAGGGGCGAGAGTATCGCCGGGTGCCGCAGGGTTGATGATGTGTTCTGATTCTTGATTTGTTTTATTGAAGCAATGACCATTGAAAAAAAGATGATACCCCTGATAAACAAACAGGCAGCTTTTGTAGGTTAGCTAGACCGGAGCCATGTTCACCAAGAATATGTGCCCAAATAAACATGCAGCAGGCCATCTTCTTATTCTCATGGGCCAAGGAATGCCCACTCTGGCGCTGTAGACTGCGATGCCAGCCTTGAATCTTTTCCCGGCCACGGCGTGCTCGGGCGTCCTGTCCTTGGAGTGCAGTTGTGTGCGAGGCTGATACCCTGACAATGCTGAGCACGTGATGCTAAAATTCAAACGACTGACTAGGCCGGCTTCACCAAGTGGTACAAGTGACGCCTTGGATCAATCGGCAAACTCATTTTCCCTCCTTTGCATTTCTGGACCTGTGAATGAGCAGGCACAAGATCGTCTAAGCAGAGGTAATGAAGACTGAGACAACAAGTGAGCGGGAAAATCATCCAAAGATCCGCCAGGGTACTTTTACGACGCCTCGCGAGACCCATGACTTTGATTGAGACTCGTGGGCAGTAAAGGAATAATAGAGGACAAGCACCACAACCACAGCAATGGAGGACACACCCCCTCTTGACCGCACAACCACGACAGCGGAATCTCTCCGGTCTCCGAAATCGTCGCCTTCCCCTGATGCGCCTTCTTCGCCTGACACGACAATAACCGAGCCGGAGCAGTCACCTGGCGCGGACGACGATATCTGGGACACGTCATCCGATCATTTCCCTCTCGGGGCGGGAGCTCAATATCCTGACCATGATCTGGACACTCATCCTCCCGATGATGACTCGCATCCCAGGTTTGCGAGGGGTGCGATCCTCTCCGACCTCCCCGCGCTGAGGAGACAGCATATGACGGACGGGTATCGCGAGGGGCTGTCCGTGGGCAAGGCACGGGTCATGCAGAGCGGCTTCGACGCGGGATATCCGCTTGGTGTGGAGGTTGGGCTGAGGGCTGGGAACGTGCTGGGCGTATTGGAGGGGGTTATTGCTGCGCTCACGAGTTCGAAGGCTGGTGCAGGCTCGGCCAGGATAGCAAGGACTTCAAAGGCTTCGACTGACGGCGGGCAAAATTCAACGGCCACTGAGATCACCTCTGCGTTTGCGTCTGGAAAAGGGGGATTAGAAACGATGACGGGCTCGACGCGTGAAGTCGGCAACAATGGTGCTCGGAACCGGGAAGAATTGAGATTCGTTCGAGCTTTATATGCTCGGGCACAGGAAGAACTGAAAATCTCGGAACTACTGAAGGGATTGGGCGACGACAAGATTGCAGCGATTCCAGACGCGGTGGCGTCCAAGCATGAGAAGAATTCGCCAGCGGACGGAAAAGCTGAGAATGAGCCATCATTGCCGAAAGAAATCGAGGACGCACTGCGAAAGTGGGAACGGCTCGTGCTTGGTGCTTTGGAGCAGAGACATTCTCCAGATGGATCTGATTCCGCGGCTTTGGTGACTTCGGCAGGGAAAGAAGCTACATGAGCTGGAGGGGCAGGCGAAGGACCAAAGGATTGGATGGGGCTGAACGCCTCTATCAGAATGATGCCCATCAACCTCCATGCGTCTAAGGCACCCCAGCCCAGGCGTTTCAGGACCAGCATGCGGAAGAATGGCTCCTCTTCTTGCGACGCGATCGAAACGCTTTGACGCCATGGAAAGTACGTCGCATCGTCCACATCAGCATGCACGCCTGGTATGGATCTGGCAATAACGGTGCTGCAACGAAAAGGCCAGCGCAAATTTATGGAACACATCACATTGGCCTAAACAGTCTGAAGTTGCAGTTCGACATTGTCACCGCTCCGATCGGCATTACTAAAGCTGGATCCCTCTCGCCCATCTACGTGAGGTCACTCATCTTCCCCCTTTCTTCTCGCCTCCTGAAATGTCTGTGTCGCATGGGTCCCTCCCTTTCGACTTCTGGTCAATAGGCAGGCCGTGGATCGGCAAGCAGCAGCTGCCCTGGATCAGGTACTTTTCAGTATGGTACTGTGTATTGTTGGTGACAACCTCCTTGAAAGACAGTTGAGCGATCACAAAAGAACAGTGGCACGCCTTTGGTATTCCAAAACTACGTTCCACAATCAGAAGCCTGGGCTTCTGCAGCCATGGTCTCCTCAGGCGAGTCTAGGCCAACCAGATCATCAACTGGGTGACCGCATTGGGGAACGAGGAGCCGCAATTCACGACCGCAGAAGCTACGCCTCTACAATTGACACACCAAAGCACACTTAAGATGATTTGTGCGACCCAAGGCTTTCGCTTAGAGCCTCGGCAGCTCGTTTTCGTCTCCCTGGATGAGATACCGGCTCAACTCAGGGTGCGAAAGGTTGGCATCCTATCTTCTTCCTACTATATTCGACTTTTGCTTCGATAGTCCTAAGACTGGAAAGTAATGCAATGGCTTCAAACGCAGAACGTCCTTCTGCGGGGCTTGATACCAGTGCCATTGCGTCTGGAACTCAGCTGCCCAAGGGCAAGGAGATTGTCCAGATTTTGTGCAGAAATTGGGTAGGACCGCGCAAGAGCCGGCTGGCTTCTCTCAACGAATTCAGACATTCGTCTCCCGGACAAGTTACCTGGGTCTTTCAAGATAACTTACCGCCTATCACTGAGTGCAGCAGCCCCGAAAAAGGGTGAAAATTATACCCGCTTCGACCGTTGCATCGACCTGTTCCAGCACCTCAAGGGGCTGGAAACAGCTAGCCGGCAAACCCGTAATCGTCCGGGCGCTAGATGCTCTCGCCATTGCCTCTTCTTCGCTCTTGATATTGGCAAGAGTAGGGCGGAGGAAACAGACGGTGAAGTGGATGGCGGATATCAATATGGCCCCATCCTTCTTCGTCAAACCCGATCACAAACTCGTGCGGCAAGCCGCCGCTTCAGGCCACGCTCTTTGCATCAACAGATGGGGGACGTTTCAGGTCATGAGCTCCGAATGTTCGGCCATTGGTCATGTTTGGCCACACGACGGGCCTTGAACAGCACGACGAGGGGACCGAGCGGGATGGACGAGGATTCAACATGCATCCATCTCATCCGCATCATGGATGTTGTCCGCGAGCACGCGTCCGAGTGGTGCTGAACTTCTGATTCGACTTTCTCGCTATATTCAAGGGTGCCGGTCCCGAAATCAAGCACCTCAAGACACAAATCATCAATAGTCTCGGCCACGTGTACGCAAATGCCGAGTGCATAGTTGTGCCGACGGTCTCACCTTGCAGCTAAATCCGGGGATCCGCTGGTCGCTACGGCAATCCTGTGCTGCGGCCCCGGACTTTCACGCGTTTGGACATACCAGGAGGCCACACTCGCGCGGAAGTTGCATGTCGTCTCACAGACGCCCACGTCCTCGATTTCCAAGAGATAGTCTCGGCGCTCAAAATGGCCAAAGCAATGGACCATGGTCGCTGGCACGAACTGAAACTGCGTCTGACATTTTCCCACCTCACTCCGGTCCACGATCTATGCATCTCCCTCGCTGATATTGGGCTGAGTTGCGATCATCGCTCATGTGAGAACGAGATCGACTACGCGAGACGTTTCTTCACTCTGCTGGTGCTCGACTGGAAGACCGACCTCACCTATCAAGATAGATGGCATGATAGAGATCCCGCGTGCCGGGCCTGATCAAGCTTCCTGGCTCGCGAACATGCACGGACCTAGAGGGCTACCTGCCCAGTACATTTTCGTGGGCGCCCAGGTATCTCGCTTGCCCAACTGCAAGGCAGTGTCCATGCGCAGTTCGACGCCAATCTTGGCTCGTTGCTCCGATACTGGCATGCCATCACCGTGAAATGCCTTTGTCCGAGAAGGCTTGTCAGCAACGGCATGGGAGCTGTACGTGTGCAATCTGATCGTCACATCTACAGAAGACGCGACAGCACGGGCCGTACGAGAACCAGAACCAGAACCAAAACCAGAATCAGAACCAGGACCAGGACCAGAGGCGCAAGTCCAGATCTAATTCTACCCATACAGTCACACTCCGCGATAGAAGTATGGCTCGCGACCACGCTCCCCAGTACCAAGGCACGACCACTCTGCGCCCAGCTACTCCAGTCCAGATTTCACCGTCGAGAAAGATGCGCGCCACGCCCGGATGGTTCTAGCTGAGGAAGATACCTCAGGCCCGTCGTTACCGGACTTGGACTTGAACTTGGACTTGGACGCTTAGGTTGACGATGCCGCCAGCGTGGTCAGTCAAGTCGGTGAGCATCAGGATTGAGTAGAGGCGGTAAAGATGGCATTCGTCGGAAAACTTGGTTCCACCACCCTCAATCTCAATCTCAATCAATACCTGGACAAAGCTTCAGCTGCGGCCGAGACCGAAACCGAAACCGGAACCGAAACTGCAGCATTATACACGGGAATTGAGGCAGGGACGATTAAGCCGATAGCGGTCTAGAAGAAACACCAGGCGCTTTTGCCAAAGTCACGGGCCACCTTCGAGCCGCAAAAACATAGTACGTGGCCTTCGTTGGGATCTATTACCCTGTACACGTACGTGGCTCTAAAAGTCCTTAGTATATGCCGGCGCCCTACGAAGTCCGTCGTTGGCTATGTACTGTCCTGTAGCATCCATCATTGAGCACCGTACCTGGATGCTTGAGGTGCAGTAATATGCCGATCAAGTCGGCGCGCGCCCAATGCGAATGGGTCGACTGCACCTAGTAGAACACCGCCGGGCGTCTTGCCATACATAAGTCACGGGCCGCCTTCGAGGCGCAGAAATAAAAACATGTTGCCAGGGGTTGGGTTGGGCATGTAGTCCGGAGTACGGAGTACTGTACGCAGTATAAAAAAGTCCTCAGTATGTACCGAAGCCTACGGTGTACAGTACGTCGTCGGCTATTTAATGACTGTGACTAGCACTATTCATATTGAGCACCGTGCTGTGTCTGGATTCGTGAGGTGCCGTGATGCTCGTCGTCACGTAAGGAGTACTTTGGTTCGACAACGAAGGGTAAGGGTTCGACGTGATGGTACGGTACAGCACAGGATACCTAGGGTTTTTCGGTTCTCCTCCGTCGTTTTCGGTCGTCGTGCTGTCAATTAATTAGGTACGTATCCTCCTGGTTCTCGGCCCCGAGCGAGTCGCGCAGTCCTCGCAACGAAGAGGAGAATCGGATGTCCCATAATGCAGAAGCAGTCTACTGTGTACTTCGACGAATCCTTTTTTGATGCTGATGGTCCAGTGAGGCCTGACACGCTGATCAGCTCTGGACGGTGGGTTGATTGACAGGAAATAATGGACGGAAGTGAATTCCCCACGCACGAATCCTCTCTTATCTGTCTACTCTCAATCTGGCTGTGGCTTCAACCAAGGATCAAGAAGCAACCGCACGCATGGCGGCGAGCTCCCATTCTGTGTGTCCTACCCCAGACTGTCATACCGCTCCTTGGCCCTCTTCCTGGTCTCCTCCAAAAAGCCGCCATAATCGCCCTTGGTATTCCTCTCCGCCTCCTTGACCGCGTCGCCAAGCTTGCCACCCTGAGCGCCCAACCCCACGCCAGCGACGTAAATATCCTGACTGATCGGCGCGGTCATGCCCTCCCCGGAGGCACCGAGGCCTTGTCCAGGCGTGTATCCCATCTTACTCAGCAAGGAGGCGCCCTTGGACTGCTGGATTGGGGTAACTGCCACGTCGTCTCTCTCCAAAGACGCACGTGAGGCTTTCGGTGGGTGGGTACCGCCGACTTGTTCTCCCTTTTTGTTGACCACGCCGTAGACCTTGCGTCGTTCTTTGGCACGGTCGCGGTATTCCCTGGTTGGTTCCCCGGAGGACGGGGCCGCGCTTGTGCCTGTCTGACGAAGCTCAATCCCATGCTTCGTCAGTTTGGCTTCTGCATTTTTGACTTTCGTCTCGTCTTGCAGGTTCTGGCGGTGTAGGTCACTTAGACGTTCGTGCTTGTTGACTTCGGCGGCGTTGCCGAACTGGCGCATGCACAGGTAGCAGCAATGGCGGTGCGGGTCGGCGTACGATTGTGACGAAGGGCCCTCGGTCGAGCTATCTCCGTCTGTCGACCTTGAGTCTTCGCCCTTGTGGGAAGGGTGCTTTATCCCATGTAGCTCGGCGTGGCGATTGCTCCAGAATTGGAGGTGCGAGGATGCGGGCTTCTTGTTTCCTGCATCGGCGTCGGATTGTGCCTTGCGTTTCTTTGTGCTCTTTTCGTTGTCCTTTACTTGTTTGATCCCCGGGTCTGCCGCTAGGACTGAAGACGTGCCCTTAGACGAGCGTTGTGCTGCTGCCTGGGCAGGCATCGAAACAGCCAGTTCGGTGACATAACCGGCCTCGTCCCAGTAAGCCAGCTTCAGAGCCGGGTTGCCTATGGGACTGAAGCAGAAGCGCTCGACGTCCGGCGTGGCATTGAGGACCGGCACAAAGACCCCGGCGTGGATGTAGCTGACCAGCACCTGTTTCGAGGCGATAGTGAACCGCTCAAATGAGTTGTATCTGACCAAGGCGGCCTGCGCGTCCTCAATCGAGGCATACTCGGCAAACCCGTACCGCCAGCTGTCGTTGCTTCTTCGGTCACGAACAAGAAGAACTCTTCGTAAAGTGCCCTCCTTAGCACCAAGATTTGCATCGCCGGTCGTAGACGCAACCTTTGCGCCCTTCTTTGCGGGAGTGTCGTCTCGTTGTGTGCTCGACACACTCGGTTTATTGAGCTTGGAGACGCCTTTGGCCAGCAGCTCCTCCGAGACCGAAGGTTCAAGACCTCGCAGTAGGAGGAATTGCGAAGGTTGATTGTCTGGTGAGACATCGTTGTCGCCCACATTGGCTGCTCTTGCCGGAGGAGCAAGCGCGGGGTCTGGCTACCGTGAGTATCATCTCCAATCAAAGCCACCATGCCCTTTCCATACCTGGTCTCTCAGCTTGGCACCGAAAGCATCTATTCCGGGTCGCGAAATTGTTGATGTTGCACTACACGGCCTCAGCTTGCTGGTCCGATGTCCATGATTATCTGTTCCACCTACGTTTGCACAGATCCAATCGGCATCATCACTTCGAACTTGGTCTTTGCGTTCGCGGCCGAATGCAATCCGCACTTTCGAGGCATCTCCCTTAGACTTGTTGTCATCACCGTATAGGTAGAGAGTGGGATAGTTTCGGTCCATGAACTCCTCTGCTTCTGCCAAAGTCGAAAAGCGGAGGAAGCCAAATTGTCTCGACTGCTCTATCACGCCATTGTCAGTGTCTTGATTCACTCTTCACCTGATTTTACGGACTTACTCGTCTGGCGATCACGGATAACCCGAACATCGTCAAGGCCCTCCACTTTGTAGTATTGTTTCAGTTCCGAGGATATCTGTTTGGCATTCCAGAAGACCTTAGCCATGTGTTTCGGAGCGATACATGAATCACCGGTAACATATATGCAGATGTGGACGGGTATTATCGAACATCGTTCTCAGTAAGATGAGGAGCTAGTCCTTCCATCATCACCTCCTTGCTCGGCTTGCCTCGACTGGGTGGTCTTTCAGCTGAGGAGCTACGACGCCTGCTGCGACTTCGACTGCGGTAGTCTCGTGGTGAGCGAAGGTGATCTCGCGGCGAACGGGGTTGATCTCGGTCATAGTATCGTCGACCTCGGGGTGGAGAGGGTGAGTGGCGGTCATCATAGCTGCGACTCGGTTCCTCGTCGTAGTATTTATTGCGTCTCTCGTAGCTGCTTGCGCGACGTCGGTCTGGACTGCGGGCACGGCCACGAATGTGGAATTCTCCCTGCGATAGCCCGGGTTGTGTTCTGCTCATGTCTTCAAGCAATTCACACATCAGTATGTTCTCGTAAAATTCCCATTCCCAGCTCTGAACTAAGGTTTACCATGCGGAGGGCTGCGTCTGTGAGAGGAGCTTTGGCGGCGGTCGGGAGAGCGCGATCTCGGCCGGTCGTCGTAGAAGTCGTCTCTTTGCGAGGACTGATATGGTCGATATCCCTGCGACTGGCTGGAATGGCCACCGCGAGGGCGATAAGACGCCATGATAGGTGTCAGATGTGACTTTGATGGCTACAAAGACGAATGGACAGATGGATCGGAACATCACAATCGTCTTCGGCAGGATTTCCGCATTCAGTGTCTTGTCTCTGAGCGACCAATCACCTTCAGAGCGCATTCGTTTGTCTCGGTGCCCTGGCGACTCAAATTGCTCCGTCTCTACGAATGCACGCCGCGAAGGCGGCGAAACCACGACCCTCAGCTGTTATCACGACCCGGCATGCACCTACTCGCGTCGTTCGCGTCGCTTTTGGTGCTCTTTTCGTTTGTAAACCGTCTTGCCAAGAACCCAATGATTCCCTTTCCTCCTCGCTCTTCTGCCGACGTCCTGAGAGTACTTTTCTGCGTCTTTGCCAGAGTTTCTGTCCCACGCTCCTGCGACTTGCCCTTGCCTTCTTCCTCGTCTGTTGGTCGGAACTCGATGAATGAACCAGGAATTGTCTGCGGCTGTACGCTTGCTTTCCTAAGCATTCCACCGCTGGTAAAGGGACTCAGTGGTCGGTTTGATCCCTCAAAGTTAGACTCAGCACTTTTCGTATCGACGGTGAGCTTCTTCGTGAGTCGTCGGCGAGGTGATTTAGGTGATCGGGTTGGCGATGGAGGGATTTCCGAGTCTCTCTTGGCTTTGAGAAGCACTGGCGATCTTGGAGACCGTCGAACATTTGATTGCAGCTCCTCGATACTATCTTTTGTCTTGATACTTAGAGAGTCGTTTGACTCGCTAAGCTTGATCTGCTTGGACCTCGTCGAGGCTTCCACCGTCCTTCCATCCTTTTGCTCGGCCGACATGTCGCTGATAGGTATGGCTTTGGTGGGCGAGGAGCTTGCCAGGGGTGGAGCAGCAATGCCTTGAGTTGTAGCCTGGGCTGTGCTTGGAGCTATGCTGACGTTACCAGAGCTTAGCGAGGTCATTGAGGATTCTGTGCTGGTAGGAGAGTCGCAATTGCGTAAAGGCACCATGCGTTGCTCTCCGAAGAAGTCTGTCATCAGCTTAGCACGTTCTCTCTCCATTCCTCAACAGACTGACCGATTGGACGACAGTGAATTTTGAAAGCTGCATACGGCATGTCCACAGGATCCAATAACTGGTACTTATATCGTCTAGGACGGATATCAGGTTCAAGAAGACCACTGTTTATGAGTCTGTCAAGCAGTCAGTTTGCGAATACGGACATGCCCAGCAAGCAAGCCTACCTCAATCCATCAGTCCGAGGGGCGCCGATATTGACCCTGCCGGTACCCTCCTCGATCTCCCTTACTCTTACTCTCTTCTCAATCCGGTAGACATGGACGCTCATGATGTCCTCTCCCTGCCCGTTCCCAATGCCATCCCCAAACTTCAAAGCCTGCCTCTTCACCTGTCCCCTCCCCTCATGGACAAGATTATACATCATCTTCCCGTGAAAACCATGTTTGGCAGTACAGTCCCAGCTCGTTACGACCATGCCATTAACAAACAACTTGAAGAAATACGACGCGCCAGCGGGGTGAGGTCCGTCGATGGTGTACTCGAGCCAGATCTGGCTGCCTGGATAGATGGGGATGTAGCATGTTGCTGTCGTGTAGGAGGGAGGCGCATGCTTTTCAGGACGATCGGCGGTTCGAAAGGGATCAGTGTCGTTGGAGGTGGTGGCGGCATATTCGGGGAGTTTGCAGATGTCGAACTGGGAGATCACATTGATCTCTATTCCCCGGAGCTTCACCATTCTGATAGTTAGTGGCTACGTAGCAAGGAGCGGTCGGAGAAACAATAAGAAGACAGGAACTCGAGTAGCAGATGTTGGCCTGCCGTAGTCCTAATTACAAGGAAAGCGGTGACTACTGGCTATAGATTAACGCAAGAGGCAGGATGGACGAAGGGTCTGGCAGGCGCCACCACCAATGTAATCGAGGTCGGCTCTTTGCCAGTTCATCTGGCACGTCTCCTCGTGTGTGACTCCAGCGGTCTTCCAGGACGCGAGTGCAATCAGACAAAAGAAGGAATGTCTCTGAGTTGCTCAAACGTCCAGTCACTTCTAGATATGCTGCTCACTTGAGTCCCCGAGTTGAAGGGTTTTCCGACCTCAGTCTCTGGGCAATCCATATCCCTTGAGCTAGACTCATGTGGCTCTCCGCCAACGGCTAATGCTAGTGTAGATCCAAACCTCATGCGTCAACGCCTGGTTGGTGTTCACGATGGTGGTCAAGCGACAGGAAGACTTCAAACTACCATGAGCACCAACAATCAATCCCAGCCCAGCTTGATGTCCTCGTCCCTCTCCACGACCTCATACTCAACTTCCTCGTAGCCCGGGTTGACGTGCAGCATATCGGACCAATCCAGGATATGTCTCCAGCTCCGCACCAGTGCGCTTTCCTCGACGTGACGCTCCCCACTGGCGTAGCAGTTGCATCCGAACTGTTCCCTTCCGGCGATGGGCTTCTCTATTTGCGACTGGGAGACAAAGTAGGCTCGGCAGCGCTTCGATAGAAACTCGACGAAGGTGGATGGTGCACCCTGTGCTTCAAGGTCGGCAAGCTTGTGTTGAGGCGTGACCAAGGCGATACCGGTAATTCGAGGAGACCAAACATTCCCTACACCGCGAATATTAGCACACGACGGTCCTCAAACCATCCAGTCCGAGTGAAGAAACCCACAATATTCGGCAAGATACTCCACCACTGCCGTCCCCGTGAACTCGACGCCAATAATATCAATCCTCGCCCGCTCGTTCACCAAGCTCGGAATGACATTCTGGAAGATGTACTGCACATGCTCGATGTAGTCGTGGTTACCAGGAATTCTGTTCTTGACAGGATCTACTCGCGGAGCATCGTGCACGGCGCTCGGTCGAGGCAAACACAACCATTCGTAGTTTGAGACAGCCCGGGATCCGCCGCGATACCAGAGGAGTTGGCAGGGGTTGGCGACAATGATGCCAGGTGTAGTGGCAGTGCTGGTAATAATCGTGTCGTTTGTGACTCCATTCTCTGTCGGTGTCGACGCAACTGTGGAGGCGGCAGCAGGAGTAGAGAGGACTGCTGTCGCAAACTCAACCAGTGAGCCGTGTCTGATTCCCTCTTCACCGATGACCCTCCAGCTTAAGATCCCAGGCTCTTCATTGCGTCCACCGAAGATAACGATGACTCGATCCTTGGTTGCGATACCCTTGGACACGAGTATGGGGACATGGTTCTCTTGTTCAGCTGCGCCTAGGGGTAGTCGGACTCTTTCGAAGCCGAGATCAAGCAGGCGCTGCTGGACGATATTGCACACAGCAGCTAAAATCGACGCGATCACGCGTTAGTCCCAATTGCCAGTCCTCCAGGCCTCAAGAACGAAGGCTTGTTAAACTGAGCCTATCCGTCATATCTTGCGGAACGGCATTTACTCACCATTGTTTGCTCCTTATAGTGCATCTGATTTAGCTACATGGCTTCACCATCACCGTACCCGATCTAACACACCTTTATGAACCTGGTTCCACCGCTCATTCCGATTGATTTGGTACTGATATTTCCTCTCTAGATTCTTAATGCTGCGGACTTGGTCCTGATCGTTGATGAAGAATCCCAGCTTGTCAAGATCCGGTTCGAAGACGGGGTCCGCTGGGAGGGTGTCTGCCTTGCGGCGGAACATTGGGAACGCGATCACAGGAGTATTTGCGGCAGAAAGTCAGGATCCACTTCTCAGTAAGACTGACGAACAAGCGGCGTAAACGGGGCACGGACCTAGATTGAGGGTGGAAGAGTGTAACACAAACTGAAGAAAAGGAGAATTAATGCCAGAGCGAAGGAGGAACGAGCAAAGTCACCCTCCATGTGAAGTTTATCGGGCTGAACGCGTGAAGGCCAGGTGCTGCCAATCTTGCGGTGAGAGCCAAGTGAGATTGGGCTGTATTAAAATCATAATTAAGGATTCGAATTCAGTGTGCCGACAAGAGTTGACGAGTTAGACAAGCAGACTCATCGTGGACGGTCAATGAAGAACAAGTGGCCAGAAATACCAAAAAGCTCCAAGTGGCGATGTTGATGTGAGGGTGACATGAATGAGCCCCGCCTCGGCACCAGCTACGGAAAGAGGCCACTGAAGCAAAATCGGCCTTGTTCAGCTCATTGTCCTTGTATATCATGCTTTTCTGGTCGTGTCGTTGCAGATTCCAAGATCTAGCAGTCATGCAATGCATTCCGATCCCTGACATTCACCACATCTCCAAAAGCCTGCCCATAGTGTAACAGCCCAACCCAACGAGCCCAATACAAATCGTAACACATGTAATTGTACATACCCGTACCGCCTGCAAATCTGGCTAGCCCCAGGCGAGTCGTGACTGCTGCACGAACGAACCCGAACCCTAGCCCTCGTCGAACATGGTCTCATTAGGAGTCATGATCCCGCCCTTGCAACACCGAGGCTGCCGCTTCTCTGCGAATGAAAGCTTCCGCTAGCGATAGGGGCAAAGCCCTTAGCTAAATCAAAGCCTCCATCACCGTCATCGTCGTCATCTTCATGGCTTGGTTTTGCATCTGAGTTGCTCGCAGGAGGCTGTGGAGGAAACCTGCTCGATGAGGTTGGACGACTGATCGCAGGCCCATTGCTAGAGAAACTGCGGCTAAATCTGCCATTGTCCTCTAAAGTTGTGCCATTCTCGCGCTGAGCAAGCGGTGCCGCGCTTTCTTTCTTCACAGCCGAGCTCGAGCTGAAGGTGGCCTGGCTGCTCCTCGCGGGTTTGCTTGGACTTCCCATGTTAGGATCCATTGGTGGCGGACTGGAGCTCATAACATGTCTCTCAATGCCGTTGGTCCTATGGTCCTCGTCCTTAACAGGTGAAATATCGGGCAGTGGCTGTCCTGGTGTGGCTCCCATAATGCCTTTCCAGAAGAGTCCTTGAGGTCCTGCAGGTGACGACTCTGGCATGAACTTACTGGGCGCGATCAGCGTACTGGGTGGTGCTAGTCTGGGGTTTTGTCGCAATGGTGCTGGTGTTATTATGCTATGCTGTGACGGGTGAAACGGTGTGTCTAGGTAGGAGGAGGAAAGGGTCGGGTTCGTGGGTGAGTGGTGAGGCGGAGGAACAGAAGAGGGTAGCGTATACACCGGGAGACCATTTCCCACACGAGGTGTTGGCCCTGGTTGCCCGTGTCGCAATGGCGAGTCCTCCAAGTCCATGTCAGGAAGTGTATTTATGGTGTCGGTTCTCCTTCTCAACGGTGTGACTGCTTCGTGAGGTTGCGAAACAGGAGGTGCAAGGTTGGGCCCCGGCGGGTATGGCGGGCCAGGGTTGAAGGATGGGAATTGTAAATTCATCCTGCCACCAGGAGGGCCACCGGATCGCTCTGACATGTCTCGTGCTGAAAACTGGCCTACCATGCTAGTATCGTAACCGAGGTTCTGCCCGTTTGGACCTCTGAAATTTGGGTTGACCTCTTTGCCGGAAGCAGGAGAAGAAGGTGCCGAACCACCTCGACGAGCTTGCTTCTTCCAGTACTCCTGGCGATACTCGGGGGCGATCTGCCACTTCATCCCCTTCCCTGGCTCATCAGTCCGCCGGGGGACCTTTTGAAACGCCTTGTTGAGCGACAAGTTGTGACGAATAGAGTTCTGCCAATGTCAGTAGAGATTGATAACGCTATGACGATGGTTTCTCACCTGCCAGCCACTATTAGAGTGACGGTAAAACGCATACTTGTCCGCGATGAAAGAATAGATGTTGGCCAACGTCATCTTCTCGTCCTCACTCGAAAAGATAGCCTGGGCGATCATAATTGCATAGCTAAATGGAGGCTTGAGGTCCTTAGCACTATCCCGGCTGTAGTCGATTTCTTGAGTGCTCTCCATCATCATACCACGGCCATACATAGGCGACATTGCCATCTTGCTGTCGAACACGCCACGCTGACTCTTGCCGTCAGCCAGCTGCGCCGGTGGTGTAGTCTCGCGCTTGAAATTTGGGGGAGCTGGGGCAAGAGAAGGGAAGTTCCCGCCTGCTTCGTTTCCAGGATCGTATCTCGCCGACTCGGACTGCGGGTGAGTGGGAGCAACGTCTTCTCCTGCTGCCAGGGCTTTGGCACGTTCCATGAAATATGGATCAATCTGGACCTTGTCGTCCGGCGTGACGAACATCATTTGTGTGCCGGCAATTTCAAGTATGTCGCCTGACTTGAGCTGTTTTCTGAGCCCCTTCTTGATCAGAACGTTGTTGACCCGCACGCCATTTCGGCCATTAACCCTGACGTGCCAGCCGCCTTCACCCTCTGGATAATCCGCATCGTAGTAGACTGAGGCATGATGCCGCGAGACGATCTTGCTTGGGCCCAAGTCTATGTGGACAGGGAATACCTCTTTCAGGTCCGCAACGGGACTCGATGCCCCATTCGCAATCGGCTTGTCGTCTGGCGGCCTTCCAAAATTCACTGACTGTTCGCGCACGAAATATGTCCAGTCTCGGCCTGCGATCTTTGCATATGCCGACACTTTGTGTGGACTGTTACTCTGAACTTTGTCGTTGGAATACTCGGCTCGGGCGACCACGGGATCTTTGGAGACTTGGAGGTAGGATACAACGGAGTCGATGAGTTCGCTTTGGGAGACCTCCTCGGTTTCTTCGTCGCCTGAGTCCGGCGCAGGCGTTTGTTCGAGTTCAGGCTCGAGAACGACGGACTTCTTTTTCGCAGAGGGCGCGGCTCGAGTGCCATTCACCTGCATGTCTTCAGCATAAAACTATGAATCGACGGTAGGCACCGACCTTGCGCTTCTTGGCCGACGGGCGTGACGGCGAAGAATCAGGAAGCTCGACGTCGGACGACGCTGGGAGGTCGGCGGGTTTGCGACGTGCTTTTCTCTTCGACGGAGGCATCTTGGTTTCCTGCCTGCAGGCGCAGCGATTGTGGCTGCAGTCTTACACGATGACAATGGATTTTTATCGGACTGCAGGGGTAGTTTCTCGAGTCTTGCGATCTGAACGACACGGATGCGCGAGTTTGGGCAATTGCAATTTCAATGTTTTTGTTCTGACGCAAGGATTTTCGCTCTGGCAGATCGAGGGTACGGATACGGGGTTCGCATCGAGCGGGATCCCTGCCTGGCGGCGCGCGGGCAGTACAGGCGCGATGAAGATTACTGGTAACTATATGTGCGTGCGAGCCGTGGTCCAGGGAGTAACCGAGAGAAAGGCTCAATCGAGCAAAGGCCCCAGTGCGCTTCACTTTAGATCTTGCAGCAAAGGGTGGTGTGTTTCGAGAAGGGTGAAGGGTGGATGAGAAATGGTGAATGGCTGCAAGCCGGACTCGAGGCAAAAGAGCGCACAGTTAACGTTTGGGGGCGGTTTGTGACTGGCCAGAGAACCACTTAATCGCGTAATGCATCCCATTCAAAAAGCGCGTTTTAACTCGTTCAGTTTGTTTAGGCCACAGGATCAAACATCCCGCCGTCTGCTAATACTGACACTCGACAGCTCCGTGTGAATGTCTCTGCAGAGTAACGACTTGTTTCTTGATCAGATCCGATCTTCACTAATTAGCTGCGTGAGATACAGAAATCCTCAGGTTTCGATGGACGGCAGTGCAGTGGTATCTTCACCTAACCACAAACACATGGCTCCCACGTTCGTTAGTCAGATGATTTGGTGCCCTTCGCTTGTTCCGGAGGGTAAACAAATCGTGATTGCATGGTGGCGATCGCTGTGACAGGACAGAAAATGCCATATTTTCTGGCATGAATTCGGGCTGGAGTCGCGTCTTTTCAGGGCAACCCATCTTCCAGATATCCCTTACAAGCCATCAAACGGCGCAGTCCCTCTGAGCTCAGACTCTGCGATTGAACTGTTCCAAAAAGACTGGGATCGAAGGCAAAAGGGTTCGCTTAACGAGCCCAGCCGATTGGCCTGAGATCTAGCCGCGTAAACACGATGACGTCTTCGTGATGTGTCTTCTCGGACTTTGCCGCATGCAGTTACAAGGACGACGTGAGCTCGACGACAGGGACTGACAACGCAACATTGATGCTGAACAAAGGACTTTGCATTGAATAGCGATCTCCGTGCGTCGCCTGGGTGGAATGCATCCTACACTCCTCGAGCAAATCGACCTTGATACGGAGTACTCCCTGCATTAGCGGCACTTCTTGAAACCTCGAGGCTCCCCAGCTCGCGTCAGCAACTCCTAGCTAAACCGGAAGACGTATACATCAAAACAACCGGAACACGCTCCAAACCACAAAATAGAATATTTCCACGTCCAAGTAAAATGAACGCGATCGACGCGCTCGTCCGTGGTTTTCCCCAACGCCTTGCAGAGGCACCAAAGACGCTCTTCTGATCTGCCCGAGATAAGCATAAAACATGAGCGCCCAGTCTAATAACTTTTGGGTCCCCGTGGTCGTGAATGTCGTGAAGTGCCGAGTCCATATCGGTGCTCTTGTGCGGGCTGCAGCGCGATAACTCCTCATGATTCGACCAAATCAACACCATCAATCCCATATCCGAAGTCAATGATAACCACTCTTGCATCTTGGCTGGTGCAAACAATCTTGCGGTAGTTGCTCTTCGCCGCCAGGATCCAACTCGAAGACCAACCTTCGAAGTTGATCTTCAACCCTCCGTCCTCGGCCGATTCGCCCTTTTCAGCGTCCCACACCTTGATTGAATGGTCATAGCTGCCGCTGACAATACGCTTGTTGGCCGAGTCCAGATGCAGTGAGCGGACAAGATCTTTGTGTCCCTTCATTTCGCGTATGCGCTGCCCCGTGACTGTGTCATATTCGTAGATGACTTGATCATTCCCGCCCGCGAAGATTGTGCGTCCATTCTCTGAAAACTCCACGCATGCCAGGCCGCGATCCTTTGATTGGAACTCCTTGATGCAAACGCCATCCTCAAGGCGCCACAACTTGGACATGCCGTCGCCGCTAGCGCTGGCTAGGAAGTTCCCTCTAACTTGAACAGCGTTCACAGGCCCCCGGTGGCCCAGGAGCGTCCGGACCAGCCGGCCAGTCGAACGTTCCCAGATCTTAATGGTCGTATCTTTGGAGCAGGTGACAATGCGATCTTTGTCAATGCACACATCGAGGACTCCAGCGTGATGCCCCACGAGGCGAAACAGCGGTTTGTAGTCATCCTTGATAGACCAGACCAAGCATGAGTAGTCCGAGGATCCGGTCACAAGGATCTCGTCGTCATACTGCAGGCAGAGGACCGAGGCTTGGTGGTAAAGAGGAAGTTCTGGTGATTGAGGGCCTGGTGAGTCGACATATGCTTTGAAGAAAGGCACAACTCCTTCCGGCTCCACGAGCGGGACTTGAACAGACTGTCTCTCCCGGGGGTTGTTCGGCGGTCCCAGCTTTCGTATGCATTCATAGGTGTGTGCATCCCAGACTCGAATTGTATTGTCGCGTGATCCTGTGACGATCTTATGCTCGTCAAACTGGCAGCAGTAGACGCTGTCTTTGTGGCCGTTGAGGTAGATGGCAGCGGCTTCACCGTTGCGCCAGCGTTTGTCGACCAAGGTTCGTACCTGAAACAGCTTCCTATAGTCCTGTCCTGGTCTGTTCTTGCCGAGTCCAGCGAGTTGCATGCCGGAGGCTGGTGCCCGAGATTTGGGCGCATACTCGCGTAGGAAAACTCGTCTCCACACGGCCTGTGACTGACATAAATCGTGCCATCTATGGCAGACAAGAGAAGCCTGCATAAGGGACTCGACATCAAGAAACGACAGAATAGTCTCGACCAGTTCTGTGGCGAGGACAGAGACTGGGTCTTGACGAACGACGTGCACATTCGTCGGAGAAGATCCGCGTCGCGTATTAGTGTCAAGAACGATCCCAATTCCGCTCTCTGCGTCCTGCTCAACTTTGTCGTCCTTGGGCACGGGTGGCTCGTAAGGCGGGAGAGGAGGCGCTCGTGTAGCATGGAAGAGTTCATTTTGGGCGGCGGCCGCAGCACGAGCTTCAGCTCCTCCATACACGAGGTCCGACAAAAACGGCTGACCCCTACTCCGCGCCGTCGTGGGATTCTCGGCATCTCTCAGGGAATCCGGTGTAGCATGCAGATACAGCAGCGGCAGTGATGGTCTCCTCCTTGTGCTGTCAGTCCGCAACATCCGCCCATGAGACTTGGGCCTTGTGGACATGGCCTCGGTCAGATCCATCATGTCAGTGCCTGATTTGAAAAGTGGCAATTGTGGCCGCTTAGGCTCTACCAATTCCTCCTTTTGCTTTGAGCTTTTGCCCCTGACGGTGAGCGACATCCGGCGTGTGAGGGACCGGATCTCAGACATACTTTGGCGAAAAGACTGAGAAATGGACGAGTACCGGCGTCGGCGTGCAGTTTCCGCCGTCTGAGGCTCGCTAGCGAATTTCGAGAATGGGTCGGTAAAGTCGGGGCTATTGTTGCCCACGCCAGTTTGTTCCTGGTTGCGAACAAAAGAACCCCAGTCGAGTACGTCGTGTGCAGTCGTCGGAGGCATCATCAAGGACATCCGCGTGGCAGGTCTTCTGAAGGATCCCTCAACGTTGGGCAAGCTGTCGTAGGCTGTCCGGGGCCGACTGTGGGCACGTAGAGACGCCCTGCGCCAAGGGGCGATTGAAGAAGGCTCAGGATGTGACATGATGCCGGCTAAGTGGAAACTTGGGTGTCCGATTGATGCCACAGTAGTGCCTGCTTATCGCCAGTTGGTGCTTGTGCGGTGCTGGATGACAGTCGTAGGGTCGAGGCTTGGTGCACAGGACCAAATTTTCCTTCCCTCGAATCAATACTGACGGTGGTGGCGAAAAGAGCGAGCGTAATGGACTAAAGCAGCTGAGAGGGAAACTTCAGAGCGAACGAAAGGAGCGTGACCAGGGAGCTACAGCAACGGCACAGCTGTCTGCAGCAGAAAATGAGAGGACGCCGTGGAACTCGACGAGGTGGAATATAGAACGCAAGAGGTTTGGATATTGATTTTCGATCGGGAATCCAAATGACGGAGCTTCGAGGCGCCTGCAGCAACAACAATCCAGCCCCGTCCGTCAAGCCTCACACGCCTCATTATTACTGTGGGCGGCGCGGTTGCCCCCGAGACCCAGCCGGCCTGCCTGGGGGAAACTGCAAACCCCAAACAGTCTCTGATCTGCTCGGGCTGTTTCAACTCGTCAAAGCCGAGATTGACGCCGTAAGCGATCACAAAACTGGACCCTATCGCCACTCCACTGTGGGCTGTCGCCGATGACTTCTAACTACGTGCCGTGGTTCGTTCGCCGAAGAGACGGAGCAATTGTTCAAACATCTTCACAGCCAACCAGCGATGCAGCAAGTTCTGCCGTCCTGCCGCTGTGTACCCAGCTCTCTGGTTCTCGCCGTCATCGCTGCTTGCCCTCTCGAACTTCTGGGAATCTCTTCTGGTCGGCAGTTATTTACCTGAAGACCAGGAATCTTCACTCCTCGGGCAACAATATTGGCGTAGCAAGAGTATTTCCCAATACGTTCGAGAGACAGGTGTCATTGCGCGAAACACACGCGGTAAAGAACGTCGTCAAGCCCAGCTGTCGTCCTGTCAATCTGCACGCGACCAGACGCATCGAAAACATGGCCAACATCCCTCTTCCGTACAAGATCTTCTTTCTCTGGATTGAACCAGTCGCAACTCTAGCCGGTGCATATTATGCCTGGTTTGAACCGTCGACATACCTTGAAGACACTCATCTTCCGTCAGCGCCTGGGATACTCGGTTTGCCGATAAGCACGCACGTCGTGCTGCGCCAACTCGGCAATTTGTACCTCGCATTCGCACTTAACGAGGCATTGGTCTTGCGCGCCACAAACGACCTAAAAGTCTGGCGCGCACTGCTACTCGGCCTGCTGATTGCGGACTTTGGGCATTTGTACAGCTGTTATCCGCTGGGCCTGAAAATGTATTACGACCTGGCCAATTGGAACGCCATCGCATATGGCAACTACTTGTTCGTCTACTGCGGCGCTGCTACTAGGATCTGCTTTTTGCTGGGCGTGGGCATGGGCGGTCCCAAAAGTGCTAAGAGCAAGGTCAAGAAATCAGTCAGGTTGGCGCTCGAGGAAGCTCCTCCTGTTACGCCACAGCAAATGAACAAGTCCCCTGCACAGAGCACGCGAAGGAAGAAGAACAGGTCCTCGTAGAGATCAATGCTACTCAAGAATGAATGTTGCCGGCTTTACGGCAGCATGCGACGGGACCAACCACCAGAGTTGGACTGCTCAGAGCCGATTCTTGGGCTCTATGGTCTCTATGCCAGCCATCCTGCCCTTGGGAATGGCTGCGGCAAGCCTAGACGCAACTGCTCGAAGTCCGCACGCGTGGAACTGCCTGGTGAAGAATGCAAGAGGCTAGAGGGGAAAAGCAGTTATTGGCCGACGACGAGGTTCTGTTGGTGACAACTCCCCAGCTGGATACTAGAGACAAGTTTCAACCCATGCGGACATCTCGAAAGGGAATCTGGATTGAGTCAGGTACCCGCGAAACTCCGCACAGTCAATGTTGCGAGACTAAGCTGTCTCGTCACGCCATGGAACCTCCTTGTCCTGGCGAAATGCATAAACATTCAAAGTCCGGACCGTCCCGACTTGGCCATGACAATCCTGCACCGATATTGTGCTTGGGCACTTTCGTGTTGCTCCGCGAGATGGCCTTGGGAACCATACGTCGGGCTCGCCGGGCATGGCTCTCTGGCGCCGGGGACAAGGCCCGGGTTGCGTACCTATAGGTACCGCAAGCACTGTGCATTGTGCAGCGCTAGAGGTACTGCTCATCGGGTGGTGGCAAGGCGTCCTCGTCCATGTTGAAGAAGAAATTTAGGTGCAAGTCAGGCGCAATCTGCACTTGAAGAAATCCAAGACGCCGAACAAGCCGCTATGCCCCCAAGGAGTGGTCAAATTCTCGCGCTTGGAGTTCATCCTGGGAACTCGAGAACGTGGGTAGGCAGCCGCGCGCCTTGACTTGGGTATTTGCCCGGTCTTGTCTTGTGCTCGGTGGAACCAAGGTCTCACGAGTATCTGGGTAGCAAGTGCTGACGTGTCGTTTCAACGGGTTGTGTGAAGCTGATGCAACGGGAAGCCATACAGTAAGAAATCATGGATAATCCTCTATACAGGCAACGCAAGCGCGCGGCCGCTAGCATTGGTATGTGGATGAAGAGGGGGCAAAGAGAGAGCGCGGTATCTGTATGGATCAGGCGCAAAGAGCAGAGCATAGTGTCTAATTACACATCCAATTCTGTCCGCTTGAATTCTCCGCGGTCGACTCACAGTTCGCGTCCAGCTACGCACAATATACTGAGCCCCTAAATCCTCGATGCTGAATGCGCTCTCGAGCACGTCTGTACGTCGGTATGAACGGCGGTAGGAAGGCGTTTTCGGCCAAATCTCATTGGTGAATTCGAATGGATCGACACTCGTTGTTCGTGCCGACTACCGGCCGGTGATACGCACAGTCAGTCGTTTTACGGAGTACTGTGCAGACTGAACCGAGTCTACAGCCTTCGATATAACAACAAAGCCAACGACAAAGTACCGAGGGGGACCAACGAGGTTTCCTACCCGACCGCCAAAGCTAGGATTTTCAACTGACAAGAATTCCCTTTCAATTGGTAGACACAGCCATCCTAAGACAGGACATAGACCTTTCTCACGAGCGTGATTCCTACAGGCACCCAGCGTCGCTGCCGCGAGGCGCATGGCCATGACGACAACAAAAACAACAGAGATGATACACAGTGTGGATCCCCATACCGCGCATACCAGCGCAGATGGCGTCGACTTCGACCCCAACGAGATCTCCTACACACCGACAACGGGGGTGCGCACGCTGTTCGAGACGCCCCTCGTGCAAGCCACGCCCGAGACCATCAAGGGGTATGGCGAAATCGTCGACTCTCCTCCACACGAGCATCGCATCGAGATCGTGCGTTGGCCGGCCCAGGGCTGGCGCCCCGTCGACGCCAACTCGGGCGATCAAGGCGGCGTGGCCGAAGGGGTGTTCGAATTCTGGTGGAAAGGCGACACGTTGTACGCGCGAAACAACGCCGTCGGGTCTTCGTATCTGTTCGCGTGGAGCCGGCTCCCCGAGGAGGCATCAAGTGAGACGAAGGGGCCTCCACGGCCGCGGCGGGAACGAGCTCTGATTTGGCGCGCGAATTACCATCCTGATGGGGGGCAGTTATTCTTTCCGATCAATGGCGAAAGCTTTGTTGTGCCATTGGCGCTTCCTGGGGACGACGTGACACCGGACAAATTCGTCGCGTTTCGTTGTGACGGTGGGAAGGGGCTGTATATTCACCCGAATGTTTGGCATGGGGCCGTGGTGCCGCTCGATGACCATGCACGGCTGCTCGATAAGCAGGGCCGCGTGCATGCTCGGGTATCGGTCGATTTTGCAAAGGAGTTTGGGGGATATTTGTCGGTGCCGTTACGGCCTGTAGAGTAGTGTTGATGGGATGGACATGAGAGATTGGTGCGACCGCCTCTGAATAGTTGTCGGCGTATGCCAGTGCGGGTCCTGTAGCTGACATTTCCGTTTCCTCTTCAATTTCCGCCTCCGCTTCCGTTGAGCAGCATTGGTGCAGTAAAAATTCGACGATTTATCGTCAAGATCCAACTGGTCTGGTTCTGTAGGTAGATTGTAGCTGCTCTTACGCAAGCGAAGCTTTGTGGATGACTGACAGACGTTGGGCGTGACTGATTTCCGTCTCGACGTCGTGGTGTTTTCGAAGCACCTGCTTCATCTGCTGTTCGACTGCGTCTAATGTCCTCAATCTCTCCTCCGGAGTCATCTTCATGCTGTTGAGCTCTTCCTTGCGCTGAGAGAGGATCATCGCTTCGTTGAGGATCTTCTTCTCCGTCTGGTTGGCGGTCTCCAGCTGCTCCTCAACTACGCGAAGTGCCCGTCGCGCTTCAACCCGACTAGCTCGGTTGCCACTGATGTTCTTCGACTTCTTGAGCGCGACGCTAAATCTCTTCGATGACTTGGGCGACGTTGAGAGTAGTCGTTGGTTTTCCGCAATGTTGTGGACGATCTCGGTCAGGACGTTGAGGGCTTTCGTCCCCGTGTGTTGCATGACGTTTTGGACTATCTCGTCTTCCGACCTGCCGGGCTCGACCAAGCCTAGGATTAGGAAATACGACGGAAGAGGAACTTCATGGTCACCGATCTTGATGGTCGGGATATCCTCAAAGTTGGGTGAAGGCGCTGCAACGAGCCAGAAGTTAGACTTGGAGGACGAAGGAGCAGCCATTTCAGATCGATAGAAGACGAACTCACATTTGACAGGAGAAGACCACGGCTAGATAAATTGTGATGCCCGCGGGAAGTTGGTGAGCATACCTGGTTGAGTTCCATTATTGCTGAACTCTTTGTCCTCGCCCCAGGTTAACGTGGCTGAACACAGTTGATAGAGCCCAACATCCGAGCTTAGACGGTGTCTGAGCTGAACAAAGATATGTCAAAGGCCAGGGCGCCATAATGACTCAGGGCTCATATCCAGTTGAAGAGACCAAGGCGTTCGACTGTGATGATGTCCTGGGTAGACACCAGTCCTCGCGTATGTCTCTCGAGACTTGCCATGGAGGTCAGAGGGCGTTCATTTGCGCGGGATACCCTCTCTAGTTCATTTGTGCTGCAGAATTCTGGCAAAACTGTATCGTGAGATGAGCAAGGGTAGAGAAGAGTCGGTCTTAGACGAGCGAGAGAGGTGTTGGAGACCTTGGGGCTGAACAACCAACCAATAGGGCTGCTTAGAGCTCCCCGTTCGAGCCCGTTACAAAAGCCCCGCGCCAGTGGCTTTGGGTAGCGTTCCCATTTCATGTCCGCACCATACTCCGTACGGGGTACAGTACTGTACCTGAAAAGCTCTTTCCATCTCCCTGGCTCTCAAACCCATTCAAGTGGGCTCCTCCGCTCAGTCGAATCGTCTTTTCTATCTCGTGGAAGACGAGGATTGAACCGGCTCCAATGGTGGACAAGGCAGTCAAAGAACAAGACCGAATCGAACCATAGCTGATTATCGCATCAAGTGCGCAAGGACATGAGGAGCACAAAGCTGATTTCCTGCTCAGGGCCATGACCGGCAGACCTTGGCAAGAAGCTCGAAACTCTGGATTGGGGAAGATAATCGTTCACTTCTCTCTGTATTGTTGTAGAAGTACTGTGTTACGAGACTGGTTAACGCCGCCTATCTGGCTTACTATTTTTGCGTGCATGCTAGGAAATGAGCGCTGTTTAGCTCCTCCTGCTCGTTGGCGTCGAGTTGGTAATGCCACTGCCTTCAATCGTACACTGTACTTGTTCAATTTCCTTGTTGATGGTAGGGGCATTCACCCTCATGAAACCGGTAAAGCTGTCTCATGTCCTACACAGACACTAACCTGTCAGGATAACGTATAACGCCTTCAGCCATGACAATCTGCGATGCACATTTTGTTTCGAACATCATCCTGGATCGCTCACAACCCGCTCTTTGACAGCATCACATAGACAAACATGTACGGGTCGTGAAAGGGGTATCTGTATGCTGCAAACGCAAAATCGATGGATGCGCACAATGCTGAATAAGGATGCTCACTCAATCGTTCCAATATTCGCGGGGCCCCGATATCGTGTCAGACTCTTCTGGAAGAAGCCTCGGCGTCATCGATGGCAACAACATCGGCCAACGGTGCATGCTTCAGGCCCGTTGCGGTCTCCGCCTTCGTACGCGCGACCAAGGCTTGGGTCCTCCATCGCGACTCGAGCCTCGCTCTCTTGGTGTCAAGTGCCAGTTGAAGATCGGTCTCTTGGCCGGTGAAATCTCGATCGATCAGAGCGAGCTCTTTCTTCTGCTCCCTCTCCATTAATTCCAGCTCCTTTTCCTTCTTCTCTAGAAACCTCTCGACAGCCTTTTTCTGCTTGCCTCGCAAGACATTGATCTTCGAACTGTGGAGCGTGTCCATGATGTCCCGTTCACGGTACTGCTGTGCCAGGTTGTGATAGTCTCTCTCGGTAACCTTGCGCTCGGGAAGAACCGAGTCGGTCGAGGAGCGTCCTCCAAGGAGGTCGACTGGGGTCGCAGGCGGAGTGGGATTCTGACAATAAGCTTCCATATGGCGTAAGCGCAACATGACAGCTCTCTTCTCCAAGTCGTACTCTGCTTCCATTTTCATTTCTTCCTCCAACTGGCGGGCCTCGAGGTCTTCTGCTGCCCGCTCATTCTGTAGACGTCAGTAACAGGTTTCTAACTTGAATCGACCTTGAACTGACCTTTGCGGTCTGTTCGATCAGCAATCGCTGATGCTCCGCCTTCTTTAGCGATTTGAGCGCATCTCGCTCTGACCTCAGCTGCGACACCAACGAAGTCTGAAATTCCAGGAAACGTGCCTTCTCTTCCAATTGTATCATGCGCAGCTCGAGCAGCTCCTTGCATTCCATGCTTCTCTTAAGGCATTCTATATCAATGGATGGTAGTGGATCGTGACTGGAACTGACGGCAAAGGCTGGCGGTGACCACGAGCTCTTACTCGATTTGGCCGACGACGGACTCCTGATGTCGACGGGGATTGTCTCGCTATCATGGCTCTCACCACTGCTAATGCTGGTCAGGGTTGAAGAGCTTGTGAGACCTCCTGGCCTCTTCTTGCGAAACCCTGCCATCTTACGGAATCCCCGACTCAGAGGCGAGCCCCTCTTCCCATCTTTCCCCGTTGCCGACGAATGCGTGTTCGTAGTGGAAGGCGAGCGATCTGACGCACACGCGGTCCGGGTCACTTGTTGGTGCTCACTGGATGCGCACGAAGTAGATGCGATAGACTGAGACCTAGCAGGGCTTTCGTTGACAGAGTCTGAGGCAATTGTGATTGTCGATAGGGAAGAGCTGATTCCCTCGATATTCGTAGCGGGTTGGAAGGGTAAAAGGCCTAGACTTTGTGCCTCTATCGAGAGCTGGTCGTCGAGCTCGTCTTCCGCCGCTGCCGAGGGCAAGCGCAGAACCATGAAGTTGTACAGAGTTTCATCGAATGCATTTTTCCGAGTCGAGCCTGACTGCATATCGAAGTGGTTTGGTTTCCAGCTCGGTTTGTCACGCGGTATCGAAGAGTCTCCGACAAGAGCCCGAGGCCGGTCGACCGCCGTCATGCTGGACAGGGTAAAGGACTAGGGGAAGTCGAGATGAGAGCTATCGCATTGCTTACTGAGCGGGATCGCAGCACAAAATATCGGTTGTAGTACAGATGAATCCTAGGACTGGCGGCAGCAGCGCGTGTGACAACAGGACGGATTCCCTGAATCTACCAGCACGGTCGAGACCGAGGCGAGAAGGGTCGGCGGGTGGTGTGGGTCGGCCGGGTCTGGAATTCGACATCAGCTACAGTGCGGCACAGACTAAACGGAGACTTGACTTGTGCTCTGAGTTGGAGTATGCAGTTCCCTTGCCAGGGAAGATGTGGTGTAGAAATAAGTAGACAATGAGCCGAGATTGAGTAGAGGCAATGTCAATGCATGTCAACCTGGTGGAAAGAGAGCTGGACGGACCTGCGCAGCAAAAGTCCGTCCCTCAAAGCCACTTGAAAGCGATTTGCAGTTTCCGAAGACTGATTCGTTCTCTTCTTAAACGATCGACACAAGCTTTAGAAATGAACGCTGAATGACCTCAGCGTAAGGAAGAAGTGACGAGTCCCGAATGATGATGGTTTGTGGGCAATTGAGTGTCCAGGGAACAAGAGCGGACTGTCATCTGAAGGGAAATTGAGAAGATGGGATTTGTTACACGAGGAACCTCTCAAGGAAGATTCTCCCAACGAGTACCTGAAGTTCACATCACTTTCACTTTAAGATCCGAGAACGGGTGAATCGTCCCAAACGGGAATAAGAAGAAACTCTGAACGGGGTACGAGGTAGGGAACCAGCAACATCCTATACCAGGCTTCATGCATCGAGGCGAACGAGTCCACCCAGAGGAGCCACTTAGCGGTGCCACCAGCGCCACTAACGGTGCGCATCACGCAATACTGCACTGTGCTTGCCTCTTACGAGTACAGCTCTCACAGCTCTCACAATCCTGTGTAACAACTGTCCGCTTCGAGACTCGCTAAGCCGGACAGACAGGATGCCAGCCTGGAGCAAGTAAAGTAGGGCGAACTTCTAAACGCCACTAAACACAGGCTTCCCTTTCTCCCACAAATTGCGACAGTCGTGGGCATCCCTCCCAATGAGTTCTACGATATTCCAGGCCAGCTCGGAGTCATGACTATTCTTGCATCGCAGGAGGGGTTGGTTTTCACGCTTCTGGAATTTAAGTTGCTCGGCGTGCGACGGTTTAAGATGGTGGCTTTAGTGGCTTGAGATGTTCGATAAGATCTGCTGACCACTGAGCCCAAGTCTGCTCGCGATCGTGGCGATGCTGCGCGCCATCCCACGAATTGTGCCGTTGCAATTGACCGGTTGGAAACTGCGATCCAACGATCCTCATGAATCTGGCTCGGTTACAGACGCACTTTTTGACGTGTTCCGAAGGACCAGTTGCTGACGCTCGTACTTCCCGCTCCGCCCACAGGCAGCATCAAGCTCTTCCCGAGCTTCTCCACCATTCTGAGGCCGCATACGTCACAACGGTTGTCGGCTGCCGAGACGGTGCGAGTGCAACTGCTTTCAAGCCTCGCGTATCGCAAATCGAGCTGGTCTGCCTCCCTAGTCCAATATCGGTGCGGACTACCCGGCTAACTGGTTCAACCCGTTCAACGTCGATCAATCTTGACCGGATTCTGACAGGCTCGGCCATGCACAATGCAAATCCCGAGCTGCTGGTGCGACGGTTGAGCCAATCCGGCGAGACGTCCCGCGGCTCATGACTGTTTCGACTCGTATGTGTAGGTTCTTAAACCCCCCTCAATATCCGCATTTGTGATTCTGCTACAGCCATCTACGCTACAATTGCCGAAAAGGATATTCGATACCATATAGACCCTCGTTTAGCGCACTCCAAGCTGCAGCAAGCGAGACTGTTTGTAACACAAAAGAAATGCGAAGCGTAGATCATCACATATGACACCCCTCTGCGGCACAGAAAGCAGTGAATTGATGGACCCGAACGCCGCCTCTGCGCTCGGTGAGCAAGCATACTCGTACGAAAATTATGCGAGCTTGACTCTCGAAGATGCTTCTTCGTGGTAATCTCATGCCGCCCAGCTCCTTTTCAGGTACCGCTCAATGCTAGCTATCTCCACTCATAGTCGTCACGACTCTCCTTCAGATGCTGAAGACCTTTGTTCCATCATTTCCGAATGCAGTGTTGCCAGCTCAGGGATGATCAGGCTCTCAATTTCCATACCCTCTGTTACGGTGCCTCCTTCCAAATCTACCGGTTCTGGCTCGTGCTTCCGCTCGGCTCTTCCCACAAGCGCTTCCACTCCTGATAAGCTCTTGGACCGCCGTGTTTTGGGAACTCGGATCCACCTCTCTCCACCGACTCGGGAGACGAAAACAACTTCCCATTTCCGTGTGGTCAACAAGTTGCCTATCACGAGGTCGTGTTGATAGCGATCCAGAGCCTGCTCTGCCTTGCTTACAAGAAGGCTTGGATCTGTCTCCAACTTGAAGCTGACAATCATACTCCCTTTCGGAGCCCAAGAGTGTACCAAGTTGCTGAGGAACTTGGGAACTGGATCCAGGTTGATGACCAACTGTCGGCCGGAACCTCCTCCTTCACGAGACTGAATCTTGTGCTCCTCCATTCGATCCCTCGGAATGAAAAAATCAGAGACGGCAGCAGCAAGATAGAACAACGCCCGGCTCCCAAGTGGCTGCATCGCCGTTGCAAGACTGCGAAGTTCGAACATGTATTCAGTGACTGTCGTAAATGGCAGAAGCAGCAGCAATCTGCGCTCCTTTGCCAGGTGATACTGTTGCAAGACTCGACGCATCTTCTCCTGGTATTCCTTGCGGACAACTACTCGCTCGCCATCTTCAGACTCTTCCATGAAATCGAGGAAGCAGTTGGTGCTGTGACTGTAATGTCGGGAGTAAGGCAAGAGACTGAACTGCCGGTGCAGAAAAATGACCGCGTAGCCTTCCTGCAGGAAGTATTCGGCGGAGGTAGCTCCACGAGTTCCGGCAGAGAAATTATCGATGAAACGGACGGTCTGGTTTTCGAGTGGTACGGTTGTGCCTCCCGAGGTGACTAGAACTATCCGTCGGTCTGGAGCATTGTCTAGATGGTATTGTATGAATTCTCGAGCAAGCGCCTGATGTTTGGTCAAGGCTTTGGGCGAGGGGTGGTTCTGGAAATAGGCGCTCTCCACTTCGTCGTTCGCCGACATGCCGTTGGACTGCGACGACATGCTGATCACCTGTTGAAGCTCGGACCGTATCAAAGGGTCGGTAAGTTGTCGTGGTTGGAGCTTGGTATGAGCTAATAACTGTGATACCTGTTCTTGGCTTTTGCCAATGACACACTATTCGAGTGAGCTACCCTACTTGTTCGAGTAGCGACTCAGTGGTTTGAAGGTAAAAAGGTCAGTTACAAAGGAATGGTGAAGTTCCTGTTGTCCGAAGCTCAGTTTATTGGACTTCAACCTAGAGGATGAGAAATGCAGCGCAAACTCCATCATATCACCAGAACGAGAGGTATTCACCATTTCCTTAGTAATTGACATGGGGCTTCGGCCCTCTATTCACGGTGGTATTGCTCGCTCTCGCACTCACGAACAGTACTTCATTTGCTCTACGAGGAAATCGATGGTGGTGAGTGCTAGTTTGCTAGTAACGGCTATTCATGAGATGTGCTGTTGTGCCGAGGTCTCGAAGGAATGCTTGACTACCGAAGTCTGGCCGCCAGTGGCCACTTGCTACGACGTCATCGGTACTTCGTCGGATCATTCACACCGGTGACCGAACATCTTAACCACGTTGTGAGGCTCAAGCGGTTTGCCGTATCTCTTGGCAAGGCTTTTGGCGAGGCTGATTTCCGAGCTTCTGCACAGTACGATCCCAGGTTGCTTCCCACCTGTTTTCGTATTCGGACTTCTGACTCCAGAGCCGACCCCTTTATCGTTGTATTTAACTGCGGGTACCCTAGCCTGCAAGTGATTTGAGCATCGCTCCATTTACACCACCGCTAGAGCCCTTCAAGCTTATTTGGCGAGGCTCGCGCCGTTAGCTATGCCCAATTAGGTTGCACGCTTCGCTGCAAGGCAACCACAAGGCACCCTTCCTTCCCCTACCTTTACTGGCATATGTGCATACTGGCGTGCAATATGATTACGAGCTCCAGTGTGCAATGTCTCTGGCGAGAAGTGTTTGCACCCTAACTCCATGTTACGGCTGATTCGCCATGTGTTGCCGAAACAATTTACTGCCAGTGACCCATGTTGTTCTCCCTATCTTTCCCTCGTATCCGGCAGGTGGCCATACGTGGCACTTGGGAGCAGGCGCTCCGACAGGCAGTTTTTAATGTCATCGACCGCCTGATATCTTTGTTCCTCGCGTCGGAGAACCTGTGGGTCTCGGCGTTGCCGCAGATATGGTTGATTTTGGTTACCTGAGTTCTCACATATATAATGTCCAGGTCTTCATCTGTCACCGTGGCCAGCACAGACACCCTACTACCAGCAACCTCTTTCGACAAGCACAACACTCTTGGAGCTATGGCAGTCCCTTCGGACATATCATACTGGGTCTACAAGCCGACTAAGGGCGTCTCTATTGCATTTGCTGTCCTCTTCTTCATCTCCGGTGTTCTTCACGCATGGCAGAACAACCTGAAATACAAAGGCTCCTGGCGTGTTGGCTTCCTGTTCCCCTGGGCGGCCGCGCTCTTTGTTGCTGGTCTTATTACACGAGAATATTGCGCTTACCATACCGATGACCTTGGAGTTTTCGTTGCCAGTACAGTGCTCTTGTTCATCGCACCACCAGTATACAACGGTGCGGATTACTTCATCTTTGGGCGGTTGCTCTACTATGTCCCCTATTTGTCTCCGATACATCCGGGACGTGTATGGACAACTTTTGTCGCCCTGGATGGAATTGATGGAATTATTGCAGCCAATGGAGCCTCATACGCTGCCAACACCGAGAACAGCCTGTCCAAGATCAAGACGGGAATCATCCTCGTCAAAGTGTCACTCTTCCTTCTACTAGGCATGTGAGTCAATCCCTCCTCTCTGACGAAGTTGTCGGCCTGTCGAGGAGAAAATGGCGCAACGCAACGTGGTCGATATGAGCTGATTTGAGTCTGGAGGTTTCTCGCCTTTATCTACCTGATCGTCATCTTTCACCGCCGGTGCCTCAGAGCGAATGTGTTCACACATAACGTCAAAGTCGTCGTGTACAGCCTGTACCTCTCTGCCTTCCTCATTCTCATCCGCAACACCTTTCGCACAGCAGCGTTCTTCTATCCGCCAGATTCGACAGCCAATGGCAAAGAGTGGATATTCTGGGTCCTCGAAGTTGTACCAATGCTCTTGAACAGCTATCTCCTGAACCTCTATCCGCCCTTGAAATACCTGCCACACAACAATAAGATTTATCTTGCAGTAGATGGGAAGACGGAGATTGAAGGGCCGGGCATGGTCGAAAATAGGCCTTTCCTCTTGACCCTCGTCGATCCTTTCGACCTCGTCGGACTGGTCACAGGTCAAGATAACAAGAACAGGTTCTGGGAACACGATGGCATTGGTGGGCCAGGAGGGTCTACCCGGCGTGCGAATGAGGATGAATCAGAATTGGTACACGCTACCAAGGAGTCATAGTAAGGCCTGAGCAGGGCCCGACCAAACGTGAGGAGAGCATGGTACATTGGTGTGAGGGCTGAGTAGCCGAACGGTCTTGGTCGTGGGACATTCCAGTGTGATTATTCTATTTGTCTACTCCATCTTCGACTGCTGGGTGACGGCCACTCGTGTAAATCCGGGATTCGATGAACCTCCCGGAAATTTATCCGGATGCCGAGATTACCCGAAGGCTTAACTTCGAGGACATCAAATGGAGGCTCCAGGAGAGGTGGGCGACAGGAGGCTCTCTTACTCAGTGACCTCACCCTCCATTCCATCTTTACCTTCTTGTTCTACTTCTCGGAGTTGCATTACCGCGCTGACATGTGGTTCACCCAATTGCGTCATGGGTCACGTAGATTTATATGATGCCCCAAACTGGGCGTAGCTGAAGTCATGCCTTTCCTGCCTCGCCCTGCGACTCTGACGGATTCGTTAACACCAGCTTAGCTACCCCTTCATACGCCAGCTTCTTTTATCCAGAGATGACGGACCGAACACAAGACAAGACTCAAGGCGCCGTTGGCGATGCCAAGGGTATCTTGAAGGGTATCAAGGGCGCAGGCGACGCGATCCGCGGCACGGTCAATGAATCCATCGACACAGCCTTCAATGACCGAGAAGGAGAAGTCAAGAATAAGGCTATCAAGGAGAAAGGACAGGCAGACGTGCTGCGTGCTGATGAACAAGTTGGTGCGGTTGCCCTCAGCCTGCTGCGCCTACAATATCAGCAATCGTACTGACGCGTTTGAACAGGAAGTAAATCGACTACCGGTCCGACCACGGCCACAGGAGGGCCAGGAACTGCCGGTCATACCACAGGCGTAGGAGGAACGACAACTGGCGCTGGGGCACATTCGGGAGGTGTTGGCAATATGAGCAGCATTCCAGCTCAGAATCATCCTGATACCACACCCACTTATACGAATCAGAGATTCTGATTAGGAACAAACATGACACGGCTGCAGTCAGTCGAGCATTATGAGACAACATAGCGGAGCTGAACGTGGAACCAATTGAACAGCATGAATAGAATCGTCTTCCGCTACGGCTCGGCTCACAGCAAGAAAGGATCTTCTCTGATCTGGAGCAAGCCGGCACGAAGATAAGCAGGTCGTCGGTCTCGTGCAAGACCAGGGCGTTTACTACAGGTGGCTTCTACTGAAACTCTTCCTAATCGACCTCAGCAGTTTCCTTTCGTCAATCAACACCTTGAGCACAATCGAACTGACCGGATTTGACCTATTGTTTGCTCGTCAGACTGTATTTCTTCTCAGATGTCATTGCATTGTTAAAGGTTCTCCTTGCACATATTTTCCTTTTCGTTTCTCCCTCCTTCACTGTTCTCTCCTTTGCGTCCTCACTTTCGCGGCTGCGGCAGAACTGCAGCACGCCCTCATCCGCGTGAGCAATATCTGGCTGTCATCGCTTGAACCTGTTAGCTATACTCGCCTTACCCGCTTGTTCAGTGTCTCGGTCTGTTAAATCAACTGAAAGGTATCTCATTCCTGTTCCTGCAAACTTCAAGATGGCTTCTTCTGACGCGCGTTCCATAGCTGCTTCGACTGGCTCATTACACTCTACTATACCGAGAGAGCGTCGATTTCTACCAAGAGCGTCATGGTTCCATTACATTGTGACGACTTCAGTGTGGAATCTGGCTGTTTAGCGGGTAGGACGACCTCTCCAATTACACCAGGTAGAGAGGATATTCGTTCCGGTTCCTCGCGCTCAGATTCAGGAGAATCCCCAAATGCCCTGCCAGCGCAGGCTCGCATTGCTCAACATCATCACGCCCGCCCACACTCAGACCGTATCTTACCATCTTCCGGACGAGCCTCGCAACATGTCAACAAAGACCAAGAAGCACGAAACCATCTACAGCTCATCCCCCAGAAATCTGCGGGTGACACTCAGTCGGATGCAAAAGTCGAAGACATCAGGACAACCCCATTGTTCACGCACCATGTCAGAATGATAATGGAGAACGGGAAGGCGCCAATGGTAGCCGGCAAGTCTGCCAGCGATATATTCCAGCAGTACGGTCTCCTTGGGATTCGTGAAGAAACCTACAGTTCCCGACATCCAGATATCTCTAACACACTTTCGGTGGAACAAAATCTAGTCTACGCAAACATGAACGCTCCTTGGTCCGTGTTCATCTGTGGCTCCCAGGGAGCCGGGAAAAGCTACTCTTTGTCATGCCTGCTGGAGAACTCGCTCCTGACATCGTCTCTTGCCGGAAACAATCCAAACCCACATGCAGGATTGGTCTTCCACTACGACAAATATACAAGTTACGAGAGCACCCAGCTTTGCGAGGTGGCATATCTGTGTTCTGCAGGCGTCCAGGTACGCGTTCTCGTATCTCCCAGCAATGTTCATGCCATGCGAAAGCTCTACAAGAACTTACCTGGCTTGTCTGCCGACGCACCACGGCCAGAGGTCATACCCTTGTATTTCCAGGAGCACCAGCTCAACGTCTCGCGGCTGATGACACTGATGGCTGCCAACGGAGCGAAGGGCTTTCCCTTGTACATGGAAGTCGTTTTCAAGATCCTCCGCGATATATCCACTGAAAATAAGGGTGAAAGCCGTCTGGACTACCTCGACTTTAAACGACGATTGGCAAGTCAGGGATTTAGTTCTCAGCAGAGGGCTCCCTTGGGCATGCGCCTTGCATTATTGGAGTCGTTCCTCGCCCATAAGCAGCAATCGGAACATACCACAGCTCGCCTGAACCGTCTGTTCAATTCTGCTCAAGGAACGCTCACCATTGTTGATCTGAGCTGTCCATTTGTCAACGAGAACGATGCCTGTGCTCTTTTTACTATCTGCTTGTCACTTTTCATGGAAAATCGGGGTGACTGTGGCCGGGTCATCGCGCTCGATGAAGCCCACAAGGTGTGTCCCTATGTAATGCGCGCAAGTATAACTCGCTAACTCTTCACAGTTTCTGACCCAATCTGGAGAGGCCGAGAGACTGACCGAGCAGCTGACATCGATTGTCCGCCAACAACGCCACCTTGGGACACGGATCATGATTGCGACGCAGGAACCCACACTGGCTCCCAGCCTTCTTGATCTTTGCAATGTCTCCACTGTCCATCGATTCAACTCCCCAGCCTGGTTCGAGGTCCTACATCAACATCTAGCCGGTGCCCGTCTTTGCCACGACCGCAGAGACACAGCGCTCTTCGAGATGATCGTTGGCTTGAGGACCGGCGAAGCTCTGGTCTTCTGTCCCTCTGCCATGCTTGACGTCTCAGCCGAAGATGAAATTCGTCGGCTCAATGATGCTTTCATTCGGATACGGATTCGGAACCGAGTGACTGCTGACGGAGGAAGGAGCATTCTCGCGTCCGACGAAATACAGAGCATAGAAAGAGAAGATATCCCCATGGAAGAGCTCGTCGTGCCTCTCAGTGCCGGTACGCATCCTCGAAAGACGGTCGCCAAGCGGAAACGGTCGACATCTGCTCATCGGGATCATGGTTCCCGGGACGTACCCAGCTCTGCGGTAGCGGATGAGGCTCAGCCGTCCTTTCGCGACAACGAGGTAAGGTCGATGTCAGAGGACCAGGACGAGGAATACGTCGACGCCTTGAGCTCAGCAAGCACGGACGATACACAACACTCACTTCCCGACAATGCAGAGGGCAGTGGCTCCACTACCACCGACCATACTCCGAGGTGGCGTTATCCCGTCCGAACAACTCGCTCCGGCGCAATGATGGCTTCACCAACACCAGCAGTGGCAGAGACAATCCCGCAAGCCGCAGCCTCAGCAGCCCGTCCGCGTCCGGCTCCCGCTTCGGCGTCAACCAGCACTGTTACAAGGGACATCAGCAAAGCCAAGGCCCGAACACATTTGCGGGACGCGTTGACGGCTCTTATGCTCCAGGGAGCCAAGACCGTCAGGTTTCCGGTTGTGCGGACACAAGCCGCCAGGGCTGCCGGTTTGCCTAAGGATTTCTTTGCAAGCACCGAGACTTGGAAAACGTGGTCTTCGCGCAACATCGACGAACTAGTGGTCAGTATCTCTTCATTCTAGCAGCATTTCTTTGACTGACAGCTGCATTAGGACGAGTATGTCGCGACTCATCAACTCCCGCCACCGATTAAAAAGGTGTGAGATGACCTAGAGAGATACCTGATTTGTCGTCCACTTTGGATAGCAAGCGTGAATGAGGTATGTCCGAAATAGGACACATAGCTGGAGACGCAGTGCCAGAGAAAGAATATTAGGTTGAGTTGGACTGTCGATTCGAACATGGAGAATGGAATGAGTTACCCTGCATCTTGGATCCGACGGTGGGATGGAACGGGAGTGAAGATGGGATTGTTGAGCCCCAGACCAACAACACAGCAAGGGATGGTTGGATACGACTCCGAAGCGATGGTCACTGGACTCACTGCTGCTGCAACTGACTGAAAGACAATACCCATGTCGAGCCTGGCATCTGTTGTGTCAGGCGTGCATGGAACCAGAGACATCAGCGACGAGTCGCCAGAGTTTGTTAGGTCTTGTGCTCAGTCTACAGGGAGGAATAACGCAACCGGCTTGTATGTACGGTATACATGCAGCGCGACCGACAGTCGAAGAGAGATACGGACCTGCGGACAAGCAAAGGAGATCGCCACCGTTGACAAAAAGAAGAACGTTGAAACGATGATCGGGCTTCAGGGCCGCATGTCACCTGAGTGTGAACAAGGTCAAAGACCTCGTTGACTCGGCGTTCCGTACACAGTCGAACACTTCAATCGTCAAGTCTGAATTTTACCGCAGAGGAAAATATTGGAAACGAGCTGTCCCGTAAGAGGTACGGAGCGATTTTCGAGGTGACGTCCATCTCCCCTTGAACGGCACCGGACTGTTTCTGTGGCGGCTGTACGGAGTACACAGTAGCGGACATTATTTTAGTCCTGTCATCCAGGGTGCCAATGTCCTTTTTATGTATGAACATACCCGTCGCTCTACGCGTATGCCGCATCGCATCCCAGGACCCAGGTACGGAGTACCGCTTAGCGCTTACCGCATGGCTTGCTCACGAAGACAAAAAGTTCAAGGGAGATCTTCGATGTCGTTTAAAGTAGTTATGCACACGTTGTTCTCCATACTATCTACTGCGTACCCTCAAATGCTTCATCTCTCCTCAAAGGCCGAAGCCAAGAGCTCGCTTCCTAAGAGTGGGCGCTGTCTGGCGCAATTTCAAGGCATCTGGGCGCAATCTGGTCCGACAGGGCTGAAACAGGAAAGCTCCGTGGCTTGGGGCACCGGCTCTTGCCGGTCGAAAGGCTATACTGTAAGCGCTGCCATGGTCGCGGTACTGGAGGAGAGATTGCGATTGCTGGATCAAATGTTACAGCTCACGAGGGTCAAAAGTGATGGACACGCCGTACAGGAAACTGCATAACGAAGAGAAACGCCGCGGGTAGGCGGTGTCATATTTGATATGTGGCCTGAACGCTGTCAGTCATCGGGCTGTCAGTGATCCGGCCCGTCAGTCATCGGGCCGTCACTGAGGTGGGCGTGGGTGTGCATGTCGCCAGTTACTCAATTACTCAATATAGAGTACTCCCTAGAGTAAGTCATGACTGAAACCGCCAGTCACCTCAAACACAGCAAATCGGGTACTGTACGCAGTGGGAGGCCATGTCAGGTCTCAACATCACGTGAAGTTTGAAACGATGCGCCAAAAGCCCGCCAGAACGGGAAGTGAAGTGAAGTGAAGTAGGGTACGAGTACTCCGTACTCCGTAAAGGATATCCAAAGTCGCATGGTACGATAATATCATGAGGTGATCTGATGTGATTTGCCATGATGCGATGTGATATGATGCCCCCATCGCGGAGTACGAAATCCGACAGATCAGATCATCCAACATTCCGTCCTCGTGCGCGATGAGGCCATGATGTTTCGGATGCACAACACTCTGGTCACCCACTGGTGACACCACCCAATATTAATATGACGTGCCCCTGGGAGAGATCGAAGGACTGCAAGCTTCGGCGCGGTGCGAATCAGAATGATATCCCGATGGCACGGGTGGGAGGGTGGCAGATCCAAGTTCGTGCAGCGTTTCACGAAGTTGGGCGGGCACGGCGGGAAATTTGGGCTGTAAGCTTGTCACCTTGTCACACTGTTGTCAAGGCGATGCCAAGCTCTGATCGCAATCTTACGGGGCGGGCGGGTTGGCGATAACGGCGGTACGAGGCTCGTGCGGAGAACTCAGAAGTCGTATGATCTACGATCTGGGTCCGTAGTACTGAGGACGCGACCGAGACCTCCAGGACTTGAATGGCTATCTGTCCTTGTAGGGAGAGGCTTCACTGGGTAGTTTGGATAAGTGGTCGCGGCGAGGATGATAGGATTGGGAAGCCTCACTGGGTAGAAGACATGTCCTTGCAAAGCTGATAGAGTGGTTACCTTTTCTTGTCGGAGATATTACATTCGCGGAATGTGCATTCGGTACATGGGAGAGACATACAGTATACACCAGGTACATAGACGGGCTCGAGGCTCGCTCCGAAACGAATTAAGGAATATATTCTTCGCGGTGTAAAAAATCATCAAAAGCTCGCTCATTATATATGCAAACCCCGGGTATGCTATTCAATATGCAGCAGCCTCCAGGCAGTCATCACTTTTTGTGGTGGTATCAAGAAATTCACATGGACATTATGTTGCGTGGAACGCCCCTTTCCCTTTAATGCTTGTTTTGGTGCAGGGGATGTAGCTTGCCCTTCTTCGCCAGCTTGGTCGAGATGCCATTGCCGCTGGCATATTCCGAGGGCACCTCCGGCCACTGGTCGACGCCGTCGAGCATGGCCATAGCCATGCCACCGAACATGTGTGTCTGAACGTGGCAGTGGAAAAGGAAGGCGCCGGGGTTGACGACTTGATAACGGATCACCATCCAGGTGCTGTTTTGCTCATTGGGTGTTGTGGTGTACTGTGACACGGAATGTCAGCTTTTTGGCTCACTCATTTTCATTCTGAAGAAGCAAACTTACCCCATCGCGCAGAGGTGGGTTCTGGAAGTTGAATGTGTTGGCGGGAAGGGCTGCTGCCGCCTCGGCGACAGTATTCCATGTCCAGTTGCCGACACCCTTGCCCAGGACGTACGCCTTGTTCGAGTGCTTGTGCATTGGATGAGGTTGAGCCAGAGGCCCTTGGGTTTTGATGACCAGATCAACCCACGTTCCGTTGGTGGTCTTGAGGATGAGATCACTTTCGGTGACGGAAGCCGGGTCTTCGAACAGGAGAGGTGTTTGGTCTTCCAGCTCTGTCGAAAAAGACTGCACGCCACTGAGAGTCCACTGGTAGGCTCCGGCGGGCTGACCGAGCTTCTTGATGTTCATCTGGTAAGTGACGTCGGCAGTAGGGGCTGGAGGTGATGGAGGATAGGGAGCGGCCTTATTGTCGTTGTACGGGACGAACGTCGTGGTGTTGGCTCCAGCGAAGTTCATGATTGCCAACGCGTTCGGATCCTCTGACGCGGGTCCCGTCGAGTCCTTGTAGCTCAGGACTCCGAAACCACTAATGACTTGGTTGAGACCGTTGTTCGCAACGCGAATAGCATACTGAGCCGGAGCCTGGTTAAGCTCGATCAGGACGGAGTATCGGTCGCCGTTGTTGACAACCACTTGGTCCACGAGTTGAGGCGTGACATAGCCACCGTCGACGCCGTACACCCACATCCTGTGACCGTCAATGGTGAATTTGAGCAACTCGTACCCACCAGGGTTGATGAATGTGAGAGCAGCAAAGCCTTTCGCGGGATCCACGGTGATGACTTCGGTCGGCCCTGACGAGGGCGTGCACTCAAAGTAGGCATCGGATGGGAGGGTCTCGATGTTGAAGGTGAAGTTGCCTTGAGTGGCTGGCAGATTGGGAGGCAAGCAGCCCTTGTCGGTGATCTGAGATGGGCTTACTGCAGCAAGCAGGGGAGCAACCTTGGGGCTCGTATAGGCAGTCAACTCATCGCGGGACAGGCAGATCTGCGAGCCCTTGCCGTTGATGATGATGGCGTCAGCGCAAGCAAAGTCAATGTTGGCATCTTGTTCCTGCTGGTGCAGTTCGGCCGAGGTGTACTTGTTGTAGTCCGAGATGAAGAGAGTCTGCAGCTCATCATCGGCAGCTGACATCAAGTCCTGGTAGTAAGGATCGTCGTTGATCAAGCTGAACGGCTTATCGTCCTTGGAGGCTGGAGAAATGATGATGGCGCCGTACAAGCCATCCATGATCTGCGATCGGTAGTGGGCGTGGTAAAAGTAGACGCCCGAGGCATCAGCGGTCCATTTGTACAAGAAGGAAGAGCCAGGGGCAATGGGGTGTTGCGTGAGACCGGGGACACCGTCCGACCATGGCGTGCCCTGTTGAACAATACCGTGGAAATGAATCGTAGTGGCATCGGGAAGTTCATTGTGAACGAGGAATTCCACACTCTGGCCGACCTTCATCTTCAGGGGAGGGCCAGGGAAAGTGCCGTTGGTCATGATCATCTTGCGCGGTGTCCCGCCGACCGGAGAATAGTCTTCCCATGTTAACGTAACCTCAAAGTGAACGACGTCTGCTCTTCTATCAAGCGAATGCGACGATGAAGGGGCAGCGGTGCTGAAGACAGCGAGCGACAGGCAGGAGATGATGGCGAGGAGCCTTGAGAAAGCCATTGTGGCAACAGGGTGTCAACCCCAGCAATAAACAACGAGAGTAAGTCCTTTGCAAAGATGAGAAATGTAAGAGAGTATAGACCGAATGGTAGTACAGATGGAAGCATATGAGTATGAGAACGAGGTTGGGGGACGAGGATAATAAAATACGGCCGCCTGCATATCACTCACCAAGCCAGTCCATGTCTGACTGCAGCTCCAAGGGTGAGGCAGGGATGGTGATAGGAAGGCGGGAATTTTCGACGCCACGATGGGCTGGATGCTGCCACCAGCTCAGATACTGAAGGACCCGACAAAAACACTGTTTCTATTCTGTCGGTTAGCGTCTTAGCAGTGGCATTGGTTCTTGGCCTGGCTCGGCTGGCCAGGGTCTGATGGGTACAAGGACTTGCATGACTGGAGACACCAACCCGGCATTGGCGGCCGCTTTTCGGCAACGCGTGGTTTGCCAGGATGCCAATTGGCCGCAGCCGCACCAGATTTGGAGCATTCGACACCAGCAGTGCCTTGCAGCACACCGCGTCGAGTCCTGCTGTCGCCGCGGTCCTAGTTGAGGCTGACATACGGAGTATACTGAAGGGGGTAGTGAGGCCGTCCATAGCAGTATTCAGCATCGCTACCCGGGACCGAGGCTCGGCGTAATCCTTGATGATACTGTAGTACGTTGATGGTAGACAGGGCGTCCCCACAGACTGACAATCAACACCTGTCGACGTAGCTCGTATGATCAGTCTCCTGTGGCAGGGTTTGTTACGTTGCGCGGCTGAAAGCTTCTGAAGGGAATCAGGGACATGCCATGCCAACTCTGACAAGCGAGTGACCGAGCCGCAGGTGCCAAGGTAAAAGCTGAAGTTTGATGATCCCCATTGAGAGCGTGCAGGAGCGGAGAGTGGAGGCTGCAGATTCCCCCCAAGCCCGGCTAGCCATTGAAAGGACCAAAAGCGCCGAAGACAGATTCCATGTGACTGGTCAGGTTATCTCCCGCAGCCACTGCCAAGAACGACCAGCAACCTTGGAACATGAGCGCTAGCTGTCAATCGTGATGGCCGGACCGTCTTGTCGGAGTGAACGAGATTTAAGGAAGCGAAGTCGGCTTGGTATAGACTTGGCTCTGCTGAGACGACTGACCAAAGAGCCGTCCTGCGGTGAGTCGACTCGAGCAACACGTTCGCGAGCGGCGCAACATCCTTCATCAAGCTTGCTTTGCATCCTTTCTTGGCGATGTTCAAGCTCTACGCCTCCTGCTCGAGCTCCTCCAACTTCTGCGCCATCACATGAGCAAAACAAGCCACTTTGTCAACTGCGTTCTGACAGGCAGATCAGCGAGGCTAGAATCGGTCTTGAACTTCGAAGCAGGTCTTGCGTGGGAAGCAGAGAAGGGCGGTTTCTTGTTTTGGCTTTGAGGCGGCTGATCGCAAATAGCAAGGTTCTGCTAAGGCTGAAAGGAGCGCAAGGTGAAAGTAATTGTTGCGAAAGGGAGAAAGGTGATGGGAGAAAATGGGGGATGAAGGGTGGGGCAAGCGTGAAAGTGTGGCTGCCAAGACCAAATACCCGCCTCGGATTGGCCTAGCGAGCTCCAGCTCCAGCCCCAGCCCTTTCCGTGTTAGCGAGTTACCTGGACATGATGGCTAGCCACCCACGCCACCCTCCCACCTGCTCCCACCAGCCTGCGGCAAAATTCCCTTTTCTTTCCCATCGCCGTGGTTGGGCTGTTCGCTCGCTCCAATGCAGGTACAAGTGCAGGATTCTATTTTCATCGTGACTGCCAAGCTGCCAGGATCACCTCCCGGAGCAACACGTGCTCACTTCCTGCATGTCGCCTCCGCGGGGCAAAAGTGAGCTGACACCGAGGGTACCGCAGACGCCACCACATACATACCATATCGACAACCTTCGGAGAAAAGGATACTTATCGATAAGTGAGTGGTTAGAGCCTCAATCCCGCAGGCTGGCATTGTCGACATGCGGCTCAAATTGCACCTGATCTCCAGCTAATTTTCTTCCGCCGAAAACAGCTAGCCATCAGTACTGCGTACCATGGCACTTGCCATGATCCCAGCCGTCGGCATCCATCAACCTTGGCGCAACTCGTTTAACTCGTACACAGGTCCCCGGGCTGCAGTGTCAAGTGTCCAGTTGTTGGTATCGGAGCCAAGATCGCCATCTGACTCTGGCCTGCGGGGCTGAAATGTACTTCAACGTGGTCGGCCCAACTGCATGACTGCTTGCTCCTAGCCTCGGCTCCCACCGCCTCACAAGACTGGATGGTCACCTTCCGAAGCTCAGACTAGGCGTTCGATACGAAGTCATTCAGCAAACGCCTAGAGCCTTCGGACCCCGGCTCACAGATCTAAGCCGGAGGCGCCTATCGTCAAGGCGTTCTGGCAGAGGAAAGCGGAGAGGTGTCAATTTGAAAGATGATGTGCATGAATACCCGCGAAGTCCAGCCAGAAGAGTGGCTTACTCGGCTTTCATGCCATGTGACCGTACTCGGCACTGGCACTTTGTCTCGCGAGCTGCGGACCCGACCTTACCAACAAAACTCTGCTTTTCACGGTACAGCACCAAACTAGGCTCACTTGCTTGGAGCAATGGGTAGATATGTCCCTCAGGGTACTGCATGCGCCCTTGGGTGTTCGATAGCATCTCAACTGCTCCAGAGGATCTCTTTCGATGCAAACCTGCTGGTGGAGATTATGAGGGCATCATGATGAACTTCCAGCGACGGTCTGTCTTCCAGCCCCATCGCTAAGTCATATTCTGTAAAGTTTCTGGTATTGGACACTGGCACGCCTGAAGACAAGAGTGTTTTGTTCTGCAGATGTGTCCTTCCCGCATAAGCGCAATACCGCCAACGTATCTAGCTGGTCTGCTGTACATGTGTCAATTTGAGCTTTCGGCATTGTTCACATCAGCCATACTTGCCCAGATGGCCATCCAGGTTGCAGACGTCGGTGCAAAAGCGTTAAGCCTGGGGCAGAGCCTTCGCAAGCACAAATGATCGAAGCTCCAAGAAGGCGCTTCCGCCGTTCTAACACAACTTTTTGGACTGGCTCCGCTCGTCACTTCCTGGCGCTTTTGACCATTCGCACCACCCACCACCAGGGAGACGCGGACTCCCAAGGAAGAGTGAGTGAAAGATAAGGTTGCGTTCTTGGAGTTACCGAATGTCGTTGTGGCGCCGCGGCGCAATGACAGAGACCTGCTTGGGGTGGTTGGCAGGTTGGCGACAACCTGACCCTTCGCCGAGCGAGCCTTTCGCGGAACAGCCCTCACTTCAATGGCGAAGCGATAGCCGTCTTATTGCACCTGTCAGATTCTCAACTGTCCTGTTTTGTTAATCAGAGGTGCTCAGCAGGCACCGCATACACAAGTGTTGCACCATGATCGTCTGTCCAGCATATTTGAGACCCAAGGGTTTCCAATCCACACCTGCTGATGTTCACATGCGACGTCTTGAGCCGGAAGAATTCAGCTCATAGATGGCTCTGCCGGGCTCAAATGAGGCATCCTGGGAAAATCTACCACCGTTCAATCAGGCTCAAAAACAGATGGATCTAAGAAGCAGTGTCGTGCTGTTAGAACTCGCCATACCTTGGAACACATCGGCCGAGAATATTCAGCAAAGGCACCTGTTGGTCCACATGTCGCCCGGCATCACAGCTGGTCTCTTTGACGATGATATCAGCCTCGTAGGGAAATATCTTGGATCGTACGCCCATCAATATCGGAACCGAGGGTGCTACGCACGTAAAACGGGCCAGCCACCACCGCATGTCATGTCGTCGTCATGAAAAACATTTAAGCGGGATTTTTGCGCGTCATACCTGTTGGTGTTTCAGCTGCTTGTCCACTCAGCACTACAGTTGACGATGGACAATTGTCATACGAGTGCAGACTGAGCAAACTACCGATTGTTTCGGAGGACATTTGTTTGCCGTTTTGCCGCAGGGTGTGGTTTGCATGAAGGAGATTCGTGCCTGTACAGACGTCTATACAGTAATGTGACGTTCAGGCGATCCACAGCAAATCGCACGGTGAGCTCAGCCAGGGCTGAATGGAATGCGCGGCATTTCCTCCGTTACTCCTACTCGGAAGAACATACGGAGTAGCCGACCCGATGCCAGTTGAGATGCCGGTCCCTCACTACTACCGTTAGCTGACTCAGGACTACCAAGCCAATTCTGGAAAACTTTCCTGATCGGGACTGGCCCATTCGGTTCGATGCACCACAGGCCGCGTTCTTTCAGCTATCCCAAACTTTTCATGAAAGGTGGATGCAAAGTCAGTACGTATGTGCCATCGCGGTGCTTCCCGGGCGAAAGGTGATGCCGGCCCGAAAGACCACGAGGGCGGTCAGCATGCATGCTGATGTATGAATCGTGTCGCCCGACACTGACTAAGTTGCGCGGTCCAACCTCCGAACGTCCCTCCAGTGGGGTCCAAAACTCAAAGATCCCAGCGCAGCCTCGTCTGGCAGGTCTATGAACCATGTACCAGAAAGCAGCATAGTGGCAATGCAAGGCACATGCATACATTGCAGTAACCGGTTAGCTCAAGTTCGACAAACCCTTGTCAGTGGTTTGATTGATGGCGATCATGCAGAGAGATCTCGTACCGCATTTCCATTTCTTTGGTCTGCCGTCTGAAAATCGCTGTCACACCAGCCAACCGGAAACTGCTTGCACAATGCAAATGCCAGAATGCAGACAACGAAATGCATATGGATTATACCCGACTTCAGGCCCGCCGTTGCAGTAGAAGAAACGATGACGATCAGCCTTGCGAGCGGTATCCGGGAAGTCTTTCCCCTCTCCTTGCTCCTCAGACGATCTGCCACAGTGCCAGGCTTTGCACTGCACAGTTTAGGACTTTTGCCTCGGTGCGTTCGGCACCGATGGCCCAGCCGACACTACATGACTCAATGACCCGGGAACAACTGGAGCGGTGAGGTGAGGAGGATGTGGCACACCATCATGCCAGTTGCCAGTGGTTTAGCACCGCAGGATGTCTTGACGGTTTCTCACTTCAGCGGCTCCTTTAGGCATCAAGCACGGCTACAGTATTCAAGGAGCAGGACAACACCTGACGCCTTGCATAGTGACTGGTGGTGAGCACGGTCTAACACGTGCGACTGACTGTCTCAATTGCTAACTATGAGATCGAAGGACGTCCGATCGCCAGCCAGCCTCGTGTCAGCCTTCTGTCATCAGAAGCCGACTGAGTTGAGAGATGTGGACGAGTCTGCATTCGAACATGATGCTCGCTCGACGTACGTTATCGTACTCCGTACCACAATACCAAACCACGGGGGCCCACGATATCGCCCTACCCACAGGATGTCCTCGTACCATGGTTTCTGTGCCTGCCATGGTAGAGCAAATCCCTGTAAATTATCAACAGTGTCATTCATCTTTACTTTTTCGCCACGGTGTCTACAGATCACTTGAGATCAACGCGATCGCCCTCGCCCACGACAATCTCAACCAAACGGTTGCCCTCATCAAGACTTCTGCGGCCGGCCTCCAGGATGGCGGTCGTCAGAACGGTGTTCCTCAGCGTAGGTAAGCCCCTCTTGTCCAGCTGTTCGACCGTGAGACGCCCATCATTCACCGCCGTGACACCATCGATGAACTTTTCGAAACTCACATAGCCGTACCCGCTCTGGCCGTTGAAATTGCCCTCCTCGTCCGGCGCATACCGCATGTAAAACGGATTATACCACTTCAGGGAACTTCCCGACCGATCGGCCTCGTCCACGACATCATACCCACGCTTCGCCTGGTTGACGTTGATTTCGCCCCCGGAGGCCACATAATGGAAATGCTGCTGCGAGTGGACGCCGGCGTTCATCGGCGCCGTCCAACTCGCCGTGTAGATGCCCGTGGCGCGCTTGTTGTCCGCGGTCCTCGTCCAGTCGACCAGCAAGGTGATTGTGTCCTCTGTGCCCTTGACGCAGCCCACCTGCTCGGCGACTCCGAGACTCGCGCTCGCCCGGACGGTCGTGGGCCGCCACCCGGCGTCCCGCACCATCCATTCGCAAATGTCCACGTGGTGCGAGTTGAGGTAGTACGAGATGTCCGAGTCGCGGCCCGCCCAGGCCCTGAACGTCTCCAGCTGCGATTTGGGCTGCGACATGTAGCTGTAGAAATAGTTGAAGTCGCCCAGCGCGCGGGCCCGGAAGCGCGCGTCCGCGTACGCCGGGTCGAACCGCTTGTGGTGCTCCACGTAGACGAGCACGCCCTGGGCGTCCGCCAGCGCCAGCAAGTCCAGGTGGTGCGCCAGTAACTTGGTTGCCGGTTTTGTCACCAGCACATGGTGGCCGCGTTGGATCGCGTAGCGCGCGATCGGGTAGTGCGTCGAGTCTGGCGTGAAGATGGTCACGGCGCTGCCCTTGGGGAGCGCGTCGATGGCGGCCCTGTAAGCTTCCGGGTCGGTCTTGTCGTCGGGCGGGAACGACTGGAAGGACACGTCCAGCCCGTTGTACGCGTCGCGGATGTTCTTCTGCAGGTGCGCGCGGATCGCGGGGAATTTCTTGCCCGACACGCCCACCATCGAGAGGTCCGACACTTTGCCCCGTCGGCGGAGGTCGAATACTATTGTTCTGACCGTTAGTGAGCCCCAGGTAAGGAAGGGTATTGTAGGTTATCAGGTGGACACGGTAATTAGGCCATTCAATGCTCGGCATCGGTAGAGAAGAAGATCATCTTTTAGCATCCGATTGCTTCTTCTTTTCTTTTCCCCTCCCCTTACTTTTCCGTCTTGCCTTGTATACAGAGGTCAGACAGACGGTGCAAACTTCGCTCTCCATTCAATAAAGAAGACTACCGTACAACGTAACGACGTGCGAGGAGCGACTCATTGTCATATCACTTACACGTCAACCCAACGACACCGATCTTCTTGTCCGACGTCGACGCGGCCCCGGACACGAACCCGGTCGTGTACTCTCCCGTCCCGACCATCAGCACAGCCGGTGGCGCCATGTTTTGATAGTCTCTGATACTGATAATGGCACAATGCAGTGCTCGTCTTCGTCTTCGTGGTCGTGCCCTGCTGGATCAGATATTCCGCGCGCACAGATCAGAGATGAATCTCGATCGCTTCACTGCTCACTGATTTGCTTCTGTGAGACAGCGGCGGTAATGGAGTAGGGAGGATTGAGATGAGATGGAACAACAAACGATGCGATGCGTATGGTACTCCGCAAGTATGTATGTAGGTCTACATGTGCAAGAAAGTACGGGTGTCTGTGATGTTATATTGTGTTAAAGTGTTGACGTGTCGTCCTTCATCCTTACACTGCCGTCGCGCTGTTGGCGGTTGGAGGGGAAAGAACGCCGCCTAGGCATTGGGTGAATGCGCCGCGGGCAGTACAATAAGTGGTGGGCGTCTAGAACTCCAACTTTAGCCTGCGGAGGGTCATGACCGTGCAAGGGAAGCAGTCACCCAGCAGTCACAGGGAATTTGCGGTTGCATCACAGTCGAGGGACACCAGAAGCGGAGAAAATCAATAATTAGGCTCAATTGCCGTTCTGGATACGGAGGGCCCAGTGGCCGAGAAGACAGTCGACCTCGCGGCTATTGAAGACTTCGGTATTTGCGCCGACGAATAACTGACGGCCAAGGCCGTTTCTCCAAATGCTTGACGCCGGAATTATGATCGTCCTGTGATGTTTGCTGTGCTGCCTTGGTGTCTTGGATGGGATGGGATCGAAATGGAGTGAAATGAGGTGAAGTGAAGAGCAACGATCATAGAGATAAAATGGAACCATGTGTTCGAAGAGGTGTCTTCCTGCGAGTGTCTCTCTCGTTTTCTCCGTTCTGATGGCCTTCGTGTGTGTCGGAGAAGGGCCCTGCGGCATTGAAGAATCGAAGTGAAGCGCACGGCGATGGGTATACATACACGCATGCACGTGAAGCATGCCAGGTTGTCAAATCTCATCCAGAGTAAAAACCTCTGCCGACCGAGCTTTGAAAGAAGCAGTGGAGCCAAGAGCATGTCCTAACGCTGTTCATGAAGCAGGATCTCGTATCAATCGGCAGAAGCAGTCGGCTGTGCATTGTTCGGCATCGAGTCATCTTCATCGACAGGGAATAACTCTGCCAAAGTCATGATAGAAGGGGCGGATTGCCACTACCGCTTGCGTCCGACTGTAGGCCATCATCGAACTTGAATACATACCCTGCAAGTGCCTTCAGACACCACACCCATATGGGTTCCCTACCATATCAACACTGACCCGGGTTCGGAGGTAAAAATGAATCCGAACAACTGGTTGCTTGCTTACCCATCTCTATACTGGCCGTTGGGAACTGGGTCAGGAGCTGACGCATCCGCGATACTCCCACCCGTTTGATCTTCCAAGCAAACGGCTCACAGTAATGGCGGTTCCTACCGCAGCATTATGAAGATCTGGACTTCTTGGCTGGTCTCGTACTCGAGCAACTGACGATAAAATCATGAGCCGAAATGAATTCGCGCCGATCTTGTCCCTTGCCGGATATATTGAAGGTCATGGATAGGCTGACTCACACGCCACCGAAGAAACCATGGTTGGAGGCGGTTGTTAGTCGTCAGAGGCTACGAAGGCGCACGCATGTAATCAAAATCCACAGATCCATGGTCTCTCTAGCTCAGGGGGCCGAGTGGACACGTACCACACTCCGCTGCCCATTCTGAAGAGGATTCTTCGTATTCTTTGGCATGGGTTTGAGCCTCAGAGTGCTAGCGAACCAGTCAGACATCTGTTTGAGGCGATCCATGTGGGCATAACATGGGGGTCAGACAGCTCCACCGCCACAAATGTGGCCTTCTAGTCAGGGTTCCTTGATGAAGGCCTTGGACACTCCAAAGGGAGTGTGTCTGGTGACAGCGAGCACATCAGCCGGCCCATGGCTACTGTTCGTCGAGGTGTAAGAGTAGAGGCATCGTCCTGATATCGCTCATATGGCTTCACAGAGGTGGAAGAGGCTGAGAACAACCTGCTCGGCGTGGTAACTGTGGGTGTGGATTTCGATAAAGTTGAGGTGCTGTTGCTCTTGTCGTCATTCTTCGGGCTTCTATAGGGAATGACATATGCTTTGAAAGGACTAACCTAGGTATTAGGGCAGGTTAGCTCGATCTTAGCTGACCATCCTGGTACCTCGTGCCATCAATGTCTTACACCGACTCCTGCTCTGGGGCTAGGGAGCCTGCTGCTGCGTTGATCCTTGAGGGTATATGGTAGCAGGTCCCCTGCTGCCGGGGAAGTGGTCCTTGCTGCGATTGGAATAGTATCAGGAGAAGGATTTCTGCCTCGTGTTCGCGTCCTGTCAAACCGTCTCTCTTTGACCCTACCGGATGTTCTGCAGATCGCCGAAGAGTTGGCTTTTCTTCGCGTACGACCAACTCTGGGAGCGGTGCTATATTATGTCATGAACGCTGCTCTCCGGGGCTTGTCGAAGTCTTCGTGGCAGGCGTACACTCCACTGCGTCGAGCTTGCCGGATCCTTCTGGCGATATACTGCGTTGTCTTCAACTGCCTGACATCGGAATAGGGAGCATATCAGGGACGAGCCAGCAACGGCCTGGCTGCCGATCCCTGCAGGCTGCAGACGACCGAGTCGCCAGCGCGGAGGTGGCTGCACTCCGGCAGTTCAAGCCCATAGTGATTTCCACTATTGTGGCAGGCCCAGACCCTCATAGCAGGCCAACCACCAGTTCTGCATAATGACATGGTGTGGCGATCTATGGGTAATGCAAAGGTGCCGAACGCCTGGCCCGATCTATACTGCCGAGGCGCTCTCCGTGGATGACTTGTTTTGGCCCAGTACATACTCCTGTTTCGGGGAGCAGGTGTAAGCCAGAGTCCAGTGTTTGTGCTTGGGACTTCACTTGAGTCCACGCGCCGCAAGTTCCTGGAAGAGCTGATAGGACTTGCGGACTTGCATCGGGTCTTCACGATGATAGAGATTGGATACCTCGTATTCCCGCGTCCATAATTGTACGGCCACCTTAGCGAGCTTGATGTCGCCACTGGTTGCCCTGCTCTCTTCTGGTTAACTAGAACGAGGTGTTTCTGGGCCGCAACGTCGAAGGAGGTCTTGTTGACCCTTGCCGGCTGCTGTGGTTGGTTCTGTCTTTCAGGGGATGGATGAGAGCTATTTCGCAGCAGTGAAGATGTATGGACCAGCACTCCACTCCACTATTCTCTTGTGCACTGACGCGGACTCGCTGACTCGGGATCCGGCTCAACGGTGTCGATGGTATCGGTCGAGGTCTACCACGTTGGCATGGTACACACCGCCGTCTGTACTGTATGGGCTGCTCGTCTATGTCATGCAGGTGCGCGAACGTTGTCATGAAGAGCAATTTGGAATATGTGCCCTGAGTCAGGGTAGTACCACGAGGCCACAGAGACGAACTCTAATACAGTACCAAAGTTCTGGCAGTAAGCCATACTAATTTCAAATCGCGAAGTATTGCCGTGGACGAAGCGATTTTCCGCGAGGTGGATTAGATATTTGAGCCTGGGGGCGCTGATCGGAGCTAGTGAAGAACATATCGGAGCCGTCACTGCTTGATAATGGCGTTTATTTCGAGCAACACGGCTGGTACGACGGTGAGCGACGGTGAACCCGAGACCGAGAGGACGGGGTAACGAATGATTGGCAGAAGGCGGCCACGACGGGTTGCAGGGTCTGGAATACCGGATCTGTTTTCAGCCTTGCGGTCGGCATCTGGCAGCTAAGCTCGTAGCGGTCCGAAAACAGAAAGTGGACCAGGTACTGTGCCACCAGCGTGACGATGGAAAGATGGGAGACATTAAGCTTCAGCCAACAGGACGGTGGCATCGTTTTCCCGGATGGGAATAGTCGGGAGTAGAACTCGCTTATCTAATTGCTGTTCGTGCCCAGGTGGCCTGTGAGACCCATAACTGGCTCGTGGCTAGGTCGTAGGCGGTGGGTGTGCCTCCCGCCAAATGGGCATTTCCAGAAACACCCATAGTCAATGCGTAGGTAATCAGATCGTCGGCTGCCTGGGCCAATAGCAGACCCGGAAATCAAAATATCAAGCTGACCAGTATATCGATACCGAGTAGGCGGAAGGCGGATCTGTTGCTCTCGGATCGAGCATGAAAATCACGTTTGTTCGAGGCTGCAAAACCCGATGCAGAGCCCTCGGTAGGGCTGAGGAAATGCCATCCATCAAGCATCCTCACCAAGACTCTTAAAGCCCGCGGAGGCTTGATTTTTGATTTCGATTTCGTCCAGCATTTTCCAAACGCAATCGCAGACACGTTTTCCAGCAAGAGGATCAGAAAATCAAGATGCCAATCGGCCGACCTCGAATACCCGGCACTGAGGCAGAGAGGGCGGAAGCGCGAAGAGCCAAAGTCCGAGCGTGAGTGTTCGACGCTCCCGCTGCCGGTTAAGACTCAACGGCACTAACAATGCGCCAATTCAAGCAATGTTCAAGCCTTCCGACGCCGCCAAAAAGAAAAGAAGCTTGCAGAACAGGCTACTCAACTGCGGACGAATGATGAGTGTCACGGCCAGACGCCCATAGGCGGAGCCCTACCGACAAGGCTGCCGACGTTTGCAACCTTCCCCGATGGGTGCCCCCAATCATATCGACCTTCAGTCTTCCCTCCAGAAGACCCTGAGTACTGGCTGTGGGCCATTCCCGCTGAAATGGGAGCACGACTGGAAGGAACGACTTACCAAGAGGCCTTCATCCAGGCACTTCAGCACAGGTTTGTGCGACCCGAAACGACCTGTGAGCAGACAAAGGACGGATCACGGCAAAGGGTCTCCATATGCTGCTCCACGTGGACTACATCGGCAGTCCTTGAAATCGGCAGACCCGAAACCGAAGTTTTGATGGAAGCTCTTCTCGCCGCCTCCCTCGCTATTGCCGGGAGAGATCGAAGAGACCTGGACATGACTCTCCATAGCGCCTACACGCAGACTCGTGCACTGCAAAGATTGCGATACTCGTTAACAAGGTATCAAGAGGGTGACCTGAGCATTTGTCCGACGTTGTTGTCTCTTACAGCGTTGACTTGCGCGATATCGGAGCTGATAGCAAACAAATCATGGGACAACTTCAACCGCCATCTTTTGGGAGTGGGTGCTTTGATATTTCACGGTGGCGTTGCCGTAAGTTGCCTGCACCACTGTTGTTGTCCCCGTTTTTGGTTCCACGACCTTCAGAAGGAAACATGCTGCTTGACTTTGGGAGGTGCAGACGGGCCGTGCTGACCAGCTGGACAGGGGCTGGATCGACGGTCTTCTCGCGAGCACTTTTATGGCTATCGTGCCATCCAAACACCTTTCCTGTTCATGAACAGACAACGAGCGTTCCTCTCCAACCCAGAATGGTGTGACTTTCCGTGGAAGAAGCATGTAGAACTCGCTCAACATCCACTGCACTCAATGCTTGATATTGCACTCAAGATCTTGCCAGAGATTGTGAAGCAAGACATGCCGAAGAAGTGGAAAATCGCCTGTCTGGAGGAGAGGCTGGACAAAGCGTGGACAGTCGTGGAAGAACTGGATGAATGGGAGAGTGAGCTGCGGTTACGGCATCACGGGGTTCTTTACGTCAAGGCGCCGTCCGCGTGGGAAGGTGTATACGAGCATCGCCTCGATTTCCCTGGCACGTCAGCTGCTATCGCCTTCGCCATGTATACTGCGGTGAGGATACATGTCGCAACCCTCATCGCCAACGTCTCGGACGAGATGCTCTCACGTGCGCCCACGGCTGATGTTCATCCACGTTCCGCCATGCTAGAGGCTTTGCGGTGGTCTCGTCTCGCATGTCAGAGCCTGGAATATTTCCATACAGGTGCACCCAAAGTCGCCGGACGGATTGTCACACTTTGGCCGCTCGAAACAGCTTGGGAGCTCTTCGGTCGAGTGCATATGGAGAGTACGGTGGATGTGTCGCAGGAGATGGCCTGGTGCCGGTCGATGGCCGAAAGACACGCCAGTCTTGGAATTCCTCCATTTCAGTGGAGATAAAGCGATTTTCGCTCTCAACAACGCGGTCCACCACGCATCGAACGAGGCGGAGTCTTGCAGTCGAACGTTGCGATTGGCGCGTTCAGGGCACAGCCTCGTTGGGCGTGAAGGAGAGTGGGTTCCAGTCTTCTCTATGTGCAGGAGACGGTGTTGATGATCGCAATGCACGAGATTCGCTTTTCGAAGCGGCCGCCAGTCCGAATCCGCTGATCCAGCATTGCGACTCGGTATGTGCGCGGAAAAGTGGCTGAATTGGGAAGCTCGATCAGGGCCAGGCAATTCACAGCTGATCTTAAAGAAGAAAGGTTCAGAGAGCGTGGGGCGTGCCTGGGTCGAATGCGGAAGGAACCCCCGTGGGTGCGGGAGAAATTGAGAGACAAGCGAGAGGCCAAGTTGGAGGCAGGTGAGAGCCGGGAGAGACAAGGCTCAGCCACGGAGGTGGCAAGGCTGCCTTGGCGCCTCGTGCCTCGGCTGCTGCCCTCAGCTGTGGCTTGATCGTGCCTGATCTTCCCTGCCGCCACAATCACCGTGTGGCTGGTGCTCTTTCCGGCAGTTTTCCAGGACGCTGCCTGCCGCTGCCTGCCGCTGCCCACATTCCCAGCTCCCAGCCATGGAATTGCACAGAATACACTGACCGTTGGAATGACGATTGAACCTGGAGAACAAAGCACGCAAATCCCTCGCCAAGATGTCGCACAACCTGGAATCCTTCCTTCCTTTGAGGTGATGATGGCCGGACAACTGCTTGGAGTGACGCAGGTCAAGGAGCGGCAAGCGCACAACCAGGAGTCACTGGAGCCAAGGACGGGCGCGGAGCGATGGTGACATGCTGGCCAAGACGTTGATTTCTCTTGCAAGTCTTGTCGTCAGAGAAACACACTGGTCTGACCTGTGCATTCTTGGAATTCCTTGGGTTCGGAGCCATGGCGATTGCAGCAGCGTATAGACAATCCGGCAAAAGCAAGGATGGGATTCCGTTATGTACTGTATCAACAGATCTTGGACGTGATTTTCGTGGTTGCATTAACGATCTGACCGGCCAAATGCCTGGTGCCCAGCCTTGTCGGTCTGTGTCGCTCCGTCCATCCTATTCGCCCCCTGATGGGTGTCGAGGAAGCCCAGCTGGGAACCCGCAGAGGAATTCAGATTTCGGTCAAAATCTGGGATCGCGAGCGGAGTGCCACGCTTGGGCGCCTCCTCAAACACAAGCCGGGTGTGTCACGGTGGCCGTTGTGTGAGTGGCCCAAATCGCCCGGTCGGAGAGTGCCCAGAATGCCTATCGTGCACTGCCTCAGTCTGGGCAGCCCGTCAAGACAGCTCACCCCAGACCGTGTTGACAGAAACTGGCGCTGCGCCGAGCGGATGCTGCAATCATGCTCATGGCGATTCTCGCTCTCATCTCATCATCATATATCCAAAGCCACCATCTCGCAACACCATGGCTGCCTCCTGCAGTCACGCTACAAAACGCCTTGCCCCTGCCGTGTAAACGAGGCTGAGTGTGATTATGTGGTCGAATTGCCAGTGATTGTGCCTCAATAAAACCCTCTGATCTCATCAGGACAGCCAGGCCCCAGCCATCCGCCATGGACGGGCCAAATCCCTCGTCGCCTCCCCAGATAACGGTTGATACATCTGTAAGTCAGGTCAAGGACATGGACTATTGCTGCATGTTTCATCTTTCTAACCTCCCCTGACCACAGAATCTATCGCAACAGCCCCCAACGGCCTCACCGATATCACCGGCTTCACCAACATCGCCTCGAGGCCACAGGCGGGGTCCTAGCATGTCGACGCCGCCTCAGACGGCCATCGACGAGGCCTCATATCTGTCCCCAACAACACCGGAGCGCAAAGCACAGTTTGACGGATCGACGCTCAACTCGAGATCAGGCTCTTTCTCTGATGGCCCGGCCAGGTTCCGATCAAATTCTGGCATCTCTGCGACATCGAGTGCGACCTTTTATTCGAAATCTAGTCTGGAATATGAGTCACCCGAAGATGCCTTGCGACCCGACAAGGGCAACGAAAAGGACTATGAGGTACCCAACAACCCGTTTGCCTTCTCGCCAGGTCAGCTGAACAAACTCCTCAACCCCAAATCATTATCGGCCTTTAAGGCGCTCGGTGGATTGAAAGGTCTGGAGCGCGGCCTTAGGACCAGTATCACAGCTGGATTGTCTGTGGACGAAACACGCCTGGATGGACATGTTTCCTTCGAGGAAGCTGTTGGCGCAGGATCGGACAAGGCATCCTCGAACATCCCTCTAGGCCGGTCAGATTCGAGAGGTAGTGTGAGCACGAAGGAAGTCAAGGGCCAATTTGAAGACCGGCTACGAGTCTTCAAAGACAACCGGCTGCCCGAGCGAAAGCCGGACAGCATTCTGGTTCTCATCTGGAGGGCATACAATGACAGGATCCTCATTCTTCTTACCATTGCGGCGGTAATCTCTCTATCATTGGGCATCTACGAGAGCGTCGACGGAGGATCGGGCGTGGACTGGGTCGAAGGTGTCGCCATCTGTGTCGCCATCATCATCGTGGTGACTGTTGGGGCAGCGAACGACTGGCAAAAAGAACGGCAATTTGTCAAGCTCAACAAACGCAAGGACGACCGAGAAGTAAAAGTCATCCGGTCGGGCAAGTCAATCCAGATCTCCGTGCACGACATCACCGCCGGCGATGTCCTCCATCTTGAGCCTGGCGACGCCATCCCTGCCGACGGTATCTTCATCTCAGGCCACGGTGTCAAATGCGACGAATCGTCCGCGACGGGTGAGTCCGACCAGATGAAGAAAACTCCTGGCGAAGAAGTATGGCAGCGCATCCAGGACGGGACTGCAACCAACAAGCTCGATCCTTTCATCATTAGCGGCGCCAAGGTCCTTGAGGGAGTCGGGACGTATCTAGTCACCAGCGTCGGCGTCAACAGCTCGTATGGCAAGATCTTGATGAGTCTTCAAACCGACAACGAGCCTACGCCTCTACAGGTCAAGCTCGGCAAGCTGGCCAACTGGATCGGTGGCCTAGGCTCCTCCGCCGCAGGGCTCTTGTTCCTGGTGCTGCTGATCAAGTTCCTTGCACACCTGTCCGGCGACACCCGACCGGGTGCCACAAAGGCTCAGGAATTCCTGGATATTCTCATCGTTGCCATCACCGTCATTGTTGTCGCTGTCCCTGAAGGGCTGCCTCTGGCCGTTACCTTGGCTTTGGCGTTCGCCACCACGCGCATGCTGAAGGAGAACAATCTTGTCCGAGTCCTCCGGGCCTGCGAAACAATGGGCAACGCAACGACAATCTGTTCAGACAAGACAGGTACGCTTACGCAGAACAAAATGACGGTCGTCGCCGGCACGCTGGGAGCAAAGGAGAAATTCGCCTCGTCACAGTCCGACGAGACTGCGGTCTCATTCAATACCATTTTCAGCAATCTGTCCGCTGAGGTCAAGGCACTGCTCCGACTGTCCATTACGCTCAACAGCACAGCTTTCGAAGGTGAAGAAAAGGGCGTGCCTACCTTCATCGGCTCCAAGACTGAAGTGGCGCTGCTGCAACTCGCAAAGGAGAATCTCGGCCTCGACGACTTGGCCGCCGAGCGGTCGAGCTACAAGGTCAAGCAGCTCATCCCGTTCGACTCGGCGCGCAAATGCATGGGCATAGTTATCAAACACAAGGGAGGGTACCGTCTCTTCGTCAAGGGCGCCGCAGAAATCATGCTCGCCCACTCGACCAAGACCGTTTCGAATGTCTACGACAAGCAGTACGAGGTTACCGATCTGACGGGCGAAGAGAAAGAAACCATTGGCGCGATCATCGAAGAGTACGCACAGCACTCGCTTCGCACAATCGGCATGCTCTACAAGGATTTCCCCCAGTGGCCGCCCGCCGGAGCGAAGACGCTCGAGGAAGACCCCAAGATGGCCGAATTTGCCGACATCTTCCACGAAATGACGTGGATCGGCGTTGTCGGCATTCACGATCCCCTCAGAGAAGGCGTCGTCGAAGCCGTTGCACAGTGCCAACACTCCGGAGTGGTAGTCCGCATGGTCACCGGTGACAACGTCACCACTGCCCGTGCGATCGCCAGCGACTGCGGCATCCTCCGCAAGGACGAGGATGGCATCGTCATGGAAGGTCCCAAGTTCCGGCAACTCTCGAACGAAGAAATGAACGAGATCCTCCCCCGACTGCGAGTCCTCGCGCGTTCGTCGCCCGAGGATAAACGCATCTTGGTCAGCCACCTGAAGCAGCTCGGCGAGACTGTCGCGGTGACCGGCGACGGCACCAACGACGGACCTGCATTGAAGATGGCCGACGTGGGGTTCAGCATGGGCATCGCGGGCACCGAAGTCGCCAAGGAGGCCTCCTCGATCATCCTGCTCGACGACAACTTCTCCTCGACCATCACCGCGCTGATGTGGGGTCGCGCCGTCAACGACGCAGTCAAAAAGTTCCTCCAGTTCCAGATCACGGTCAACATCACCGCCGTGATTTTGACGTTCGTGTCCGCCGTCTCCAGCGAGTCCAACCACTCGGTCCTCACGGCCGTGCAGCTCCTGTGGGTCAACCTCATCATGGACACGCTCGCCGCACTGGCTCTGGCGACCGATGCCCCGACGAAGAAGATCCTCGACCGCCCACCGCAGCCGAAATCCGAAGCCCTCATCACGATCAACATGTGGAAGATGATCATCGGCCAGGCCATCTACCAGCTCGTGGTCACCTTTGTGCTCTACTTTGCCGGCATGCGCATCCTGTCGTACGAACCCAGCCAACGCAAGGAACTCAACACCATCGTCTTCAACGCGTTTGTGTGGATGCAGATCTTCAACGAGCTCAACAACCGGAGGCTGGACAACAAGTTCAACATCTTCGAGAACATCCACAAGAACTTCTGGTTCATCGGCATCAACTGCATCATGGTCGGCGGGCAGATCATGATCGTCTTCGTCGGCGGCGCGGCCTTCAGCATCACCGCCCTGGACGGGCCCCAGTGGGCCATCTCGCTGCTCGTGGCGGTGCCCTGTCTGCTCTGGGGAGTTTTGGTGCGGTGCTTCCCCGACGCGTGGTTCGCAGTCGTCTTCAACGGCACGGTTGCAGGGATGACGGTCGTGCTCCGCCCGATCTGGAAGGGTCTTCGCGTCGTTTTCCACCCCGTAGCGCAAGGCTTCCGCGCGATATCTCGGGTCACCAAGCGCGCTGTGGGCAAGAAGGCTTCCCAAGAGGACGAAGACCCGCAGACACCTGTCGACGAAGAAAGACCGTCCATTGCATTGACGGAGAAGCAACCCGCCACGGCGGATGAGGCCACGCGCGTCTCTTCCTCGCTGACGCCTGTCCCTACGGAACAAGTCCACGTGGCTGAAAAGGGCAAGGCACGGGACGGTGACAATCACCAAGGCGACGACACGGCCCAGGAGAGGAGACACGTGCCGGTGCCGTCCTTCTCAATCACTGGGCCGACATAGCGCGGTAAAGGATGTCAATTCATGTGATATGTCTCATGCCTCCTATGTTTTACTACGCTCGACTTGCGGAACAGTCAAGACCTCCGACTTTCATTTCCTGTCAGTATTTGGGATGGCTCTGGATGGATGGGTGTTCACGGCGTTATGAGTATGTCCGCAACCAAGACTGTGTAACGACATGTATATCGATTGAGGATAGAATCCGGGTGGCCATTGTCTATCGCACGGCGTTGGAATGGAACGGAGCTGGGAGTTACGACGCAGTCCACCCATCCGCCACGACACCAGGAGCGGTTCGATGGCGCTTCGTGATTCAGAAAGGAAACGGAAAAGTCGACAATGGATGACCAGCAAGCGAAATGGAGTGAATCCCTGGCTCAGCTTTCATATAGTAGCCGTATGTAGGAAGTACACAAGTATGAGTTAGATGTGAATATCGACTCAAGCTACGCTACATACCGATCATGGCCCAATAAAAACGTGTAGAAATATACGTCCGATATCGTGCTCCAATTCCTTACATCGCCCTTGTGCTCTGACCCTGTACTCTCCCCGTATGCATGAAGGAAGAAAAGAGCGTCTTTGTTGATGTGGCGAGGCTTCACGAGAGGTACAGTAGAGCAAGCCTCTCGTACTACAGTCAAACCGAGTGCCCTTTCATCACAGTCTATATATAGCCTACGAGTTCAAAACCTTTTCTTTGGACCTGTACAGTAAGTATCTCACCTCATTCACGCGTGTTGCGCATGTCGTCCACTCACCATGATATACTCCGTACATACAGTACTTTATCGTGTCGGCTCTTTGCCTTTCTTGCCCCTTCCCGCCCCGAATCCCTGATCCCGATCTCGGTGCCATGTTCCCGCCCACGCGCTCCGTCCCGACAGTTGTCAGCAAGTATGTACACACTGTGTGCCACGTATTCAGGCAGGCATGCATGCATGTATCCATGCCAGGTCAGCCCGTTACAGGAAAGTCAGCCCGGCCTTGATCCGGTGCCCGGTGCCTATCGTCCGGTGAGGCTGAGGTTTGGGGTAATGAAGGGACGCCTTTTTGGCCCGACAAAACTGCATGGTCGAGTACCTGTACTTGTGCTGGGTACTCCATACGGGGGAGACGAGGCGTGTGATTCACCCGCGACACAGAGACACAGAGACACAGAGACACAGAGACACAGAGACACAGAGACACTCGGTAAACGAATGTCTTGCTCGTAGCTGTTTTCGTTGCTCAAGTGGGGGTTGGAAGTGGTCGAGTGGTAATACTCGGTACTCCATGCTCCTTACATAACTGCAATCATTACGGAGTATATGGTGGCCATATCGGTCGCCCGCAACAGGATGGATGGCCTTCGGGTCGTGCCTTGCGAGTAGCACGTCGAGAGCCTCAACACCGTCACCAAGCTGCTTGCTACTTGCTACTTTTACTTTTACTTTGAAGTCGGCACTTTCAAGTTTTTGAAGGAGTTTCATATTTCTCGCTTGAACCACTGGTAGGGAAACACTGGGCGACTGGACTGGACTGGACAGGACGCTTCCATTCCAACCCACCCACCACTTTCATCTTTTCATCTTGCAACACATGAGATATCCATTCCATTCCGATCAATACTTCCACCACACTATCGTAGTTAGACCAAAAAGCAATCCACTGTTAAAAAAAAGATGCAGAGGAGGATCATAGACACAATACAGCTCGGACATGTGGAATGTGTATACGTGTAATCCTTTCCTGGCTGCTGGGCGCTCTTGCGCTTTCATTTCCCCCAAGTAACGCCAGACTCCGCTCGTTCCCATGAGTGACATAAAGAGATGTTCTTGGTGAGTGTGACATAGATACATAGGTGAGATGATCAGAGGGTGTTTTGTGATTAGATATTATGATTTCTTTCGGTCGTTTCATTGCGTATAGCCGGGTGGTTTCCCGCTCGGCGCCGGTCCTTTGCCGCCGGGACCACCGGGCGGTCCTCCTGGACCTTTCATGCCCGGACCGCCAGGGCCCCCAGGACCGCCGCCTGGGGGACCACCCGGACCGCCTGGGCCTCCAGGACCTCCTGGGCCCCTGCCGCCCGGAGGCCCCTTGCTGGCGAGACTGCTGCGCTTCCTCAGCTTCTCTCCGAATAGCCAGAGGAGGATAGGGACAGGAATGCCGATGCCGACAGCGGCAAGTGCGAGCACCGTGTTACCCCAGCCGAAATCGAGGGCCTTGTACATGATGGGGGCGAAGAGCGGGAAGCTGAAACCGGCCAGGGATCGCAAGATCGTGACGGCGGCCACGGCGGAAGCGGCGAACCGCGCATAGGTGTCGACAAGGTACGTGGTAACGCACTGGAATGCAGCAATCGTGCCAATGCCGAACAGGAAGGAGCCGATGTTGGGCACAATCCAGTGCGTTTTGACTTGCGCGGACCATCCGTACACCAAGAGGCCGATGGGCACAAAGAGTGAAAAGGGGATGACTACTGGCATACGGTATTCGGGCTTGCCCTGGCCCCGGGGATCCTTGGCCTTGAGCTTGCGATAGATTTTGTCGCCAGATTTACCGCAGAGAGGGGCGCCAATGAAGAAGCCGAGACCGAGCGAGATGTAGTTGAGACCAGCAATGCCGACGGATTCTCCATAGACCTTCATGTACAGGCTGGGGAACGTGGAGAGAGCGAGGTACAGGATTCCGTACGAGAAAGCCATGTAGAGAGCCAAGACCTGGACGATGGGCTGGCTGAACAGCATGCCAAACGACCGGACCATGGTCTTTACAATCTTCTTCCAGACTGGTTGGTCAACCTCACCTTCGCCTTCTGCGCGGTAACGGTTGTCTCCCGTCTGCTTGCGAATCATCTTGGCCTTCTTGTGCAGGATGTAAGGAGCGTAGGTCTCATTGAGTTTCCAGAAGCCGGCCGCCAGGATGAAGGCGTTGACGATTGACGAGGCATAGAACATCCACCGCCAAGTGGACTTCTCAGCGACCCAGGCTCCCACGATCGGACCAATGGCGGGGCCGAGAAGAGGTCCCATCGCGTAGATACCCATGGCCTTTCCACGCTCTTCAGGCTTGAACAGATCACCCAGGACACCACCACCAATGGCTAGTGGAGCAGATCCACCGAGACCGGCCAAGAAGCGGAAAGCCAGGAGCTGTGAGGAAGACTGAGCAAAGCCACAAGCTGTGTTGAAAGCGAGGAACAAGATGTTGGAGGATTGAAGGATGATGACACGCCCGTACAGTTCGGAGAGTGGCCCCAGGATCATAGGACCGACCGCGTAGGCCAAGACGAAGATGGACAGAGTCATTTGCAACTCAAAGTCGCTCTTGATGTCGAAGTCTTCTTGGATCTGGAACAAGGCGGGGGCAATCATCGAGGAAGCAAGAGGTGACAGGAATGTGAATGAAGCTGTGAGCATGGTTATGGCCCACTTCTTCTTGGACGGCCAGTTCTTCGGGTTAAGCGGGTCATTAGGACCCTCGAATGTGACCTGCAACGCGATGTTAGCCTGGACCTTGGAGGACTTCTGTTGCAGACTTACATCGAATGGATCCTTTGGCTTCTTGGGACCTCCCGGACCGCCTGGACCGCCAGGGCCCCCGGGGCCACCACCAGGCTTCTCCTTGGGTAGCAAGGGGGTGGGTGTGGCAGGCCCGTTCTGGGCTTCAAGATCAAACTTGGCTGGGTCCTTTCTGTCTGACATGCTGTGGCTATGACCGTGGCCATGGCCATGACCATGATCCTCCTCGCACGTGCACCAGGACTCATGTGAATGTTTACTCGTCGCTCGGTCCATCGGAGGTGTCATTTGTTGTGACAACGGTCTCTTCTCATCTCGCGGATATGAATTATGTAGTGTGTTCATGGCTAACGTCTCTTCTGACTGGGTAGGATAACGAGGAACTGACTGGTCGTACAGGGAATCATTGCTGTTGAGATAGCCTTCTGCCAGTAATCTCTGGTTTGCTACAAAGTCTTGGTCGCGGCCGAGGTAATGGTCGTCGCTGACTATTCTCGAGTCTCGCGTTCGGAAGGACGGCGCGTAGGACTGTATCGAATCGCGTTGTTGATGAGACCGCATCGACCCCTGATCGTCATATCGGCCGACATGGTAGTCTGGGCCATCATCATAAAGGACAGCGAAGGTAATCTCACTGCTGGCACGGTCGGAGCCAGGTGAGGGTTCAGCAGGTAACGAACGGTGTCGATAGGGTTCGGTGGAGTTCAGGCGTCGTAGCGAAGGAAACCTCGAGTTCAATGCCGGCTGGGATAGGGGTCGGAGGAATCCGTTGTTGGCGCCATCATCCTCCATGTCGTCGGCTCTTGAGCTGGATCGAATAAAGGGATTATTGCTGTTCGATGTGATCGGCAGTGCGGGTGCGAGGTATCGAGGCGGTGATTGTTGTGCGTGGTTGGCCAGAGAAGTACCGGGACGCGAGTGAGAGTCGTAGCCTTGCGCGACTTCCCAGCTGTCCCACGAATTGGTGGCCGCCAGTGTGGAGGAAGCGTGGTGAACTACCTAAGAACGAGCGTGGTGGTGCGTCCGCCGACTATTACGGCAACAACAAGAAAAACGAGAAGAAAAAGAGTCGAAAGAGGTGTCGACGCTGGAACGGCAGGGCGGCAGCAGGGAGGGAGTGAGCGAGAGTGGTGAAGTAGTAGAGTCGGCAGGCAGACAGGGAGGGGACCACGGGCAGGAATAAGACCCGCCGGACAGTCGAGATGACGAGCCCTGGAATAGGATTGGGGGTTGGACGGGGGGTTGAAGGAGCGTGAGCTGGGCTGCGACTCGCGAGCTGGCGTGTGAGAGAGAGACAAAAAAGCGGGCTGCGGGTTGCAGAAGTAGACGAGGGCTGCGGCGGGCTTGCGGGTGGGCTGTGAGGCTAGTCTGCAACAGAAAGATAGAACCCTAGGCTGAACTTGGTGCTATGCGGCGGCGGGCCTTGGATGACCTGGACACTCCTGGGATAGCTACGGGTTAGTACTATCCGGGAATAGAGACGGTGCTTTGGATTTGGGAACAATTACCAGACACGCCTGGCTGGCTGTCACACTCCGCGGAACACGCCTTCTTTCAGGCCCCGAGATCTGAGGCTTCGCCGTTTCTACCGTACGGCCGCTCGGTGCACGGCTATTGTTTTGCGACGGAGTACGGAGTAGAGACGGAGCAAGTCACTACTATGCGAGTCTGTAAGCCCTTAGAAGACGTCGAAGATCTTGTACGGGCCCTGTAAGGCGCACTCTGTGAGTCGCCGGACGAGGAGCAAGTGGTTGATCTGGCCTTCAAAGGGACAGTCGAAATACGGACGGAGACTCGAGAAATTGGGAGCTGAAGCCTCTCCAGCTTTGATTGGGCGTGCAGGGAGGGGTGGCAAGCTGCAAGTGATCGATTACCAGGGGAAGTTATGGATAATCATGACAGCCCTCGATCCGGCACACTGTGTAGAAGCCGTAGAGGGAATTTCTGCTACAGATGGCACAACATACTGGGCCGGGATATCGATCCAGCAGTGTCTCATAGCATCAAAGGACACGGGAAGCACTGGTATGCTCGCTCCTCTGGAGCATTTTGCATGGTAACATAGCATGCGGCGAAGCGCAAGGGTATGTACATGCCCACGGCTGAGTGAACCATTTCGCCCATGACGGCTATCGTGCATATCTCGGAGGTGTAACTTTGACGATAGCCTGTTTTTTACGAGCCTGCCAAAATCCGGAGACAGGGATGCCATGGCTGGCAGACGGGCTGTCGCACTCCCCGAACCGTCCATTCGACCTGGTTTCCCTCGATCGACCGCGTTGTACTTGAGGGCTCGAGGGATAACCGAGCTGCTTTTGCATTCATGAGTTCCCCTTCACAGCAACATGGCAAGCACCATCGACTATGAAGAACCTGTTCGGGCGGTCTCAAAGCCATGCGAACGACATGAGATGCAGCATGATGGAGGAGGCGGGGAGCAGAACGACAGCCTTAGTGGAGATTTCTAGGGACTCATTGGTTAGCCGGCGAGCTTGGGCGAACTTTAGGCGTCCTCATCCGCCGCAAAGTGGCCCCATTCGGCCGATTGACATGTGGAGTGATGCTATATTCAGTCCGTAGCGCCATCACTAACGGGTCATTGTGGATGCCGTGGTCTGCGGTGCAATCTTGGTCACTGGCAAATCACACTCGCGTTGCCCCTGTTTTCCATCAGTCTCTCCACGGACTTCATCGCCCGACTGACCGACTAAGAGCGCCTCGTTCCTGCCCGGTCAGCCATTTGGAGTATGGTCCGGTGCCAGTTGGCCAATCGCGTGGGTTCTTTTTGCCGTGACCATAGTAAAAGGCTCGTTCAGCCCTTCGTCTGCCATCACCGCAATACCGGCACACATCAATGACGGCTAGATAGAACGATCATGGTCCCGGATCGAGGGCGATAACGAGCGTGAGATACACAGTACACTGACTATGGGATCTTGTGTCCAATTCTGCATGAACATAATGACTGTCCTCTGCTGTTCCTAATGACAGCCTTGTTGGGGAATGCATGGAAAAGGGAGAGGCAAATCCAGATGGTCATTAATTTCCTCCTCCTCACCTGCAATTTCTCAGCACCATCTTGGCGCCCCTGAGAGTCAACATCAGCGTAAGAATTTACGTTTTCTTTGCGGTCCAGCTCCCAGTCGATTTGTTCGACGGCTCCTCTTGTTGTTTTCGCTTTAAGCGAGACCCTTTCTCCTGTGGCACAGCTGCCTCGAAGACCGCCTATCGATAGAGATTCGAGAACGAAGCATGGCACAACTTCCCCTCCCCCCTCCAGCTTCGCATGTTCCTATTGCCGCTTCGGGGCATGAGCTCATCTCGTCAAAGTAATAATAGGCGCCTGATTGGTGTTGGATCCTCGGCACCAAGGCCGTCCTGACCGGATCGAGCGGTCTCAAACTCGAGCCCGACGAACGTGTCACCACCACACGCTAGCTATGCACAGACTTTCGCACCCTCTATCTGGTTATCAGTTTCATCAGACCCTTTGCTTGGTACTGTGTACTCCGTACTCCGTACAGTACTCCGTATGGCCGAAATATCCGACTCCGTTTAGAGCACTCACGTGGCAATGGATTAGCTTCGTCACCTTGCATTCGTGACTTTGCCGAATGCTGCTTGGACGTAGTTTGACCGGTGAGTCCAGGCATCGCTCGTCGATAGCTCCAGTACCCGTCTGAGTGTTTCCACGATGCCCTGTCTTTCACAGTGAGCTTCCAGGCGGCGTCTTCCCGAATCATTTTGGTTGGAACTCATGGCTGTCTGCGAGAATAGCTGGTTGGACGATAGACTCTCGATCAAGAGCCATATTCGAAGCGGGAATTGTGATGTACGTACTACTCGCACAGCAGCTGATAAAGCTGTATCTTACGGGCCTACCCTGTTACTTTCAACCCCAGGAAAACGTGGGAGCCTCTTCGCCAACTCACACGCACGGAGAATTCTGCCTTGGCCGATGTCTTGGGGCCGAGGCAGGAATGGTCGCTCAACGCTAAAGTGTTGCGCCAGCGTGTGATAACAATAGCAGCATCCCCACAACGATGGCTTGTGAGAAACAGCACCGTTGCTCTCGAAGCACGGTCATGTGTGCTACTATGCTACGTCGCGTGCAAGGACCGGTGAATGTGAAGCTGACACATTCATGTATCATTCCGGGCAAAACTCTGCGAACCGGGTCTTCGAGGGGATACCCACAAGGGTACTCACGAAATATGCACTCCGAAGGAACGTATCCGCAGATTCCATAGAGTCGGTCGGTCTCGCTTCAGAAATAGCGGGCTTGCGTTGGTTCGGCGCCTATGAAAAGAGTCCTCCCAAACTCGAACGGTATGCGGAGCCAGACGGCGAGAATTCCGTCGTCACCTTGCAAAACGCGCAAGAGCCCACGGCTTTTTCTAACCTCACTGCTAGTGCTTGAGTTCAAGTGCTAGAGATGCACCCGCTGATTAATGGGGGCTTGTGTAGCATATTCCAGTCTGCGTCTCGCAGTAGTGCTGCTTTCCAGCGCTGCTACCACCAGCCGAGCCTTGGGTCGAGACGTGTTTTTGATGCTGACAGAGCCAGCAGGCGCCAATTACATAGCCCATACAGCTTGAACGTCGATTCGTATTCGTACAAGTACCTAGGTAGGGCTGTATCTGAGTGAACCACCCCCAGTAAGTTCACCAGCAGCATGACATCCATTCGCTCGTGATAAGCTCCGGAGCAGGTCGCAGATCCACAAATACTTTGTACTTATGCGCGTAAGGTGCGTCCAGCCACTCACTTTTAAGCTTGGCAGTCCGTGGCCTAGCACTCCACGATGCAAGTCCGTTTGACGCAGAAACAAGCTCAAATAATTCAGTCTTTAAGAAGGAGCCAACTGAGACCCGCCTGGGCCGAGTCTCCAAGAACTCTGTTTCTGTACTCCGTACGTACCGTGTTCTTGGCCACAGGAATATTATTGATTCCAGAATTGTTCTGGAGCAGTTGGCGGCTGTGAGACAGTGACGTTATCCCGTTGTCTGCCTCACGAAGGCTCCGGAATGACATGGTGCTTAAAAGCACTGTGGACACTACTGCGTACTTGCGCAGGATCGCAGAGTTTCGTTCTCAAGCTTCTGTTGGGGAGGTTTGAGCAATGAAATGATTCGCTCACAGCCCGACTAGAAGAGTAGAGTGTCAAAAGGTTCTTTTGCTCCAGCCTCCTCAAGGATATGCTCACACGACCGAACGATGGCCTCCAAGTCAACCACTGATGGTGGCTGAGGCGCATGACGCGAAGAGTTTGTCACGTCGACCACATCGCGAAAAGTTTCTATCATTGATCTTGCGACATTTCATAGGTGGCTTTGATATCCGTGCTTGAGCAAGGAGCAACTTGGTGCTTCAGTCGCGTGCTGCAAGTTCAGTCCACATTTTCAGCCAAACACTGTACTCCGTACGGAGTACAGAGCGGTTCAGATCTTCTCTTTGCTCCCAGCCACCTGATATCTCGAGCCAAGCGAGGTACCACTCTCACAGGACTGCTGACCTCGCACATTCGGTTCTCGATGAGGTTCTCGCTTGAGGTACTCCGTACGAGGTACACGACTTCTTGCCTCAGCCGCTCATCTGAGACATTGATACGCACGCCGCATGAAGAATTCAGTGAACTTGTGATAGACCCCCGTATCATGCGCGTCGCATCATACAGATCAGTGATTGGCTCGTTAAGGCAGCCCAAGGCGCCTATTGAACGCATGTTTGCGCGGAAACATTGTGCTTCAATGTGCAACTTCCACATCAGGTACCTTGCACTTCGTACGGAGCACTCATGCTGTTATCGACGTGTTCCTCCGAGACCGACCCAGAGACGTCCCGCAGTAGCCAAGGCCGCCACATAGACTATCGTGCAGGCGATCTCAACCCGCGGGTTCAGTGATCTGCCTGTTGCCAATGCCGTGGCATGGGTGTTCAAAAGCCCCACGTAGTCGTCACTTTTGAACTCGAACCCATTGTGGAAGACAGATAGGGTGTGCGGATAGCCGTTGGAGGGCAACAAAGCTCACAAGAGTGAGATGCTTGTCGTACAGTCAACTTGGTTGTATGACGTTGCCGTGACCATCCCGATCTCTGTTTGCTCTCCAAACGCCTTCCTCGACTTCCCCAGTATCCGCAAACCACTCTCTCTTCCAGATTTCAGCCCGTGCTTTTACCCTCTCTAGGATCTCCTCCGCGGCTTTCCAAGCACCGGCACGATGACCGCTGCTGACAACAACTGCAATGCTCTCTTCTTCGATCTTGACTTCGCCGAGGCGGTGAACAATGGCGACCTTTTCTACGCCGTGTTTCCTCTGCACGTCCTCGGCGATCGCGAAAAGAGATTTCAGCGCGAGAGAGGGGTACGCGGAGTATGAGAGCCGAGAGACCGGACGCTGGTCGAAGTTGTTGCGAGTAGTTCCAAGGAAGAGGACATTTGCACCTGCGGTCGGAGAGCGAGTGAATCGAAGGTATGTTGGTATATCGAGAGGGTCATAGACTAAAGAGATGTAAATCGACTTGGAGTCAAGCGTCTGAGGGAAGTTCGAGGGGTCAAGAACAGACGACGATGACTTTGGCTTCACAGAGGCTTCGGTCTCGTGCGTCGCAGGAGCTGAGACTGCGCTAGCCATTGCGGAGTCAAGAAGGTTGAGCTCTCGCGGGACAGTGGCTTGCGATTGAAACCCAAGGAATTGATGACCGGTGTTTTGAACGTCAACTCAAACATATATCGCCTGCGCTGGACGTCTTGGTCATCATCACCGTAGTCCCGGCAGCCGTTGGTACGTCCTTTGCGCAGATCCAAAGTTCAGTTTATCCTTGTTCGTGGGACGGACGGTTGCGGCAGACCGCGGGTGTGATGGCGCTTTTACGAAAGGTCGGGCGCAGAAGAGCGCTCGAGGAACGATTTCGTGCACGACAGTCGCCCCTACGTCATACATGGCATGGAAGGCACAGGCCAATCTTTTTATCCCTATCTGAGCCATCTCTCACATCCCACTCACCTTCGACTCGGCCGAATTTCACTACCTAGTACTCCGTACTTAGGAGGAGAGGCGTAGACGTATTCGTACTGTCTTTTTCTAGGATGCCAATAACAGGATTCTGAAGATCTATCGTTCTCCCTTCCGCCCTCAAATTCATCCTTCGTGTGTGCCGACCGACAACACATCTTCTCGCCCAGCCGCACCTCCCCTTCCACCCTATTCGCCACGACTTCTTCCACAACCCCATCCCCACAAACCCAAAAAATATTGTCCGAATCGTGCCAAAAACAACGCTTTCTCTCCATCTCAATGGAGCCACGTCAGGACATCCCTTTCTTGCCTTCCATTCCACTCATATAGGACGGAACCATCATTTAACGTGTCCAAGAGCCTCCCCTGCATGGGAATTGGCCCGAAGGAGCAACCATCCTTCCTAATGAAGAACTTTATGACACGACACTTGAAATGAAGTGGCTGGGACGCAATCAGATTGGATGGTGGCTGTATGCAAGATCTGAGACGGCGCGATCTTGATTTCTGGTTCCTGTCAAGGGTCAGTGCTGAATATAGACTGCGCACACAACATCGTCCGTGGATCTGGGTCACAGTGTGTTCGACCACTAGATCAAGTATAACGAAGATGCACAGAATACACTTTTCCATCTATTTCCTGGGTATCGATGTACGGTGACGTGTATATATATGAGAAGAGGAGTTTCGCCATCCCATTTCATCCCATAGCCATGCCCATTGAATACAACTCTTGGGAATTTGTCCTTTGCTCGATATCTCATGCCGAGCTCGTATTTGAGCTGAACACTGCTAAGCGAGTCCAGTCGAGCACAGTACTGTGTATATCAGAAGAGGAGCTTTTGTACATCTATTTAAACTCCGTCGCCATGACAATAAAATTCAACCACGGCTTAGGGAGCTCTCATTTGGGCTGTAGTCGGCAATTGCGGCGGTGGCGGCCCAATGGAGAGAGTACAGGTCATCGACCCGAGGACCGCATCTCGGGTATAGTATCCATGACCTTTCAGCAGCTGTGCCTGATACTGGCGTGTGAGATGTGTCTCGAACCTCTCCTAGATTCATTGCGTCCGAGCCGGAGGTGCCTGCGCTTGCTCCTTCTTCTGCAAATACGGCAACGGCGTCGTATCGATCGGCTTCTTCTCCCTTCTCCAATCCCTGACATGCTGGAGTACTATCGCAGCCGCACTCTCCGGCGTGTCCTGCCTGCCGATACACTCGACAAAGTCGCCCTCGGGATCCATCACGTAGAAGTATATGCTATGATCGACTAAGTAATCTTCCTCGCCGGGCTTGAACTCCGGCGGCGTGGAGAAGTAGACGCGATACTGCTTGCACACGTCCTTGGTCTGCTGCCACGTGCCGACCAGTCCGATGATCGAGGGATGGAACTCGGCAAGGTACGCCTTGAGCACGTCCGGCGTGTCGCGGTTCGGGTCGCAGGAGATGAAGATCGGGCGCACCGTGTTGGGCGCCCGGTCTTGGATAATGTCGAGCGCTTCGCCCATCTTGTCCAGCTCGTCCGGGCATATGTCAGGACAATGGCTGAAGCCGAAGTAGATCTGGTGGCCACCTCATGTCAGCGCGCGTTCGGTGGAGGGTACTTTCTTGTCCCTGGACTTCTGAAAGTCCAGATTGTAGTCGGGGGTACTCACCAATGAGTACTTTCCCAACAGATCCTTCTCTGTAAACTCGTTGCCGTCGATGTCTTTTAATGTGAACGGCCCGCCCACTTTCGGCTTGCCGTACCCCTTGCTCATCTCGACGATTCTCTTCCGCTCAAGCCTCTTCTTCTCATACTGGAAGTAGAAGATCATGCCCGCGCCCACCGCTAGGAATAGACTCGCTGATCTGAATGAGAAGGGCTACCGCCACGTTAGATGTGGGAGACACGTACCGCGGATGAAGATACGTACGCCGGTGCGGTGGTACAGCTTGTCTCCTGCTCTTAACCTCGCGGAGGACGATGTGAAGGCTCGGAAGTGGACGCATTGTGGTGAGATGGGGTGGCGACGTGTGGGAGATGGTCTAATTGACGAGGAAGCGGTCCTTGTTGTTTGCCAGTGCAGCGATCTGGGCTTTATCGAGACTGGTTGCGCATACAGCCGTCGGAGGATATGATGGAAGGACGGACTCGGCTTGGCCATCTTTGTCCTGAGGTTGTAGCGTTCTAAATGTTGCGGAGGGATGGCTGCTTGAGCGGGAGAGCGTCTGCGAAAGTGAACTCAGATACTGCCGCAGGGCTAAGAATGCTCCGCCCTAGCCCATATCCGTGTACGGTGGAGCCTCTTACAGGATGTGCGGTAATTGCGGCGAGATGAAGAGATCAAATGTTTTGGTTACGACGAAAAAGCAAGAACTTTTCGTTTCCATCATTGTGTTACATACGCTCAAGGTTTCAGATATCGTGTTCACATCATAACGCCAGGTCCAGCCCCAAATGTTTCCGGCACATTCATATACGGCTCCACTTCGACCCAGCCGCGCCAGTCCCATGCCAAGGTTGAAGCACCACCGAGCCATTGCTCCGGAGGCAATGCCATCAATTCGTACATTTGTGGAGGGCAATTAAACCATGATGAATCTGCCTTGACCGCCGGACCATCGTACGATAATCCAGGCTGAGGAAACCCAGCCATAGAAGTGGGGTGGCTGATCGAGGTGTATCCATCCTTGATACTGCACATCTCGGACTCATCGCTTGCGCTGGAAGTTTGATGTACCAAAGCTGGTGGCCCGGTCGGAAGATGTTGTAGCAACCGACGCAAGATGGGAGCGGCTTTGGAGCACACATCGCTTCTTGCAGCCATGTCCTCGAATCGCAGCTCACACTTTTGGATCGCTCCGAGAAATTGTGCTCGGTGTGCATCTGTCAGGCCGTCGTCGGAAGCGAGGAGGACGCGTAGGGTCGAGGCCGCCAGAAATGCCTGGAAGCTTCCGAGTGAATAAACAAACCACCGATAGGGCTTGAAACGAACGTCGCAACACAGATCCTCGTGGTTACTTAGGAGAACCAGGGCTGCAGTCGTACAGTGTGCTCGGCTCTGAAGCACTTGCTCTGAGGGATGGGTAATTCCTCTACCCGAACTTGAGCCGTAGGCGTGCAGATAGGGTCTGTGGAGAATGAGTCGAAGGTAGTGTATATAGTTGTTGAGGATATAGTTATGGGCGACGTGATAAGTCGGGAGCTGCTGTCCGTCCGCAAACCTTGCCTCATGTAAATGCTCCTCTGCGGTGATACGTCGCTCGAGCTCATGGAGAGTGCTAATGTCTCTGCCGTCCCGGGCAAATTGACATATTTCCGAAGCCAGGGAATACAATTTGATTTTCAGGAGAATGTATGACATTTTCGTAGGTGGCCTCGTGTCCGTTCCTTCGGCATAACGTTGCAGACTGCCGCCCAAAGAGATGTCCTCATCGTCTATGTCTGCAGGAAACCGGACACTGGCCGATTCGTTTAATTTCATGGGAGCGAGGTTACCCAGGATGGTATTTTGAATGGTGTAGAGCAACATCAACCCTGCCCAACAGCGGCGTCTCTGCTCACTCCTCACTGGGTCAAGGTTTAGCTGCGAGGGGTCGATATGGCACCCTAGTGAGACACAGATGTGAAAAGTTGTCCCTAGTAGAGCCCATGAAGGACCATGAGCGTGCGAGATCGCATATATAAGGAGCACCAAAGCTTGCACAGTATGCAGATTGTGTCGCCAGAGGAACTGGTCGGCCGATAGGCATCTCATGGCTGCTGACCGGTACTTGGTTGCCAGACTTTTGATATTAGCTGAGGGACTGGCTGCATGCCCAAGGTCTGCCAACAGCGGGTTATCAGAGTCCAATGCGTTGACGGATATGGAGAGGATCACGAACACCAACGCCAGGAAGGAGAGGGGCACTTCTCCAGGGCATCGGCAGAAGTTGGCGTATTCCATGTGGAAGGTCGGATCGTGAAGTATGTGGAAAAGCTATCCAAATGGGAGATCAGCATGTGTAGCTCTCTGGAATTTCATGCATTGTCAGGAGCAGTGTCGGTGCAGCAAGTGAGCAACGGGGATATTTCAGGTCGGCAGTTCCGACGCGTTGGAGAAAGCACAGAATACCCATTCGTGCAAAGGGCACTAGCTACCAGGGAAGAGAGGGACATGCACGTCCTAGTCTTTGAGAATCTCAAAGCCTAAAATAAGGCCCGCATCACCAATCATCAAGCTGTCCCATGGTTTGAGACACTCTTGCTTTGTACACGGGGCGAAGGGGCCATCTGGGTTACATAGCGAAGCAACATACCGGTGAGAAGACTTCGAAGAATATGTCCTTGAGTTCATCACGTTGACGAAATGGTGGCAAGAGGTCCAGCAGCGCTTGCCGCGACGGAATTGCTTCGTCGGCGAATGGGAACCCTGTCGACATTGGAGGTGCCGAAGTAGCTTGAATCAGTTCGTTGACGGCATCAGCGTCTGCAGAGGCGATGCCAGGAAGGAAGCGCTCGTATCCATTCCCATACACGAGAACAGCACCAACGGTCTTGGTATCTGCCATGTCGGAATGGCCAGCGTCGATTTCATTCCATGGCGACGAGTTCAACGATGACGGCTGGCGATGAGACTGGCTGTCTTGATTCGACGAATACGAATTCGGGACGAGGTCATACCGTTGCTCAAGCAGGTGGCCCTGTCTTTCGAGCAGACTCTCAATCCGGTTCAGTTTTTGTAGCACCTCATCTGAATTCGAGGCAGAGGGCGTCTGGATGGGTTGTCGAAGGTAGAAACAGGTTTGGCTAAAGCCACGGCGCACGCAAGTTTGACAAAATGGACGCTCCCCGGAGCACTTGCTGGAGCGAAATCAGCATATGCCGGCAATGCCCTCGATAGACACAAGAGAAGAGCAAAGAGGGCGGTCTGGCGTCTCTTCGAGGCGGATGGCTGAACTCACATCTTGCGTTTTCTACAATTTTCACAACTCAAAGGCTGCCGTTTCACTGTCTGGGGCATCATCCTGCCGTCCAACAGCGGGGTGTAAATCCTCGCTGAGTCCAGTCAGAGGCGAAGATATTCGGCCTTCCTGTGGCCAACAAGCAACGAAAGGTGAATCTACGATGCCAGCGTACCTGGACAATGTCGTGTATTTGATCATTGGGGTTGGGGTGAAGTGAGGCGAGAGTGTGGAGGAAATGACCAAGTTACAGTTTACCACAGTAAGCATCAAAGAGGAGAATCCGGGGCCGTGTGGCGCCTGAATGCCTGCTTAAGTGAGTCTGGGGGCGCCCGGACAGCAACTTCCGGGGCTCGAACGGGATGGCTCGGCGGCCGAGGGCCCGCTAGAGAGCGCTGTGACCTTTTCCAGCTTCCGCGCATGGCCCTTTGCCAGGCTGGGTAAGAGATCCTCAGCGATGAAGCCTTCTTCGTGCTTGTGGTGCTCAATCCACGCTCACTGAAGTCCCGTGTGACGTTTAGTGCGTGGCCTACGACTCAATTTAGGGTTTATTTGACCTCGGGAGCGTAATTTCTATCCCTGCTCTAACGCACGGTCAAATGGAACGTCGCGGATGTAGGCCCGTTTAAACCCTGCCCTCTCCTGCAACTTGGGACCATCCTGGCGCCTACTGCTTCCCTAGGAATGTTGTCACGGCAGAGGACACACTCTCCGTGTTCTCAAAGAGGTGCCAGTGTGCGACCTGCGGCAGAACGGTTACCTCCTCGCAGTTGGGTATCTTCTCCTTCATCTTGCGGCACATGTCAGGTGGTGAGACTTTATCTTCGTCGCCGGTTATGATCAGTACTTTGGCCTTCAATGCAGATATATCGAGAGTGTCTCGGTGTGAGTCGGCCAGTGCCACGCAAGCCTTCGCATATCCTTCGGGGTCTTGTCCCAGCAGAGATACCCGCGCTGCAGCAAGTGCGAGTGGATTCGTTGATTTGCTGTGGTCGGAGATCCCTGCGCCCACGACGGCATCCACAACTCCGAGCATCCCTTTTTCGCGAGCAAGGGCGGCCCGCCCGTAGGTGGCTTTGCTGGCAGCTTCCGGGAGCGGTGAAGGTCCAGGTCCTTGCAGGATAAGCGTCTTGACCAGATCCGGATGGTTCAAAGCCAGCCTTATGGCGACGAGGCAGCCCATTGAGTGAGCGACCACAGTGAGGCCAGCGTCAGCATTTATTCCTGCCTGAGAAAGAACCTGGTAAGCATCGGATGCCAACGAAGCAATGCTCAACTTGCTTGTTGCGGACGTGGGCGACAGGCCGTGGCCCTCAAAATCCGCGAGGTGGTATGTCCACGCATCACCCAGCCTTGTGATAATGGGTTGAAAGTACTCCGAGGTGCCGCCGAGCCCATGGATAAAGTAAATCGGCCTTCCACCGTCACTGCCTTTTCTTTGGTAGAACAATCGCTTTGAGCCGACAGTGATGAGCCCGCGACCTTCGACTGTTCGCTCATTTGCCACTGGTACAGCAGGCGATACGACGTGGTCGAGTATAGTGGCGCGGGACTCTGGATTTGCGATCTTGTTGGTCAATGTGCCGAGACCCGTTACTGAGATCTTGACCTCGTCCCCGGGATGGAGCCAGATCTTAGGATCAAAGCCAAAGCCAACTCCGGCAGGGGTCCCGGTAGCTAACACGTCTCCTGGCTGCAGCGTCTGTGCTGCGGATAAGGTCTCGATCAGGACTGGGATGCTGAAAATCAGGTCTTCTGTCGTTGCTTCTTGTCGCTTCTCGCCATTCACCGTGGTAGTGACGGTGAGTACTTTGGGGAGCTGTCCCTTGGGAACAGCAATTGGCCCCATAGGTGCAAAGGTATCAGGCCTGTGCATCGTGGTTAGCGTGCACTGTGTCCCTTGATTGAGTACTGGGTGCTCTCTTTTTGACGAACGCCAGGATCTTGCTTACGATTTGCCAATGTAGAACTGCTTGTGGTCGCGCTGTCGTTCGCGGGCTGTCACGTCATTAATGATGGTGAACCCCCAGACATGGTCGAGCGCATCTGCCTGGCTAATTTTGAATCCAGGCTTCCCGACAATGACCCCGATCTCTCCTTCATAATCAACAGAATCCGTGAAGCCAGGATGCGGATAGATCTCATCTCCGTCGGCAACTGCTGAAGTCCATCGCTTAGTAAAGATGACTGGGTGTGTTGGCATGTCCACCTTGTCGGAGCTATCGTAACTGCAAAAATCATGAAGGTCAGCATGCTCTGGTAATAGCGGCGAAGATGATAGCGCATACCCTGAAGCATTGAATTCTTTTGCATGAGCCTGCAAGCCGTCAGCAACCAGCACGACGGACACTCGAGATTATGCCTACTGCATAGTTCTTCCCAACAGCCAGAATATCGCGGCCGTAGATAGGTGGCAACAGCTTTGCTTTGCTTCGAGGGAAGGCCTCGCCACCTTGGACGAAAGCGTCGTCCCTTGCCTCTATGACTTCGTAGAGACTCCTTACCGGCGTACCAGAGACATAGGAAAGGGGTGTAATCGCCTGCGATTCTAAGTCGAGATGTCCAATGCGTGGCTGTTTGCTGCCCTCTGGGATATACGCGACGTAGTTTGTCAATGTTGGCCCTGCAGACGCCACGCCGTCCGCAGAGGCTGTAGACATGGCTTTTCAAATCACAAATCACGAGTTCAACTGTCTGTCAGAGAAATTTCAAGTTGAACTTGTCGCTTGCGGGCGACTTTCTTACAAGTGAGCCGAGTCTAAGCTACGTCGACAAGCCTTCAACGTGCGAGCATCGTGGCCATTACCCGAGATTTCGCTTCTGATGCCGATAGACGCTCACGGAAGAACATGTCCTCCCACTAGACGAGCCCTGAGGGCTAGCTTCATACCGGCGATGCTGCCGACTGTGTGCGACGAGCTCGTGAAGCCGCGGGGAATCAAATGGTGAATAGACTCTTACGTCATTGAATGTCCCGCAATGCGCAACTTTAATCCGCCGTAATCCGCCCTCATCCGCTTTTCACCGCAGCCGCAGCTTCTTTTACTCTTTTCGACGCGGTTTCAACGACCGTCCTGATGCGCCATGTGTCCAACAACTAGAATTCCCTTCGGAGGAATCAATGCTGCACATCATCGTCCAGATCATTGATGCCAAGCCGCCAGATCAAGCTGCTGCGCCAGCGGAGATGCATGCAAGCACCCATCATCCTGCCCTCACCCCGCAACTTGAACAAATCTAAATGCCTGGACCTAAGACCCGGCAATTGAGTGCACCGGTTGGTATGAGAAATCATGGTGTACGGAGTAGCATGAAGATCCATGGCAACGTGCAGATAATTATCCATCATTCCATTCAGTCGAGGTGCGTGACTGGCGCGATGCCGATCCAGAGACCGGCATCCTACCGATACTACCTCTGCCAGGGGTGATGCCGCTTCTATGCAAGCGCAGGGGAACCGCTGGCATGGGGCTGAAGAAGCTCGCGGACTATCACCCTAGCTCTCCAGCTCCCCAGTCAAAGCAGCAATGTAGCAGAGTAGAACGTGCAATATCAACTCTGGCCAGAGCTTCTTGTCAGGAACACAACGTCTTCAGACGCCTCTTGCGGATCGAAGCAGTCCTCCGCCTTGCAGGATCACATCCAGCACAATGTCTTCCTACGATGCAGCAGATCAGCTCGAAAAGTCGGCGGCTGCTGCCCATGACGAAGCACAGCGCATAGAACGTGTGCGCACAAAAGGCGGGCACGAGGACGACCGAACCCAGCCGTCTCTTCCAGTGGTGCATCGATCATTTGCCAACCCAGCGCCATTGGGACTGCTCTCTTTTGCGACCGGTAAGCACTCGCGCTCTGAAAGAAAGCAAACATGTGGTGACCCAGACATCAAGGTATATTCTTGATCTCGGCCTACGGTGTGCATGTGCGAAACATTTACACCCCGAATGTTCTCGTCGCGATGATTATATTTTTCGGAGGGGTATGCCAGTACATCTCGGGAATAATGGAATTCATTTCTGGCAACACCTTCGGAGCCACGGTCTTCTCGTCTTATGGGGCTTTCAACATATCCTACGCGATGATCTACCTGCCAGGCAGCGGCATTCTCGCAGCGTACACCGACGAAGCCACAGGTGAACTCAGTCCTGAGTTCAATCAGGCTCTGGCTATGTTTGTCTGGGCTTGGTTTATCCTGACCGTGATCTACACGGGCGCCGCTTGCCGTGCATCGTGGGTGCTGTTCTTGGACCTCGCCGCCCTCGACGTAGACTTGTTACTGCTGGCCTGTGGTTATATGTACAACAACCAGTCGCTACTTGTTGCAGGCAATTCTGTCGGTTTTGTCGTGGCTGTCTTGAGCTGTAAGTCTCGATTCTGCATAAAATTTGCATAGCCATGACTAACAGTCGCTGCAGATTGGGCGGGCATTGCAGGGCTATACGGAGGCGGCGTGACCCCATTCAACGTTCCTACATTCTCAATGCCATGGGCTGAGAAGAACTGAACAGTGAGGGCACAATCATGCAAGGGCGGCAGCGGTTTGAAACATCTAGTCAGAGTCCTTGATTGAGAGCTGCGTGCGAACTCTGCTTAGAACATATATATGGAAGACGTCGAGAATGCGCATGGACGCAGATAAAGGATCAATGTGCGACATTACTACCAACCATCATCACCCAGCTTCGACAGCCCGACATATCGGACTGACTCGGGAAATCTGTTCCTGATACCTTCAGTTCTGCCTACTCTGAGAGCGCGGCCATACTGCTCCATGACGCTCTTGCCATGCAGCCGCCAGAATTGCCAGGAGCAGTCCTCTCCAACGAAGCTCATAATCACATCCTCACCTCCGGGATGCTCTGCGGCGAAGTCGGAGCAATCGTAAACAATGCTGTCTATGACAATCCAGTATTCATTGTCCTGCGTTTGTTCCGTGTCCGAGATGGCTTGGTTTTTCGATTTGTATTGCTTGCTGCGTCCAAGGACCAGGTCCTTGGCGATAAAGGGAAGGTCGTTGTCTGATAGTGACTCTGGCACGAATGGGTACTTTTTGCTGGCATCCGAGGACTTTGCAATGCCTTCCTCCGACGGACTGTTGATGTCTTCGACGTGAGCGATGTCAGCGTCCCGCTTGAGAGAGCTTGTCGGCCCGAATCGACCTCTTCGTACGGCTTGCATGGTTCTTCTGAGCACAGGTTTGGGTACAAAGCACGGGTTGTTACCCCTCACAGACATGTACCAATTGGCCTGTCTGGGTCCTCAAGAGCGTCCATCGAGCCAGATGGTAGCTTGAAGTACCGTTTCCAGGTGCCAGGCCGCCCTTCGCCGCTGAAAACCGCCTGATTGTCCTGTGGATGCCGATTTTCGTTGTGAGCAGGAGGAAACAAGCTTATGCCGACCCCAGCATGCCACACCGAATCATGGCACATGGAAGCACACCCCTCCTTCCGCGCCCTGGCCAGATCCTTTACGTGGATGGCCGTGGCTGGAAGGACGCGGGGATCCAACTTGCGGGGTGCATGGAGAGAAAGCGGTTTCCGGCATGGGATCGTCTGGCACTTGTGCATTCCTTGGAAGGTGATGGGCTCCTTCATTGGTTGTGCGACCCCTCTCGTTCCTCAGATACATGTGAATACCTGGCACCGGAAAGATGCCACATAGCAGTGGCAATGGTCAAGTACAGACACCTGTCGACCGACGGATCTTCGTGGCTCCCTTTTCGAAATCACCGGCTGCGAGGGATTCCTGCCAAAATCCAGGAAAGAGCATCAAATCCAGGCACCACTTTCTAGTCACAACTACGCAAAATGGCGCCAGCAAGGATCGTGGACGACATCCCATGGTCGTCCCCTGCTTTTGTACCCGAGCCTTACGAGGGTCCTCCGCGGAATGTTAAGGCCATCGACGAGATCAAGTTCAACGACGCTGTCAAATATCCCAAGTACGAGATACTGGGCACTGATCCCGACTCGAAGATCATCTTCGAAGATGTCAGTATCCTGGACTGTACGGGCAAAGAACCATACCGTGGCGACGTGTATATTGAAGGTAAGTGGGTGCAGTAGTTGCTGAGGACAAGCATACTGCATCCCTTTGAACAACCCAATGCGCTAACTAGTCAACCCAGGCGGACGGATAAAGGCCGTCGGCGATGTTCCCAACAAAGCTGAAATACTCAAGAACCCAGATATTCGGCTCTTCAAAGGGAATGGACGGACGCTCATGCCCGGTCTTGGGGACGCTCACACGCACTTCAGTTGGAACGGCGGTGACCTCGCCAGTCTGGGTGGCTTGAACGTCGAGGAGCATACACTCCTGACTGCCAGAAGTGCAAAATGTTATATTGACTCCGGCTATACCATGTACGCCCCTCGAGGCTGTGGCGAACCAAGAGATACTGATGTAGAGAAAAGGTGCTACGGAGCAGCCTCTGCCAAAGAACGTCTCGATGTCGCCATCCGGGACGCCATCAATGCCGGCGATATCCCTGGACCGCGCTCAGTTGCGAACGGCAAAGAAATGGCCAAGCACGACGGCGATCTGGAGTCGGCAATCACAGCCTTTGCGGACACACCAGAAGAGATGCGAGAAGTCATCAAACACCACACTGGCATAGGAGTGGACAATATCAAGTTGGTCATGTCAGGAGAAGAGGTAAGCCCAGACCTCCGAAATCCGATCCTCCCGCGGGGCTCACGGCTAACCGACACGTAGATTTGCGAAGTCCGGTCCGCCCAGGACTGCTATTTCACTGATGAAGAAACTGCCGTCTGTGTAGAAGAAGCCCACAAGGCCGGGAAGTCCATCTGTGCGCACGCAAGAGCCAGAGACTCGGTGAAGATGTGCGTCAAGGTGAGTTATATCCCATCGAGTGGCCTCCCGTCTTTGACGCTCGCTCACCATTCATTTCCAGCACGGCGTCGACGTCATCTACCACGGCTCATACATTGACGAAGAAGGCATGGACATGCTCGAGCAGGCGAAGACGAAGCACGTAGTCGCCCCAGCCATCAACTGGCTCGTGGCCACCCTGAACGACGCCGCGGCGTTTGGGTACTCGCACGAAAAGGCCGAACAAGTAGGCTACAAGAAAGAGCTCGACGTCGCCCTCCGCGGCCTCCGCGAAATGCACAGACGAGGCATCGTCGTTCTGCCCGGCGGGTAAGTGACGCACTCTTGCGCCCTATCTCCTTTCCGTCCGTCGGCCGCCGTTCTAATGCCCCATAGTGACTACGGCTTCGCGTGGACCCCACACGGCACCTACGCGCGCGACCTCGCGCACTTCAAGAACCTCATGGGCTTCACGGCCCACGAGTCCATCATCGCCGCCACCTACGGGGTCGCCAAGCTGATGCTCCGCGGCGACGAGATGGGCCAGCTCAAGCCCGGCAACTACGCCGACATGATCCTCGTGGACGGCAACCCCATCGAGGATATCGACGTGCTGCAGGACCACAGCAAGTTGAACGTCATCATGATCAATGGCCGCGTCCACAAGGCCGGGCGCAAGGAGTACGTCCCTCCCCCTGTTGCGGGCCAGGATTCGAACAAACATCCCATTGTGCCGGATGTGGCGATCAGGGATGGGAAGCCTGAGGTCAAGGCTTCTTAGGGACAGTGCGCAGCGCCAAGGTGGAGGGCTCTCCACAGTATATGAGTTTTTTGTGCGAGTGTTCACGGATGTCATGCAAATAAGTTACAGTATTGGCAAACTACTCCGTACAGTACGTCGATGCAAGACGGAGTGCAAAACTGTCCTTGCTTGGTCAATACTAATACACGGTTATGTACTGGAATACCACGGACGAGTATGCTTGCTTGAATGCATGTCTTATCAATCGATGAACGCGTTGGCCCCATAATGAATGATTAATGATACTGTCCTTACAGCCAGCCAGCCAGCCAGCCACGCATCCATACTCAGACTCTCCTGAACACGGCCGGAGCATTCCTTGCAGTTCCTAGGACCGGCTCCTCTGCGCTGATCGCGATTCCGACATTCGTCGTCGTCGACCAGCTACTGTGTGTACTGCAACACTGGGTGTGGCTTGACCACGCTTGTGCATGCAGTGACGCGGGAGTGATCCTTCTCTTTCGCTGTGCGGTGTTAGTTAATGCAAACTTTGTATCAACTAGAGGACTTGCTCTTGACTCGCCTTCCCGAGATGGTAGTCGTGGGGCACTCCCGATATCAAAGGATGGCGTGTCAATCGGGTATAACACTCTATTGAGTCTAATGCTTTTTATGTGATATATTTGCAAGACTTGATCAGGTCATGTTTGTACATCGGAGGTCGTCGGTCCATATGCATTATCGCGTCAATAGGCATTAGCATTAGCATATGGTAATGTACAATTTCCGTGTTGACAATCCCACCCATGCCTGCTTTAGGGGCGCGCCGTACTCCATGTGCAAGGTCCTAAAGATAGGGGTATGAAGTATGATTACTTCCCCACGCCGTGCCGTGCCACAGTATAATCAATCACAAGTTCCTCAAACATAATGCAGTCACACTGGCTCTTACACCGTCACCCAATAAATTTCTCAACCCCGTCTCGGACAGCGAGCCACCAGCTTGATTGCCTGTCTGCCTCGTCTCTTTGCTTGATCCCTCGAATCGTCTCGATTGGCCGTTGAGACTTGACTTGCTTTTCGCTGAAGAAATTGCCATGCAAACCGTAAGGCACCCTCTGGGTGAGGTGAACACGGGCGACCACGGTCTTCATGTCCTTGGCATCTATGATCCAAAGCTCGCTATCTGCGTCCAACGGGCATTCGCCAGAGGCGTCCAGCTGAGACTCATCAAAGACGTAGGTCAACAACCAGCCATCATCCTCGCTGGTGCCATCTTTACGAGGTACAAATCGGGGCTCTTGAGCGTACCAGCCCGGCGGCATTTTGAAGATTGAGATCGGATCGTCTTTCTCCGTAGAGTCGAGGACTTCTCCGATGGACCTCATGTCCACACAACCAGAAATAGGTTCAAGACCTGTGTTCTTTCTGCCTCGCCTGATCAAGGTCTCTCCATCTATCTTGACCAAGCAGTCGATCTTGACAGCACGACCGAGCGCTGCACCAAAGGTCCCTTCAGAGGTGGAGCAGCCAAAGACATATTTCGTCACATCCATTCCCTTATCCTCACGAATGCTCGGGAATTCGAAAGGGATAGCGCTAAGCGCAAACTGATGTGCAATGTTGTTCTGTCGCTTCTCAGCCAACGAGAATTGATAGTAATAGAGGCGGCATTGCTCCTCTTCACCACCGGTCACAGGGGATGTCGGCTGCGGCGCAGCGACATCGCCGGCATTGAAAACTAAAGACGCAGACGTCAGCCGACATGCAAGCATGTTGACAGCAGTCGTCTCGACTTCGCCAGTAGCCTTGTTGACTATCCGGTCATCCCAGGTATTGACTGTGTGAAAGATACAGCACGCTTTCGTCTGGAACCAGCGGATCTGCTGCGGCCAATGTCGTGGGAAGACACCGAAGCGGGACTGTGAAATTGGGTCGTAGGCAACCACAGGCTTGTTCTTTGCCAGGTTCAGGGGGTCCAGCGATAGAGGCAGATCCATGATCACTGTGTGGTGAAAGGAAACACCGAAATCATGCATCATCTTAGCAGACGAGACGCCGGGAATGGGGGCGTTCAGCAGTCTTGTCGGTCGTTCGAGCGGTGTCGACGGCGTGGAGGGAGGATGATGAGTGGCAGGTATGATTGAATAATGAATGTATGGTGGCACAAAGGTCGACTGAAAAAGAATCAACTCTCCCGTTTTAGGGTCAACCCGGGGATGTGCGGTTGTCCATTCCTTCATGAAACCATAAATGCCCTTCCCACCGAATCCCGGGCCTCCTTCACCATCCATCTCGCCTTCAGCTTTCTTCCCGTTGTACCAGCCAACCGTCTCCAGTCCAGGCAGAGCGATCCGCATTGGAGGTCCAGACTCGCAGGTCGCCAGAGCACGCCCATCGTGATATAAGATGCCTGTGTTGGCCACACTGATTTTCTTGATGGCTTGTACTGAGCCTGGCAGTCGTGCCAGTATGACAAGACATATGGTGCGGAAAACGAGGAGGACAATATGGTAGAGCGAAGACAATGGATTGACTAAAGTGGCTATGCTGGGAAGGATGGGGGTGCGAAGGTGCTTCGAGGAGGTGGTAGAGAGGTAAAGGTCAGTCAAGATGTACTGGTTGACAAATTCTGGCTGTACTCCGTCGGCAGTGTGGGTAAATGAAACACCACTGAGCATGCCGTCACCGTCAAACCAGTGCGCATCTCGACCCAAGTCCTCGTTTGACACCGGATTGCCCCCGTTCCGAACGTATTCACCCCCTGCTAGCTCTTGCGGTATGCTGCCGGTGTAGTGGCATGGTGTCAGAGGTTGAACTTTCTTGACAGGAGCAAAGTTACCGCTCAAATATGGATGTGGATGACTTCTCTTGCGTTTTCGGGGATTTGGGGTGGCCGTCGTTCGGCGGGATGATGAGATCAGGGGCATCGTAGAGGCATCTTGTGCTGACACTGCCGAGGACGACTTGAGCATTGTCGAGGAAAAGGTCGAGGACGTCGCCGTTGCTTGCCTATACACGGTGGCTCGGCTTCGGCGTCGAAGTAGGCATGCACGTAGAGTCCCAGGGCGAAGTGGCACTACTCACGAGTTGTTCCAGGTCGATCTAGGAGCTAGAGCATGAAGGTAGTTTGTGGCCCAGACATAGGAAGGTCTAAAAGGAACGCACAGAGTACATCATCACGCAATAGCAGTTTTACACACAAGTAGAAGCAGCAACTCACATGTCAATGTTTGGTAGAAGCCATAGCTATGGAGGTGAACCAGGTCTGGCATGAGCACTTCCCGGATCAACCAGTTATGAAGTCAGGCGCATGAAAGGGCCAACCAGTACCCGATCTCAAGCTCTGCAGTGCCTCTGAGGATCGTGACCACGGGGGGGGAAGCTAAAGGCACCAGGCAAGAAGGGTAAGGCGAGGTGAGGTGAAAGTGAGAGTAAGGTGAGCGCAGGTGACGTATATGCACCACGAATCATGTGGTCATACACTTGCAACCTGCAACGGCGAACGGAGCGAAATCATTAGTCTTCTACGGAGTACGACCTCGGGATATTAAGTGGATGTACGAATACTCCCGGCCATGGTGGCTGCTCCGTGCTGCGCCGTGCTGCTCCTACTGGACAACAACTGTGGCTCTCCAGCTGCCCCGAGCCTTACGGATCCAGCCTCCCAAGATCTGATCGTGGCTTGACCTCGATTTATTCCGAAAGCCGTCAACTCCACAACGCTGGTATCTACGCGTCATGATGTGCCCGAAAATTAATGGCGCACAGCAGAAATTCTGTTGAGAGGTCCACGGATTGGCTCTCCTGCTCTCCGGATTTCTGCCTGCTACCTTCCGACAGTCATAGAAGTTTCTGCGTCGCTTCCCGCGTGGAGTTGACCACTGCTGCCGGCTATTTGTGTATGATGGCTCCTGCCGTTGCCGTAAGCTTTCTCTGATACAGGCACCTTTGGGAGCTTCACACGCGCGGGAGACGCTGCAAGTGCCTATCGGAAGTCTGTCCTGATGTACGACTATGCGATTGTGTATGTGATTCTCTAGCCCTGCTCGTGTGAAGGAACTAACACGTGATCTCTGCGGCAGTCATCTCGTCTATACGGTCCCCCTTGCGACAGCCTTGTCTATCATATTGGGACCTCTGTTGACCCGCCGTGATGTCTACAAAATATGCTTCTTGCAAATCGTCGCCGTGTCATACACGATTCCTTGGTGAGTGTACAGTCGTCAAGAGTGTTCGCGCGCGTGCTGACCAGTTCAGGGACTCTTACCTCATCCGGAACCGAATCTGGAGTATGTTGATGTCTCCCTGTATTGATATCTGGATCTTAGGCCTGCTAACTACTCGAAGCGTATCCACAAGATGTCATAATAGGGCCGACTTTGCTCGATATTCCTGCTGAAGAGGTCTTCTTTTTCCATATTCAGACATATATTGTGGGTAATCCGTATTTGCATATCTATATGCGAGGCTGCTAATTCTGCATCAGACGACATGTCTGCAAATTCTCCTCAATAAGTCGGTTCTTGTCGCCACTTACCTGCATAACGAAGCAGATCCCAGAGATCCCGTGGGCAGGTCATTACTCCTTGGGAAACGAGCAGGTCAGCTCATCCTTGCCCTCTTGGCACTTGGACCAATCCTCTTGCGCGATGGCCCCAAGGAAGGGCAATACCTCCGACTCATCTTGGCCTGGGCTTGCCCGGTGATGTATATGCTTTGGACCTTTGGCTATCAGCTACTCCTCACCCTTCCGTGGACGAAAACATGGTTACCCATTGCTGCTCCAACACTGTACCTCTGGGTCGTCGACACGCTTGCGCTCCAGAAAGGTACGTGGAGCATCGAATTAGGGACTAAGCTCGGAATTCATGTCTGGCCTCATTTGGAGATCGAAGAGGCAGTCTTCTTCCTCTTGACCAACACTCTCATAGTGTGGGGATCAACCGCTTTCGACAATGCTATGGCTATCCTCGATGCCTTCCCCGAGCATTTCGCTGTCGTTCCTGGGACACCATCGCCTATACTGATGTTCAAAGCACTGTTTCTGCCCACTTTGAAATATGACACGGCCCGTCTGGAAGGTTTACAAAATGCGCTTACGGTACTTGCGAAGAAGAGCCGGTCCTTCTACTTGGCTTCTGGCGTGTTTGCCGGTCGCTTGCGAATCGACCTGATCTTACTCTACGCATTTTGCAGGGTGGCCGATGATCTGATTGATGATGCGCCGTCTGTGGAAGAGGCAGACAAATGGGTGCAACACTTCACTCGTTTTCTTGATGCGGCGTACTCGTCGAAACGCGATCCTGGTCGTTTACAAGCATCTCTTGAGCCCTTCCCCTCGAAGGCACAATCCATTCTAGTACTACTGCCAACCGACAAATTACCGTCGGGGCCACTGTACTCACTACTTGACGGCTTCCGAATGGACATGAAATTCTTCGCCAAAGGATCCAAGGATGAACCACCAATTCAGACCTTTGTGGACCTTGAACGATACGCCAGTTGTGTTGCGGGCACCATTGGAGAACTATGCCTGAATCTCGTCTACTATCACGACCCTGATGGAGGGACCCGGGATGAGTTGAAACACAAATGCCTCGCCGCCGGCTTCCAGATGGGCCAAGCACTACAATATGTCAACATTGTTCGAGATGTGAAAAGTGATGCCGTTGTTGCTCGATGCTACATTCCCAATGAATGGTTTGACAAATCCTCTGAGGCTTCCGCCGACGCGCAAGCTACTGAAATCCTGCGTTTTCGACGTCGAATACTGGACACTGCGTTCAAGATATATGCGGACAATAGGGATGCCATTGAAAAGTTGCCCTACTATGCCCGTGGCGGTATTCGTGTTGCGGTCGAGAGCTATATGGAGATCGGCAGGGTGATGCGCGAGCGAATGCGACGAGGCCAACCTTTGGACTTTGCGGGAAGCGGCAAGAAGGGTCGAGCTAGCGTGCCAAAGTCCAGGAGGATACGAGTTGGCTGGTGGACGATGATGGGTTGGAGAGGTCCAGCATGATAGAGAGCACGATCCATTTGGCGCATCTTGTTATATTAGTCGTAGCAGTCCGTAGACCGTCTTGTCAGCTTCGAGGTACTCGAGATGCAGCCATCAAAGGCAAAATAGGCTGATACTGTAGTGCACCTCGTACATAAGCCTGGAGATGGATGAGGGGCCTCGGGGTGCTCCACTGGTGCCACGGACATGCAAGGGACGTGCGAGTGAAGCCTGAGGCGTGTGCGGGGCTTGATGCACCATCACATCATGTCCTTCCGTGCCGTCTTCCCCTTGCACATGCGAAAGCGGCAGACCTGACCAGATCTCCGAACACTCACACTTGGTACCTTCCTACAACGCATTGCACACCTCCATGGCTTCGGCTGCGGCAGTGGAATCCAGTATATGTTTTGTCGACCTCGTGTGCGCGCTTGCCAGACGCCATGCTCAGGCCTAATCATCCTCCGAATGCGTCGGGGGATAGCGGCGTGCCAATGCGCCGATGGGAAAAGTCATGTTGTCATCGACTTTACACCTACATGCACATAATATGCGCCATGTGATTTTCTCGGATTTGCACCCGGGATCGGGCTCTTGATTCTCATGCAATCCCAGTGCAGCGACTGAAAGTATGGAAAAGCCAAAGAGTGCGATCATCGTAGGTGAGAACGCGCTGCCCGGACCCCTTCGTCTGTGGCCGAGACTGACTGCAAGCCCCCAGGCGCCGGTGCTGGTGGTATTGCCAGTGCAGCAAGGCTCGCCAAAGCCGGGTTCAAGGTCACTGTGGTCGAGAAGAACGACCACACTGGCGGACGATGCAGTCTGATCCACGACAACGGCCACCGTTTCGATCAAGGTCCCTCCCTCCTTCTCTTACCCGATCTCTTTCGAGAAGTCTTCACCGACCTAGACACGTCGCTTGAGGATGAAGGGGTAGAGCTGCTCAAATGTGAGCCGAACTACAATGTCTGGTTCGGCGACGGCGAGTGCATCGAGCTGTCGACAGACGTGGCCAGAATGAAGAAGACAATCGAGAAGTGGGAGGGCAAGGAGGGCTTCGAGAGATATTTGGCTTGGATGCGGGAAGCGCATGTCCACTACGAGGCCAGTGTCGTGCACGTGTTGAGAAAGAATTTCGGAACCATTTGGGCCATGGCACGTCCCAGCTTCCTGCCATACCTCATGGCACTGCATCCTTTTGAGAGCATATGGTCCCGCGCATCGCGGTATTTCTTGACCGAACGACTCAGGCGTGCATTCACATTCGGGAGCATGTACATGGGCATGAGCCCGTTCGAAGCCCCTGGAACGTACAGCTTGCTTCAGTACACTGAGTTGGCTGAAGGAATATGGTCAGTCTTCCAGCCGGTCCAGCATGCTTTGTTAGCCACTGACCTGTACTCAGGTATCCGCGAGGCGGGTTTCATAAAGTCCTGGATGCCTTGGTCAAAATCGGCGAACGTCTCGGTGTCGAGTATAGGCTCTCGACACCTGTTGCCCAAGTCAACGTCGACAGATATTCGCGGCGCGCTACCGGTGTTACCCTGGCATCAGGGGAGGTGCTGAATGCTGACATTGTGCTTGTCAATGCCGACCTCGTCTATGCTTACAACGAACTCCTGCCTCCCTCTCACCGAGCCACCTTGTTATCGAAGAAACCCGCTTCGTGTTCTAGCATCTCATTTTACTGTAAGTTAAACGAATCGTATCCGCCTAGGCCCACAATGCTAATGTTGTGAAGGGTCGATGGACAAAATGATTCCTGAGCTTCACACGCACAATGTCTTCCTGGCAGACGACTATCAGGACAGCTTCGACGACATCTTCAAACGCCAGCAAATACCCAAAGAACCCTCCTTCTATGTCAATGTACCATCAAGGGTCGACCCAACTGCAGCCCCAGAAGGTCGCGACAGTGTAGTGGTCCTCGTCCCGTGCGGTCACCTACTGGAAGGCGAGGCTGATCGAGGCCTCAATCCTCAGAACGCCCAGGACTGGCAAGCGATGGTTGCCAAAGCTCGACATGCCGTGTTTGAGACCATCCGGCTGCGGACGGGTGCTGATCTTCAATCACATGTCACGCACGAGATCGTCAATACACCAGGCTCGTGGAAAGAAAGGTTTAACCTTGACAGAGGCGCCATTCTGGGCTTAAGTCATTCCTTCTTTAATGTGCTCAGCTTTAGGCCGAAGACGAAGCACCCCGATCTCGGAAGCCTATACTTCGTCGGAGCAAGCACCCACCCCGGTACAGGCGTACCCATTGTCCTGTGTGGTAGCAAAATCACGACCGAGCAGATTTTGGACGACTTGGGGATGGTCAAGCCTTGGTATCCCGGCGGACACAAGAGGAGGATAGTCAGCGACCTGGACAAGGAGGGCTGGCACTCCTTCGATCTCGGACACACTCTTGTCGCGGTTTTTATTGCACTATGTCTGGTGCTCTACATGTTTGCATTCAGATAGAGAAATTCAGCATAGCAGGATAGAAGGGAGCAAAGCGTCTCGGAGTTTTCGGTTTGGCCAAAATGCACTCTAGACTCTAATCGTTCACCAACAGCTGTCTTTTCCTCATGTGCAAACTGATGCCTTTGATTGTAGCGGCGAGTGTCGCCGAGCGGGACGTCATATCAATAAGGAAGAGGCCCAGCCTACCTCAGACAAAGTCCTGTGTACGAGTTACCAGCCTACCGAAGTAATTAGGTGGAGGCTGACCCTGGTGCCGCTGGCCAGAGAGAGTGAGAGGTTCACAGATGGCCCGCACACCGCACAGCATTCTACTGACATTTTAGTCAGCAGCACCGTGACTCACTTGTGGCGACACCAAGCATCGTCGATCACTAGGAAATGCCCCGATCGGCTGTCGAATCATGTCACTTCCATGGCTTCCTAACGTTTTGGCGGTAGAGCCTTGCTACTCGTGTCCCAGCGTCTCCGAGGGGAGTACTCCGTAACTCATGACTAAACCTTGCAAGCTTATGCCGTCGACCATCTCGTCTTGGGTGGTGAGAGGCCTTGCTTCCGCTGACACCGCGCCCTTCCGCCAATACCGGGCTGGCGTAAAGACAGCTGCCTCGCAATATTGTCCGGGTGGCCACAAGAAAGGAAGCCCGTGTTCTGAACGAGATAGGCAGTAGTCAGAGCTGCCCAGAGGGAGATGGCATGCGGCAATTAGCTGGCAGCCCAGTAACCTCTGCTAAGGTCAAATCCGACCACATCCGGGCGCCAAATGGTTCGATTACTGCAGAGTCTCGACAAATCTCAGACCACCACGATTGCTGATCAAGGCATGCAAAGTGGTCATTTACAGAGTACACCTCGAAGCTCTGCACGCTAGGGATTCTCCTCATTGCGTCAACCAGTTAGCATCGTGTTTCATGTTTCCGAATGCTAATGTTTGCTGTAGCTTGTGCAATGGTGGCTTTTCCCATCACCCATTCGGAACACGAAAACATCACAGCGATACCCTAGCTTCCAGAGCCTTGCAGCTGGATGAGGCAGATGACCCTTCCTGGGATGGGAAAGCGTCTACAAGAATCATGCTTACTTTCCGCCGACAGGCCTTCCGCGCCCAGGCTCGGGTGGGACGGCAGCACTTTCTCGGAGTCGATGGTGAAGGTTGAAGGCGAGATCCTTCCAGCACATGCCCAGTCAATGAGCAGCATGTTGACTATTTCGAGTTGAATTCGACGTTGGCATCAGAAGACGTCATGGTGCGGCTCTCCGTTGCCGTCCGCATCTGACCATGTAAGAAGGTCGATATATTAGACCGCCTTGAAGCGCACACCCCTTCTCGACTCATCAGCGCATCACGACCCAGGAGGCCTGCCATCCCATCTAGCGGCAGCTGAATCAATCTAAACACCTAATACCCCTCGCGCCGGAGATCTTCAGGACTCACCATGGGCAACGACGTCTTCCGCCACAATGGCTTCACCAACACGGTGACGACCAACAACCACATCACCGTCCGCGGTAGCGATTGGTACTGGACTGTTTGTGCGGTCATGACCGTGTCCGCCTTTGGATTCATGATCCATTCGTACTTCAAGCCCCGCAGCCAGCGCCTGTTTCATTACCTGAATGCCACCGTCTGCCTCATTGCGGCGATCTCATACTTCTGCATGGGCGCCAACCTGGGCTGGACTGCGATCCAGGTCGAGTGGATGCGCAGCTCGGCCAAGGTCGCCGGCAACATGCGCCAGATCTTCTATGTCCGATATATCGACTGGTTCATCACCACTCCTCTGATCGTAGTCCAACTGCTCTTGGTGGCTGGCTTGCCCACTCCCACCATTCTGTACACCCTCTTGATGACCGAGGTCGTGGTTGTCAATGGACTTGTTGGCGCACTCGTGAAGAGCTCCTACAAGTGGGGTACGTGTTGTGTTCCACCATTTGCAGCATGACTATTGTGCACAAGGTTAATTAACCATGGCATGCAGGTTTCTTCACCTTTGGCGCCGTGGCCTTTTTCTTCGTCGCCTTCGCCATTGCCTGGGACGGCCGCGCCTACGCCCGCGTTCTCGGAGTTGATGTCCTCCGCATCTTCAACATTCTCGCTGCCTGGACCATTCTTCTGTGGACCGTCTACCCCGTCATCTGGGGTGTCTCAGAGGGCGGCAACATCATTGCCCCAGACTCCGAGGCTGTCTCGTACGGTGTCTTGGACCTCCTTACCAAGCGTAAGTCTTCAGGTAGATGATCCAGTGGTGCACCCTGTGACTGACTATTGTTACCAGCCGTCTTCGGCGCCGTCCTCATCTGGGGTCTGCGCAACGTCGACCTTGCGCGCCTTGGCATCCACGTCAACGATGCCCACCCGCGCATTCCAAGAGCTGAGCCTGCCCCTCGGACCGAAAAGGATGCTGAAGCCGCGGCCGCCAGCAATGGTGCCACCGCTACCACTCCAGCTACCACTACCGCCACCGCACCTGAGACTGCCGTCTAAGCAGTTCATCGGCGTCTGTCTCGTATCTCGCCCAGCATTGGCTGCTTGCGTCATCAACCTGCCTATCCAAGCAGATATATGCTGAGGTGATCGAGAGGAACGGATACCAGAGGTCCAAGCCTGGCCTTGCATGATACCCTCTCATCCACAACCAACCACAAAACCCAAGAATAAGCGACAGGTCACTCGTTCATGATGACGGAGCGAAAGAGTAGAGTACCGTAGTCAGAGATGACGGAATTCACTAATACTTGGGATTACCTTATTGCTTCGAAGGCCGGCCTAATTTTGTCTGTCATTCATGTCGCGACGATACCCAAGATACAAGATACCATGGACAAGCATCATTGCTCTAAGAGTACTGTGCACAGTATGCAGTTAATCGCCTAATACTTACCACATTGTGTAGATAAATCTCACAAGCGCCATTCGTTGGTTTGATCAGTGGTTCGCACGCCCGCCCTTTTCTGATGAGACTGATCTCACTCTTGCAGGGCGGAGGTATGACATTGCAGTGGCCGGATGTGAGAGTAAGCCATACGGTACGCAGGCGTGTCGAGCCGGCTTACCTTCCATCGCGGGAAGATGTACGGAGTACTCCGTACTGTGCAGCCATTTCTTTTGGGTTCTTTCCGTGGCTCCTGGTCGGTGTGGAAAAAGCGCAGCCAAGTACGGAGTAGGGAGCAGAGGTCACAAGACTCTCACCTCGAGTCAGTCTTACCCCCGTGTTGCTCCCACTCCCAGCCACCTGCCCGGAAAATCTCCAGCCCGCATACGGAGTACTTAGATACACATTTTGAGGAGTGGCTTGAACCCGCCCGTCACAAGGTCGACACTGACTTTGACGCCTGGCCTGATTCGACCTAGCAAGAATTCTGCTCGGAAGTTTCCATAGAAATGCAGGGGGTCATTCCTCATTCGTCCTTCATGCAAACGAGAGCGACTGCAATAATTCCTACACAGTACTGACATCCGGCCCCGACATGCAGGCTTGTTGTCTCGACTCTGGCTAGTAACCTCCCGGACTCACCGTCTCTTCCTCAGTATGTGCGAGTATAGACAAAACGAACAACGATCGACCCAAGCTGTTATCTATCACTGGTCACTCTGCACAGTAATAACTTTCCAGCAGAGTAAAGAATTTCGCTATCTCCATTATTCATGTTGCATGTACCCCTCGCAGGCAGTGAGCACCGACTACCCCCGAACAGCTCCCTGGGCGTTGCTGAGAAGGCCAACGCTGGCGTCTTGTCGCTTAGTATCAGAAGCAGGGGTGCTATCAAACAAAAGCGAAATGTGCATGCTGTGCGGAGTATCACCACTGGGAAGTTCGACTTTTTCATTTCGCCTGCTTCTTCATTCGGTCACTTGCAGAAGATGTGCAGAGACCCCATCCACAATTCCCTGCAGACCGACGATCATACTTTTGGGTCGCTTCGTGTTCATCAATGATCCGCGGGGTACCACAGTACGAGTATGAGTTATGTCTCCAGTTCAATTATTGGGCTCAAGGTGGGAAGAGGGCAGCGGGCTGATTCCGACTACAGTACTGTGCACTGCTGCGCACATATTCGTGCTCAGGGACCGTAGTTGATAACAGCTGGCCCGAGGCGAGGGGTGCTGCTACAATGTCGCTAACGCACTGTCGCACAGACCATACAACGGCAACCGCGCATTCTCTCTAGCCTCGAGGTAGTAAGGCGTGCTTAGGGACAATGAAAATTGTCCCTGTTTGCTACTAGCCCCATTGCGCGCTTGACCAGGACAGCATCCGCCGTGTACGGTATACACCAGTAAGCGGGGTTAGCAAGTTTGCTTCCTGCTCGAGAACACCGCGTCGGCCTGAACCTGACTGCTACGATGTGAGTATCGGCGGTTCCGCGCAGACCACAAATCTCAAAACACTCTTCCCGCAACCAACCAGATTGGGTCGCTGGTGGTCGGACGGCGAGGTGCAGCGACGTCGTGTAATGCACGGCGACAAGAGGCCATAATGTCATCGCGCTCAGTTGCGCGCATTGCCAGTGGTAGATCAAACACCACCAACGCACATTGGTCGGTGGGGTTGAAATTGGATACAGTGTACCGGCGGCTAGAAGAGGTTAGGCCCAGTTTGACGATAGAGAACAAATCCGAATGCAACTCCAAGCCTGATCCGAGAGTGAGAGCCCCGCGAGCGCCGATAAGCCAGTCGGACGCGTGCTGGGCAATGGCAACTCTCCGCGTCGACATCAGGGGCACCGAAAGTAGGTTTGCTTTCGCGGGCGGCGATCTTGGACAAATGGGCAAGGCGCGCACCTTTTAGATTCTGAAGTCGCTGTTCTTAATCTTTGGCGACGCGGGATTTCTAGCAGATGAGGTTTCCAATGAGTTTCGCGCGGTGCCTGGCTGATCTGGTTAGCTGCCTCACTAACCGATCTAATCTGGGTCCGGCGCACCCTTAGTGGGCTGTCGGGAAATTTGGCGTGACGGGCATTGGCTGGCAGCCGGGGAAACCCCCGCAGCAGGTCGCGGACGGCCACTCACAGGCGCTGTTTCAGACTCGCACTAAACTCTGGCCTCTGCGATCAACGAACCTCAAGTCCAACTCAAATCTGCCAAACAACCAGTGGATGCGTGTCAAGTCGCGCTGTCGACACCGGCGTCTGCTTGGACCTGCACGCAATCTAGAGGGTCCCCGGCGACGATGCCGCTAAATGGCCCTGCCTCCAGATATGCTCCTCGGCCGCCACATATACTTCTTGTACCTCCCTGACCCTGGGCGACTGAATCCTTCCTCACCCGTACACGCACAAAGCACCAGGATAGCATATTGCTGTCGTCCGAGTCCCTGAGCTCCCTCTCAGTTCCTGTCGCATTCGTTCTCTTCAACCAACCCGAGCAGCGCTCCCTCAGCTCGCCTTGCGCGACGCCCGCAACATCCATCAAACCACGACAGGTCCTCCGCGGACGGATCATATCTCGTCTCACGCTCACTTTAATCCGCGCAACAGCCCCTCCCGAAAGTGGCCATCTGGGATCACTCAACCTCACACAAGAGGAGTGGATCGAGACTGCGTTGAATGCAGTAGCCTTGCCATCGACAGCCTTGCGCACTGCTCCAGATCTAGCCCAACGATACACCTTCACCCTGCCAAGATGCGCATTCACTCCGCATTCGGAGCCCTAGTGCTCTTCCTTGCATCATTGGCTCTCGCCAACATGCCTCCTGGCGACTGGTCGGGGGAGACTACCGTCACTGTCACTGCCTCCATGTCGACCACTCACACTGTCACCAAATATCTGACTTATGCCAACGCCACGACGACTTCCAGTTACTCCGCCCCGACAGGCTGGAACGTGACCTCAAGCTACCCGACTGGAGCAAGCACGGTTCACAGCTCGGTCCTGACCGCTTCCGCTTCAGCAACCTCGAGCGTCTTCCCACCTATCGCTTCAGCCACTGGCGCCGCCAGTTCGCTAGAGATGAACCTCGTCGTCGCTGGTCTCGCCGGCGCTGCGGCATTGTTCTGGGGCTCGTTATAACCCGGAGTCGGACCCCTGGTCGATGTGCTCAGCAGCCGCTGGGCCGCCGATCGACCCGTTTCATTTCCTTGTCTTGACTGAGTCAATGTTTCTTATCATAACGAGCACTAGTTGCTTGTTTTATCTCCGTTTGATCTACGAACATTCGTCTCTGGGAGAGGTTGAATTGGAGAACACACCGAGGAGGAGTAAATCTGCGACGCAATGACTGTTACCGCAGCCGGTACTTTCATGGTCTACCCACTGGTTTGAGGGCGACATCAATCAACGCCTGGGGCGCAGATGGGCGTGGGCGGCCAATCGCTTCTTGCATATCCTTGAGCGCTTTGAATATGGGCCCAGGTTTGCGGACTCGACTGCTGGGGCGTGGGGAGTCATGTGGTGGGGGAAGGGGCCGTGGCTTTGGAATCACGACCGACATGATGAACTGCTTCGTCCATATACCCTGGAAGCATGGAAACCGAGTCTTCAGTCTCTGTTCGCACCACAGATGTACATTTAGTTAGTTGAGCGAGTCTTGTAGTTGTATCAAGAAACATGATGGAACTTGCGCGTGTCTCACTGCTTCGTGCCTTGGATCGTTAACCACTGCTGGTGTACGGAGCAGGGGTTTACCCGTGCAAACTCTCTGACCGTGGTCAGCGTGTCAAGCTGCTCGATGACATCGGGTGGAGCGGATCAGATTCGCAATGGAGCACTCCGTACTCGGTACTCCATACTTGTCACCTGTCATGCCCTGCTCGGAAAGAGATTTCCGTTTTGGGGGCTTGCTCGCTGGGCCTCTTGCAATGGCATTTAAATGGTAACACCAGTTTCTCATGACACAACCACTTTGTTGGATCAGTGAATGAAGCTCGAACTATCAATGCCAATGTCATGCTCTGAAGTGTTGTGGTCATGGGCCATGGCGGGTTGCGACCTTGTAGCTCGTAGGGCTGGACGTGGAGATGCAGCGTCATCAACATCACGTCCGCCGCCCGACACGCGATGTCCTTCCGAATTGGAGACGCGTCGCGACCCTCTCAACGGCTTTCTTTACACAATCTCAGTGCTGTGCTACTCGCACGCTGCCACTTGCCGCTGGTTTCAGAAGCGGATATTACTGACCTTGCCGCCCAAATTGACCTACTTAGCCTCGCATCTTTATTGTGAACTTCCCCGACATGGACGAGCCTGAGCTTCCTGCACTCTCCGCGCCCGCGCAGGCCGAAATCCGAGGACACACGCGCCCGTCCTTGCTGCTGACTCGGAAGAGGACGCGCTCTGACTATGCCGACGAGCCCGCCACGTCCAGCGACCCAGCGACGTTTTCCAGCGACGAAACCGCGCCCGGGGCCGAGAATTATGCCGCCGGCAAGAGGAAGAAGAAGCACACCTTCAGAGGCTCGTGGTGGGACCTTCACCCGGCCAAGAGCGGTACGAGGACGAGCCAGCGGAAGAAACGCGAGTTCCGGCGGAACTTCGACTCGGGAATATTCATGGGCAGTGAGAGCGAAGAACCTCTATCAAGCGATTCGTTCACCATGGAAGACGAATTCTTGAGGGACCAAGAGAGGTCCAGCCAGAAGGATCACGACTCTTCTCAGCATCCGAGAGTTCGGTCTTGCGGCAGTCAGGACTCGACGCCCAGAACGAAACTGGCTCTGCGCAATGCCGTTCAGGTGCCCAAGGAGCACGAAGCCGTCTGCCACGTCGTCAGACAGTGTCTCGAGCTGGGCAAGGAAGATGTGGATTTGTCGTGAGTGATCAAGCAGAACCCCCTACAGGACACTCGTCTGATGCCTTTTCCAGGGTCATGTCCCTATCAACTCTGCCGTCGGAAGTCAGCACGCTGAATACACTCAGCAAGCAAGAGGAGATCGCGGAGGGCATGCTTCACATTGGCACTGATCTCGAACCTCGGCTCCGTCTATTCCTGGGCAACAACCTCTTCACAAAACTCCCCAGTGTAGTCCTCGATCTCCGGCATCTGCGCTTCTTGTCCCTTCGGAACAACAATCTGAGCTCTCTCCCGCCCAGCATACGAGACCTATTCAACCTGGAATCCCTGAACATTGCAGGAAACCAGCTGACCGAGCTGCCTTCCGAGGTGCTGGATCTCGTCAGCAATGCCCGCTTGCAAGAGCTAATCCTCCATCCGAACCCATGGAATCAGCCCGCAAGGTTGCCGCCCAAGCGAATCCAACCGGGCTCCCACATCCCTCTCATACAGAATGGGAATCTGCGGCTCTGGCAACCGATCTCTGCCCCTGATCACTTCGAGGGCGAATGCCCGCCACGACTGGCGACGAACTCGAACTCTCCTATCCCTTCGCTGACCGAGCTTGTTCTCCGGCATTTGGCCAAGCTCGACCCGAGAGGAGAAACCGTGGATTATACCGAGTACATGCCGCATGGTAGTCCTCAGACGGTGCTGGACAATCTCAGCTCCCTCAAAGAGCATCCAGATCGACGGTGTGGCTCGTGTAAACGACAGATAGTCCGGGCAGCGAAAGAAGAGATCCAGTGGTGGTATGTGAGCCGTGACCCGTCAGGTGGAGACTCTGAAGAGACGACTGGGGAAGTTGCGTCGCCTCCTAGAGCCATCAAATTTCGACATCTCCTCTGCTACGATGCATGTCGAGGATCAGGAGTCAGTTCGGAACTCTAGTAAGAGGTGTCCAGTGGACGGGGCTTGAAATGTGGATGGTACGGAGTATCTCTGTATGTAATACTTCCAGTGAAGAGCCTCACAGTATGGCAGTAGGCTACCTTGACTGCGTACGCTAAACATACTATTGGGACGATGCATGAGCTTAACACCATGGCGGCGATGAATGTCCCTTTTTCGTTAAGACTGAACTGAACCAAATCGGACTGATTTCATGCTCCTGCACTAGCTGCCCTTCATATGCACAAGGTGTACTCCGTATGTACATTACATCCAGACTCGTCCGAGCACAGTATCTATTGTACCCCAAAGTGGTTACAGCAAAGCACGTTTCCCAGAATTGTCGTACATGGGATGGGATCGCAGTGCTGGACTGGAACCGATGCCCACGCGATACAAGGATGCAATAATTTACCTCTGTCCTGCACGACTTGTGCTATCTACGTACCTACCTACCTACCGTACGTACGTACGGTGCTTGGAGTGGTGAAAAACTCACCTCAGCTGACCTGGGCAGGTCCAAAGGAAAGAATATACATACGGAGTACATAGGGCTAGTAACCACATCGGTCGATATCGGGTGGTCGATTATCACCGCTTTTGAAAATATATGCGCACAGCACAGCACATAATTACGTACTATGTACTCACATGAACTTGGGACTTACTCATCCTTACACCTGTCTTGTCGACAGGGAAAGGGAGGAGAAGAGGTTGCCCGAGCAAACGTACGTACGGTAGATGATCTCCCATGTCCTGCTCTAGTCGAGTCTGCTCTAGTTCTAGTCTCTTTGGCGCCCCATTCGCGGCCTTGCTGCCTCCAGTCCTGGCTGACGGCTCATTTTCGTTTTCATTCTTCATTTCTGTCCATCGCCATGCCCGTAAGCTTGAGCTCGAAAGGGATGCGCATCGCCGTAAGCGTGATCGACCATCTTCGACTGCGCCACGATCCGTCTCTCAATCTCGGCGCGCCAGTTCTCGGCCGTGCACCGCTTGCGCTCCTGCTCGTGCTGCGGGTGGTCGCCCGGGTTGACGCTCAGACATTCTCGGGATTTGGGGTCGTCGAAGTAGATCTCCTCGATGCGGGTGCGGGTGTCGCAGTTGAAGTCGAAGACCGTGATTCTTTGGTGGTCCTCTGGGAGGCCACCGCCACTGGATGGAGACGAGGGCGGCGATTTCGGGGACTTGACGCCTTCAAGGGCGGCTTTGACCTTTTTGATTGGTGAGAGGGAGTGATGATACCGGTGTTGTTGGGCCTCTGGCGGCATGGCTGCCAAAGAGAATTCGTGAGGTTGACCTGACCCGGTATGGTTCTTTCGTGTGTGATTGGCCCGCGCCCTTATTCTGCGTCTCGAGGCTGGAGATTCTCGGGTTCGAGGATATCAAGATCCTCGTCCCGGCTGGAAGTGCCTAGGGCTCCAATCAAGATGAAAGATCGGTCAGGGAAGGGCCCCGGTGGCATGGAGTTCGAAGTCTTCGCGACGACAATCCTTGACCGGGTGATGGTAACGTGCGATGAATCTGTGACGGAGCAATGGAAGTCGACATGAGTGTAGTGAAAAGGGGCTTGTTAATATCGTCCGGCAAGGCTGTTGATTGAATTGTTGTTCTTGCTGAGGTCGCGTTGGTAGAATTCACCCCGTTGGCCTGGGACAGGTGTCTTGATACAGTACCTCGTTTCCTTGGCCCAACCCATCAACGAACACAAGACCGACGGTCGATCGTTGGTATAAATAAGGCCTGACTGTGTTGTCACAAGTTATGATGTCGTGGAACATGTCACAAGCATACAAAGCAGGCAGGATGGAAAGAATGGAAACAGACACACCACACCAACCGAGCGAATAGAGGACAGAGGGCGTCAAGAGTTACCCAAGTATTAAGCCACGTCCTGTTCGCCGTCGCGTCCCATTTCCGTCTATGGGGTATCTCAAGTCGTTAAGTTATCACGAACGCCAAAACCGTAGCAGGAGTGACCGCGGATCGAAAAATCAGCGTTCGAAGAAACCTCCATCGCTCATGTCTTCGTCCTGGTCACTGTCCAGATCGGCAGGGTCGATGACACCGTCGTGGTCGAGCCAGTCTGGCTTCGCCTCCGTCAGATCGGGCCCATTGGTACTGCGCATTCGAGCATCTTCCTTCCCGCCGAGTGTGGCCAGGCTGGTCTTGAGCTGTTTGCCAGTAGTCAGCTTGCCCTCGCGTAATAAATCCAGCTGTGCCTCTCCCTTTTCCATCCGTTCCTCAATTTGATACCACATGGGTGGTTTATCGCCTGCAGCAGTGCGGACCACGTTGGCTGCTTGCTCGTACTGACTGCGAAGCTCCCTCTGCTGCTCCTCGTCCAGGATGGCAAAGTCGAGTCTGTTCATTTGAAACTTCGCTCGCTTCCTCTTGTCTTTGTTGTCGGTGTGGTCGTTCGGAAACAGGCTAATGTACTTGTCACCCAAAGGAGCGTACTTGGCGTAGTTGAGATCCACCTCCGTGATGTGTATCTGCTTTTCGAGCTCCTTCCTCGCATTTTCATCATTGCAAGAATCTCTCTGCCTAACCAGCTTTTTGAGATTTCGTTCCGATTTCTGTCGCTCTACAAACCGGATAAAATGATAGCGCTGGAGATTCTTTCTGGCCTCCTGTTTGAGTTTGTTCTGTTCCTGCTCAAACAGCAGGGCGGCAAGCTCGCGCTCCTTTTCCTGTCGAATTGTGCCAGGGAGCTCTTGTTTTTGCAACTGATTCTTCAGCGAATGTATTCTCGTGGAGGGATTGGTGGCTCGTTCATGCCTGGTTTTTGTGACTGCAGACCGGACAGGTGGCAGGCTGGGCACGTCCTCTTGTCTGGGTTTTTCACGGCGCTCGCGTACTCCGTCGTCTCCGGGTCGGTACGACTCATAACTCCGCGGATGATCAGGTCGAGATCCGTTGTCGCGCGGAGCCCATTTGGGGCGGTATTTATCGGTTCCACTGGGTTTCGGCCGGTATGTATTAGATGCAGGGCGAGTAGAATATCTGTGTGGAGGACCACGCTCTTTCGCCATTCTGCAGAAAAGGCGAGCGTGGACACAGAGGCAGGGACAAGTCGAGTGAATTCCCAGTCGAGCCTCTCGGTGAGTCTGTGGTCGAAATTCCCCAGATTTTCTGATTCTGCCGCTCGTCACCGCCTGCGCAAAGTGGGCCTAGACGCTAATCCTTTCTGGGACATGTTCACCTTCAGCTCACGCGCGCCTGAATTTCCGTTCCGTGGAGCGACAACATGGAAGCTGCCATTCGCTTCTCCCAGAACTCCTTGCCTGGGAGCGGCCAGCGCTTCTTGTATGTGGATGTCGTGGGCAAATCTTTCCGCTTGTGCAATGTTACGGGCCATGCGAAGGACATCTTGCAGTATGACACTATCCATACCACGACCAAGGTACCGGCATTTCGAGCATTCGATTGGCACCCATCCAATGAAGACCTGGTTGTAGTGGGACAAGCTGGCGGAGAGGCCACTCTTCTCAACATTGCTGAAGGCCATCAGGACTCTCTGTCATTCCAGGTCAGAAGCCAGCGCTCCTGCAATGCCGTCGCCCTCAACACCCAGAACCTGCTGGCCGCGGGACTCGATAAAGTCCGCACTGACTTTTGTCTGAACATATGGGACTTCAACCAGCGCATGCCTGCACCAGGGTCGAAGGGCTTCTCCAAGAACTATTCCGATCCCTTGCACAAGCTAGCAAGTGGAGAACCCATCACAAGCCTCAAGTTCTTCCAGGATGACCCTTCTCTCCTAGTTGCCGGAGTCAAAGGTCAGTTTGTTAGGCTATACGACCTGAGGGAGCCCTCAGTCAGCAATGGGCTTCAGTTCGCCACAAGATGCGTCCACAACTTGGCCATCGACTGGCTCGACGAGAATTACTTTGCTTCCTGCTATCCCACTAGCGACCCTTCCGTTTGCGTCTGGGACCGAAGAATGATCAGCCGAGTCAACACTCCTCACATGGGCTTCCAGCATAACGAGAACCGTCCGCCAGAGTTGTCACTTGAGCTGAAGAGTGCTATCACGAGCCCGGGTACCATCTGGAGTCTGCGGTTTTCAAAAGCTCAGCGCGGTTGCCTGGGCGTCCTTTCCAGTACCGGAAATCTGAGGGTGTACAACCTGGGCAAGGACTTCTCAGAAACCTCCCGGGTCGAGCAAAATGAAGGCCATGGAATGTCTTGGGAAACAAGCCAGCCACAAGAGATCTACCTCGATCGCACGCAAGATATTGCAAAACAATTTTCAGATCCGTCCGCCCTTATGGAGGAGAAATCACGAATTGTCTCCTTTGACTTTCTGACAAGCACCACGAAATCCAGGCGGCCCAGAATTCTAGCCTTGGACGGGCACGGCCGTGTTAAGCTCATGTCACCAAGCCCAGTACCAACCCCTACCACGCTTGCTCCTCCCGGATTTTTGTGCAAAGGCACCTCTTCGATCGAAACATTGTCCATAGAACCTACCGACACAGGTTCCACAATCGATCAAGTACGTCGACGAGCACAGCCCCGAAACACCCTAAGGCAGACGTTCAGACAGTCGCGACAGACCAAGACAGCTGCTGGTGGTAAAAGAATGTCAAGCCTGGACGACCAGGCATGGCATGCAGATCTCGGCTTTTACGAGACAGATGTGCCTTTCTCAGACCTTCTGATTCTCCTCTCTGCCCAAAGGCTGCGCTGTGAAGCTGGCTATCTGCTGAACCCGGTCCAGAACAAAGCGATCGTCTCGGACTCTCATTGGCTGCAGTCGTTCTGGGCCTGGGTCGAACGTGCTGCCAGGGTCTCTAAGAATGGCAACATGGCCCAAGATAACCTGGATTTATCCTTTATCGGCGTCTATAGTGTTTGGATGGAAGTCATCGACCTGAAGAACCGGACTTTGGGTCCAAGTTCCAACAAACCGGGCCGGATCATTGAAAACCTCGTTCGCCGCCTGAGCGTACCTAGGATCAATAGCGTTGACACGGAATATGCTGCTAACAGGCAGCTTTGCCTTCACACCGCCGGCCTAGCCTGGTCGCCGGAGGAACTCGAAGTCACGGTCAAACGGTTGGTGGCCAAAAATCAACACACAAAGGCCGCGGCATTGGCTCTATTTGCAATGGATCGCAAGCTGGTCTACGAGGCTCTCCGCAACAAGACAGCCAATCAGTCTCACAAAATGCTAGCAATGGCTATTGCGGGAGCCTTCAGAAGAGCGAGGGCGAGTGATTCAGAGACTGTGACTAGGGATGAATCTGACGAGGACGACTGGGCAGCCACAATCGCATCCTTGGCCGACGACTTGACCGATCCTTATGCCCGAGCAATTCTAGCCTATGTCAAGACCGGGGATTGGTCGAATGTCGTTGCAGAAGAGTCACTTCCTCTCAAGTATAGGGTATGCGTAGTTTTGCGACACTACGACGACTCGAAGTTGACACATTATATTGCTCAAGCCACCAAAGATGCAGTCGCCGCAGGGGACATTGAGGGCGTTATCCTCACGGGTACCGCGACACAGGCTGCTTTTGATCTAATGAGCAACTACGTTCAGCGCTTTGGCGACTTACAAACGGCCGTGCTAGCGCTTTGTCCAGCTGTGCCACGCTATCTCAATGACGAGAGAGTGATTCGTAAGTTCACAGCATGGAAGGACGCGTATAAGCATATGATGAACAGCTGGGACCTCAAGTTCCACCGTGTTCGGTTCGATATTGCCTGCCAGAATGCGGCCAAAGATGAATCAGGACGACCGCTCATAGCTCCAGCGAAACAGCAGGTCCGCCTGGTGTGTCAGTACTGCTCGCAGAGCCTCGCACATAAGGCTGGAACCAGTGATGAGACATCTTCGGGATCCAAGACAGTCGATACACCGAGACATCCGCTCAGTAAGGAGAAGGCTGCAGCTATTGGCACTGTCTGCCCTAAATGCGAGCGCCACCTGCCGCGTTGTGGTGTCTGTGACATGTGGCTTGGAGTTCCGGATGAGTCCTACCTACCTTGGTACAGGACCATTCATGCTTCAAAACATGAATTGGGCAAGGCCAGCCTCGACCTCAGCGCGAGCGTTTCAGGCAGCATTCAAACCACACTCGGACCCGATACTTCGGCAGGGGGAGGATTGAAGGGCACTTTATCGCCTCGACCAAAAACCTCCTCGCAGAGGCAATCGAAATCGTCAGCAACTGATTCTTCGGCCAGGACAGCAGTCCCCATCGGTAGTTTTACGGACCTGGGCCCTGATTCCGTCCCAGACATCGTTCTACGCCAGTCAGTGATCCCAACTGCAGAGACTGACCTGGAAGCGCAGAAGGCGGTAGCAGCTCGGAAGTGGGACATTGCCATGTCTCGCTTCACAGTGCTGTGCGTCAAATGTTCCCATGGTTGTCATGCTGCTCATGCGCGAATGTGGTTCGAAAAACACCATATCTGTCCTGTCCCTGAGTGCAGGTGTCTGTGCAACGAATGAAATTCAGGCGACCTCATCTACCTTAGCAGCTCACCAGACGTGGTAGCCAAACACGACATGATTTCTACCACTGAGAAACGGCAACGACTACCAAATGGAAAGCGTCCAAGGGTCTCGCTCGTGATGCATGCTAATCCTACTATGGTTCGTCACATCGGAAAGGGACCAGGCGCACCACCACCCAGTAGATCAGGCCCACCATCTGATGTCACGTGGGTCTAACTTTTCGCTTTTTTCCCCAATTCAGACGCTGGAGCTTGGGCTCCATGGGGATATATCAACCTCTAGACTGCCCCTTCGCCTTGGATTCTCCATGGAGAGTGTCTAAGTGGCCTCAAGCCCAGGTCCATACCAACAGCTATATCAGGATGACTCGGCCGACGGCGCCTCCACCCCGCAGAAACGGGACTGGTATCCTCTTCGCTTTCATCTTTACCACACTCTCAATTTGCGGGGTGTATGCACTCCGCATTGCCTCAGTACAGTCAGGAATAGCGGATAAAATGGAGCGGATCACCACAACATATCGATTCTTTGAACATCCTTTGTCTCTTCGAACGACTTACACGGGCATAGCGCCTGTCGACCAAGGTCTCAGCTTTCTTGTTACGGCTTTCATGAACGCGGCTTCTGGCTGGGACGCGGGCTTCTTCGTGTTTCTGGGATACTTTTTGGTGTCCTTCTTCGCAATCCTAACAGTTTGGGCGGTTGAGAGCTGCAGAGAGAGGAATGCGCGGGCCTTGACGAGATTGTAAGCTTATCTCCCTCGTTGTGCGCAACAGTGTGAAGTGTGATCTGATGGGCGTGAATCAGTACTTATATCTACGCCCTCCTGTATCAGACTGTCGGCGGAGCCGTCATCATACCGATCTACTATCTTGCATACCTCTACGACACATCTAGCAACTCATACTGGTTGAAGCCTCGAACAATCCCACTTCCATATGCGAAAGCGCTCCTCCCAGCTTTGATCATCGGCTACCTCATCCCGACCGTCTTGATATTCCTTCCCTACTCTGCCCCAGATATGTGGACTACCCAGGCGGTGGTTGCTTTCTGGCAGCCATCCCCATGGTACGTCGACATTCTCATCTGGGTGTTTGCTAAACTCTACTCTGGCCGGAGCAGCACCAAGAGCAGTTCCCCGAACCGCAACAGCGACATTCCCTATCTCAGCCGCACCTACCTGACGTCCTTCCTAGTGACCGGCATGTTACACCTCTTTATGATCTACTTAATCCTCTTCTCACCAAACCCCGAGCATAGCTTCAGCCATATGTTCCTGAACCCATTGTTTTACTCCTCGACACAGATGTCCATGGTACAGGGCATGCACGGGATCTTCCTGGCCGACTTTTGGATCATTTTCGTCAGCTCACTGGTCTGGGCGTACCTTGCGATCTGGGACTTGAAGAGGATGGAGCTGGCGGATATCAATCTCCGGACGGCGGCGCTCCTAATAGCGATTGGGACAGTTGCCGTGGGACCTGGGGCTGTGGTCGCCGGTACCTGGTATTGGAGAGAGAAACGGCTTATTGAACCCGAGAAAGAGAAGGAGGGGTGACGAGAGGTGGTTCATCGTCACAACATGATAGCGACGGGATGGATATTGTAGGCACTGGCAGGTCAAACAAGCACTGCCGAAGACTTGCTTACTGCGGAGTACTTCTTTCGGGACAAAAGGACGAGGACCCGGTACAGGGACAACGCTATGCCAAAACACCGGCACTGTACGGACTGTCAAGCCTGTCGACGGATGTACCTGTCATTCAGATTTATGTGCCGGGTGGACAAAATCGAATAGTAATGCCTCACCCGCCCCCGCAGTAGACGCTCATTTCATCCCAAGTCAACCCAATTTAGTCCAGTCCAGTCCGATCTTTTTGAGACACGCGTCGAGGAGCCTCAAATAGTGACCGCCAATATCACACCACACAGTCCACACCGCACGCAGCAGGCACATTCACCCACTAGCTACAGCAGCTAATTAGGCAGCTCCAGCTACCTAGTAATTCAGTCTAGTCTAGTCTCCGACCCTCCCATTCCGCACCTCCTTCACCACGTCCCGCGGCGTTTTGTTCGCCGATGGAAGCGACGTGTCAAAAGCCACACGCTCGTCGGAACCAGCGCCCGTGGTCGTCACAGTAGCGTCCTGATCTCGAGCCTCAGCATCCCAGAACCGTCGGTGGTGCACGGCACGCACGAACCGCGGAGCCCGGCCCCGTGCGCGGTTTGTCTGGAGGGAACCACAGCCAGCTGAAACTACTGTATTCTGTCGCACTCAGCCACCTTCCGCATGACAGGAAGGGAAGGGTGTTCGGGGTGAAAAGGTGAGGTGAAGAAACGGCAACGGCCACTCACAGGTTCAATATTCCTTGTAGACCTCGTCGGCCGGGACAGTGCGGCCGAATGAAACCAGTCCGATGATGTACGTTTAAGACGTTTATCGTCACGTAGGTCATGATGCCGCTTGTTATGGGTGGGCGTGGGACGTTGTGAGTCACAGTCACAGGCAGGTGCGAAGGGCCCTTTCCGGGGACGACTGCTCTATCTAGCAAGACATGGGCAAAGACACGGACACGGACATGGACAGGCAGGCGGGCGAGCAGGTGGGGTACCGCACTTACGCGATGAGACCGTATGCGATCGAATAGGAAAAGGGCATAAAGACCAGAGTGACGAACGCGGGGAGCGCATCGCCCGCGTATTTCCGGTTGATGTCGACGATGGAGCGGGCCATCATCCAGCCGACCTGAGACGTGAGCGCGGAAGTTGGCGATATGGTCAATACCATTAGATATCAGTTCTAGGTAGGCGACATACCAACACGAGAGTACACCCCGTGGCCCACGGCGGGATGGACGCAAAGACGAGTGAAAGAAGATGGCGACGAAGAAACAAACCCCGTCGTCATGGCCGTCAGACCCGTCCTGCCGTCCTCGGCAATCCCGGCGCCGGACTCGATGAACGCGGTGACGGGCGACGTCCCCATCAGGGAGCCGAAGGAGATGGAGATGGCATTCGTGCAGTACGCGAGCGTGGAGCGCGGGAATGCGCTCGTCGTATCGTCGACTACGCCCGAGAACCGCGCCATCGAGTACAATGTGCCTGTGCAGTCCAGGATGTCGACGGACAGGAAGGTGAAGAGCGCGAGGGCGAGTTTGGGCCCTGCGGCACTGACGTCCCAGTCTTGTGCGCCCAGCGTGTGCTGGATCGGGTAGAAGTGCACGACTTTTTTGAAAAGCCGAATCGGTCGTTGCCCTCGGGCGTGTCGGGGAAGTAGGTGAAGGACGTGGATCAGGGCCACAAGGGGATGGCCACGACCGCGATGCCTACTATCATTGCCGACTTGACCTTGTACATGATCAGGAGGGCGGTGATGACGCCGCCGCAGAAGATGCCGATCCAGACCTGTATGCCGCGGATGGGACGGTTCCCGTCAGTGTCGGCCACACAGTACCCGGGCATGGGATAACAAGGACGAGACAATTTTCACAGTTGGGTTTTGAAGCTTATGGCTCTGACAGACGCCGAACTCGTCTCGGTACCTGACTGGGCAGCCCGCGAGCTCGAGAGGGGTGCTCTGCGCGCCCGTGATGACTCCGAGGCCCGCCGACGTGGACAGGCCGATCAGCGTGAGGAAGAGGCCGATGCCTGCTGTGCTGGCGATCTTTGAGCGACGAGGAGATGACGCCCACAAGCCACTGGCGCATGCCGATCAGGAAGAGGAATGCGAAGATGAAGCCTTCGATGAACACGGCCGTCAGGGCGAGCCGGTACGAGACTGGTCCGGTACCGTGAAACCCGACGACTTGGTAGGTAAAGTAGGCGTTGAGTCCCATTCCGGGGCTGTGTCATGCAGTCGGTATCAGCAGGGTCTCATTGTGGCCACAATAGGAGAAGTCTTACGCAAGCGCCACGGGCAGATTCGTGAGGAAGCCAAACACAAACGAGGCAAGTTCCGAGATCGTGGCCGTCGTGGTGATCAGGTCCCTTTGAATGTCTGAGCAAGATGTATAGGAGTTAGCTAGCATATAATCTAATGGTCGACGACACATGCAGGGATTCACGACGCAACGTACCAAGGACGCAGCGCGCATAGTCGGTGTCCTTGAGACAAGTCGGGTCCGACGCGCTCTCACAGATACAAGTGCCCCCGGACTGAGAGACAATGGATCCCTTGTTTGCAGATCTGGGTCAATGACAACCCCAAAAAACGAGCCCTCCAGCGTGGATACTCACGTTGACGGCGATGATGTACGCCATAGTAGCAAAGGTGGTCACACCAGCGCGGAGCTCGGTGAGGAACGTCGTGCCCAGGATCTCCTTTTCCTGTGAGTGTAAACAATGGATTCACTCCAGATGAAGGGGTCGCAAGGGACTTACATGGCCGCAGCCTTGCAGGCGGAACACGCGCCCGAACGTCGACTTCGCGACATACTCGTTGATAGCCCTGGTGTATTGTTGAGTGGCAGCCATGTCTGGAGTGTGAGTGTGGTCCTGCTCGAACACAAAGTCGCAATCCCGCTAGCCTCACGCTGGGGGAGTAAACTGGACATAATAAATACTGGCCAGCAAGGCATCGGAGGGTCCCTTGCAAGAGACAAGCAATAGATAGGTTGACCAGACTCGCGACACGGCTCAGAAGAGCTGCTCTTGGTAACGGGCTGTGCCACACACGCGAGGCGAGGACCTAAACTGTTCGTCCGTCCCTCCATGCAGGTTGGCCCACATGGACCTGGTACAGTAAGGCTGCGGGCGGGGATCATCTTTCCTTGCTATCTATCTCTTATCTGTCTGTCTATCGACTGCCTGTAAGTTGAAGCATGGATTTGGCATCTACATGCCCTTGAGCAACCATGTTTAACGTTCCCTTCAAGAACCCCTTGGAGGCTGAGACCGTGAGCCAGCGACGCGAGCGCAAGGCCAAGGAGTCCGGAGGCCCAATTCGGAACCCCACCTCAGGCTCTGGGGCAAGGCTGGGAAGTGAGAGAGGAGGCAGCATTGCGAAGATCACCATCTTCGGAACCGCCAAGGCTGCAACAACTCGGGTAGTGGTAGCAACTGTATCAAACGGTCGGGACAAGGCAGCGGCCAAACAACATGTTGATGGCGTTGCCGATGAAGACGATGTCGACGTCGACTCTGATCGGTCAGAGCTCGCTGGCTCGCCAGTCCTGGTGACCTCGCCGTCGTTCATCCCCGTCTCACACGTGCGGCAGCTTTCCGAACTTTCGACCTCGCCCTCAGTTTATCGACAAGAAGGTCCGTTGATTCTCCCCTCCAACCAGTGACGGTTGATCTTGTGCTGATCGATGAACTAGCTGTGGCTTCCGCGCCTAGGAGACCGGCTAAGGGGCCACCACCAGCCGTCGATGGCCCCCTGGAACGTCTTCAACAGTGGGGTGAGAGAAGATCCCACGTATACGCCGCCAACTCTGGTCGACACAGCTACGCAAGCCCAGGGGAGCCAAGCAGACCAGCAAGTCCTGTTCGGCTGGAACAGACCTCTGCGTCTCAAGCCACGAAGTACCGGCCAGAGAGGTCAGATCCAGCCAGCCGTGTCTTTGCCCCTGGAAAGCTAGCGAGAATCGAGCCCCAGATATCCCGTCGTCCGCTACGCCTCGAGCTCGAGCACGTGTACAACGGGAGTGGCGAAATCGGACACGATCTGTCCACTTAAAAGCACTCCCGAAACGGTGCAGAGCTGCGAAGGGCAGATATTCCCTTTCCCTGTGGAGTCACAACGACGGGGATATGTTCAAGCCGCGGCGACCCCAGCGTCAAACGAGCACAAACGCAACCTGGACGCTAGGACTGGGACAGCATCTCGCCCTGTAGCCACAGTTGTTTCAGACTGAGAGCACGTCCAACCATAGAACTCGAAAGAGCACAACACGATGGCCCAGATGGTAGAAAGTCTGCCTTTTCTTCTGGCCTTGGCTCAGATTGCACCGCTTGAAGTTTTGTTGCTGTAGACTCCATGAAGATTGAGATGATGCGAATCCGGATGTCACTGATGTCGTAACTCTCCAAAAGAAATTATGGGCTCTGATCGGGCTGAGACATCTCAACAATCATCTGGATGCAAAGAGAGTTTGTCACAGTAGTGGGAAAGCCCGTGCCGAAGAGAAAGAGGAGAAACTGGTCCAACACGAGAAGAGCGTCGTGGTGATCAGTGAGGACGTAGGTAAGTTTGGCAGTGTGCTCTCTCCGCCTCACAAGCCATGGTTCATTTCCGTCCGTTCGCTGAATTTGATCATGAACCTTACCCGAACACCGACTGACTCTCAACTCGCATCCGCAGTTGACAGCTGGCTCCACACTGCCAGCTTCCCACAGCACCAGGTATCCTGGCTTCGACCACTCTCCAACGACACCTCCACGCTATATGGGACATTACTCCGTAATGTAGAGACCAAATCCTGGGTCAAAATACCTACACTCCCATACCCCGACACTTCAGTGGACCTGATTTCGTTTCGCGCCATCCCCGTGCTCCTGCAATCCAGCCAATGGCCCGTGTTTGCGCTGGAATGCGACAGGATTTTGAGCCCCGGAGGCATCTTCGAAGTCACGGTTGTGGACCCCTGCCGCGCAATTGTGGTCCGCTCCTGCACCGGTGGACGGCCGAGAAGATCATCCTCGGGCTGGAAAGGAGGTTTCTGGTCACGCATCCCACGATGATAATCCCAGTGTGGTTGGACGATGTTGCTGAATTTGAGCATCCTGACATCTAAAGTGTCTCTTTTCCTGCCGTTGGGGAGGATGACATGGACGAAAGAAAACTGAGCGACTGGACTGGAGCGGCATATCCGACGACACCAGCGCTCCCCAGAGTGACCGCGACCTTCGAGGGCTCAGCGTAGCGGTAGGACGCTATTGTTACCAGGCACTCTACGGTGGTCTTGCTCATTGTGAGGCATTTTCCACCGGGAGAATTGGCTCAGGAAACGATGCACTGTCGGTGGTGGTGGTGGGCAGATCCTGCAATGATCAGAGAATGCCAGGATTACAGCACTTTTTTCGAGCTGCTGACTTATAGATGTCGGAAGAAAAGAAGCCTGCCAGCGGAAGCATGATATAGAAGAGAGCCGGCATCCTGATCTAATCGCCGGACGGTATTTTGGGAACATAAAGTTCTGACGTTGTATCCTTTGTACAATCAGGTCCCTTGGTCAGAGAAAGTGATTGAGGTCGTGCTGATCCGCTCATCGCAATCTAATGGTCAATATGCGAACGGCTCGATCGGGAATATAATTGAACAGGACGTATAATCGCCCTCTTCTTGACGGTGCCGGAGGACTCGCGACATAGTGTTCGAGAGGAAGAGACGTAACCAGCGGGTGGAAGCGGTCACAGCCAAATGAGCACCTGGCACGCTTTGGAAAACGTTGCTTCCATTCTGCTGACATGCGATGTGCTCTCAGCCCCAAATCCTTCTGGGAGCGTAGTTGCAGGTCTCCATGCCGATACTAGCTCTTGGTGTGAGCATAGATGTGGTTAAATGTGCTGCTCTTGCGGTGTGTCCTGTGTTCGACTTTCTCATCTCCCAACAGCTCTACCAAGCCTTTCCCTAGATGTGGCAGGTCCTTGGTCCGGCCAACTGCTCACCGCGTCATCCACCTCTTCCAGGAACATGGTTGAGTTCACCACGCTTGTCCCGCCAAGCACCACCCTTACGCCCGGCACAGAGGCATTAACCTGTGCTACCATTTTGGCTTCCTCATATGTTACCCCTCCCACCATGAAAACAACAATATCCTGTGGCTTGTCCTTGGTATGATGCCCGTCGACAAAGGGAAATTGCAACTCTTTCAACCGCCCCTTGATGAAATATTGAAGTGTAGTCTCTAACCTAGGCGAGTGCTGGGTATAGACATTTTCCACGCCCTTCAGGTTTAGGTTGCGGCGGAACTGGCTGAATGGAGAGGAGCCGGAGTCGAAGAGGTCTATGAAGCCGCTCGCGCCGCCAACAGGTGCGGGCTGCAGACTATGGTGATAAGCGAGGAGTTTCGGGATGATGGATATTTTGTGCGGAGGCACATCAGCCACCGAAGTCAGCAGGTCAAGGAGCACTGGGAGAGCGTTGTTTGGATTGCGTTCATAGCGGAGGGCGTAGAGCGCGACCAGGCGGATCTTATTGTCGGCAGGGATACTCGGGTTTTGAATGTGTCGCTGCAGCGTCTTGAGGTCATTGGCATGGTTGTCATTACAGACAAGGCTCTGTTCTAGTTCTGACACATCGAGCAAGGACTCGGCAGAGACACGGCGGCTGAGTTCGCTGACTAGAGTGACGTGCTTGGAGACGTTCCCGGAAAGCTTTCGAAACTCTGGATAATCCTCGACGAACCGTTTCATGTCCGCTATCGATTCGATCTGAGCGGTCGATTTTGTTCGAGTCTGGTACTGGTCGACATAGTCTTTGATGTTCCCTCCCAGGTCACCAAAGTTCTGATACATGTTTTTCTTGAAGAAGGGATCCTGATCTTGAGACAAAACGATCTCTTTCAGCTCTGGACGTACATCTGGAACGGCACTGAGGTCCACCCGACCATTGTGAATGCCCAGTAGCTCATGTACCTGAGCCTGGTAGGTCCACTGGGTGAGCAACGGAGTAATCGGATCGTCTCTCCGATCCAAAATCAGCAGGACCGGAGGAGTGTCTGTTTTTCGGAAGTCGAACAGCTGTTCCTCCAGGGTGATCTGGTACCGCACTTCGGTGGCCAGCTTCTTCGCCATCAGACTGTTCTTTTGGTAGCGTATCAGCGGGTTCTTCTTCAACGATAAGAGCAAGGCAATCACGCCTTCGGTAGTCCTCTGCAACGCATCGGTGTTCCAGATATCTGGGCTGTGACTCCATAGCCGCTGCTTCGGAAATCCCAGGTTCAGGGACATCAGATCCGGGTTGACCACGATATAGTCCGCAAAATATTCCTGGACCGCCTTGACCACCTCATGATCATCCGCTTCGGCTAATCGCTCAAGTGACGACTTCTTAATGATGTTGCTGAAGTATATATTGTACTCTCCGTACTTGGGCTCGCGCAACTCGTCGATGAGGAACTGGATCGAGTCCGGAGACGGTCGGACGAAGCAGAGGCAGCGGAGGTGGCGCATGCGTTCGCGAGCAGGATTGTCCAGCCTGTCGACGAGGTATACTTCGTGTTTCAGCAGAGCTGATTGGGTGATTGCGGTTGAAACGATAGACACTGTCTCCGGGTCAAGCAGCAGCAGCTTCATTTTGGTCTGCTGAGAGGCTGCAGCACCTTCGCCGACGCCGGCAATCTTGGACAGATAGCCCGAGATCGCCGAGGAGACATCCATGTCGCGCGAGCGTCGGTGGACAAGCAGACCGGGATTGACTCGCGGTTGTCAATGTCACAGCATTGTGGTCATGAGGCCATGCCCTATATGACCCGCGGTGCCTGAAATACTGGTCAGCTGAGAACAAGCGCAAGCAAGTGCAAGCCGTAGTGTCGTGGGATTGAGTGAACCGTATCGTGTACAGAGTCTTGTGCTATTATTTATTGTGGTGCCTGTGCCCGCATCTCAGATGATGCGCAGGCAAGCCAAGGCTGAGCGCGACGGTGACGCAGACGCAAGGCTGCAGCATGTGACGATTCGATTGGCTCCTGTGCGATTTGATGTCATACGTCGCGCTGCCCACAACCGAGCCCGTCGTCCTCTCGCCCACTACATGCCATCCTCAATAATGTCGGATCGGGATTGTCTTTGTCGTCTCTCACCCTTGAGTTCCCCGTCTCTTGCGCCCTTGCAGTGCAGGAAAGCGCGACGATGCTACCCGGGATAGATGCTCGTATTTCTCCCCTATGTCGCACGTGGATTTGAGCCGTGACCGTGCTGACCGTACCGCCAGCATTCCTGTGGCTGTCTGAAGTTGTGGGCGCGTCAGTCGACGAGCTCAAGGTAAGTCCGAGCCGGGGGGGAAGATAATGCCATGATGTGTTTGGCTAATCAACGAGCCAGCTTCTTTTCGTCTTCATCTCATCATATCCCTTGGCCGCCTGCTTGAAGCGACTCCCTAATGACAGGCCACATTACAAGAGCATTTTCAGTGTCACCATCTGCCTGTTCTACCTTGTCGGACTGTTTGACCTTTGGTCGGGTGTGGGTACATTGCTCATTGATGCCCTTGGCACCTATGCGATCATCTACGCCGTCGATGGGTCGCTTATGCCATGGCTCGTTTTCATGCAAGTCAAGCTCCGGGGTTAACACGAACCGGGGCGCTAACCTTTGCCGGCCCCAGATTTCTCATGGGCCACATGGCCATCAGCCATATAGAAAGACAGAGGATCAATGACCCGAGCCTTGTCGACATTACCGGGTGGGTTTCGTGTTTGTTCCTTGCGATCTCAACTGGCGCTAACAAGGCCGGAGGGCAACAGCGGTCAGATGGTCCTGATAATGAAGCTTCATGCGCTAGCGTGGAACTATCATGACGGACATATGAAGCCCGAACTGTTGACAGACAGTCAAAAGGAGCGTGCGGTGTACAAACTGCCCGAGCTCCTCGACTATGCTGGCTATGTCTTCTTTTTCCCATCGATCTTTACAGGTCCAGCGTTCGATGTAAGTTCCTCCGACAGCCCGGAGAGATCACACGGGGGGCGGGTTGCGCCTTTTTTCGTCGCCACTGACAGGAGCTAATTGACCATATAGTACGTCGACTACAAACGCTGGCTCGACGGCAGTATCTACGCTCTCCCGCCCGAAACACCCTCCTCATCTTCTCCAGCCAAGAACGCCAGTAGGAGCAAGAAAATCGAAGTCCCTCATTCGACCATCCCAGCAACAAGAAAAGCAATCGGCGGGCTCCTCTGGATCGGCCTCTTCCTGCAATTCTCAAAGTGGTATAACGTGGCCTTGGTCCTCTCCGACAAGTACCTGGCATATACCTTCCCATATCGCGTGTGGATCCTGCAACTCCTAGGCTTCACCTCGCGCATGAAGTACTACGGTGTCTGGTCGCTTACCGAAGGCGCCTGCATCATGGCGGGAATCAGCTACAACGGCATCGACGAGAAGACGGGGAAAGCCAAATGGGGTAAGTAGGGTCACAGTGATCCACTGTCTGAAGAGCCTACCTCGATCTTGGTCCTACGGTACCTATCCATGCCAGCTCTTCAAATCTCTCTATCCCCCTTTATATCCGACGATCCCGTACTGACGCGCGGCCAGACCACCTCGAAAACGTCAACCCGCTGGGCATCGAACTGGCCCAAAACTCCCGCGCGTACCTGGACAACTGGAACAAAAACACCAACAAATGGCTCCGCAACTACATCTACCTCCGCGTCACCCCCGCGGGCAAGAGACCCGGCTTCCGCGCCACGCTGGCCACCTTCCTGACCTCGGCCTTCTGGCACGGCTTCTACCCAGGGTACTACCTGACCTTCCTGCTCGCGGCGTTCATCCAGACCGTGGCCAAGAACTTCCGCCGGCACCTGCGCCCCTTTTTCCTCACCCCCGACGGCAAGTCCGCTACGAGGTGGAAAATATACTACGACGTGGCCGGCTACGTGGCCACGCAGCTGGCGTTTTGCTTCACGACGGCCCCGTTCGTCATCCTCGGGTGGAACGACAGCCTGAAGTGCTGGGCAAGGGTGTACTTCTACGCGGTCGTCGGCGTGGCGGCCAGCATGGCGTTCTTCGCGTCGTCGGGGAAAAAAATGCTCGTGAAGCGCCTCGACGCGCGCATCCATCCGCACGTGCGCAAGTCCGTGGCAGAGGAGACGCAGCACCCGCCGAGTCTGGGCCTGCCGAACGATCCCGGGAGAGAGATCGACGACGCAATCGACGAGATCAGAGCCGAGATCGAGACGCGCCAGCGCAGAGGCAGCGCGGTCACCATGCCGGCCGGGGACGGGCTCAAGCGCGCGATCGAGCAGAAGTTGGGCCACAGGTTGGAGATGCCGGCGTGGAAGGTGCCCCAGGTGTTTGGCAGCGAGGGCCAGGGCCAGGGCCAGGAAAAAGTGCTTAGCGACCAGGCCAGGGCGGAATTAGAGAACGCATCAGCAAGGGGCGCCGCCGAGGGCAAGAAAGTGAAGTGATGGTTGAGAAACGCATCAGCAAGGGGCGCCGCCGAGGGCAAGAAAGTGAAGTGATGATTAGAAAACGCATCAGCAAGGGGCGCGGCCGGACGGCAAGAAAGTGAATTGATGGGTCGGGACGAGTCGAGTCAAGTAGCCGCGGCGCCGATATATATGTGGCGATGTGAAGGATGACGAACGGAGGAGTACTCGTCGCTATTCAGGCTGAAGATCACTCCGCGACTTTATTTTCTCTGGCGTGATATTGGCTGTTGAAGGTAACTACAGTATATTAGTTGTACACGCACGATCAAGCCGCAAGAGAAGCTGCGAAGTAATGTGTAGCGAAGCAGTCAAGTAGTCAAGTGATAGAGCAGCCAAGCATACGGTATCACGATCTCAACCTCGATCTTGATGCTGATCCTGACTCTTCAGTCTGCCCCCGTGACCACGGAGTGCAACTGCCTGACCGACCAAGGTTCGAAGTCTTACATCTTAAAAGAGTCCTCTTACCATGGACGCCATGATAACCTTTGCCAGATACTTTGCAGTAGTTTAGGCTTCTGTTCCTGCGTCCTTGGCCCTCGTCGGCACGTTGGCACTTTGACACTCGAGAACCAAGTACCGAGTACCGAGCGAGGACAGGCGCATTGCGACTGTACTGCGTAAAGTAACGTCAAATCCAAAAATTACACACTAAGTAAGCTCGTGTCTTGCAGCCGGTATCCGGCACATGTAAACTTCACGCAGCTTCTCTAGGATGCATACACTACAGGTGTACAAAGCGTAGACGGATGAAGTCCCCGTGGCTGACAAGGAGCGGGATAACCTTCTCTGGACGTCAATTTGTGAAGTGCTTTGCATTGTTTTGAAACTGCGTTTCTCTTGCAGTGGCCGTGACGCGTCGGTGGGCTAGGGGACTGTTGAGGACAGGCTGATGCTGCTGGTGAACATCTCGTTACACGGTTCAACGGCCTGGTCCGTGACTAGGTCCATGTGGAAGAAGAACAGAGTAAGCAGAAGCCGCGAGAACTCGCTAGCTTGCCTGCCGTTGTATTGCTGGGCACCGGAATTGTGTACTGTAGTAGGGAACGAGGGGTTCATTTGCAACTTCGTTGGCTCAATGCAGAATGTTGAAGATGTGCTTTGCTTGGAAGTGGGTGGGCATTCATGTGATCGCCCAACCCCGTACATCCACATAGATTGTTGTCGCCAGGTGGTTCGCGAGGAAGTCGCAGGTCAATCAACCTTTTGGCCAACCTACCTCTCGAGTCTTGGACGCCTTGGTTCTGGTCCTTGAGAGTCGGCGCTGGTTGGCACGAGGAGTGATTGAAAACGGAAGGATGCTGCCAAAACGCCGAGCGCAGTCTCCCTGATCTGTTGAGGTGGAACTTGAGTCCGGGAATTGAAAAAGCATCTTCTCGTCCTGAACTGACACACGGCAATCGAGTCTGCAGGACGTTGCCACATCATATGTTCGTGGGATCATGTCGTGGCAGACAACCCTGGATCGAATGCACGGGTCATTGGTCATGGCGCATGACCAGGACTGATACTGGCAGGAAATGAGCATCAAAAGAGACTGTACTTCCTGGTGGACCCTGGCTTGAATAGACATTGGACTCTTCCCAAACAACTGTGACCATGGTCCTTGCTTTGAGCAGAGTGGCATAACAATCCATCCGAGTGTCGACGATTGGGACAAAAAAGAGGACTCGAATCCACCTACTCGCAGCAACCACAGCCCGACAAGGGAAGAACGAGGGTGACCGAGGCCGCTTGCGCTCCGCTCGAATTTTAGAATCTTGCCCAAGGCTCTTTCTTGCTGGACGAATCGAGCCGTGGCCAGTGCTTGTGGAAGGGCGGACTTTCTTGCGCTTGGTCGTCAAAGCAGCCAGGCCGCGTCTGCGCGCTTGGCTGGTTTCGGTGAGCGATGCAGTGTTCTATGTGCCCGAGCACGGACTCCGTTGCTTATTCGTCTTCACCGACTCATGCCGCCAGGGACATGTTGCCGCAGAAGTTCGGAAAAGCCGTGGATTGGCTGAACGTCGGAAGGCGGCTTCCTGTGCCGCACTATGCCCCTGCGTGCATGGCTAACTAGCTTGGATGTGGTTTGGCTGACACCAAGTTATTTCAATGGGAGATGATGGCAGGAACTAATCACGAGTGGCCCTGAAACGCATCTGGGTGGCATCCTTGTGCGCAGCATGTGAGGCACTCTAGGATGGAAACCAAGGTCGACATAACAACATCGTGGACCTCTTTGTGAGCCCAGTAGCTGCATCATGGGTTTCGAATCTTGGCTGCGTTGATACGTTACATTTCCACTGACTGCTGGGTTCGGCCACTGTCGACTGCATCTTGAACATGCCGTCAAGTTGAAGACATGGGTACAGAGAAGGACGGCACGGAGGCTCTGACATGAGCAATGCTTCACATCGGCATGCTGTGACAGATGAGCTTGATCTTTGGTGTGGCGACGCAGCCGATCTTGTAACAACTTCAGGCTGTTGAAAACGCCTTTTTGCAAGACAGTGCTTCATGGCTCCACTCGTTTGCGAAAATGTCGACAGAAGGTGGCATATGCCGAGGAAGAAAGCTGTCGGCCACAGTCATTATTGATCGCTTGATCACGCCTGCTCCCCTACCGAGCTCCACTGTCCTTGAACTGTGTAAGCCATGAACGGCCTCGTGGCGATTGCATAGGCCTCTAGGCATGATCCCCGTTGCTCTTGTTGGGCCGCGTAGTTGCAAGATCGCGGCAGGAAACGAAATGCGGTTCCGGGGATGCGGCTCTCGCGACTGACACTAATAACACAAACAAGGTTTCTCGTCACAAGTGTACCGCAGATTGTGGAAGGGAAGTGGCACCTCCGCGGTCCCCAACGCCCAGCCGAGGAGATGCTCTATGACATGGTCTATTCCATGTTCTGAGAGGGCCCGAGGCCTCTTGACTCTGCAAGCACTCGTGTGCTATTCTTCCCACGGTATGCAGCTCCACAATCGCCAGAGTGTCGGTCTGGTGATCTCGGCCACGATTGCTGATCGTAGCTGCACGTAATCAAACAGATTTCGGTAACGCAGTGGCGCGGTTGCGGTCGGCCGCCGAGTTGTAGGCTGGATTTTACGGGACGCATTTGACAGGTTGATGGGGAATAGCTCGAGCAAAGACTTGGTCCGAAACTGGTGAAGCCTTTTTATCATTCCCCGTGGACCACGCCCGAAGCAATGTGTCGTGCTGTGTGAGCTACTTCACTTGAGGGACGAGGGCTTTGCGGCCGATGTGGGAAAGACGGGAGGGCTGGACGCAAGGTATAAAGAGACTGAATAAAGAGACTGTTGCCTACCATAAAAACGGTAGAATTGAGGGACATGTTGGATTAGGCCAACATGCAGCAGGTGCCTTCCAAACATTCCTGCCTTTCACAAGGCCGGAAGAGTAAAATCGAGCTGCTGCCTCACGAGCAGCACATCGATAAAAAACTAAAGACAGATGTGCCTCCACATGCAAGTTTTTGCCCATGTTCAAAAACCCTCCCATAAAGGCGTGATAGTCATATCTCAACACCCTTTCCTTTTCCATTGCTTCGCCTATGAAATGACTCGCCCCCCAGCGGGACGCTCCCAACAAGTGAGCCGAGTTCGCAAAACAGTCTTCATCAATGAATACCTTGTGGCTGGCCCCCTCTTGCCAACATATAGTTTAGGGCGCTGTCGCTATTGACTTTGCCTGAGCAGCCCTCCTCGGCGTAGTGCACCATTACTAACCCCTGTCGATTTTTCTTGCTGCCTCTCGTCCAACCTGCTGCTCTCTGGCTGCTTTTCGTTCCGTGCCAGGGGTTGCTAAACAATCCATGGACCGTCTGCAGGTCCGGTTGGAGCTCGGTTTCGAGGTTGAGGATGAAGACACTAGATCCGTAGCGACCGTGATGTCATGGCCGGCGGCACCTAGCAGAAGAGTCAGGTTTACAGGGCCAGCCTACGCACTATGACCCTGCCCAACCCATTGGGGAATTGGAGGCTGCTGTGAGTATTGAGGCTGATGCATGACTTGGCTGGCTGCTTCACCATAGTAACCGGTCCTGGTACTCTGGTACATCTGAGATTGTGGCGGTGCCTGGTCGCGTCGGTCTTCGTATTTGACCTGGACAGGCGAATGCTGACTTTGCCTGGACTGATCAATCTGGGCAGGAGTCGGGTGATGGACAGGATAAGGACTAGGTCGGTATGGCACAGTGTTGTGAGTATCTACCGACACTGAAGTCAGACTGTTGACTGGCCGTTGCATGCTCATTGGCGGGTACATGGGCGCCTGTGGTTGTGCGCGATCTGATATCATTGGGGCCATGGTTGTCGGAGTGGGAGGAATAGACTTCGAGGTCGGTGTCATCGCGCCGTTCAGTGATTCATAGCTTCTGTTGTACCCAGCTTGTTCGTAGGGACCGTAGTCGTTTCTCGGGCCTTGCAAGTGAGGGGCGGTGATTGAGGGGTGCATGTACGCCGTTGAAATGGCAGGAACACCTATAGGGTAAGGAGACTGACTGGGTTGGTGGGGCACGGACGGATAGCTTTGAGGCATGTAGAACGACGTCTGAGGATAGGCAGCTCCGTTCACGCGGTAGCCGTATGCGCTCTGCGTCGCGTCCACTTCGTTCTGTTCTTCGAGGGGCGCCCGGAAGCTCTGTTTTTGGGTCAACTCGAGCCGTGGTCGGACGTATGTGAGGCTCTCGGTTTCAGAGGGCCTCCGCAGCTGGGTATTTAGGACATCGTTGACGTGGTAATAGCTGACCAAATGGTGGGTAACGCCTTGGACAGTCACACTCATGGTCTTCTTGACCAGACCGTCCTGCTTGAAGCCGTATGAGTCGACCAAGGAACCGATCAGTTGCCTTTCTACCTCGGCCGACGTCGTCCGCTCCTGAGAATAACCATTTGACTGACCGTCCGTGTAAGAGCCTGTCTCGGATCTTGCATAAGGCTCACCAGGGCGACTTGGCCGCCTCTGTTGCTTTTTCATCGCCCTCTTCTTCTCTCCCGGCGGAAATGGCCTGTCGAGCTCTCGATAGACGAGGAAGTTCCCCAGTATACGACTCGGACTCCAGGTGACGCCATCTGTCCACCTCTTGATCCCAGATGCATTTTCCTCGTAGATAAAGACACATCCACTCCGAATCAGGCTGCTTCGTTCTCGGTCGTGAGGTCTCCGCGGTACGTGTGAAAGATGGCCTTGTAGACATGCCTCGAAAAGGATCAGGGCGTCTTGGGTGGTGGAAACATGGCCCTGGAAAGTCGGCTGGAGCGCCGCTCCGCCTGAAGACATGTCGGAGGCTTGCTGTATGGTCTTCTGAGGTCCTGCTCCAGGGTGGTTGCAAGGTTGTGAGTGAGAGTTTCGGGATATTCAACACTCTAATCTTGTCAGAAACTCTGAGGGCACTGATATGTAACCAGCAAAAGCCTTCTGGGACCGTCGTGTCTCCGGAGTCTAGGTTGCTTGGGAGGCACAACGTCAACCTGAAGCGAGAGCAAAAGAAATTTGTGACCTAAGGCTTTTGTCCGGTTGCTGTTTCGTCAAGTCTGTGGTTGTAGAAAGTGCTGCACCTGACGTTCCCGGAAGCGCAAGGTGAGGCAACGCAGAGATACTCAGAGTTCGTGGGGAATGAGGAGAATGTACTTCGACGAAAAAGCCTTCTCCACCCGAAGCTTGAAGTATAGGTGTACAGCTGCAGGAGAAAGTAAAAAGGAAGTCTGAGGTAATTGCAGCCCGCGGACGCAGATATAACAGACTGTCACTGCGCTCCCGGGGCAGGAGGACAGAGGACCTGTGCGACGGTCGTTGGCGGGTAGCGAGTAGGAGGAAGGGTGTTTGTACTGGCAGAGTTCAACCTAAAGGGATTCGTGACAGAGTAATAGCTGACGTGCGTCTGAAAGGAGATCGCAGGGCTGAATTCCTGACGATCTGCAACCTTGAATCTGGTTGAGTTCAGGTTGCGCAAGTTCCTGGGGTACAGGCTCACTTTAACTTTATAGGCTTCCCAATGGAGTGCTAATGATACGCTCCGCCACCTGAAAGAGGCACCAACCCAGATGCGCCGCAAAGCTAAAGACCCAGTGGGCGCGAACGAATGATGCTGGTGGTGTCGTCGGCCTGATGCGTCTGCAGGCTTTGAACTCGGAGGAGCAATGAAGAAGAGTGGACTCTTCCGGAGATCGGCTTCGTGAGCGATGAAAGTTGCGGCTGTCTTCCCTTTCTGCCAAAGGACGTAGATCCTGGACTCCTTTATGAACGTGGACCGTCCGCAAAGGGGTCACGCGGTCTCTATAATGTCTGTTTGAGGTGATTGAAGAGATTGGCTCGGGATAGCGTCTGATATCTGCACAGACGGGAGATCACTGTGCTGTTTGATCGAGTGAGAGTCAAGTGAAATCTCGTTGCAGGCTCTTCGCGGAGGACAACTCAGCAGCTGCTTGCGTCGTTATGCATCTGTTGCAGGACAACGCACCCAGTTGCCTGAACTCGGAATGGCTTCGTCGACACGGGAGATTCAAGCCGTTCAAGCCTCAATTGCAATGGTGTGCTGAGGTTTCGCCAGCGAAAGTGATCTCCTAGGCGAACAGGCTCCTCAGAGTACACCGTCCTCCGCCGATAGCCTTACAGGTTGTCACAGGTGACGAATTTCATCCAAACAGTGACGGTTCGTCGAGTATGGAAAGTAAAGTTAAGTTGACAGGGGAAACAGAGATTGACTTTACGGAACCTCGGAGGGGCTCTCTTGCAGTCGCAAGGCCTGACTGGAGAAGCTGTGGCTAGATTGGCTTGTGAACCTTGTGGGATGGAGTCAAGTATGACAGCGGCAGCCAACAAATACAGTTCAAATGTTTATGTAAAGAATCGAGAGAGCACGTTGCGAGCACTCGACCTAAGATCATCCAGATGGTGACTGGGTGAACTGTGGGGGGTTCATTTGTACGGAGCAGGAGGGCGGGACCTGGAAAGGGCCACACTGGTGCTCAGCACTGGTAATAGATCGTCCTACGCCCAAGCGATCTGCCCTAGCCTCTAAGTTAGTTACTCGTACCTCGTAGCTGACTACTGCTTCTTAGTTAGGGTCTTCGCAGTTGCCCCGCAGTGCCCGCCTCCATGCAGTGGCGAGTGGCTCGTGCGTGGTGTGCGCCTGCCCCCAACCCGTGACTGCCTAAAGGCACCCGCGCGCGCAGTAAATTCAGGTGGCCTGACCCAAAGCGGGAGCTACTTTGCACACGGAAGCCTAGGTAGAGGAGATCCAGCGTCAACAAGAGCTGTACACCAGCGTCCATCCAACCACAGCCGATGATCCAAGCGGTCTCCTTGTTTGCGAGGCACGGGCAAGATCCGATGGGCTGAAGAGGCACTGAGGGGGTCTTGCCCATGCGAGGAAGCTACTATTCAAACGCCACCAGCCTGAGGGTGGGGGTTGCGGCTTTGAAAGGGAAGGGACTCACGCATCAGTACTAGCGACGCGCAATGATTTCCCTGGCACCTGCTGATGCCCTCGAATCAAGGTGGCAGTGCGTGCAGACTGCAGAATGGGCTTGAGCTGTTGCTGAATATTGCTTCTCGGGCACCTCCGCAGCCAAGTAAAGACAAATGTGCTCGCCATGGCTGTACGAGTAGCATCTGCGCGGATCGCTAACTCTCTGTGATGCTTCGACGACCTCTGACACCGGGAGCCGGAGGGCTAAACTAATCAACTACAGGCTTGCCACAACTCGAAACGCCCAGGCAGAAATCAGGGTAGCTTGAAGGTGGGCAATAATAACAACTGCATAATGATGACGATCATTGTCTTCCCAGGTTTCATGTCGCCCTCAGTGCCTCTGGTGCTTCCGAAGCTGTGGACCTGCAACCGACGGCACTCATGAAGCGGGCCAGATATGCACGAGCTGGAACGATTCTTAGAGGCGGCTGACGAGGCATGGATCGAGTGGAGGAACTGACTCCTTTGCCTCTGATCTACTCGATGGTACAGTATCGACAGGGCAAAGGCAATCAAGCCCGCTCGCTGTGCAGTCCGGCTTCTCAATTCCCATCTTGGTGATCAACTACAGACAGCCAACAAATTGCCAGCCGTCACAGTCTAGTTGATCAGTGGATCCTTTGAGGCGGCACGTTTTCATCCAAAATGACTTGCGCGGCCGGATACGGGATTCAGGAGCGTGTTCGAACCCTGATTGCACCTCAGTGCTCGTCATGGCCAAAGTCGGATGCGGCGACGCCCACACAGTGAAGCAGCTCAGTGGAAATTGTTTCCATACTAAGCCGCACTTGATACTCCGGACTCCTACCGTGAATGTCTCACGGGCCTTGTGCCTCGACTGTGGAAAATTTGCGCGCAACTTGTCGTATATCCAGCTGTAGTCTGCCACATGCCTCGTCTCTACCATCACATAGGGGTGTTCTACACCTGAAATTTCGAACTACTTCGAGTTAGGCTCCTCGAAGCCCGAATAAAGAAAGGTAAATGAGCTGTTTGGCGCCGGGGAAGGGTGGAACCTGCAGCTGTCATTTACACATACATAGTACATGACCGGCAGGGGACGGCGGATGGTGAGCCCGCAACAACGAGAGCCTTTCTCATCCGTTCGACTAAGGTGGCTGAGAAAACTCGCAGATGGAGTTGATGTACTCGTACTCAGCGGATCCTGTGATTCGTCTGGGATGCAGGCGACACCGCGCAGTGGTCCAGCTCGAGGGCGTATCAGCAATGCTCCCGGTTCCGAAAGGCTGGTCCAGAACTTCCGACGGCGGGAACGATGCTGTCGTGGCTTGTCCACCACTGCGCGGTGCCCAGGGTATGCCGGCAGGGGTTGGTTGTAGCCACTGGCATTCTTCACCACTCTGGCGGCTCGCTGCTGCAGACTTCCACGGCATCTCGGTGTCACCAAACTGGGACTGTCAGTTCAGTCGTCCTCTTCTGCGGTTGTCTGTGGGCTTATCGGAGTGGACGGCCTCGATAACACTGATTGCTAATCGTATCCTAATTCTCTCTACTGTGTACGGGGCTGGTGGCTCCATAATCGATCGATGCTCGCTTGCGAACCATCCTTCAGCGTGACCGGTTTGATCCGGAATGGTGGGCAGGAGCCCGCCTGAAGGACCTTTCACTTGAGGTGCAGCCAAGACAATGACATCCATCCACGATGTCCGCAGTGCCCATTATGGGCATTAACTGTATTGCACCAATTACCCTCATGCTCAGCACGAAGCTGCATCCCAGGAATGTGGTTCCGAGCTAAGCGTGCGAGTCATCCCAAGCGAAAGCAAACTTTGTTCAAAATACCTGGCAGGTGGATATTGTTCCTGCCTGCATCCTTGCTCATGCATGCTCGCAACCGCACACGCCCTAGGACGATACACAGTACTCGTGTGTCGCCGGGATAGTGTATCGCGGGAAGACGAGTACTGCAGGTGTGGAAGCGCTGGAATGGTGGGGTTTTTATGCAAGCCACTTGTGCTCTGACACGGTTCTCACGGTCTTTGGGCGCAAATCTGGAATAACGCGAACAAAGCGATCAGCTGGGGCACATTCAGAAGCCGCTAATTAGGGTGCTACTTTCTCGGCTACAAGCACGCTTCTGCAGCCAGGGAAGCCGCACCTCTGGCTAGAGACAATTCAGTAGCTAGTCATTGCACGTTCACAGTACACAGTAGCTTTACCGCCAGCTTCGAATCGAGATCTAGAACCACCGATCAGCAACCACGACGAATCTCAGCTCTGGTCGCGCTCGTCTATCCTTCCACTGCAGCGTGTCTGCCTTTCTCAGCGCAAGGAACCTCGACCACAGGCGCTTAGCTACCACAGTATTAGCTGTTCCTTTCTAAGCTCTCAAGACTACGAGCTAACTTCTCACAGCAGTAGTAGCCATTTCCCACGCGAAGCCCCGCCAGTCTGAGAGACGAACGATGCCACAGGGCCCTGGGCACCTACAGGTGGTCGCTGCGACATGCCAAAGACGAGCTCTTGCAAGCGAAACATTGCCGGCATGACACGGGAGCAAGATTGGAAGCAATACCCCCTGCAGCAGGATTTCCTCGTCGCTCCCCTGCCTTCATCCAAACCAATAGGCTTCCCTCGCAGGGTATGTCGACCTCGGCCTGAGGGATCGTCCTCGCCGTCACTGCATTCGTCGTAGCATTTGCAGCCGTGCAAATACTGATGAGACGGGAAAATTCGTTGTCGCCTCTCTACCCCGTAACTCATACGAGACAGCAGAGCCACTGCGGGGAGCATACGAAGCATTTTGGTGCTGTTAATCGCCGAAGTTACACAACAGCTGCAGGGGCGAACTCAAACAAAGCCCGCTACGCCCAAAGGCACAAGGAGTCGCCGGCCAAGACTTGGTCCGCCTGCACCTGCGGACCCTCTTCAGCTCGCTGTTGAGGCACCCAATCAAGAAGGATCGGGCCACTACGACAAACGGAATGGGTCACGATGATGTTCCCACGATCTGCGCCTCGGAAAACCCTATCGCCCTGTAAAGAAAATCACACTTTCCTGCGCCGAAAGTTTGGCAGCCATGAGCATGATGCAGTAGACAGCGGCCCCTTGTAAGAGTAAAGGGAATCATTACCCCAACCTCCGAGCAGAGATCGCCGCGCATGCATGTTCAATGCAATTGAGAATTGCATGGTGCATCTGGTAAAATGGTGGAAGGTTCGTGAGATCGGATGTTTCGGCACCTCGGCACTGTCGAGCGTATCTGTCTGAGCACGATAACAACCACGAGGACTACGAGGCTCGGCCAAGGAACCAAAAACCCGGCTTTGTGCCTTGCGCATTGGCCGGCCATCCACATGCCTGGTCGAGAACCGGTCTTCCAGTCCATTCGAGAAATGCTGACGTCTAAACCAAAATACTGACCCAAGCGAGGTATGTCCGGACCGACTAGCGCTCTGACTAGCATTGCCAAGTATCCTGTCTGCCTGTCAACTCCTTACGAATCGTCCAGGAGGGTCTGAAAAACGCAGGTGAACTGCTAGTTGGAGGCTGGTGCCAGTTTCCGGCATAGCCCGTAATACAAGTTGCTAAGCAGCCCACAACCCGAAACACCCAACAAGAACTTCGGGTCATCTCCGTGACTGAGGTGACTGCAAGCGATCAGGATACTGTGTACGGAACGGTCCACGGAAGACATCAACCTCGAGATTAATACTTTCTATACTCAGGAGGTCCACCTTAGTTACATGCAACGACCATGTCACACCACCCAGTCAGTGACACATGCATCAAGGCTGAACTACCGAGCCAGTATGTGCTGGATGGTCACGCTCCCCATCGAGGAACGCTTTGAAAAAGGACTACCAAGAATCGGACATTGTCCAGGGCTTCTTTTTTCCCATACTCTCGCCGGGATACCTCATTGGAATCGGAGCATAGTCAGCGAAAGACGCAAGCCCTGCATCATTGCCGCTTGCGCGACTGCTCTCTCTCGCGTCGCTATTCTTTGCCGGGATGGGAATAATGACTCCACATTCCCAGTTACGACAATTGAGCCTAGGTTCTTTGGTGGCTTTGTCCTGCACAAGTCGTCCCCTACCATGAGACACAGAAGCACGTCAGTAGGTCTCAGGCTATTGATTGTTGAGCGTCCGCAAATCACACATAGGGGAGGGCTCCAACGAGCTCGGGAGCGGACCTACCAGGCACTCTCAGAGAGATTTGCGCTACCAACATATACCCACCCTGCCTTTTCTGACTCGGACTTGTCGACCAGTGAGGCTAACCTGGCAAATAATAGCTGTATCGCGAAGAAGACACAGTCAGTTCCACTTGCGACAGACTGCGGTAGCCATCGCTTGTGACGTACCTTGTTGTGCATCAGTAGCCGGTCGCGGACACTAAAGCAGTCACGCATATTGGACCTTGGAAAGTCCGGTTTCTGCCACCATCCCCTCGAGAAGCAGATCGTGTTTGCCCTATGTGGACCGGCTTTCGATGCTCTGACGGTATCGTCGCTGGGAAAGTAGAACCGGAAGTTGTGCTTCCAACTGCTCGGTGGACTGCCAAAGGATGGCTTTTTGTTGATTCGTCTATTATACTCGGTCAACCCGCTGTCCCCCTGTGCAGCGAGATACATGGACTCCATGAACTCGTCATTCAAGCTGCCCACCGACGAGGTCACATAGTCCACCTGTATTGGATCTCTGGTGGCGAGCCCGAGTTCGGTGATCGTGCGGCCCAGACCACCAATTCCCGTCGTTCTCCACGCTTGACCGGTGTGCTTGCCGCCGATGGAGTGGACAAAGCCGTATTTTGCCGTCTTGCCGAAATCGAATTGATCGAGCTTGCGCAACACGTCGCCCGGCACCGTCTGAGCCTTGAGAAACTGCTTCAGCGACTTTTGGAACGGCGGTTCCGCGCGTCCTGCGGTGGTTGTGGTCGTAATCGACGGCCCCTTGAGAGGCAAGTCAATCAGCCAGACCGTATTCTCCATAAACGAGCCCACCCCCCAGTCAAAGTCGACGAGATTCGCGGTCGGGACGACGATCCTGCACCGCAGGCCGTGTGGGAAGTCCGGCTCGTTCTCGTTCGCGTAGAACAACAACATCAGCTTACTGTGCATGCAGTTGACATTGCCGTCCATCGGCGGGAACGTCAATCTCACATTGGGCACGCCCTGCCAGTCCCGCATGATCGTTTCGCGCTGGGCCTGCGATTTCGCGTGCACGACGAGCTGGAATTTTGTCCGTCGTGTTTCAAAGTGCGGGAAGAGCCACTCGAAGTTCCAGTTGAAGGAGGACAAGAGGGCGGATTCGAGGTGCGAGGACGGCGCGATTAGTGATGCGAAAGAGATCGTCCGTGTAGCAGGGTAGCCGGGGATGTACGTCTTGAGAGCGACGCCGTCGGGGTAGAATGTTGTTGTGCGGAGGGTATCCTCCGGGTCATCGTCGTCGTCAAGAGAGACCGCGTCTCGGGAAAGAGCATTGGGACACCCACCTCCGTTATTACTCGGTTTTGCAATTCCAACGCTTCCGTCCTTGCCGTTGTCAATGTCCTTGTCCTTGTTTTTGTCTTGGTCTTTCGCTGCTTGCTTGATCTTGATGGGTGGTGGTGAGATAGTTCTCTGCCGCAGCCGGGTTGTCTTTGCAAATTTCGGATGCGCACCCTCCTCGCCTTTCTGCTCCTCCTGAGTTTCTCCGTGCCCGTGCTTCCGCTTCAGTCGTGCCAGGCGCTCTGCTTCCATCGTCCTCCGGTCCAGGCGCGCGAGGCTAAACGTGCTGGGTGATGGGGTTGCGTTCTCCTTGGCGCCACGCCCATCCGTCAAGTTCGAGGCAGGGTCTGGCACGCCTGACAAGGGAGCCGCTTTGTTGCTTGAGGTGGGCACAGCTGTGGAGGGGAAGGGCCGAATCTTAGCTGACAACAACGATGATGATGGCGCAGTCCCGGTCGCGGCTGTGGTTGAGGTGGCCATTTCGACGGGGTACTTCACGGGGGAGGACGACCGCCAATTCGGGAGAGGCACTGCTGCCGCTGCTACTGGGTTTCCTCCACTTGGTTGAGCTTGACCTTGGTCTTGATCGTCATCGTCATTGTCATCGTGATCTGGGCTCTGCTCCTGCAATGACAGCGCGATGGCCTGTTTCAAGGCGTCTTCCTCGGTGAATGCCCCGTTTGCATAGTCCCATGATCTGTCGACCGCGGGTGGGGACGCGGATGGGGGATTGGTATTAGTCTCGTCGTTGGTATCTTGTGATAGATCGATCTCTGGGATGGAGGCTGCTCGACCTTTGCCTTTGCCTATGTCTTTTCCTCTGGTTCGGCGTGTACCATTGCCATTGTCGATATCGTCCCCATTAACCTCAGGATCAGGGCTACATGACGGGACAAACAACGGTGATGACGGAGACTTGAGGGCCTCGTCGTTGGCTGGGCTATTCTGCACCGTGTGGCTGCTGGGTGTGGAGCTTGGAGTGCCTGCCTGGGAGGCTCGACTGATCTGAACGGCCGGTCTGGTGCGCGCGATGAGTGCCGGGTTGATCGTTCCGTTCGTGGCGACCGGCCTTCCTGCTTCCGGATGTGTGTTGCCGCTGGGGCCGGGAAGGGGGACGATCTCGTCCTCGTCATCTGAAATCAAGTCCACGATCTCGGGTGCCATGGTGATGGTGTCGAGGTGGAGATCGAGGTTGAGGTTGTTCGACCCAGCCAAGAAAGGTGGTCGGCCGGCAATGCGGTATGTGTCGTCCTTCACTTTACTCGCAGGATAGAGCTAGGGAAGTGTACCGTGAGGCAGAGCTCCAGTCATCAGGCGGGGTGTGGCAGAATGGCCTCGATGATGGTCTTTTCGTCGCCTCCCAAAAAAGGAGCCGTAGTGGGATATGTAATAGTCGATCCAATCTCCAATCTATGATATGTAACGTCGGGCGGGCAATGGTGTTCAGCGACCTAGACGGTTGCCAAAAGCGTGTCGCGTCGATGCGGCTCTTGTGTGATGAGGTGAAAACTGAGGATGAGGTGAAAGATGAATTGCGATGGAATAACTTGGCCTGCAACTGAAATGCCGAATATCAGTCCTCAGATTGACACTTTGCTTCCCACACGGCCAAGTGAAGCAAGCAAGCAAGCAAGGATCCGCGTCACGCTTTGACGCCCTTTATCCAATATACTGTGCGCCCTTCACAAGGAACTGCGGCTTTGGATCGCAAGGAAGATATCCCAGTCAACGACCAAAGGATCTATGATGAGACGGACGATGGCGTCTGTGGCAGATGCCTTCAGACGCAACCCGGCAGCTTATCTGTTGAGTGCGCCTTTCATGCACCTACCCAGCCCAAGTTGCTGCAACAATTTCTCTCTCGCGTGGTCTGGATCCAGTAGGACCGGCGGGAACATCTGGCTCTCTTGAGCAAGTTGCGTTAGCAGCGATGTACTTTGCATGTGAAGAAGATGAGCTCTGGAGGACAGATAATCAGGACGGTCGTGGCTAGGTGAGGTGTGGTGGATTTCCTGAAGTCGTTACCGGTGCCGGACCCACGAACAAGTTCATGTGGCTCCTACAATTGCTGAGCCCATGGAGCTCTTTCCATTTTCCGTCGTTATATCCGGAAAAGGTCTGTCTATGGGTTGTTGCTGACGTCGATCCGGTTGGGCGATGCGCGAAGATGCGAGATGCCTACTATGTATGTGTGGGATGGCTCGGAGGAGGTTTCCTGCTCAGCCTTGTCTCGGTCATGAAGCTGCTAACATCATAGATTCTGTACTTGGCCTCGACACAGTTGTCCGAGATGGCTGATACCTTGGTCTGATGCTTGATCAGCCCGTACGCAGTAGGAGATGATTGAACGGCGAGGGCTGACGTTTGGTTGATCCTCAAGTTCGATGCACGTGGTTGCGCGTCCCACGCGTCACGGTCCTCCTTCCGCACACTCTTATTGGGCGAGGGGTTTGCAGCGGAACAAGAGGCTATGTATTTGTACAATTTTACGGTGCACGCAGGACACGTACTGCGTCGTTGGTCTCAGCGAACGCTTTGACGCATTTAACCGGTTCCTGCGGCCGGAAATTCATCCAGAAGCCTTCCTTCGGGCAGGAAACCGCGGGGCAAGACAGCCCTTACCGTCTGCTTGTTCCTCCGAATCCAGTGCTTTCGTGTCTCGTGCTGGAATAGCTTGAGCTCGAAGAGCTCGCTGTCCTTGACGACGGCGGTGACGGCCTCGTGGGCGCAGCATAGCCACCATTGCCTCCTCCGAACCAACCGCCTCCGAATGCTGGTCTGGCTGGCGGTGGAGCGGGCTGTGTGCGGGCACCCCTGCCTGCAAAATACCCTGCAGCGGCTCCAGCAGCTGTGCCAGTCCAGAATCCCGGCCGCCACCCCTGATCCTGTTGCCCTCCGCTCGCTGTCCCGGTTCTTGAGCTTGAAGCTGACGACCCCGTCGGCTTCTTAGGCCGTGGAGGCGGTCGTGGATCATATGGAGGAGGAGGGTCGTTATCATCATCCCCACCACCAAACCCTCCGAAGCCACCACCTCCCCGAGGTCTCCTCCGAGGTGCGTCGTTGCGCCAGGCGTTGTAGATACCGCGGACAATGATAAACAACACGAGCAAGAATAGTGCCATGAACAAATAGCCCGCAATCTTCTCGCCATTGTTTTTGCCGCCCTTAGATCCACCGTGATCAAACCAGCTTCCAGATCCATACTTTTGCTCTCCCTTCTCTGTCAACAACAGCCTGTACTCGACACCGCAGCTTCCCTTGAGGACGTACGGGTCTTCGCTGCTCTCGTAGCCCTCGCAGGTTACGTCCGTGCTCCCGAGCTTGAACTCTTCTGGCAGGGAAGCCTTGCAGCTCCACTGGACGTTGCCATCTTCGTAGTCGGTCCCTTCATTTGTACATCGCATGACGTCTACCGCGTAGAGACTGCATATCCTTGACGGGCCAACGCATTGTAATTGAGGGACAGGAGAGACTCGTCGCGAGGTGGTCTGTTTGCCTGCGCGCGCCGTAAGCGCAGACACCTTGGAGAGAAGAACTGCATTCTTCGGAACTTTCTTGGGGTTTGTTACTCGAGCGCAGAGAGAATTGCCTGTGAAGAGAAGTGTCAAAAGCATGAGCAGCTTGATCTGTGCCAAATTTAATGTCGCCATGCTAGGATGCTGCTTTGCGTCTGATCATTCCCTCAAACAAACCTGAAGAGATGCGACGATCAAAGAGCTGAATCCCATGCCGCACACTTAGGAGAATACTTCAAGGGAGTACTCGATACTATGCCTCCAATCAGGTGAGTGAGTCGCCAAGTGACAGAGTGGCCATATCAAGCGATCGATGAGGCGACTTGTGGTTGCCTGTTATCCAGAGGCTCGAGTGCAGATGCTTTTGCCCCGCATTTTGGAAACAATCTCCAATCGCTCGCGGACTGGGGGATGAGTGGCCGGGTCGTATCTACACAGACTGCAGGTCAAAGTTGAATGGCGAAATGTCCTTGATGGTTTGTACTCGACAGGGGCTGCATAACATTCCCGTTGCGTGGCTGGCGATCTACTCGGGCAGCACCGACATGAGCGAACGCTCTGGATCCGGTAATGTCATGAAATCGGTGCTTTCTGTAGGCAGCAAAAGCTCAAAAAACACCATCATCCTGTCTGAGACGCCGAGTGAACAAGTACATGGTGAGTCCCCAAAGTTTGCCAAAGTCCGCGAGCCTCTACGTGTTTGAGTAAGTCAGACCACCGTGTAATGCAACAACCGCGTACTGCAACAGCCCCGCATTTACGCGTCAAATCGCGTTCTTAACAACCCTCTCTCTTTCATATCACACCAGCACACCACAAACCTCTCTTATCTTGTTCATACTTAGTCAGCATGCCCTCCTATACCGAAGAAACCCTCCAGGAGGCAATCCGGGCCTTCCAGCGCGGCGATTACCCCTCGATTCGATCTGCAGCGACAGCATACCGCGTTGACTTCAGTACCATGAGTCGTCGACTGAAAGGAGGCCAAACTCGACAATCAGTAAGAGAAGACCAACAGCTGCTGTCCTCTACACAAGAGGATCTTCTTGTTCGATGGATTATCGATCTTAACCACGCTGGCGCCCCCCCAACCTTCTCTCAAGTACGCGAGTTTACTGGCCTCATCTCAAAGACCTCGGATGGCCCAACTTCAGTCGGCATAAACTGGGCAACACGCTTTCTCAATCGTCATCCAGAGATAAAATCAAAGGTAGGAAGGAAGATCGAGTACCTGCGCGTTGAAAATACTAGTCCAGATACCCTTCAGACCTTCTTTACCCTCTTCCGCGCTATTGTTACCCGTCATCAGATCAAACCAGCCAATATGTGGAACTTCGATGAATCCGGACTGGCTATGGGGGTCTATACCAACCAAAGAGTTATTGGTGCAACCAATAAGAGACGTTCATATCGCAAGACGCCTGAAAATCGTGACTGGGTCACTATAATCGAGGCCTGCTCGGCGGAGGGTCGTTTTATCGATCCGCTGGTGCTTTTCAAAGGCAAAGACCTCCAGTCAACATGGTTCCCGCATAACTCACCCTCGAATTGGCACTACAAGTGTACTGAGAACGCCTTTACAACAAATACAGTCGGGTTAAGCTGGTTACAAGAGATCTTCCTCCCTCAAACCGCAAATGGCACAGCACCCCGATTACTCCTCTGCGACAACCACAACTCTCACGTTACTATTGCGTTTATGTTCGAGTGCTTTACCCATAATATTCAGCTGCTTTATATGCCTTCACACTCATCGCACGTCCTTCAACCTCTTGATGTTGGTGTTTTTTCAGTCCTCAAAAGCAACTATCGCAAAAGCATTACTAATATCTCAAGATTCGTCGAAACCACGCCCGTACAACGCCTCGAGTTCATCGAATTTTACAAGATAGCTAGAGCGATGACTCTAACGCCTCAATATATAAAAGGTGGATGGAAAGGCACTGGTCTATACCCATACAACCCCCGCAAAGTCCTTCGATCATCGCAGCTAGTGCAAACCCCTAAAACCCTTACCACAGCACCACAAACACCACGATCTCACAAGCGCAAACCATCTGGAGAGGTTTATACAGCAACGCCGCGTAACGGGCGTCATTTACAGGCACAGGCGATCGGCCTTATCCCGGATATTGCAGCTCAAAAAGGCACTCGGTTGTTTATGCGTAAGGCTGCCAACAAGATCGACCAGCTTTTGTTGCAATCAGCGCAACAGACCCTCCAAATTCAGCAGTTATCGGTTCAAGTTGCTCAAAAGACCACCACCAAGCGTGCACGAGTTAACATCGACTCGAACAAGTCCTTTGCTTCAATCGTTGAGATGAAAGAGGCGCAAGACCGTGCCATCGCGCGCCAAGAGGAGTGGGAGAGGATCGATAGAGATAAAGAGGCCCGTTTGACCTCTGAGAGGTGCCAACAGACCGAGTTCACAAGCCTCTGCAACGTCTTTCATATTTACAACGTCGCTGGCGCCGATCTTTAAATAGTTACGACGGCGATCATATATGACGTGTAAATGCGGGGCTGTTGCAGTACGCGGTTGTTGCATTACACGGTGGTCTGACTTACATCCGATATGATGCGAACCACCATGGGAACTTCTCTTCGTCCTCCTAGACCACAGCAGTGCAGTTTCGTACTGTGCTTCACGTATTCACTGAGTATATTGATGCAAGAAGTATGAAAAGCTGCGGGTCTCCGTGCGGGTCTCTTCCGTTCGTTCGTTTGTTCGTTGACCTGTTGTTTGGCTCCCTGCTTGAGGAAAGAGGGGGAGAAAAGCAACGAAGAAAGCGAGCGAACAAACAAACGCTCAGGGTGCGCTTAGTGATATACTAGCCGCGATCCACGACAGCATTGCATGCAAATTGAGCTACCAGTACTTCTACAGGGAAGGGATGGCAGCTTTCATCTACTTGACGTGTACTCCTAACTCCGAACTGCGTCCATTTACTAATTATCGTTCTGGCAACTACACTTGTAGCTACTGTGCCATGGTTACGGTGTCTAATTTTGCACCCTCACGCTCGATGACTCGCTCGAACTACGGGCGTAGGAGGAACAATGCCTCCCCTCAATATGGCGTGGTATCTCTGCGGCAATGGTCTTTAGCCGTGACAGCTTGGGAAGATTGAGAGACCTGCAAACCATCATTTCCTGCTTTGGTTCACCATGAGTGATTGTTGGTCAACAGGTTCACTGCCTGTGATGGGTAAACTGCCTGGAGTCTCCGTCAATGGTTTCCGTGGAATATATATATAGTACCATAGCATACCGTCTGGAACCTTGGACTTTGTCCAGCACCGTTCCAACCTACCCACACACTCGCTTGAGACGGCAAGGCTAGGAATCGGTTCAATATCCGGAATACTTCCCAGCACTCTCCGTCCCGTGGTGGCAGATAGCTTGGAATGTACAAGATGGCGCACTTTTCCAATGATACCACAGCGGACAGCATCAAGCCTGCGGGTCCCATGATCAAGCAACATGTAAGTGGTTGATCGCCCCACTGCCTGTTCTTGTTACGAAGCTGCAAGAGGGTCGAAGACGAGGGCAGCGATGTGTTATATGGCGACAACACGTTCGAGTGTTACCATGTCCGCGTTTTCCAGAACCGCTTCATCCACGGCAGATGTTGCGTGCCCGGCAACGGATTCCGGGGGATTGGTAGCAAGAACGCGGCCAAAATCAAGAAGGCTTGTTTTGGACTGCCCCTGATCATCATCCGAAATCCGCAGGATTCAGTTGATGGAAATGCATTCCTCGACTTGATGTGCGCCGACTTGATCGGCCTTCAGAGACTCACTGTGAAGACCGACAATTTCGGTTTTACATGTGCGCAAGCTCAGCGTTTCAAATGGTCCGCATTCGTGCACTCCTCACCACCGTGGCAAGAATTGCAAAATACCACCCCACACTACGGAAAGCGATCTGGCGCCGCTGGAGTGGAAGCCGATCTCAGGGCCTCGTTATTGCTGCTGACTTCTATGTCGACCTCGTGGCTCGTGGGTTTGAAGCCAGATTTGAAGGGAGTGTCACCAGGAATAATGCTTGGGGTGATGACTTTGAGTCGTTTGACATACTGCTGAAGACGTCAATGATCCGTTCAACCTCTTGGCTCGACAACTCTGTCTGGAACAATGTGCATAACTTCGAGATGGACAAAAGCCTCATCACCACGGAAGTAAATGAGTCAGAAGTTGGTTCTTGGCCTAATCCGGTCAAATACGAGCCGCTTCTCGAACCGAGTCCTTCAGAACAAGCCGCCACGATGGACATCAGTCATGGCAGGACCATCCATGGCCGGTTCGTCGGCGGACCATTCATTGACGGGAAATTCGTCAAAGGATATTGGTTCGGCCAATCTCGAGCTTTGTCGAGGTTCTTGCAAGGGAAATTCATCCCTGCACGTATGGTTGATGGCACTTTGTTTGAGTCTCAATTCGTGGAAGGCGAATGGATAACTGACGAGGAGTTCGTTGAAGGCAAGTGGCTGGACGGCAGGCTCATCAAGGGTGTCTGGGTCACATGGAAGGCTGGGGGAGGGGGAAAGTTCTTCGAAGGTCACTGGCGAGACGGCCTCTTCACGAAAGGAAGGTGGGTTGGAGAGAGGGTCATAGAGGGCAAATGGGCAGGCTCGGTCTTCTATGAAGGAAGGTGGACGTCCCAAGGGGCGTTTCTGCGTGGCAGCTGGGCCAAAAAGCCAAACATCCCTGGTTTGGTTGGAGGCGGACGGTAGGGACTGTAGGGTGGGTATATTGTGTATCACACCCAGAAAAACCAGTCGGTGATTGGTTTCCGGAGCAGTGCCAAACATATCTGTCGTTGGCGTCGATAGTTGGGAAAGACGAGCTGTTCTGTGACAATATGGACAGGGACATACTAGGGGCAACATGTCAAAACCTTCACTTGCAAGTCAAAGGCCCGTGCTAAGAAGACGCGGACTTCGAAGGTTGAGCTGACCATGTTCACCGCCGTGTCAATGAGGTGTAAGATCCTGGCTTAGTGGATTCGGGGCACAGATGAAGGTTGCGGTAGCTGGACGAGGAGTAGAGACGAAGTGGTGAAGGGGCTCTCAGGTGCAGAGTACTGTCTACTGACACTGCTGATAGAGAATTCATGACTCAGAGTGCAATACTCGAAGCCATCTAGGCCAAGGTGCTCCTGTCGTCCTTGGCTTGTATGTGCTTGATGAGAACAAGTTGTTGTTCAGTCAGGCTCTCAGCAAATTGTCACCGATTCATTCTTCGCTTCCAAGGTTCCGAGGGTTCTTGAGTCGACGCTCACCGAAGTTTAACCGTACGGCAAATGCGAAATCTTGTCGCTCTTCCGTCTACACGCATTGCACTGCATCGCGAGTCTGTCTTCAAGTCGCCATGAAGCTGGTTCTCCGGCCGTCTGGCCCTCTAACGTGGGGCCATACTCCGCAAACAAGGTCACACATCTTGCGGCAGCGTCGTTCCTTCGCATCTGTGGCGGGCGACATCAGGTGTGTGCGAGCACTTTCGGACTCTGCATCCCGAATACTGACCTCTCGGCAGACCGTACGATGTCATTGTCATCGGCGGCGGACATGCAGGCACTGAAGCCAGTGCTGCCGCAGCGCGCTCTGGGGCTCGTACCGCCCTTGTCACTCCCTCGCTCTCCAATCTAGGCGTCTGTTCCTGCAACCCCTCTTTTGGCGGCATTGGCAAAGGCACCATGGTCCGTGAGATCGACGCGCTGGACGGAGTCGCAGGCCGCATTATCGACAAAGCCGGTATCCAGTTTCGCATGTTGAACGTCAAGAAAGGACCCGCAGTATGGGGACCTCGCGCGCAGATTGACCGAGACCTGTACAAGAAATACATGCGCGAAGAGATGCTATCAACACCAAATTTGAGCGTGGTGGAAGGCAAAGTCGCTGATATTATTGTATCACGGGATCTGATCGACTCAAATGATACGCTCACACAGGGGCGAATTACTGGTATTCGCCTGGAGGATGGCCAAGTCATTCCTGCATCGCGTGTGGTTATCACAACAGGAACATTCCTTGGTGGCGAAATACATATTGGACTCGAGGCATATCCCTCTGGAAGGATGGGCGAAGCCGCTACTTTTGGGTTGAGCAAGTCCTTACGGAGTGCAGGCTTCACCTTGGGCCGGCTAAAGACTGGAACCCCGCCGCGGCTGGATCGAGACAGCATTGATTTCCGTGCTCTGCAAGTCCAGCCAGGTGACTCGCCACCCACGCCATTCTCCTACCTCAATGATACCGTCGACATCGGAGACGAAGGGCAACTGAACTGCTGGACTACCTACACGAACGAAGCCTCACACCAAATTATCCGGGACAACCTTGATAAGTCAATACACATCCGAGAGACTGTCCGAGGACCACGCTATTGTCCCTCGCTCGAGTCCAAAATCATCAAGTTTCAGCACAAGGAGAGACACATGATATGGCTGGAGCCCGAAGGTCTGGAGCCCAATAAAATCATCTATCCCAATGGTATCAGCATGACTGTGCCAGCAGATGCTCAATACGCGATGCTCAAGACCGTCAAAGGTCTGGAGAATGTCAACATGCTCCAGCCAGGGTATGGTGTGGAATACGACTACATCGACCCTCGCAACCTGTTTCCGACCCTCGAAACCAAGCTCATCAAAGGGCTATTCATGGCGGGCCAGATCAACGGCACCACCGGCTACGAAGAAGCCGCAGCACAAGGGATCATTGCTGGGATTAACGCAGGTCTATCCGCACAGGGCAAAGAACCGTTCACTCTTTCTCGTGCAGAAGCATTCATCGGCATTCTCATTGACGACCTCATCACAAAGGGCGTAAGTGAGCCCTACAGGATGTTCACGGCTCGGAGCGAATACCGCATGAGCTGTCGCGCCGATAACGCAGACCTACGTTTGACCGAGAAAGGGCGCGAGGCAGGCGTGGTGAGCGATAAGCGGTGGGCTCACTTCTCCAACACACGAGGCCAGATGGCCGGACTCCAGCGCAGGCTCGAAGAAGTGCGATATCCGAGCACGGAATGGGTCAAAATGGGATTCCCGTCACGTATTGACTCAAACCGGCGGAGTGCATTTGACATGCTCAGGGTAACCGGTGTCAATTTAAACAACCTTGCTGAAAAGGTTCAGACATTGTGGGGTATTGGCGACTACGAGCCCAAGATCAAGGACAGAGTATCGATCGAGAGTATTTACGCACCTTACATCTCCTTGCAACAGAAGGCGGCAGAGGCATTCGCGAGGGACGAATCACTGGCTCTGCCTGCAGACCTGGATTACGACTCGGTGTTCGGGCTGAGCATTGGCGAAAGGGAAGTGTTGAAGCTAGTCAGGCCTGCGAGCGTAGGCATGGCTAGGCGCGTGGAAGGCGTGACGCCGCATGGAGCCTTGAGGCTGTTGAGATACGCAAAGAAGAATAGTCGCAACTTGCCAGTGGAGGGTATTGCGCTCGAAGACAACGCCGTCCTGGGCCAAGTCGATCTTTCGGCATGACATACATGTGGCACTGTACAACAGAATTAAGGTGATTGGCGGATTTACAACGTTGGCATGGCGGCGACAGTCTGGCTATGTGCAGTGACTATATCGCTCTGTACATTATGTATCTGTAACGCAACCACTTCGGCTTCATAACAGTCGCGACACGCCGAGTACGCCTCTCGGCTGTCATGTTAGTCGTGCTACAATTTGCGGCTGTCTGCTCATGCTGCTCTCCATGTCGTGGACCCTATGGTGTGAGGGTGCCTAGGGTGACCGCAGCTTAGTCATCCAGTGGTTGCGAGAACTTCAGACTCCGACCGTACGCGTCGAGGTCTGATGTCAGTACCTGTGCCTGTCAATGCCATTCCTTCGGTGATAATCTATCCAGCCTTGAACAAGCCGCCGAGTTGCAAGTGTTGGAGGTTGATCACAATAAAAAATAGCTGAGAACGCCTAAATTCGTTCCACGGAGACTTCTCGTCGCGTCACACGGAAGCGGCTTTTCTTTCAACTGCATGACTTTGTTGGCTAGGCACAATGTCAGTATTGACACCGGCATCATGACATTTTTAGCCCGGCCAGCAGGGCTGGGGACAAAGGCGCGGCTAAGGTCCGGCTTCGCAATACTCGCTCGGCGGAGCTACAGTCAGGGTATTGGGTGTATATCGAAGCCTCACGGATCTGGTCGGCCGCTGTCAACTCGCCTTCCACACAAGAAGGAGCAAGCCTCTACCGGAACAAGGGTCTGGTCGCAAAGCACGCCATTGCGCAGTACGTTGGGCTCCAAAACACGATATACCTTGAACACCTTATTGTCACAGACACGGACATTTTCAAAGACAGTATCCTGGCTACAAGGAAAGGAAGAGGTTTCCAAGGATGAAAGTGGAAGGGAGACAAACAGGTATGAGCAATGTTCTTCAGCCCAGTCAGCCTGAGGATGATATTATCTCCGTTGGCTTCGCTTCCTAGCACCGACGGGTTCGTGTTTCTGGCTTACGGCACAATACATTGTCACTTAACCAAAGTGCTGGCCGAGGCCAAACCTGAGGATGAAGATGTCGAAGCAAAGACGGTGCTGGTCATTGTACCTTCTCGGCACCCAGTACCTGTCGTACGGTATACTTCAAAAATGGATTTGCACTGACGTTCTGACCAGCTCTTCGCTACCATCAGCCCCACGGACGCACATTCCGAAACGCCTGCTCCCACAAGTCCACGAAAACATCTATACCATTCCCAATGCTTTAACCTTCTCCCGCCTCCTCGCTGCCCCTATGGTCGGCTACTTCGTCCTCACTCACAATCCAGTCCCGGCCGTATGCCTTTTCGCTTACGCAGGAATTACGGACCTCATCGACGGCTATCTCGCACGACGCTTCCACCAACAGACCGTCGTAGGGACAGTCATTGACCCCATGGCCGATAAGATCCTGATGACCACGTGCGTCGTCACCCTCACGCTCAATGGGACACTTCCGATCTGGCTCGCGGTGGTAGTTTTGGGCAGGGACGTTGCACTGGCGATATCTGCGATTTACTTCCGCTGGATTAGCTTGCCGCCACCGAAGACGATGGCGAGATACTGGGACTTTAGTCTGCCAAGTGCGGAGGTTCATCCGACCGAGATCTCGAAAATCAACACGTTTCTACAGCTGTTGCTGGTCGGAAATGCGATGTTACTGCCCGTGTTGCCTGTGGGGTTGGTCGACGCGTGGAATCTGTGGGGCGTGATGGAGGGGTGGTACTATCTTGTGGGTGGGACGACTATCTGGAGCGGTCTTAGCTATATTGGGAACAAGGAGGCTGTGAAGATCTTGACACAAGAACAAGCGGAGGAGAAGAAGAAGAAGTAGCGGCAAGGGCAATAAACATGTGGAAGGAAACGGACAATCAGGATGAGCGTTCGAAGCGCGACACCCTGAGGCTTCCAAGGCTTCGAAAGCAGGCTGTACTACAAGGTTCGAGTTAGGTTGTGTTTTACCATGGCATGCTTTCAAACCCTCGAGTTCTCTTAGAATCCTGCCGAGGTAGCAGGGTGGCTGCGTTCGTCTCAGATACGGTCATGGACTCATCCGCTTTCACAATTTCGTCTTCCGGCTGGGCTGCCCGGGCGTCTGCGCCGCGAGCTTTTGGAATTTTCCTGTGAGGCTGTTTTGCTTATATCGCGGCTTCATCTTGATCTGACGCTAGTGAGCAGCACATGGCAGCCGTTGCGGTCGCCCGAGTGCAGGTCCGCTTCGAAGAGTCGCATTTGCTCAGTCGCTGGTGAATTTCCACTGTCCGACAAGTACCTTTCGCCTATGCTTCAGAAGGGTGTGTGGTGCTTGCAGCCCTGAGACTTTCGACTTTCACCGGAGACGCGTGACGCGGGCATTGCTGGTTATCCCACGGTACTTAATGTGGAGACAGCCATCTTTCCCGGCTGCGGCAAGACCTGCCAGAAGCTGAAAGGGCCGAAGCGTAGCTTCCGCAAGTGTCTCGATAGCGGTGGATTCGGCTAACGTGGACTTTGACTTTTGCATGAGGCGGATGGGCGCCTTATGGACACAAGCAGCCCTATTCAGAGGCACGTCGCATGGTGATAGGCGTCGGGATCGCCTAGGTTCTGGACCAATTATGGCTCCAAGGTAAGCACAAGCCCTAGCCAGTTGAGATGTTTCAAATCAGCCTCAGCTAGCCTGCAACAAGCCCCGTCGGCGCCACTTACTCTGGGATTTGGGCAAGCGTAAAGGCAGGACTGTGGGGTGTCTTGAAGTCAGTCTGTTTGCAAAACTGCTGTTGTACTTACCACAGTACTGACGCTGCGGTAATTCAGCGTAGCAGTAATCGGAAGCCTGCTTGCTACGCACTACTGTATCTAGGATAACTTCGACCTGTTCATGCTATAGCAACCCCAATTTTCCCGTCCAAACGTTCGTGCCAATCGACTACGAGCACGACCTCGTGCAGACCTCTCTGATGTCGCTGTCCCCGCCCCACCCTATGAGGAATGCAGCTTCACCTGCAAGCCAGAGACACCGGGGACCATCGCTGTCCCTCGCGATCTCCCCATCTCCGTCACCTTCACTATCCCCGCTAGAACCACAATCCGGACACAAATGCACGCAGATGTCGACACCTGAACCTGTCGAGGGCTCTTCGTCTTCATCGTCTTCAGCGGCTATACTACAGCTCACCAAGAGGTTCAGACAACTGGGTCGACTACCTGCTAGCTGGATCAAAGCCGGGGTATGTGCTCCCCTCAGGCGATGCGAAACAGTTGCTGACCAAGTGAACAGACCGACCAGTCCACGCCGGAGGAATCCTACCTTTGCGACACATGCCTGCGCATAGACCTTAGACTCGAGTCATTCCTAGTTCAACCAGATGAGAAGGACCACGAGTTCGAACGGTCCCATAAATTCCGGTACCTGGGAAGACTCTCACAGATTCGAACAAGGACTCACTGTCCATTCTGTCGACTAGTCCTTGAGATCGCAGATCGACCCTCAGACCAACGCAATCCCAGTCTGCATGCCGATGATGACCCGCTCTGCTATGCACGGTGGGTAGTGGATGGACAAGAAGATCTCGGGCCTGATCCCGACCGGCCAGGGGAACATATTTTCAAGCCAAAGACAAGACGGCTCCTGATATACAGCGACCCCCAAGCATTTAAAGATGGATATCTCGTCCTTTTGGCGGACGATGCTCCCACCCGGGAGTTCTTGGGACGTAGGATTACGTCTCCCGACCTGCTGGACCCCCACCAGCTGCGGCAATGGCTACATGACTGCGAGACAACCCATGGGATGGAGTGTGAAGAGTCGTTGGTACATCCCGAATTGCTGGGAGAACCGAAGGACGTCTTCCGCGCCATTGACGTCCACAACATGTGCATTGTCGAAACGCCGATGACAGCAAGATACGTGGCGCTGAGTTATCTATGGGGCAAGAACTTCAACCAGCTCTTTACCACATCCAAGAATCTCCCGAAACTGTCACAGCCGGGCGCACTCGAGAAGGAAAAGATCCCTCGAACGATCAAGGATACCATCAAGCTGACCAAAATGCTGGGCGAGAGATACCTGTGGACGGATAGCTTGGCGTTATTGCATGACGATGGCTTTCAGTATCATGACGACTGGGTATATGCCAGAGCTGCTCTCACCGTGGTGGCTGGCTCGGGAAAAGATGCGAACGCAGGGCTGCCTGGCGTGAGGAAAGAGTCTCGTACCTTCCATCAAGAAATCGAGCAGGTGAAGCCTGGCCTGCGATTGATGGTGTCGCATCTTGCGGAAGGTATGTTGTTTTCTGGCGAACCTAACGATCATCACTGACGACCATCAGATTACATATCCACATCCCAGTGGGATTCGCGGGCATGGACCTTCCAGGAGCGGATGCTCTCCCGGCGAGTCCTTCTTTTTGTGAATGGACGAATATACTACCAATGTCGACGGACGACGTACTGCGAGGACATTGAAATTCCGCCTGTCAACGGATGGTCACTGGATTCGATTGATATGCCGACCCGGATCTTTCGTGAGAAACCTTTTGTACAGTTCACTTCGGCAGTGGAACTATACACACGGCGCGAACTGACGAACGCCAACGACATCTTGAATGCTTTTGAGGGTATGCAGCTGGTGTTGGAGAAGCGGATAGGCGATCGCGTCTACTACGGCGCCTTGGAGACAATGATGGACCCGTCAATACTCTGGGAGTCGACCAAGAGGCTACATCGTCGGCCAGGATTCCCCAGCTGGTCATGGTCCGGCTGGGTTGGAGAAATCCAATGGAAGTATACCGAGGTGGCTCGTTCGTGGATCGAGTGGCACGCAGACCTGGCAAGCCACATCCACAAATTTCCCAAACAAGCCTACGAACGGATCTCGCCACCCATACCACGACCTAAAACCCTCGAACCGATGTCCAGCCACAGACTCGGCAGCTCGCTTCCGTTATTACACTTTCGGACGGTAGTCGTGCCATTCAGTCTCACCGCCCCTTCACTGATACACAAATCCGTTATATCGCCCTTGAGGAAGAGGCTTACAGGGCCGAGCGCCTTATCGACGGTCCGCCCGGCACCAGCTGACCCGGGCCTGATCCGCGCGGGTATCGCAGACCGCAACGGCCTATGGTGCGGCACCATCGACCTGGACGTGTCATGGATGCCTCGCGTGGGCCAACCGCTCGACTTCCTGGTCATGTCACGAGTTAGCCGATTCACTGATGATGAGCTTGCAATTTGGGAAGGGACAATGCCTGATGACATTGAGGAAGCCTTGAGAAAGAGAGATTACGGCGTTTATAATGTCTTGCTGGTTTCTCAGAAAGATGGCGTTTACTACCGCGAGGGTTTGGGACGGGTTTTGACGGACAGCCTGGAAAGAGCGCCAGACCCGGGACCTGTATGGAGGGATATTGTAATGGGCTGAGGGATAGGTATCATGTATCAGGTATCACATTCCAGGGCCTTGAACACAGTCATGGACACAATCACAGTCACAAGGATGCACTTCTTATCGCGTCAGAGGCTTAGCGCCCATGGGCAGCACCTTTTGGAAATCAAAGTAGCAACCCAGCCACAACAATAAATGTATTTCTGACGTTGGGTAGGGGGCAATTGGCGTTGTTATTGTCAACCCGTAGCTGTCATGGTCGTATATTTCTTGCTGCTATTGGTGATAGCCAGATGTTCTTGGTCAAGTAGTGTGGCATCATACTTCCGTAGGCAGACAGGGCGTACAGCCATGGAAATATCTCGTTATTGGCGGAGGACAGGCCTCCGAGCGACATGGTGAGAAAGATAGAAGTTGCTGGCGGAAGGCGGATGTTTAGTGAACAGAGACAGATAACAGTACCGGCGGAATATCTCAACAGCCCTAAAAGACAGAGTGCTCCTCCGTACTCGTAGTGGGAACCTTCGCCGGACAAGATTTTCCGAAGGCCGAAATCGCAGGGCTGTTCGTACTCGTATTTCATGGCTTCCCAGTTGGTAGCAATTGCAACCTTGAAACTCCAGACATTTGGCCGACCGCCAAGGAGTGCCGAAGCTATCTTTGACAATCTTCACGCGACGTTGTTGCTCCTCTTCCCTTCACGGACTGTGACACAGTCTTCAAGAGCGTGACCACGGAACATGAGGCCTTCGCGGCCTGCTACTTGAGAGAGTTGGCGTCGATACCTCAGCGGGCCTCTGGACGCCCCCAGAAGGATGCGGCTCCAGCTGCTTCAGCTCCGATGAACGCTGGAAGACAACAGCAGCCAAGAGTGAAATCATTTACCTCCTGATCCTCCAAAAGCATGTCAAGCAATAACTTGACGCCCTTCAGCAACTCGAGCGGACCCCCAGTTACGCACGTCAGCTGCGTGTATGCGGTGTCTGGTACCTACGGCCTTCTCCCGCGGATTCTCTACTACGTGACGCTTGTCTTTGCCATCTTCGGCCGTCGCTCCGAATGGCTCGTCATTGGCGCCCTGGTCAGCGCACTCACCTACGCAGGAACGGCGGCAATCCACATCATGGCGCTCGTGACATCCAAAGCGGACGTTTTTGATCTCGACATCATGGCTGCCTGGGCGGTCCTCTCCACCGGCGCTCTGGCCTATATCGGGATCATCCATTGGAGTTCGACACTAAGAGACTCGCGGGCGAGGGTCGTGATGATCTGCTGGGGTATCTTGGTTGGCATCGGCCTGGTGTTTGGAAGGGCCGAGTTGTTCGACACGGAGTTGACATCCCCCGAACCAGCCTGTTACTCCGCGACAGGGACGTTGTTAGAGTCCCCATTGCAGCTGATCGACCCGGGATTCAACTGCACGTACAAGTGCTTTGACGTGGCGAAGCCGATGAGAACAAAATCCGAGATCCTGGCCGTTCCGCAACGCGTGTTGGACAATTCACGATACAAGACGCTCACCTATGTTCTTGTGGGACCCGTCCAGTTTGCCGCCTACGCGGCGCTGAGCATCGACGCGCAGGAACACACGCCTTCGCAGGCCTGCGTGAAGATCGTCATGAGCTACATGATCCAGCCGGGCCATCGCGAGCAGTTCGCAAAGACGGTCTACAAGGCCAGCATGGAGAAGTGGTACGGCGGGTACTTTGCCCTTTTGGGGTATGTGCGGCGGTCGCGGTGGACCTACAAAAAGTGGTTGATCTGCGGGTTCCTTCTGCCCTGGTTGTTTTTGGGCCTCGTCATTGATATCCTGTGTCTGCCGCTGATGGTGATCAACGTTGTCTTCAACGAGGTCACGCTGCTGGAGGGCGGGTACCCGACCAACGAGGCGGACATTGCCATCGGGCAGTGGGGTCCGATTGTGAACTCAATGTTGGTGCTCATCGCGGCCTTGATCAACAAGGGCATGGAAGTCTGGGAGAGGAGGAAGAAGGCGAAGAAGAAGCTCGACAGTGTGGTAGCAGACACGGACGTTGAATCAAATGCCACGAAGAATGAACTGGCCACGGACAGCGCCCAGGAGGTCGGCGTGGTCAAACCCAAATTGGCGCACGTTCAGACTCTACAGGATATGGAGGATCTGATGAACCGGTCCAAGTACTGCGTATAATTACGCCTACATACTGTCCACGTGGTCTGACTGTCTTTATCGATGACCGAGTGAAATATACAGCTGGCTGCCTTTACGTATAACTGGCGCGTGTCTAGGTGGATCTAGGCTGGGGTGATTTTGCAGGCTTGGGCGAAGAGGGTGCCCGACACTGTGCCTGACTGGACTGGACCGGGCTCACTGGACGATGACGGCTCTGTCGGATTGTTTCGTGCCAGCAGGCCAGGGGGCAGAAGTTGATTACCGGGGACTGAACCTCGGTCGATTTCTCAGATTCATCACCTATCTTGCATACACTTTCCTTGACTGACTGTTTTCTTGTCTACCTGTCGTATAAGAGGCTTGGAGACGGCCAGATGCAAGCTATGTACCACTTGCCGTCTGTTGTCCCCCTTTATCTCCGCGTTGCAATTGTATGCACCACTAGTTTCCCTCGTTGTCGCCATCGACTTGGGCAAGATGTTTACTTCTTCTCGGCCTGCGCAGCATCGACATGCTCAACTGTGGTTCCATGGGCCGCCGCGCCCTTCTCGACGTCTGCGCTGTGGGAGGTCCTGGGCACAGCGCCCGCCTCGGTAGCCACCCGATGCACACCGTCCCCATGATGACCATGCTCGTCCACAATGAGCTCGTGGGTACGGTGATCGACATGAAGATCTTCGGCATAGACCGCCACTTCGTCTCCGAACAACTTGGCCATCTCTTCAAGCGGGATGTTCTTGGTCTCGGGAAGGTAGAAGTATGTAAAGAACGTTCCAAGGCCAGAAATGATGATGAAGACGAGGTAGAATTTCCAGCCGATGTTGGCAAAAGCCTGTTAAGCGAATCTGTTAGCCGTTGTTGCAGTCCACAAATGGGAGTGGTCTCTTACCGTGGCGGCAACTTGTAGGTATACCAAGTCTGTCAGTGCAATGACCGCGATACTGAGAGACAGGCCCTTGGCCCTGAGGTGGTTGGGGAAAAGCTCGGAATAGAAGACCACGCCGGCCACGTCGACACCGATGCTGTACACCAGCAGGAAAAGGTACGCCGCCGCCACACCCATGCGGAGGCCCGCCTTGTTGGTGCCTTCTTCCGCAAAGGAGCTGACCATGGCCGCTTCGAGGATGAGGCTGACGCAACAGCCACCGACACCGAGAATCAGTAAAGGTTTGCGGCCCGTCCAGTCCATGATGAGAGCTCCTATGAGGTTGCCGATGATGCCGACAGTGATCCAACCACATTGGAAGATCAGCTGGTACAAGGTATTATAACCCAGAGCTGCGTAGATGGTCGGACCTGAAGGATGTTAGTGGATGCCAGAAATGTGACGGGGATTGGGATTGCGGTTGTCGCTCGATAACGGACTTACCGTAATTGTTGAGGACCAGCACGCCCGTCGATTGGCCAATGAATGCGAAACCCATGGCCATGATGGTTCGCTTGCGATAGCTAGGACGTCGGAACATCTCGATCCAGCCGGGCTCCATGGTCCGATCTAGTTCGGCTTGTTTCGACATCTGATAGAATTCTCCACGGGCGAACTCATTGTCGGGGTCATTCTTGGAGGCATGCAGCTTGAAGACAACCTCTTTTGCCTGCTCAACCTTGCCCTTCATGAGAAGATACCGAGGTGACTCTGGAATGATAAAGCACACCAGCATCATCATGAAGGGCCAGATGAGTGCAATTCCCAAGGGCCCTCGCCACTGCGTCTGGGGATCCTCAATGTAGTAGAATGCGAGGCCCATGTAGGAAGCAAGGCCATAGCCCAGCGCGATATTGACACCGTTCATGCCCACCATCAGACCCCGGAGACCTGGAGGTGCCAGCTCCGCCGAGTAGAAGGGCGCTGTCATCTGTCAGGAACAGAAAATCTGGGAGGAATCAACATGATTCGACTTACTGACGGCAAGATATCCCCAACTTCCACCACCAGCGAAGAGTCGAGCAATGATGAACATTGTTGCGTTCCTTGAACCACAAAGCATTGCACCGCCGAACAGCGAGAGCAATCCGCACTCGTAGAAGGCGGCCTTGCGACCCCATCGGTCCGCCACCCAGCCGGCGATGAAGACATTGATGGCAGCGCCGGCTTGGAAAACTCCTGACATTGCTCCAATCTTTTGGTCAGCCCCGGGTGTCATCACGGGCGGATCCTGGGTGACATCGAGTAGGCCCATATAGACCAGGAAAGATGGTTGTGCGAGCGTGACACCGATAATGGAAGCTGGATAGCCGAAAGCTATCTGCCCCAGAGAGACCATGAAACAAATGAAAAAGTTCCATCCGCTCCAGTGTCTTTCCGTCCCGAAGGCCATGATGGGCTCGTGTTACGCGGCAGACAAGTCGGTCCAGGGACAGCGTGGTTGGAGGCTCGAGATGGTTGAGCCTTCCTCGAAGAGAAGAGGAGACAGGTAGCTAAGTAATATACCATGATTCAACATCTTCATTCCATCAATAAGTCCCTCGGATATCACTGGATCCAGGCACCCTTCAGCCGAGGTGGATGCCGCGGTTGTCGGCTAGCAGAGTCTTGTCAGGACCAACCGCAGGTGGTTGGTTCGATCGTTTCCGCCGTTGTCTTTAGTTGAACTTTCTCCACAGTCAGGGCAGCCATGTGTTCTCCTTGTCAATGCCAGATCATCGGAAATGGTCGAGTCCAGACATCTTCAGTGGGTCTGAGTTGGTCTGCTGCGGCGTTGGAGATGGATCCGACTGGCAGCTTCTCACAGATGTGGAGGCAACGGTTCTGTCAGGCTATGCCTCGAAGGAACTCCTGTTGTCTCGCAAACAGTGGGCCAGAAGTTCGAGATTTCGAGCTTGCAGCGAGAAGCAGGCATTAAGCGAATGCTAAGAAAGGCGGAGAGACTTTGGGGAAGCTTTTGACTTTGCGGGGAGATACTTCGTATGCTAGTCCTGAATCAGTCATTCATTGTCGTGGTCCCGCGACGGCCAGTCGCCGGTCACGTTGCGCAGTCCTTCAGCCGGGAACAGGTTGATGTAAGGGAGGAGCAGTCTTGCCAGACTGGCACCACAGAACAGAGCCGAGAACATCCTGGGCCTTGAGACGCTTCGCGAAGCGTTCGAGAGAGGTGAGCCACGATCGATTTGCAAGGGGTCGGGAATTTCTTGCGATGGATTGAATATTGTGTTGTGGCACACGAAGCGAGCCCAGCCCTGGGTCTGGAAGCATGAGCATCGACGACGAGTCAGTTTGCAATGACTCTCTGCAATTCTTCCACCTCGATGTACCGTAGATATCTGCACGCTCTATCGCCAAATTCGTGTTAGGCGAACTTGACTGACGCGTGGTTCGCCTCTTGCTCTCGTCCTGGTTAGCATCACCCTCACCGAGGTAGCGTTGAGGCGGTCATTCGACACATTGATTGGTTCGGTCGATGGGAGATCAAGTGCATCCAAAGTCCCAGAATTGGATTTCGCAGTGAGTAGGACGAGCACCAGATGTGAGATGTGTTATCTGAAATCTTCGCGATTGGGGGGTTGTCGCTTCTTCAGGGACAGCTTTTCCGGCAATCAAGAAATCCTTCACAAGTCCTGGGATCTTCGAGGACGAAGGGTAGGTACAATCTGTTATGAAGAGGTCAGCGCACGTCCTTATGGCTAAACGCACACCAGCTTGGTGTTTATCAAGTGATGAATGATGGATTATCAGTCTAAATGTAGCTACCCAGCTAAATATCTGAAGACAGCACTCGTGCCAAGCACCTACCGCACAGCACCCTCAAGTGGTAGGTAATACTGCGTGCCTCCTGCCACCACAGTCATCGACCATACAACGACATGAAAAAAGAAAGACAAAGGCAATGGTGTGGTGTCAGGATGAAAGCTCACGGGTTGGGCTAGATCTTTCCGTGGGATCATCCCTCCAATATGAAGTGGCTATAAGACGGGCATGTTGTCCATGATACGGGGGGCGCATACCGAACACACCTGAGAAGGTGCCTGGACCTGCATGTCTACGGTATTTTCGATTCCCGATTACCAGGTAAGTACCGTCGCCGTTCCGACTTTACGGCCACGTTTCCTTACTGTGGTAGACAGCGATCTTGGAACACCTGTCCTCACTCACCTGCGCGCTGAAAACCTGATAAGACTCTCATCGTCCCTGTGGCTATATTTCATTCATCAGCAAAATGGCGTCCGTCTCCACACCGGCTTCAGAAGCAGTTCATGCCCAACTCAAACACCTCTACCACACCTACCGCCACACCCTGCACATACCTTCCAAAGCCAGCTTCTTCAGTCCAACATGCATGCAAGTCTGCCGCACCAATCCCAGCTACGCCGCACTCAAGCGAGACACTATCATCCAGTATCTCTTGGAGGCCGCTGGTTTTCAAGACGTTGAAAGTTACGAGCGTGTGCAATCATCTTCTACCGCAACAGAGGCTGAAACTGTCGAAGCCCCGAATGATGAAAAGCGTTCAGCTCCCAGCGATATCAAGGCACTGACAGGGAAGAGCTACTACAGCATTCGCCCACTCAAGGCAATCGAAGAATCGGAGGTACTTGCCGAAGAAGTCGTCGCACCACTGGGCATGACGCCGTCGCAGCTCGACGAGCTGACACAGTCCGAGAACTGGATCGGCATGAGAGTGGATCTCTGGGAGGACAACGACAACGACAACGGCGATGGCGCGGGCCGATTGATCAAGGTCAAGTATTGGTGGCGGCAAGAGAACGTGGACGGAGAACTGAAGTGGTTGCAGTGCCTGCACGATATCATGAGTATCGGTGAGAGGGACGGGAGTGAGGGTAAGGAAGGGGACGTCTTGGAATGAGATGAATGCAGATATCACTTCCATGCTGGTGATATGGGCTCCAGGGTCACTTCCGCTTTGCTTTGAACGAACCCGAACACACAACCAGGCGTCAGGCTGCTTCTGCAGGTCCTGTAGGTTTGAAGCTTCACCGCTACATTTTCTTTCTCCTAGCTGGCGCGAACCAGCTGCGAAGCTCTGCAGCGTCTCCGGCTCACCAGTACTTGTGGTGCAGGTACTTTCGCGCCGAGTCCGGCACACTGGGCGGATGTTGGTTTATGAGTAACACATCTGAGTGCAGTAGCCGCTGCCGTGCGGGGAGAAGTCGGCGAGGCTGAAAAAGTGGCGGGCCGACCTCGGCGGGGTTTCTGTCTAGCCCACCATGATCTTTAGGCTTGTGCAGGGACAGCTCCAGGTCATGCACCGTCGGTGCTTGATCGGGTGGCGGCAAAATTTCCATGGCTGCGAAGGGGCACGGCCGCTGCGTACTCTCATACTCGTACATTGTCGATTCTTACAAGCGCAACCCTGATATCTGACTACCAGCACATAGACCACCCCAGCCTGCGCAAGAGGTGACTCATATTTGAGTACATAGTCCTCCTCTCCTTCTACCTCTTCGTGTGCCTCTTTGCCCGCCACTCTCGTCTCTCTCAAAGTCCTCTCAACATGGCGGCTGCAATAAAACAATCATTTGAGAAATGCAAGCAAGAGGGCCGGACTGCCCTCGTGGGCTACTTCACGGCGGGGTACCCGACTGCTGCAGAAACACCTGATATCATGCTGGGCTTGCAAGCAGGCGGTGTCGGTGAGCACGCCCTCTCCCACAATGAGCAGCTATGAACAGTCCTGACTCCCTTCCAGATATTATTGAGCTGGGGCTACCCTTCACAGACCCGATTGCCGACGGGCCCACCATTCAGAAGTCGAATACCGTTGCGCTCGCCAATGGCATCACCGTGTCCAAGTCCCTAGATTTTGTTCGCGATGCTCGAAAGAGAGGTCTCAAAATCCCGGTCTTGTTCATGGGCTACTATAATCCTTTGCTCCGCTACGGCGAAGATCGCATGCTCAAGGACTGCAAAGAGGCGGGTGTCAATGGGTTCATAATGGTCGATTTACCGCCGGAGGAGGCAGTCAGGTTCAGGAACAATTGCACCAAGCAGGGTCTGTCGTATGTGCCGCTGATTGCACCTGCTACGTCAGAGAGGAGGATGAAGCTGCTGTGCTCAATCGCCGACTCATTCATCTATGTGGTGTCGAGAATGGGCGTCACGGGCGCAACGGGCACCCTCAACACCAAGCTACCAGAGCTGCTGGAGAGGGTTCATCAGTACTCGGGCGGAGTTGCAGCAGCTGTCGGCTTCGGCGTGAGCACCAGAGAACACTTCCTCAGCGTCTCGCAGATTGCCGAGGGTGTGGTAATTGGAAGCCAGATTGTCACAGTACTGGGTAACGCGAAGGAAGGCGAGCGAGCGAAGGCTGTACAGGAATACTGCTCGGAAATCACGGGCAGAAAAGTGGGCGAATTCAACAACACCAACGGTCTGACGAGAGAGGTCGGCATCGTCGAAACAATGAACTCGGCAAAGGAGCCTAATGCTTCGGTAAACGGCATCAATGGTCATCAAGTTCAAGTCGACAAGGTGATTACCGACGCCGATGTCCCGTCGGAGCCGGGCCTTGCAGATCAGCTCGATGCCCTCAACTCGGCCACTAATGGCACGACCCCCAAACCAGAGGCTATTCCTGCTCAATTCGGCCAGTTTGGCGGTCAGTATGTCCCTGAATCATTGATGGACTGCTTGGCCGAGCTCGAAGATGGCTTCAACTCGGCCAAGAATGATCCGGAATTCTGGAAAGAATATCGCTCACACTACCCGTACATGGGCCGGCCTTCGTCGTTGCACTTGGCCGAACGACTGACCGAAAAGGTTGGCGGTGCTCAGATCTACCTGAAACGAGAGGATCTGAACCACACGGGAAGTCACAAGATCAACAACGCTCTGGGCCAGATCTTGATTGCCAAGCGACTCGGCAAAACACGAATCATTGCCGAGACTGGTGCAGGCCAGCACGGTGTGGCAACCGCGACCGTTTGTGCCAAGTTCGGCATGGAGTGCGTGGTGTACATGGGTGCTGAAGATGTGCGACGGCAAGCCTTGAACGTCTTCCGCATGAAACTTCTCGGCGCAAAGGTCGTGGCAGTTGAAGCTGGATCGCGCACGCTTCGAGATGCTGTCAATGAAGCACTCCGAGCCTGGGTCGTGGATCTCGATACGACTCACTACATCATTGGTTCTGCCATCGGACCTCATCCTTTCCCTACCATTGTACGCACCTTCCAGAGCGTTATTGGCCAGGAGACAAAGGAGGGGATGAAAGAACTCACGGGTAGATTGCCCGATGCTGTGATTGCCTGTGTCGGCGGTGGTAGTAACGCGGTGGGCATGTTCTTCCCGTTCAGCTCGGATCCGTCCGTCAAGTTGATTGGGGTGGAAGCAGCGGGTGAAGGTGTCGACACAGGCAAGCACTCTGCCACTCTAAGTGGCGGCTCCATAGGTGTGCTTCACGGCGTGAGGACTTATGTGCTGCAAAACGAGCACGGGCAGATCAGCGACACACACTCCATCTCCGCGGGTCTGGATTACCCCGGTGTGGGACCCGAGCTGTCGAGTTGGAAGGACAGCTCAAGAGCCAGCTTCATCAGCGCCACGGATTCGCAGGCATTGATTGGTTTCCGGACCCTCAGCGAGGCGGAGGGCATCATTCCCGCCCTGGAATCAAGTCATGCTATTTGGGGAGCCATGCAGGTTGCGAAGGAGATGCAAAAGGATCAGACGCTGGTGATTTGTTTGAGCGGACGTGGTGATAAGGATGTCCAGAGCGTCGCGGATGAGCTGCCCAGGTTAGGCCCTGGTATTGGCTGGGATTTGAGGTTCTGATTGCCGTTTGCCTACTGGGGATGAGACCGAAGTTGGCGCCCGGAGTATGCATAGATGACAGTGCAATGAATCGATGCCTGCCATAACGTTTCCAAGCCACCTGTCTGCTTTGTTCGGCATTGAGTGCGCCGCTAGGTGAATGCATCAAAATCTTGAGGCAATATCATTCTTCAGACGATATCGCGCCGGATGCGTAGGCTCGCTGACGAACTGGGACTCTGATCTACACAGGTACACCAGGAGACCAGCTCACCGGCTACACTGGCCAGAGGTAGACAAGGTTTGCCAGCACATACAGTGTACAGTACAACACCATCGCGGACTGAACGCCCGCGTCTACAATTTTGTGTAAGACGGAGGAAATTGACAACCCCAGCTTGTAATTTGCTTGAGTCGCTCGCTTCAAGTCCTCCCCGTACTTGAGGTTATGCCTCCATCGACCACCAATTTCTGCCCAGTAATATACCCTGCCGCCACGTCACTCGACAGGAAGACCACCGCGTTAGCCACATCCGTTGACGTTCCCATTTGGCCCGTGGGCACCTGGTTGTGTCTCGTCTGCACCATGCCCTCGTAATCTCCGCCGGCGTACTTGTGCGCCAGCGTCTGCACGAGCGGCGTGAACATCAGGCCCGGCAGCACGGCGTTCAACCGCACGCCCTTCTTCGCGTACATGACGGCCGTATGTTTAGTGAACTGCGTGACCGCGGCTTTTGTCGCCGCGTACGCAACCTGCGGCTTGCCCGCATACCGCGTCGACACCACACTGGAGATGCTAACGACAGCACCGGCCCCCTGGGCCTCCATGATGGGCAGCACGAAGTGGCTCGTCAGGTACACGCTTTTCAGATTGAGGCTGACCTGGGAATCCCAGACCTGCTCGCTCATCTCGACGGGGCCACCTCGTTCGCTGCGTCCGACGTTGTTGACGAGAATGTCGATGCGGCCGTGCTTGGTCATGCAGGCCTTCACGAACTTCTCGACGTCTGAGGATTGGGTGACGTCCGCGGTGACCACGTCGACCACGGCGTCGGGCACGAGCGCCTCGATCCGTGACTTTGTCGTCTCCCCTGCCGAGAGGTTGATGTCGCACCCGAACACTTTGACGCCGTTGCGCGCTAGTGCGAGCGAGATGGCAGCGCCGTTGCCCCACTTGTCATTGTCGGAAGGACCATCTTGGCCGATTCCTGTCACCAGTGCGACCTTGCCACGGAGGTCGGGGTAGATTGGACTTTGGTCGGCGGACATGATGTAGCTGTAATCTGTGGCTGATATCACTTTTGAGGCTGACTTTATCTTCAGTTCTGCTATGTGCTGTCTTGTCTCGACTGTCCGGCATGCACACTCTGTGGTATCTCAGACTTGTTGCATTTGGTCCTGTGAGTAGCCAAATCGGCGCCCTAGAAGTGTACAAGCTCGGTATGACAATGCCTACCTTCACACGGCGAGAACGGCGACGGTATCGTACGCCGGCCACTTCCCGGTCGGCGGGGCTGTTGGCTTTCGAGACAGTCAGGAGGACTTGATGTTCGAGATATCCGAGACCCACGCTTACTCTGCATGCGTTTGAGCTTCTGGAGAAGCGTGGGGATGGAGTTGGCCACCGTGGAGAAGTTGGGGAAAACAACTTCAAGTTCGACCTCGCACGCTCGCTGAAGGGAGTCACCGCCGGGATGCCGGCTTTGCCTAGCGACTTCCATCATCCTGTTGAGATCAAGCGATTTTCCTCTGCACGGTAGTAAACATGGACAGAGAATATGTCGCGCCTCAACCTCATCCGGGCGCGATCACGTGTCCTGCAGTGACGCACCTTCCGCCTCGATTATTGCCGCCTCACTTCCATTTCACAGTTCCATACAGTAACGATTATATTCAACTGAGGCCACAAAAGTATTGATGAATGGCCACGCTGTATCAGCTCGACGGTCACTCTTCTACTCTTGCCTCGCTCTCTCGGCTCTTTTGCAAATGTCTGGTTCCGAGCTCCGACGTGTACAGCCATGCCGGGAAAAACCCATCCCACCACCTGCTAAGCGAACCTTGACGCGCTAGAGAAGCTTTTGAGCCGCGTCTTCGCAGCGTCTTGTTATGTCGACCCGAGCATGTGCTGGCCTCTCCTGTCAGAAGCGCTGCACAACTTAGGCTCCGTCCACGATGAGGCCTGTTGCGAGAACCTGGAAAGCTCTCCATGTCGATCAGACGAGCGCAACCTCGCGGCTACTGCATACTTCCCTGCAACCACGCCTCGTCTCAGGACCCAACATCTCACAGCCTTCCCCGCACGCTGCACTCGATATCCACTGTCCACTTCGTGCGGCCTAATTGCTCCTCGGATTCTGAATCCCTTCCCACTGACTCAGAGGCAGGGGTTGAATGATCTACAAGTTCTCCTGCCTATTCGTTCGGTCACTGGCCACTTATCCTCGGCTTCGGCCCTTGCAGTTGGGGATTCCATCATGGCGGTGATGGATCATCCAGGGCATGATAAGGTGGAAAACAGCGCAGGGAGCTTCCTACAAAACTATCTAGCTCTGGCACCTGCTTGACATCCGTCTCTTGGCCTGCTCTCCTTTACCTTTCTGTCTGCGAGTTGTTCGCTGGGTGATCTGCCCAGGATGTTGCACAAAATCATCGTCAATCAATGTGAGTCCTCCTTGTTCAAGCGACCATATCTTTTTGCCTGTAGTGGTCGTCAAGAGCTAACCTTTGCTCACAGACAACCTATGGGTCGTCATCTTCGTGGCCATAGGCACGATATCCACCGCCTATGGCCTTGCCATCATTGGGTCGACCGTCGGGCAACCCAACTTCTACTCGTACTTTAATCTAGCCGTGGCAGGAGAGCCCGGCTATGCCCATACCACCAACATGATCGGTGCCTTGAACGGGGTCAACTCCGCCGGTGCAATCGTAGGCTGCATTTCCCAGGCTTGGTCTGCCGACAAGTATGGCCGCAAACGAACCATGCAAATCGGGTCGGTCATTCTCATTGTGGGAGGCGCTCTCTGTGCTGGAGCGGTCGACATGGCAATGTTCCTCGTCGGCCGATTCATTGCCGGAATGGGTTCTGGCATCCTTGCATGTGTTGTTCCGATCTACCAAGCAGAAGTATCAACACCGGGTAAGTGGTGCCATTATCATGCCTTGCTTCCTGCTCAGTCGCTGACCGTACTTCCGCAGAGACCCGAGGAGCTATGGTCTGCGTCACTGGCATCATGTACGCGGTCGGCTACATGCTGGCTGGCTGGCTCGGGTATGCCTGTTTCCACATGTCGGCCACGGATCCAGCCGCGCAGTTTGCCTGGCGATTCCCCTTGGCATTCCAAGTCGTCTTCCCTCTTATCTTGCTCGCCGGAAGCAAGATTGTCCCCTTCAGCCCACGTTGGCTTCTCTCCAAAGGACGCCGCCAAGAGGCTCTCGACGTGGTCAAACGACTCCATGCAACGCCGGGCGACACGGAGCACGTCGTTGCTCGACGCGAGTTCTGGCTCATGGAGAAGCAGTACGAAATGGATGCAAGCATGTCCCGGGGCCGCCACGGACAATTCGCCGAGCTCTTCTCTACCCCCGCTAACAGAAAACGTACTTTGATGGCCTGCATTTTGATGTGGGGAGACCAGTTCTTAGGTATTTTTGTAATGACGAACTACGTAGGCATTTACCTCGCTTTTAAGCAGAACGAGAGCTCAAACTGACTATTGCTACAGGGAGTTTTGATCTACGCAAGCCTGGGGCTAAGCGGCGACATTCCCCTCCTGCTCAATGCCTGTTGGACCACTTTTACACTAATCGGCAACACCTGGACGGCATTGTACATCGACCGTTTCGGCCGCCGGCGCTTCATGCTCATCGGGTCCATCGGTTGCGTGGTATCTGTGATATTCCTCTGCGCCCTCACGGCCTCATTCCTCAACACGGACAACGAGGCCGGTCTCCGCGCGGGCGTCTTCTTCATCTGGTTCTACATCGTCTGGTGGTGTTTCTTCATCGACGCCACTCAGTACGTCTATGTGTCTGAGATCTTCCCCAACCATTTGAGACCAGCGGGAGTGGCAATGGGTCTGTCGGCCTTCTACCTGGCCAGCGAGGTCACGCTTGTTGCCGCGCCTGTGGCATTGAACGAAATCGGCTGGAAGTTCTACTTGGTGTTGATCATTCCGAGCGTCGTGGTGAGTACATTTTGCTTAGAGTTGTACCTGGACTTCTGTCTCAGTCTTGAAATGGCAGCAGTGTCACAGAGAAGAATAAGTGCTAACCAGAACGCCCTCGCCACTAGTACATCGTGATAATGTACTTCCTCTTCCCCGAGACGAAAGGCCGGACCCTCGAAGAGATAGGCCACGTCTTCGGCGACGACATGCACGTCGCGCACAACTGGTACGAGGCGTCCGAGGAAGAGAAGGCGGCAATCGAACAGCAAGCCCTCGAAGAGACCAAGGGCGGCCGCGTGCAGGAGAAGACCACGGCCGCTAACGACCTCGGGACAGTCAGTCAAGTCGAGGACTCGTATGCCGACAAAGGTACCACGAATGTCAATGAGAATGCTGGCAGGGAGTGATTTTTGCCTAGGCGCTAGGGTGGACAGCGTCACTGCTCTGTGCAGCATCAGACGAGGGGCAATTGGACTAGAAGAAGAAGCCTTAGACATAGATCCTGCTCGTCATGGGGCACCCAGTCAATCACAGTTGATTCTGAGGCGGACGAACTAAGTACCGGAAGAATGATTTCGGACTCATGAAGCCATAGGGTATAAGCAAGTCTGATACGGAGGACAAAGTTCGATATTGTTGAAACCGAGGGCATTTCGGCATGCATCTTCCCCAAGGCTCAGCAGCACCCCTAGACTCTCTTCTCTTCCGAGTTCGTGTCCCTATGTGCGTCGTATGCGGGAGGGATATACTGTGCTCCCCTTGGATCAAGATGGATTATCGATTTCTAAGCACTATAGACTCCGTTTTTCTGCCAGTCTTGGTGTATCTATCTGCATCGCGTTCGGAGGAAGAATACTCTGCTCTGCCTTGGCCCGGGACGGAAGATCGATCTCTGTAAGGGATGAGTACGGGATGGATGAGTATGGAATGGATGAGTATGGAATGGATGAGTATGGCATGGATGAGTATGGCATGGATGAACAAAAAGACGAGACAAGATGTTATGCAGCGACAACCAGGAGGTTCCCTCAACACCGTGTCTGTTCCTGTCAAAAGTATTGCGCTCCGGTGTGCACGGAAGACGCGTGCCCCTGTGTTTCAATGCGCTCGGACTGGTAATGTGACCGATAGGAAGGACTAACCGATAGGTATCTTGGGTGCCGAGTAGTGTAGATGAGAAATGCGCTCATCGTTCACCCAACCACCCCTACGAGTCCCCCAAGTCAACAACTCAACAGTTCAACAGCTCACCTCGGCATGCAAATTGCCAGGTCTAGCCCTGAGACATGTAGGCAATTGCGATAAGCGAGAGACAGGCGCTCATTCAGTCGCCGGACACTCCCACGGGCCCATGAGTCGACAAATCAACACCTCCCTCAACATGCCATGCGAACCGTCAAGTAAAGCCCCAAGACTCGTAACAGTAGACTCCCCTTCGCGGCTCCCAGCGGATGACCACTGACCACGCCTAAGCCGCCAAATACCCGCACAAAGTCAAGGCTCCCCCGACAGCCGCTACCACAAGGGCCCCAGCCCTGACGTCCCTGGGTTTGGCCTTCTTCACGCTTTCCAACACCATCTCCGGGACGAGCATGCGTGTTAACCCGAGGGCCAGGCCGCTCCAGCCGCTCAGCGTCACGAGAACGGGCCAGCCGGTCGTCCAGAGGTTGTGGTGCCGCACGATGGCGAGACCGCTGACGAAAATGATGGAGCCGTTGAGGAAGATTGTCGGATGGCTGCTGGAGGCCCAGATGTGCGCGTTGACAGATTCTGCTATGGAGATGGTGAGGAGGGCCGGGCCGATAAGGCGGGCGAGGTGGTGAGAGGGAGAGGGAGCGGTTGTGGTCATGGCCATTCTTGTTGCGATGGTCGAGGTTATCGGTGGGGGATAGTCCCAGAACGACAATCGAATGATATGTGTGATTGATCAGAGCCCACTGATGTAGATGACTGAGCCACTGGCAGTGCATGAGAGGCGTGCATATGTAATTCGGTACTCCGTATAAAAACCACGAGGGTCGAAGGTGAGTAGAGATGGAATGCCTGACCGGACCGGAGAAAGGAGCTTCGCCGGCGCCGTAACCCCGTCACCCGTTATCGGCGTGATACAGCGGATGATTATTTGGGAGTCAGGAATCTGTGCTGCATCGGTCTACATCCCTTCCGGCTGGGATTGAGAGTAGACGGTGTCGATGTGTCGCTGTTCTGGCGACTGAAGAACTGGGAGGCATACCGGGGTGAAATATAGACTGGTCTTCCTCCCAGTTGTTCTGGCTCGGGGTGATACTTGAGGTCGCCCTGCAATGACTGATACACTGAAGTCCTCCAGTGGCAGGGCGGAAGTCTGTATTGGGAATGATTAATAGCCGTTCAGCTAATTAGAAGCAGGACGTAGATTGGTGCTGGCATATCGCGAGGTGATGAGGCCAGCCCCACGCTTATCAGCACGACGATCTTCCTTACCTCCAGGGAACCAACAATTGAGACCAGGTTCCCGAGATGATCACATGAGCCCGTTGTTAGGAGACGAGAATCAGGCACAGAAGAGATCTCATACCCTGGTATTAGCATATCTCCTGGGCACGCAGCTCGAAAGTCTGCATGTCTGGGCTTTGCCTCTGCCGAGTGACAAGAGGATGAAATTTGTAGCAGTGGAACCAAGCTGATCACCAGATACGGGATCAGTGTAGTACGAGCTGCCCGCGGATTTAGTTGACAACGAAGAATGATATCACTGACCGTTTAATGGCTGGATATTACCCCTTCTGAACAAATTGCGATAGCCCAGGCCATGGCAAGCAGGTGGTGGAAAATGTGGAAGGCACGTAGCTTCACCTGCCCATTGTCCAAAGGTATCCACCGTCTCCTGGAGCTTTTGCGTTCGACCAGCCTGTCATTCTGCGCCTTCTGGTATCGAGTGGGATGACCTTCATGGACTCCGATCGTGAAGGGAGTGGAAGTAGTGACCAGCAGTAAAATCCGGCACCATAAACGCGCCTCGAGCCATGCTTCCGCATCCGCAACGGCCTTGCAGGATAGTGCCAGCTTGTTTTTAATATCCTTGAAGCAGATATTGATCGGTTCGCACAGTGTGCGTGGAGTTCCCCGCCACGCGCGATTGGAAATCAACAACACATCAGGTATGGTGTGGTGGTATTGTACAGGACATGGTCATCCGGATCCAAACCTGGACCTGACTGACCTGACTATCACGAACGTGATGTTAGTAGCAGGGATGTGAGCCCGGAATAGCTCTTCCGAACTTCGCTTCTTCGGTCGAGCCCGTCTTTGCGGTATGAGCTCCTGGGAGGCACAAGCACATAGTCCACAAATGCAGCACCATCTGCAGCCTGTTTCGCAGATGATTAATTAGTAATGAGAAGTAGGGATCGTGAAGCAATGACACATGCCATTGACGCGTCACTGAGACGCTTTGGAGGTGGTAGTTGATCGAGGATGCTGTTACCAGCAGTTGCTGCTTAACAATATCAGTCGTCGTGCGGACGAGGCGGCCGCATGCGGGAAAGCCGAGGAGAGGTACTGCCATCGAAGGGAGAACTTAACCCCGAAGGAATCCGGAGCACTCGCGACGCAGCCACCGAAAGAAGGAGAGTGTAGCTCGTAAGACCGACACCTTCGGGCAAGACAGTGAAAGCGAGTCGGAATGGCCCAAGGGGTCGTGATGACATCAGAGGGCAGAGGTGGGGGAGTGGTCCCTATCAGGCAATGTCGGAGTTAACACCGAGTGTCCCGGAGATATGGAGAGTCGACGCAAACCGAGCGCCGGCAGCCCCAAGAGGGAGATTCTACTGACTTCATGATAGCAAAAAATCCGTTCCATTCGTTGCCAATCACTGCTTCCTGAAATTTCTCCACATGAGGAAGTATATATTTTATGGTCCTCAGCCTCGCTCCGGGTCTTGCTCACAATCACTTCAACTTCAACTTCAACTACAAGCTTCAACGTAATATCCCAATCGTGAACAATGGCGCCACAGCTTCCAACCCGCAAGCTCGGCAAGAATGGCCCAGAAGTGACAGCCCTCGGCTTCGGCCTAATGGGTCTCTCAGCATTTTACGGCAAACCCAAGCCCGACGAAGAACGATACGCCTTCCTCGATCACGTGTACGAGTCTGGAGAACGTTTCTGGGACACTGCAGACATGTATGGAGACAACGAAGATCTGCTCGGTCGTTGGTTCAAGAAGAACCCTGGTCGGCGGGAGGAGATCTTCCTTTGCACAAAGTTCGCCAACTATGTCGACCCCAAGACTGGAGAGAGATCCGTGAGGAACGAGCCCGACTATATCAGACAGGCTGTCGACAAGTCCTTGAGCCGGCTGGGTGTTGATCAGATTGATTTGTACTACTGCCACAGAGTGCAAGCCGATCAACCTATCGAGATCACAGTCAAGGTCATGAAGGAGTTGCAAGATGCCGGCAAGGTCAAGTACCTGGGCCTGAGCGAGTGCAGTGCAGAAACTCTCAAGAGGGCTTGCAAGGTAAGGCGTAGTTAGTGTTCCCCCAAATCGATACCCGCTGACAGTCAAACCAGGTCGTGCACATCGATGCTGTGCAAATCGAGTACAGTCCGTTCTCGATGGACATTGAGAGCCCACAGATCAATCTCCTCAAGACATGTCGAGAGCTGGGCGTTGCCGTCGTCGCATACTCACCGCTCGGCCGAGGCTTTTTGACCGGCAGCATCCGGAGCCGGAGTGATTTCGAAGAAGGCGACTTCCGCACATTTGCACCCAGATTCAGCGAGGAGAACTTCCCCAAGAACTTGAAACTGGTGGACGACTTGAAGGCCTTGGCCGATGAGAAGGGCTGCACGGCAGGCCAACTTGTGCTGGCTTTCCTGATGGCCCAGGGTGACGATATCATCCCCATCCCCGGCACAACCAAGGTGAAGAACTTTGACGAAAACATGGGTGCTTTGAACATCAAGATATCGAGGGAAGACAACGAGAAAATCAGAAAGGTGATTGACGCGGCCGAGGTTCATGGTGGTCGGTATCCCGAGGCATTTGCAAAGGCCTTGTTCGTGGACACCGTCCCACTGAAGGAGTAGGGAAGCTTCAACCCGATTTCTCATTCGAAAATGTCGAGGTAGAGAGGTAGGGAGATGTGAGATAGCCTCCAAGTATCCTTGTAACCATAAAATATTTCCTGAGGACCAAAATTCGATGATCTGAGCCGAGAGATTTTCTCATGTCTAAGGTTGAAGTAGAGATGTGAGGTAGCCTCCCTGCATTCCTGTAACCATAAAACATATTCCGAGCACCAATATTTGGTGGTCTGTCCGTACTCATACAGCCATCTCAAAGCGATCATCCAGAACGCCGGGGGTTATGAGTCCCGAGCCAGAGCAGAGATAACTAAATAGTTGTAACCGCGCGTACTGACGCTAGAGCAGAGGGGAGATCTCAAGAGCCATCATCCCCGTAAATACGCATACCGACGCCAGAGCAGAGAGTAAATCTCACAAGCCATCCTCGTGGTAGACGCGCATACCGACGCGGAGCAGAGACGTCAGCAACAAGCCATCATCGTCGTAAGCGCGCACACTGACGCCAAAGCAAAGACGCGATCCTAAGAGCCATCATAGTCGTAAACGCGCATCCCAGCGCCAAAGCAGACACGCAATCCCACAAGCCATCAATCGCCGTAAGCGCACATACTGACACGAAAGCAGAGAGGAGATCCCAAGCGCCATCATCGTCGTAAACCCGCATATTGACAGCGAAGCAAAGACGTGCTCCCACGAGCCATCATCGTCGTAAACAGGCGGTACCGAGGCCAAAGCAAAGACACGCCCACAGGCGACTGTCCTTATACAAGCACGTACTGACGCCAAAGCAAAGCCAGCACCCCACAAGCCCTCAAAACCATCACAGCTGAGGCCGCGATACCAGCAATCGCAGTCGCAGTCACATCATACTCGCACTCGCACTGCCTGTCATGACAAGCCTCGTATTCCGTACCCTACTCCTCCCTCATCCTCGGCACCTGGCGCCACACCCTCCTCGCCCCCAGCCCAAGCGGGTGATTCTCGATGTGGACATTGAACAACGGTTTGCGCGGCTGGTTGCGCACCAAGAAAAGGTGATAATTGCCCCTCACGCGGCTGACGGCCTTCCGCGTCTGGATTGCCTGGTGGTCGAGGAGGATGCTGTTGTACGTATACTTGTGCGAGAAATTGAAGCTGAATGGGCCTGTGCCTGGGCGGGGGGCGGGAGGGCGGGGCATGGTGGAGACGAGATATGGGAGGGAGGGTGGAAGTGACTGAGTGGGTGAGGCAGTGGTTGGCCCACGCGCTGAGACTGGGTGTTCTGGTTGGTTGTCTTGATTGAGTTGTATGTTTCACACGTCGAATAGGGAGGAGAGGAAAGGTGCTTAAGTTTTGGACAGCGACTGATATCTCCTGGGCGGTGTGTACGGTAGTTGTTCATGGGGCAGCGACTAAACTAACTGTCCCTGATGTCTAGCTACTCCCCCGTACTCACCGCTAACTGCGCACCTGCGGCGAACGTCAACTCGCCGTACCTGCCTCTTTGGATTTAAATGTTGACACCGTACGAAGTACGGGCTGCCGATACCAACGATTTGCTGGTCTTTCTACACAAACCAGCATAGCAGAACCTCCCTGAACCCCCGCCGTACATTTCTCCCCTCTCCTCTCACCATGGACCCATTCTCCGGCGAAGGCGGTGCGCTTACCCCTTCCCCCTCTACCCCCAACCTACATGCTAACGGGAGCACTCCGCACAGAACTCCTCAACATCTCGACCGCATTCTTCACACACGCCTACCCGGCCGTCCTCTCCTTCGACACCGCGGCCTTCTCCGCGGACAACAAACGCAACGCACAGATCCTAAAATACCGCGCCCAAATCGCCCAAGGGCAGTCCTCGACCGTCATTTCCTCGCTCAAACAATCCCAGGACGCGGCCTCGCGCTCGATCGTGGCACTCGCCCAGGACGCAGCGGGCAACGGACAGTCCGCTCTTGAGACGGCTCTCTCGCTAGCCGACTCGGATGGCGAGGACAGCGTGGTACAGATCTGCGCGGGGACCGTCCTGGCCGCCCACGCCGAGTACGCCAAGGCCGTCGACCTGCTCAGCAAGCATCAGGGCTCGCTCGAGGCCGTGGCCCTGCTGGTGCAGATCCACCTGTTCCAACATCGCACGGATCTCGCAGTCAAGGAAGTCGCGGCCGCGAAGCGCTGGGCGCAGGACTCGCTGCTGATTAATCTGGCGGAGAGCTGGACGAACCTGCGCGAGGGAGGGGCCGAGAAGTATCAGTCGGCGTACTATGTGTTTGAGGAGCTGGCGAGCGCTCCCGGATCGGCTTCCACCACCGCGCTGGTCGGGCAGGCCGTGTCGGAGATCCATCTGGGTAGACTGGAGGAGGCCGAGGCGGCGCTACAACAGGCTATGAGCATCGAGAACGCAGATACACAAGCTGTGGCTAACAGTGTCGTGCTCGCCAGTGTGATGGGGAAGAAAGAGGATGTCTTGCAGGGGTTGTTGCAGCAATTGAGGGAGAAGGATGCGAGGCATGCTTTGCTAAGGGACCTGGAAGAGAAGAGCCAGCTGTTTGATGCGGCAAGTGCGAAATATGCTCCGAAGGTTGCGTCATGAAATGTGGACGGATGAATGGGCGTGCATTAGCGAAGGTGCTGTACGTGAGCCCGAGCGGGCAAGACTCGAAGATGCTGTATCCTGAGGACGAATGGGCAAGACTTCGTGACCATGACTCAGGTATTGGTGAGTAACCCCGTCGGTCGGTCGGTTGGTCGGTCGCTACCATGTCAACCAGAAGGCCTGGCAGCACTGGCAGGGATGGTCGCGTTTTCACGATGATACGAGTCCCAATGAAGGGCGTGGAAAATGCAACTGCAAAACGGCATGGCACGGCGCTAATAGACGACATTTCGGGTTCAGCGAGGTCGGGAGCTCTGCGTGAAGGATGCCGGCTACAGTATTCACGCGGAGCGTGTTTGACAGTAGAAGACTCAGTCCCAGCGACAACAGTGCCACGCCCTCAGTGCCTGTGTCTGAGTAGAGCTGGATACAAGGTACGCTTGAGCATGGCATGACGGATATGTCAGACTATAGGGTAGGGTCAACCATACGGTATATAGTATTTCCAGAGGCCCAATCGCTGTAGTATATCTCGTCAGAGAACGGCAGTGTAAGGTCTACTGCCTCAAAATCAGCGGCTAGTCTTCGCACCACCAAGAAGGCGTACCTCGCCACCTCGTGTACGATGTTCCAGTCCCCGCCATGCGCCTCAGAGTTCACAGTGGTTGACTTGTCTGCCCAGGCTGAGGCCGCCAAATGAGTGGCACGATTGTGGTTGGGCATTATTTGAAGATAAAGACAATGGAGATCAGATCGGGTCTTTTCAATCTGCCAAGTACATGAAAATGAAGACGGGTACCATTGAAGAAGATCTCAACAGGAAGAGACAGAAATATACAGTACAAACTATCTAAAGGCCGAAATCACGGGTTGAAGCTGTATCGCGGCGCCTTCATGCTGCGCACCGATGCCATCCCGCGGCTGCTGCCGCACTCGCTAGTCCAGGAGCACCGCGACGAGGCTACGATGGTAGGCGCTCCATCTTGCTGTACCAGAAGAAGAACCCTAATCGCTCCGAGATGAGAATGGCAGGCTTGGTGGAGAATCAACTCAGCGGAAATGACGAGCTTGAGGTTACAGCGCAGGCAGGGTTTGAAAACAGTTCTCTTCGCTGTCCCTTGGGATGGTCAGATATCCTTGGAAATCATACATCTCCACGGCTTTTTGCAAGTCTGACTATTGTTCTCAAGTTCTCTATTTGAACGGGGTCGCGGCCGTGCCCCAGCTCAGCTCGGCTCGAATTGTGAACGGCGGATAGCCCGTGATGCTTGATATTTCTCATTTCCATTTCGCAGAAGATATCAGATTGCCACGGATTTACCATGGCAGATGCATTTGTGCTTTTGTTTTGGCCGTGTTAGAGAGTCGCCTCCTCTTCCGGTGGAATCATGCTGTCGATGACGGAATACTTTTATCCCTCTTCCGCGACTCCAGGCTCGGCGTGATCCCCATAGACTCCCTGTCCGAAATCCTCGTTGTCTCTACCAGCTCCGGGAACGTGTCGGCAAATAATGACCCCAGGCTCCAGTTTTCGAGCCGACGGATATGTCGCTCGAAGACCGGGTTCATGACGGGTTCATCCTGCTCAGACGTGCTCAGGAGACAGTCGACCGGGTCGTAAGGCCAATTGACACTAAGGCCCGAGGTGAAAGGGATGAACCAGTTGTCAAAGGGGTAGTCCTGCGAATTTGCAACGAGTTTCTCGCGCAAGCGAGGCCACGGGAGGTGATCTATCCAGGCCGGATGTGAGGTATATAACTGTATGGGAACGGGATGTAGCCATTCGGGCAACCGCTCATAGTTCTCTTGCGTCGGATGGATTTGCCACCGCATCAGACTGAACATGCAGAACAAAGTCGCTACCTGACTAGGCAGTTCTGAGATGTCGGGAAATTTAGATATGATGTCGGTCATAAACTGGGATAAAGGGTCCAGTGCAAGATTCCCGGATGGATTCAGAAGTGATGACACGGAAGGGTATGAAGGTGGAACTGTCCCATTCGCCCTGGTCGGTTCGCGCTCACGGGAGTGCAGGAAGTTGAGGAGGAGCCGGTCGAGAGGACACGTCGGCGGGCCGATTTTAGGGAGGATGCTCCAAGGTGCGGCAGGGACCTGCAAATGCTCCGACAGACTGGCGGCAGTTGTAGTATAAGCCGGATGTTGGCTTGATGGCGGGGACTGTTGTGGAGAATGCAGATTATCGAGGTGGCTGTTGCTCGGCCTTAATCCGAAGCTATCCAGTAAGAAGCTGAAATTGACTCGCTCTCCGCTGTCGTTCAGCTCGAGGCCTCGCTGAAGGTTGTCTCGCTGGAGGCTGAGAGCATCCCTTGACACAGGCCAAGACCGGGCCTCTTCTGTTCCTTCAGCCGTGAACGCGGGTTGGTATGCAGATGCTCCCATCTGGCCATGCGTCGTGCTGGGCGGCCCGGAGAAAGCTGTTCTCCCATGTTGCTGTGTGGTGAAGTAGGCCGGATTTGGGGAAGCACTGGTGGCGGGTGTAAAGGCAGGATGGGGCGTCTGCCGGCCTATTCCAGCCTGGACGTTGTTTTGGGCAGCAGTGGCAAGATCTGGTCGGAAATCAGTCAGCAGAGGGCTGCGCTCTGTTGCAGGTCAAGAGCCATACCAGTCAGGCCTTGGGCCCCAATGATGGGCTGGATGAGCGACATGACCGAGGCCAGCCTCCTCCGGATCTCTTCATTTTCGGCTTGAATAGCATCTTTCTGGCGGATGACTTCCTGCAGCTCCTGATACGGTTGTTGGGACGTCAACTCTTCTATCCTGCGCTCCAAGTTCTCAATAGTGTGCTTCGTGCGCTCCCTGATAGCGCGCTGGGCATCTCGATCATTGGCACGCTTTTTGGCAAGCTGTTCGGGGGTGAGGCTTGCAACGCCACGAGACCCAGCGCCACCAGCTTTTCGCTTTCGGCCGGCCAGTGACGTGGAGGACGGAACGAGGTCATTGCTGTCGGCAGGCTGGGAAGGCGAGGCAGGAGAGGCGACAGAGTGCCCTGCGTCGTGCTGCATGTTAAGTTCTCCGAGCTTAGCAAAGAATGGCTCAATGCAAGGTTTGAGTCAGTTGATGTGACGGGCAAGTGACGACCTGAATCGAGATACGAGCCACGTACGGAGTACCACGGAAAGTTTGGGGTGGACAAGCGACAGCCAGTAACAGTTAGGCTTTCGACAGGGGCGCCAAGCACCCGATTGGGGAAGGCCTAGACACACCCGCACCATGCCAGGATCATGTCTTGACTTTCGTAGGGCATGTCTCCTCGAACGTGACGTCTAACTTTGAGTATATGAATCCACACGGAACGTGAAGGAAAAGTTCGACTTCTGGACAGCGGTTTCTTGAATAATGAATCGGTTTTCTCTATTCTGTGTCCAACCGCATGTCCCTGTCTAAACGAAGCTATGGAAAAAGAAAGGAAAAAGAAAGCAATCCGAACTAGATGCCCCCATTAAGCACTCGTGGGAGCAGACATTTCCGCATCGCGATAATACCCAGGGGGAAAATGAAAGGCAAACTGATGACCCCCAGCAAGCACCCTTGGGAGCAGACTTTGTCGCATCACCACACAATACCAGCCGGGGAGAAAAAAGCAAATATGAAATCAGCAGGGCCATCTACCCTTGAACTAGTGTTTGGTCCGCGACACTGGCTGGGCTCTTGTACCCCGTCTGCCAGGTAGAAATCCTGATGTCACAACTTCCTCTTCTTTCGGCCGCGCCCTCACTTGCTCAGCCAGTGGTTGGAGCATTTGAACACATTTTCAACCTCCTCGATCACAGGGTAACTGTAGTGGCCGCCTTTCGCGACTGGTTCGTGACGGAAAACGACCTCTGCGACATCTTCACTGCCAAAGTACTCATGGTGATTGTTGAGAATGCAGCCAGTCAGCTCTTTGCGATTCTTTTCGACGAGTCCGGCCGTTGCTGGGTCGATGTCCTCCCGGTATTCTCCGACTGATCCTTCCTTGGGTGGGATAAACGTGCCTTGCAGACTAGCGAGGTGGTGGTTTCGCTCTCTGTCCAAGAGTCTTCCGTTGAGCTTGAGGAACACTGACATGTCTTTGCCTTGCTTTGCAGCTGCCCTCACATCGAGATTCAGGTCATATTCGTACCCTACAAACCCCAGCTTGCTCCGACTGAATGGTATATAGTCCTGCCGAGTGAGGTCTTCTCCAATTGCGTCCGCCTTGTCGACTTCCTCGAGGTGTTTCAGGTCTATGGCCACCTTCGCGCCGACAGAATCACCCAGCAGTCGGATCTTGCTATGCACGCAGAGGTCGGTGAGATAGAGCCGAGTGACGGACGGGGAAAGCGCCTCGACGAACTCGTTTGCGAACCACGGTGACTTCGAGTGCATATGGAGTTCGACTAGCTCAAGAGACCGCATGCGGGAGACACAGTCTTTGAAGGATCCCATGAAATTCCCATACTGGTAATGATCTTCGGAAACCGGGCCATGCACACACACCCGAAGTTCTCTCAATTGACTAGCGTCGATAGGCAATCGTGTCAGCAGTAGTGTTGCCTGGCTGTAAAAGCTGAACTGGTTGGGATGGAATTGGAACGCCGCGTCCGGGATAGTCCAATCCAAGCTTTCCAGGGTTTTGGCGACTTTCAGAGCGATTTGGCTGGCGTCGAGAATCGCGTTTGCATCAACACGGAGTTCTTTGACCGGAGGCATATCGCCATGGACTGGCCAAACCAGATTCCCCAGCCCCAGCCCCGGACAAAATGGGTACTCGCGATGCAGTGCACTTCGAGGATCCGCAGAGATGTAGAGTTTCTCAAGCTGGCGTTTGTTCATGAGCACATGAGCTTGAAGCAAAGGCATGTTGAGATTGTCCAGAACGAGGACCTTGAGGTGTTGCAGCCAAGGGATACCATTGACCAGTGTAAGGCGTCGCCGATAATGCTGTCCGTCAATCTGCAGTTTGGACTTCAGGGGCACGATCGACATGTCGTGCTTTCCACAGCTATGGGCAACCGAGCTGGTGCGCTTGCCGTATCCATCTGATCCAACGCCGAAGAGATGGAGTTCTTCAAGTTGAGTTGACAGTCTCAGGACCTGGGCCATCTGAGAGAAGACCCCACTCGGAGCATCGTGGCGTATCTCGAGGAAAAGACTCTTGACATTGTGGTAAGCATTGCTGTGGAGTACTGAGACATCGAGTGTTCGATGGATGAATTCCGAGGCACGATTGGCGGGCACCAGGACCACAGGTTGGGAGTTCCATCGGCGGGATGTCTCATGAAATGTCTGCCTACAAGCAAGCTGGTAGTTCTCGTACCCAACAGCAGGTCGAGTGCCGGCAATCCCTTGCGGCGGAGAGAGAAGTTCAAGGATCGCGTCACGGACTTCCTGAGGGACACCGAGTAAATGATTTGTGGGGTAACTGACATTAGAAGGCTGGACTCCTGCGACTTGAGGCATGAAACAACCACTCGCCTGAGGACAATGGGTCTGTTTCGAGCCTTGCGCAACATCAGCCCAGCTGCGAAGCTGTCGATCTTTGCCATCTTCCGCTCCAGGGGCTTCGTTGGTATCTCTCTCGCTCGGGTCACTCTTGCGGGGTGGATTGTGTTGGACCTGAGATCGGTCAACATCGGGCCGAATGACCCCTGTTCAAACACATCAGCCAGTGGACGACACACAAGGTAACAAGTACGACACCCACATTTCGTACGGAGACCTGACTGATTCACAATGCTAGGTGCCATGGTGTCGGGAGACGGTCGCCCTTCTCGCCTTTGTTCTGCTTATGAGACAATAGAATGCCAGAAGCGGACTAAAAGGGAGGCTTTGGGTCCTTGGGGCACAGAGTCTGAAATAGTCCAGAGTAATCAACGAAACGACTGATGACTTTGTATGGAAGTGGCCAACTAGTTTAGCTCCGCCATGGAAGCTGTGCAGAGGAGTTGGGTCTCCGAAACCATAGGCGCTTTCGGCCTGCCAGGTCGAAGTATTCCGTGAGGGTGGCTGTTCAAGACTGTCGAAATAAAGTCCAGGCTTGGTTTGAAAGATAGTGAGAAACTAATCGAGAGTAGATGACATGAACAAGAGAACAGGCAAGTCATATGAGAGTCGATCTGTTCTGGGAGGCAGTGCGATGCCTGTCACTCCGGTGCGCATTGAGGCAGTGACATGTGCGGCTACCACGGCAAACACATGTGACGGGTGACGAAACTGTCGGATGCTCGTAGAAACCAAATGAGTGAAGTATCTCGAACAGAACGACATGTCTGCTGTCAAGTGACGTCCACTGCGGCCCAAGCATAAGTTGGAATGGTCAAGTGAGGCTGAAAGAAGCTGATTCTCAATTTCGAATCGATGAGATAGCAAGGATGCCCTGAAATGAAAAATATCAAGAGCGTGGCGAGAGAACATATCTTCTGTGACTTGAAACTGAGGTCGCTGTGGTTGCTAGAAAAGTTGCTCTCGCTGTGGTTGCTAGAAAAGTTGCTCTGCCCACGCGCCTCGTTGATGGTTTCATAACATCCCAATCACACACAAGCCCCTTGGAAGGGGTATACGAAGCCATTTTTTCCACACTGGACAGCGGTGTTGTGAAACTCAGGGCATTGCAGTTTTTTCATCTGTTTACCAGTAAGGTCAACCATGTCGCCGCAAGACACATTGAGCAGTTGGGTGCCAGCGCAGCGTCTCGAAAGGAAAGAGCCTGCCATATAATAGAGTGATGAACAAATCTACCACAGCCTGAAGATAGCTAGATGCCATGGTGTTGAATGTTACTCATCTGAATGCCAAGCACCCGACTCCGTGGCACGGGGCTGATTAGCGTGACGATCACGTGTTTATTCAACGCGGTCAATTTCCCATTGAGCGATCTGGAGTTCTCTCAATGCGTCTCCTGCAACTCACCTCACCACGAGCTCCGACGACCGGTGATTTGGTATTCGTTCGAGGACGGCGCGGGAGGGCCTGGAGGTGATGTTGGTGTCGAGAAGATTCCGGCTCAGACAATCAGCATGGCTGTGCTTTGCTCGGGATCTGCATTCCACTTCCCCTCGATCTGCCTCCCATGCTCCTGCTCCTGCCCGCCTGGACTTCAGTGCTATTGACCTGAAATGGCAGCAAAAATGGGCAAACAAGACGGCCACCGTGCGGCAGGGACAAGCCTCACGCAAATCGTACGTCCTTCCCATGTTTGCATATCCATCCGGATCTCTGCATATGGGGCATCTACGAGTCTACACCATATCCGATGTTATCGCCCGTCACCGACGAATGAGAGGCGAACAGGTTTTGCACCCGACCGGATGGGATGCGTTTGGTCTCCCGGCTGAAAATGCTGCAATCCAGCGTGGTGTCGATCCCGCGATATGGACACAAGAGAATATCACAAAGATGAAGCAACAGCTCAAGAGCATGAACACAAGTTTCAATTGGGATGCTGTAGGTTACGGAGCTTCGCAGGAATGTATGTAGACTGATCGGATGTCTGTAGGAAATTTCAACATGTTTACCGTCGTTCTACAAACACACGCAGGATATCTTTCTGAGGCTGTACCATCGAGGTTTGGCATACCAAGCCGAAGCACTGGTCAACTATGACCCAGTGGATAGAACTGTACTTGCCAACGAGCAAGTAGATAACAATGGACGCTCTTGGAGGTCGGGAGCACTGGTCCAGCAGATCAAACTCCGCCAGTGGTTTTTCAAGATTACCGGGTTCAAGGAGGCGTTGTTGCAAGACCTCGACTACCTCGCAGAAGGCGGCAAATGGCCTGACCGAGTAGTGACCCAGCAACGGAATTGGATCGGCCGGTCGAATGGTGCACGCATTCAATTTGCATTGAGGCACGAAGCTGGGACGTCCTCCAACATTCACGTTTTTACGACGAGGCCTGATACCTTGTTCGGCGTCAAGTATATCGCCCTATCACTGACCCACCCCATTGTGGTTCGGGCTGCCGGTCAATCGGCAGCGCTGCAGAGTTTCGTCGACAGGCGTGCCTCTTTTCCACCCGACTCAAAAGAGGGATTTCAACTCCCACTTCAGGCCATGCATCCTTTCTCGCATTCTGGATCGCAAGACATTGGACCGTTACCGGTCTTTGCTGCACCGTATGTACTTGACGACTATGGAGAAGGCGCGGTTATGGGCGTGCCGGCGCACGACTCTCGGGATCTTAGCTTCTGGAAACTTCACCGCCCCTCGGAACCCGTCACCATAGCTATCGCACAGGAGTCTTCCGAAAACCTTCCCGCCCAACTGCTTCCTTCCGAGCCATCGGAAGCGTATACCAACGACGGCTTTTTGACCACAATCTGTGGGCCCTATGCTGGGATGTCGAGCAGCGCGGCCCGAACAAAGATCGTCTCTGACTTGCACAAGGACGGCCTAGGGGAGGCTGTTGAAACCTGGAGACTGCGTGATTGGCTGGTAAGCCGGCAAAGGTACTGGGGAACGCCTATCCCCATCATACATTGTTCACAATGCGGCACCGTCCCAGTGCCCAAGAACGACCTTCCCGTGATGTTGCCTCCGCTCGACCCTTCCATCAAGGGTCAGACTGGCAATCCACTCGACAAGATTGATGAGTGGGTCAACTGCAGATGTCCCACATGTAGCGGGCCAGCAAAGCGAGAAACCGACACTATGGATACGTTCGTTGATTCGTCCTGGTATTTCATGCGGTTCCCGGACCCGAACAACGGCGAAGAGCCCTTCTCCAAAGAGTCAGCAGCCACCATGCTCCCAGTCGATACGTACGTAGGTGGTGTGGAACACGCAATCCTCCACTTGCTCTACGCGCGCTTCATCTACAAATTTCTGTGTAGCGAAGGCCTTGTCTCGGCCGAGATTGGGCACGCCGAACCATTTCAACAACTCATCGCACAGGGTATGGTCCATGGCAAGACTTTCTCTGACCCGGACACCGGCCGATTCCTGCTACCCGACGAGGTTGACATCGCCGGCGAATACGGTGTCATCAAATCGAATGGTAAGCTAGCCAACGTGACGTGGGAAAAAATGTCCAAGAGCAAGCATAACGGCGTGGATCCTACCACCGCGATTGAGAAATACGGGGCTGATGCCCTGCGGGCTCACATCCTCTTTGCAGCACCGATCAGCGAGGTGCTACAATGGGACGAGGAAAAGATCGTCGGGATACAGAGATGGTTCGGCCGAGTCAACCGCATTGTAGCCGAGCTCGTTGGCATCACCAAGACTGCTCGAAGCGACCTTTTGCAGACAATCATTCCCGAGTTGAGCACTCTCAATGACAGCGATGCGAAAGCTCTGCTCCTAGCGCAGAGCACTAGTGAAAGCGTTGCGAGAACCTTCTCACGCGACATTTACAGCCTGAATACCGCGGTCTCTGACCTCATCAAGCTCACAAATGGTTTGGATGATATTGGGGTCAACAATCTGACGCCATCGATTGCCCATATAGCGGTCACCTCGCTCCTGAAGATGATGGCGCCAATCACGCCGGCCTTCGCCGAAGAATGCTGGGAAAGCTTGATGTCGGAACCGGAATCAGAGTGTGGCAGCATCTTCGATACGGCGTGGACGGGGGAGATCATCACCGCGGAACAAGCCAGGGCACTTCGGAGCCGACAAACCACCATCACTTGCGCCGTGCAGTTGAATGGGAAATTACGCTTCACAGCACAGGTGCCAGCACAGGCAGACAACAACAACAACAACAACAACAACAACAACAAAAAAGCGCGAGAGGAGGAGATACTGCGTGCTGTGCTCCGTACTGAGGTAGGCCGCCTGTGGCTGACAGAGAAGAATGACTGGGAAAAGAGAAAACGAGTCGTCGTTGTTGGAGAGGGCAAAGTGCTGAACGTGGTGTTCTGAGGGAGATGAGGACTTGAAAGGATCGCTCTTGAGCTCCTGTAACAAAAACAAAACCGCCTGTTTGGTGCGTGGTCTGTGCGCTTTTTCCTGTGTGCTTCCTCGGCATTCGTTGCGTTATGAGGCCCCGTGACGGGAAGGGGTGAAGTGGTGGAGCGTACAAGAAGAAACGAGCGAGAGATGAGGGTGAGACGATCCCGAGGCGAGTCGCGCGCAGGTTGGTTTGGAGGCCGCACACGCGTGCCACTGCTTGTAGAACTGCTCAGTCCAGCCTTATGCTCGCCCCAAGTGCTCAACGTGGCTGACAGCTGCACCGTAGCGGCTCCATGGAGAGTTGGCTCGGGTGGGCGACGACATCTTGGGCCCGCCAAAAAGTCTGCGGGATATTGAGGCGGAGAAATAACACGTGTTCCACCTTTGGGCACAGGTACCTAGGCAGAAGAGGCACGATGATACTCTGTACAACAAGTGGAGGATTTGGTAAAAGTTGATAACACGTACTCCGTTGTGTCCGTGTCCGTACACCATGGAGCCTATGGCGAAGCATTTCGGCTCGCCGCAAACCGGACAAGCCAATCACCGAACGCAGAACTCGAGAGACTTGCTCGATACCACCAAACAGGTCAAGTCTTCACGTTAAGTATCAGACATTTTTGCGCTTGAACCAAACTTCTGCAAATCTAAATGATGCCGACGCACGATTTCCTTGGTCCCCACTTTTTTGCAGAGCCAGAAAAAACATGGTTCAGTCTTCGGTACAGGCCTATCAGAAGAGAAACGTGCAGCACTGCCACTACCTATCCTCGACGACCCTGGGACCACCATGCTGAATGTCAAAGACGACTCATCCGCCAAGTCAAAAGGTATAAAGAATGGGCCATGCCGGCCAAGGAAGAAAACTCCTTCAAGATCCTTCAAGATTTTCACCGACCGGTATGGGCTATTTTGAAGGATGATGACCTTGCAAGCCACACTAAGTGCGTCGGCCTGCATTTCTGACTTCAACCACCGGGTGTAGATCTAGCAAAAAAAACATCAGCCTTCGACCTCTCTTTGTCTTCTTCATTGCCCTTGGCTTCGAGATCCTTTCGAGATCTTCACCGACTGGTATGGGAATCGAACCCACCGATATTGGTTTTTGGAAGGATGATGACCTTGCAAGCCACACTGGGTGCATCGGCCTGCATTTCTGACTTCAACCACTAAAGGTGGTCTATGGACAGACGGCAAAAGTCCAAGGTCGGCAGCCCGGGGGACTTGGGGCGAGGGTTCGATCGCTGCAGCACGAGCTGGGGACGAAAAGGTGACATGAACACCGGCATCGTGTATCAAGGAACTGAGGAGGAAATGTGAAGGACTGATTGGACTTCTGACATTATGAGGTAGAGAGAGATGAGAGAAGAGCAGAAAATGCAGAGAGCGAGCAGACTTTATTCTACAGCAGCGTCACAAGAAGGGAAGGCGAGAGCTGGGTTTAGCACGTCGAGGAAGGAACAGTGTTGAAGGTACAGCACAGTTGTAAGAGATCTGACGAGCTCCTTCCCCTGACTCCAGCGTCCTGCCTGCCACAAGCTCCAGAATCTCCCAGCAACGACTTCAGAGCAAGAGTGATGGCTCCGCTTGCTTGAAAGCGGCAGCAGTTGCGGGGACGACGTGGTGCAAGGTCTAGACGCACAGGAGTCGCCTACGGGAGACTTCAAAATTCTGCACGCGATGTCCCTGACGTGGCCGAGATGGCGGCCGAAGAGAACTGTCTACTTAGTCATCCCGCATGTCGAGATGTTGCTCGACATCTCCGTAGGAGTTCCTGGCGTGGCAGCTGAACCCGCCGGTTGCCGATATGATATGATGGCGAAGATGCGCAAGTCGAGCGGCAAGACCTGTCCGGTCGGCAGGCTACAAGATTAAGGGGGCAGGTCAGGAGCCGTCGGCCGAAGCGTCTAAGGAATGCCTCAGGTAAATGTGGGCGCTCAGTTTCTTATTTGTTTAAAAGGACCACAAAAATCTTCCGGCAGGAGGAAGAGAAGAGTACTCGGTCACTCCTCTTACACCTTTCTCAGGCAAATGGTCACAATTCGAATCCTGGGGGCATTGCTCTGCACGGATGGGATGGCTCTGCGCATCATATTCTCCTTGACGATGCTGCCCGGGTCTCTAGGTACGGCCCACCCCGCCAGAGCGCCAGTAACATGGGACATAACTCGTCGGGCTGTATTGCAAAGTTGGATACTTTGATGTGGTAGTGACTCGTCTGGCCTCCAGGCAATTCAGCAACGAAGTTGGCGGTTCTGCTGTGGAGAGAGGCGAGGCTTTCAACATCCTGCCTGGACCCTTGCGCGTGGCTCGGCAACACTCCGCTACTCAAGATGAGGGAAGGGCGACCCCCCAGCCGTGCGCTTTGAATACGGCAGAAAGACAAAAGATGCATAGGTCTCCAGCTCAAGCCGGAGACGATATCCACATCACCGGTCATCCATACGTAAGTATAAACATCAAGATGCACTTCTTGAGCTCGTGTAGCTTTCCGGCCTTCTTGGAACCGCAAACGAGAACATTTTGGGGACGCGGACAGGTGGACCACCCGTCCGCTTACGAAGGTACAGCTTCCCTCGTTGCCCTTCTCCCTCACAGCCGACAAAAAGTCTCGACCGCCACTTTGGTGTCCTCCTTCGTTTCCTTGACCAGGCCGCTAACGGCTTTGAAATTCCCGTCCATCGCATCCCCGACCAACTCGAACAGCAGGCTCTCGCTCGTCGTGACGATCGCGCCTTCTCTAGCCAGCCGATTCATCGCCACGGGTCTCTCGGCCGCGTTGCAGCTCGATACTCCATCCGCCAAGACGTAGACCTTGTGGCCCCCTGAAAGGAGATCCAGCGTCGTCTGGGTGACGCAGATGTGCGTCTCAATGCCCACAAGGAACACCGACAGCTTCTCATCGCCAGCAGCCAGCTTCTCCAGGTGACTTTGGAGGTCCGGGACCAGCATGCTGAATGCGGTCTTGTCGATCGCGGAAGCCGACCCTTCAGGGAGTAGCGAAGAGACCTCTTCGACCGTGTTCCCCAGACGGGCAGCGTTCTGTGTTGTCGCGAAGATGGGGATATCGAGGATTTTGGCTACCCAGAAAAGAGGAAATCGTGAGTCCACTGTACGAGTTGGGCCGACTTAAGGCAAGCAAAACCAAAAGACTGAACACTAGACACGGAGACTCACCTGCTTTGACCATCTTCTGACTCGTCTTGATCCTGTAGTAGACACAGAATCGTCAGTGACTCGAGGGTGAAGCAACGTGATTTTGCTCTCAACAGGAGGAAGGACCGTGACATACACCTTGTCAAACTCCCAGATCGCGCCCCGGAACTTCTCCTGCACATCGCAGATGAACAGCACCGGGTTCGCGATCCGCTTGCTGTTCACAGACATTCTGTCCGCGTCGTCTGACCAGCTCTCAATCGAAGACTCGTCTAGACGTAGCGCGTGAATCTCCTTCTCTGGGCTTGATGTCTTCCGGATAAACGGATGGAGCTTGCTGCGCGAGACGTGTCGTCTTATCAGCGGACGAGCGTCGAACTCGGCCTCAGATTTGGCTTTTCCGGGACCAGCTTCTGCGTCTACGTTCGTAGGCGTCGCTCTTCTCAAATCGCCGTCATCCACTGATCGAGGTTTCGCCCTTGAGGACTGCGGCGTTTGTGGTGCTGGAGTGCCAGAGGCGAAAGCAGAAAATGGCAGCGCCTTTTTCGTCTTGATCCTCGACTTCCAGGCTTGGCTGTTCGTGACAGCTTACGGAGGTCGGATCTCAGTGGTCGACGATGTACGTTCTGCACCAGGTTGACGCGTGTGTTGATTTCGAGCAAAAGCCGGCGTGGAGCCGCTGAATACTCGTTGTGTAGGCTTCGTGCAGGGGGTCCCGAGACGTAGACAAAACCTCGTCCTGACAATGACGGCCGATTGCATTGGTGAGTAGGTAGCTGATGTTAGGAAGGCTTTCGTCAGTCCAAGGTGAAAAGGTCGGGGACAATCGGGCCAACGGGAGGTTCGCCGCCCCCAAGCGGGACTTGAGCGGGTCTCAGGCGGACGTGGAGCGGCAGATCTATTCTCCGGCTCTCCAGCACCAGGAACTCCTACGAGCTACGGAGTACGCAGTACCTAATTACACACTACGTACTCCCGTACCCCATAATTACTTCGTGCCCATGGTCGAAATGGAATCTTCTTTTGATTGTGGATTGGTGGCTATGTTTCGATTCTAACTGCCTTGGTATCCCCAAGCTGCCAGGTCGTACTGTCTCACCCTCACTAGAATACAGCTTGACCTCAGCTGAATCGCCTTCACTCATCAGGGGGTTTCCACCATCGTCTTCATCTGCGAGCCTCGTTTTCTTCGTAAGGTGCGCTCTCGTCGATACACAATCTCCAGAGCCGGAGCCAACGATCATAGCCAGAAAAGTTGCATTCGCGAGCCTCACTGAGCCTCAGCTGTTCGCCGTCGTCCTACGTTGCGGCCCAGTGTTCAGCCATCCGAACGCAGTGCCCGAGCCAATTGGATTAGACTTTGTAGTTGGGGTGGGCAGCGGAGCCTTTGACTCCCCTGCTGAATCAAGCACCTTCGCAGCTTCTCCCGTCCTGGACGGTGACGTCTCTGCACCATTGGGGATCGTGGCTGAGGAGGAAGAAGCATTTCTGGACGCATTGGCCATCGTCTTTCCCGGCCGCAGGATCTTCATGGTTCTTTGCGTTTGAGGTCTTGCATAGGTAGATGAAGGCTGTTTCGAGCCCGCCTCATTCAGGGCAGTAGATGACACAGATCGCCACGAGTTAGACCACACTCCGGACTTGGACATGGGCGCCGTAAAAGATTTCTCGCTTCCAGTGGTCGACTTCGAGTCATCAGCTGGTTTAGACGGGCCCAGATCCAGGCTGGATCTGGTAGACTGCTCTGTTCGACGACCATCTTCATGTTCGGATGTAGTAGCACTAGTAGGAGCAGCTGTAGGCGAAACAATGGTTTGCGGCGGACGCACTCTTTCGGGCCGGCCAATGACTCCCACTGGGGAAGCTGGAGGTGGCAGAACCGCATCTACTGAGGATGCATGAGGACGAGAGCTCGTGCACAGATGCTTAAAAGAAGCGTCATCTTCTGGTCGGCAGAGTGGAATAGAGAGTTGATTCCGATCTTCGTCGAAGATCATCATCTTGTCCTGAGAAAACAGGATATCAGCATTATGCGATCTCAAGACGTCACTGCCCACGATAACCTGAATCGAAGGGTCTGAAGCCAGCTGGTCGTCGACAACAAATTTGACCATCAAAGTAGGTATGGCCGGGGCCGGGCTTCCTGATCTCACAGCGGCAGAGGAGTGGATCTTGGCTTCGGTTAAATACACGGGCAGGCGGACTGTACGATACTCTCCGTCATCGGTTATTGAATTCGTCAAACCGAGTTTGCAGAGGAGTGGATAGCCAATTGAAGAAATGGTGGATCCCGTACAGACAGCAGCATACAGAAGTGAGCTGTTGGAGAACGATTGAGTCAGCCAACAGCGAATGATGGCCGGACAAGGGCCCAAGACGAAGAATCCCGGCGGAGGGTTGCCCGAAACTCGGGGCGAGTTGTGTATGGAACCAAGTAGGCGACTCTGCTCAAGCCCGAAGCTGTTCGTCCGACCAAACCCGGTAGCCGTCGGTCTGCCGTCAGAACGGTGCGACAGCGATCTTTCAGAGAGTGCGTGGCCACCAAGCCCACTTCCTGTCCGCGTAGGGAGTTCTATGGACTGTCTTGAGGATCCATAGTGGTTGTTTGCGCTCTCGTCAAACCGGACAGAGTTGGCTCTCGACGCGGCTGCTCTTCTGGGGTCGTCGGTCGTGTCCAGTGTCAGGGAACTGATCATGGGGTCGGCGTCGAAGTTGCGGAAGGCCTCAGCCGCAGGATTGAGCGACGAATCTGGGTAAGTCGTCAGTGGAGAGAATGCCTAGGGACACCATACTTCGGCTTACCGTGATGTGAAGACCCCAAAGGAAAAGGTGAAGTCGAACCCCAAAGGCTTCTAGGCCGACTGCCGTCCGGGGTCTTGGACTCTAGGCGCATGATTCGATCTGAATGGACAGCTTGAGTTGCAGACAGGTCATTCAGTGTCTCTTGGATGCGCCAAAGTTCGTCCTTGGTGACAAATTCTCGTGTATCCATAGCCGTCAAGCACATCCACCATGCGAAGGCATCAGGTCAGGAAGGGAGGTATCGGTCGCAAGGCACTCCTTTGCAGTGACTGCAATGCTCTCCTGGCTTGCCCAGCCCGGCTGGGCCCTTCCACCAGATATGTTACTCAATCAGGACCCTTAGTGTCTCATCAGACTGCTGTTGTGGCTTCTCTTCCCCAGTGGGTTGACGGATCAGACAAGGGGGATCGAAGAATGCGCCAAAGTTTGCACGACGCGGGCTTCAAGAGGTCGTGTATTATGGTCCAACGCTGATCTGAGAGACAGCAACAATGTCTGCAGCCACCGGGTCAAGCAGAGCGAACAACAGGCTTGCTGCAGCAGAGAGCGGACAGAGGAAGAGGCGATGTTTGACGTATGAAAGAAGTGGGATGATGAGGAAATAGTTGGCGAAGGCTTCGCTCGGTCGGGTTCGTTTGCAATGCTGGAATTCGCTTGTTGCTGTGCGAGGGTGATCCTGACTACCACTTGACTGACAGCTCGCTAGGCAGCTATTGAGGCAGCGACAATATGCAAAGACTTCAGAGCCATCTGCGACCACTGAACGTGTTCAAGCAAAGATGACCCGCGACATACACGACTGAAAAGGTGCGCCGTAGCATTACCGCAAGCTACGCTACGGGGGAGTATATGTGTCGGTCAGCGTCTATCCAGGAACAGATCAAGTAGATGTTGCTCTGGTGTGCTCTGGGCTCTCTTTTCTCCGATGCGTCTACATAAGGATCGCGCAGATATCATCTGGAAACAATCACTCATCACTTGCACCAAAACCACTCCAACCCAAAGCGAGCATGAAAGTCAGAGTTAGGATGATCAGTGCAGATATCACAGCTTTCTTGAACTAGGCTGTGACCACCTGAGGAAGCCATTGTCCCCAGGATGTCGAGTGTCCCTGCTACCTTGTGCTGGACCTTTTCAATCCACGTCTGTTTGCTACTTGAGCGTCAATAGCTTCCCAGACTTGAATCAACTCAACTTTATAGTATTGCCGGCGAAGTCAGCTGGGTGCCTTCAGGCGTGCTTTCAAGATCGTCACGAGTGCCACAATCACGGCAGCTTGCGTGCTAAACTTTGCACCGTACCTAACCTGTAAGCCTCATGGCTACTGAAATTCTCCGACAGCAGTTCAGCACATGAAGCGCATGAAGTTGATGACTGCAGATACCTCTCCGGGCGCCTGTGGTAGCATTTCAGAGCATACGCGGTGATGGCAACGCTCGAGAGCATGGCCACCTTATCATATTAGACTTCCCAGCCGAATGCGATGCGCCGCCACTGGAGGCGACGCTCAACAGCTTGTCCGAGGAGGACTGGGCCAGATGGACCATGATAACAGTCCCAATATTTGCGACTGGCAAGCAAGCTTCTCGCTCGAGGCCAATGTGCAGCCAGGGGTACCCCGCAGCGATCCACAGTATGTTTCCCATCTTCCCATATCTTAGACCTAACCCAGCACAGTTGCTTGCCATACTTACAAGCTTCAGACATGGCACACATGCTCGCAGGAGCCCATTGGTCTGTAGGAGTATGAGGGAAAGCATCTGTGAACTTCTTGTTCTGCCTCAGACTTCCTCAAGCCTTCGCACCGGATACCCAGGGCCCGACGCGACTGGACGTACCGCTACCATACTGGAGGTTGTAACGATGGTGCGGCCAGATGTGGCATTCTATCGCATGTGGTGGATGGCGGGTTGCACGCTGGAGATAGTCACTTTGAGCAAAAAGTCAATGTGAAATAGATCTGGTTCTGGAGTTGACCTGCAGCCATATAAGCGATCGCAAGCAAGGGGACCTAATCGAGTGTCCTCGGTCTTGTGGTACCACTTGAGGACATAGAGGAAGCTTCTGCCGACGATGCTTGCGTTGGCACAGAGAGCATCGAGACGTACCCGTTTCTGGGAAATGGCCGAAGACGCATTTGCCCGCCCGAGGTAGCGACTGAGATCGCATTGTAGAAGCTCAAGTTCTCTTCCATCTGATCAGCGAGCTTTTGGGCAAGCGGCTTCGGAGCCGGAATATCAAAAGCTGCAGCTTTCCGACCTTCACTGACCACTTCCTTGTTGACTCTGTTCCAATGCCAAAAAGCACCACCATCTCGAGGGTCGAACAGGCACACCACCCACCTCTCACCCTCGAACAGGGCCTTACCCCAAAAACCAGTGATTCCCCTATCACAGTGCCGGATCCGCAAGCCCACGAGAAAGTCCAATGAGCTCCGTTGTCAAGACAACACCAGGCAGAATCCCGTAACCCGGACGCGCGTTCATGAAGAACAAGTCCCGAGAATGGTTGGTCGATCGGATAGACCAGAGATGGTAGGTCCTAGGATGATTTGTTGACAGTTTTGTACCTTTCTATCCCTGGTCAGTCACATGGTATGGCTTTGGATCGGGGTAATCACGGAAGGGCTCAGAGCCTGCATGAGCATGGTCGACGCCATACCTGCAAGGCAGTGGTTTAGCCGAGCCGACCGATGTTCCACCAGCCCTCAAAGGTCGAATTGTTTCGACCATTCTCAGCTCCTGCAACATCTCCAGTCGATAGGGCAAAGTGCTGTGTTCGTTTCGTCGAGATGGTCACCAAACACCGATAGATGGAATAACGATATTTGGCGATCGAATGCCAGAGCTCACCGGGGAAGAGTCCATAAGCATTGGTCGACAACGCACAGAGCGCCAGCGGAGGACTTGCTATTGACCTTGCACCTCGTCACGGCAGCTATTCGCTGTTTCTACAAGGTTCGGCAAGATCCTTACTATATCTCACATACTAATGGAGATGCGATGACGCTATTCGGCTGGGATTTGGCTCCGTGGACGGTAGAACGGGAGATGTACGCCGTACGTCAAGGAGTGGAAGATCATGGCCGTGCAAGATGGTGAGGACTAACAGTGCCGACGTTGATCGGCACGAGACCAAGTCGTGGGAGCAGATGGGTTCAACGCCCACGGAACTCCATACACGCGATGCGATGGGTCGAAGATACTCGCGTGGCACGATAGAGGGCGTAGTCTCGCCTAGACTGCGGCTCGTGCAGGGACAGGTCTCCTGTGCGTAGCGAGAGTCAGACAGACGTTGCGAGAGCTCAGAGGCATATACTAGAAGCTCGTGGGCCCCGCCGTGGACGGAGGAGCACAACGTGTGTGGAACGTGGCCACAGCGAGATTAATTACCAGATTGCCAGATTGACAGGCTTGCTTAGCTTGGAGCCAACGGGCTTGGCAGTGCTTCGGTGGCGGAGGATCGACGCGAACGCACCTTTATCGTCCTCGTCTTTCGCCTCCCATTCGAAGAGCACAATCTTGTACGAAGGCGATGTCATGATACTCACTGTAATGGTGGTAATGATTATCTTTTGGTGCTCACCCATCCAGACCGCCAAGCCTACACGGTAGCATTGCTTCTTCTCAGAGAAGCCAAAGCTGCGAGCTGCCGAGGTATGTCGTCCTTTGTCGTGCTGGCCGTACTGTGGTACCCGCAACCTGATCGGATATCGCTGTGGCACACGACTAAGCGCCAAAAGCATTCTGGAACGCGCGTGGAAAGTCAAGCATCGACGCTTGTGCCGCGAATAACCAGGGCCGGTAAAGCTGATCGGCCGCAAGCATCCGGCTGCTATTTCACACAATCGACCGCTAGGTCGCCGCCACCGAAGTCACTCGACCACTGCTTGCAATACCAAGACTTCTCCCCATGTCGCCAAGTCCTTGGGATACATCGCTGTCCTGCCGCCCCTCAATAAATTGATAACGAATGCCAGGACACCTTCCGCATTAGTGCGTCACTCCGGTTGATGTTCCAAAGGATTTTCCAAAAGATGTACGCCTTCCCGATTCTGATGGCGAACTTCAAGAGAGCCTTGAGATATAATTATGTCGTCGTGGTGGCTCCAGGTGCATCGCAAGGTCGACTCCTGCCATCCATGCTTCCATTCCCAACGTCAAGATGAGCGCAATCGCAACCAACGAAGCTCCCATCATCGCGCAGGCGAAGGTGGACGAAGCCGCCTTGGCTGGCACCGCGACGGAAAGCGCCTGGGACGCGGCTCGATCGACGTCAACTCCTTCCAAGACACTGGCTCAACGCTTGACGATGAAGTTACCGAGGCCGATCTTCATACGCTTCGTCGAGTGTCGGGCAAGATTCCCTGGACAGCCTTCACCATCGCCTTCGTCGAGTTGTGCGAACGATTTTCCTACTATGGAACTACGGTAGTCTGTAGGTGGCGCATTCCGACCCCAGAACCTCAAGCGCTGCTGCTAATTAACCATCTTCAGTTGTCAACTTTATCCAACAGCCTCTTCCCGAGGGGTCCACCACCGGTGCTGGCAAGTCGGGCCAGTCCGGTGCGCTGGGCATGGGCCAGCGAGCCTCTACCGGCCTGGTGACATTCAACCAATTTTGGGCATATGTGATGCCTTTACTGGGCGCATACAGTACGTCGTCCTCGCTCGACACATCCCCTCTGAAAGAGAAAGTATCCGAGTCTAACCGGACTTCGTGCAGTGGCTGATGCTCATTGGGGCCGTTACAAAACCATCCATGCTGCCATCATCTGCGCTATGGTCGGACACGTCATCTTGACAGCATCAGCAGCCCCGAGTGTCATCCAGAATGGCAGCTCAGCCCTCGGCGCTTTCACCATCGGTCTCATCATCCTGGGCGTTGGGACTGGTGGCTTCAAATCCAACATCTCTCCCCTCCTGGCCGAGCAGCAAACGGACACCAAGAAGCGGATTGAGGTCCTCCCGTCCGGCGAGCGTGTCATTGTCGACCCAACGGTGACAACCTCTCGCATATTCTTGTACTTCTACCTCTGCATCAACATTGGCTCACTCGTCGGACAAATCGGCATGGTAAGCCTTTTCGGCTCGCTCCGAGATCTGCTGGGTACCCGCTAACAGCTACATTTCAGGTCTACGCCGAGAAATACGTCGGCTTCTGGCTCGCCTACATGCTACCGACCGTCTTGTTCCTCTTTGCGCCCGTCGTGCTGGCCCTCTGCCGCAAACGCTACGTCTTGACCCCTCCCACAGGCTCGGTCTTCGCCAAGTTCTGGAAGCTGTGGGCCTACGCCACCAAAGGCCGATGGAGCATCAACCCCGTCAGGACATACAAGAACTTCTCGGCGCCCGACTTCTGGGAGCGCGTCAAGCCTTCTCGCATCCCCGCAGCTGAACGGCCCGCGTGGATGACCTTTGACGACGCCTGGGTCGAAGAGGTCCGTCGCGGCCTCAAAGCATGTGCTGTATTCCTCTACCTGCCTCTGTACTGGCTCGCGTACGGCCAGATGACCGGCAATCTGACGTCTCAGGCTGCGTAAGTCCACTTCTTGCATCTCCTAACCCCCCTGTAGCGAAGCGAGCTGACAGATCTCCCCATCAAGCGTCATGGAACTCAACGGGGTCCCCAACGACATCATCCAGAACCTCAACCCCATCAGCATCATCATCTTCATCCCCCTCATGGACTTTGTCATCTACCCGGCCCTCCGCAAGGCGCGCATCAATTTCACGCCCATCAAGCGCATCGCGTTCGGTTTCGCGCTCGCCTCGCTGGCGATGGTCGCCGCGTGCGTCATCCAAGTGTACATCTACCGGATGAGCCCCTGCGGCCACAGGGCCTCGGACCCGGACTGTTCGGGCCCGGCGCCCATCAATGTGTGGGTGCAGACGGTGCCGTACGTGCTGATCGGCTTCTCCGAGATCATGGCCAGCATCACCTCGCTCGAGTACGCGTTCACAAAGGCCCCCTACAACATGCGCTCGTTCGTCATGTCGATCAACCTGCTCATGAACGCCTTCTCGTCCGCCATCGCGCAGGGGCTCGTGGCATTGAGCGCCGACCCGCTCCTCGTGTGGAATTATGGGCTTGTCGCCGTCCTGGCCGGCGTCGGCGGCGTGTGCTTCTGGTTCAACTTCAAAAAGCTCGACAGCGAGGAGGATAAGCTCAACATGTTGCAGGCGAGTTCGTACACGGGCAAGCGGAAGAGCGTGGCCAGTCGGGGCGGCAGTGTCGCTGGGTCGGGGACCCAGGAGATGTATGCTCAGAAGAGCGAGGCCTAGATGGTCGATCGCTGTATGTATAGATATCTCGATCCCGGTAGGCGTGTGCTTGGTGGAGTCGACCTGGACAGTGTGATAGTGCACAGTACACACACTGCGGCGTCATGACACAGACAGACAGACAGACAGACTGCCTGAAGCATGCAAACAAACTTTCAACCATCAATTCACTCTGTAATTCATTCAGGCAGTGATTACAAAGGGAATCGTGCTCGGTCGAGCAAAAGCTAGACAGCTACACCACTTGACAGCATCGTAGTAATCACAGCATGTATGCCGCCCTATGCGTACGCGGCCAGTGGCTCTTTGCACTCGATCCATGATACCAATGTCCCCATCCCGTCGCGTCGACCCCGTATCCGTGCTTGTTCCGTTTCTAGCCCAAAAAGAAAATGCATTAAGTTCATTAGAGCCAGCCGGTGCCTGCACCCATGACAGACGCCCCATTAACCCACCCACCCATCAGTATATCGTTGCACAGTCCCCGTATCACAAAGCATCACAACTCTGTCGACAGCGGGCCTTTGGGATGGAAGATATCGAGAGGCATCGCCTCCCCAAGTTACGCCGGACGCAATACCCTCCACATCAAATACAAGTCTGTGCCATTCAGTGATATCCGTTTGTTCTCGGGGGGCCTCTCTGCGAGTATGCCGCCGAGCCGGCTGCAAAGTAGGGATGATTGCATGCCGCCTTGGCTGATATTCTGTGGGCAGGGTCGTATTCGAGCATTGCTTCGATCAGCTCCAGGCCTGCTGGCTCGAGGTTGGGCACCAGCTTGGACATGGGTTCCCTTCGCCATTTGGGGAAGGAAGTCTTGAAGTCAGGGAAGGAGGTCACGCCGGGCCAGGTGTTTTCGTCAGGAGTCCCAAGGAGCCTTAGATCCAAGGTCAGCAAGGGTGACAGCAAGTGAGCACAGATGACACATACTTGAAGATCTTGAAGATCTCGTCGATTTCAGAGTCGCCTGGGAACAAGGGTTTACGGGTGCACATCTCCGCGAAGATGGCGCCGACGGACCACATGTCTACACCAGTGGAGTATTGGCGGCCGCCGAGAAGAATTTCTGGCGCGCGGTACCATAGTGTGACGACCTGGTAGGAAAGTAAGCAAAGGCAGTAGCATCGAGCAGTTGCAGGTGTTAGCCTACCTCGTGCGTGTATGTCCTCAATGGCACACCAAATGCTCGAGCCAGGCCAAAATCAGCCAGTTTCAGGTTGCCCTCTCGATCGATTAGCAGATTCTGAGGCTTGAGATCGCGGTGTAGGACTCGGTGGCTGTGGCAATATCGCACCCCTTCAACCAGCTGGGCCATAAATTTCTTGACCATATCCTTGCCGAGTCCCAGTCTCTGCATGTCCATTGTCGAACCTTCTGGTAGAGCCTTGCCGCGGCCGCCATCCGACACAGGCAATGCCTCCATGTATTTCTTGAGATCGCAGTCAAGGAACTCAAAGACGAGGTATAACTTGTGGCCGTCGGCGTGGACGATGTTGAACAGGCGCACGATATTGGGGTCGTTCATCTCTTTCAGCAGCGAGATCTCGCGAATCGCGGTGCTGGGCACGCCTTCATCTTCGGCCTCGAGGCGGATTTTCTTGAGAGCGACGATTCTACCACCATTGGACAGGTCTCGAGCCTTGTAGACAACTCCGTACGTGCCTGCACCGGTGGTGTTAGACAACTGTGCAGTGTGGAAGTGTGACTGGGGCATGTCTGACCTTCGCCGATCTTCTCGATCTTCTGATAGTTCTCCATTATTCCCCCAAGCTTTTATCGATTCATGAAACAGCCTGACGGTGGAAGTTCGGAATATGTAGGAGAGAGAATATGCGGTGGAAAGTGACAAAGGGGCTGCCTCCAATATGAATGAAATCTCCTTGGAGCCTTGTGTGAAAGCGATGCTGTCGCGGTCGATTGATGTTGGATCGGGAATTCTGTAGGGTCTTACGCAAGTACTCACGAGATACACGCTACTGCCGACCAGCTGCGAACATGAAGTGGGTGTAAGTTGCTGGATCGTGGTCTGAAGCACAGTGTTTGTTTGGTGTTTTGACGCGTTTGATTGGCGGGGGGAACGTGGTACCTGCCAAGCCTTTTTCCCGCCGCATTTCGATGGTGAAGTTCGGCTCAATTGCGGGATGGACGAGGGTGAGAGTGAAAAGAGATTTGACTTGTTGACTCATCTTTACTTGTCAATGACAACAGGCTCCTAGTTATATCCTGCTCGTGGGTTCAGTCGTCCTTGCGTTGTCGCTCTTGCTCGAATCCTTCCCACCGCCGCTGTCTTTCACCCACATTCAGCGACATTCGACCGATCACCACCCCGCGCCCACTATGGCGGGCAAAGAGCTGTCTCCGCATGAGAAGCTTGCTCTGGTCAAAGATCAGCTGCAAGAAGTCCTACATGAAGATATCTTGGAGAATGTCATCCTGAAAGAGCAGAGACCGCTGGTCATTTACTGGGGCACAGCCACCACGGGCAGACCACACTGCGGTTACTTTGTGCCTATGATGAAGATTGCGCACTTCCTCCGAGCGGGCTGCAGGGTAAAGATCCTCCTGGCCGATATCCACGGCTTTCTCGACAACCTGAAAGCGCCCATTGAGCTGGTCAAGTTCCGTGCGGAATACTACAAGTACATCATCCAGTCACTGCTCAAGGCGGTCGGCGTCAGCTTGGAGAAGCTGGAATTTGTCCTGGGTTCATCCTACCAATTAAGTTCTGACTACACCATGGATGTCTTTCGATTGAGCAGTGTAGTCACGGAGCACGATGCGAAGAAGGCTGGTGCAGAAGTCGTCAAGCAGGTCGAGAATGCTCCGCTGTCAGGTCTTATCTATCCTTTAATGCAAGCACTTGACGAGCAGCATTTAGGGGTTGATGCGCAGTTTGGCGGTGTCGACCAGCGTAAAATCTTTGCCCTCGCTCAAGAAACACTGCCAAAAATTGGCTACAAAGAACGAGCTCATCTGATGAACGCCATGGTCCCTGGCCTGGCTGGCGGTAAAATGTCCGCATCGGACCCTGACTCCAAGATCGATATCCTCGACACCGCTGATGCCGTGCGGAAGAAGCTGCGGAAAGCCTTCGCCGCTGCAAAAGAAGTGGAAGGAAACGGGATCATCTCGTTTGTCGAGTATGTGCTATTGCCCATAAGTGCCCTGAAGCATTCCGAAGGCCAAGGAACGTTCGAGTGCAAGCGGAGGGAAGGGGAAGGAGAACCATTAGTCTACCACGATATCAAGACTCTGAAGGAGGACTACCTGGCAGATAAACTCACGCCGCAACTGCTCAAAGCTGGCGCCACAGAAGCCCTTGTCGACCTGCTGGCCCCGATCCAAGCAGAATTTCAGGCTTCCCCCGAATGGCAAGATATTGAGAGGAAGGCGTATCCTCCTGCAGAGCCGGCCAAGAAGAAGAAGCAGCCAAAGGACAAAGGCTCAAGATACCCAGGCGCAAATGTGACTACCAACCTGGACGGATCTATCGAAGGCCGTGGTAAGGAGCAAGTCGAGGTTGGCCATACAGCAGAAGAAGCGATGTCGAATCTCGAGATCAACGGCCAGGCTCCATGAGAGGTGCGGCGTGACGCTGATAATCTCGGAGCAATCCTTCGAGGACGATGGTAGATTTCAGCACAACTGTCAATGTTCAGCCTGCCACCTGCGACCCACACTGGCATCAATGCGACGCAGTGTGCAGATGGAGATTCCTCAGCTCCAAGGGAGACCGTTCGCCGGCTCACACCTCGCATAAGCAATGTCACCATGATCGCTGCTTCCTGCAAGACTAGTAATGCAAATAATCGACGAGCCTTCGAGTTCCTCACGCGCATCCACTAGCTGAGGATAGTAGTCTTCTGGAATTCCACGGCTTGATTAATCTGGATGCTGGGCTGCTGACGATGGGGATGAATGTGCGTCTGTCTTTTCTCCCTCTCGGCGATACTCTCGGCGTTTCTGCTATTGCGTCCTCTGGCCTTCCGGCACTTGACCTTGTTCAATGGGTCCATCTCGGGCGTTACCAGCTCCTCCAATCTGCAAGCTCAGGCACTCACAGCTACTCCGTATGGGTTTTTGCAGAGATTAGTCTGCGTTCACTGTGCGCCTTAAGGCTCGCCCTGCTCGCATTATGGTAGCAACAGTGCGCTCGCATGCATTCGCCAAGGAAGTTCGCACAATAGATGCTCCATACCGAATCCCTCGCGCCCCCAAGCCGCAAGGAGCTTCCGAAATTAGTAAGATTACTCACCCAGTCCTCCGTACTCTGCAAGCCATCTGGTACCGATCACCGTACCTTCAGAGTGCTGCAGCGGCGTCCGCGATCTCGCAACGCTGTTCCATGGCCGAGGCTAAATCTGGATGTCACGGCTCCAGAGTCTTGTGCCTGCGCATGATGATGGCACTCTGCATGAGTCGAGGCCCAGCCAATCTTTCACAACGCTGCCTGAATGATAGTTGGTGTTGTGGTACCGATCGAAGGAGACTACATTGACAACATTGAGCGCGGAAGCCGGAGACTGCGAAGAGCCTACGGCCCTGTCCTCGACTGCACTGGTTGATAGACTCCGGGACGCGACTGCCAGAGTCAATAAAATGTTTTCGAGAATCGGGCGTCATCGCACAGAATGACGCTTCATCCCAAGACTAAACAGGTAAACAGTCGTGCACAGTGCAGCAAAGATGTGCTTGGCTCATGCTCGCTTTCGAACGCCAACACTGCTTCCCCTCCTAAACACGAAATCGCGCGCCACCCACGCAACCCTCCCGGTCGGCTCTTTTCACACTTTGTTTCTGCACACAACCTAAAGAGCCACGAGAGCGTACACAGAGTGACGACAGGATCGCCAATGATAGCCACCGTCTAGCGAGAGGCGAAGCGAAATATCCGGCGATATGCCTACAAGTTTACCAGTATACACCTGCTCGTAGTGGTGACGTTGCCGGGATGTACCTAATACACACCCGGCTGAGATCTCGATGCAACTATCAAGGTCAGCTTTACACCAGGAACATTATTCGCAGCTGAACGCAGATGTCACAGCCACAGAAAGCGAACACGGCGGGAATGCCACGAAGAGAACAAGCTCTCGGCGTTCACGTTTATCTCCATGTTCTTGTGCCTCTGTGGTACCCATTGAAGCCCCAGCTGCGAAAGTGGCAGTATACCCGAGGCTGAGACAATGTCGAAATCCTCGTTGCGAACATGGGCTGCGGAGAGATAGTCGTATCTGATCAAGCCGCTCATTTGGCGAGTGGCACCCTACCGGCCCACCATTCTTGGGTGCGAAGATCTCTGGAGCAACCCCAGATTTTCATTTCGCCGAGCGTTGACTGAGTGAGACCTTGTGCTCTCAGAACAGCGCCGCGGACTGTGTATTGGCCCGGTCACAAACCTGGACCCAGAATCTTGAGGCAAACAGTGGAGAAGATCCGAACTTGTGGAGGGGGCGGACACCGGACAGAGTGCGGGGTTTTCCATGTCACAAGAAGCCAAAGCGCAAAATCAAAGGCGTCTAAAAACGCCTCTTGGGTCAGCAGCCCAGCTGATCGTATGGTGGACCGCCGCCGAGCTCGGCAATGGTGTCCTGAATTGGGACAAGCAATGTACATGGGACAGCGAGGCTGGTGCCCATCATCGAAATCCCTCCACTCTTTTCGCGACCGATTCTGCGATCCCGAGTGCCTGTCTACCAGTCACCGCACATGCCGACCAACGACATCTCTCGTCTTGTTTTGCTTCATCCTGCTTCCTCGCTGCTTATGTGGGAAGCCCAGGGCATGGCCAAGCTGCCCAGGATCCTTGTAAGGTCTTATTGGATTGGAGGTCGGCGACACCAGACCTTGCCAATTCGCTTCCCGGCCCGACTGGCTGCTTGTCAAGCCACGATACAGTTTGAGCGACGTTAAGTGAAGTGACTACAAGCCTGATCATGCGAGCTCATCCCAGAGACCCACGCTGATTGGGAGTTTCCCCGAATACCTTTCACGAAGCGCAGGTTACGACGTACCTTCGATAGGCCCGAATTGGCATGCAATCTCACAGCTACCCCTAGCTCCTTGAGGAAGCACTGCGTCATTTGAGCTGAAGAGGGAGTACAGCTGGACAGCAGGTACGGTTTGTATATGTATGCAGCACCCTTCCTCGTAGACCCGGTCTTCCCATTTCCTCTGTACTAGGAATCACATCAGTCCTTGCTCGGGTCTCCGAAAGACCTTGTCGTCGTGTCCCTGGTACCCTCCTTTCATTGAGCCTAAACGCAACTACCACGATGAGTTTCGCACACGACGAAGAGAGTGGCCCAGGGCGTGGTGGCAGGCACATGAGTGTCTCTCACTATGCCAACAACATGGGAGCTCCCACGTACGATACGACGAGACGAAGGTCTTCAATCGTCCCCGCGGCGGCCCTGGGAGCACCACAGAGCGAGACAGTGTTCAATCAGAAGGATGAAACTCTTCGCAAGATGTCCGTCGCCGTTCCCAACCTTGCTGAGCTCTCGGCCGACGCCAAAGCCGCTGCGGAATTGGAGCGCAAGATGGGTTTTCGCGAGGGTTGCCGACTATACCCCAAGGCCATCCTCTTCTCTTTCTCCCTTTCTCTGGCCGTCGTCATGGAAGGTTACGATACCTATTTGCTCGGCAACTTCTTCGGATTGACAACTTTTGCTCGAAAGTATGGCTCCCCTGCAGGCATTGTCGATGGTGTTCAGACCTACCAAGTTTCGGCCTCGTGGCAATCCGCACTTTCAAACGGCACTGCTGCTGCTCAGATCATTGGGCTTTTCCTCAATGGTATCATCTCTGAGAGGATCGGATACCGCTGGACGATGATCGGCTCGCTGATTTTCATCTGCGGCACCATCTTCATTACGTTCTTCGCCGTCGATGTCCAGATGTTGCTTGCTGGTTACGTTTTGTCAGGGCTTCCTTGGGGAGTCTTCCAAACATTGACCACGACATACGCTGCCGAAGTCACCCCAGTTCCCCTTCGACCATACCTGACCACCTACGTGAATCTTTGCTGGGTTATCGGCCAACTTATTGCTGCCGGCGTCCTCAAAGGCTTTGTCAGTGCAACCGACCAATGGGCATACCGCATCCCCTACGCCATCCAGTGGGTCTGGCCTATTCCCATCGCCCTCGCCGCATTCCTCGCACCAGAAAGCCCGTGGTGGCTTGTGCGGCACGGCAAACTCGATCAGGCTCGTGCTGCGCTGCTCAAGCTGACCTCAAGGAAGAACACCGAGTTCAATGTTGAAGATACACTGGCGATGATGATTCACACCAACGAGCTTGAAATCCAGCAAACTGCTGGTACCACCTACCTGGACTGCTTCAAGGGTGTGGACCGTCGGCGAACCGAAGTTACCTGCATCACCTGGCTCATCCAACAAACCTCTGGTTCTCCCATGATTGGGTGGGGCACCTATTTCATGATTCAGGCCGGCCTGAGCGAAGCCAACGCATACTCCCTCGGTGTCGGCCAGAGCGCCATGGGCTTCTGTGGAACCGTCCTGTCGTGGTTCCTGATGCCACATTTCGGTCGCCGCACCTTGTACCTCTGGGGCCAGATCGTCATGTTCGTCGTCCTCGTCATCATTGGCGGTCTTGGTGTGCCTAGTTTGTCCACCTCGGTCGGCTGGGCATCCGGGGCTTTGATCCTGATTCTTACCTTCGTCTACGATTTCACCGTCGGCCCCGTCTGTTACTCTCTCGTGGCGGAACTCCCATCCACTCGTCTTCGAATCAAGACGGTTGTCTTGGCGCGAAACGTGTACAACATCATGGGTATCGTCGTTGGCACCCTGCAACCACGTATGATGAATCCCACGGCCTGGGGCTGGCGTGGAAAGACATGCTTCTTCTGGGCTGGTCTCAACTTGCTCGGCTTTGTCTGGAGCTATTTCCGTCTCCCAGAACCCAAGGTAGGTACCCTTATCTCGATGTGTCTTTGGACGTGTCTAACATTATTGTCAGGGTCTCACCTACGCCGAACTCGATGTCTTGTTTGAGAACAAGGTCTCGGCCCGCAAGTTCAAGACTGTCAAGGTCGACCCCTACCGTTCCGATAACCTTGTCATCGTCCCAGACGACGAGGGCGATTACTCAATGGCGGAGAAGAAGGGTTTCTGAGATACATCGCTCCGTTAGGGCCTGTAGCAGAACATCAACTGGATGTCTCTGGATGTCTCGTCCTCTCTTGCGTCTGCAAAGAGGTAATTAGCACGAGCTATGAGTAGTATATTCACTGTCGAGCAAACTGGTCGACTAATTGAATCTGTCGCACGCCTCTCTCTCGCTGGCCACTTTTTGGTCCTCCTCTTACGATGTACTGCTATGATCACGTTCCCTGTTAGGTGACAGGGTCTTTTGCCCATTGTTGACGCAAAATAACGGTGGGGCAGCCTTTTCTCCACCTGCCCCGCCTTGCTCATCACGTGGTCTCCCTCCGCCTGGAACCGGAGCTCGTCACAGCGTTCAGGGCCGGTGTTCGTCCAGACGGTGATCCACCATTACTCTGTACCGGCTGCTCGTTTCGGTCGCAATTGCTGCGTGCACAAAATGTCGTCGTTTCGTCCCCATGGGTGTGCAAGTGTTGCCGTGAGGGGGCACTTTCCTTGCTGTCAAGGCAGCCGACGTCAACAGCGGTACTGGCCCGCGAAACTTGGGACTTTTGTCTTGTGCGACACAAAGTCTCACTTGAGCTCGTCTAGCCTATCGACTCATCTCGGCCATCCTTGAACCATGCCCAAAGGCCCTGGATTTTCTACACCTGCTCCCTCTCAGCCGCACCTCTAGACCAAAAGCCACAATGGTGCAGAATGATTCGCTCGACGCCCTTGATTTACCGAGTCCTCGTGTCACTGGCCGCACGAGATGCAAGGCCGCTCTAGGCGCCACACTTCACTGCCAGCATGGATTGATGCGGCCGCCAACCGGTCGAGCTCCCATGCTCATGTCTTGGAGCTCTCACAGCCTCATTCTCTTCATACATTTTGCTTCTTGCTTTATTTGTTCCCCTTACACGCCTTCCTGGGTAGCTAAACTCTCTCGCTGAATGTATTCTACACGTGTCCGGCTCAATCTTGTGTTCCCAGGCTGCCACGAGTCGCACCTTGTGCTGTCCCTGCCGCCTTGCTTACACCACGAGATCGGATCTGAGCGCGTTCCGGTGTGGGTGCCAAGCGAGATCATTGATTCGCTCAAGCACTGTCTCCTGCTTGAAAAGACGCTCTAGGCGCCATGGATGACCGCAGAGACAATGTTGGAGGAGGTGGTCGATACTACGGCCCGGGCCCTGAGCTAAACATACCGCCACCCCAACCCAAGATGCGCCGCAAGATACGCCGACAGCCTCCACAGGAGACGGTGAACCAGTTCTGGGATCGAATGAACCCCAGATTCCCAGGTAAAATCTTTACGGTTCTCCCTGATAATCCCTATGCTCGGAAGAAGGCCGCAAAGACGCCCCATGGCACCGTCTCCGGCCAGCGCGCCGCGAAATCATACGAGGAAGCTCGCGCCGAATGTGAAAAGGACGTGAACAGGATTGTCAAGGAGTGTCGTCGACTCAATCAGAAGTATCGAGATCTGCACTTCGATATCGAGTGGGACCTGAAGTCGGGCCAGAGAAATTGCCTAGATGGCTTGAGCACGCCAGGCGATTCGATGAAACCGAAGGGCGTCAAGAGAATAACGGTTTGTTCCTTGTTTCCCCCGGATTAGCAGACGGGAGTGCTGAACTTCGTCAGGACATCTTCGAGAAACCCCAGTTCTTCATCAACGGTCCTACTGCTGGCGACGTTAGACAGGGCCGTGACGGGGACTGCTACTTGATGGCCGCACTCTGTGGCCTAGGCAATATGGAGGGTCTCATCGACAAGGTCTGCGTCAAACATGATGAAGACTGTCAAGCCGTCGGAGTATACGGCTTTGTTTTCTTTCGAGGTAAGACTCTGTCACTCGAATGCACGAGGCTCGATCGTTGGACTAAGGCTGTTCCCAGATGGCGAGTGGCAGCATACCATCGTCGACGATAAGCTCTACACCCGAGCGCCTGATTACGATGAAGCCCAAGATGAGCGCGTGGTTTGGGACGACATCAACCGCGTCGACAGCGCCGAGGAATACCGCAGGGCACACCTCACGGGCTCACGAGCACTATACTTTGCACAATGCAGCGAGGAAAACGAGACCTGGCTGCCGCTGCTTGAAAAGGCTTACGCGAAAGCTCACGGAGATTTTGCCTCTATTGACGGAGGCTTCACTGGGGAAGCCATCGAGGACCTAACAGGTGGTGTAACTACTGAGATCTACAGCACTGACATTCTGGATCGCGATGCCTTCTGGCGAGATGAGCTAATGCAGGTCGGACAGGAGTTTCTCTTCGGTTGTGCAACGGGCTTCTACGCGAATTGGCTTGACACTAGTGGTGTGCCCCGTGAGCGCGAAGGGATCTCTGAAGGTCATGCCTACAGCATCATGGATGCGAAGGAGATCAACGGCCAACGCTTATTGAAGCTGCGCAACCCTTGGGGCAAGAAGGAGTGGACGGGGAGGTGGAGCGACGGCAGCTCAGAGTGGACACCCGAATGGATGCAGCTGCTCGACCACAAGTTCGGGAACGATGGCATTTTCTGGATCTCGTACGAAGATTTGCTGAAGAAGTATCAACACTTTGATCGGACCAGGATCTTCGGTCCGGAATGGACCGTGACACAACGGTGGACCAGTGTCAGTGTTTCGTGGTCAGCTGAATATCACAGCACCAAGTTCTCGTTGACCCTGGAAGAAAAAGCCCGCGTCGTGATTGTCCTAGCACAGCTGGACGATACGTACTTCGGCGGCCTCGAGGGCGGTTACGGATTCGACCTCCAATTCCGCCTCGAATCTGACAACAAGGAGGACGAGAACGACTACATTGTCCGGTCCAACGGCAATTACGCCATGGCTCGATCGGTCAGCACGGACATCGAGCTGGAGGCTGGTACATACTCGGTCTTGATGAGGATCACAGCCACGAGGCACTCGGATCGGGAACATGTCGAGGAGATCCTTCCCCTCTACACCGCCACGCGCCGCGAAAAGCTCATTCAGATGGGTCTATCCTATGACTTGGCCCATGCGAAAGGCGTGCACGTGGAGACCGAAGCCGAGCGGAAAGAACGCAAAATGGTGGAAAAGAACCGGCGAGCCAAAGGACGAGAGAAAATGAAGCAGCAGGCCAAAGCTCAGGCCGAGAAAGATTGGAAGAGGGCGAAGAAGGAGCATGAACTCGACAAGAAAAGAAGAGCGAGGAAGAACCACTGGCGACAGAGGAAGAACCGCATCAACGACGGCTACGAAGAGGAGATAATAGTTGAGAGAAGGGTTGAAAGCAGAGGAGCATTTGACAGCCTGGATTCAGGGAAGCCTAACAACGGCATTGGAGCTACCAACGAAGCAGATGGAATAGTTGATGGGAGCGACAAAAAGCCAGCCGAACTCACCGAGGAGCTCAGTGGCACATCCAAACCAGAGGCCAAGCCGACCGAAGACGTCTCGGCTGAGCAGGTCGTTGAGCCTCTCGAGGATGTGATCAAAATCGTCGATGCCGAAACACAAGCTAACACACCTGAGACTTCTTCACATGCTCAAGCAACACAAGCGACCAAGCCAGCGACAGAAGCACCGGCTGAGGGCTCGAGACCTACACCAATTACGGAGATTAATGGCTCTACTGTCGTCACATCTGTTAAACCAGACGAGGACTCAAGGCCTATCCCAAATTCGGAGGCTAACGGCTCTGCTGTTGTCACAGACGTTAAACCCCTGTCGACTGCACCTCCACTATCCCAGCCAGAGCATCTCGCTAATGGCGTCTCTGTCGAAGGAGGAAATGCAGGAAAGCTTCGTCCTCAAGAAAGGAGTACCTCTGAGCCTCATTATGAGCGGCCTCAACGCAGTGACACCCTCGATACCACAGCTGCAATGGTCGGCATTGGCAGCGGCGCATATCTGACTCACGAACCCGAGGACAATGACTCTGGTAGAGGGCGAACCGAATTGCCACGCCGCCGTGGCAGCCAAGCGAACAACGACGAAGATTCAGGGGCAGACGGAGAAGAGCCAGGGTCGGCCTCGGACGCAGACTCCTTCCCTCCCTTCGAATGGGACTCCGAACTCGACTTCTCCGGCCCCCTCAGCGGCGACTCGGACGACTCCACATCGTCAATTTCCCAGCGCAGAGTTCGCCTCCGATATAGACCCCATTATATCCGCCGAGCGGGGAGAGGACGACGGTCGCGGTCTCCGCCCATAGGACCGATCCCGCCACCCGGGCCGAGAGATTTCATCGAGATCGTAGAGAAAGGCGGCAACCCAGACGCGGACGATGACAATGGACCAGACGAGACATGGAACGCCGTCTGCGTGGTTGGCCTGAGAGTCTACTCGGCGTTGAAAGGCGAAAAAGTCAAGTTGAAAGTCGTCAGACCGTGTGATGGATGCTCAGATGACGAGGAGGGACAAATTAAGAAGAAGGGCAAAGAGAATCACGGATCCAGAAATGGGGTTGGCGATGGCCATGGATCAGCTGGCAATACGAACGACGCCACTCTGGATCCGGACGATATTTCAAAGGGAGCCGTTGCGGCCGAGCCGGAGAGTACAGGTACTGTTGTCGAGCGGGAGGGACAAGTCAATGTGATGGACAAGGGGGATGAGTTGAGGTTGGGCACAAGACAGAACCAGTGGACGGGGCCGACGAAAAGGAGGAGGTCGCGGAGGGAGAGACAGCTGCCTAGAAGGTGATGTGGCGGGTGCAGTCTTGTGTCCCAAGGTTTTATTGCACTTTTTCCAATCTTCTTTTTAACTGTCCTTGCATTTGTCGGGGGCAATTTACTGTACAGACAATCTGATCCTCCCTCAGTCTCACCCTCATTCTTGGAGGCAGCTTCTTGAACCAGCAATCAAGCACCGCATCTACGCCATCGCCTACCTGCTGGTCTTACTCTTACTCTTACTATGGGTTCTCGTGACACTCCTCCCCCTCCCCCTCCTTCTTTTTCTTATTGACGAACAACAACGCCCCATACGCCGCACCCTGGACGCGCTCTGTAGCCACATTGTGAGAGGGTCGACCTTTATGAATTTCGAGTAGATTCGTGTATTCATATGGTGAAGGGCTTATATGATCCTAATTATGTGCTCCAGTATTGAGCACACTCGCTTCTTGGAGGTCTGCAAATGAAAGCATAATTAACGTGTAGAATACGTATCTGAAGAAATAATGTAACGAAGCACAAAAGCAGAAGCAATTGCGACGCCTGCTCGGGTAATCTCCATGTCGCCTAGCATCGCCAGATTTGGCAGCAAGTAAAGCGCAGCCCAGAACGTGAATCGACCGTTGCTCCACGCCGCTTCATGTTTCAAAGCGGGATTGTTGGCTGAGCTTGAACTTAGCACGCGGACCCTTCGGGCGAGGCAGACGCTGTGGCGTACGTGGCATGGATCCGTGTCAGCTGGGATGTTGCCCCCGAACCACCTGCTAGCAACCCGTCTCATTCAGCACGACTTTCCACCTAGCCTCGGACAGCTTGAGGTACTTCTTCATAGCGTCCTCAGCAAAGGGATCCTCCTCAGGACCGGCCTCAGAGCCTCCATGAAGTAGCACGCGATCCTGCATTCGCGCAACCAGTGGAAGCAAGTCCTTTGCCGCCGATGCCTCGAGACACTTCCGCAGGTGCACACAGATTCGCAGTCTCCAGTATAGCAGTGTTTGAATGCTGAAGCCACGCTTCGAAAGCCGTCGAAGTGAACCCTTGACGTCGGCCGACCTGGCAACTTCCATCGTCTTGTCCTTGCAATTGATGCCAAGCAAAATGTCGAAAGTCTCGAGCATGACAAACATGATGTGGATGTTGGAATAGTTGTGCCGGCCCGGTATGCGCGAGGGGTAGATGAGGAAGTATGACCGAAGCAGGTTGATCAGTGCTTTGTCGAACGTGCCCAGTTGGAGGCCACTGACCGCGAGGTGGAGTGAAATCTGGTCAAAGTCGCCAGCAGTGTACAGCTGTGGAAAGTCCAGGTATTGTGCTATACCATCCTCCCAAGCCTGACTTGCTCTGTCGTACGCTAGACGTCCTCCCTCTTCATCCGCCCGTAACTGCTCCAGTTGGCGAAGCACACCTTGCGCCAACGCCACATACTGGGCCGATAAGACGGGCATTCGGTCTTCAACCTCGGTGGCGGTCTTGGTGTCTTCAACGCATCTGGAACAGGTACATTCGAAATAGTAGTTCATCATGTGCTTTGCATTTCTTTCCTTGACGCACAGGGTAGGGTCGGAGTAGAAAATGGTGAGCTCTTCGCCCTTTTTGATGTCCCGAAGTGGAATGACCGTGGCGAATATGCTTCTTTGCTCTGGTTTGGGGTTGGATTCCAAGTTCCAGCCGCTTTCGACGGTATGCCATGGGCGATAGAGCATAGCGTTGGCATCGCAATTATGGTTGAACTTGGCGAAGAAGGGATCAAGCATAGTGCCGATGCCCCCGTGGACCGAGACGGGCAGCTCGATTGAGTTGGTTCGCATGACCCAGAACATTCTGGTGATGGTTTCTAGAGAAAGCTTTGAATTGGTGACGAACTTGATATCACGTACCATTGCCGTGATGTTGTTCTCAGGGGCGGCCTTCCAGATATCTTCATGCGAGACGACGTCGTTCGTGAGTGCGTTCCAATATTGTTGCGGTAGCAAGCCTTTGTCTTTCAGAAGGACGACACGCATAGCCGCTCGGATCATCATAGGAGGGAAGTTGTGGCGGTACAGATCGAAAATCCTGCACTCGAGTTTGTGGTACGCCTTCCAGGCCTTCGTCTGACATGCCTTGCCGCAGAATTTGACCTGGGAACACCCTGTACATGTTTTCAAACTCAGTTCTTCCTGAGCGGTGCCTTTGATGTAGGGAATGTGCGAAGACGTGACGGCCAGGCAAGAATAGCATGTGGTTGTAAGCTTCTCCGTCTCGAGAGCCATGAAGATGGAATATGGTAGAGCACAGATTGGCTCGTGGACAGAAATGTCGCGCCGCGCGAACAGACCTTCGCCTTTGACAGGGTCACGGCGGAATTCCATGGTCTCTGGTAGTTGCTCTCCGACTCCAACAGGACGGCATTTATTGGTGACGTCCAAGGATCCATTGTTCTCAACTCTTCCGTTCTGTTTGGCATTCTCGCAGGGCCTATCCATGACTGGGTCTTCATTCCGAACGGGCGAAATGTGAGGTGGCGCCGGATTGTCCGGCGTCCTTAAGACAGAAGCGGTCGTAGCTGGAGGAGACTGAGAGAACTCAGACTTGGCTGTTGATTGCGAGCCCTGGGTTGACAGAGCTGGCTGGAAGTTGAACGGAGGTCTCATTGCCATGGGAGCTCTCAGAAAAGCAAGAAGCTCTTGAGGAAGACCCAGGGTAGCGCCTGCTCTCTTATGCGGACAAGACCGTGCCAGCCCTGCTAGATTGAAATGATCTCAGAGTAACTTGCAAGTGACAAAAGCATGCTGGAAGTCACATGGGAAACGGCACCGGGCAGGTGCGTGTTGTGTGAAGTGAATGCTGAGCAACACGGATGCAAAGATCCGCTGTGCATGAGATGCGAACGGAGTCAAATGCCATGAATGCAAACCAGTCTTCCACTCGCAATAAAGCACAGAGCAGGCCAGCCCGACTATCTCCCAACCTTGAATGCCCGGCACTGAAACTGACATGGAGCAAGCGACGGCCTGGACTTCCCTGCCCAATGGAAGATGTTCCAAGTCCCAGCAAACACCACCACTCATTCACATCTCAATGTTTGCCCTCAGCAACAGCGTTGCCATAAGTCAGCAACTCCATAGCATCATCCTGCTCCTTCTTTACTCCCTGTTGTTGCCTGGTCTTCCTCTCCTTCCTCCTCTCCATCCTCATGTACTCCCTGACAGCCTCGCGGGCGATCAACCTCCGCTCCGCAGTCTCCTTCAACTCCCTCTCCTTCGCCAGCTGCTCTTTCGTGCCCGAAGGACCCTTCCAGCACTTCTTCCATTCCTTGAAGAACTTTCCGCTGGTGCTAAGTTGCCTGTCCGCGATCTTCTCTTCCTGTTCCCTGCGCTTCTGCTCCCTCCTGGCGTTGTAGTATTCCTCGTCTTCCGAGTCCAGATAATCTTCAGGGTCGCAGTCGGACTCAGCGTCGGAAACTAAGCACTCCTCTTCAAAAGCCAAGCCGGATTGAGATCGGCGGGCTTTTTCTTTCGACCATTTCCGCGTGGCGGAGGCGGCGATGCAGGCTGTGAGTGAGAGGGGAAGAGTGAAGACGAAGAGGAGGAAAATGACGAAGAAGATGCCAAAGACTACGTCTTCATCCATGCTGTAAGGTTGTGGTATGTCGACAGTCGGCGCTTAGAGTTGATGTTTAGAAATAATGTCGGTGGAAGAACAAGAGACCTTGAGTGCTAAGTGATACGTGGCGGAGGTATATACGTAAATGTCGCCACCTTCAAAATCAGGGTCCTACCCATGCGAGGCCATGGGGCGCACTGGGTCCTGCCTCTTCAACGCCACTCTCTGCCTCCGCTCACCATCCAGTACACGCAAAGTGCTACGATAGTTTAATAGACTGTTGTTTTCATTGCATCTGTCTGCTCTATCTGACCGTGTATTCCCCGTGCACATGGTTAGAGCAATCCTCTATCTGGGCAACTTGTAGAGGAATCCTGGTTCACGTGCCCCCTCATGTTCGTAGCATATGGAATCTGGGCTAGAGCCTCTTAAGTCAAAGCAGGCCCTTGCTCCATCACATGTCGATTCGTTTGCATCATGCATCCGCAACTTTTTTGTCAGGCTTTGTCGCACCTGAATCCTTGAAGCGTATCGTTACCCTCTGGTCTCAACAGGGAGCCGGCGGGGTTCTTCGACATACCGTGCTCTTAAAGATCACGAACGCTTCACGCCATGCACCCACCCATGATAATGGTACAAAAAAAGCAAGCCAATTGCTTTTGTGGAACAGCAGACTTGACGCAAGGCGCGTAAATGCAGCTCCGAAGAGTAGCTCACAACTCGTCGTGCTCCTGCACCCCACCCTCGTCAGTGTCGGCCAGCATGGTCTGGGCGGCATCTGCAGCCCCGCTGACCACGGACTTGACAGCATCAGCAACACCAGAAGAAGCCGACTCAGCGGCCGTGGTAGCTGCTGGGGCAGCCTTGGCCAAGGTGTCGCTGGCAGCCGAGGTCACGTCTTCCATCTCCTCGCCGTCTTTGCCAGCCAGGCCATCAACGCCGTGTTTGCCATTGTCCTTGATGAATGCGGCAAGGTCTTCGAGCGTCCTAGGGCCAGAGTATTCCACGGGCGAGTCTTTGGCACCGGCGGGGTAGAGCTTGATGGTCGGGAAGCCAGAGATCTCGTCCGGGACATCGTTCAACGTCGCATCGACCTTGGCGACAGTGACCTTCTTGGAGAAGTCGCTTGAGGTGTAGAGCTCGGCAAGCTTCTCGTAGGTAGGAGCAAGAGCCTTGCAGTGTCCGCACCAAGGAGCGTAGAACTCGATGAGAACATCCTTCGAGTCATCCAAGACGATGTCCTTGTACGAGTTTGCAACAACCACGGTGACAGGGCCATCCTGCTTTTCTGGGATTGGCTCAGACTTGATGCTTGGAGCAATCTTGCCCGCGACAAAGTCCTTGACGAAGGCGCCAATCTTCTTCTCTGTGAGGTCAGTGCCCTCGAACGGGTATTTCTCATTCTTGATCGTCTCTTGGATGGCGAACGAGGGGAATTTATCGGTCGGGAGATTCAGGTTTCCGGCGTGTGCACCAAAGGCCTTGGCATCGATCGTCGCAAAGTTGATCTTGCCCTTGTATTTCTCTGCGACGGGCTTGAGAGTTTCGGCAAGAGAGGCGCGCTCTTCGGGTGTCTCAGCGAAAATGTAGGCGAGAGGGATGCCAGCCTAGAAGCAATTAGTAGTCGAGCGTGGAGATTTGGAAGGAAGCACATACACCCATGTAGCCAGCATATGTCTCTGGGCCAACCTCGCCGACCAGAGGAGTTGAGGCAGTTTTGATGAAAGTCGTGATGGCATCGTCCGTGAAAGTGTCTGTGAAAGTGTTCTTGCCTTCATCAAAATCCTTGTAGAGAACAATGGCAGGTTGCTTGACACCTTCGGCTTTTGCAAGAGCGGCATCGTTGGAGGCACCGAAGATGTATTCATCTCTTAGTGACTCTGCAAGGGCTGTGTAGGTCTGGTTGGAGGATTTGTCATCGGCGGAGATGTAGGCCACCACCACAACTTTGTCGGTCGTCTTGAACTCATCCAGGGTGTCGGAAGTGAGTAGGGATACCGCAGGTAGTTGCTGCTTGGTCATGTATGAGACGATCCTGCACAGGGTTAGACAGTCGAGCTTAGATTGGTGCAAAGGAAGAACTCACGCAGGGGCTTTGCGTGCACCAGGGTATGGCTTGATGTTGTCGAGGCCACGGAAGATCTTGACGGTAGGGTAGCCTTCGACACCATACTCCTTGCACAGATCACCCTCGGCCGTGCAGTCAACCTTCGCCAAAGGAATGTTCTTCTCTTTCAGCGTGGTCGCGGCCTCTTCGTACTCAGGTGCCAAAGCTTTGCAGTGCCCGCACCAGGGCGCAAAGAACTCTGCAAGAACTAGGTCATTCTCTTTGATGAAATCCTTGAAGTCATCCGCGTGCAGGTCGTGAACATCACTGGCAGATGAGAGGGTCGCGAGGGCAAGGCCGACGGCGGCCAAAGGGGCGAATGATCGCATGATGAAGCCTTTTAATCAAGAATGTGCCAGCACAGGTTGAAGAGATTGTCACGTTAACGATCAAGTTGACAACAAGCTGGGGAGGTCGAAGGACGGTTTCGAGGACAGTTTCGAGGACTAGGTCTTTTTGAAGCCCAGGGGTCAAGCAACTTTTATGTTGCGGCTGGAGCTAGCCAGTGAAGGAGGCAAGCCACAATAATTCACTTGACACTGTACGGAGTAGAGGAGAGGTGTTCACTACTTTTTTGGGGTGTCACTTACAGTAGTTTGGCTCTCCACTTCAATTCACGGGCGATTCACTGGTCGCCTCTCCAGCTGAGCCCCTTTCCGCCCGTTGCTGGGACCCTGAGACGCGGGCAGCCTGGCCCTCCAGGGGTATGCACGCCATGGGGCCAACATGCCTAGGAGCTCGTGTGAACATGTTGAGGTTCCTCGGACACGAGCACGATCGCCGGATGCTCAACCGACCAGATTTCAGCAGATTCAATCGAGCCCGAATAGGGCTCCTAACTTTATAAATAGCTACTGTGGCATCTCGGAGAACAACACATATTACTTCGCCGTGAATGTTACCGATCTTTCCGACCACGGGTAGTAAGTGAATAGTATTTCTAATCGATGGATGACTATCCTCCATGGCATCCCAGCCACTGCCTTCCAGTCGAGCACAATCTGTTCCAAAGGCTAGGCAGGACTCAGTCGTCCTCCTCTGACAATACTATCGTGGGTATCGTGCGATATCTCGTGTCGTCACCTGTGGCTTTTCTGTCCCCTTCAAGCTCGACTGACATCTGGTATGCTTCAGCCTTGCCTCGATCCACGTCGACCAACAACATCAGGGGTAATGGGAGGAAGATGAGCACAGCCAAAAACACAAACGCCGGTCGAATCTCCCCGTACCGGTCTGTAATAGCGCCAACAATCGCCGGACCAAATATGCTCGAGCCCTTGTCCGTAATCGCATAGAGAGCGTAGAATGCAGCTTCAAACCCAGGAGGAATGAGTTCACCAAAGAAGGCCCGGCAATAAGAAGACAATCCTCCGAGCACGAAGCCATAGATTGCACCCAGCGGGTACATCTCCCATGGCTGTTGCAGGCCAAAAACTCCATATCGCTTAATCGCAGGAATGAACCCCAGCAAGCCGTACAGAGGGATAATCTCAAACAAGCAGATGCATGCCACAATAGTCCGGGACGCGCGCAGGTTCAATATGCGGGAGATCCAGCTCCAGTAGAATGCGCCGATAACCCCTGCTATGGTTGCAATCACGTTAATTAATCCGAGGGCTTGCGTGCTCATACCGAGGCTGGTTTTGGCAAAGAGTACCGCAGTTCTTCCATGGTTAGCAAAGGACAGATAGCGAGCAAAAGACTTGCCGACTTACCCGCTGACCGTAGCTATGCTGTCACTGAGCAAGAACCATGCACACAGGAAGATCACAATATCTTTGAGCTTCCGAGCACGGCCAACGGTCTTGAACAATGCTTTCCACGCGTACGTGACGTAAGAGACCCATGCGTATCGTCCGGTAACTTCAGGCGGTAAAGGCGGACCTGGCCGCGGCCGTAACCACATGGCGGCGGGGACGCTGAACACCAACCACCACAAACCCACCAAGAGTAGCACCAGCCGTAACGAGAAGAGTGTGGATCCTGTTAGAACTACCAGGCCAACAGCCACGACCTGCACAAAGAGTCCGGCGATATATCCTACACCAATGCCAGTGGATGATATCTTCGTTGACAGCTGGAGTTCTGGCGAGATTGACTCAGGAGATTGTTGCGCCGCGACGACAAAGTCAGGAGGATCTCGTGGTATCAGGCCAGATGTCGAGCTCGCCATTGCGAGATCCTCGTGCTCAACAAAATCATTATCGTCCCCTTCTGCAACCTCCTCATGGCGGCTGCTTTCGATACTGGGGTGGTGGCGAACTAGCAATGGCAAGAAGGAATTGAGGAGGACGAAAGATGCGCCGAAGCAGGTATTCGCAATAATGGCCAGCACAGCTCCCAACAAGTAGACTTTCGGAACCACTCCGATAAACAGAGCAGTGGCTGTTGCCCCAGTGAAGGCAAAGGCCAAGAGGAACGTCTTTCGAAATCGACCGTGGTCTGCGGCGGCGGACATGGAGATAATGAGGACAGCCTGCACCAAGACGCTGATGGAGAAGGTGTACATGGCAAAGCTCGCCGTGTTGATCTCGGCACCCAGGACATATAACACGCAAGCCGGGAGTTCGTTGTGTCGGTGCTTCTGAGAGTCCAACGCTGTGACATTTGGTGTGATGCCGTCGCCGCTTTTCCACCCAGCGCTGCAGGGTGTCGTCTTATCCTTTAGCAGCACTCCTCGTTCCCTGGCCAGCTGTTCAAGTGTGATCGGGAGAAACGACCCTGCAAAGGTAGGTTAGCATAGGGGTCTAGGTCTGTCTGTTCACGGGAGCAGTAGTCACCCATGGCGCATATGGCAAAGACCTCAGCAGCCCAGCCGTAAGAGTACCACCCCCAGAGCTCTTTCTGGCTCGTCGGCCTGGTGTCTTCCTCTGCATACCTCATTTCTGCTTCGTGATCCCCGAAGTCGCCCATGTCGGAGTCTGAGTTGCCCCAGGACGATTCTCGCTCGTCATCTGCTTCGACGGAAGGTGTCGGGGAGATCAGGCTGACTTGTGACAGATGTGACGTCGTACGTGGCAGAGGTGGTCGCGGCCGGCCTGCTGCAGAGGCTGGCTCATGGCGAGGTACCTGTGACAGTAATGAGGATGCGGAACATACCTAGGTACCTGACGAATGCTGAAAACAATATGCAAAGACAGAGCATGATGCCGACGGGCGAAGAGGCTGACAGGGGCCTGCGCTCAGCTGCAGCGGGAGGCGGCTTTCGGCAGGTATCACGATTCGCGGAAGGGGAACTGACCATGTTTCGTGCCTTCCGCTCCACCTCGCAGGGCCTGGCTGCCCCTCTACCAAATCCTACTGAGGCCGTCCTCCTCCATCGTCACATGGTAGAGAAGCATGAAGGATCAGAGATGAACATGGTGGAGAGCTGTCGGTTTTTATCTGTCTTCTCACGTAAAGCTATGTCCTGCTCAACGGGTCCTTCAGGTGGGCATGCGGGTCACAAGAACGTCCACAGAGAACGACTCGCGGCTGCCAGATGTTGAAGGATGCTTAAAAGAGCTGATCCCATCGCATGTGGGATTTGCCGTGTACTTATTCCAGCAGGATCTGCCTTCTAGAGGAGCTGATATCTGACTCCGTATCTCTCGCGTCTCGAGCTAACAGCTACACTTCTCCCAAAGCATACTCAAAAGTGTCAGGCCAAGCACTTATCTCATGACCATCGACTGTCCGTCAACTACGGCGATCGGGCTAGCAGCTGTACTGGCTACGTCGGTGTCGCATTGCTGGATGAAGTTCGACCTACCAAAGCCTATCAAGAGCACACCCACCCGATTCACTTCCAGCGACCATGGAATGGCGTGCAGCTGGTCACCGATCAGATGGTCCGCAGGCCTAGTGGACGAGCCAATCATCTGCTCTACAAGGATTCTCGGTGCTACACCAACAAAGATGTGCGCAATACTCCGTAGTATCCCGGAGAACGAACGGAGAAGCCAATCAAAGGTCAATGCTCGTTACTCCGGAGGGAGCGCCCGAGGTCCGGTTCACATCTAAGCAGCGATGAGGAGAAGCATAGAAGACAACACGGGCTACAAGTTAGAATGACCAGTGTATTCTGTTCTCCGCACAAGCACGCGAAGGACTAGAAGAATGACGCAGTCTCTCCCAATTCCACCATCGAGGGCGGCACACGGATGAAGTCCGCCACGTAAATAGGGGCACTTCATCAGCTGAACCCTTGATAAAGTGAGGCTTGCGACATGGGAGGCCCAGGAAACCTTGTCTTGGTGTCTCGAGACTTACAGCAACGATGGAACCTCCATTATCGGCGGTACGTGAGCTTGTGAGGTGGCATCGTGCAATGCCGAGAGCCTTTCATAGCCGCTTTAGGCGCCTGCCCAATCAGCGCTCTGCACAGCCTTGGGGGCTTAACGAGGCTCTTTAGGCATTTGCTCAAGCCTGGAGCCTCCTCCATTCCCAGCTTTTGCCGACTTCCGCGCGTGTCATTCCTCCATCGTTCCAGATTCACTTAATCTCAAACCCTCTACAATCCGGTCACAACAAACAACATCCGCTACCGTCTCCCTCTGCGCCCTCTTCAACTCATCCCACAGACCGGTGAGACTGTGCGCTGGCCGAACTTCCACACGTATTTGCCTTGCCACCGCCAACGTAGCGTCCGGAGCCCTCAGATTCGCATTCCTCACCCTTGACTGCAACTTCTCTTGTACCGGTGCCTTCTACCGTCGCTGCGCTCATCGAATCCACACCCTAGCAGCCGTCCCAGCACCGTTCCGTGAAGCGATCACAAGTCTACCCTTCATCGCACACTCGGATATCCTCTCGCGCTTGACCGGAGAGAAGAACAAAGGGATATCACAACTTCATTGGGCTGGTCGGCCTTGCGGTCGCACTCGAACGTGTGCCGGCCATGCATTGCTTGAAGGTTGATTGGTTTTCAATATGAACGGGGAAAGGCCCACGGTTAATGGAGCGCACACCGCAAATGGCACCCATCGGAGCGTTACAGATTCCTCCTCGAGCGCAAACCCGTTGAAACCGGGACTGCTGCCTCAAAATCTGCTCCCTCCTCCCCCACCACCGTCCCTCGATCGCCAAGAAAATGGAGATGCATGGTCCAACCGGTGGGATGACGGCGGCGCTGGTCACGCTGCTGCCAGCAACCAAACCCATGCACCACCAGAGATTTTGTCGCTTATCTCTCAAGATAGCTACTTGCCAATGGCCGCGCTCATCAGCCGGGCTTCGCAAACGTGCTGGAATGGTCTATCAGATCTAGTTGAACAGTTGGCTCTACTGTCCGTGCCAGATTTACCCCCGGAACAGGCGAAGCTCATGCCAAATGGTTTCACGAACAACCAGTCGAAAGCAAACCTGGACAAGAAGGATAAAATCTTCAAATTTGCGAATGAACGAAAGGCAGACTTCATCAAACTGCTTGTGTTATTGCAATGGAGCAAAAACGTGGACGAGGTCAGCAAGACCATTTCAATCAACTACTGGCTAATGCTACGTCGGCAAGCCTACTGGGGTGCTATCGCTTCGATGGCCACCCTGAAACAGGAATCGTCAAATTTTCAGATCCCTAACCCTGATCTCAAGACAGCCGCCGAGGTACTATCGACAGGGAAGGTGGCCAACTTTCCACGGCTGGGTTACATTGCGCAACCGGACTTGTCAACAAGGCAAATCCTCCGAGTGCTCAAGACACTGAATCAGGCGCTGAGTGTCAGATTGGCCCTATGGGACAATTTACCACCTCAATTGCGGAGTTTCCGAGTCCATGATGGTCGTGCGACGTTCAGTGTTCCCTACGAGTTCGAATTGGACGTATCCACGTTGGACGAGAGTTTAGAATCGCCTCTCCGTATGGTAGATCTCCGGCTTTCCTTCCAGCCATGTCCCCACCTACCGGACGGTCTACGGTCGGAGATCGAGCTTCTTGCGAATTCCAACATCGATCAGGGTGGCCTGGCAAGATGCTACGAGTTTCTCCATGAACTCGCATTATCGTACAAATTGGCCGAGTTCCACAAGCAAGCGATCGAATTATCGCGGAATCAATGGGTGGGCAATCTGCGAGCGGAGCTTGTTCGGCGAAACCTGGTTGTGCAATACTGGCCGGAGAGACATGGCGGGAAAAGCTGGGTCGAAATCGGCATAGCGAGTGGTCGAGGCAAACAGAGGGCCGTGGACATGGAACCTCACTCGTCACTTGAGATCAAGTGCACTTTGCATGGCAAAAGAGCCGAGTCCTTGCGTTTGCATCTCAATGAATCGGTGCTGTGTTTCGAAGACATTCTCCGACAGGTGATCGCACAACATTCGACCCAGATCCTCGACACCATATATGACAAGCTAGTATCTAGGCCTCTATTTGCCGATGCCGAACTCTCCTTGGAGCAATCTCTTTCACACGATGACCCGGAAGTATGCTCGTTGGTGATGCAGCTGTCTCGCTCGTCACAACTACAGCTGAAGGTGGATCCTGTGACCGGGCTCATCATGGTGAGTCCTGTTACCGAGCGTGCGGAGCGGCTCCAGTTCGAAGTCAACCGAGTTCAGTCCGTTGCAGATGAGGTTGTCTCCAAGCTGCTCAACTTCAGGTGCAGTGTCAGGGAGAGTTCGGTACTTGCAGGCATATCGGGCGCCCGCTGGGAAGCCCTGCGGTCTTTCAAGTTCACACAGGCGGAGATCAAGTCCTTGTTTGGACGACCAGTGGTGAAGATCAATATATTCCGTCAGAGTCAGTGGGGGCTGGAGTACTCGCTGGCAGTCACGCATGGTCAGGATGGCGACCATTGGTGGCTGTTGCAACAAGTCCCCCTCGGTGCGTCCAGCTCTCAGTCACGTTACAAAGTCCTTCGCAACCAGGGGATAGGGGCCAGCGAAGAACTATCTTCGGCATACTTTGACTGTCTGGCGGATTACTCCATGGGGTTGATCTGTATCCAGCGCAACGCCGACTTCTTCACGGAGAAGAAGGAGAACTTCGGTCTACGACCATTCCCCGCGTTCGACCGTCATTACGAGCTACCAGAACTTTCTTTCGATCTCGATATGGCCAGGCCTTCGCCTTCTGGTCAGTCTTCATCAGCAGGTGCAGCTGATAGCACACCCACGACACCAAAAGCGAGCGATGTTCCCGCCGAGGATGCAAGTCTGCAAAGGAATGTTCAAGTGCGGTTTGGCGGAGTCGACCGTTCGGACCTTCGGGTCGTGACGGTCGCTCATTATCAGACTCAAGCCAGCTCAGCCGTGCTTGGGCACTTGGATAAATCTGTCCTCGATGCCGGTGTCAAACTCAACCCTGAAGACCGGACGGTTATCATTCGGGTGGAGACACCAATGGCGGAAGCAGCGATCCCTCAGATTGTTGCCAAAGTCCTAGATTTAGAAAAGGTGGTCTCGACTGTCGAGCAGATCCATTGTCTCCTAGGATTGAGGTTGAAGAGAATATCAAACTCGACGATCTCGATGGTGTATCATCAAGAGGCACTTACCGAACTTGGCCTGAACATTATTCTCACCAGCGGAAGTCCGGCACCACGACTTGAGTTTTTGCCGCCCCAGGTGAATCCACATCAGATCCTGGCGCAGGCCTACACCAAGACATTTGCCGCAAATCGGGCGCCATTTGCGACGACGATGCGCAATCTGCTAACCTCGTTAACGGCGACTCTTCCGCTATTGACCATCTTGCACACACTTCAGCAGGGGCACGAATTTGCGAGCAAGCCGGGCCAGCAACAGCCTCCGGCGGAGCCAGGAGATCACGTGCGTGTGCACCTTCTTGCCAGGACCGAGACACAGTTCGCGGTCCAGTACTTCACGCCAGCTGGACAAGCACCCAATGATGTCAAAAATGATTCAGCCCCACAGCTGTTGGCGCGTTTTGAGATCTTGTCAGAAGCCAACCACTCCGGAAAAGCGGGCTGGCTTGTACGCCCTGCGCTTGAAGAGTTTCAGTCATATTCTAGACCATCTTACTCGTCGCCTGATCTCGCGGCGAAGGTGAAACAGGAGATCTTCTCTCAGCGCCCCGCAGGGCAGTCCACTTGGTTTCTGCTGGATAGAGGGGCCTGGTGCACAGTGGATCACCCGGAGCCATTACTGAAGGCGCTGCATGACGTCGTCTGGAACTGGGCCAAACAGGCCAAGATGTCCGCGGGCAACGCTGGCAGCAAAGAGGACTCGAACAAGGGCAAAGGAGCTCAGGGGGGTTCGAATGCGAACAACCCCAGCGTGACCAATGGGGCTAATAATAGAGGCCCCGGGCCAGCGAAAGGGGCGCCAGGCAGGCAGCAGGCTGCGAACAACGCCATGCCCAACGGTGCTAACATGAAGGTACAACGACCTCCGGTGAATGGGCCAGGTGGCAAGCCGGCGCCCAATAATGCGAAAACGAACGCCAGAAACCCACAGGGCAGAGACGTCATCACATTGGACTGAGCAGATGCTTGCTGATGATTCATGTATCATTTTGAACCAAAATCACATTTTCTATTGTTCGCCTATGGGCATGGGAAGGCTTCGATGATGGGGGAATCACGATATACCTGACCGGGACGGACAACTGATTAATACGAGAGGCCCATGGGTAGCCGGGTGCTTCAATGAATGAGGATTGCTGTTTAGCACGAGTGCAGACATAACGAATTCCTGCCCGACGCTTGTAACGTCCATTGCGATTAGACTATCTTGCACCAACACACCCCAGTTAGAATGACAGCAGTCAAACCCGACAACAAAAGGTGCGTTTGATGCATGGTCAATTCCCTATAACTGTGAAACGTCAAGTTTCCTCATAGCGGCTGCCCTCAACGAGACCCCGTAGAAATTGCCATCCATCCGGCGTATTCTATCCGATTGACTCGAGGCTGAAGCCGAAGATGCCTCGCGAGGCTGGCGAGGGTGGCGAGGCTGCTTAACACAACGCGCTTCCCAAACGCGATATGACGTAAGTCTGATACCGAGCGCGTCTTCCCCCAAATTTGTGCATATCGCAGAACTGCGCACTCAGTACTTACTGTACGAGTGACACGGTCAGTCATAGCCGGTCTCTCCGTGTATGCTGTGTCCCCGACTGCCCTGTCGTCTTGCCGCGTCTGTTCTGGCCTCGAAGCCTTGTCTCTTGTTACACCTGTACCACGCATCATCTGTCATGTCTCTCAAACGCAAGAATCCACCCGCCACGTCACTCAACGACCCCAAGAAACCCAAGAAGAATGCCGACTTGACTTCCTTCTTCGGGCCCCCGAAAGTCACAGCAGCAAGCGACGGCAAAACCGCGACGCTGGGCAATGGAGCAGGCGCGGCGGTGGCGGAATCGCAGCCCGTGAAATTCGACAAGGACAAATGGGTAGCTGGGTTGAGTGACGAGCAAAGGAAGCTTCTCAAGTTGGAGATCGATACCCTCGACCCCAGCTGGCTGGCCGTGCTGAAGGACGAGGTCGTCACGCCGGGGTTCTTGGAATTGAAGCGTTTCCTGCAGAAAGAGATTGATTCAAAGCAGAAGATCTACCCGCCGTTGGATGACGTCTACAGCTGGTATGTGCTTCACTGCGCCAGACATGGACATAGTCTTCGTCATGGACAATTCCAGCCCGATCTACACAAATACTGACAAGCTCTGTCGCAGGTCCCGTCACTGTCCGTTGCACAAGGTGCGCGTCGTCATCCTCGGCCAGGACCCCTACCACGGCCACAACCAAGCCCACGGCCTGTGTTTCTCCGTCCGGCCGCCGACCCCGGCACCACCGTCGCTGAAGAACATCTACCAGGCCATCAAGAAGGAGTACCCGTCATTCAGCCCGCCGCCCAAGAACGGCGGCCTGCTCACCCCGTGGGCGGACCAAGGCGTCCTACTCCTAAACACGTGCTTGACAGTGCGGGCAGGGCTAGCCAACTCGCATGCCGGCCACGGCTGGGAGAAATTCACGCAGAAGGTCATCGACACGGTGGTCAAGCTGCGCACACGCGGTGTTGTCTTCCTGGCATGGGGATCTCCCGCCCAGAAACGGTGCGAAAAGATCACCGGAGCGCGCCATCTAGTGTTGAAGAGCGTGCACCCCTCGCCGTTGAGTGCGCACAAGGGCTTCTTCGACTGCGGGCACTTCAGGAAGACGAATGAGTGGCTGGAGTCGCGCTACGGAGCCGAGGGCGTGATTAACTGGGACTTGAACGTCCAGCATCCGATCAAAGGGCCGGAAACAAGCGAGCCAGTCAAGGTGACGGAGACGCAGAAGAAAAAGCCACAAGAAGCCGGGCCGGTCACTGAGCTTGCCAAGAAGGAGGATGCGGAGAAGAAGAAGGACCGTGCGCTTGGGGAAGACGATGATGAGTTCGGCGCCGCAGATGACGAAGACGCTATCGCTGCGATGGAAGAGATTGCTCAGGCGGAAGCAGAGGCAGAGGCAGAGGCAGAGTCAGAGACAGAGCCGCAGGAGAAGCAAGTCTGAACCGTCCTCTACGGTGTCGAATGCGTAAGTTCAAAGAAAGACCGACAAAAGCACGACAGTGGCGACTCTAGCAGGAGCTAGCCCAAGAAGGAAGCGAAACAAACCCTGAGCGAATGAAGTGTAACTAAGCGAAGGAAATGTTCCCAGGGTGAATGATGTTGGCTTCGGCTGGAGCAGACTGTCTCAATACGTGCATCTTGAGCATGGTGTCTGGAGTTTTGTGGCGAAGGTGGACCACGGGGATCCGCCTTGTTTGGCAGATTGTACAATACAAAAATGTGAAGAAGAGATAGAGAAGCTTGGGTTACTATAGCGTCGTGGCTTATGACACCGCCATCTCCTTGCATTCTATCCCGCCTTTAAGCGCCGTGGCACCATCGCGAGCATACGACACAGGAGGCTCCATACGTGCCTGACTGGAGGTACGTACTATATATGGGTGGTGAGTGGCCAATGAGAAGGACCGTAGTGAGAGGGTGATCGAGCATATACGGAGTACCTCCCCTGACATGCCGTGCCGTGCCATGAGATGCTATTCCATCCCCGCCGTGCTCCATACCACTTACCTAGGTACCGTACGCTATCTCGTTATAGCGAACACACACGCCGACCCACGTACACTCATACAGTAATTCCTACCTCCGACGGTCCGGACACGATCCAGCAGCCTACGATTGACATCAACACAACATCCCCAAAATATCCACGACAGTATACCGCTCCAACTCATCCACAGCCTTGACCATCGCACTGGCCCTCTCCGCGCCAACCACGGGCTCCACCAGCCCCCGAAACTTCCGCTCGACCAGCTCCCGCCCGAACGGCCGCCCAACCTCCCCAAGCGGCGTGGGGATATCGACCTCCCTGACCTGTCCGTCGACGTACTCGACCCTGATGCGCGACCCGAACTGCGTGATGCCCTCGTCGCCGACGCAGACGATCTTCTCGCTGAGATCCCAGATCTCGCGATCATTCAACCGGTCGGGACGATAACACTGCACGCCGCCCGCGTCCTCGGCGCCGTACAGGAACGAGTTCGCCGTCGTAAAGTACGCGCTGAACTGCGCGTCCACCATATTTCCCGGATGTAACTTGTTGGGCGACCGGACCCCCACGACGAGCACGTTCGAGGGACTCAGACTCAGTGTGATGCTCTTCACGTCCGCGGCCGAAGACGCATACCCTGCGCCAACGCCCAATGTGGCCGCGTACTCAATAAACCCGTGCGTCATCCGACACGCGGGGAACGGCTTGAGGCTCGTTTCGAGGAATTCCCACCTCTGGCCCAGCTGGCCCACCAACCACGCCACGTCAGCCGCGGGGATCGTGGGTTTGGACGTATACGCGTGCAGAAAGCCCATTTCCCCTTCAATGATATGGGCCGCGCCCAGCACCCCGGCCTCGGCCAGCGCGACGCACATGAACGCATCATGCACCGCGAACCCGGGGTGCAGGCGCTTGTTCCAGCTCCCGTTGGCCAGGTACTGCATGCTCCCGGCGGCCTTGCTGCCCGCGAGGCCGAACGCGTTGGCCACCACGTGCCCCTCAAGCCGCTTGAGCACACTGAGCGTGGCCACGGCGCCGAAGATGCCCGCCGTGGACGTGTTGTGGAAGCCGCGCGCGTAGGCTTCGGGCCCCAGCACCGCGCCGAGGCGGCATGTGATTTCGTAGCCTGTCGCGATCGCCACCAAGAAGAGGTCCATGGACGTGGACATGGACGTGGACGGCGACTGCGACGAAGAGTCTGGCTCCGGCTTCGCCTCCGCGTCCGCGTCCGCGTACGCCTGCTCCGCCTGCGCAAACGCCGCCGCAATGGCCGTCACCCCCGCGTGCAGCGTCCCCCTCGCGTACGTGTCGTCAAAGTCGAGCGAGTGGCCGAGCGCGGCGTTCAACAGGCCCGCGTACTGCGGCGCATAACGCTTGCCCACGCCCAGGACCGTGCATGCGGTCGAGCCACTGCTGTGTCCGCCGAGGGCCTCGACCGCGGCGAGGAACGCGGGTGTCGACTCGCATGTCTGCGTCGCTGCGAGGGTCACGCCGATGTAGTCGAGGATGTATTCCTTGAGGCGCGAGCGGACCTGGGGCGTCAAGTATTCTGATATATGTGACGGGGCGTCGGCGACAAAGGAGGCCAGGATCTCTGTTACGGGTGGAGTTGGGATTGGAGCATCTGCCTTGGAGGTGCCGTTAAGGCTGGCATTCAGAATGGAAGAAGGGTCGGCGGCGGTGGTGTTTTCGATTGAGCCCATTTTGGGATTGTTTCCTCCGCGAGCGAGTAATCACTCCGTGCTTGTCTGGCAGGTTGTATCTCTATGTGACCGGGACTTGTCTGTCGACGATCGGATATAATCAATCGTTTCAGGTTCAACAACCAACACACGTCTCAGTACGAAGAACACGCTTGGGATGTAATCATACTAAGTACAATTAATCAATCGCTCTGTGGATGGGCATGGACATATCCTGGGGCAGTACCCCTCATGGACGGCCGTCTCGATCGCCTCACCTCGGAGTAGAGCAAAAGTTGGGGAAGCGGCACGCATGTCGTGCGTCTCGAAATCTCGCCGAGCCGATCTCGGAGAATGGACATCACATTGGGTGCGGGCTTATTTGGAAGACAAGGCTGACATTTACTGAACGCTCGCTCTTCATTGATTCATGGTTGCCGAAGCGACTCCCGAAACAATATCATGTTACTGCGTTTGCATTACACATGCCGTAATTCCGTGCTCCGGCATATGGTGGCCCAGACGAACACATCGCTTGTCGGCCGCCGGCAGCTGCAAATGCATGTTGAGCGGCGTTCTTATCCTGGCCACTCGCACGAACAGGCACAGCTGTGGCAGCCTGCAGTCATTGCGTCGTCGCGTACTCGGCCAGCGCCGTCTGATTCGCATACAAGTCACAAGCATGCGGATGCTGCAGACAGTACTTCGGCACCAACGGCGCCGCCTGCACTCCGTTCGCCACGAGATATTCTCGGAAATTCAGGATCCGCTGCGTCATCTGCGTCGTCCTCTTACTCCCCGTGCTTGGATCCGTGTTGCCCGACCAGGTGAGTTCTGCCAGGGCTGCGGCGCGGGGCCACATCTTGGAGGAAATCACCGTGTCGTCGACTTGTTCGGACCAGAGCGGGACCTCAGCTCCGAGGACATGGCTCTTCTGCGCGTCCGTCAGGTTCAAGGTGAAGTCGTAGTCGTAGATCCGTTGCCAGGTCTTGTACGGTGCGCACCACGAGCCGCCGGTACCTAGATAGTTGAAGTTCGGGACCGAGACATTCGGGTTGACCATTTCGTTATACCGTGGGTCGTTGGTCACCCAGCCACCGAAGCCGCAGTCTAGGTACAGGAAATCCGAGGACGAGACGACCACGTCGTAGCCTAGCTTGGTCGCATTGTCAATGTCTTGCAGACCGTTGTTCCATGCTTGGATGATGACATTCTTGGGTAGATTGTTGGCGTGCGGTGTATTGAGCAACACGTCGCCCCACATCATCAATCGCTTGTTGGAGACCGACTTGAAAATTGGGATGGCATTGTCGACCCAGACCTGCAGTAGATCGTCGTATGTCCGGGACGAGTTTTGCGCGAAATACTCTTGCACCAGAGTGCTGAAGTTGTAGCAGCCCACCTGAATCTCATCGCCACCGACGTGGAAGATATCGTCGGCGAAGAGGGCAGACAGCTCGGTATACACATTCTTGACGACTTCATACGTTTTGTTGTTGAGGATCTCGAGTTGACCCGGATTGGGTTCCACGGCCGTGTGGTACGCCCAGACATCGTTTGACCACCAGGAATTGGCACACGCGACGATACTGGGATCGACTGCTGTCCATCCCTGGGATGCATGGCCCGGCATATCGACCTCAGGAATGATTCTCACACCGCGAGCTCGAGCATAAGCGATGATGGCCTTGATGTCGTCCTGCGAGTAGATCTGTTTGGCAGAGTAAGCGCCTTGAGTCATCTGTGGGTAAGTGTTGATCTGGATCGGCCAGGATTGGGCGTCCACAATATGCCAGTGAAGAACGTTCAGCTTCGACAGCGCCATCCCGTCGATCTGTTCGTAGATTTTTGCCACGCTGATGAAGTTCCGTCCCGAGTCGATCATGATTCCTCGGTAGGGGTAGAGTGGAGCATCCGTGATCGATACCGGTTGCTCGATTATGAGGCCTCCCTGTCCATCAGAGATGATTAGCTGCTGCAAGGTCGTAAATGCATGCAGAGCGCCCCAGACGGTTTGCGCGGTGATGCTGATGGCCGAGGAACTTGACGTGATGTCGATGGTGTAAGACTCATCCACGCCATGTTGAAGGTCAGCTGAGGTATCCGCGATGGTGAGGTCGATTTGGCTCAAATATGAGCCCGACCGCTTGATCCTGGACGACGGCGTGGCTGTTGGGTAAGGCGGATATGAGGCGATGGGAGATTCAACTGCAGCGGGAACCCATTGTAATGTGTTGATGGTATTCCATGCACGAGACCAAGCATCATTGACGACCTGATCGGCTGCTGAGTTCAAGATCAAGTACCCAGCTATAGACAGCGGTCCTGATGTACCCCAAGTGATGTTTTGCGGGGCTGGCAGAGGGTTGACGGCAACAGCGCCAACGAGGCTACCGAAGAAGCCGGCAGCCACAGCAACTCGCGGTATAGATTGTTGGAGATGCATCTTGTCCGGTAACGGGCGTGAGGGAGCAACGAATGTCTAAAGATGTGCTCTGCTCAGAGGAAGGAAGGTCTGAGGATATTATGGCGACGTGAAGCCCGTCGCATAGTTGTGGTCACTCCATGTGCAGGTTACACAACATCTGCGGCGTACCGGTTGCTCGTGATAGTGAGGTGACCTTGGGGAGGTGGCCGTCCTGAGGCTTGGGTCGGGATAGACGAGATGCATTCTGATGCAACTCCACGCGTTTATCTCCTTTCGTCAACTGGTGTTGTGACGGTGACATTGACAGCTAGTGGCTGTGAGGCTGGTGAAGGTGGATGTGGCTGATATCGCCCCTCAGTGTATGGCATGTGGCAGTGGAGGCTCAGGGAGACCGTCACGTGATATGTCGGTGCCGGTTCTGTGCCTTGCCCCACGTAGAATGCGGGGAAAGCTTGACCTTGAGCTTCCTCTTTCTCACATGGATCTCAATACCACCTTGCCATTGATACGTTACGACCACCTTCCTTTATTAGCGGCCACGAGCTGCACCGGAGATACGAGGATGGTGCGAGATACGGAGCACGTGGAATTGAGAAACTCCGTCAAGGTCATCGGCATATCATCTCATTGATGCTGATGTCCGATCATATGACGGTCGGGTTGCTTGTCCATCGGCCACGCGCTCATCGCTCATGATCTACTTTGCCGTCACGGTGAGCACGGCGTCCGTCGATGTTCTGAACATCTGCACAAATGACGTCGCGGGCGGCCTTTCCACTACTCGGAGGAAGTGAAGTTCGAGCTGCAATATCCATAGACGTTACTTCTCTGCGCCAGTCCCAGTAGAAGTGAAGTCTGTCCCAGATTGCAGGCCGAGCGTCGAAGGCCAGGGTTTCACAGCACGATTCCTAGCTACGTATGTCGACTTGATTTCGCTTCGCTCTTATCACCGCAGGTGATCGCTGCGCAGCTCTAGCACTCTTCATACGGTAGTATTCTCTCCCCCTCCCGTTCCAGCCCACGTCAACTAATACTGAGCAATCCCCTCCTCGAGAGCCTTGATTTGCAGTGCCAGCAATTTGGAATAGTACCGACACAGCGCCAGGTTGCCTCCATGGAACCAGAACCCCGGATGGCCCGTCTTGCGCCAGATCGTCCGCATCTCCCCCTCCGAGTCATATCCCCAGATATCACCGACGCGATCGGCCACTTCGTCGCCAAAGATATCCCGTGCCGTCGTCCTCATGTTTTGGTACCCTGTCGCAAAGATGATCTCGTCGGCGTCGAGCTCGCTACCATCTGCAAAACGCAGACCATGCGGGAGAATTTCCTCGATCTCTTGCCCCTGTTTGATCTTGACCTTGCCGTCAATGATGAGCTGCGAGCCGCCAACGTCGATGTAGTACCCGCCCCCTCGCTGGAAGTACTTGATGAACAGCCCGGCGTTTGCGGGCCCCTTGTCGAGCCCGAACCCGACCTTCTCCAGCCCCTCCAGAATCTTGGCATCATGCTGGTTTTGCTGGGCCGTGACTTTGACCTGGAACGCCTTCAGGACCTCGCTGGGGAACGAGTGCAGCCACAGGTCCGCATCGTCAACAGGGGGACCCATCTCGTCGTACACCCCCTTCAGCCCGATCTCGGTGATGGACTCGCTGGAGATGACGCACGTGGTGGATCTCTGCACCATCGTGACGTCGTAGCCCTTTTCGTAGAAATCCTGCGTGATGTCGTGGCCGGAGTTGCACGACCCGACGACCACGGCCTTTCTCCCCTTGCCGTTCGGCTGTGCGCCCTTGAAGTCGGACGAGTGGCAGAGGACATCGCCCTGGAAGTTCTCCATGCCTTTGATCGTGGGGTAGTTCTTCTTGCCACTGTGTCCGGTACATTGGACGATGTGCCTGGGATGGAACGTTTGAGTTTCGGGGCTGCCGTCGTCGGCCTTTGTGCGCTTGACCGTGACGGTCCATTGCTTCTTGCTCTCGTCCCAGGAGGTCGATTCTATGGTTGTCTTGACCCAGACGTTCAGCTCCAACAGCTTGGCGTACGACTCGAACCACTCCCCCAACTTATCCTTCGGGGTGAAGATCGGCCAGTGCGGGGGGAATCGGAGGTAGGGCATGTGGTCGTACCATACCGGGTCGTGGAGGACCAGCTGGTGGTACCGTCTCCGCCAGTTGTCGCCTATGGTGTTTTCAGAGTCGATGACCAAGGTGTCGACGCCGAGCATTTTGAGGCGGGCTGCTGCTGTTAATCCGGCCTGCCCAGCACCTAAGCCAAAGATCAGTCAGTATGAACTTATTAGCGGTACTCGCAGGGCTGGGCTCGCTTACCGACGACCAAAACGACAGGATCGCGATCTTTGAATTCCAATTCGTCTTGTCTCCTCTCTGCCCAATTCTTGCGATTGACCTGGCCGCCGTGGACCACACCTTGAGGTCTATTGGGGCCCGTAGTCTCTTCATGGCCCAAGAGGTCTTTCAGTGTGGTGAAGAAAGTGAAGAGCTTCCATTGCCCGTCTTTCTCGGCTAATCGGCCCACGCCCTGGCCTTTTCCGACTTTGGTCGTGAAATTGAAAAAGAACTGGATGCCTTTCACCTCTCCTACACCATCATATACGCCAAATTGGGGTGAGCGGTAAGCTGAGCTTTTGTCGATCTCGATGTTTGTCAACGGAAATCCGTTCTGCGCGAGAAAGTCGGCAATTTTGTCCTTTCCTTTGACGGTGTGGAACTCCCACGACAGCGCCAGGTGATCTCTAAGATAGCCATCATCGAGAAAGAGCTCGGCGATGGCCTTGGTATCGTCATTGTTTAGAGCTGTCTTGATCGCGTCCACGACTTTGCTGGCGGTGGCGTCAGGGTCGGCGGAGGTTGACTCGGCTGTCTTTGGAAAGTTACAGAGAGGAATATTGACCGATCCTGGCTCACAACGGTCTTTTGATATTGTGAGGCTCGGGTCGGTCGGTGCTCGGACTTGGACACTCATGGTTCGAACGTTGACGTGAACCAGGCTGAACTAGTAATGTTGCGCTCCAGTTGTGAATCTTGTTCTTCTGGTCAACAGTTCGTCGGTGTCTCTCGCATGGTCATCCAAGATCGACGGCAGCTTCGACCCCGGGAGGTTGAGATTTTGTACGCCGCCACATGACGCGGGGCTGTGGTAAGTGCTGTGGACTGACGCGTAAAGCGCACCAGCACGTTGAAAGTCGGATACCTGCGCGATGGCCCATGATTGGACCATGTTATCAACCCCGCACATTGTTGGAAATTTTGACGGCAGCATTTGGACAAGACAAAACAAAGGGCGGGCTGTCGGCCATGGGCGAGGAGCGAGATGACATCAAGTCCTTGCCTCATCTTCGCTTGGCTCGTGGCACCGATTCGAAACGGGCTAATTGGGCTTAGCCGAGACAACCACTTATGGCCCTCTGTCGTCGCAGGACGATACTGTCATCTTAGCTTTCTGCAACATGATATAAGGTTGAAAGTAACTCAAAATCTTTGGCGATGGTCGGGCTAGACTCGGGGTCAGCAAAGTCCCAGATGAATCTTAACATCTTGGTACACCAGTTTTCGTAACCAGCAGGCAGTGAATCTCTCAACCGTCGTTCCGATGAGGTTTTGAATGCGTAGAAAATAAGCAGCTGCCCAAAGAACTGACCACAACAAAAGTACTTGAGTGGGGCGAAATTCTTCATACTCGAGCACACTGGCAGCGTCATGTGCCAGTCCATAGCATATTCCAGGGCCTCTGCACATAGTTTCAGCTCGGCATCAGAAACCCCAGCGGGATTGTGGATAGCCTTGTACAGGAACGGTCGACCTAGATGGAAGATCGATACCCGGTACCGCATCTGCAGCAGGGCTACAACCACAGCATCAGCTGGACAAGGAAAGTCCTGCTCTCCAGCGTACCGAAGGGCTTCGGGTAAATTGGCACGCCATTGTTCAAGCTGATGGCGTAGTTCTTCGGCCAACTTTGTCGACGGGTTGCTGAAGAATAACTCATCTCGAATGCGATTCAAGATGATACGTTGGGCGATCTGCGCCAGGAAGTGATAATGGTAGATCGAGTCGTCAGACTGATGACCACGGGAACTGCCGATATAGGGGTAGGTGGTGAATTTCGGAAGCGGAACCTCGTCTTCAAATGATTTCAGGCTAGAGGGTGGCAGCTCCAATTCTTGAACGACAAGACTTTCCAGCATCAACGAGCACCAGAATAATCTTGCTTGCATGTCCGTCGCCCACTCGTCGTGAGGTTCTAATGGACATTTCCAGAAAGCGGTGCAGATGACTGCTGCCCGATTGGTCATCATCCACTTGTCGACAGGGCGCATGAGCTGTGCGAAGTACAAGGCTGATGTTAGGTAGTACTGGCACGCCTCGATTGTTCTCTCACAGAGGCAGAGACCTACGCGCCTCCGGGCTTCGTTGAAGAAGCTCAAGCCGGACATCTCTTCATCCATGATATGACGGATGAGGGGTGTGATGGCAGTACGGTGCGCCGCGAACCCGCCCTCTTCGAACGATTTCAACCCCATGCAGCCAAGGGCCATAATATTGAGCACCAAGCAGGATTCCATATCATATCCAAACCCTTCTCTGACCACTACAGAGAGAGTGCTGGAAAAGTAGTGATTACGGTCAATGAATGGGTATACCCGGTTGAAGGTGTCGAAACAAGCGTTCGACAAATCCTTCACGCAGGCGAGGCTGAGAGAGGCAAGCCAGTCTCCTGTAAGAGCCACGGCTTGGGCCGAGACGGTTGAAGTCAGCGAAAGCCTTCCTGATTCCAGCTGAGTCGGGTAACTCTTCTCGAGACTGTGCGCCCTTGAAGCTAGGTTCTGAGGTAGTAAAGCTTGCACCCCGGGCCAGTGGATTGTCTGGTGGGCACTGAACGAAAGGACAAGTTGGCCGTATGAGTGTCGGTGCATCTGTCTGGTACTTGGAAGTGGTGACGAAAACGAGTGATGTGAGGCGACGGAATCCAAATGGTAAGGAGACTCTTGCAAGCTCGACTCCCGCCTGGTGATTTCAGGCTCCGGGCCGGACTTCGCAGATACTGTATTGGACAGGCCATCGAGTTTTGACTCCATTCGTCTCAGGGCACTGAATACCATGCTCATCGAAACTTCGTTCCTGAGGTTGCTCGTCAGTCTCTACGGCGAATACCTAGCCGTCTTCACGTACTTGGTTGGCTTGCGCTCCGCATAGGTGCATTCAATCCCCAAGCTTCGACAGAGACTACAAGGCATATCTTCATCGCAGCGCGTTTTCTTCAGTCGGCATGCTTCGCATGCTTGCCGTGCGATGAAGTTGCGTTGCCGTTTGTGAGGTCTTCCTTCCTCGTTGGCTTCGGTGCTCCCACCACGGGAGTCGCGTTTCTCGTCACCCATTTGACTGGTGGCTTCTGCCTCTTCCGCGTCTGCGATTCCGGTATGCTGCAAATGTCATCATCAAACAGCCAAGGGGATGCTGGCTACTGGAAACCGAGGTAGTCCGACTGGGAAGTGGACTGAAGGTCGAGCAGAAGATTGTTCACGCGAAATCCGGCTGGCGGGACAACTTTCTTCCACTTCGGTTCAGATCCGCTTCACTCCAACAGAGCAGTGACGATTCTCCTTACAGCCTCTGACGATACTTGCTTGTCAGACGGCGGCCTTCACTGACTGAAACAAGTGTGATCACTGTATGGCTGTGCCGATGACATCTCAAGGAGTTCAATAACAGAGACGGGAGCTACCAGCAGTCATGTAAGCCAAGCTCTTCTGTGGCATGATATCTGATCTTCCTCCCAAGTGAAGATTTGACATACATATCGCGCTGAATGTCTTGGGTCACACTTTTCTCAAAGCGAGCAGCCACAAAGTTGCAATATCGAAGCTATCATTCAGCCAAAGCAAACAGGATGGCCACCCACACCAGTGCTGGGGAGTTTATCTCATATAGAGCCCTGAGCAATCTCAACCCTCCAGATCCGCAGACGAGCAAACTTCACGCGATACGCTCTCACTGCTTCCACAACCAGTACGACCCCATAAGCAACCCGAATGGCATTGTGGCCCTTGCGATTGCGGAGAACAAACTCATGCGCCAAGATATCGTCGACCACGTCAACAGCAACATGAACATTACCCCGTGGCACTTGACCTACGGACACGGTCCTGCTGGGTCTATTGAGTTGCGAAGAGCCATTGCCGAGTTTGTGACAGAGGTCTTCAAGCCGAGCATGGCGATTGGTGAAAGCCATGTAGCTGTGTGCAATGGGGCGGGATCCGCCGTGGACAATCTATCCTTCTGTCTGGGTGAGCCCGGGGACGGGATATTGGTCGGGAGGCCATTGTATGTGGGTTTCTTCCCGGATATAGAAGCAAGGGCAAAGTAAGTGTCAGTGCGGCACTGCTGCCTCTGTACAGCCTGTCGAAGCTTACACTGCTGGGGGGAACAGGGTAAGGCCCGTGCTGGTGCCTTTCGGTGACATCAATCCTACCTCGGAGGAAGCGGTTGGCTCCTATGAAGCAGCCCTGCACAAGTCGAATGCGGCTGGCGTGAAGATCCGGGCCATCTTACTTTCTAGTCCCCATAATCCGTTTGGGCGACCCTACGACAACGACTTCCTCATCGGCATAATGCGTCTCTGCGCAAAATACAATATCCACCTCATCTCGGACGAGGTCTATGCCAAATCACACTTTCCCAGTAACGACGTACCGGCCCCTCCCCCATTCGTGTCTGTCCTATTTTTCGACCTAGAGAAATATATCGACCCGACCCTTGTCCACGTCATCTATGCGATGAGCAAAGATTTCTGCGCGAACGGCGTAAGTTGTCCTTGGCCATGAATCCTGCATCGTGAAGACCAAATATGCACCCAATTGAGACGCTTTCTAGGCGCCCTTCTGATGCGCACGGCTGTTCAGTTCCGGTTGAAATGAACAGGCCTTTGACATAGTTTTAGGTTCGGATCGGTGCGGTCATCTCTCCGTCGAACGGTAGAGTGCTCAAAGCATTTCGCGCAGTAGCAAGCTTCACTCGTGCTTCACAGCTCGCCGAGCATGCCTGGTTGAACTTGCTCAACGACAAACCTTTCCAGAAATGGTACTTCCCGCTTCTCCAGCAGAAGATGACTGATTCTTACGAGTTCACGACGTCATACTTGAGGAAGCATAACATTCCGTACAACAAGGCTAGTGTTACCAGCTTTATATGGCTCGATTTGAGCAGGTATCTGAAGGAGGACAGTGTTGAGGCTGAGATAGAATTGAACTGGAAAATGGCTCACGGCGGTGTATGGGTGGCTATGGGTGCGAGCTTTGCTAGCGAGAGGAATGGCAATTTTCGAATAACATTTGCGACGCCGAGAGAAGAGTTAAGCATGGGTCTAGACAGGTAAGTCGTCAGTCGTGGTGTAGGATGGAGATCTTATACTGGTCGACTTGGTTGTTGGCTAGATGATGCTGACTCCATGCAAATAGGTTAGCCAAGGTTCTGCAAGAGGTCGGGGAAGAGACAGGTCTGTCAGAACTGCAGGGATTTTAAAGATCATCAGGTCCCTTGGCAACCGTAAGTCGGCAGCCTCGAGCTTCAGGCGTAGGAAGCCAAGCAGACCGGTGTGACATTCTCCCCAAGCAATGAAACGACCTGGGTCGAGCTTGTACTGTGCTGCATGAGATCGGAGACAACAGATACTAGCTTTGCAGTCGTACACTGCAGCGGGCGAATCGTGGTCTCGGTATTCAATCAATGGGAGAGCATACCCTCCGAGGCTCTGGACGAGATCACAGAGGGCGCTAGAGTTGTCTGGCATTTAAAGGTCGTACCGGATGTAGATGACCACAGGCGTGGGCTCGCTCCGGCGGCCGGTTAACGGAGGCAGGTAAAGATTGAGCGTCCCTTTGTGGTGACCAGTTTTCGCATATTTATATTGTGGGTCCTTTCTTTGAAGTCGTCTTGTTCCGACTGTTCTCGAATCCAAGCATCTGGAATATCCCCGTCCAAGCACTCGCGGTCTGAAGGCTGAACGGTTTGGTTGAAAAGTGCGCGCATGCGCGAATACCCTCGCTTCAGAGCTCCTCCGGAGCTCCCACATACGCCGCAAGGGCTGTGAACGCAGGTTTTGAGAATTTCGTCAAAGAGCGGCGGTCTTTGGCAAGGTCCGGTCCATCCATGTTTTGATTGACGTGTAACATGAGGAATGAAAACGATCAGGAGCTGGCGGCAAATCAATGAGGTGGAAACAATGCACGGAAAGAGATGTCATGAAGCTGATCAGCGTCTGTCAAATGCGATAGTAACGGTCATGGGGAAGAGTTAGCGGTGAATTAGGCGCCAGGTTGAAGACAGTATCAAGGCAAAGAGCAACTCACCACAACTGGGACGCGAGTAGTTACGATGCATAGTTGTACCGTTTCTCGACAGCTTGACGGAAAGAGGTAGCATCGCTGAACGACGGCACCAAAATATCTTCGGCAGGCCATGGTGATTCATTCACTGCTCACTTTCTTGACTTGAAGTTTGATTTCGGCATCACTTCTCGGCCGCTGTGGTGGACTTGTTGTTGAGGACGCGCACGGCTTCGCCATCCTTGTCGTCCACGAGGTACCTGGTAGGAATGCCAACTCTTCTGTTCCCCTAAGCCGCCCAAGCGGGCACCTGGTGGAGAGTCGTGAGTTTTTCAGCAACAAGTCAGTTGCAATCAGTTGCAAAGTGTTCGGACGCTGCTTCAGTTGAGCTAGCCCGGGACTGGACTAGCGTCCTCCTGTCGCGCTTTCGACCTTTTTTTGGATGGAAGGCGGGCGGGAGGCTCGAGAGGACACAGCTGAGGAAGACGCCGTACTTTTTATTATTGTGTCCTCCATACTTCGTACGCTGACCACATAGGCGACAGTCTACGCGAATCGCGGCCTCGGACCCAGGTTGACTATCATGTCTTGTGCTTGTGTGGTGGAAAGTGGCCGATGAACACGCCGTTACCGGTCTCGACGAAAACGGGCTCTCCCTGAATGCACCCTTTATCGCAGCCACTGCCTGACCGGCGTCTGCCACAGAAAGTGGACGGCAAAGAGTCCCTTTTGAAAAGAGAAGGTCTGGTTACGGAGTATTTATTGTCGTTGTCTGAGTCTCTCATCGAAATGACAGTCGTTTTCCTCTAGCATCGCGCCGCTCCGCTTTAGCCGATCTTTGTGTAACCGCCAGGACCCAGTTCCCAGACCGGGCGTGTGCATATCACAGCCGGGGCTTGATGAGTCCCAGTTGGCTCTCGTTTGCAGGCGGTAAGCATGCTTGTGCAGATCTGCAATGGATTGGTGCGTGACTTGCGACCTCATGCCGGCAATAAACATACATGTGAACACTCTGGCAACCGCTCACATGCAATCAGGATATTCCTTTTGGGCCTGCCATACCTGCCTCTGAAACTTTCATTCTACAGTACATATCCTCGGGCTTCCCGGATCACCGACTACGTATGAGTGCGAAGTGGCGGACGCCGGACTTCCCTCGTCAACACCATCGGAGATTGTTGTGGTCCATGCCGGGATCCAGGAGCCTGGGCTTTGCTCCACAAGCAATGCCCCTGGAGCTCTCCACGCCCTGTCACCCCTGTCCTCGTGGAGTCGATTCGTGATGTTTTTACGAAGAATCTTGGGACCCAGCCAACCCACTCGTGCTGCTGTCGAAGCCAATGAGCGTACCAACACGGATGGTGTCCATCTTTTCTCAAGTCCTGTTGACAACGTCCGCTCTCGTTCTCCGTTGGAGACAAGCTAAAATGCTTGAGCAGGCTTTGGGTGGGCCTAAGCTCGCTACATTAATTAGCTAGTGTCACGGATTAGGCCAGCCGCTTCTAACTTACGAGATATACTGTGTAGGAAAGGCGCCGGCGGCTCCAACTCCCAGAATCCCGTATGAGGTACCCCGCAGAAACTTGTCCGGGATTTTCTCCATGAAGATCCTGACAGGATGCTGTTGACACGGACGAGGTTGTCACTGGGCATGTTGTCTCTTTTCCATAAGTCTTCTGCACATCCACCGTATCTGTATGGTCCTGCGGGCCTCTCTCAGCAATCATGGCGACGGCAAAGAAACGCGTCTCGTCTCATTCGAGCCCTTACAACAGACTGGTCACGGTCGCCGTGGCCTTTGGGTCAATGGTGAGTACTATCCCTATCCCTTATCTGCCCTGCGTATCGACGACTGACCGGCATAGACATATGGGTACTGCTCGGCTATCATTGGGAGTACCATCGGACAACCAGGCTGGTATCAATACTTTGACCTTCCCATGCAAGGTGAACCAGGCTATGGAGGAAAGACGACCGACGCCATTGCAACGGCAAACGGCCTTTACAGTGCGGGAGGAGCTGTTGGAAGTCTCTTCATCGCTTGGTCCGCCACCGCCATCGGCCGGAAACGGAGTATTCAACTCGGAGCCTTGCTGGCCATCATCGGTGGTGCATTTCAAGGTGGTGCGGCGGCTTTGGCGTAAGTGACCAGCCGCTGTAATTACTGCTGCTTTGCGCCAGATGCTGATAACAATGGTTAGCATGTTCCACGTCGGACGGGTGATTAGTGGGCTGGGCATCGGTATACTCGTCACCGCCTGTCCCATGTATCTGTCGGAATTGGCACCGCCGCAAAACCGAGGATGGCTCGTTGGCCACCATGCCATTTTTCTGGTGTTTGGCTACATGCTTTCTGCGTGGCTCGGCTACGCTTGCTATTTCGCAACGGCGGACAATCCGTCCTTCGCGTGGAGGTTTCCACTCTGCGTTCAAACGCTACCGCCCCTGGTCCTGGGGATCACCTCGATATGGATCCCCAAATCACCCAGATGGCTGCTCCAAAAGGGCAGAATTGAAGAAGCTTGGACCGTCATCCGCAAATTGCGCCGCTCAGCAGACGACCCTGACGACCTCGTCGCCAAAGAGGAACTCTACCAGACAAGAGAACAACTCGCTCTCGATGCCGCCAAGCTCAAGACCGTGGGCTACGGACCTTGGATGGCCTGCTTCAAGAAGAGGAGCTACCGCAAGCGAATGATCATCGGCTTCCTGACACAATGGGGAGCCGAGTTCGCAGGCCCGCTGGTTATCAACAACTACATGGTCATTCTCCTGACCAACCTCGGGCAGACCGGATCGATGCCTCTGCTTCTCTCTGCAGTCTGGCTCACTACCGCAGGTTCGCAATCCCCCTTCCCCTTGACTTCTACCTACTAATTTAACATCTCAGGCGTAATCTACAACCCCCTGGGCGCCTGGCTCCACGACCGCGTCAACTCCCGCCGATTCATGTACATGTTCGGCACCTTCGGGTGCCTGATCACGACCTCGATCCTGTGCGCCCTCCTCGCCACCTACGCAGGCCACCCCGACATGAAAGGCGGCAACGCCGGCGGCGTGTTTATCGTCTTCCTGTACCTCACCTTCCAAGGCACCTTCTGCGACACGACCATGTACCTGTACGTGTCGGAGATTTTCCCGACCGAAATCCGCCCCATCGGCATGGGTTTCAGCCTGTTCGGCCAGTTCGCGGCGACCATCATCCTCCTGCAGACCGCACCCCTGGGATTTGTGCACATCGGCTGGAAATACTATTTGGTGATTGTCGCGTGGTGCATCGTCTACCTGCCCATGATCTACTTCTTTTGGCCCGAGACGGCGCGCCTGTCGCTCGAGGAGATTTCCAAGCAATTTGGTGATGATGTCGCCGTGCATGTGAATGATATAAGTGAGGAGCAGAGGAGGGAGCTGGACGAGTTCCTCAAGGCAAGGGATATAGTGCACGAGAACGCAGCCCCCAAGGGAGCGGATGAGCCAGGTATGCCGCCCGCGACGGAGATTGAGGAGAAAACGAGGGCAAAGGTCTGAGCGGCCTGAGCGAATGAGGAAATGAGTGGCGCCGGAGAGGAGGAATTTAAGAACACGGAAACGGCCTGTTTATCGGTATCATTTGGAACTGCAGCGGCAGCGGCGTTATCCAAATATTGTCCTGACGCTGGACAGGATACGAGGCCAATGGGTAGATAACCCACCAGTTTACAGCTCTGTTAGATTCAAATCACGGCCTAGATTGGGGTCATCCTAATTCTCATTCGAGTGCTCATGCTCATGTTCATGCTCATGCTCGCGTGAATACACTCGGTCTTCAAGGAACGAATGAATCAATGAGTGAATGCCTTCCTCCTCTGAGAATTCAATCTACACTCGCTGTGAGCTCGCCATCCTTGGCACTAGCTCGGGCCCAGACAAGTCTATACAAGTCCTCTCGTGTCCCACCATGTCACATCGTGTGGATGGAAACTCTGGATGCGTCTAACCTATCCCATCGCAGTCCACCTTCCGCTTCGAATCGGTGGTCCATCAGCCCGTCGCATTGGAGCTTCAAGGTCTTCGCGCTCAGAAGATGGCGATGCAATTCGGCGGACTCGACACTCCGCCAGGCATGTTGAAGGGCGCGCTCGCGACAAAAAAGTCCCATCTCCCTTCTCTGGCGCACATGCCACTCAAGGCCTCGAGATCGAACAGTTCACCGACGGGCATTCCCCAGCCGGCGAGGAGATATTCGTGCATGAAGAGACCGTCAACTTCTGCCTCGCCTTCACCGCCACGAGGATAGCTTTTCTTGGGAGGATAGACTTCGAAGGAAATCGCATCGCTAGCAACGGCCGCGAACCCGCTGTCCCATAGCCAGCGGAGCATTTCTTCTGTGCCTTCGACGCCGGCATGTTGAGGTTTTGTTGATACCGCGTACTCGGCCTTCTCGTCCGATGTCATCTGCGTGTCCCATTGCTTGGTGACGCCGATGCGCACGAAAAGGATATCGCCTCTTCTGAAGGTGAGGTTCTCTTCTTGCGCGATCTCGAGAAGTACGCTGAGAGGAATCGAATGGTCGCTGAATGTCGAGTATTTGATAGCTCGTTTCTCGGCATACGCCACGTAGTCTAGCAGCACGCCGCGGCCGCAGATGCCTTCCTTCGCCCAATACTGTAGGCCTATTCGGTGATTCGTGGGATCCATGATCTCCTGCTTGGTGACACCTCCGTAGAATAGTCGCCTGTCGGGCTCATCTTCGGTCGGAATCGGCTGCGAGAAGTGTCGAAGTCCATCCCACTGACTGCTTTGTTGTGGATTGAAAGTGTAGATATCGTCAAAGGCAGCACCATCCAACAAGCCCACTATCTCGTGTTTGCAAGGCGATCGGCCAAAGTTGGCGATCTCCAGCTTATTCAGTTCCCAGCCGAGACTGACCCTCCGACCGGAGCGTATGCAGCTCGCTGCAGCGGAAGCAACAACGTCGGGAGTAAGCAAGACCAGACGACCGAGGCCTTCTTCCCTGCTGCCGGGCTCATTCGGCCAAACTTGCTTCCTGTTTGGCAAGTCGTCGAATGGTGTCAAGTGCAGAGAGTGAATCGACGGGTCCTCGCCGCGGTTGCCATTGTCAGGCTGGTGCGGTGAGAGTTCACCCATAAGTGAAATGAAAATGAGATTGACCTGTCTGGTGCCACACAATCCTAGATCGCTTGGAATGACCAGGAGGGGAAGTGGAAGCCGTAACGATCGTCAGTCTCGTAGATAGCCCTACGGACAGGCTGTTGCCGAGAGCGCTGGATCACGAGGCCTCGTGATCGATAGACGATATGTTCCGAAGTGTATTCTTGGCCAGCACCCAGAGACGCGGAGAGCAATACGAACGGGTGTTTTCCGCAAGAAGCGAGTCCTTGAGTGACGACGAGTCTGAAGGACGGAATGAATCTTGGCGTTCGTGACTGCCTCGTATTCACTGCCATGTGAATCTTGTCAGTTCACCCCACTTGGTATTCACTGCTGTCAGTCTCTTTCAGTGGGCAGCTTCGGACTTCGGAGGCGCCGCAAGAGAACTTTCGGATACCACACTGGAGAAGCTACCACGGTGAATAAGCCAGAAGGTTCCTCTGTCCCTGCTGTGCTGGTTGGTTACCTACGTCTTAACCGCGGGGAGAATCTGCTTGGTTGCGTGAGAATTTGGGGTCGAGTGCAGATTTAAGGTCCCACCATACTGGGAGTTGGGGCCGTACCACTTCTCCGCCTTTGACTGCAAGCGAGCTCCCCAGGACAAAAAGTCAAAGTTGACCAATGTGCTGCAAAGATAACATCTTGGAGTGGTCCGCGTGGTCTTACATGCTGGCGAAAGTGTGAGCGGGAACAGCTTCAGTCGGCTTCGAAATTGAAGCTCTCGAGAATCCGACTAAATTTCCTCGCGAGACCCCAGTAGCGCATCTTGCGGAGCATCGCTCGTGCTTCGTCGCTGATCGCGTGGAGGCTGCCGGGACTGTAGATGCTCTCAACCGTGCCAATGCCCCAGGGTCCGCCGTTCTCGATCCAGGTGGCAATGGCTGTTCTTTGCCCGTCTAGCCGGTTCGACAAGTCGAGACGGACAGGACAAGATGCGTAGTTTGTCTCTAGAGAGGATTGGGGTCCAAACTTTGCAAAGGCCAGGATGAAAATATAGCCCATGAAAACTCGCATGATCTCGCAAGGCGCGGAGACCAGGTACTCTGGGGACGTTTCTTAGCACATGTTGGGAAGAGGACATGAAGGACTCACCGTTAGCCACAGCGATAATCTGTGCGGCGTGCCATGCCAGATTACGGGCCTTGTGAGGATTCTTCATCATGATTGCAGCAAGGCGATTCTTAGCGGACAACAGACTTGGATCCGGGTGCTTCAAGTGCGACGCTGATGTACGAAATATATGCACTACCAAGTCCATGGCTTCGTCGGCGCTGTAAAGATGGGAATAGTGACATATAAGTGAGGTCAGGTTGTAGTGGATCAGCTCGGCAGTAGAAGACAGAGCATACATTGACTCTGTAAGCGTGTTGAGGCCTTGGAGTAGAGTACTCTTTGTCTGTCGCTGAGCTGCAGCTAGAGATGGCAGCCGAAGATACTCGGAGGTGGCCATAATGTCGAGCTGTTTGATGTCCCACAGGAGTCGCCCAATGCTTTGAGCACACAGCCTCTTGCTCCATGCCGGCAGATCTTCTGGTACACCCTTGCCAGCAAGCAGGTTGCGCAGCATTCTGGCCGTGGATGCGCCCCGAGCTGTCGGTGTCAGACGCATGTAGAGCGCCGCCCAGGCCTGTAGCGTCGTCAGGGGCCTGTGCTGGTCATAGCGGAAAGGGGGTCGAAGCGGTGCAAGAGGAACCAAACGAGGTCTCATGCGGGCGAATGCAAGGGTACACAATACAAATCATGAAAATTCGGACACGTACCTGGGGCGATGGCGCGTCCCACAATGGCTCGGCACATGGTAGGAGATGAGGTAGCTCTGGGAGGTCAACTGCTCCCCGTTTTGCGGTCAGGGTACAGAGGCTGCAATCGTACTCAAAGGAAGACCAAGCAATACGTTTCTCCTGCTCATGGTCTTTCCATCGCAGCCACTCGACGGCTACATTTTCGTTCGATAATGTGTTTTTAAGGTCCTCTCGCTCAAGTTCAGTACTCACTCGCGGCTGGAGTAAGCCCATGCCGCGGAGACAGCCAATCAATACGCCCCGCGAACAATCTGCATTCTGATAGAGCCGACGGTTGCCCGAGCCCAGAGAGTAGATCTGGTGGAGGCAATTTGCTATCAGATATGGTGAATTGTAGAAGTTTGTACTATCACCGTTTCCCTGTAGCACAGCGTCAGTGACGGTATACCGCCAGTCACAAAGGTGACCCACCAGATATGCAATCATTTGGATACATATTTCACTAAGCGACCACGATTGCTCTGTCCCTTGTTGATCGTCGGAATACATCGCTCCAATGCAAGCCATGGCCGCAAGAGTGACAGTCGGTACTTTAGTCAGCTGGAAGGTAGGAATATGTACAAGAGGGAGGACAGCATGAAACTCGGAGAAGTAGAGTTCCAAGGAGTTCTTCAAGAGATCCAGGGCAGACATCATACTCACGTCCAGGGACAGGTCCATCTCGGGTAAATAAGGCGAAGACATTAGCTGTATCAGGCTTTTGATAATCACGCCATTGTCGGGTTCATTCGACAATATAGTACCGTGCAGGATATCTCGCAGTGGCGGCAGCCGACATTTCTGGGTCTCGGGGTTCCGTGTGTGATCAAAAGGCCATTGCTGAGCAGTCTGCACTTCGAAGGATTTGAGAGCCTTGCGTTCTGGGTCCTGACTCCGGTTTGGCATCAACTGCGCAGACACGGCTTGCTGGTTTCTGTTCTGCAAGGCCTCCCCTACAGCCGTAGATATAAGCGGGTTAGGATAAGCGGCTTGCAAACCGCCAGTCTGATACTGAGCTTGGAGATCCGCGTTGTTGGGGGAGTCAAATTCCAAATTGAGCCAATCGACGCCGCCTTCCACCATACCCACGATTCGCGGAGCTGGATTGGAGGCCATGAAATTGAAGTCTCCTGGCAGGTAGGCGTCGAAATGAGCCATGGGATGGCTGTACTCGGCTCCGGCATTCGTCGGGCTTGTGTTGAAGGAAGATACGATTTCGGGGGAAATCATTCCCAGTGAGTGAGGCTCGGGACCGGCTTGTAAAAACGACGTAGTGCTGCCGAAACTCGGGGGAGCCATTGGTCTACTTTGATGGCTACCATTGGCAATCATAGCTGAGGCGCCATGAACAAGCGCAAGATGCTGCCCAGGACGGCTTTGATAGCTCCCGGAGCTCTGAAAAAGGCCATCCTGATAATGATGTTGTTGCTGCTGCTGCTGCTGCTCCTGCTCTTGTTCCGGAATTTGCGACGATACCTCGTCGGACGACTCAGCCTTGGCCTCGGGAAGGCCCTCGTCGTCAGGCTCCTCATCGTTCGGATATTTGCACGATGTTGCAGCTTTCGTACATGGTATACAGGGGTGCGACCTGTCGCACTTCAACTTTTTCTTGACGCAGCGGAAGCAGGATTTTTGAGCAGATCTCTTCCGCGACATGGTCGCCTGATGAGCCGTGCGAAGATGACGCAACAAGACATCGTTCCTGGAGAACTGGCGGCTGCACTGGTCGCAGGAGTAGTGCTCACGTTGCGACGGGTGCAAGTGGGATTGAACATGGCGGGCAAGGTGACTTGGCCGAGCGACAACAAGATCGCAATTTGGGCATCGGAGAGTTCGAGCACCTTTTTCCGAGGTCTATTGGGAAGCCATCGTCAGCCTGCAGAACACTTATGTGACCTTTTCTAAAGGCATATCTAACCATTGTGAAAACATCGACACCGCTCTGGCTGAATCCGATCCGTCTCCGTCACTTGACGATGTGTGAAGTTCGCGGCAGGAGAACAACCATTTCATGCATGGTCGTGAGATGCGAATCAGACCTGCCGTCAACTGGAGCGAACGTGCCGCGTGCGATGGTACTTGTAAGTAACGGCCAATCGAAGTGCAGGCGTAGCAGCTTCCCATCGAACGCAGGCGCAGGGAGTTGAGCGGAGTACATAGGATGAAAGATGCGGGCAAGATGCAGAATGGCGGAATCGGAATCAGAATCTGGGGAAGGGGAAGGGAAAGTGCGCCTAGCCCAAACTCTCGGGCATCCACAGTCGGTAAGACCCTTGGCCTAAGCTGCTTAGTTAGGCGGTACGTTTCCTACTGTAACGTGTTCGCCCACAGCCACCTAACAGCTAGCCCAGAGGTTCGGCGAACATGAACTACTACGTGACTCAGCTGCTAGTCAAACCTCAAGCTGAAACATTTATGTCGCGCTTCCACGCTTTCGTGTTCCTCAAAGGTACATGGTATTTCATACAACAGTCGTCTTCCGTCAGACCGAGTGCGCTTCCATACCAAGCGCCCCCTGTGGGCAATACTTCGAGAGGGCCATAAGAAATCACGCCCTCTCTCCCAGACTGAAGGAGTCTTGAGATGACCAGAGGGACTGTTCGCAGTCGTGCGCACGTACTCCATACACTTGCTGCAACTGCTGAGTGCTCCGATTGAACCAGGTCTTCAGTACCACATCTCCCCGTCACCATGATCGTTGGGAGCAATTTGTTTTCCCATGCCACACCAATACGGAGAAAACGCCGCTGGCCCCAATGGTTCGCCAGCAATATGTAACGATGGCAACGGCACGATCGGCAACCCGAGGTTTGACACCGATGTGGGGAAATCCAACTGACACTTACGGTTCCTTTGCGAGTTGGAGATGCAGGTAAAGTCCGGGTAATTAATGCGCCCTCCAGGCCCTCGCACGCCCACCGCTTGGTCAGACGGTGCAAGTCGGGCATCTTCCAGACAGTGAACCTACGAGTCAAATTCGAATCACGTCAACAGGGAGATTCGCATCTGTCGAGCATGGCTAACTCAACGAAGCTGGTATCAGCCGCGACGGTACAGTCCCACAAAACGCGAGATGATTGCTGGATTGTGGTTGGGGGCAAGGTGTACAACATGTCGAGATTCGCACCAGAGCGTGAGTACAACGTCCTCCCAGAGACCTCAGTCATTTCTTGGTTCTAGGTGGCCTTGTTTCGATGAAGTCGCCATGTCGGACTGTTACGGACAAGCTACGTCTCGATTCGTCCGTCCCTGTCTATGAGTCTTCTCGCTGATACAGCCTCGAGCACGGCAGACCCCGGCGGAGCAGAGATTATATATGCTTATGCTGGGCGAGACGCCACCGAGGCCTATCTCGAGGTACATGAGCCGAATCTTATAGCATCCACACTGCCACCAAACGAACATATCGGCGATCTAGATCCGGGTACAGCGTTCCCAGATGAGCCACCATCGAAAACCCAGCAAAGGAAAGCCGAGAAGCCACCCCTCGAGACATTTATCAATCTTTACGATTTCGAAGATGCGGCGCGGCAGTCTCTCTCTGAGAAGAGCTGGACGTTCATCTCTGGAGCGTCGAATGACAACGTCTCAAGGGATGTAGGTTCTCCCTTTGCCCATCCTGGACACAGCCTTGCACCTTGTCACTGTTGGTGCGAGCTGACAAAGCTTCCTAGGCCAACCACGACATGTTCCGGAAGATCTGGTTCAGGCCTCGAATCCTCCGCAACGTGGCGACCGTCTCCACGAAAGGTACGATGATGGGTACCCCCGTGTCACTTCCCATCTGGATAGCGCCAATGGGTGTGGGCAAGACGGCCGGACCAGAGGGCGAGCTGGCTCTGAGCAGGGGCGCCGCTGCGAGTGGCATTGTGTATACTGTGGGCGTGCCGATCTCGCAGCATGATTGTCCCCAGCTAATCGGACCAGATTTCGACCACGTCCTCATTTCCACTGCTTGAAATTCTAGATGCCGCACCGAAAGACTACCCCTTCTTCTTCCAACTGTACATCAACAAAGACCGATCAAAAACCGAAGAACTACTTCGAGTAGTCGACAGCCGGCCACAGATCAAGGCCCTCTTCGTCACCGTCGACCTACCCGTCGTGTCGAAAAGAGAAGCCGACGAACGAATCAAGGTCGACACACTCTACTCCAGCGGTCTGGGGCGCCCGACTACCACGGACAACAAGGGTGCTGGCCTTGCCAGGTCAGTCGGTTCTTTCATCGACCCAGCATTCTCGTGGGACGATCTCGCGTGGCTGCGTCGACACACGAAACTGCCGATCATCCTGAAGGGTATCCAGTCAGCAGCCGATGCCAGACTCGCAATGCACATGGGCTGCCAAGGGATCGTGATAAGCAATCATGGGGGAAGAGCGCTCGACGGGGCTCCCGCGTCGATACTCGCGCTTCTGGAGCTCCACCGAGAGTGTGCCGAGGTGTTTGACCACATGGAGGTCTTCATCGACGGAGGGTTCCGACGAGGCTCCGATATCCTCAAGGCGATATGCCTCGGCGCGAGCGGCGTTGGCCTAGGTCGACCGTTCATGTATGCCATCAACTACGGAACGGAGGGTGTCGTCCACCTTGCGAGCAGTAAGTCTGGCCTGTACCTGCTTTACTTGACCGACATCCACTGACTCGAACCCACACCCAGTTCTGAAGGACGAGGTGGAAACGGCCATGCGATTGGCAGGACTCCAGATCCTAGATGAAGCAGATCCCGCGTTCGTCAATACCGCTGAGCTGGACCCGCTTGTCCCTCGCGGGTCTCTACACCCGTATGCTCGCAAACGTGCAGGGGCTCGTAGACAATACCGTCTCTGAACATCAGATATCGGGGTAGAAAGCCCGTCTCGGAACACGTCACAGTGGATGGATGGGTTTCAAACTGGTCTCATCGTCGTTGACCAAGGTCGGCTTTCCTGCGTCTTGGCCAACCTTGCGACATCCTAGTACGCACCACCCGCCCAGAAAAGACTTCGCTTGCATACAGAGTGTCGAATATTGACATCTTCCAGCCGATTGGCTCGTATTCAATGTTACCCCTTGCGAACGTAGCACCAGAACCGAGTTCACACCGAAGCCTTTGGACAAACTAGCTTAACTAGGTACTGCAGAAGCTTGAGAAGCGTCGATTGTTCTTCCCGACAGATCATTTGCCGCATATCCGCTAAATGATCTAGGTACTTCGCAGAGCCATGCAAGGGACGGAAAGATGCGGCCTTCGAGGTACAGATGCGTAGATGGTGCAGCGCATGGGTAGGACATAAACAAGGGATGACAGTCGGCGCAAAAGTCGCATACCACGTAAATATTTACACACATAAACAGTATGAAGGTACCTTATCTGTGGATCGTCTCACCTACGGACACACAAACCAAGCAATGCCCAAGCAAGCAAGCCCGCTCAATCCGACACTCCCACGGCGCTGACTTTGACGGCGACTTCGGGCTCCTTCGCACCCGCCACCTGGCTATCCCTCCGTGCCGCCTCCGGGTCCAGATCTTTCTTGTTCTTGTTATAATACTGCGTGAAATCATGCTTCAAGACGTTGACCGCGCCCTGGAAGTCGCGGGCAAACTTGTCGTCATGCTCGGCCTTTTTGATCGTCTTGAGGAACTCGTCGTTCTCCAGCGCCTTGTCCGGATCCTGCCCGAACAGCCTGACAATGTTGGCCGACGAGATCGGGTCCACCACCTCGGAGTACTTCTGCCGCCTGACCTGCGAGTAGAGGTCGAGGATCTTGTCGTCGGCCACGCCGTCATAGATGCCTACGAGGCAATCGTACAGGCCGCCGATATCCACAATCCCGCCCGTCAGCCCCATCCCGCCGAACGGGTTGCACAGGTGGGCCGCGTCGGCGGCGAGGCAGAAGCGGCCGACGCGCATGCTAGGCGCGAGACGCTGGTGGATCTTGTAGGGGCTGAAGTTGACGACCTTGTACTGGTCCGGGTCTGGGTGGCCGGGGAGGAAAGCCTTGAATTTGGCGGGGAGGCGTTCCCGCAGCTGCTCCGTCGTCAGGCCGGGGATCTCGCCGTACGTGATGCGCCAGAGGCCGTCCTTGCCGATCCGCGCCGCCATGAACCAGTGCTCCGGGTGGATGATGAAGTTGGAGTCATGCCACCCGTAGGGCGTGAAGTCGTAGTATGTCTGCGAGCGCGTCAGCGTGAGCGGGGTTAAAAAAGGGGGTGGGCGCCGCCGACGCAACTGGTGCACTTACATTCGTGGCCACAATCTGCTCGTCCCATGTCTTGCCGGGGAACTCCCAGTCGCCGAACAGGGACCGACGGACTTGGCTGTTCGCGCCATCACATCCGATGATATACTCTGCCTCGAGCGTCTTCTCGCCGTCGGGCGTCTGCACGGTGACCCAGGCCTTGTTCTCGTCCTGGCCGATCGATTTGACCTCGTGGCTCCACGAGACCGTCGCGGTCGGCTGTCGGCCAATGTGATCCATGAGGATCCTGCCCAGTCTGTTCAGCGGCAGGCAGACCATGCGGTCCGGATCGTCGGCCATAAGTTTCATGTTCAGCCCGGCGAGGTATGTGCCGTCTAGCTTCCTCCAGCACACGCCGTCGGGCTGGAATCCTTGCTCGCGCAGGTCGTCAGCCACGCCGGCGCGCCGCAGTTCAGTCATTGCTGGGGGTCCATAGTGTGTTGCTCGGGGTTGCTCGTCTAGCTTGTCGGACTTGTCGATCAGTTGCACTGGGATACCGCGCTTCGCCAGCATCAGACCGAGCAGGAGACCCGAGGGCCCGGCTCCGACTATGATGGCCCATGGTTTCTGTGGTGTCGACATGATGCACTAGGATGGAATGTCTATACGTTACGACCTGGTTATGGAACTTGATGCCGTACCGACGAGAAGGAACCTTGAAGATGAATAAGAAGCTGTTCCTGCATTTTGGAGTAGTGGTTCATATCTTGGCTCTGGGGCCCATCTGGATCATCGGCAGATGCACTTCGGATCCCTGGAGGCGAATTCTTCGCTCCGCTTGCGGGGTCGATGTGGTCTGGAAAACAGGCAATTGTGGGGTAGTACCGATCGGCAGCTATGTCAGTAGGGGGGTGGGCTCGGAGAAGGAAATACAGTATACAGTACTCGTACAATGGGACGGCATTCGAGTATTGAAAGTCACGATAACTCACTGGCAATGGTGAAAAGCGTCGAAGTGAGTTAGAATTCCGTCGTCAACAATATTGAAGGGCCATGATTCGAGGTCACCGGCCGCAACACGGAGAGGCTGGCGATAGTTGGCGACCGACTTCTCGACTTTTGTGGACACAAAAGCCCATGAAGCCTCACAGTCCGTTCACATTCTTCTTCGCCATGCCACTTCCGAAACATGACGGGCTGGCCCGTGCAAGATGGTGGATGAATGAACGGCCATAGACAGGGCCAACAGCGTCTTTCATACTTCGCTAATATAGCAAACGAAGCAAAGTCACCAGCTCCCGCGGCTGGAGCGATCGTTTTTGAAGGAGCCTGTGCTGCTTGACGGGAGTGCCCTGGACGTTTGTGCATTCTTTTAAGGGTTAGGATCCGCACCTACAAATCTAGTGTCAGTGTTGCTCGGTCATACCCGCTTGAACGAATAAAGCCGATTTAAACTCTCACATCACTTGAATGGGGCGTTAGCAGGAGGCAGCGGGATCCGCTGAAGCAACAAGGGGGTAGCTGTAGGGGCACCACCACCGCGGCCTGGCCGCAAATCCAACTGACCCCCCTCCAAGTCCGAAGGGAGCAGTTAGCGTCGCATATGGTCCCTCGTGTGGTGTCCCATCACATTTTGGCCTATGTCAGCTCTGCAGAGGTACAGTCCAAGAACTGTACCGTGAGGCGTTGTCAACACCACATGAAGAAAGCTTGGTCAGGCGATCCTTGATCGATTAGCCTGGAGAGAAATGAGATTGACAGTAGGAGGTGGATTGCGGCAACCACATGACAAGTGTAGGATTCCAATTTCGAAACGAGTGGCAAGATGTGTGTATCCAGAAGGGTGCTTGAGGCGTATGCTGACTCTTTCATAAAAGGCCTTAAGGCTCGGGGTAAGATTATCCATACTCAACGCCAGCAAACGTAACTCCCTAGCATGTCAGCTCTCTTGACTTCGTCGACTGAGATCTGGTAACCCATTAACATTGAGCAGGTAGTTGCGAGCGCGCCATAGGATGACCTGAAGAACAGAGAGATACGGTGTGATACAAGCAGTGGAAGAGGATCCGATGGGATTCGCGTTGCCTGCAGCTTCCATGTCTTGGCAGGATCACGTGCATGTCGGTTAGATGTCGGTGCCTGCGCGACTTTCACCTCGCTCTTAATCGATTACTCGTACCAACGACCTGCTTCTGAACAATAGTCACCAGTAATCATGATCCACTGAGCTCAGTCTTGGATACGTCTGGAACCTGTGCTGATGCTGACCACAGATACCCGGAGGACTAACTAGTCTGAACAGTCCTCGGCACCCATTGATTCGTCCGCATGCCAGATTGCTGCTTCTTCATTTTGCACCGACGCAATGACAACAGGCAGCACAGCGGATGATCTTTCTCTGAGAGACTCCGTGCTGTTCATTCCTCGCGCTCGAAGAGACTTATCTTCGTAGTTGGCACCGGGAGTCCATCAACCAAGCTTTCGAGTTTCAGAACTTTCCATTGGCCATTATGTCTCGCTGACTGTGCGACTCGATCCGCGGGATCTTGTCTTGTACCATGTGCTACCAACCAAGAGTAGACGCAGCCGCCGCGCAAAGACCTTAACCATTGGACTTTGATGACAAGGACGATTACCTGACCGTATCCAAATAAGACAGCCCGAGGTTACTACCGTCCGTCAGGCAAGATCACCTGGTCTAGATCTCACTGTCTGGAATCTACGATGAAGCCCAGCGGGACGGCAAATACGAACACGGCAGCATGTTGTCTCAGCTCCTCAGTTGTTGATTTCATGGCATGCGCCCCTCCAATGAATGGCAATCGGGTGGCGCTGTCATCGTGTTTGGCGGATCTGGTAGAAGAGGTGGTCGGCCAATCAATTGGCTTACTCCTTCGTATGAGGCTGAGCAATATACAGTGATTTCTGGGCGCGCATCCATGACAACTCGAGTCCACGGATGCATGAGTACCATTATCAGGGGGCCGCTACATGGATTAACATGGCATGCCCGCTACTCCAAGTATCCGCGGGATTACTGAACATTCGGGCTGAACAGTACTTAAAGCCCTACACAACCCCTGGCCATGAGACTAAGCCGGCAGCTCAATAAACTTGAAGCATCCTGCTTCTCCTCACAGTCTCTCGCCGTACCACTCCCGACGCCGCTCTCGTCGAGTATGGCTTCGACGGCATTCAAAGTTGTCATTGTTGGCGGTGGTGTTTCGGGCCTCACACTGGCAAACGCTCTCGAACGTGCCAAAGTCGAATATGTACTTTTGGAGAGCAAGGGACAATTCGCACCTGCTGTCGGTGCCTCGATAGCAATCGGCCCGAATGGCAACCGCGTCCTCGATCAGCTAGGATGCTGTAAGTCCCCCTCACTTCATAAATCAGTCCCTTCCCTAGCTTCGCAATCTCTCGATACGTCGATCTGACGATACTGCAGATGATACGATAGAGCGACACACAGACCCTCTTGTCCATACGAGAACGTGGAAGGATGGCAAGCTGCTGAGGTTTACGGATCAGCCAGTGCTCAGTCATAAACGTTTGTGGATGCCGCCTGCTGGCAAACCCATTCTGACCTCGCTCAGGGCTCGGCTATCCCATCTACTTCTGTGACCGTCACCTTCTCCTTGCCACACTTTACGACAATATCAAGGACAAGCGTAATCTGCTTCTCAACAAGAGAGTTTCGAGAATCGACCACAACCACAAAGCTGCAACCGTCCAGTGCAAGGATGGAACCACATACACTGGAGACGTCGTTGTCGGCGCCGATGGGGTGCACAGCATTGTACGACAGGAGATGTTCCGTCATTTGGAGGTCAATGAGCCATATCTGCTGGCTCCATCTGACGAAAACGGTATGTCATGTTTCTCATCCCTCCTGGTGGAGCTCCGCTGACGATCGCAGCGATGTCATCAGAGTACAAGTGCATGTATGGCGTTTCGAAGTCAACATCAGGGCTCGACAGGCCAGAGGATGCCGGCATATTCAACCAAGTCCTTGGCCATGACCTCTCCTTCCTGCATTCAAACGACAAGTCAGGCCGCATCTTTTGGTTCATCTTTGAGAAGCTGGACACGAAACACCAATTCCCGAACATTCCCACGTTCACGGATGATGATGCTGTGGCTCTGGCGCATCGATCCTCGTCAGTCCAGATGAACGACAAGGTGAGATTCGCCGAGATTTGGGAAAACCGCTTGGCGTACAAATTGGTCCCTCTGGAAGAAGGCCTCTTTCGGCATTGGACGTGGGGACGCTTTGTATGCATTGGAGATTCGGTTCACAAGGTATAGGCGTCCCATGCTATTCCAAGAGCGAGCTGACGGTGGCAGTGGACGCCTAATATTGGGCAAGGTGGCAACAACGCAATCGAGTCCGCTGCTCTACTTGCCAACAAGTTATTCCAGCTTGCGCACCAAGCTCCTAACCTTTCGGGAAAGGAAGTGGAACAAGCAATGAAGAGTTTCTACGACAGACGGCTACCACGAGCAGCATCGACCTTCAAGCTCGCAAACCTTGTAACAAGACTAGAGGCACTCAAAAGCCCGAGGGAGGAATTCTTAATCCTATCCGTCATCCCTCGAGTTGGAGACTGGCTCATCAACCAGATCACACTTGGCACTGTAGGAGCTGAGAAAGTCGACTACTTACCGGCGCCGAAGAGATCTTTCCAAGGCACCATGCGCTTCAATCAGGCAAGTCTCCCTCCTGACGAATACTATATCCCGAGCTTCCGACTCTACCCGCTCGTTGTGGAATGCTAATCAGAAAGCAGAATTATGGAACGGGGACGAAGCAGCCATTTGCCAAAAGGGTGTCCCTTGCTCTCCCTTTCCTGCTTCTCAGCTTCCTCGCACATCGCATCTTCTCCTATATCGTGGCTCAACCTGCCTTGCAGAGTTCAGTCGCTAGGAGCCTTGCATCTGGCCAGCTCGAATTCAAAGGTCAGGTTTGCCACCTTCCGACACAGCTTAACCCGTTCGCCCTGCTTGTGACACTGTTCTCTCCCTCTCTCCTGGACATTGACCCGTTGCAAAAGATCCAGGCGGTCTCATTCCTTGTCGATTTGTCGCCCATATGGCTGATCTACATCCTCGAAGCGCATCGAAGGGCTAACGAATTCAAATTCACCTTCACACTTCCGCTTCTCTATGGAGTTGCCTTCCAGCTCTTCGGGATTGGTGTGGTCGGGCCTATTTGGTTCTTCGTGCACTATGTACAGAGTCCAGTCGCGGATTATGCGGCAAAGGACTGGCGACTCGTCAATGTTGCCGCGGCAAAGACGGCGGGCGTCGCTGTATTCCTGGCGTTCACAATTCCAACCTTGGCGATGTATTATCTGCAGGACCATAACCACCGCTTGGCCGTCAACGCAATCTGGCAAGCATTTCCGGTCCTCTCCATCCTACTTCACTACGTGCTCCGAAAGACTATTGTGAAGGATACGACAAGACACGATCGAATCTACCATGTCGAGGCCGATATGCCTTACACTAGGATGGCGATCTGGTCTTTCACCAGTATTTCGGCGTTGGTGTTCAATGCAGTCCGCTATACCGCAGGTACTTCCCTCGCGACATTATTCTTTCCGGATTGGGAACCTCTCAGATCTGCTACCTCCTCTGGGGATGGGACTTTCGACCTGGTCTCCGGCATGAGACTGTTCTTGCAGGTCGATGAGATTGTGTGCTTCGGGGCTGCATTCCTCTGGCTGGCGTATCTGATCTGGGATCTCAAGGAGGCCGAGATGACGTCTGTCAGCTGGATAAAAGTCGCCGTATTTGCTATCGCAGGCACATATCTGATCGGGCCTGGAGCGGTGGTCCTGCTCAGTTGGTGGTGGAGGGAGAACATTCTTGCCACCAAGCATCCGAAGGGATCGGTGGGTCCTGATACCTGAATCGTCAAAGGTGGCGGTGTACTTGCGGCTGCGAGGGGTGCTAGAAGTGCTGGAGGAACGCAACTTCCGCCTTATGCTTGTCAGGTGTTCCACCACGGCTGCCGACGTCCACTGGCAAGGCCGGCAGCCCCATTCCAGCGTCCCCTGGGTCTATCTCATGCTGGTTGGTCTGCTCGAGAACCGCTACTTGCCTCGAGCTGCTCATCCGATAAGCAGCAAAACTCGATTGTTATATTTCTCAGTGCATCGGTGGCCATCTTTCTGTCAAGAGGTTTCGTTTTCAGCACTTTCCGATTTCCAATGTGCGCTCCTTAGCAACTGAGATTGCATGACGGGACCAGGGTCATAGTCGTCACATACTGTGGCTGATTTGATCATGACCTGTTAGCTGTGAACGAAGGGTATTCAGCTCGAGGAGCGTCATGGACCGTGGCCATACAAGGGTCATATTGGATCACGGTGGTCCACGGCCGGTCCACGGAACACTTGCTTACAGTGGCACTTGCGGCTGATTCCAAGGCAAGCATCAATCCGGATACTTCGATAGTGCTTGAATGCTGCAATTCGGAAGGGTGGACCAATCAACCAATCCGCACCAGTAAACTTACAGTGCGTCCCATGCCCTGAAGTAGACGCGCATGCGCTGTACGCCTGAAGTTCGTCATCTGCAACAGGAGCAGCTTCATGCGCGTTTGTTAGCCTGTTTTGCCGTCATGCCAAGCACAGCCATCCCAGCATACGCTTTAGTCTTGTGCAAGGGCGTATGTGTTCAGCGATATGTATATAGTAGTAAATGAGTCATGCGCATGTCAAAGTTGCCATGTCTACGATATTTGTTGCTCCCCAATCTCCACACCAGTCTAGATAGATTGCTAGTCATCAATTTGTGCGCGGCGTTTGCTGTGAAAAGGTTCAAGGCCTGACATTGCATTCGACATGGTGCAGCTGGCGACATTCCATCTGCCCAAAGTGAGTAATACTGTATTATCCCGAACGCAGTGAATGTAAGCTAATCTGATACCGACATGTCCAGTGGCTCGGGGACAACGCGGCGCACGCGACACACGTCCTCGGGGGGAGTGCCGCGCCAGGCTTATCACTCGACGATCTCATTGCCTTGTCCAGCGACCCGGCGACCACCGAACAAGCGCTGCAGTGGCGAAACTTGAAGCTGGCGAATTATAGCGCGCAAGGTTCAGAGGCGGTCCGCCGCAATATCGCGGATCTGTACAGCGAGGATGTCTTGCCGGAGCATGTCGTGACTACGACGGGGACAACGGGCGCCAATATGACTGTCCTTCTCAGTCTGGTCCAACCGGGCGATCATGTCATCTGTGTATATCCGGTATATCCTCAACTGCTGGGTCTGCCGAAGCGGTTGGGCTGCGAAGTGTCGCTCTGGAAGCTCGATCCTGCCAACGGGTGGCGCGCCGATGCGGGGGAGCTGCGCAAGTTGATCAGGCCGTCGACCAGGCTGATTGTTCTGAATAATCCTAACAACCCGACTGGTAAGCAAACGTGCGACCCTCGATTTGACCCTATCAAGACCTGTGTGGCGAGGATGTGCGTCTGTCCGAGCGGCGGCACGACGACTCCTTACGACCTAGGTCACAGGAGAGAGAACAGGTGTCTGACACGTCGGCAGGTAGTCACCTTGATCTAGCGACTCAGCAGAAGATCATCAAACTCGCCCAGGAGCACGATATCACAGTGTTGGCGGATGAGATATTCCGGCCCCTCTTCCATGACGGTCCAGCTCCACCTTCGTTGGTGGAACATGAATACCCCAAGGTGGTGGTGACAAGCTCGATGAGCAAAGTCTGGGGCATGTCGGCTGTGCGGATCGGCTGGATCGTCTCACGGGATCGGAGCATCCTAGACATGATCCTGAATGCTCGCGAGTACACGCTGCAGAGTACCAGTGTGCTCGACGAGATCGTGGCCACCGAGGCGCTGAGCACGCGCTGTCGTAACGGGATTCTCGACATACACATGCGACACGCACGGCAAGGGCTCCGACTACTGGACGCATTCGTGGAACGCAACCAGGCAGTCTGCTCTTGGACACGCCCAACGGCGGGCTCCACGGCGTTTATAAGATTTGCCGACGCGAATGGAGATGCGGTTGACGATGTTGAGTTTTGTCGTGGGCTGCTCAGTGAGCAGGGTCTGCTCATCTCACCTGGCAGTCTTGCTTTTGGTGACGATGGGTCACAGAATGATTTTCGAGGGTATGTTCGGATTCAACTCACGCTTGATCCAGGGTACTTGGCTCGGGGCTTGGAATTGATTAATGCCTGTCTTGAAACGAGGCGCAGGACTGCGGGCTGAAAGAGGGTACGTGGTACAGTGGCTGATAAAATTGACGATAGCACGCCTGTTGTTGTACAGTAGCACCAGGCAGCAGAGGAGCACTGCTGTGATTTCTTTCGGTGCAGGCGATGTAATATGCAGAGCAGAGATGAGCAGAAGGCAGGTCACAGCACCAAAGGGAGACGCGAATGGGGCCAAAGTGTAATTGCACGTGATCTGTCCGAGCGGCACCAATCAACCCTTGCACAAAAACGGGGCTGCGTTGCGGCTGCTCTTCAATATCCCCGCCTTCTGAATATCCTTTCAATCGTCCTTTGCAATCATCTACTGAATATAGCGCCCCCAAAGAAGGGCCCTAAGACGAGTAACACTGGAGCCTTCCCGATCGCCCGCGTCGGAATACGGGCTGTAGTAGCGCAGCGCTAACTGTACAGAGATTGGCGACTGTTCGAAACCACAGATCCCGGTGGTGGCTTGTTCAAACGCCGCAAGATGCCCAGAGACGAGATTAACTGTTCATGCAGCGCTTGACGTATAGAGTCAAGTTGACGAGCTAGTCGACATCGCTCCGTATACAGGACCATGGCCGGGTGCCTGAGCCCATGAACGTTGTTGGTGGGCTCGGATAGTGAAGCTCGAGGTCAGTATATATGGGTAGGTCAACCACTTTCTCCCACCGCTGCTGCCGACTCCAGGACATTACAGCGCTTCTTTCGCGACAATGGTGTTTTCTATTGCTTCACTCTTTGTACCCTCTCTACTGGCACTCGTTCCAGCCATTGCCGCCGTCCCTACTTCTCCGGACGGGAATGTCATTCGCTCACTACTTGACCCCAAGGTCTCCCTATCCTACAAACAGGTGAGGCGGCGCTCTGTTGTCTTGCAAGCATCTATCCCTGCTAACCCTTGGAGACCACCATCTGCGAAACGACTCCCGGCGTCAAGTCCTACAGCGGTTATGTAAACCTCCCAGCAAACGCAGCCGAAGGACGCAACTACCCTACCCACACCTTCTTTTGGTTCTTTGAATCTCGAAAAGACCCAGCCAATGCTCCGTTGTCACTCTGGCTCCAGGGCGGCCCCGGTTCACCCTCGATCCCTGCTGCACTCGGAGAAAACGGCCCTTGCTTGGTGAACGCGGATTCCAAGTCGACACGTCTCAACCCTTGGTCCTGGAACAACGAAGTCAACATGCTGTACATTGATCAGCCGGTACAGACGGGCTTCTCTTACGACGTCCTCGCGAACGGCACGATCAACGAGGTGGCGAGCCCCTTCGTCGTGACACCTGTGGAGTCATCAGACGTCCACGCCCTTGATCTGAACACTACATACCTGCTTGGCACATTCTCTTCTCAAAATCCGGATACTACCGTTGACACGACAGTTGGCGCAGCTGAAGTGGCTTGGCATTTCATGCAGACGTGGAATCAGCAGTCAGTTGCTCTGTTCCCTATTGTGAGACAATCCCCTGACGCGGACCAGGTTTCCGAAGTACAAACCGAAGAACAATAAGTTTAGCATATGGACAGAGTCTTATGGAGGACACTGGGGTCCGACGTTCGCGGATTACTTCCAGTCCCAGAACAGCAAGATTGCAAGCGGCTCTCTCCCCAAGTCCGCTGTGCCCTTGAACCTCGAGACCCTGGGCATCATCAACGGCTGCATCGACGCCGAGACCCAGATACCTCTATATCCTGTCATGGCTTACAACAACACCTATGGACTCAAAGTCATCAACGAGACAGAATACGAATTCGGCGTTCAGAGCTGGCCCGCATGCAAGAAGCTGATTGATAGCTGCCGGTCATTGGCAACGCAAAAGGACCCGGCGGCTACTGGCAACAACGCAGAAGTCAATGCCGCTTGTGCCACAGCTTTTGACACCTGCTTCAAAACAATGCACGATGTGTACCTGTTGAAGAATGTAAGTATCGTATGCTCCTGTGCCTCCTGAATGGTTTGTCTGATGGTGTCTGATATAGCGCAACTACTTCGACATTGCACAACAATACCCCTATTCGTACCCACCGAAGTGGGCCGCCGGATATCTCAACAGCAAGCCCGTTCAGCAAGATCTTGGAGTCCCGCTCAACTTCTCGGCGAATTCCGTGCCAGTTTCTACCAGTAAGTGCTGCCCTCACCAAGTCTACTGGGCTATCCCTAACAACCCTTGCAGGATTCACTCTCTCAGGCGATTTTGTCCGTGGCAAGAACCTCGCGATTCTAGGTCAGCTACTGGACCGAGGAGTCAAGGTAGCGTTGATGTATGGCGACCGCGACTATCAGTGCAATTGTGAGTTTACGAGACATCTCTGCCTGCACAGAAGCAGAGATGCTGACTTCACTAAAACAGGGCTTGGAGGCGAAAAGATCAGCCTGGCGGTCAAATCGAAGATATCCGACAAATTCAGCAAAGCCGGCTATACTGACATTCACACCAACGCCACCTTTGTAGGAGGATCTGTCCGACAGTACGGCAATTTCTCCTTTTCCCGCGTCTACAATGCAGGGCATGAAGGTATGTCACCACGTTGCTGGTCACTGCCAGACAGACAGTTATTAGTGCAAGCCCGGTGGAAACTGACAACTCGCCTCCTCTAGTGCCCTTCTATCAACCCGAGACGGCTTACCGAATCTTCAATCGGGTCATGAAGAACCTTGACGTCTCGATCGGCAAAGTCTCTACGACAAAAGTGAAAGACTATCACACAAAGGGACCAAGCAGTGTCTTCGCGGTCAAGAACAAACTGCCCACGTACGCGCCGACGCAATGCTATCTGTGGGACATTATGGAGACGTGTACCAAGGACCAGGGGATGGCGTTCTCAAATGGCACGGCCATCACGAAGGACTTTATCATGATTGGGACTGTGGGTGCTGATGGCAAGAAGCATCTCTACTAGGGGTAATGATGAGACGGTACGGATGGGACACGGAGGAAAATGGATCGGGATGTTTAGGGACCATTCTTTGGCCTGCTCTGCGCCGAATAGCAGATGGTGAATCTTCGAGTTGGATGCCGTACCGGAAGACGAATCTGACGTACGTCTACGGTACTGTAATTACCTAGAGAGAAGCCCTGTTCATGATAAGTCTTACACACCTGCATCACATACTCGTACCAGGTATTGAAGATCGCCAACTCGAGGCTTAGAGGTATGTACGATTTGCAGGCGATCGTCGAAGAGAAGCATAGCGGTTGTGGCGCGCATAGCCTAGGGCTGAGCTTCCCACTCAGTTACATACATACCTCGTTACCCCGCAGGGATCAATTATTATTGGGCACCCGTGGGGCCCTGCGTACGCCCAGTCATCTAAGCTCTCAATGGTGCCCTCAGGCATGCCTAGGCATGTTCAACTAGTCCTGCTTGGGGACTATCAAGCACGATATCACTTTCAGGCCACCCGCACCCCAGGCTAGGGGTCTTTTTGTCAGTCTCAAGGTCCATGATATCCAGTTATTTGTAACTCCGTCTGCCGACCTGCCAGTGGTTGGTGCTGTCATGTTTGTGTGCTAGCAGTGTATTGGTCGTAATCATCTCATGGACCAAATTTAATCCGAACCTCGTTTGTCGTCTCAGGCGGGGGGGGCGGACCTGAGACGCAAGTCTGCGGTTGCACGGGTGGAGTGCCTTAATTACAGGGTACGTAGGCGCAAGGACAGCCTCAGCTGCGGGTACTGCCTGGGGGGCTGAGCTGGCCATACGCGGTGCATACAGACCTACGCAGCACATAGCACATGGTATGATGTGAGTACTTGATACTACTGTGTACCGCTATACACTGCCAGTGAAGGAATCGTCCGTTTTAACAGGGCGTAGCAGACAGAGAGACAGACCTCCTTCCGGATGATGGACGCCTGAGGATTCAGGGCACGATATAAGATTGCCAGGAGGACAGATGCAACATTCACAGACTCCAAACAGCTACTTCCGCTCTTATCCTTCGGTCCTGACTCTGTACACGATGGAACCAACAAAGACCAATCCAATCAGGAGGAAACGCCCGTTCCTGTCCAAGACAAGGACGGGATGTCTGACTTGTAAGGTCCGCAAGGTATGATACTTACTGTACCTACGCGTACATACACACGCGTTCTGAGCATGTAATTATGTTTTCTTGATGCAGCAGAACTGACCGAAGCACACAGGTCAAATGCGACGAAGAAAAGCCAGCATGTCGGCGATGCACGTCTACGGGACGGAAATGCGATGGGTATGCGCCAGCACCAGCATCAAGCTCGGTCTCGGCGACGCGATCAAAGTCCCTCTCTGTTAGGAGCAGCAGCAGCAGCAGCAGTAGTAACAGCACATCGCCTTCGCGGCGCGCCAGCCCCCGCCGCCCTCCCTCGGCCGACTTGTTCGCCTCAGAGGCCGAGAGAAGGAGCTTCGCGTACTTCGAGACGCGAGCCTGCCATGATCTGAGCTTGGGCGGCTCCTTCCACGGGCAATTCTGGGCGAGAGAGGTCCTCCAGGCTGCCGTCCACTACCCTTCCACGCGGCACCTGGTCGTCGCCATCGGAGCCGCGTTCGAAGCATTCCAGGAGTCGGCGGTCGTCTCGAGCGGGAGCCGAGAAAGCAACGCCATGAGACTGTCCATTGAGCAGTGTAACCGGTCGATACAGCTGATGGGCGCCCTGTTTGACGCGGCCCGCAGTGAGGCCCAGTCCGTCGAAACAACGTGCAACATCCTGACGGCGTCGATCCTCTTCGCGTACCTGGCGTGTCTGCAGGGACAAATCAGCCAGGCAATCGACCATGTGAGATCGGGGTTGAAGGTGCTGCAGGATTTTGAGAAGGCCAGATCACTTGGCCATGACGACCACGAGCACGATCGCCCGGCGGATATTTTCCCGGTCTCTGTTTCACATCTCAAATCACTACTCACCTCGATATATGGACAAATCCGATGCATGATCAATGACGAGGCTCTAGCCACCTGGGAACGAGATCCGCTCGTCTCGGCGATTGATCCAGTTCTCAGCTTTTCAACCCTCGCCGACGCGCACGGCTACGTTGAGAATCTGTGGCACAATCTCCTGGCATTGCTGCAATATACGGAGCTTCACCCGCCCAGGACGGCCGACGAGGTCGCCTTGTTCACAGCACATCATCAGCTGTTGAGCCGATCGCTGGACAGCAGTAGGGATGCACTAGAGGCTTTGGCCTCTCAGCGGACGCCGCACGCCGGCAGCCGCGACGAGCATGGCCTCAACATCCTGCGGCTGTATCAGACGCTGGTCGCAGTTCGACTGCGCATCAATCCGCTAGAACCTGGCAATCGGGAGGCCGCTTTTGACGAGCTGGAACCCGAGTTGGAACAAATGCTGCGGTATTGCGAGTTGTTGGTCCAGGACCGGAGTCGGGGTCACGGTCACGGTCACGGTCAGCAGTCAGACCTCCGGTCTTCTCCTTCTTTCTCCTCCGGTCTGGGCTATGTCATGCCCCTTCACACGATCGCTGCTCGATGCAGAAATCCGCGGATCCGCCGCCGGGCACTCCAACTCCTGCTGAGTAGTGGCCGACGGGAAGGACTCTGGGACGCGGGATTGACCGGCAAAATCGTGACGACAACAATGGAAAGAGAGGAAAGGCTGCGGACTGAGCCTGTACCGAGTGATGGCCGAGTGAGGGAGGTCAAGATCGAGTTTCTGGGCGAGAGGAGAGCGCGTCTGCGGTACATTACCGTGGCCGATTGGAGGGCCCGGCTGTATGGCGAGCAACATATACTGGAGTGGTGAAGCTGAGACGGCACGAGTCTGTAGCAGGCACTGGGCTGGTCTTCTCATAGCAATATCGCGATGAGAGCCCATGTGGTCGCGACTGCCAGAGATGGCAAATGTATACGTATTCACGAACCGGTGGCAAGAGGCACCGACGCGAAGTGGAAAGGAAGATGAAATCCATGTTTCCGAAGAAATTCTCCGGTAGGCGAGCGGGATGCACATGGCTCACCAGGGTGTCATGGTGCGAGTCTCTTCACGCACAAATCGGAGACGCTCTACATAATGACGACCCCGCCGAAGTTCCGTGACAGGCTCCCTACTTGTGGCTGGGGTGCATGGCTGGGGTGGCACCATTTTACCAATCGCGGTGACGCGAACAAGCGACCGAGGCTTGGGCTTTCGTTTCAGATACTGTGTATGGTAGATAATTAGCTTGTATAAACAATCCTGCTGATGATATGGTGGTCGGGCTGCCACTTCGGCATCAGGCATTACATTGGCAGGGCGTGACGAAGAGGACGCACCTCGAATGTGAGCCGGGTCTGAGGCGACACAGAAGACGGGATGAATATACCTAGGCACATGATGGGTTCTGTGTACATAGGTCATACTGTGAGTGCTTTCCATGTGGGTTGCCTACACTCTACACAACACTACGTACACACACGCGATGTGGAAAATAGCAACTCGATCAGTCCGAACGTGAGCGTCAGAGTTTCGCCAACCACGACGCCTCCGCAAATATTCCGGAGACGTGGAGGACCAGGGAGGGGAGGCACCTTTTGCAAGGGGCAGAATGACGCGTCGAAGACGGGCAGCGATGTGGAAATTTGCATGGCGCTCGATACCGCCGCCAGATGCATTTGGACAGATGAACGAAGTCTGGTGCCGCAGTCAAAGAGTTCCGGACATGCCGAGACCAGCAGTGCGGCGCATTCGATTGTGACAGTGACAGCTCAGATCCGACACAGACACTTACTTACTGGTAGCCGTCAAGGCTGTGTGCTTCGTGTCAATCTGAGCCATGATCGAGAAGCCGACGGTACCATTTCGTGCTGGTACTGAAGGTCTTTATTCGACTTTGAGCTCACGTGCGGACAGACCCCGTAAAACCGGCACTCTCGAGATGGATTTCTCATCCTTCTGGACTCCCCATGTCCTTGGGCTTGTCAGCTCTCAGCAAGCCACATCTGTCCGGCACACCCAGCCGAGGAGCCGTGGGCACATCCACTCTGCCACCACGCCAATGAGATAGGTTCGACAATCTTATCGATATCAGCCGCATGGCACCGACGCCATCGCTCTACATGGCTGCCACAGACAATCTCGGGAGCTGTTTACCGTCGATTTCGATCCAATGACCGTCAGGATTTTTCGCGATGGTGCCTTGATTCGAGCTCACCTCCGACGCGGTAGTTGTCATTCCAGCCCAGTTTTCGATGGCAGGTTCATCAGCCAGCCTTGCAAACTGACAGGGAGATAGGCTGCAGGCACGGACCAGCTACTGTGACCATGCGGAAAGGTATCCGGGTCCACGAACCCTGGCCTGCAATGGCCGTCCTCATAAGTATGGCAACAGGGTCGACCAAAGACCAGCTCGCAGAGCTCACCACGCGTCGAGCTCGAGCTCCCTCACCACCACTGTTGACATGACAGCCATCAGAGACACTCCTGCCGGCCAATTCCTGCGCCTTGTAGGCTTCAAGTCATGGCTCTACTACCCAGAGGAGGTGACGGGAGTTGAACTGCCCAACCTACCGTTCGTATCTGAGGAGCAACTCCCTGCCCCCGACATCGAGAAGGACATCGAGAAGAGCCTGTCGACAGTCTCCCTCCGACTATCGACTCCGCCGGATGAACACTCGAGCGCCATGTCCCAGAAGGTGCTTGCAGAGCCCATTGTCGTCTCATTCTCAGAAGGCGACCTGGAGAACCCACGGAACTGGTCTAGTATGAAGAAGGCCTGGACCGTCACCATCGTCAACGTCTACACCTTTGTGGTCTACTGCACCGCATCTATCATCACACCGACCGCGGGATATATCGTACAGAGATATGGCGTCTCGGTCGTTGTCGCCAGTCTAGGTCTATCTATGTACGTGGTTGGCTGTAAGTTGCTTCTCGGCTACAGATACTCATTTGATGAGTAACAAATGTGTATAGATGGAATCGGTCCCATGTTCTTCTCACCTCTCAGCGAAGTCCCCAGTATAGGACGGAATCCACCGTACCTATACTCATTTATCGCCTTCCTTGTGGTTTCGATCGGTCTAGCATGCGTCGACACCTTTCCCGGTATTATCATCCTTCGGTTCCTCCAGGGCTGGTTCGGCAGCCCATGTCTGGCCAGTGGTGCCGCCTCCATCGAAGACGTCTACGACATGTACAGCGCCCCGTACGGCTACATCTGTTGGGTCGCCGCCATGTATTGCGGCCCAGCCTTCGGACCTCTTATGGCCGGCTACGCCATCGACTCCAACTGGCGGTGGCCGTTCTACGAGGCCGTCATTATGGGCGGTACTGTGCTTCTATTCCTCCCTTTGCTCCCGGAAACCTCTCCCCAGACGATCCTCCTTAATCGAGCAAAGCGCCTACGCAAGACCACCGGCAACAACGCCTATAAAGCGCCCTCGGAACTTACGCCACTCGCGTTCGGCCAGAGGCTCCACGAAGCTCTCAACAAACCCCTCGAGATTACCGTGAAAGATCCCGCGATCCTGTACGCCTGTGTCTACGGCTCTATCGTCTATGCAACGTACTACTCCTTCTTCGAAGCGTTCCCGCTCGTGTATCTCGGCACATACCGCATGTCGCTAGGCAGTATGGGCCTAATCTTCACTTCCCTCACCGTCGGCTGCGTCTGCGGCCTGGTCATCTACCTCATCTACATCACATACTTCTTCATCCCGCGCGCCCGAGCCCATCACGCGGCCAAAGGCGAATCCATCGCCCAAGAACAGTGGCTCCTACCTGGCCTTTTCGGCGTCTGGGGTCCTCCTGTCGGATTGCTCCTCTTCGCCTGGACAGCCAAGTCGTCGAGCCACTGGATCGTTCCCACGACCGGGATCTTCATCTTTGCCTTTTCGACCTTCTTCATCTTCCAGGCTTTGATCTGTTGTGAGTTGGGCCCTGCCAGTACTTGACTTACATTATGTCACTACCCGTGGCGCTCCTTTATTTTTCACAATCAACCCATTTATCTCTCCGTCTCGCCACTCCTTCATCGCTTTCGTCTCTTCGTACCTTTGTCTTTCCGTCTATATTTTAGATCCAGCTGACAAACCCCCACAAAGACGTCCCGCTCTCCTACCCCCGCTACGTCGCTTCCCTGTTCGCAGCCAACGACTGCGCGAGATCTCTCCTCGCGGCCGCCTTCGTCCAGTTCTCCCGCCAGATGTACATGAACCTGGGCATCGACAAGGGCGTCACCCTGGTCGCCGGCCTGAGCGTCGTTGGCATCGGCGGCATGTATGGACTATATTTCTACGGGGCACGACTCCGGGCTCGGAGCAAGTTTGCTGGGTGATTTGCGTTCTTGCCTGCTGAACGGCACTCGGTGCCATGCCGTGACAGGGGCATGGTGCTACGTATGCGAATTACGACATGACCTGCATGGTTTCCTTTTGTCTCCCGTATTGTTATCGTCGTCATTGTCGGCGTCAGTCGCCTGCCGGTGTCCGTACTGTATTATCATGGGCATCTGGTCTAGTAATCTGCAGGCTCGTGCGGGATTCGGATCATGAATCATGTACTTGGATTCGGACCTGGGATGCGGAACCTGTAGGACGAGCTTGGAACTTCGGACCTCGGGAAAACAAAACTTGTACAAAGCAGGCGTGGCGTTGGCGGCAAGCGTGGAAATCATGATCGGTGTGTCTCCTCAGGGGTGTATGGTGACTGGTCTACTAGTATGGTACCTATAGGGCAGGATAGGGTTCGGGGGTACACAGAACAGCGCCTCCGGGGCTCGAGACATCGAGGCGGACCCGACGGGACCTTGACCGGACCTGGCTTGGGTTGCCGTGCGTTTGACTTGAAAGATGAGCTAGTTGAGATGACTTCTTCAGACTGGGTGGTGGTGGCAGCCAGCCACGAACGCAGTTCAATGTCCAGCCACTGTAGCGAACAGGGAAGAGCGTCACAACGACAGCCAGCAAGGCTGCAATACCTTGATTTCATTGTCGAGTACATGATCATCGCAAGGAACCGAAAAGGACAAGGAAGAGTGGTAGAGAGTCATGAGGACTCGAAGATAATGGCAAAGTGCCACGGGTCCCCGTCGGGCCTGATGCCGTCGTGTAAAAAAGACACTGGCTGTCGATGGAACTCGCCACTCGCCACTCGGCACTTTGTATCCAGCGGTACCAAAGGTACTGTGGTAGAACCAATGAACCCATGCTGTCTGTGGCCTCTACACAGTAGAGAACGAAGTTCGAACCAACCCATGAGAGGAGGGTGTCTCCCTCAAGACACTGTACTGTAGCATCGACCACCCGACTTTGAAAGCAGAGGCTCAGCCGCACTTCCAGTATCGACACGCCGAGTGAGGCCGAAGAGTGTCTGACTTTTCAGTAACTATAATTCGTAGGTACCTATTATTGCGTGAAGACGAAACACACTGCAAAAACACGACTGACGACAATGAGCACGCACGCACCGGTCGGCTAATTATTACCACAGCAACCTTTGGGGAAAGAGCTCACGCGAGCTGACCGACCGACACCCGACTGGGCTGGGCCATAGACAGTACAAGTTGGTTCCGCAGCTGAGGTGACCATGACTCAACGGCGCGCGATCACGTATCAACGCATGGCGAGGGCTCCATATGTCATTACAAGACCCAAGACGGTGATCCTTGACGCTCAGAGACGCCGTGGCAAATAATGGCACGGATGTTCCGAGAGGGATGACGAAAGTCCCTGAAGACCCTCCCTTGCTTCCTGGGACCGTTTCTGGCAGGAAAGTCCTCATGTCCCGCTGGCTAGTTACAGTGGCCTTGTGGTCTCATGCTGGAAGTTTGCCGCGAGTACTTCTTCTTCAGTCTACTCCTACCCACCCCAGTCCCTCGTGCTCATACGAGCTCACATGGCCCCCTTCCTGCAGGTATGACTAAGGAACTAAGACTTGGACTGTGTCGGAAACGCCGTGGGCGACTACTCGCTCGTTGGGATGGAACGTCCCCTACTATGTACTACTCCATTCATGCTAAAGCCGTGTCTGGGAAGGCAGGCATGGCTCCGGAACGCGCTGCTGAAAACGGTCTGCTGGCCAAGGTGGGGTGGTGCATTCTGCACTACTGTACGGTGTACGCGAAAGGCTATCACGACCGACACGGTCCCCGTTGGGTTTTGAAGCTGTGATATCTGTGTTTGTGCGATCGCAATGATTGCCACGCAAGCCTGCAGGAACCGGTCCGCCATGCACCTGGAAGCAAACAGACCATTAATCCGGTCGTGTTGATAAGAACTTCTTCGTGCCAGTCTGTGTTGCTGGCATCATCGGGATTCAAGGCCTCTTTTGGGTATTTTAATGCTACGCGCAGCATCTTCCCCTCTGTCTGGTGACCGAGAAACAGTGCAGTGACTCCTGGCTGCTATGGTGCGTGGCAGCCAAGTTTGCTGTATCCATCCATGCCATCCGCGCGTTTAGTTTAGCGATGCAAAATTGTGCATGCGCCAGAGAAATGGTGGGCGGTGTGTTGGGAGGTAGCGCGAAAGAGTTCCATGGAAAACCCTCGCGGCGGCCTTAGCCCCCCGCTTGCGGAACAATCGATAGAGGCGTTGCGCGCATCATCTTGACAAGGTGAAGTCATAGCATCTTGAGCCAAGGATCGTTGCCCGCGTCAGACCTGCTGGCTTTGCAAAGATCGTGGTAGTGATTTGACCAAGCACTTCCTTCTGAGTGTGTGTGAAGCGCTCTCTCATCTGGAGGTTGAGCCATGATCGAGTATCTAATGTTTAGCCTACCCGGCCGAAAGACTCGAGGCCAAAGTTTGTTGAAGTCTTTGCGTATCAGGTGCCAGCACGAATTAGGACAGCCATGGCCTTGGAACAATCGAATAATGGAACTCGGGTTTGTTGTTGAGGTCAATCTCAACCGACGCTACGGCAATCGGTCTAGCCCTCGGTAGTCGGAGGAGGTAGTCGGCGACCTTGCCCGTGAGATGCTTTGAGCCGCTCCAGGCGAGATCATGCATTGCGTGGCAATGTCGCTGGTCGGAGCGGCAGTCGGTCGCTGATCTGATTTGCCAGCCGGACGAGGCTGCGTATTGGAGCATGACTCGTGCTGTAATTGTAGTGTAAATGACAGTTTCGACGTCAAGTTTGCTCTCTGACCGTCGGCAGCATTCCCACTTATCAAGTCTCGGCAGCATTCCCCACCAACAGCCTTGGAGTTTGGACGGAGCCGGCTCGCGCAGACTGATGGGTCGCCAGCGATGTGGTTCCGATGGCTCACTGGGAGCGGTGGCCGTGGATCGATGCGCGATTTTCTCAAAAGACCGGTGAGTTCTTCGTTTGGTTGCAGCAGTTGTGCTTGTTTATAAAGCCTTCAGCATTCGTGCAAAGCATTCAATCCATCCATCTCGTGAACATCTTGTCATCCAATATTGCATCATGGCCTCAACGACCGACGGCCGGAACTCTCCGTACGACAAGACGATGTTGGGCCACCAGCGGGAGCTCAGTTCATCCAAGGAGGCACCAGCATTCCACCAGCGCTTCAAACGGCATTTGACAAGCGAGATTCGAGTCGATCTTCTCGCCGAAACCGAGCTCCTAATCCTCACTTTCTGTACGGGTATTCAAGATGCCACAACCTTTCCCGACTACCACTGCTTCGCCTCCAATCAGACAGGAAACACAGTCATGCTGGCAATGGCTGTCCTGTTGCCCGAGGTGACCGGCGAACTGTTCGTGACACAAAACATCGGGGTCGCCCTGGGATTCTTCCTTGCTGCAGGATGGGTGACGGGCCAACTAGGACACATAATAGGGCCCCGATCGCGTCTTTGGATCGTCTTCTGCAACCTCATCCAGTCGCTACTTGTGTTCGTTGCCGCTGCCATTCAGTTCGTATACGGGGTCGACCTGGAAAGCGGAAGGACCATGATTGTCATCGGGCTGTTGGCGTTCGCAGCTGGTAGCCAGGTCGTCCTCTCAAGAGCTTTAGCCATCACCGAGATCAGTACAGCAATGGCAACAGCGGCTTGGGTAGATCTCTTGGTCGACCCCAACCTCTTTGCTGCCAAAAATCGACCTCGAAACCGCCGAGCCAGCTTCCTCGCTGCCATTGTAGCGGGAGCTTTCTTCGGCGCAGGCATCTACCGGAGTGCGGGTTCGGCAACGGCGGTCTTGCTGTCGGGTGTTGGCAAGCTCGTCGTGACTCTGATGTTCTTGTTGAACAAGGCAGAGAGACTACAGAAGGTTGAAACCACCGTGTGAACTGCCACACGGACGAGGGAGACGGCCTGGACGAAGGTCTGTGTGTCGTCCAACACGCATTTAGCGTTGGAGTCGATGCCATCCATAGAGAAGAGCCCGAGCATAATTGAGAAAAGTCATTAGCACAGGTGAAGGTCAGAAATAGTCATCATCAAGGTCTTGGGTGAAGCCATATGTTTCCAGAGTCTCTGGCCAACCCATCCAAGGGTTAAAGGCCAGTCGCATCCCATCGAGCCACTGGTTCTGGTCTTCCTGCGCATAATTTGTCGGCTCGTTAATCACAGGCTCAACGGCTTGGTTGGCTTGTTTGGCCTGGGTGGCATGAGCGGCTCCGAGGAGGCTGTGAGACCGAAGAACCTGAGGCGCGACCTTGACGTTGGGATTGTTTCGTATCGAACGTTGCCGTTGCGGTCTTGCCCCGGCGTTAACAGTCGCCGTCGGATACTCACCCGGTGGTGCAGGACTTGTAACCTCGTTGCTGTCATCTACAAAATCTGCTCTGCCAATTAAACTGTGAATGGCGAGTCTCTGCCGGGTTCGAGCCTCGTCTGCGAGCCTCGACAGGTGGCCTTCCAGAATCTCTTCTGGCGGAGGCACTTGTATGCCGGGGTTGGCGCTGCTTTCAGACGAGTGTCGTGCGATGAGCAACTCGAGTTCTCTCTTCATCGGCTCCACCACGGGAGAATCACGAAAGTAGCGATTCATGATGGACTGGCAGAAGACAGCCTTTTCCAAGGCCGCGGGCATACTCAGACTTTGTGTCACAACATCTGTCTGGGCGTTGAAAAGGACGATGCGGGCGCTATGATATGCGCAGATGGCCGTGTCGAAATCAATAGTCTGGACCTTACACTGCTCCGAGAAGGCTGCAAAGATCTGGACAATTGAGAGAGCATGGTTCAAACAGAGTGTGCGCCTCCGGAGAATCTCCTCGCGAGGAATGCCTTCCATCGCCGAGGGAGGTGCAGCTTCTCTATACCCAGTCAGAAATATCCTGTAAAGATCGGTATATGCTTGATGCCAACACTCGTGCACCATGAGGATACGGGCTGGTCGTGCACAGTATGAGAAGATCCGGGGGTTGTATCGATCAGATTCGGCAAGGCTGCGGTAAAGATGTTGTAACTCGTCCTCAAACCGGCGTACAATATGCATGAGCTCGTCAGGCGGGACGAAAGAAGCAGCTAGCCGGCGTGTCAACCTGCATCGATGAGCGTGAACCACACCATGAACTGAGATGCCTACCTCATTATGTCTGTTCTTATGGCCGCTAGCCGTATACATGCAGCATATGTCCCCATACGCTCAGGCTTGTCAAAGGAGGTTGCTCGAAGGGGTGCCGTCGCGACTGGGGCATCTTCTTCGAAGGCTGTTTCCGGACACGGAAGTTGAAGGTAGACGTGTTCCGGTGGACAAGTCTCAAATTCACGGAGACCAACCGAGAAATTCCCATCCAGGGCAAAACATGACCACATCAACCGACGGCGGACTTCTTGGGCCAAGAACCGCAACTCAGGCCGTTCGTAATTCAGTCGAAGCGCCACGGCCGATCTGCCAGCGAGGGCAGCCAGCATGAAAGCCCTCGAGAAGTGGCCAACCTCGACCCTATACCGCACTATCAAGATGAGAGCTTGGAGTCGAGAAGTCGAAGGGCTCTCGAGATACTGTAACAGGATGTCCTCGGACTTTTGGGCCCACTGGGCACTCAGGCCGTGAGCGTATGGTTCAATGTGCAGGCGTTGGACGGTGACGGCGCAGATCGCAAGCGTCAGGCATTCTTCAATTTTACCTTCACGATACCTTTGCATGACCGAGCGCTCATGCAGAAAGGCGTACCAGGGCAATGCGTAGATGTGCTCGAAATAAGCCTCGATGAGCGAGGTGACTTCGTCTCGGCTAGGCAAAGCGCCATCGGTGGACAGAAGATTCTGCTCCAGCTCGACAGCTGGTTGCCCAGAAGGTGATAAGAGTTGTTGCTGAGTGTCGGATCTCTGCGAGGTACTCGGCGACGGCAAGTTCGAGGCGTGCGGCGTCCGGTGTGGCCGCTTCAAGACGGGATAAACGCAAGGGCGATTACGTCGCAAACAGTTAGCACAGGCAGGGGTCTCTCCGCCGCACTTGATCTTTTGCGAACGACATTCTGTACAGGCACGAACACCACGTCTCCGCTCCAGTTGCACCAGCGGCTGGTCGCTCGAGACGGAGTCACCCGCGGTTCCAGACTCTCTCGGTTGAAATGAACATTCGAATCTCAGGCGCTCACAATTGCGGCAGCAATTCGGACGCCCGTCGCATCGTACCTGTGGCATTTCGGTTCAGCGGCTGATAGAAGTCCATCCAGTTCTCCCCTCACCTTTCTCGCACGACATTGCATACATGTTGTCTTGGACTTGCGCGAAGTGGGCGCCATATCAGCCATACCGTTTACCGAATGCCGTTATGAAGGTCGACAGCAGCCACACAGGCACGGGCGGCATTGTGTGCGATTGTCAGTGTCCTACGGCTGTGCTTGGAGTGTTGTGTTGCATGTGGATGGGGCTCTTGCGTTGCTTAGCAGGATGAAAGTCCGTGGAAGGCCTGATTGGACGACCACAATGTCGTGATAGCCACCGGTGGAGGTTGTTCTTGGCTACGGCTGAGTAGATGCCCTCGAAGCATGATTACGGCGTAGCATGCGCCCACCGTGCCACGCGTGCTCATTTACGGTTTGAAGCTCGCTGACGAGCTGTAGCCCAATATCAAATGTGTAGATCAACCGATGGTGTCTACCTTTATCAGCGCGAGCCTTTGCAAGCGGTCGCTTCCTGAAGATACATCTCCGCGAAGAAGCCTCTGGTACGGCGAGAGGTAAGTGAGTCATCTGCCGTCCAAACACCTGATGATGCGGACAGCGGTGACATCTGTCTATTCGCACCGCAGCGCATGGGACAGCGATTGCCGTGCGCAACGGCCGTGGGCCGCTTCCATAAGTGTTGGTGAGTTCTCTTCCTACTGCTGCTAAACACAAGGCAGTCTCCGTCACCCAACACTGACACTGACTTTCTACAAGGTGGTCCTTGCCCCGAACTGCGAACGTCACCTCTCCCTCTCTCTCTGTCGCTTCAGAGTGATATCTTCCTTCCCCTTCACATAGCCTCATGAGATGTTCATCCCATGCTTGGGCGCTACCTTTCAAACACCGTCCATTTCGTCATGTGCAATGCCCGGAGAAAATACGGAGTGTCCCTGGACAGTGGTAACACCGCTACAGACACGAAAGGAAGACAACAGGCAGTATGAAAGTCATCGACAAGGCACCAAGGACGCCGCTCCTCCCTTTCCCAAGGTCCTCAGAAGTACCGAGTACGGCATGACATGTGTCCCGCTGCTCCATCCGAGCAAGCGCACCAATCTTCCTAGGACCGCTGCTCGATCCAGAACGTCGCAACCCCCCACCCTTACGCCGTGCCACGCTTCTCTTTCGAGAGCTCCTTCCTCAACATCTCAATCTGATGCTTCAACTTCCTCCACAAGATATAATCCTCCAGATCTTTGTCCCTGGCCGTTGTCTCCGTCCTAGCCTCCAGCTCCAACAACTCCCATTTCTCCTGCATGTCTTCCATCTCTCGTTGCACGTTTTGCCCAGCCGTGTCCTTCTCCCGTGCAATCTCCAAAAGCGCACTCACAAACGCCTCCTGCATATATGCAAAGCTGAACCCATCGGTGATCTTGGCGGCCGCGCCGCAAATCTCGTCCGGAAACTCGACATCCTTGTTGTCGCTCAACTTGCGCTGCCAAAAGTGACAGTACCTGACGCGCTGAGCGAAATCCGGGTCCGGGAAGAAATACTTGCGATCGAAGCGCGACGGCCGTTTCGCGATGCCCGGGTCCAGACGCTCGAGGTGGTTCGTGCTCCCGACCATGAGAATGCCCTCGTTCTCCGACAGTCCGTCCACGGCGTTGAGGAAGAAGGAGCGTACTTGGTCCGTCACCAGGGAGTCCAAATCCTCGAAGACCAAGTAGCAGGGGGCCTCCTGGCGGGCCTTCCTGAAGATACTCTCGATGCTGTATTCCGGAGGCGCGAAGCCGACGAGCGACTTGACGTAGAGCGTCGGCACCACCGGATCCCGCTTGTACAGCGTATGCATCGTGGCTTTGATGGAGATGGTCTTTCCGTTGCCCGGGGGTCCGTAAAAGATGACGCCCCGCTTCCACGGCACACGGAGTCCGTCGTAAACGTCGCGACTGTCGAAGAAACGTTCCACCGTGTCGACGAGATCGGTCTTGAGGTCGTCGTCGAGAATGACGTCCTCCCACCGCGACTTCATGATGCTGCGGTACAGGAGTGGGTCCTTCTGCCAGTACCCCTGGTTGAACACCCAGATCTCGTCGTGCAGCACAGACTGCCACCGTCCGGCGCTCGCGACCAGGGAGCGCGCCCCAGCCTCGTCACCCAGGATATACTGGTTACGGACCTGCGGGTAGGGCATGGTTCCGTCGCGGCCCTCGGAGAAGTAGACCAAGAACGTGAACCCTTCCCACGTATAGGTGCAGGTCTCGAAGAAGACTTCGTCCGCCACAATACCTTCGCCGCCGTCGAGTCGCCTCGTGGGCGGTAGAAAGACCGTCCATCGCAACGTGGACGGCCAGCTGTGTTTCCGGTCAGACTTAGAGTCGGCTGACGGTGGATGTGCCTGCTCGACAGTTTCGAGCATGCCATGCCCTGCTGCGGCGTAGGCTCGCAAGTTACAGCTCCATTCCGGGACTGTCGTGATCGGAACGCCCGGGTGGGCGTTGGCAATGGAATCGTAGATGACAGCGTCGGTGTCGAGGCGTGGAGCGGTCGCATGACGGAAATAGGTCCCTGCTACTCCCCCGCCAGCGCCAGCTTCGGCGCGATTGAAGGTATCCATTGGAAATTACCGTAATCAGGTATGAGTACTCGTAAATATACTTTCAATCGTCGCTGTTTATTGGTGCGCCATAGTATTAGAAGACGAGAGCGAGCTGGCAAGAGATCGAATAGAGCAACGAAAGCGAGTGGAATGAATGAGAGATCGAGGACGGAGTAATGCACAAGTATAACTACTATACGGAGTACAGAGAACAGTAGAGGAGTTCGGAAAGCCCTGGGGTGCGGAGTACTTTGCCAACTAGGAGAGGGACTTTGTCCAACATTCCACCAGGCACCAGCATGGAATCATGAATGCATCATGGAGGCTAGTAACTACAGTGTGCACTTACTGTGGTACGTACCTCTTACTCGTAGCTCCCTATTGGCTTACACAGCAGGCAGGCACGGCGATGGGCTGATCGAGTTCAACCAACGAGCCTGACCTCGATCGTCGATGTATTAGTGTTGGAACTGAACTCCGTAAATGGTACGGAGTATTGTCTCAGAACATGCACAGCCCCAATCCTTCCCGCTTGGGGGCTACGGCTAAACACTACATAGCAGATACGAAGCAAGTCGTGTACAAGACACGTGAAGCCATTCAGTACTACATACCTATACCTGGCGAAAGCCAGTGTGCCAACATAGTGTACGAGTACCTAAGACTTACAGTAGTACTCCGTACACAGTCCGAGCAACGTACTCCGTAGTCAATTCAGCCTTGCCGGCTCAACGCCACGTCGACAATACCCCTTGCAACACCTTCCCGCTTTAGCGAGTCCGCAACCTGCCCGTCCAGCCAGGAAAACGCAGTCCTGCCAGCTTCTCCAGGATCGCGGAGGTACGCTGCAGCCCAACCAGCACTACCGCCGGCACCCTCGGCGCGCATTGCCTCGTAAGCGGCGGTGACCTGTTCCTCTAGCCGTCCCTTCGTCGTGACGCCACCGTCACTGTCGTTCAACAACCTGTGCGTATCGCCTACGAGCACGCAGCTCAACAGGCCGAGCATGGGGATATCGAAGCGTATGTCTTCGACCGTCTTCTCCTTTAGGACCAAGGATTCCAAGCACCGGCGGCACAGTCTGGCGAGCGTCCACAACTGCATGACCCGCAGGGGGTGACGGTCCCGCGGGTACAGCGTTGGATGGATGGCTCGGACAAAGGTCGCGGAATGGAGCGTTGCCTCGAGGAACCGCCGCTGGCCGAGTAATCCGAGGAACAATTCCTGGCGGAGTTGAGGCCACGGGTAGCGGTGCAGAGGCCACGCTTGCGTGCCGGCGAGCAACGCCATGGCGGACTTGATGTCGTCGACCTGCGTGTGCAGGATCGTGCCCCTGGACTGGACGTCTAGGAGACATCGCTCGGCTTGATCTCCTACCTGTAGGACTGTAAGTGCGGGTCCTGGTGCGGGAGATGGTGGCTGCTCCCAGGTATCGGCGGCTGGTGGTCGATGGAACATGTCTACCACTGTATTCGGCCCGCGGGAGCACAGAGGGCAATCGCAGGTGAAGAAGTATCTCTCCCTCAGCTCCTCCTGCCGTTTGGCCACTGGGAACGTCGTGTCAATGTACGAGATCGTCACCTCCTCGTCTGGCGAGATGGCCCGCAGTGCGTGCAGAGATATACTCCCAAACGGCGGTAGAGTGTCTTGATCCGACTGTTGAGCAATATCGAACCGCACAAAAGTATTGGGGTCGCAGGAATGATTGACCAGCGCGGACTGTGGATGGAGGACCATCCCTAGAGGATCGAACGCCGGGTTCGTCAGGGTGAACGAGTTCACGAGCAACTGCCGCAAGTCACTGGATTCAGCGCTGTTCGCCCGTTGGAAAAGGGCATCATCTCCTCCACTTACCATACAAGCGAGTCGCAGGATCGTCTCCTGACTGTGATCCGTGCCACAGTATGCTTTGATCCCCTTCATCATGATGAAGATATCCTGCCACCGCGAACCGCCCGCGCTGATCAGGTCGCCGTAGTGGCTTTCCAGAGACAGTAGCTGCTCCCACTCCGATTCTGGCAGCAGGCCCGCCTTATGCTGCTTCAACACGCGCACGATCGCGCGGACTGTAGTGGGCAAAATCCGCGGATGGAGTCGGCCAAACAGCTTGCACTCGAGGCGATGGTACTCTGCCCATGCTCGAGACTGGCACTTCTGCTCTCGACGTCAGCGGGCGAATCTACTTCCTTAGTCGCGCTTGTGACTCGTCAACAGGGAACAAAGACTCACCCGATCACAGAACCTGACCACCTTACACCCGGTGCACGTCTTCAAGGCGTGGCCAGTGTCAACCTCGACAGCACTGATCGGGTCGACATCGGACTTGTAGCAGAAGTAGCAATGGGTCGGTAGCTTGGCTGTCTCCAGCGCGATCAGAAGTGGCCGGGCAATGAAAAGGATCTGGGAGTTTGGCGTAATCTGCTGTGTGACGAACAGGCCGTTGCCGCGGCCTTGTACATGTTTCGTGCGGACTTGATCGTCGCTGACTTGTTGCTGGAGGGAAGTGGTCATGGTAGAGACGGCGATCGAGGGCTGATCTGATCCGTCATTCCGAGGTCAATATATATATCCAAAGCTACTCCGTATTGTCGATAAGTCTCAGGGCTTTCAAGGGCTTTGTTGTTGCAGCTCACAGGTCGCTTTAGTTGCCATGTCACAGAGCTATATTACTTCCCGCCATTCTCATCGTACCCGCGCTTTACTGTTCTATTTCGGATTATCTAGGACGCCGACGTCTTTGCGTTATCTGCGCAAGTCCGGCCACGGTGCAACGGCATTACTGGGCCGCGAACAATCGATGGGAAGGGCATAAAGTTGGGGTTTTCGACTCTAGGATTTTGTCAAGGAAAGGTCCACAGCCTCCGGGAATCGCCCTGAAAGACTAAGAATCCGAGCACTTTATGCTAGATCAGCGGGCCTCTTAGCTTACATGCTTGTTATGAACCCGGGCCACTGCTGTTCAAGACAACTTCAACTACGTTTCAGGCAACCTCCAGGTGGGTGCCAGGTTCTCTGTCTATCTCTCCCCTCCAGCCCCTTTTTCTTCCTTCACTGCGCAAGATACCCCCCATCAACGACCAACCCATGCCCCGTAACCCAACTACATCCCTCGCCCGCCAGAAAAACAGCCACCCTTGCAATATCCTCGACCTTTCCCGTCCGACCCCACGGGTGAATGCTGGCCATGTACTGAGCCATCGCGTCGGCGCCCATGCGCGAATACATGTTCTCCAATAGACTCGTGTCCGTGAACCCAGGCTGGATGCAGTTGATGTGGATGCCGTCCTTGGCGTACTCCAACGCGGTCGCGCGCGTCAGGTTGACCACCGCGCCCTTGGAGAGCGCGTACGAGTTCGCCCCCGCGAGGCCGACACTGCCCAAAATGCTGGCCAGGTTGATGATCCAGCCTCGGTGGACGTCCTGCGTGGCGCCCGTGGCGGTCCGGCCATGCAGCGGGTGCGGGTCCTGGGCGAGGAACTGGGCGCACGCGTGTTTCGTGCCCAGCCAGACGCCCTTGATGTTGATCTGGTAGGTGAGGTCGAGGACGGAGAGGGGGGTTTCGTGGATGCGTTGGAACGCGCCGGTGTAGGTGGGCGATTTGACCTCGGCGGAGATTCCTGCCGGCACGGCGTGTCAGAGATAGAGAAGGTAGCAAGGTCATTAGGTCAAGTCGGAGGGGGGTGCTGTCCGCTACAACTTCTCCACGACCCAGCATATGCCACCACCTAGTGGTATAGAAGGCCTCGTCTTGGACATGCTGAAAGCCATGACCGGCTTGACAGAGCAGAGGTGTGTGAGGCAGCACTGTGCCTACACCACCCAGCCACTCATCCACCAGGTAGACAAGGCAAAAGCACATCCGAAACGAACATCAAGGGTTGTTGCAACCGCTCCAGACCACTGAGTTTCGGGATGCGGTGGCTAGCTTGGAGAAACGTGATGTAACTCACCCGCGTTGTTAACCATAATATCCAACCTCCCATACGTCTTGACAGCAAACTCCACCGCCCCCTTGACACTCTCCTCCTCCGTAACATCACAATTGACGAAACTGGCCCGCTCCCGGCCACTTGCCGGCCACTTCGCGTTGACAAGCTCGACCGTCGGCGTCACCATGTCGACGCCCTTGTGGATGGACGCGATCGTGGGCGCTGGCGGCGGGTTGGGCGTCAGGTCCGCCGAGACGACATATGCGCCGGCGGCGGCGTAGGCTTGGGCGATGGCTCTGCCTAGGCCGCTGCTGGCGCCGGTGATCAGGGCGACTTTGTCCTGTAGGGAGGCGATGTTGCCTATGGGGGAGTCGGGTGTTGGGTATGAAACTGGCGGGGCGTGTGTGGATCCATTGGAGCCGTTTTGGTCCATGATGAAGGAGCGGGAAGACCTGTGAGTTGCAAGAAAGACGTTGGCCAAGGGGAAGACCTGTGATTCGCAAGGAAGGCGTGCCTCAAGGGCGATGTAGTAATATGAGAAGGAAACAGACCGGGATGACTTCCCAAGAGAACCAGGTTACAGGGAACATATTCACCTTTATGCCCAATGCAGTACTCCTCAATCGCAAGGGCAACTCACGCATGGTCCCGTCTTGTCGCCTGAGCTTCGCGGGAGGTCTCGGCTCCGGCGAATACATACTCGGCTCAAGGGCGGTTGAAATGTAGACACAAAGCTTAATGCGCTTCTGGAAATGCGGGGAAGTTTGACCGAGGAAAGAGAATGACACGAGACAAAAGGACTATGAGCCGGCTGGGCGGCGAGTGGGTAAGAGAAATGGTTGGTTCCTCTGACATGTAGATTGACCCATCGCTCGCAGAGATGACTCGAATATGCAACTGTACAAGTCGTGATTCTCGTAGCCTCGTTGGGCCGAAGCCTTGACAAGGCTGAATGTTTGACGCCTCCAACACCAAGAACAGCATGCGGTAGATAGACATAGATGTCAGGAGGTCACCGGCGCTGCCATTTTACTCTTTTCAGCGAGCGTGAATGCATACTCCAGTTCTGCATCGCTGTCGTCGGATAGTTCGTCCAACATGCGATCGATCAGAGCAGCCTTGTCGAAAGCAGGAGCGCCCGACTCCGATTCGGAGAACCCAACCTTCTTCGGAGATGTTACGGATGTCTGGCTGAACTGAGTGCGAAGCGGCGAAGTCTGTGAAGAGAAGGCCTGCGCTGTTCGGAGTGAGGACTCTTGTGAAGCGTGAGAAGGTGGGTTGTAGCCAGAGTTGTTGGGGCTGGCCATGAAAAGAAGCGTTTCCACAGCATCCGCCTCCATGGCGGCGTTCTGACTCGGAGTTCGTTGACTGGTCGGCGGCCGCCTGGAGTGTAGTGCCCTTGACTGCATGTGTGAGCCGTTGACGGCGTGGTATGCTGCGTTTGGTGTCGGTCGACGGCGTGAACCAGGCACAATGTCGACTGGAGGAGCTAAAGCTCGACGAGACGGCACCTGGGGGCTCTCGGTGACCAGGCTCCGGCTCTCCAAAGCCCCGGTGGTGTCGGAAGAGTCGCTCTCGCTCGACTCGCGCTGGTACTTGCGAGACATGGCCGTCCTGGGCGAGAGCACCTGGTGGTCATGCAATTGTTGGAACCCAGACACTGTAGATCGTGGTGACTGAGACGCCAGAGACTCGACCTCGTCGAGAGAGCGCGTTTGCCAACCATTCTGCACCTTGACCATGGCATACTTTAACTTGGTGCGTAACTGCTGTGACAGCTGGAATACGTTAGGGCACGCTACGTGCAGCGGGCACAACTAGCTTACCTCAAGAACGTTCCCCTTTGACCCGTTTGAAATAGTGCTCGAGGTGTGCGCATGTCTTGCACCACTTGTTTTCGCCAGGACCTCCTCCAGTCCGTTCACGCTCGCTCTTTTCACCTCGCCGCTGGCGGTTCGCTTGGTGCCCAAGGCAAATTCCGGCTGAGGGCTCTGGGAGGTCGACCCAGCCCTTGGATCTCCAGTCTTGTCATCCCCAGTTGTTCCTGCAGCGCTCTGGCTGCTTCCCGGCTGTGAAAGCGACTCTGTAGCTTGTGACGCATCGGGGCTCGATATGGCTGAGGTTGGCGGGGTTAGAACTTCTGGATCCGCTGCGACTTTGTTGGTGCTGCTAGAGATGTCGCTGGTAGAGAGAGCCAGGTCCGCTGGCTTGGAGGGCTTCGACGTGTCTGGCGCTGAATCACGCCGAGGGCGGATCGAAGCGGTGTTCGCGGCTACAGATGTCAACTGAGGTGGATCCTCCTTAGTTGACGCATGCGCGGAGGCATCGTGCATGCCGGGATCTGCTGGTTCGGCGGTGGCGGTCATGCCCGTTGTAGCACTCGTGGCTGTTCGACTAGATATAGAGAGAGGGCGTTTGCAGGTAGAAACCAACGATGCAAGACAGAGAGGATGAGCGCACAGAAGGAGCGGCCGGACAGCGAAGCGCTGTCGCGTGGGATCTGGTCGTGGCTCGGTGGAGTTCCAACCTCGCACGCGGGCCTGGTGCCGTTGCGGTGACAGTGGGGCGTCACCGAGTCTGCTGATTGCGACGCGTTTTCAGGGCCAAGGTAGACGCGTTGTTGTGACGGCGCGGGCTTGGAAAAGACAGTACGGAGTCAAGGGGACGGCGATGTAGACAGCATAGACCGGATACGCGACGACGCAGATTCCAGACAGACGAAAGCGACAGCAGCGTGCAACACGCGGGCGGCCAACGGTGGTGGGAAAGTCTCTGCTCTGCTCGTGCGCTCTTTCTGCCGACGCCGCGTGCCATTCGTCTCGCTTGTGCTTTTGCGCTGCCCTCGGTGCGTCTTCGTCATCGCGTCACTGCTGCTGCTCGACCTGCTGCTTATCATTACAGTACCAGAGATCATTGCCGGGGACCCTGTGTCATCATCACGGCCTGCTTGCACCTCTATTCCTGTACATGGGGTATCATAAGCCGATATTTTGACCAAAGCATCACATATCTATCGTTTCCTGCGCTTCCCTCCACCGCCCTCGTCGTTCGTCTTGCGCTTGCGTCCTTCTTTCCGCCAGAACTCATCCCGTTCTCTCTTCTCCCGCTCTTCCTTTTTCTCGAGATTCTCGGCCACCTTCTTCCGGTAGACCGACCGCCTCTCTTCCTGTTTCTTGGCCCGCTTTTCCTCCTTCTCGTTCCTCAAGGTCTGCAGCTTCTGCATGAGATCTCGTGCTCTCTTCTCCTCGCCGCCGAGCACCACCGCCCGCTTCTGGAGATAAGTGGGCGCTTTGCGCGCCTTTTGCTGGATGATTTGCGACTTGAAAGGAAGGTCTGCCGCCAAAGTCCGTGGGACGCGCAATGGGTTGAAGTGTCGAGTTGGTCGTTCGATCTTGCGGTAAGCAGAGTCCTTGACTAGTGGCGTCGGTATGCCCATAGCTGCTCGGACCGCTCCAGTAAGGCGCATTGCCTGCCACCCACTAGACCCATCATCCACTCGTTGGCGGCCGTCGACTTCGCCCGCGGCTGCATCGCCAGTGGAAGGCGCGTCTAGCAGATTCGTCACGGGATTGTAGAACCGATGTGGCTTGACGGGATACCATGTTCGCAAGAAGACGATGTCGGACATGAGGATCTTGTCCTCAAATGTTGCGCGAAAGTGCCCCTCCGGTTTGCTCAAAGCTCGCTTGATCTGTCCACGAATGCCGGACACCGTCCTAATGCTAGCGCCCTCGAATTTGGCGATCTCAATCGACGAGTTGAACATATCGCGAATGAATGCCGTGTTGCGAAAGATCTTGTATGGATGTCCCGTGAGCTTCAACTTCTTCACGATTTCAGTTGTCTCGTCCACGTTCAACACCACGCCTGTCGCCGCTATGCGAAATCCAGGATTTTCGTTTGAGAACGACTGGACACAGCAGAAGCCCGTATTAGGAGCAACAAGTGGTCCCCAGAAGGTACCAAAGCAGTGCATGTGCTCAGGCGTATACTTCAGCATGCGGTTGCGTGTCCGCGAGTCTGATATCGAGTAGAGAGGCACGGTCTGGAAGCGTCGCCATCCCAGAGAGAAAATGAGGGGATCGTTGGTCTTGAGGATCTTCTTGTGCCATCGATGTCGCTTGATCCTCACCTGCACAAAGCCAAATCGATCTTCCGTCGGCGCCAGGCCGCCGACGATGACCGGTAGCTTGGGGTTGAAAGACCGAACAAATTCGTAAGGCACTTTCTCGAGCACTATCCGTGCATAAGTTCCTGCCCTGAATCCCTCGGCGCGTGCTCGTCCGACGGGGTCGAGGCTCTCAAATTCTGCTTTGTTGATATCGAGCTGCTTCTGAAGCATCGCTTTCTGCGCTTCGTACCACTCGTCTTCTCCAAACTCATGCTCTGCCGCCTTCACTTCGTTCTTGGTGGCGTTCGCGAAACCTTCTCGGTCTTCTTCTTCGAAGCGCAATTTGAGCTCTTCTTTCCGTCTGGCATTTTTGTCACGTTCTTCTTCAAGGGTAAGTTCGGCTTCTGAGACAGGGTTATCTTCAGCTGTTGTTTCCAGATCTTCGAAATCGCCATCGCCTTCGTCGAAATCGTCATCTCCATCATCTTCAGCTCCTTCGCCATCAACGTCCGACTCTGCGTTTGCACCAGTGGCAATCGAGCCTCTCGTGAACCGAGGTATGAGCGCCTGAATCTTCTCTTCGTCCTCCCATTTCTCGGCCAACTGATCATAGTCGAATTTGGGCGTCTGTCGATCCTCCAGATTTGTGTCTTGGTCGCTCTTTGCTTTGTTGAAGAAATTGTCGTCGTCATCCCCATTCAGTGACTTAATATCACCATGCTTTTCTCCGGCCCATCTCGAGATTACCTCGGCAGGTGAAATGGTCAAATCGTACATGAGCCTCGAGAGGTCAGCAGCTCGAAACGCGACCTTAGTGGAATGCATCTTCCGAGCGTCCTCCGCAAGGTGTTCCTTCCATCGCAAGCCGCTGTCGTCTCCGCCGTCTTCATCATCTTCGTCCTCAGATTCATCAGCAGAGAGATCTGCACCTGTTTCGTCTCTTTCTGACACAGAACCCATATCCGAGTCGCTCTCGGCAAACGCAACGCGGTCTCCAGAGACGTCGTCATCGAGGTCCTCTTTGGCTGCAAAACCCGGGCGGCCGCTATGCTCGGGAAATTCGTCGCTCTGTTCACCGTCTTCTAGGTCATCTTCGTCGTCCTCTCCACTGACGAACTCTTCGTCTTCGTCGTCACCATTGACTTCGGTAGTATCTTCGGATTGAGCAAACGAGCGCACTCCCCTCCTGAATTTGCGGCCAGTGTCGTGCTCCGCTTCAACATTTGCTGTGAGTTGCTGACTGCCATGGAACAGCCGCACGCCCCCATCTGCTTCGCCGAGAAGGCGTCGTTCCGCCTGCAAGCTCATCATGAGCTGTTCGCCCAAACCCCTGTCTTCAGCATCGCCTGCAGCACGGTCGAACGTATTAGTTTTAACGTCGATGTAGACAGCATCTTTGTCTACAAGCACTCCGCCAACATCCGACATGGGCGCGAAGAGAACCTTTTGTTTCTCCCCGAGCTTGCGGCGGTGGGCCTTTCCAGACGCTTTGGCAATGGCTTGGTCGAGGAAAGGCGTGGGACACGGATCAGGAAGGGCCTCGATCTCCTTCACGGTCAGGTCACCAACACCAGGAACGTGCACACGCGCGCCCTCAGCAGGGAAATTTGTGCCTCGAAGATATCCGTATAATGCCACTTGCCTGTCACACTTCTCGTTCTCTTCGATTTCGGTCGGTGGCGTAACATCCAAGAACCGGTCTGCCAGACAGTATGGGTGGCTGTTTCGCCATACTAGGGGTCTGGGATTCTTCATGACCGAAAGAAAACGTGACAGGTTGTGTATCTCTCTGTCCGGGTACCGACCATTGATCACACCAGACAGGTAGAACAACTTCGCGCCATGGTACAACTCCGACCAGAATCTGTGTTTCAACCTCTTCTTCGTCGCACGGAGAGTGCTCTGCTTCTTGAATAGATCCAAGTGCGTGAGAATACCAAAGACATTCCCCGGCATACCCGAGACACTGAGCGCGTTCAGAAATTCCATAGTCTCCATCTCGAAGCCGTAGTTGCCGTCAATCATAAGCAGAACGATGTCTGCTATCTTCGCCACATCGATCATCGCTGCGAGGGAGTCGGCCGGACATTCGAGGAAAGTAAGGCGCCTCCGCTTCGAGGTCACAACGGTAAGAGGGCCGCTCGGGTGCGAAAGTGTCTGTTTCGTATATCGCTTGATGAGGCTCTTGATGAGGGTGGTCTTCCCGACGCCTGGGGGCCCAACGACGGCGACGACGATCGGAGGCGCTTCTTCAGGGAGTCGATCGACCTGGGGCACATGGAGTCGTTTTTCTCGAATATCGCTCGATCGAACGGCTTGCTTTGCGAGTCGACCAGGATTGGCCACTGCAAACGCCTTCACGTTCTTTTCTCCCTTCTTCGGCTTCTTCTTCTCTTTCGAGGGCCGATGAGGCCGGTTCGCTTGGGTCTCCATGGTCGTCGAAGCCCTGCACCACCCCTACCGCCAACCTACAACTGGGTGTAAATTTTGGGACTGCGGCACCAGCGGCGAGGCATGCGGAGAAAAAAAGTTGGGGCAGGCACGGCAGGTTCGATTTTCTAGTGTCAAACTCGACAAAAATGCCAAGGCCATGTCTCGATTGGGAAAGCCAACCGATGTCAAGCGAGAATTTCCAACAGTGCAACCAGGCTGCCAGACATGTGAGGAAGTCCAACCTGGATGTGTCGATGGCACTGCGTGAAGATGATTGTTGCTCATTGGCCTGGCAGAGCTATTATTCCCCCAACAGCGCTACTTAAGGGGGCACTTAAAGGCTGAGTATTTGGTCCCCCATGCCTTTGCCTCGAGTCGTCTGGCCCCGATCAGCCCATGTGGCTCTCCGGTCCAGTTGCCTGCATCTTGAACTTGACGAACAAGTCGTGTCTGGTCCACCAGCTTCGAAGCTTCTTGCCATATATGTACACGGGAATGGCTAAGACACACATTGCCAAAGTTGTCCCACCAAAAGTAAACATGATCTCCTCGGGCCCTTTGGCGGCGACCCAGTTATTGGCGAAGTTGGACAGGCCGTAAAACATGAAGTTCTGAGTGAGGGTGAGCGGATGCCAGAAAGCGGGGATGGTAGACCATACCTTGAAGAGCATGTTCATCACAAACATCTCGTTACTCTGGCTGCGGAAAGCATCCAAACCATAGGACATCGTAGACCACACGCCAATGAGCACGCCAACCATCATCATGCCCTGACAGAACGCACAGAGGATGGCACTGGAGCCGTGAGCCATGGTGTAGCCAAAGAAGAACATGCCGAAGCTACAGAACACAGCACAGGGCAACATGAAGACCAGTCGAAACTCAGGTTCGCTATAACTGATTAGCGGCCGCTCTCTGGATTAGGGAATAGGTAGAAACTCACTAAGTTCCCTTGTTCTTGATTGTCATCCACTTCATAACCTTGTCTCCTGCCAGCGCCACGAAAAGGGAACCGATCATGCCGCCGACGAAAGGTCCAGTCCCAAGATATCCAATTTGAGCGGCATCAAACGACCAAGGTGGACCAGCGAAGATGCCGGCAAGGATGATTGCAGAGCCGACATACCAAGCACAGAGCAACCCGGAGACAATGATTGAATAGCAACCCGCCGGATTCAGGAGAGTAAGAAACATCCCAAAGACCCACTTGATGATATTGTCGTGCGAGAATATGCCGTTGTAAACCTTGAGTTCCTGGACGAACGTCTTCTTGGGTGGGATATGTGAGGCTTGCAGAGAAGGTTCGTTCAGTTCCTTGACGGCAATGGCGTGTTCACGGTGCTCTTCCTGTGCTTTGTCAATTTTGTCGATTTGCTCAAAGGTTTCGGTCTTCACGATGTCGGTATCATATATCGCTTCACGGCGGTATGTGGTCTCCGGAACGAACAAGAACATAAGCACGAATTGTATGACCAGGAAAATCTGGAAGAGGTGGAATAGCCAGAGGAGACCAAGATCGTTGTACACTTGGCCACAAATGATGGAAGCCAGGCTCGAGGCAGAGTTCAGGATAAAATTGATGGTCGACATCCGGAGGCCTCGTTGGTGTACGCAGAATAGATCCCCGACCGCTGCTACAATCAAGGATTCGAATGCGCTGGTGGAAAACCCCTGGACAATCCGAGCTGCCAGTAGGTACTTGTAGCTGGCTTTCGCCTCTCCAATGGCGGTACCGACGATGCAGAATAGCGTGGATACCAGGAATACAGGTCGCTTCCCGTATTTACGACTGAATGCACAGACGAATGGGCCAATGCAGCCAGCCGCGAGAATATTGTAGCCGGACACCATCACGGTGGTTGTCAGATCAGTGTTAATGAGCTGAGAGATAGCGAAATAGGAGGCGTTCAGAAAGGGTCCCTTCGCTAAAGTCAACTTCTAGTCGCGTTGATACCTCAGAGGCAAGGACAACTCACGTTCGTAGCAGCATTCAACATTGCGCCAAGACAGAGAATCCAGATGATGGCCTCTTTCTTCAACAGCGACCAGTTGAGAGGGTCATTGGGATCATCACTCGGCTGCGGAGACAGCACGATATGGGAGTTTTTGCCGGTTCCATGCTTGAGATTTGCTGTTTGAGATTCGGTATGCGCCGCCTCGTCGTTCAGCAAGACAGTGCCAGGTACGTGCGGAAGCTTGTTATCTAGGAGATGTTATTGTCAGCCATGTGCAGATCGTGTTTGGGGTAATTTCTCATATTCAAGCTGTTCGGAAAGGGGAACCGACCTTCGAGGACTCCTAGGCCCATGGTCGCTGATGATGATTATAACACAGATTATAAATTCGCAGTCCTGGAGGATAATTTGTGGTAGGGAGTCGCGTGAACTGGGAAGATGTGTACGGATGCCAAAGGCAATCGGAGGTTAAACGACAACCGACAAGGCTCATCGAGAGCCGGGGGTGGAGGAGGTTATGTAGTCGGACGGCCAGGTAATGAAACAATCACCCCATCCATGAACATATGATACTGGACGCGAGCTCGAAGCGAGATCCAAAACAACACCATATTTCCCCACTGCTTCATCCTCCCCACTCCACATAGCTCGATCTAGGTCGGTCTGGTGGAATTGCCCCATCGCAACACGAGGTCGACAAGGTCAGTACCAAGACCGCCCAGAGTCAAAATCCAGGAAGAAAGAGCTGGTTTAGGGCGGGTGGTAGCTTGAATAATATCGTTGGTGGCGCGGGAGAAGCGAGCTGTCCGGGAGATGGCCCGATGGTATTCGCCAATGCTCTACGCCGAGCGTTGAGCATCCGTTTGCTAACCACAAATCGGCTCCGTCGCAACGTTGGTTGAATGTCCACGAGGCCCAGCCGTGCCCAGCCAATGTTGGGGAATCCGGGGCTGAGAATCCACATTGCCATGGAGATGCGGAGGTACTCCACCTAACATCAGCTCCTGCGCAAATCAGAGCCCAATTCGCTCGAAGTATCCGTGGGAGGTGCTCATACTCGAAGGAAAGCCGCCTGCCATTGTATCGTTACCAAACGCGGATAGACGCTAACTTGGGTTGTGAGCTTGGCCCTGCATCCATTGCCAGTGGAGCAGCGGCCCAGAAACGTGGTTCTGAGGGGTAGTACATAGATCGCAACCACCCATACACAGTACTCGTAGATCAGATGAAAAATGACTGGGGCCAGCCTCTGCCTCCGGTCAACAGAGGTGCTGGGCGCTCGCTGACCAAGAGAGGTCGTGTTTGGGCGGAATAATCCCACTTCAGAACTGGACGTCCGAACATGCCCTTGTAGAGTTGTTGACCCCAGCTACACTGTGCTGGTGGTCAATAAGATCTGTGCTGTGAGCAGGCGAGACATGCTGCTTGGCTCCACTTCGGTCTGGGCGTAGCAACACATTGTGAAGCCTCTGGTAGGCGAAAATCTAAAGAGAACTAACTCCGCTCATCAGGCGTATGAGCCAAGGTACTGACATGAATGGAGGCTATAGTAGCCGATTCCGCGTACTTGTTGCTGGAGCCGTTCTTAGTGGGAAAGAAAGACCACTGGTGAGTACTCCGTACGCGCCCTGCTGGCAACGATTAAGTATAAGACGCTTTTCCTGAGGATGTAAACGCTTCATGCCATGGGTTTCTCCAAGTACACAAAGTTGCTCGTTGTTCATCAGAGTCAGCCAGCATATAGATCAAGCCATATCTGGGGTTTTCACAAGCACAGTTTACGCATAACCGGACGGTGATTCCACCGTGTTACACAACTTTCTGAGCCGAACGAGGATATACCATTGGGACGAAAGACAATGAGAAGGAAAAGCGCATCTCACCAGCTTTCTTCAACCGTCCACTGGGCGTGCAGAGTCTCGAGACTCCATGACGGGTGAGCCGAGCTAGTGCATATGAAGCGATCAGTCGTAGGCTTTTGCCACCCGCAATGTTTCCAGTCATGCAACAGGCTGCCACCAGACCTTCTTCCAGCAATGGTTTCCGGTCCGCGCTGGGAACAAGCAATCTGCGGCAGGAGCGAGCTGCAGCTTATAGCTCAAAAAATGGTGGGCTTTGTGGACGTCCCAGCCATGTCCTGTTCGAGAACTGGGCGCTAATCAGGCCGCTCCAGACATGGCGCACCGTCTTAGTTGTCACAAGGCAGCTCTGTTCTGTCTTGCAAGTCCCGTAAGGAACAGCTTTCAACTCTCCAGGGGATGTTGTGGCTGACATGGTATTCTAGCTTTTTGAGGAGGGCGTTCCAAGGTTGTCGCTCGAAGCGTTTGTGAATTTGGGCGGTGTTGAAGGGTGCATCTTTCGATTTTAAGTAGACCACCTTTCTGGCAGATGTGGAGACGTCAGATGCCACTGTCGGCCAGACACTGGCATCAATAGCATCGAGGCTGAGGGGATAGTTGAAGCCCCACGGATCCTGGGGAAACCCCCCGGCTGGTGTTCTAGGGTGCATACCACTATTCAGTCGTCAAGGGGCCCTCTGAATCGAGGCGGCCTTTTGCGTGGCCATCCATGAGGAGCCGGCGGGACGACAATCTCTTTGAGAAGAGTTCAGGTCTGCCACGATATTGCGGCAGGGCGACTCAGTGATCATCCGGACCAGATACTGATAGATCATAGGGCACTAAACACGCAGATCTCCAGAAGCAAGCTAGAGTGGGTGCCAGTTGTGATCTCCCTTGAATCCCGTATGCTGGCGTCGGTTGTAACGCAGGAAATACAACCCTGGGGTGACAATCCACGAGAGCATAAACAAAGCCCGTATGTTGAAGGGTGCGCTGGCAAATGGAGCATCGGCTACCGAGAACATACCCGGGACGAAAGAACGGATAGGAAAGGTAGAATAAACTAGAAGAGCATCAAAGTTGAGGGAGGGACAATGCGGGAGATGAAGCAGAAAACAGAAGAAGTCGCCCTGAGTAGAGAGCGTGCGCGGACGAGGTGTGATAGCTGGCATGTTATTCGTCCTGCCGTTTTGGCCATATCGACATTGATTAATCCAGGTGTTTAATGTTCAAGATGCTTGCTCCGCAGGGTTGTCACCGAAGGTTCTTCAGCGTGTGGTCCAGGTACCTATGTGAGGGCGGATTGATCAGCCGGGTAGCGCCGCGCAACCGGAAGACAGTGCCAAGCTGAGTCACGAGACGTCCTAAAGGAGAGCTTCCAGGTCACGTTTGGCAGAGCTCAAGTGCTCGGGACTGCGGCAACAGCAAGTTACCCGAACCCTGAGATCTGCATTGGACTCGCCGTTGATTCTGAGCAAAGCTTCAGTGTGAAATCACTTTTCTCTCTGACATTACCACAAGTCCTTTCATCCTTCCTCCATCGTTGTCATCCCAGACCTGGTCGTGCCATCGGCGTGCAATCCTTCCGCTTCTTACCCTCGACGTCCTTGAGCACCCCTCAAGATGTCGTTCTCCAGACAGATATTTGGGCAAGTCCAGCGTCGAGCTTTCTCGGCGTCTGCGCGACAGGTCAGTGACTACATCCACAAGATTGTGCCTGGATCAAAACGATCCGATCTAACGACGATAATGTCATAGTCCTCAAAAGTCACCGTCCTCGGTGCCGCTGGTGGTATCGGTCAACCTTTGTCACTCCTGATGAAGCTCAATCCTCGTGTTTCACAACTCGCGCTCTACGATATCCGCATGGGCCCAGGTCCGTTGGTCCCTTAGTATACGTCAAGGAGCAGAGTTGACATACTATATGGACAGGTGTCGCCGCTGATATCAGCCACATCAACACCAGGAGCACTGTCAGGGGATACGACCCAACTCCTTCAGGACTTCGTGAAGCTTTGGAGGGCGCTGAGGTTGTCCTCATCCCGGCTGGTGTCCCTCGGAAGCCTGGCATGACTCGCGATGGTAAGCAGAAGACCAGAAACAAGGATACATTATCTAATGGACATTAAGATCTCTTCAACACGAACGCAAGCATTGTCCGAGACCTGGCGAAGGCTGCGGCTGATGCAGCTCCCAATGCCAACCTCTTGGTTATTTCCAACCCTGTACGACCCAAGTAACCCTTTTGTCATCACTTGAGCGACACAACTGACATCCTGCCTAGGTCAACTCTACCGTTCCCATCTGCGCCGAGGTCTACAAGAGCAAGGGCGTCTACAACCCCAAGCGTCTTTTCGGTGTCACCACTCTCGACGTCGTCCGTGCCTCCAGATTCGTTTCCGAAGTCAAGGGAACAGACCCTGCCAATGAGAACATCACCGTCGTCGGTGGACATTCGGGTGTTACCATTGTGCCTCTAATCTCACAATCCGGTCACACAGATATCACTGGCGAGAAGCTTGATGCTCTTGTCAACCGCATCCAGTTTGGTGGTGATGAGGTGGTCAAGGCCAAAGATGGTGCTGGGTCTGCTACTCTTTCCATGGCCATGGCCGGTGCTCGCTTCGCCGAGAGCTTGTTGAAAGCCGCACAGGGTGAGAAGGGTGTGGTTGAGTGCACCTTCGTCGACAGCCCACTGTACAAGGATCAAGGTGTGGACTTCTTCGCTTCCAGGGTTGAGCTTGGCCCCGACGGTGTTCAAAAGATCCACGAGGTCGGCAAGCTCACTAAGTACGAGGAGAATCTTTTGGAGGCATGCTTGGGAGGTGAGTAAACCCAATCCACTGCAAGATGAGACGGTGCTGACCAGCGTGAAGACCTGAAGAAGAACATCCAGAAGGGTTACGACTTCGTGCACGCAAACCCGTCGTAGACGACAATGAAGCTGCCTTCTAGGTGCGGCAGGGCCAGCTTGTACAAAATCGAGTTTCACGTCCTCAAAGAGCATTTCTGAGAGACAAGAGTTTGACTTGATTCGGTACCCTAGTAGGATACATTATCGAGCCTTACAAACAGAGACATGCAACTTGCTACTTGGTTGCTGTTGCAACTTCGCGTCAGATTCCCACATGCCAATCTCACAAACTTCATTTACTCTGTAGCGCAGCCTTTGCCCCCAATACGATCAGTTCGTGGTCCATGTGGTCGAAGAGTGTAATGTTCCAACCTCGCGGGCGTCGATGCGGCCGGCTGTGTGAAACAATGCGGCCAATGAGGGTGCAACAGGTGTGCGCGAGGGTCTCAGTGAGGACAGATCCTATTTTCAAGCAGGGGCCTCCAAGAGCCGAGTTTGGAGGAACAACCTCCAGGATCCGCTCCTGGAAGAGAAACCTGATAAGAAGTTGCAAGGAAGCCTCAGCATTTTGTATCACTACAAATCATTCTCTCTTTTCCGTGGCTCGTAAGTACAAATCATCCTCATTTCCACAACACTCCAGCCTGACGACTGCCTCACGTTGTCACAGGTTGCCGCCTTGCTGCTCCACTGCCGCCGCACGGCTGAAAGTGAACCAGATCTCAACTTGAAGCCTAATCCACGCCTGGACTGCGTGTCGCTCTCACATTTTCTATCTGTGATTACACCAGGAACATTGCATTCACTTCTCCAACCTTTCATTCCTCGTCACCCTGCGACCTTCACACCGCGCACTGCCTGCGCAGCTGCCGCGAAAGGGCCTCTTCCCGCCCCGCGGCAACCTAACTTCAGCTTGTCTCTTCTGTCTATCTCATGGTCACCATCGGCCTATGTCAAGCCTGGAATAAGTCAAGAAAGTCTCGTCATGCAGTCAGCATCAGAGCCGGGGAGAATGCCTAGCTTCCCTGGGTATGAGCAGGTCGACGGGGATGGTGATATCTTCATGGCTGACGCTCAGCCAAGAGAGCGCTCATGGCTCGATCAAGGTATTCCAGCTACTACCGACGGCTCACATCCACGTCCATATGGCTCATCACAACAAGGACTTCAGAATCTCCCTGACGCAGTACCATTCCGCGGCCGTCCTAGCACCTTTGGAACACCTCCAGCACCCAGCACATCGTCCGATCGGCTGAACTTGGCTTTCAATACGTTCGCGAACCAGCTTCGATACCTTCCTCAACCTCATCCAGGCAGCGCAGGCATAGGTTACCCACCGATGAGACTCTTGCCGCAGTCTGTACGCTCGGCCGCACCAGGTGATTCTGCACCACCAACTCTCCCTCCACTTTCCTCCGTCATTCCTGGCTCCTACGCGGGAGCAGGATTCCAGCACGCAGCGACACAGAGCGCGCCATTCTCGAAAGACAGCCGAAGGTCTGGGGCTATCGACCCAGACCAAGGTTCCCCATCGCATGATACCGCGCATCCTCGTGGTGTGAGTTCAGGGCGTGACCCCAATTGGTTCCCCGTACCGCTAGCCTACGACGCTTTTTTGACGGCACGTCCTATCGCAGGTGGTCCTTTTTATCTTGCGGACCCGGTCCGAGCTCCAAGATCACAGACGCCTCCTCATATCCATCGTCGTCGTATGACCCGACCTTCGACCCCAAAAGTCTCGTGTACCGTCTGTTTGGAGGAGTTTAAGCGCGATGACTTGCTTCAGCTTGCCTGCAACTGCCGCTACTGCACGCCGTGTCTCAATTTATCGTTCAGAGCCGGCTGTGCAAACATGGCATCGTTTCCGCCCAAATGCTGCGGCAAACCTCTTCGCATCTCAGTCTGGGGAACCATGCTTGAACCTGATATTCTGGAGCGGTACAAGGAGATCGAAGCCGAGTTTAGCGCCAATCGCCCACTGTACTGCGCATCACCACAATGCTCCACGTTCATCCCAGAAGGCGCTATGGTCCCACAGGATGAGCTCGGTCTCTGCCCTAAATGTGCGACCGCGACATGCAGAAAGTGCAGACGACTAATGGACGATCATGCTGTTTGGGACGTCGCCGAACGTATCTGCCCAAAGGAGGAAGAGGGCTTGACGAAACTCTACGAGCTAGGAAGTGAAAAAAAGTGGAAACAATGTCCGACTTGTCTGAACATGGTTGAGAAGACTGACGGGTGTAATCACATGGATTGTATCTGTGGTGTGGAATTCTGCTACCGCTGCGGCAATCTCTTCGACGAGGATGATGTTTGTGAATGCGAACTCAACACATGGGGCCCCGAGGACGATGGTGAAGAGGAGGACGAAGAAGATGATGACGACGAGGAGGTTGACGAAGAAGACGAAGAAGATGATGAGGATGAGGAAGAGTGGCCCAATTACCGCCTCGCAGTTGACCCTGCTGGTCGCCCGAGGTGCTTACACACAGACTTGTCTCCAATGGGCGCGAACCAGCATACCTGTCACGGATGTCTCCAGAGAAATCTTCTCCTGACCTGCGAGGACTGTGCGCTGGAGCTATGCCAGACGTGTGTGGACAAGATAAGAAACCCAGCTAATGGTGATGGCGATGACGGGAAGGAGGAGTTTATGGACTTGGATCACCGTGGGATTGAAAGAGGCCCCAGACCCGGAGGTGTCGGAGCGTGGTCGAACAACGCGGATCATTTGAACTGACCCAGTTTCGTTGAGCTAAGGAAAGCTTGACCAAACTTTCGATGAGGGAAGAAAGTGAACGAGCAGGCAAGGAAAGGCGCACCATGGAGTCCTGCTGATAGCAGGGGTGGATTCGCGGTATGGCGCATGGTATGACTTGCGAGATTTTTCGAGCCTGAGCGTCGATCTGGCCGGCACGGACATCAGTACGCATGATTTGGGTCGCATGGAGTCGGTCTTTGCAGCCATAAAAGGGTGTTCAGGAAGGCAGCCATCCCCAGGCGGTAATGAGTTTGACGTGTTTCTTATCGGCCAATGCAGCCAGGGAAGTGTGTTCAGGAAGGCAGCAATTCCCCAAGAGGATAACGAGTTTCATGTATTTCTTATCAGACTGGTGCCGGGATGGGGAAAATCAACGTACTTCGGGATATTGAGTTACCACTGTCGAATCACAATGTTACCGTGTTGATGCTTTTGTTTTCCAGTTGCGCTAGAAGGAGAGAAATGTCGCGCCACTCTCTTCTAGCGACGACGATAGCTTCGAATGAACAGGTCAGATTCCCAAATCAGCGAATGCCAGTCTGGTTGTACAGTGGAGACATTGACAAACGGAGACAGATTCGATACGTGAAGGATTCAATACGAGAGTTGCAGTCGTAGCTTCATCCCAAAGCCCTTGTTTGGGGAGCCCCCTTCGGCCACCTTCACTACATGGTTCATGAAGTACATACTGCTGTGTAGTATCACTTCCACCGTTGTGCTGGGATGCAACTTATTCAATGAACGTTGCCTCGAGTCACAGCGTTGGGGCGCTCAGGAAAAGCCTGGTAGCAGACCAGATTTGGCCCCATTGGGCCACCAGTCCAGCGGTTGTTGGGGGCCACCTCATTCGGGATCCGCTATCTTCAGAATACTCTTCCCCAGGTTCTGCCCCTTGAGCATGCCGAGGAAGCCCTGGACAGCATTGTCCATGCCCTCCGTGATATGATCGACGCTCTTGAAACTGCCGTCCTGGATCCACTCTGTGACGTTCTCGTCGCGTTCCTTGCGCCATTGCGCGATGTTCGGGTCAAACACCAGGAAGCCCTGCCAGCGCAGCCGCCGCCTCACCATCGCGGCATAGTTCTTCACACCGTAGGGGGTCGTGTCCTTTGCGTTGTTGTACGTCGAGATGGACCCGCACGCGATGATCCGGCCGAAGACCTTCATGTTGGCGAGGGCCACGTCGAGGAGCTCCCCGCCGACGTTGTCGTAGAAGATGTCGATGCCCTCGGGGGCCAGGCGTTTCACCGCGTCGGCTATGGATTCCTTTTTGTAGTTGAAGCCGGACGTGAATTTGAGGTCGTGGAGGATGAAGTCGAGTTTGCGGTCGTCGCCGACGGAGCCGATGACCTGTGGTATTGTTAGTAAGTTGTTGAGTCAATTTTCGGGGACCGAGCGTGACAGGGAGAGAGACAGATGCCGGCAGACGTACATGGAGACCTTCCCGTACCGCAATCTGCCCGACCATCTGACCGACGGCTCCCGCGGCCGCAGAAATGAGAATAACGTCCCCTTTCTTCGGCTGGCCGATCTCATGCAGACTCCCGTAGGCCGTCATACCCGTCATGCCCAACAATCCCAGGTACGCTGTGAGCGGGACGCCCTCCTTCGGCTCGATAATCTGCGTCGTCTTGACGGCGCTCTCGTCCTTGGCGGAGTAGCTCTCCGAGCCGGAACCCTGTAACATGACGATCTGCCCTTCCTTGATGGCAGGGTCGTCGGATTTGAGCACTTTGCCTATGACGCTGACGCTGATGACGGGTTCCCCGGTCTTCATTGCTGGCGAGTACGACTGGATGGAAGGGTCGCGCATGCGGCCTCGTTGTGACGGGTCATATGCCACGTAGTAGTTCTTGGTTGTGAAGCCGCCCTTAGGAGGAGGCGCATTCTCGTCGAAGCCGATGTCCTCGACCGTGAGGTCCTGGCCAGGCACCGGCCAGCCATCGGGAATTGATTTGTAGATAAACGCTTTGTTTTCGATCATCTTGGCTGTTGGTGACAAGAAGTAGATGGCACCTTACACAACCGACGGGAATGAAGATGGGCTTCTAGGTGGGTTTCTTTGCAAGTTGTGTTGCTTGCGGGTTGACAGTCCTCATAATATAGTCCGGACGCAGACATTCGAGGCGGATATAGCCAGGGATACGGCATAGGGAGGTCTGACGCCCAGCCAATGATATGAGGGGATTATGCCCTGGAGCAGACTTGTCGTGGTTAAAAAGCCTCGGTAGATGCCTCGACTTGGAGGTGGTGGCACGCTTGATTGTTAATAAAGCCTAGACGTGGACATAGTAATCGGGAATTGCATGTCCTCGCGCGAGGAGTTGCGGCGAGAATGGCCGTGGTAGGCTTCCCAGTTGAGAGGCTACTGCCTTTCTGCGAAATGCGGGCCGCTGAGGTCGAATGTGTTACCATTGAGAGTGCTGAGCTGGGTGTGAGGGCTGCGCCGGCTGTGCATTTTGATTTCGCATTTTCCGATGACAAAGCCGAAGCATCAGGGGTGACTAGATAGAAATCATGTCAGGCACGTTCCCGTCGCCCTTGTTCCCATCGTACGCGCTCTCCGTGTTAATGTGCGTCAAGGAGACAAAGGTATCATTTTGTCGGCTAATCTGCCATCATTGGCCGGTTGATGAATGTAATGGCGCCCTTGCGGACAACCATTTTGGAGACCAGTAGAGCTTGATTTTCTTTGGGAATTGTTCGGACCCTCGAGGAAAATCACCGCTTCGGCTTGGACTCGGCTTGCGACATCCTCGATTCCTCGTCAGGCGAACAAACAGGCGTCCTCGAGACCGTCGTCGACGTTGGCCGCCATAGCATTCACAACCACATCACATACCTCTTCCTCTCTTCCTAGGGGATGTTGGCAGATGTTCATTCGACAGTCCCCTTGGGAGATGATCTACGTAAGAGAAGAGCTGGGAATGCTTACTCCGTACTGGGTGAACAATTGAAGGGTGCGTTTAAGGATTTCGGGAATTGTATCCTGTCTTTACGGATTCCATTGAGAAGTGGCCAATTGCCGTCTGAGTTCTAAATGAATCCTGCTGGAATGTACGTGAAACAATTCGTGCCTGTGCCATTTTTACGACCAACCATTTGCCATGGGCTTTTCATTTCCCAGTCTGGGGTTGCGGAGCTCGGCGGCGACTCTCGCTTAGCGTCGTCGTCCCCTAAGCCGAAGGCGAAAGACCGCTGCAAGTTAATTAGAGCCCGACGACACAGCTTAGAGTTTGCGGGATGGGTGCATGTTGTGCCCACTTGGTGGGATCTTTCGCTGTTCAAAGGTCCCCTCTGCCCTGCAGATGGCGCCTGGCGTAAGCCGGAAACAGTCAAGACGAGACTCCCTCCAGAGATCGGAAGCACGGATGAAGCTCTAGTCAGGCAGGGGATGAAGCCCAAGTCAGCTCACATGCTGCGCCCTGTTGCGTAGTTGTTGCATATCAGCCATTCATCTCCGAGCACGCTTGCACTTCCTACCTGATCAGAAGACCACAGATGCGTTCTGCGCTGCTGAGGCTGCCGAAGCCCTGGACGCGATGCGCTGCCCTGCCACTCCCCTCTTGTTGAGGCTTGAGGCGACTTCCAATTGTTCGCTGCTTGCTCTTCTGTCCTCGTCGAAACCTCTCTTGAATTGGCTGATACACTCGCACTTGGCCATTCGGCTGAACAATTACATACTTGTGTATTCCAGGCAGGCTGCGGACTAGGCATCAAACACTTCCTCGCATCTGCCCATTCGTCCTGCATTTGGTTCGCGGACCATTGCGACTCATATTCACTGCCTTTACACCACAGCCATCCAGAGATCTGCCTGCTCATATTTCGTCAGTTTCCTTTTTTACCTGCTTGGCGGACGCTCAGAGGCAGTGAAGTTATCACACTCGTCGGCGGCCAGTTGTGCCTCAGCCTCAACTCCAATTCTGCTTGGAGCCTACTCATTCCTACAAGAATCATTCACTCGCACTTATTTTCATGATCCATGATGGCCTTGTAGATTGGGAAGCCCAGCGTTACTCGTTGAGCGTACTATCTTACCACGTCTGGGTCGAATCACTCTTCCTGCAACTACCCCAACCCCGCCTTCCCGACGATCGCTCGTTTCGAGATGGACCAGAATAGCGGGGTCACTGAAACCAAGAAGATGGAGCCTGCTGTCGAACGACCCGCTGTCGGCACAATGCCTGCGCCCGATGCCGCTGCCAAAGACAAGAAACACTGCAAGAAGCACAGGGGACCGTCCGCGAAATCCAAAGTGAAGGCCAGCAAGAAGAAACAAGTCATTGAGACTGAAGATTCCGCTAGCGACAGCGATGACACCTCCGATGTCACCGGCGATAGTGACGACTCCAGCCAGTCCGACAGTGACAGCTCCATCGACCTGTCATCCAAGAAGAAGCTGAAAGCCAAGAATAGGAAACTAAAGGCAGAGGCCAAGGCATTAGCCAAGCAGCTCAAAAAGAACAACAAGAAATCCAAGAAGAAAGTCGTGTCTGAGGATGACCAGTCCTACAGCGATGATGACGTCGAGGAGGAAGCAATCAGGCCGAAATCAAGAGTCAGGATAAATGGCACCAAGAGAGCCTCCCGCTCAAAGCGGCACGACGACCTGGAAGAATCAGACGGAGTCATTGAGATCCAGGAAGATCCCGGTTCTCAGCGACTTCGCAATTTCAGGCACAGCTTACGGGGTCTTGATTTCCACACCAACCCACTGCCGCCCGCGGGCTCTTCTGTTCCTCGAACTCAAATCATCGATCCACTTCCTCCCATTGATGGATATGTCAGACCTCGAAGAAGCCGTCGCCGCGAGGTGATGTACGATCCACGCGATGTGGTCCACGACCTCGAGGAGAGCAAGCCAAAGAAGAAGGACAAGAAGCCCAAACGTGCGTCAAAGGTAGCGTATAAGCGAGTCGACCAACTCTGGGATCAATCAATCCACAACTTCAAGCTCACCGAGACCGTCAAGGAGACAGGAGATGCCGTCTGGGACCAATACATCTTCACCGTTCGTCGCAGATTCGATTGGGAACACAAGTACCTGGCAACCATTGTGGACATCAAATCAGAGCCTCTCAAGGAATGCCTTCAGCATGTCATGTCGGCGGTCAAGGGTATCAGCCTGGTAGAGGATACGCCTCACCTCGATCCCAACATGCTTTTCCTCTACCTAGAAGAGATGAGACAATATGTTCACACCCTCGAGGAGGAAGCTGAGGGAAAGACGCGCAAAGAAGCCAAGCTGCTCACCGAAAAAGCCAAACATCTCCGGATCATGGTCAAATACCTTGACAAGGACTTTGCGGAGACCAAGAAGAACTTGTACCCTCTTCTAGAAAACGGCATGATCAGTTTTGACCTGCTCTGGGCCCTGTACAAGCCAAACAGCATTGCGTATTCTGCCACCTACGGTGACCAGGAACAACCTCGCGCTTTCAAGATTGATTTTGCCACCAAGGAGTCTCACTTCATGAGAGGCCAATGGTACACCGTGGAAGGTCGATATCTGGAGTACGATGGCAAGACTTTCGGCATGGGAACCACGCACTCGGAGATTTCGTCGTTCCAGGGTGTCCGCAAGATCACATCATTGGATTGCTATCCTCTGCAGTACCACAAGGAATCCGAGAAGCTGAAGGCACAGTTAATCGAGCGAGGAAAGCACTTTGTCTCCCTCCAGGGCATGAATTACCGCCACCACAAAGGTATGGCCTATGCCAAGCGCAAGAAGCAAGTCTTGAAGATCAATATCGATGGACGAGTCATGGTGGACCCTGCTATCCATCGGCGCATCAATCCGAACTATCCTGTCAGTGTCGTCAAGCCAAAGGAGGACCCTGATGCTATAAATTTTGATGACCCCGACGACGATTGTGGGTGTGGCAACGCCAGTGACACCGACGCTGTTGGTAACAGTCAACCCACGCCATCAGACGAAACCATCCAGGTGCAGGAGAAGAAGAGGTACAGGGTCGTCAAAATGCCAACTGGAATGAATATCATCGTTGAAGTCAATTCGAAAGAAGACGTACATTCCAGCCACAAGACAGAACCGCTTCCCGAAGACAAGCAGTCAACCCACGAATTCACGGAGGAAGAGCTACTCATTGCTAGTCCCGTTGTACTGGGGTTTGCGTTCAGCGAGAAACTCTGGCTTGAATTCACTGTTTCTGGGATCTCCGACGTCGTCTTCAACGACCACGCATTCGAGAGCCTTGTCCTTCCAGAGAATCACAAGTCGATAGTAAAGGCTCTTGTGTCCAGCCATGCTTTCCAAGCCCACCGCAGCATTGACGATATCATCTCAGGAAAAGGTCGTGGCTTGGTAGCTGTCCTTCATGGGCCTCCCGGTACTGGTAAGACGCTGACAGCAGAGGGTATTGCAGACCTCCTCAAGTGTCCACTCTACATGGTCAGCGCAGGCGATCTAGGTACGGAGCCGACCAAACTGGAAAAGGAGCTGCAGAACATCCTCGACATTGCCCACAGCTGGGGTGCAATTTTGCTGCTGGACGAAGCGGATGTCTTCCTCGAGCAGCGATCCATTCACGACATCCATAGGAACGCGCTGGTCAGCATCTTTCTCCGTCTTTTGGAATACTTCCAAGGCATCCTCTTCTTGACCACCAATCGGGTGGAGACGTTCGACGCGGCCTTTGTGTCACGTATCCACCTGTCACTGCGCTTCCAGAACCTTACCACCAAAGCCAAGCGCACGGTTTGGAAATTGTTCATCGAACGTGTCAGGAACCAAGAAGGCATGGAGGTCTCCGCTATTACCGACCAAGACCTCAACGACCTGGCTCGGCGTGAAGTCAATGGCCGGCAGATCAAGAACCTTGTGCGCGCAGCACAAGCCTTGGCGGTGCATGAAGATGTGCCGTTGAGCATGGCGCACATAAAACGGGTGATCGATGTAGCTGAAAGCTTCGAGATGGATCTCAAGGGCGGTACGGGATACTCGGACGCGATGAGGAGTAAGTTCAACCTCTAACTTGATCTCTGAGGAACCTGCTAACTCTTACAACAGGTTACACTTGACCTTTTCCGCCGCTCGAATACGGCTGAGATGATGGACTGACGAGGACGAAATTCGTTGGGCCACATCTCGTCAGATACGCCAATCGACGCTGAGGCAGCCACCAGGCAGGAATACTAGGGAAGGGTACTAGTTGGATTGTTCTTCATCGCCCCAGTGTCGCACCTCGCAGAGAGCGGACGGTTATGGTTTTCTTAGTGGACAAGGCGACGAGGTCATGAGATACGAGCACAGGGATTGGGATTGGACGGATTTCGGAAGGGTCACACATCGCTGAGCGCGCCCTTAGCAAGCGATTCGTAGCCTTGACATGATAATGCGGTAATGCGGAATCAGAGGATGTAGTAATCTTTTCCAGGACCAGTTGACTATTTCTACAGCGCTCCTGTTCTTTCCCTGGCCGTTCGCTAGCCTTTGCACCCTTGCGCTTCCCAGGAGTGCAGCGTACGGGAGGACGTTACGCGATAAGAAGGTGGTAGTAGTAGTAGTAGTAGTAGTAGTGCCATTGAGCTGGAAAGACGGAGCCAAGGGAGACTTGACCCTCTTTCTCGGTGCTTCAGGTAATGAATGATGCGCTCTTTGCATTATGAGCGATCGCATACTCCGTACAGAGTACTCAACATGGTAATTAGATTGAGACCATCCCGAAGATGGGCATCCGGAATACTTGACATGGTAGTTAGAAGAACAATATCATTCCAAAGGTGGCCATAATTACCTACCCAAGTTACGTGCTGTTATCCGTGGGACTGCATGGCATGGCTTGGCTTGGCGACAGCAATGCTAACCTATCTCTCCGTCCTAGTCCAGTCGTGCCGATCCGCATGGATGGTAGATGTAGATGTCTCGGCTCATTCATGCGAAATGGAAACGGACCGTTCCTTCAGCTACTGGTTCATCGAGAAATGACACGAAAAGACAGTCACGTCACGCTGCGTAGTCGTCGTAGCCTCTGCCCTCGTAGGCGCAGGCTCCCACATCGACGGTACTATCGCTCGACATCCTACGATGGCCTCTGGGTTGCGGCTGCCACTGCTGGCTCGTAAGCTCGATGTCAATCTGGTCGGTCATTTCGGACATTAGTCCTACAGTCTGACTTTGACGGACCGAGTGTACTCGCTGGGGCGGCGAGGCTGGTGCCGCCAGGAGAGCCGTGGTCGGACTCTCGTCCGTGGTGGTTGTCGCCGTTGTCGTTGTCGTTGTCGTTGTAGAGCTTTGTCCTCGGACATGGCCTAGGCGGTGTTGCCTTGCGTCCTGATCTCGAGTGGCAAAAGACATTCTCCTGAGCCCGGGGACTTCAAACGCTTGCGTTCCGCGGGCTGCGTTTACGTTTGTGGACGAGAAGATGGCCGAGTTGCGGATGAGGTCTGGGGTCAGCGACTGTCGCGCCCACTTGAACATGTTCAGCCAGGGCAGCCAGGCGAGGAGGATTCGGTGGGAGAGGGAGCGCTTCTGCCTCGGTGGTCTATGGGTGCCTGTCGTGCCAGCCGGTGGATATAGAACAGTCGGTGGGCGCTTTAATGTTGCTGACACGCCTCCCGTGTCCTGGGGACCCAGATCTGAAGAGTAAGCCCCATTTGTAAGACCCAGGCCTTTCGCATCCTTGGGCTCCGCAGGAGAGATCAGGTCGTACGCGTCGGGTGCGTCTTCTTTCCTCTTCAGCCACGGGACGTGTTGACGGGCTAGCTCATAGAGGACTCGAAAGAAGCTGATCAATCCGATCAGAGCGGGGATGACCTGCCCAGCTCCACGGGTTCCTCCGGCGCCGAGGACGTTACGTATGTGGTTCTTGTTGAGCGTCATTTCGATGCTCACAATGGCGAAGACCAGCCAGCAGAGATTGAAGCAGGAGAGGACCATGTACCATTTTGTCAGTCTATAGGAGTTCAGTCAGCTGACGCCAAAGGCACTGGGGCAGAAACCCACTCTCTCCTGTTCAATCTGACGTCTCTGCCCGGACGCACAACCAGTTCCCAATAGATCTCTTTCCCTCTCAGCTTCCTAGCTATAGCAACCATCCCCGCAATGATGGCCGTGATCGCCATGGCACCATAGTAGAGTGCCGCACCAACCGCCAGGACGAGGTTGATGATCCTCGTCACCTTGGAATTGACACTCATAGGGACGAAGAAGAACGTCTGGAGCCCACCGCAAGCTTTCCGACCATCACAAGTAGCCAGGGTGTCGACTCCTCGTGTCCAGAACCAAACGCCGTATGCCGTTATCGCGGACATCAGGACGAGCCGGAAGTGGGTGCCAAAGCCGCCAAAATGGCGACGGCCACCGGGGCCTTCGGTCTTGTAGTACACTAAGGCAGAAAATCAGCTTCGCTGCCGAGCTCAAGTATGCGATGCTTACTCGTTCTGTAACCCCACAAGCTCATGACGCTAAACAGGAAGCCCGTGCATAGCTGGTGAATGAGCAAGACGTCGACCACGCGAATGGAATTCCCTTGCAAGGAATAGGTGAAGACCGTCGAGAACAGTGCAAGAAGGAAGATCGAGTTTGTGTCCAAGCTGCCTATGATCTCTTCGGGGAGGAAGTTGTTTGCCAGCCACGAGGTGACCCATTGGAAGTCTGTAGCGCAACCACAGCGTCAGCATACTTCTGTAGACGTCGGAAGGGGAGAGACCCTGAAGCAGGAGGTGCCAACCTACAGATACCGACTCTGACTCCCATTCCGTAAAAGTCAGCATTGCCTTGCACCGGACATCCATCCTCCACGCGACCGACGCCTTGACATGCTGAGTCTTGGGAATCGTTGTTGCCACCTTGAGCGTAGCACAGGTTGCTGAAAATGAGGAAGCTGACGAGCAACAAGAGCGAACGCCGAGCAAATCTCCCCATCCTATTGGCGCCAGGCCTCCGCGGGTCCCGTCGCAGGGCAGGATCGAGATCAGATCAGGCTGTGGCAGGGTGCAGAGTGAAACCTGTTGCAGCAAGAGAGTCGCGCAAAGTGTTGCCGGTCTTCCAGGAAACGAGGCGAGGGGAGCAGGAGGCGATGGAGACTCCTGCAGATTCATGTGGGAATACATAGCAAAGACACAGCAGATTGTGATCTGAGAAGACATTTGCGCAGTTTATGCATCGAGCGGCCGTTCAGGCTGGCGACAGTCATCATTCTCTCGTACCCGTTGCCACTCGCGTGTGATGCTTGTGCTCTTCTGCGTATTCTGCGCCCTGCATGAGGCATGGTTGAAGTGCGTGTATACGAAGCAATGAAGAGGTGTGTAGCTGGAACAGGTTGCACAGGAAGGCGTCTTTATCCGCCTATAGACGGCCAAGGAATGTTATGAGGGAGGTAGTGAGGAGGGCCAAACTGCTCGTATTCAGCCAGCCTCGACACCACAATCCGGCCGCTCCTGCAGCTGCCAGCAATCGAGAAGGATCTTACCGGACGAGCCCCGCACCTCTCGCATGAGGCTGGCATAGGCGCATAGGTGGGCGTTCGCATAGAGGCTGGTTAGGGACAACATCTTTTCCTGACGGGCGAGGCAGATGATCAGAACATAGACTCAGCACATAGACTCAGCATGCGTAAACTCAGCACCCAAAGACGATGGAGGGTGGGAATGGGAAACACGAATAGTGATGATTTTGCACGCATACTCCTTTACGTCTTGCGGGAACTCTTGCAAGCCACAAGCCCATCAGCACGGTCATATAGTAGCACAAAACTCGAGTGAGCTTGAAGGAGCCGGCTGGAGGCATCGGCTGGACTGTTTTTTCCCGCGTCTACGATATGCACGAATTCTTTCCATAGCGGCCTCGTCACTGTGGTCAGCGTCTCACCACAAATTGTCAGGCTTAGATGGCGTCCTCGATCGAGCACCTCATACGTGGTTGCCTCACATGTCTGATTGTGCGAGGCTGCGATGTGTCCACTGAGCCCACCAGTACTTTCGCTACCGCGGCTTCAGTTGCGTCTCAAGAAACTAACATGGGCGGATTCCATGCAGAACAGAGCCCCCATGCCGTGGCGGGGGGCTCAGACTTCTCCCGAGCGGAACTGCAACGCTTTCCTGTTCATCAGAACCAGTTTCCGGCTCTGGCGTCCTCGTGATGAGCGCCCTTCCAGCACCCAAAAAGACCAAGGCACCCAACGATGTGCCATTATCCGTGCTCAGTCGATGATAAAACGGGCCTTTTTCCGCAACGCCTGAAACTCTCCATGGTCCTGCCACTCCATGTCGATCCAACCACACTCTGACTAAGTCGCGGGATTGAATCTCAATTCGTTGTCTGCTGGGTCTGCTTGGAGCTCCACGATAGGGGGATCATCATCATCGTCATCAGCCATGCTGATGTCGACCGGCATGGACATACCACGCCCAGAACCGATCGCAGCCGGCACCTCATCGGGAGGCGGTGCACTCTCTCTTGCGCCGCGACTATGCACGAAGTCTTCATGATGCATGATGGGCCCGATTTGGCTGCTGTATAGAGGGTTATCAATGTCATCGGGGTTGTGATGAATCGACCCTTCGTTCCCGGCCTCGGAATCAAAGTTGCTATGTGGCGAACTGACTTCACCGCCTTCCACGCGCGTGCTGTCGTTTGAACTGCGGTTGTCTGGATACCGGTCGCCGTCCTCCGAGTTGGCTGGTTGTTTCGGAGGCAAGCCTTGAAAGCTCCATGGCTGGGTCACCTGCCACTGGAAACTGCCAGAGGTAACATCAGCGACAGCTTCATCGACGCCATCGTCGGCGATGGCTGAATCGGAATAATCGGGCAGCATGTCATCGCCACCACTACTGGCTGCTGGTCCCAGCATCAAGCTCGGTGGACTTTCGGTTCCGGCTAACAGACCTCGAGCCTGTTGATTTCCTCCGAGTGCCGAGCCAGCCGGTCCCGCTCCCACGCGGTGACCGTGACCGACTTGTAAAGCGCTCGACAACCCATTGTGGGAGGAGTCGCCGAGACGCCGACCTTCCCCCGTCACAGGAGAAGATTCACGAGAGTCCTGGGGCATTTCAGAGTTGGCTGCGCCATAGTCGTTGCTGGCCTCTTGCAGCGCTTCCTGGAGTCTGGGCCCACCTAAAGGGTGGTCTGGGTCCTCCCTTCGCCGATAGAACAACAGGTATGCTGCACTTGTGACAACACTTCTGGCATCTGTCTTTGATGAGACGTGGGAGTCTATGATGGTCAATCGGTATTCATCAAAGCGTGGTCGGATGTGCTTACCATTATATTCGTACCAGCCACCATTATCAGCATTCTTCGCAAATGCAGTGTAATGACCACCTCCAAGACCGCCATAGTGGTTGTCGACAGCAATGAGGTCATAAATCAAGCTCTTGCCGTCCTGCTGATCGCGTACCATAGTTGACAGATCCAGACCCTCGGTAGGATAATCGACTCTGACCTCAAGCTTGTCACGGAAATTTCTGTTCGCGCTGAATCGCTTGAGGTGCATAACCAAAATGTCAGGCGATTTCCACAACTCGAACATTTTATTAGCTCGGCGATGTTCCTTGCAACGAGGACAGCGCCATGCATTTTGCTCTGACAACGTTTCCGACTTGCCAAACTCATTCAGACAGTCTTCGAGCGAGATGCCGTTCTTCTTGCGATTGTTGCGCAATTGCCGCTTCACCAGAATCTCCTCATCGGGAAGCAGCTCCACACCTTTCCAGGTCGGTGTGCCACGCATGCCGTCACTGTCCCCTTCACTTCCGCCAAACAGCGCATCGTACCCTTCTTGCGTCCAATCTAGGATGATGGCCTCGCCAGGTCGGATCAGAGCGCCTCCAGCACCTTTCGGCACTGGCTGCGGTGGAGGAGGTGGCAGAGGCGAGCGACGCTTCTCACGTTTGTTGAATTTGCCCCTGTGCTTGCTTATTTTCGCTCTGCGCTGGGCCCGCTTGCTACGAGGCGGTAGGATCTCCTGGGGCTCTGAGAAGTCATTTTCGGGTTCATCGAGAATGGGTAGAACGGGACTGGCGTCCGACCCTGAGTCGTTACTTTCAATGGGGGTGTCATCGTCATTTTCGTTATCCGCAAGGTCATCCTCGCTCTCTGCAGACGCAGCGTCGTCGTCGTAAGCGTTTAAAGCGCTATTTGCTTGGGTTGGGCGTTGTGAACCAGATTTGGGTATCCGCTTCTTGATGGGTTCATATTCTCCACTTTCTGAAATCTGATTCCAGCCTGTAGGTATACCCTCTCCAGTGGAGGTGACCTGAACCTCGAAGAGGTGCTTGAAATGCGCAGGGACGGTAGCACTGGGCTGCAGGAGCTTTTGCAGACCGGTCTCCGTGGATCCAGGACCCGCTTCTGGAGCTTGACTGGCATCTCTCATGGACACGTCTACCAGACCGTCTTCGCCTTGAACAGAAGTAGCCGTAGGAAGCCCTGAGCCGGGACTTGATAAATCGTCTGTTGTGATCATAGTATCGGAGTCTTCGGGTGTAGCCACTCCATCGTCGGACACATCGAAGTCTTCGTCGAAGATACTCTTGGTTGTCATCCCGGCAACATTTCCCAAGATCTTCTTCATGACGCCATCATATGTAGCCCTATCTGCGCGGGTGAGAACTAAGTATGTCGGCTGGCCGAAAAAGGGCTTCGACCCGACTCGCGCACCTGGTGCCCTCACAAGCCGATGATAGAGAGGCACAAGGAGACGATCCGCTCCTGGGCTGTCCTCCTCGACCAGATCGTCCTCATCCTTGGACAAATACACCTGGTACTTCTTGACCTTGTCGGGGTTGTAATTGGTCGGAACTGAATCCAACTCGTAGACGCAAATGATGTCGTTGGTTTGGATGCTCGACTCCGCGATCCCCGAGTTATTGTCAAAGATCTTGTAGATCTTGTTCTTGTAGGATTCCGCGACAATGAGCCGACTAACTTCAGCATGTGTCCGCGACGCGACGAATTCCTTCAACTGCCTGAAGCTGGAATTCTTGTCGATGTCGACATCGATGCGTATAGGCTTCTTGTGAAGTGGAAAGTAGAGGATCTCCTTCGACCAGTTATTCTCGATCGGAAGGTGCAGAGTAAGGTTGAGAAAAGGGTCAAACGTGATGCTGACTTTGTCGCAGACGGGGCAGGTGACCGTTGACTTGTACATGCCGGTGAAAAGATCAGTGATCACCGAGTCATTCCTCGCTTCGTGCTCGTACCAATTCTTGTCGGCAAACGCTTGAAGAGCGGCGGAGTCATGGACCATTTCATCCGTGGAATCAGTCTTCTCGAAGTAGGGTTTTTTCTTCTTGCGATTCAGATCTTCTTGGAGAGCATCGAGAAGGAAGAGGAGGAACTCCTGAGAGTCTTGCTGCTGGTAACCGCTGAAATTGGAATTGTGCCTTCCTACCGTGGCCTTAAACTTGGCTGGGCTGGTTGAGGAGGCATTTTCGTCGTAGATCTGGTGCATCAAATTTGCGTATGCTCTCGCAACTTCGCCATGATAGCCTAGGGGGTTGTCCACATTAAGGTCTTTCTTCCAGAGGTCGGCTAAGAGATAGCTAGTCAGCTCGGGGACGCTGCGAAGGCACTGTAGAGCTGAGTTCATGTAGCAGGTGTTTCCCAGGTTCGTCAATCCAGTGATCCCCTTCGGTCTACCATTTGCCTTCTGACGTCCGCGGGTCATCATGCCGGGGGCCGGACTGGATCTGCCGCTTGGAGTGAGGCTCTTGCCTGTAGCCTTGAGGTTTTTGGTTAAGCTTAGTTTGGTGCTCTCGCTCGGCCACTCTTCTTTTCCAGACTTTTGTTCCTCCAAAACAATCACTTCTTCGTTTCTGCCCAAGCCGACCACTTGTAGAGTCAACGACTTGCCATTGTAATTTGGGTTTGCAGTGTTGTCCTTGATGTCGGTGAGCAGCTCACGATGCTCGCCAAGCTGGAGGTGTGCGAAGGTGTTAACGTCGAGGAGCATTCGGTCTCCGGCGGTGGCCACAATTTCGACGCCAGGAGCTGGGGAAGCACTTCTAGATGCTGCGGGAGTAAGCATGCCAGAAGAGGAGGAATTTTTTAAGCCGCCGAGGATCCTCCACACCCTAACTTTGGTGTTCATGTCAATATTTAACAGCTGCTTGCCCTTCTTGAGCCAGTCATTTGCCAGCATCTTCTTGCTAGCGACCATTCGTTGAGGTGGGATGTCCTTCTCACGCTGAGTCTGTGTGGTGTGCTCACTAGGCACCTTCAGAAACGAGAAGATAGGTGGGTTCAACTCCCAGGTGACATTAGGCATTGCCGCATCTGGGGCACTCCAATCGTGGGCGTATCGTGTGATGACAGGGGAGTTTTTCTGGAGGCCATACCACGATATTATCAGTGCCCAGGCCTCCTGAGGGAAAACACGATAGTCCTCGTCCATAGCCAAGCCTGGTCGTAGCGGGACATAGTTTTGCCCAGCCTCGTCGACCAATTTTGCGTCAGCGTCAATCACCATGGCAATGTCGGAGTTGTCGACAGGGCCAATCTCGCCCTCGGTCGCAGATTTATCCTTCACATCGACAGGAACAGAACCCCGTGCCTGCACTTTCTGAAACCATTTTGCAGAGATGAGGTAGCCCTTCTGTCCTTCCTTCAGCTCTTTCTGTAGAATATCTGTGACTTTGGCGATCTGTTCGTCAATGGACGGTATGGAGGCAGCGGTGGGAGGCACATCTGAACTCAGCGATGTAGCGGCAGTAGACCGGTTGGAAGGACTGGGAACGAGAGAGTCGGCGGCAGAACTGCCGCTGTTGTCTGAGATTGAAGCAGCCGCACCTTGCTGGACTGCACGGGCATCACTTGTGTACACCAGATCAGCCGCGGCTAGATTGGGGATCTGGCGGTGTCTTTCACCCGTGTCTTGCTGCTTTGCCTTCCTGTCTTGAATGCCCGTACCGGTGGTCGTGGGCGATTCTGCTTTGTTAGGCGTGGACCCAGGTGCAGCAGCCGCGGGAGGCTGACCATCGCCCATTTCGACGTCACTATTGTAGGACTCCCTGTCCTGAGCTCCCATATCAGACGCCGGTCTCTTGACAGCTGGAGATGCGGAACGCAGCCTGCCTAACTCATCTTTTTCCGAGAGGTGTTGGTTTGGAGTCTTGTTGTTTTGGGAGGAAGCGGGCATGTCCCGGGCGGGAGTGCTCGGAGGACGAGGTAATGATGAGGTTCAGGGCCGTATGTCACGCCGGGACCATGAGTTAGAGAAGAGACAGGTATGGGGCACAGACCGAAGAAATGTCAGTGTACGTGCTGAGGGTCTGAAAATGATGCAGATGCGGGCAGCGGAGGCTTGAGGGCCAAAGTTGCGCCGCTGCGAGTCCCGAGATGCTCATTCGCGGGTCACCCGGTGCCTGCGCTAAACATTCGCACTTTCCACACACTGCGAGGTACAGGACGTACAGAGATCGATTACAGAGAAGTGAATGGCTTTGCCTCTTCCACGAATGGCGCAACTGAATATGATTCACTGTCCTTTGACATTCACAGCTCCAGGAACGCTGCAGCTGGTTGGAAGCGCCTCCAAGTTCTGCATGCACTCGGAGCCGACTTGGTCTTGACGACGGCTGTGGCTAGCAAACAGATTACTGTTGCGTCCTCAATCATCGAACCTTCCTTGAGAGTCAACAATCAAAGCCGTAGTTGACTCCTGTTTGTCCACCCGATGGACGGACCGTCAACTATGGATATCGGGCTGATCACCAGCGGGAAAGGCTTCCCCATGCCCGGCACCTCACCCACGAACATTACAATCACGGCATGCATAGCATCCTCCTGAGCTGGTCATCTCGCAACAATCTTATCCACCTCATGTCTAGCTTCAGACCATGTCTCCAAGTTTTTCCGTGCCCATTCGATGTGACACCGCGCATAGGAGATCTGTTGAGATGGTTAGCCAGCCTTGCACGAGTTTCAAACGCCGTGACTACTCACCATGTATCTCTGAATATCTTCCTCCTTGTCCTTTTGGAATCGCTTCAGATCTCGCATAACTCCCTGAGTTGCATCGTGGACATCCTTCTCCGACACCTCCAAGGCCTGCTCGAGTTGAGTCAAGCTCTCCCGTGTCTTTCCAATCTGGTCCCTCCTGGTCCTTTCCGGATCGACGTCCACGAACCCATTCACGGCATGCCGGAAGCTGCCAAATATCTTGTTCGTCACGAAGTTCCCACTAGGACTCTTCTTGTGTGACGTAGGTGAAGTCGGGCCTGGATGTGGCTGCCCCTGGGCTGCTGAAGGGGACGATGGGGCCTCACCGTGGGTTGGAGGAAAGTCGGAGTCAACAGACTCAGTTTCATCGTGCCCATCCCTGCGTGGTTCTGGTACGTCCCGTGCAGATGCGCTGGATGTCGACCGCCGCGGTGGGCTCGAGGCAGTCGTACTGCCAGAGAGATACGCGTCGATCCGTTTGGACTCGGCTTCGCTTCGCTCCAACTGGTCCAGAAGATGTCGCTTCTTCTCCAACTCTTCCCTCGTCATCTCTTGCTGCACTCGCTTGAGGACTCTGTACTTCAGCACGTTCCGTACCACGCCCGCGAATTGTGCACTTTCCCTCATCGGCTCCGCAAACGTAGCTCCAAGGCTCAGCGAAAGCTCCTCTGTCGAGATATAAGTGTTATCAACAGCCTGGCCTACTCGTTCGATTGCCGCCGCCACGGTTGGCGACTGCTCCGAGAGCGAGAAGCCGTTATACCGTGCTCCCAGCTCCGCCAGATCTGCTGCGAGCTTTGTCAAATGCTCGATTGTCCGACGGTTCACCTTCTCGATGCTTCCCTGCAAGAGTATCTCCAGCTCACGCGTGTTTTGCTCGAAATTGATGAAGTAGGGGTCTAAATCTGTCTCACTCAACCTTGCTGAGTCTGGAGGGAACCGTCCAAATACTTGTGGGCCCGGTGTAGTATGTGCTGCCGCCGAGGGAAAGGTCTGTTCTGGAGGCGATATGGGCGTACCACTTGCTGAGTATGAACCGCCTGACCTCAATTTGGCGGAAGAAGAGGGGATCGGCAGCCAGTTATGAGCCGCAGTCGGGTTGGCAGGATCCAGTGGAGGTGCTTTCAGATTGTTCTTTGGTACGGATGAGACTGGGTGGGCATGTATGACCTCGTTCTGCAGCACCATGTCAGTGTACTCACTCACAATCCCGGCGACTTGCTTACCCAGCTGGAGTTGGGGTCCAGAAACCGCCACCACACGCCGTCTTCAACAACCTCCTTCATTCTCCGACACCGGTTGAGGAAGACCGCCAGCATCCGCTTCCGCTGGTCGATTATGCCAACATCTTCTTTCGCCTTGGTAGGCTTGGCTGCATAGTCCGCCATGGTGTGCTTCTCGGGAATGGGAGGAATGACGAGGGTGGGATGGAGGTTAACCAGAGCTGCACGCAACGAGCTGAATTCAGAATACCGCCTGGCGACCTCAATATCCTAGAGTATGCATGTGAGCGGGTTGATCTCTGCTTGAAATGTCTTGCGTTAGGCCTACTCCTGTTCGTATCTTGTACACAATATAACCGCCGTCTGCGCTCTTGCCCGCGTCGGTAATGACGATTTCCAGGTCTGGTTGCTCATAGAGAATCTGCTGTACCCTGCTGTCATAGCCGCCTTTTGGAGGGCTAGGCCCCGTCTCTGCCTGCGTCTCATCGTCATCTTCTTCGTCGCGGAAGTGTGAAGGCTGGTTCGGAGAGCTCGTGAATGATGGAGGCGTTGATTGATCAGAGTCTAGTCCGGGTCAGCCGTCATTTGCGCGCGATCTAATGCTCCAGGCATACAAGAAGTGCTCAGCGTTGGGTTGGTCGGCACGGCCGATGGATCCTGGTTGTTGAACGACCCATACGGGTTGTTGTCCTCGTCGTCCTGCCACATCTCGCCCGCATGTGATGCGACGGCGCGCGACAAACTAGACGACTAAATACAGCTGACGGTGGCTAGAGTAGGCAAAGGAAAGCACGGTGCAGTGTGGTGTTGGAGGCATACTGGACTGGATGCACTCCCGCCCGCTAAGCCACGTCATTGGTTGTCGCTTCACCAGGCGCTCGGGCCATTTGATCCGACCGTGGGAAGGCTCTAAGTTAGACGACAATAACTACCGGGCAAGAGCTCCCAGGCACATTCACCGCCACCACGCATCCAAGTCTTTGTCTGTCTTGAGACTCCGTCTGTCTGTCGCAGCCTTGCCTCGATCACTCCATGGAACCCAGTATCAGCCAAACCATCGCATGACTGCACCTTTGTCAATGTTTGGAGGGCTGATACAAACGAGACCTTCCATCCACAACATGCTGAGCGTTCGGACCTCCTCCATCCGCTGCCTCTGCCTCTGACTCTCCCCCAACAATATGACTTCTTCCCCCTGCAGTAAACCACTTATTCCCCGATGCCTCGCGCCCATGATGCTTTTCAGCAAGTGCAGCGCTCGCCTCCAAGTCTTGGTCATTGCTCCCCAAAGCCCTCCCCTTGACACTAAACCAATTCCTCCCTGAAAACAACCTCTTTTCCCCTCTGCCTGCATTTCCGCCTCTCAGTCCATATCCATATGCATTTTGATATGCATACGGTACGGTGGCGCCATTAACGTATGTCGGCTGCACGAAACTCGGTCCTGGCGTGCCAACCACTGACGTTACTCCCGTGGGCTGCCCATGCGCTAGCCACCAATTTCCCTTCCATGGCTTCCGACAGTAATACCATATCATTCCGAATAGCAGACACGCACCAAGGATGGTGCCAACAATCATGCCTGCTCTCTCTCCTGTGCTCCATGCATCCCAGCCGCTATCTTCGGCCAAGGGTTCCACCACATAGACGAATGGCTGTGTTACGGTCGGGTTCGGAGGTACAGACGGGCTAACTGGAAGAATCCAGGTGGAGTAGACGCTCCCGACTGTGTTCTGAAGGTAGATATCCAGCTCGGTGATGACGAAAGTGGATGTCCCGGTCTGCGTGATCGTTGCGTCTGTTGCAGTAATGGGCGACGGTGTGTATTTTGTTGTTGGTGCGACGGCTGTAGAGACAGCAAATGAGGAGGGTCTATGGATCGTCACAGTTTGACCGAAGGTTGCAAAGACTGTTGAGGCAAGGTGTGAGGTTACAGTGATGGTCACATCACTGCTGATGAGAGTTGGTGAGACGATCACTGTTGTAGCGGTTGTCTCCGTCACATATTGAGAGGTAAGCAATGCCGTGCTCAACGCCATCTTCTTTGCTGGGGCGGTAATTGCGGAAGCACTGAGTCACTGACAATGGAAAGCTTGTCGAGTGTGAGATGTGGAAGTAGAGGTAACTTTGTTGAAGAGAGTTACAGGTGCGAAAGCCTTTCTGATTGGAACTTGAAGGGGAAGTGAAAGCTCTGCTTGGCACTCGACTGCCTATGATTCTCACAGGGGCATCACGTTAAGATCCGCGTTGTTCTGTTGCCATCATGGAAAGCTCTCACATCGACCAACATAGCACATATCCCCATGCTTGTTTCGCCTCATGTACCCATTTCCATAGACATCTTCAAGGTTTGGTCGCGTCACCATCCCTTGTCCCCCCTTGCGCTCCTTCGGCATCAGCAACAACGGGTGGCTCACCCGCAGCCCTACGCCGCAGACCCTCCTCAGTCATTGCGAGATACTCCTGCGCCACTGGCACCCATAGCTTCCACGCTGCACATACAACTACTGGTGTAATGACGAGGAAGCAGACGAGGATTGACAGGCCGGGGTTCATATCGTAGGAATGCTAATCTTGATCGAGGAGTGTCTTGAAATTCTGGAGGCCTTGTATTAGTCCTGAAGCTGTTGCTGTGGTAGGGAGAGTGAGGTCTTGGTAACTCACAAGCTGTGAGAAGATCGACCACACAGTGTCGAGTCCTAGGACTTCTTCGATAGCATAACTCTCCTTCGTCGCTGGATGATTGGTTGCTGGAAATTGTCATGAAGCAGGCGTTGTGGTTCGGGATTTGAGGACAGGGTTCGATTGAAGAAGATGTTTTCATCTACACTGCCTGCTAAGAGCGCGTTCGACCGCACCCAGAAATACCGGATTCACTGCAAGGCTTGAGCAAACTTCCTTCGCTCTTTGCAGCTTCGCTCGCAGTTGTTCTTTGTATGCCTTCCTGTCATGACAGTAGAGCACTCCCGCAAGGCTGACGACTTGGAGAAGAACCACGAGTATTTCATGATCATACGTTACACTGAGAGGATGTACATGGAGCGACTCGCGGAGCTGGACCTGGTTGGCACGTGCGCCGCTAGGTGCGACCTGACTGTTGAACTCGGTCGGTGGCTGGCTTGTTGGAGCTTTGAGCTGTTCATTTTCGAGCGTGTCATTGACCGTGTCTAAACCATCCACCGTCCATTTCATAACCGCCTCAAACACGTCTGGAGCCAGATGGTCGATGCCTTCATCATCAAGTACCATGGTCCAGGTGTCGATCTCGCGGATGTCGTCAATGTAGAGATTCTGTCTCTCTTCTGCAAAGAGATCATTCAGTTTTCTTGCGATGGTGCCCAGCTTGGAGGTCACTGGAGTTTCGAGGAGTGTAGTAGGCCCGGAAATACTGCTCGTCTTGTGCCCAAGGCGCAACACATTGACCAGTGCGACCTCAGTGAGTTCTGGTAAGCCCTTAGCCTGGCGCTTCAACTCGTGCAGGACTTCCTCTCTTGCCGCAAAAGCACAATATCCCAGGTTATCCATCGCAGGCATCTTGTGGAGTTTGAATCTCCGGCCAGCACGGACTGCCTCAAGCCTGATGTCTTCATCATCGTCATTGAGTAGGTCGTACAGAAGTAAGAGAAGCCGTAGTCGTATACCAGGGAGTTCCTGGAGGATGACAGAGTCCTCCATGTGGCCGATGTAGGTTGAAACTGCTGCGACAGCGCTTAGCCTCGAAGGAAAGTCTAGGTTATCTCGTGCACTATCTTCGGCTACTCGGAGCCACGCTTCAACTTGTCGTCGATATTCTGGAAGCGGTTGGTGTGCAGTTCCAATAACTCCCAACAGCGACGCTTGTAATTTCAGTGCTGCGTTCCTCAATTCGCGCGGAATGTGCAATTCAGTAATATCTATTCGTCGAGACACCGTTTGCGCCGTCGCCAGAGGTATGGCCATGCCGTGATCAAGACTCCGTGCCAAGCAGGTGAAACCTCGCTCGAGAACATATTGCGGTGGAGACACCTGTTCATATGCTTGATCGATCAGTTCAGCAAGGAAGATAGGTAAAGAGGCACAAGATCCATGGCAGTTTCTCTGGCACAAGACATCCAATGCAGAGCCGAGAGCATCTTTATCGTCGATGAGCTGCGATATCCCGTTTGTAGTCACCTTGCTTTCGTTGGGCAAATCCTCGTCCACCATCAGAATGTGATAAGTCTCGTGGAGTAGTATCCTTTGCAACAAGTAGGGACCATGCTGCGACTTTGTTGCCGCAAGGCTCCTGATCCTGTTGGTGAAGGATTTGGTTCGAAGGATTTGGTGACTCCAGCCACGCTCCAGAATACATGAAGCGACGTCGTTGAGCACATCCATGCATGCGGCGTAGACATACGGGGAGTGGCGGGCCAATTCCCCATCAGCGAGTATCATGTCTCGAACGAGTGTATCGACAACCAATTCGAGCTCAGTCTCATTGACGATGCTCATGCCCTGTTCCAAATGGTAGCGACAACAGAGCAAAACACCATGGACCCGATTCTCCGGGCCAACGAGATCATTACCGAGAAGCGCCATGATTGCTGTAACGGGACTTACTCTCCTGAAGCGAGTCGCCAGCAGCAGAGCTGCGTGTTCTCTGACAGTCCAAGCTGAGTTCCCAAGCTGCCGCGTGACGAGTTCCTCCGCCACGTCTGCCATTGATCCGGCTAAACTCGCATGCCCAAGTAGATCCAGGCCAGCGAAAATGTCTTCGACGGCATTGCTTGTCCCGCGGCTGTCGTGCCCGGGCAATGGCCCGACTTCGTCAAGTAGATGGAACGCAATCATCGATGGCGGCTTGCCTTCTCTATCGTCTAGGGAATGGTCCCTCTCATCTTGCCGTGGTAATGAACTAGAGGAGTCAAGACGGTTGATGCAGGCGCGCAGAAGCATGAGCCCACAATTACGAACTGCCCAGATCTTTGACGATAAGCAGGTCGCAGCCAGCTCCATTACTGCGTCCTGGTATGGCACAACTGCAGCTGAAAATCTCGAATTCGTCATGATATCTTTCAGGCAGTTCAGTGCATGAACTTGGGGCAGCTTCACTTCTCTGAACTCTTGAAGAGAAGCATCGTCGATTGGTCTCTCCGCAATAGCCGTCAAATCGGCGAAGACTCTCGAGAATAGGTACCGGTCAGCCGGACTGAGAAGCGCGGTTATCATTGCTGGGAGCCCGGCCGATCGCCGCGTCAGGCGATTTGCTTGCTCGTCAATCTGGGCTAGAGCAACCTGCCATCGTAAGCCCCCGTAGCCCATAGTTCATTGCAGGCAGGACCAACCGTGTACCATTCCTGGATGAGACCATGTACGGAGGCATCGGCAGCTAACCTGATCTTCTCACAACACTGATTGAACGTTTGTGCGACAGTCGAGAACGCTCCTCGGTGGCGCAACGAAATCAGTTGGTCCAAGCAGAGGCTACCGATGGCGTGGAAGAGGTCGCGAGAGGGTTCCACGATGGCAACCAGTGATTGAAGGACGATGCTTGGGGTGTTAGTAACAATCATCAGGCCCCTGGGACCAGTGCCTACCTGGAATCACGGAGCGCTCTCCACGAAAAGGCTAGAAGGTCTTTGGGACCTTCATCGTCAGCTTCAGTCTCTATCTCCGAGGCTCTTTCTGGAGAGTCGACGCAAAGCTGGTCTCTCACTTGATCCCAAACGTTTGCACACATCTCCAGGAGCGTGAAATCAAATAACCGTACCTGGCCATCCCGGGGCCGGAGATAGCGTAATCGGTAACTGATACCCAACAAGAGACCATGGATGGGCAGGGCGCAGCCAGGTCTCAATTCGATGCCTCCTTGCTTTGAGGTCAAGTCCTTGAAGCGCCGAATTTCTTCGACCAAATCAGTGCTGTCAGTGTCCACGGGCATTTCATTCGAAAGAGTGGCGCAGACACCTCTCAAAGCGCAAAGTCGACCCATGGCATCTGCATGGTCGGCCCTACCAGTTCTGACGGCAAGGACCTGGACCTTCTGGAGGAGAGAAGAACTGAGAACACTCGCAACCAAGCTTTGATCCTTGCAGGCTAGCGTTCGGAGCAGAATTGCTGCGTTGCTCCGGACATCTTCGAATGGGTCGATGACAAGGCAGATCAAAGCCTGAACAAGGCTTTTGTCGCCTACCAGTAAGTCAGGACCCTTCGTGAGGTCAAAAAGATACTGCAAGGAGAGTACAGCGAGAATATGACGCGGATATGACGCCCCTGTACCGAGCTCTGTCTTCAGAAAGTCGTATAATCTTCCCACGAATGATCTGTATGATTCCAGGACGATATTGGCTTCCTCATCGCCATCAACGAGCTGCGTCACCCTCCGTAAGGCTGTGGCACTATTTTGAAGCCTTCTCAAGAGTCTCTTTGTAATGCTCAAGGTCTCACCTCTTTCATGGGCGTCCGGATCATCATGGAGATTTTGCATGCTGGAGGCAATGCACTCGAGTACGCCGGGGTTGACTGTAGCGTTGCCGGCTGGTGAGATTGTTAGTAGTCCATATGTGAGTATCCGCAGCTCGGGATTTGCGGTCTTCAACATTTGCTTGAACCAGTACAACTTGTTTGATTCACCGACGTGCGTCGAGGCTACATCCTGGAAAGCTAGGCCGAAGGTGTCGACCATCTCTACGGACTAGGTGAGTATTGGATCAAGATCAAGCCAAATGGAAAAATACGTACCAGCTTCTGACAAAATTCCTTTTGCTCGCCCGGCTTTCAGGACAGCAATAAAAATGGCCATATTTGCGCCTTTGTCATAGCAAGAACTAGCATATCGCTGCGTAAAAGCGATGAGTTTTTCCTTCTTGTCTAGGATCATGGGCAGCACATGCTCCGCGAATGTGCCTAATGCTGCGTGGTTTCTCTCCAGATACAACTCTATGGACCGTTCGACGACTGCCCGCGTATTAGACACGTCGGTGTTCCGGTGACTGTCATCACACAGGAACGTGCACAGCTTCAAAGCGGCGCTTCTTGTATCAAGATCTACCATTGCAAAGATCAGTGCAACGAAGAGATGAGGGATACTTCCCTTGCCGATATTGGAAACGTCGGATATCCTGATATGATGTTCCGCCAAGCGCTGTCTCCAGGCATAGTCGTTCTCGTTGACACATTGCAACACCAGTGCATCGAGAAGCGGAAGCAACGGAGTTCTTCGGTGCAAGTATGCTAACATAAGACAAGCCTTCTTGATGTCAGATCGGGGCGAAGCTAGTAAGACGATTTTCAACAACGGCAGAGATGCCCTATTGAGAACCACGCTGGCCATAGAGTCATCCAGCTTCGAGAATAGATCACAGAGGGTTTCCAAAATCTGGTTTGCTGGTTTCGCCTTGCCCTCATTGAAAGCCTTGTGAGCACATTGAAAGGCTGCGAACCACGCGTCTTGGGAGATGACATGCTTTCGAAGCTCGGCGGCAGGGCTCATGGAACCACCATTGAGATAGACACATAAGGCATTTGATGCCACCGTGATATGATTATCATTCACCTGGGGACTGCTTGCTGTGAGGACGAGTTTCGGCCACAGACTGAGTAGTCGAGTGATCCCCTGCCCGTCGACCGTGTTGATGAGGTCTCTCCTCAATGAGCCCTTCCCAAGCTCCGAGAGTAGTGAGATTGAAAGTGGCACCTCTTCGGCCAACGCGCGAGAGAGAGGTTCCCTATCCATGGTAGGCACCTGCAGGCATCTTTCGAGACAGATTGACTGACACGCGAGTGAGTTTTCCGTGAGCGAAAGGCAAGGTGGGTAATCTACTCCAAATCGGGACTAGCGTCAAAATGGCGCTCATCGAATGATTCGCATCGAACATTTTCTTCCGGACGATTCGAGATTCCATCTGGCCTTTCACTCCTCATCTGCGCTTCCAACCGCGATTCTCTTGCCGTTTGCCGCTCATCTACTCGGCTTGCTCTCTGTTTTGCCTTCTATCGGTACATTAGAATATGTCGGTGTGGGACGCATTCTCGGGCAGGAAGTCGTCGAGGCAGCAGACGGAAGCCTCGAGCCACGCTCAATCGGCTCCTTCATCACCAGCTGCGCCTACATCGTTTACACCTACACACTTCGATCCCACAGTCGCAACAGACGCATCGTCATTCCTCGGCAGCGCCTCCTTACCCGATGCCTCCAAGTTACATCCTCTTGCTGGGCTGAACCAGCAAACGCTGGACTACCTTTCTCTCGATGATGCGGCACTATCAGACTTGCCTGGCGGGAGGTCAATATTACCTTCGCGCGGCTGGTCCGACGATCTATGTTATGGCACTGGGACTGTCTACCTCGCAGCACTCATGACTGGAGGAGCATGGGGCCTGATTGAAGGACTGAATCGGACGCCAGCCTCCGCGCCTCCGAAGCTCCGCTTGAACAGCGTCTTAAACAGCGTTACCCGAAGAGGCCCATTCCTTGGTAACTCCGCCGGCGTGGTAGCCATGGTATACAACGGTGTCAATTCAACCATCGGGTACTATCGAGGCAAACATGATACCACCAACAGCATTGCTGCCGGCGCATTCAGCGGAGCCATTTTCAAGAGCACAAGAGGCGTGAAGCCCATGGTAATATCGAGTTGTATCGTCGCATCAATTGCAGGCGCATGGGCCGTAAGTTTAAGTCCGTCTCGATTTGGGTCTCTTGTGTACTGACATCATCTGCAGGTGACCCGCAAGGTGGTCTTCGAAGCTGGCGAACCGGCTGAAGCCAGAGAAACCATCATCGCGCCCTCCGGTGCAGCCCTATGAGCTCTTCTTTCTTCATCGTGTATAAAATTCAGTCTTTTCCTGTGCTACATCTTCAGCGATGTGCACGACTTTCGACCCATTCATGTCAATTCTACGATCCTCACTCTTGGATGTGGCGGTGCATAGCGGCAATGGGAACCAGTACAGGGCGTTCTAGGAGATGGATGAGCTGTACGGTAAAAGTCGTTTGAGTCGAACAACTATAGTGGCTTTGAGCCACTGCACTATGGTCGAGCTGGTGGCGAAGGAGATATAGATGCCTGGACGCTGGGGGGCGCCGCATCAGGCCTGCTAGTCTCTAGTACGAGTATACTGAATACTAATAGGATCGAACAAATTCCTCGATTAGGGCGCACAAGATGAGAATTGTTCTTGTACAGCAGGAAGAGGCCGGACTCTTCCCTCCCTCCAAGCCACAGTCATGGAATTTACAAGAAGCGGTCGCTCTTCGCTTAGGCCATACCACGCCTTCATCTTCGGTTCTTGCGTAGTCGTCCCGGTCTGGGCGGAGGCCTGCCCTCTGGGCCTCATCTTCCCGCTGAATGCTGGTGACATAACTTGTGACATTTGTCGCTCATGTCCAGCATGCGCCTGAAATGCACCTCCTCGACCACGATCGCCTCGCTTGAATTATTCACCACTGACGGCTACATCGACGCCTTGGGTGCTGCTGCTAGAGCAGATTGCGCTTGACAAGGTCTAGTACGAGAATTGATGGCGCGGACGGAGCTGTCGATGACAAAAAGAAGCGAGTTGATTTGAGTGTCGCCGACCTCCCCACCTGTGCCACTCTACTGTTGACCGAAATACTCCTGCTCCAACAATGATGTACAGACAAGGGGAAACCATCTCCTAAAGCATCGTCCTGCGCCAGGCTTTCGCAGCCAGGGCCTCAATCAACTTCGTGTCAACGACGCCCTTCGTCTCCTCGTCAGCAATGGCCTCAACCACCGCATCTGCGACCAAGTCCGCTTTCAAAGGCTTCTCAACCGCCGCGCCAAACAAACTCGTCAAACTGCCGCCAACCAGGCTATTGACGGTACTTCCTAACATCCCTGATGCCGCGATCGGCAATGTAAACTTCCGACTATTATCATACAAGAACCCCGGCCTGACGAAGATGTTCCGCAGCTTAATCATCTGACTTGCTATTTTACTCTCTGCTTCTCTTTTTGTCGTGATGTACCTTTTTGGCAGAATGGGCGCTCCGGCCGCGGCCGAAATGTACACGAAGGTACTTGCGCCCTCTCTTTCTGCTTCTTGAGCTAGTGCTATGGCCGAGTCTCTGTTCATCAACTCATACGTTATCTGTCCATCTTTCTCTCCCTTTCCCAATCCCTCGCCTGGCTTGCGATCGAGTGGATTCGTCGAACTGCCGGCTTTGTTGGAGCTGAATGCTCGCGAAAGGCCTGACAAGACGGACTCTTTCCCTGACAGGACGCCCTTGTAGTCTGCCTCGAGGAGGATGCCCATGGTGTGCACGACGGCGTCTGCGTCTTTGAGGTAAGAGGTGTAGGTGGTGGGTTTTAGGATGTCACCCTTCGCCCAGGTCACACCCTCCGACCACGGTGGTTTCGTTGACTCCGATGTGACCGAAGACCATGTCGGCTCGCCGGAACGACTTCATGTCCATTAGTATGTGCTAAAGCGGATTTGATCGGTCAAGGTACCTTATGGATGTGACATCCCAGCCCCGAGCCCTCGCCGACTTGCATATCCTTGATCCTAGAAATCCATTTCCGCCTGCTACGACCAGCTTCTTCTTGACTGTCTGAGCCATCGCAACGTACTGTAGCTCAACTTTGCTTCTGCCGCTTCAGCAACTCACTCCAACCTCACTCCAACCTCACACTATGGCAAGAGCGTTTCTGTACATTTTGGGAGAGTCAACTGCGTCATCGCGAATACGTGCCGCGAAAGGAAGGTGCGGCGAGTTTTTGGCCGATGTCGTTCTTTTCCAAAGGCCCAAATCCAATCTTCGACACTTCCAACCAGTCCTTCCTTCGAAGTACGTCGCTAAACAGATTTTGACAACGAGATTACCTGGTGCCCCGGCTTCAGTACCATCAATCCCGCAACATGCCTCCAGCAAAGCGACGCAAGCTGAGCCCCGAAGCCGAAGAAGAACCCGCAACTCCAGTCAACACAGAAACACCCCAACCCACTACAGACCCAACAGAGGAAGATGCGCCAGAAGCGATATCATCTGCAATCGAAGCCCAAGACCCTGCCCTCATCGCCGAATCCACATCGAACCCTCCGGAAGCAGCTTCAGATGGTGCCCCCAAGCCAACCTCGTCCACACCCACACCTGCAGCAGACCGCCTTGCCCGCTTCGCGGCCCTCAAGTCCCGGGCCTCCCAATCTGCAAAGTCCAACCTAGCAGAAGCAAAAGCCGAAGCCAACCGTGCCGCTATGGATCCTTCTCTCCTCGCTAACCTCTCCCGTCGCAGCGCCATTGCACAACACAACTTACTGAAAGCCGACACGGAAGAAACGGAAGGCACGGGCGCCTTCGAGCGCAAGCGCGCATGGGACTATACCATTGAAGAGTCAGAAAAATGGGATGAACGGGTTGCCGCCAAGAATCATGCAAGGGAGAACAACGCCTTTCAGGACTACAGCGTCGAGGCAGGGAAGATGTACGACCGGCAAATCCGCGAGTTGGAGAAACAAGCATTGAAGGACGGAGGCAAGAATCGCGAAGACTACGACCGGCAGAAAGCTGAGATCATTGAAAATGCAGCCCGCACAGGCGGCCTCGAGATTGTGGAAATGGATAACGGCGAATTGGTTGCCATCGACAAAGACGGGAGGTTTTACTCGTCCCAAGACAGCCTGGGGTTTATCGAACAGAAGCCTAAACGAGAAAATGTCGACAGATTAGTTGCAGACCTCAAGAAGGCCGAGGAGGCAAGATTCAAGAAGCGGAGAGACCGGGGCCGAGAAGCGGACGACGGGGACGTAACTTACATTAACGACAAGAACAAGCAGTTCAACATGAAGTTGGCGCGGTTCTATGATCGATATACGAGGGATATCCGGGAGAGCTTTGAGAGAGGAACGGCGATATGAGTACGGTATGAGAGAGCGTAGAGCCAGAACAGTTGCCCAGTTTTGCAGGACAATTTCTGGCACAACTGCTGGCAGCGACTTTCTTGGTTGGATGGTCCGTCAGGCATGCGAGAAGACCATGCACCAGTATTTGTACCTGTGAGACACTAATACTTCAAGTCCCTTGTCTCCCTTTTTCACGGATCTCCAAGTAAAGCAAATACCTCCTCCCCAGTACGGGCAACTGTATATTGAATGCGCGGTATTCCCCCAAAAAAAAAACTCGATTCCAGAGGTTGACGATACTTTCATACAACCCAATCCAACACGATCCAGCCCATCGAATCAGGCGATAGTCAGTGTAGCAAGCCGGAGCGGAATCGTGCGTGTACAGCATGTGTGTGTGTGAGAGATATGTATAGCAGGGCGGAGATTGACGGTCGCGGAGCAGTCCACTGTAATAAATCTTCCGTGTCCAGAGCCCAATGAATGAATACAGTACGTCTCCTACATGATTACTGTATCGCACTCCCTCACTCGCTCCGGACCTGCCACCTGAGGAATACTAGTACGAAACGGCTTTTATACCCTCTATGTTACTCTACGGTATTGCACTCCATATCTCGCGGCGGACCTGTTACAGTACCTGAGGAATTACGAGAAAAGGGCTGTTCCTTCATTGGTCACTCCATTCAATTATATTGGATGGTGCAGCGGCCGCGCTGGACGGTTCAGGTTCCTGTTCTCCTGACAGATAACGAAGTAAAACCCACGTACTGTACGTAGTGTGGGCGGGTCGAGGGCAGCAGGTCGCAGGTCGCAGGTCACCGATCACGGAACACAAGCCACAAATCGGACCTACGTTTGGCATTTCGTATACGGAGTACTCGTATTACCCAGCACGAGGCACCTGCAGATTCGGCAACATAACATTTCTGTCGGGTCCCCGATCATGCCTCGCGCAAGCATCGTCGTCGTCGGCGCGGGCGTCACGGGCCTGACGGCCGCAACGCTCCTGCAACAAGAATATCCCAACGTCGCGATCACCATCGTCGCGGCAGAAACACCAATGCCCAGCACATCTCTGAATGACACCCCTAGCGCGGACTACGCTTCCATGTGGGCAGGGGCGCATTATCGACCTATTCACCCGCTCACGACACCACAGCTGCAATTCGAGCACAAACTGGGGATGCACGCCGCGGGGATCATGCGGCGGATCGCGCGCGAGAATCCCGAGGCCGGCGTCGCGGAGATGCCTGCGATGGAGTACTTCCAGAAACCTGCGCCTGAACTCCTCCGTATGACGACAGGGGACGTGTATGCATGGCCGGGCGATGGGTTTCGGGTTCTCGAGAAGCATGAATTACCGCGGGACGCGGCATGGGGTTGTGAATATCAGAGCTACTGCATCAATGTGCCGGTGTATTGTCGGTGGCTGATGGATCGCTTCCTCGCGAAGGGTGGGAGAGTCATCCGACGTCGCTTGTCGTCTGTGGGTGAAGCATTTGTCGTCGCGGGAGAGGATCAACTCGTGGTGAACTGCTCGGGCCGCAACATCGGCACGGACCCCAAAGTCAAGATTATACGGGGCCAGACCGTGCTGGTCAAGCAGCAATATCACCGCACTATTACTTGGCAGAGGGCAGATGGGACGTGGGCGTTTTTGATCCCGAGACCGAATGGTGGAGGGACCATTGTTGGCGGGACGAAGGAACTCGATGATTGGGAGTCAGCACCACGTGATGAGACAAGAGAGAGGTTGTTGAGAAGATGTGTTGAGTCGTTTCCCGATTTCGTCAAGACCGTGGAGGAATTTGTGGTATTGAAGGATAACGTTGGCCGCAGGCCGTGGCGGGAGGGAGGGTATCGGTTTGAGATTGAGCAAATCGCTCCTGGAAAAACCATTGTCCATGGATATGGCGCAGGAGGTCGTGGTTATGAGTTGAGTTGGGGCGCCGCTGGCAAGATCCTTGAGCTGGCCAAGGAGGTTCTTGGTGGGAAGGCGAAGTTGTGATCCTCGTCCATAATAGTCCCGAAAAGGACTAATTTTCTCTCCACATAGCAATCGAGAAGTTTTCTCGCGGTAGTCCCAGTGTCAACAGAACTACGCTTCTGTGCGCCTACGCTTTGTGAGAAGGCGAGGCGAGCTGAATCGCTGAGGACAAGTTTCCGTGACCATGTCAGGTACCAGACCTAGTCATTTCCCACAGCATTTCAGCCACGCAGGATCCTCGTGTTGACCTGTGATAGGGATGCTGCTGACGCGGCCAGAGGCGTCGAAAAGCATGGTGGCTTCATCTCGAAGTGAGCAACGGCGGTCGGCCGGCCTCTCATTTCTTTTTGATCGGCTTTCCCTCGGTCTTTTCCAGTTCTTGCAGCCTCGCCTCCTCCTTTGTGAGTTTGGCCTTTTCCTCCGCGATCAGCCTCTGCACCTGCTTGACAGCCTCCCCCAGACGATCGAGCTCTTTACTCTCCTCCTCGCGGCTGAACTTGTTGCCCGCAGAACTCCTCAAGGGGATCTCGGCCGTCGGAGGAGCCTTGACCATCCCTTTCCCTCCCTTGCCTGCCTTCGACTTGATCACCTGTGTCCCTCCCGTCAAGATATCGTAGAACGCCTCCACTGGCTCATTGAACAGGACCTCCTCGTAGCAAACGCTGCTGATCATGCTGCGGTCCCTCTTTTGCGCCTCGATATCCCCGTAATAAGGATGCAATTTCAACCCATGCCAGATCTGCTGCGGCTTCTCTGTGCTCTCCGGCGCAAAGTAGAACTTGATGGCAATCTCGAACTCGCCCCACCCTGTCTCTTCGACTTCATAGGGTGGGCTCTCAATCATGCGCACACTGTTAGGGTATGTGTCGTGGAGTTTGAACTGCACTTTGCGCAGCCAGTATGAGATGTCCTCGTTGTTGATCCCGCGCACGAAGACTTTCCACTTGTGCGTGTGGTCCGGGGGCGCGTCTTTGGGGCGGTTGTCTGGGTCGAAGGGGATGGCTTCGGTGCCGTAGATGAAGGGCCGGTGGATCTGGACGCCGCGGACGCGCTTCACGCCAGAGGGGGCAGGCATCGCTTTTGGAAACGGGTGAATGAGGGTATTCAAAGGACGAGCCAGAGACAATAAACGTCCCTCGAGGTGTAGAGTCGCGGGGACCAAATCTGGGCGGCCCAGTTGCCTAACTCGACAGCATCCGAGCTGCACAGACTTGAAATATCTCTGTAGTTTCACTTCCATCTCCCAGTGGCATGATGCTCACCTTCAACCTGTTACTACTTCCACCCCAGACCCATGAATCATTCCATTGATGCAGGAGATCAGAGCGCCGAAATATCTACAAGAAATTTTATCCTCCCTTCCGGGTGCTCTTGTAGTCACGACCAGTCCAATGACAAGCTACACATAGCATGTCGAATGGGCCTGTGCACGTCGACATCTTCGCTGAGTACCTAGTCACTGTGGCGCCAGAACTTTCTCCGCATACATTGAGTAGCCGTGCCCCAGCCGTCAAGCCTACCATACGCTCTAGTTACACGCTGCAGCCGCGTCAGAGATGGAGTCAGTGAGGGACGGGCAGTTGAATGGATTCCCCGAATACCAAGTCACTTGGTTAGAGCAGCGTCGCTGTCTTTCCCAACAAGGCCAGATGCAGCTCCCGCCGACTCCAATCTTGGCGTGTGAGCCTCTCTTCAGCTTGCCTTGGTTTCCTTTCTTTCGTACCGCATAATCCATGAATCCAGCGAGTTGAGGCCCGGCAGCTCCTCCCACAAATCGATCAGATCAGCACCATATCACTAGTTGACTTTTCCCCGAGGCCGGCAAACAGCGATTCCCGTAACCCGAGATTGACTTGTAGGCGCCACTGATGCGGGCCTCGTAGCCCCTGCAATATGTACACCACGCCTGGTAGGCGGGTGACGAACCAGGCGATCGCAATCTGTCCATCATGTGCCACCCGGCTGGGGGTAGTGTGGCGCGCTCTGTCGTCGTCTCCCACCCTCTCGGCCAAGAGGACCCGTGTGCCAAAGTACGTTAAACAGGCCACTATAATACCACGGGTCCTTCAAGGCGGGAAAAAGGCCCCGGAATCGACGGGCCTGCGACGCAGACATGGAGAGAAACCAATCTATCTTGCGCCGGAGCTCGTGACAGGTCTGCAGAAGCTGGGCTTCTCCTCCATCTTCGAGGTCATGAACGTGCTGCGACACTTCAACCACGAGGTGACGAGCCTGTCGCCAGCGACCGTCTTCCAAGTCCTGACTACACACGAGCGCTTCACGCAGATCGCGGAGCAGGAGTTGAAGAGGCCCGAGGCGCGGCTCATGCGCGACCCGAACCTCCTGCGCAAGGCTTTCCACCTCCTAGGCCGGAACTACTTCCACCAGCAAAACAGACAGGGTCAGGAAGGGCTTGCCGCGCTGAGGGCGGCGTTTTTGGCTGGAGAAGTCGATGCCGGGATTGATGCCGCGGCGGCCGAGGCCATGGTGAACAGAAGTCGCGTGGAGTCGGGCGCGACTTCAAACTCGAGCACGCTTCTCTCGCCACGGCTCTTCGACTTCATCAAGCAGCGAGCCCGGGCAAGGGCTGACTGGCGCGCAATGACGCTGTATCTGAAGGAGATATCGAGGGTACCCCAGACAGAAGTGTTAGCGCGGGACAACTACAATCTTGCAAGGGAGTTGTTCGACATGCTCGAGCCCAGCAAAGAGCTTCTTCTCGAAAACACGCAGCTTCTACGAGCATTCGAGCCGCCGTGGAAGATCCTCCACGACGCTGCGGTCGCCTACCTGGCGTACACTCCTGAGGGCTGCCCCGAGAACGACAAAGTCCAAGCAGACATCGAGACTGCCCTACGCGAGGGAATCCACAAGTACTCGGATCCCCGGGCCGTGGCGCCCGCTCTGCGCCAGCAGCGCGTGATACCATGGCACTCGTCTGAATGGGTCGACCTTGCAACCCAGGCGGCGGCCGCGGGCGTCCACCACGCTGCCTTCGACCTTGCGATGTACCACCTCCGCCAGGGGGCTTGGCGGCCCAAGCAAGCGGACAAGAAGCCGACAGACTGGACAGGCATTGAATGGCTTGCCGTCAGCGCCGCCCTGTCCGCTCCAGACATTCGGACGATGGTCCAATCGAGGTATCTCGGCCTGGCGCATCTTCTGCGGGAGCACGGCTACCTGGCCGAGGGCTACGCCTGGATGCAATATGCGAAAGAAAACGCTGCGGAAGCGGGCTTGGATCCGGACAAGGAATGGGAGCATTTCATCCACGACTTCGAGCTAGCTTGGGCGAAGGCGGAAAAGGACGACGAGATGCAGAAATACATCCAACACAGCGACAAGTTCTTTGCGCCCTACTTGGACGAGCGGGACAAGTAAGGGTTCTCGGTTCCGGGGCGAAACCCCGAACCTTTGTTCCTAGTGCCCCGAACCTCCCCTTGGAAAGGCCCCCGGGCGAGAAAAAATCTGTGAACTGTGAAAAGCCTTTGCAGGCGGAGACTAGGACCAAGTCTTCTGCTGGTTTCGCAATTGCCAGCCTCGACTTCGTATATCGGGACCCACCCCACGAGACCTGACAAACAGGTTCAGCTGAATGCCATTGAGACGAATCGCTGCATTCATCAGCTGAAGCAAAGTGACGGGCTCGAGAAGGGTGGGGACCTCTATCCGTAGCCGAAGAATTTGCAAGTCTGAACACCAGAGTGCGAAGCCACGCAATTGTGGAGAAACAAGGCCGTATCAATTCCTTTCTTTTGCCGGCATGGATGGTATTTGCACACGATCCGCGGCGTCCTCTGCCGATTTGCGCCAATATGTCCTCTTCGGATCGAATAAAACACTCCACCGTTCCCTGTTACATGGTTAGAGTTCCTGTCCAAACAGCACGTGCCCCCTTCCCTCGTCACCAGGAAGTGTGCCAACCTTCATGCTCGCCCTTGCTGAGTATTCGTGCCTTTTGCCCACATATCTGCAGATAACATGCGTGCGCTTCGACTTAGTATCGTGCGGCCGATGCATTGTCCTTTCCAATTCATGCTTCTCACCCTCCTTAGGGCATTCCAGTGGTGGGTCGCGCCGGTGATATTGAGTATCGAATAGTGCCCAGCCACGCTCTGAAAGTGGGCTTAGGCACACACCATGGAACTTGGCCAGGCGAATACGTGTTTCGCCACAAGCAACTTGGCGGTAAACTTAATAGAGCTCGACCTTGCCCCAGGCCCGCCGGGACGAGCATGTCGGTAGATGGACGTTACGGACCTTGCCCATGTTGTCATGGCGCACATCATCGTATGGACGGTCGATAGATTCCGTTCACCCACGGAGACTGAGAAAGATACCTGGCCATGGTGATCTGTGGCAATGGCACGGTACGCCTGCCGTGGACGACATGAAGGTCAAAGACTAAAGACTTGAGAGCTCAATAACCCTAGGGCCTTTGACAACATTCCTTTGCAGGGTAGGTGCACATACCTGCTGATACATGCAGGCAAGGCCCATAGCTTGAGTTTTCAGCTTGTGCCGAAGATGCGCTTATCGACCGTCTAGCTACACACTTGCTGTGCAGCGATGCCCACCCCTCGCCCACGGATGGGGCATTGATGTGTAAGGCTTCAAGACGAGCTTTCCAGGCCAAGCAGGCTCTTCGAGTGGGCCTGTCTTCCCACTCTAGACCAAGACATTACTACAGTATGCTGGGGCACATCATGTGTGGATAGGGTCTTTAGTGCTGCGATGTTGTGGACACCTAGAGCGACACCGTTCGTGTGAAGGGTACGTGTTGGGGATTGATACCGGTGACCAGTCCTGCAGGTCCGACTCTTTGGCTGATCTGGCTTCAAAGCAGCTGACATCCTTGCCTCTATTGGTCACGCCGGGTCTTGACCCGCGGATTTATTCGCCGCGGCACCTTTTCGGTACGGTAGCAAGGAATTTAGGGCAGGGATCGAGGATGGGTCGGGTAAGAAGCAAGCTCAAAGTCTCGCGAGACTCTCTGCGCTGTTTGGAGGAATGAGGGTATATATTCCGGATATTTGGATACCATGCGTGCGAACCAAAGGAGGTGCGGCCCAGCGGGGTGCCAAAGATGGGGACAGAATGGCGACAGTGTGTTCCTTCCATACGCCACGGGCGAGCTTGTCAGGTACCGGGTACCTACACAGTACTGTACAGTGCATCCGTGGCTTAAGCAACCTTGGTCAGCCGCCGCTTCCCTTGGTTTCCGCCATTGCCCGCCGGCGCAAGCCCGGGCACTCCCTCTTGCCGTGCTTTGCCGAAAGATGGCTTCTGCAAGCGCTAAGCTCTGCCGGTTCCGCTTTCCAATGCTTCAACAAGCTGGGTACAGTCATTGCCGCTTCAGACGAGTCCGTGTTCGCCAACTAAGGATTGTGCTCCTTGTGCGCTGCACCACTCCCAATAGTGTATTGAAAAAGCGGATGTCTTCGGGGCAAGGCGGCGGCGTCAAAACAACATACTGTACGCCGTACAGAATAAGGATCGGTGATTGCGCTAGACAAGACCTACCCGGAGGGCCGTGGCTCGCCTGGCTCCTCGAGTCCGGAGTCCTCATTGTCTGATTCGACATCGGATAGCGCGAAAGAGGCTAGTTTCCCGCGGTCCTGCCAATGGTAAAAAGACGATAATAATTACTGGGGGTACGTGACTCATCGGAAAGCGCACCGCCGGAAATGAGCACCCACTACTAAATGGAGTCGGATATCGCTAGCCTTTCAGCTGGCCTGAGGCCATGGCTTCCTTGGCTTTTCACGTAACTCGTAAAGGTTCCTGCTGGACTTTCGGCTCCGGATAGCTGCCGGAGAAAGCCCACTTTGATATCAGATTCGAAGCTGCCTTGGAAGTCATCTTGTTGACTCGCACTTCGCTGTAGTTTGAGAGGGACAGGGACCTTGATGCTCTTCAGGCCCAAGTACAAGTGTGGAGTCCGCAGAAGCGCTCATTATCTCCCCCGGATCTCGGGTTCATGTCTCATGGGTTCTCTGTTCAGGGCAAGACCACAATCTGGGACAGCGACGCTTCGTTTCATCGTGCTGCAGAGCTCGGAATCCGCTCTGCAGGTCGGCGAGCCTATTGGAATGGACTAGACAGGTGACAATTGCGCATGGCCTTGCTGGAATCCGAGTATATCCACAACCGGGGCGTCCAGGAGACTCAATGCCAGATTTGCGAGCTGCAGTGGTGTGACTACTATTAGAATTTGATCCGACACTGGAGGTGTACACAAGAGACCGGCAGCCATGACCGCAGACGTTGCCGGCATTCTATGCATTTGAGCGACGCAACATCAACCTCGAGGTTGCGCTCTATTCAGATGCGCCCGTGCGCTTTCGCCAGTTTGATGCTTCCGTCTCGAGTCTAGGCCTGAAGCGCCCGGAATCTAGACCGACATGGCCATCAACAAGAGCTGAAGGCCCACACCGCTCATGCTGCCCTGGGTACACAGCAGTAACAGTTCTCCGATGCCATGTGGCATGACGATACACACCCCTGGCGTTTGATTGCGTAAATGCACCAGTGTCTCCTCATCCTTTCTCGCTTGCAGCCTCTCGGTTCCAGAATGGTATGCGTCTCGACTATTCGGGTCATCTCCAGGACAATTTGGTTTTAGATCAGGTCCCGGTCGATACCCAGCACAGTGGAACAGTCCGAAAATCCCGCACCTGCATGTCACACTCATCGAACTTTAGGTTGAACAGAGCAATAACTGGACATGGGTATGCAAAAGAACACTGTCCGTGCCGCCTTCCGGCATCCATGGTTCCCATTGAGTTCAGGAATCCCTGTTCCACGCGAGTCGCTAGATCCCGTACTCCTCGTTGCAAGACTCGACGCTGCGGACTAGGCAGGTCTCGTACAGATCGTACCAACACCATTCGCACACTGATGCTGTATCCTTCTATCGCGCATCGGAGATTTCCAGACCCAAAATCATCTGATCTTCAGAATCGTCGGCAGAAGCCTCGCTTCGATTCTCGTGTGCTCGTCGCATTCTTCACAAGGGCGTCCTATTTGAGCCCGACGAAGAATGTGGTACCGCCCAACGCATAGATATGACCTGTAATGCACGAAGACCACCAGCACAACCACCGCAGATGCTGAGAGGCTTTATGTTGGTTGCATGCAGCGCAGTTCCGGCCGGAGGGACTGTAGCGAGGCCGTGTTGGACGTCGGTATGAAAGAGGTGGAGTCCATATCTTGGGCTTAGTTTGGTGAGCGTTGTCTCTTGAGGTCCTCGACCCTTTGCCAGCCTGTCACTTACGTCTCGCTGCCTCTCAGAATAACCTGTTGGATGGAGGGCTAAACGCTGCTCAGTAGTAAACTGTGTCATGATCCCCTGATTCATCGTCTTCAGATCCTCCAGATCCTCCCTGCGATTGCCGTCTCCTCCGCCCCTCTCTCGTGCCTTTCTTCAGCTTCAACGGGAACCCTGCGCCGGAAGAAAGCAGCCCTCTCACGAGAGGGGTGCTAGGATGCACCTGGTCAAAATCCTTTGCGTTGACAGCTCGGAACATGTCGCTTACGACCAAATCAATAAAGTTGAGGCGAGAGCCGGGCTTCAATGCGTCACTTCCCATCTTCATCAGCGTGAATAGCAGCCGGTATTCTCCAGCCTTGCGGAGGGATATATCGGCGAATATGAAAAATGTACCAGGAATCTCGTGTGGTAGTCTCTTACTAGCTTTAGAGCCCTGCAGGAATCTGGCCGTAGGACTGGGTGGCCTCGTAACCGGGTGCGCCGGCATCGTTGGGGGGTCTGGATCCGTCTGGGTATGATGCGGGCCTGCCACGGTAGTTCCTAATAATACTCGTTGCACTTCTCGCCTGCCACTTTCATTGTAGCGAGACTGCGTACTCACGTCTGTCCGTGGTGAGTAACCCCCCACCAGCTTGCAATGCACGACCCAGAACGGACATTGGGTTTCTGCAACATCCTCCGGACAATCGGGATCGAAGTCAGCGATCAGGAGCTGGAGAATCGGTGGTGGGTCGATAGCCCTTCTCGTGAATCAGAATTGAAGTGACCACAAAGTCCGGGGGAGTTACCTTCTGTCTTTCCCATCTGGACCTGCTCGGACTGCTCTGGGTTGCTGTCTGATGTGCAGGCTGATTCGACTTGGGTCTATACCCCGTACGGGAGGAAGGGAGGAACCCATCGTGTCAGAGGCCGTATGAACCGCGGCGGTGGCACTTCGCGCTGGGCTACCGGTACTCAGATCAGGTCGTTCATGAAATCCGCTGACGGAACTTCCAAGTGGGGAAGTCTCGTATGACGGCCTAAAATCTGTCAGCAGTAACAACAGAAGGCGGATCTGTTGATACCTTCGATATGAGGATCCCCTAGCGACGGGGCTATGGCCTGCGGTGCTCGTTATGGACCGCGGCGACAAAGGTGACCTCACCGGTTCATTTTCAGCTATGTGGTCTGTCAGAGGGCGAGGGTGGGGCGGAATGGACAAAGGAGGTAGTGTAGAGGTCGGCCATGCTGTTGAAGACTGAGTTGCAAATGCTGCACTTGTGGGCATGGAAGAGTGGTATTGACCAAATGCATTGACCGTACTGACTGGAGTCGGTACGTGATCTTGATTGGATTGCATCGCCCTTCTCTCAGGTTCTGAAGAGGTCAACGAGAAATAACGAGTGTGGTGTTGACCACCATGGATGTCAACGGTAAAAGACGAGCTCCGAATAGCTGCAGTCATTGTAGCATGGGAAGACGCTTTGCTAGGGTCTTGACCATGGCCGGGTGTAGAATGGGATACTCTGATGGGGACTCAATAGTCGGTCTCTTAGGTTTAGATCGAGAAACTTCTCGATGGCCACTCCCTGGCACCATTGACGGCATTTGGTGAGGGGCGGGCTGGCGCAATTCGAGACCAGGGTAACTGACGCAACAAGGTTGGCATCTGAAGAAAGGGGGGTGACGATGGAATCGGGCGATAGATTGGCGTGGCGAAGGCCCGAGAAGGCGTGCACCGAAATTCGGATGAGGAACGAGAACATGAAAAGAGCAAGGTGTGCAAGACCAGGACCGGCGGACTTTTTGCGGACCGGGATGCACGTAAGAGTTTGTGGTGCAGTAGTGTTTGCGACCTGCCCAGTGTACTAATCTGCGACCCGCCCAGGCTGGCACACAAAAGTGTAGCCAGTCGCAGATTTCTCGACATCTGCAGGGTATCAAGGCCTTGTGTTGGTTGAAGCGCGCCATGTTGGCTATGAGCTGGAGGCCGGTGCCCCGAAGACGGGAATATTAGGACTGCAGTGTCAACGGATGCGAGACAGGAATTTCTGGGACGTGCTGTCAAGGTGCCAGCTCGACCAGAGCATTGGGGACGGTCGTGATGGATCAAGCGACCACGATAGATTAGATCGCTCCAGTCGCCGTAACCTGGCCAAGCCCTACACTATCCGGTGTTCCGGATCCTGGAACAGGGAGCCGTTAGTAGCCAAACCCAAAAGTGAGTGCGTAGTCCTCGGTTTGCGTGCATGACAGAAGCTGATGGTTAGGCGAGCACACCGTGCCAAAGGGGAGGTCGAAAGTGGAGGTGGGAACGAGAGGCAAAGGCCAGTCCTGCACTAAGAGGCCGGCCGCGAAACGCTTTGAGCATGCTGCGTAACCGAAGGGAACTAAGACATGGCGATTGATCTAGGACCGTGATACGAAAGTTCAGAGAGCGAGCAACGAGCCAGGGTTGGGGCCGCAACTCAAAAGACGAAGTCAAGAGGCATGGATGCGGCACAAAGCTTGTACTCCATATGGGGAAAGGTAAGGTGAAGGTGAAATGGAAGTGAGGTGGTAGCGAGTTGAAAGTGACGGATTGGAGAACTGCAATCCACGCTATTACTGTACGATCAACAAATCGCATTCTCGGTAGCTTTTCCGGATGCTGGAGCGACTGGTCTCAACGCTGGTCATTTCTTCACAGCCCATTTATTAAGCCTCATGTTTGTGGCGACATCACATTTCCTTCGACGACATTGAACCGCGGCTGTCGCGGCACTGGAACTGACATTGTGCGCGTACGAGGCACTGTATCATTGCAATGTGGAACAGTACCCAAGCCCAAGGCTCAACGCCCGAACACAGCTTGCATTGCCTCGCATGACGTCCGCGTACCGGCACAAACAATTGACTATTTTCAGACACAAGCTTCCACGGCTGGGTTCTCTTCCGAGTCCTCACAAGAGGTATTAGGATCCCACTACTCGGTAATTACGCACACCCGATCCGCAGGGTCCAAGCAGCTCGACGACAAACCTGGGCGAGGTCTTGCTTGAGGCAGACTTGGAAAATCCATCATGGTGATGGAAATCCTCAGATAGCACCAGTGACATGCGGTTAGGGCCCAAAGTCAAGACTGTTGAATATCCGCATGCACATGGATTTGGGACTGAGTGTAAGAAGGGCAGTGATCGGTGCATACACTATGACTTTCTGGCGTAGGGTTTGGATGGCTTCGTGGCGGCACGTCTTCAAACTTCAACAGAGGTCCCGTTACGACGGAGCCGAGGTAACGCGACCTATCGTGTCGTCTGACTGGTGGCTTAAATTTGACTTACTTGCTCTCTGGCCAGGCCTTAATAGCCATACGACGATACCACGAGCTCTGCAGGAAGCCTAGAAATTATCTTGCTTCGACCAGACGCAATACGACGGGGGCCGTCCGGGAAATGTCATGCATAGAGCGTCCTCGCTGACTTCCGGCCATGAACGGCGTCTGAATCCTGAACTTTCACGATCCGAGGTAACGCTCATGAATCAACATCCTCGAAGTCAACCACTCCGTACATAGAAGTGCATGCAGCCGTGCTGAAGAGCCGGAGCTGAGGGGAACATTCGCGGGTGGACATCGCTGGGGCGAGGGTGCTATTAAGCGCTGATGAGGGCTAAGTAGGGCTATCTATTGGTGCCCTAGCTCCTGCATGAGCATGTCTATCACCTCGAGGCATCTCAGCGGCGCAGGAAGAGCAATCTGCCGTCTACTGACCTCCAGCCAAGGTACTGTATCAACAATTAGCCAAAGTTTTCCAGGGATGCCACACACTGTTCTGCCACAGATGTCGATTCTCATCACCAGCAACCTCCGACATCGCAGACTGGCAGACCAACCCCAGAAATCGGACATTGTCTGTAACTTAATCTCGGTTATCGATCAACGATCAAGTGCTCGACAACTATCCCGTAATTACGCAGCAACGCATTCACACGGGACAGCTCCGTACTGAGTACGTATCCTGCCTCGAAACGGGTGCTCGCGAGAACACAACAACGCGGGGCGCCACTGAACCAAGATGTCAATTATCCACACCCGCTTATCCGTCTACGGATGACAGGACCCTGGCCAGCTCTTTGGGCTCCACGTACCCTGGAGAGCCTCTTCGTCGACTTCATGTCATTTGCGGAAGTAGCGGCCTTGGTCAGTTCCATGGTGTGAGATTGGCAATCAGCTTTCCCATACTCTGATGTTTGCATTTCCCATGTTTGTGATGATTAGCAAGCATCTTTCCCATGTTGTGATTATTGACAGTCATCCTTCCCAAGAAGAGCGGCTTTGGTCTACCAGGAGCGGTTCCACCCCCCTGTCGAAGACGCATTGTACTTCGGTGCCCTTACGTATACCACCAGGAGCTCGAGCATTGCGGAATATAGTGGGGTTAGGAAAGAGTCAGCATCGTCCCCTGGTAGTCCGTAAGTCCATTCACTCTACACAGTACTCGTAGCCCTCCAGACCTGAGACTACTGCTTGTACAGTCTGACAGTACCGAGTCCATGGCAGGATCGAGAGCGAGAGTTTGGCTGCTTTGGCCTTCGCTTCCACCCGCCCGATCCGTGCATTTACCGCACCCTCTCCCATATCATGCTGTGTCAGAATGTTGGCGTCTCATACTGCATTTAACGGGCCGAGTAGACGTGTCGCAAACCTACTTCTACTCGCCACCTTTCCCGCGCTTATTGAACTGCGTGCACACTGCTGGCTGCATCCTACATAAACCACGCGTGGCTTGCTCCTCATTGTGAAATTCAGCCAGGCGATCAGGGAACATGACTTACGCGATACATCTCGATGCTCGGACCACGGCACGGGACCCTTAGTAAGAATGACATGTGCTCAAGATCCGGTCGGCAGGGAGGCGATCTTTCTCTCAATCGAGGCGGCACATAGCACGAGAACAACATTCGAGTGGTAAAACGCGAAATAGACCAGCTCCGCTCCTGCATGGGCGCTATCACTCAATTGGATCGCCATTCCACTCTGCGCAACGGTCGTGGCTTCACCTAGATGATTACGGTAGGAGGTACTTGCCCATCCCTGCGCTCGCGATAGATGAGTTACCGCCTCCGGTGAAGTTGAGATCTATACCTGGTTTGACAGCCTGAACAGCGGAATTTATTAGCTTTCACCCAATGAATGTGACGACCACCGCGCGCCTATTTGCGACTTACTCGACCAAATTCCCATCCGGATCTCTGACATAGACACTCCGCAACTTTCCCTGGGCCCCTGTCCTCTCAACAACCTTCCCGCCCTCGAGAACGTCGATCCCGAGTCCCTGCAGAGATTTAAGCACTTCCTCGACATTGTCTTCCACCAAGAAGCACAAATCGCCACTCCCGGGCTGTACATTCTGCGCTTTGGGCTCGAATTCCTTGCCGCTCTGGTGTAAGTTGATCTTTTGCGAGCCGAACCTCAGTGCATGGCGGGTGATGTTAGGATCAGTGGGTGCCGCGAATGAGGCATGCTGCATCCCTAAAACTTCTCCATAGAATTGGATCGTTGCGGCAATGTCCCTGACGGTGAGGACGAAATGGTCCAGCGACTTGGCTTTGCATATCGAAACCATGGCTGCACGAATGTCCAACTTGGTTCAGGTGTTTCTCGTGGATAGTCGGCGCCAGGTGCCACGGAGAGAGACAGCCCAATGAGATGAAGACAGTACTGACTGTACTGGTAGCTTTCGGTTTGCGTTCGATCAACGCGCGATGCCTAGGCTATATACGCTATGGCCGGCACACGAGTTTTCGACCATTTACATCGATGCCCTCATCCTTCGTCGACTGTTTCTCCAAATGCTTCACCAATTGGATCCAGCTCCGGCGGTACGGCGACGGGGTATCGCCGGCGAATCGGCGAACGTCAAGTCTGTCTCTGCTGTCCATTCGAGGAGGGGATGCACTAGGCTGTAGGACGTGTTTTAGGGTTACAACTCAGATGAACTGGCACCCACTGCATAAGGCTGGGAAGGTACTTTTGTCACGTAACGAGAAGCAGCAACACATTGCTGCTACCAGAAATCCACAGTGCTACCAATGCGACGTCCTTCAACACAAAGCGAACAAACTCATGATCAGGAGGCGCCTGGGGTAGGAATATCAGCTGCCAATGGGTACCGTTGATCCTGTGAGTGTTTGAGGGTCAGAGGATGATGGCATCAACGCAGACCCGGCATGCGTCGAAACGGCGGAATACGAATTTACCTTGTTCCGTGGTCGATATGTAACTTGATGAAGAGATACAATAACGGAAGAGGCCGCTGTAAATCAGATCGGTAGATATAGTCCAGCGACTCTTTCTTGTAACTGCTCGAACCGACAACACCACGGAGCGAGGACATGAGGGAATGGAGTGGACCAAGTGAGGTTGGCCTTTGGTCCTAAGAAGATTAACAATCCGGGTACGTACCTGATGATCGATTGTCCATGTTGGGCATGAAGTGAGCCTGGCTAAAGAGTCTGGCCAAAGGTGACCGCCCAGTGGCCGCGTTAGGTGCCACTTAGTGCAAGAGTTTAGGTGGGTGCCACTTAGTAGGCGTTTAGTGGGTGTCTATTACGTCAGCCGAGCGATTAGATAAGATCACAAATTCTCTCAGTCTGAAATTTCCACCTCAACTCTTCAAGTCGCGACTTCTGTAGACTCTACTCTCCGACACAATGGTGACGACGCGCTTGGGAAGTCGGATAGGCGCTTCCTCGCCCGAGGCAGACAACAAACGCAAGCGCTTCAGGAGCGTAGACGCTGATGATCCCATTGTGGTTGAAGTGCCCCTTCGGGAGTCTAAAGCTGACAACGAACGAGAAATATCAGGTGGAGTCGTCCCTAACCATGATTCGGACGAGGATGCAGCGCCTGAAGTCGTTAGCAGCAAAGCTGCTGCTCGACAAGCTCGAGAGCTGCCCAATCGCTCTCTCCAGGGCACAGGCAATAAGCGACGGAAGACTGCAGAGCGGCACCTGCTCGTTGAGAAGCCAGACTTGACGCCTTCCGTTCTTGGAGAGTCGAAGTCCGAAGATGCTACTATTTCAGACGCAGCGTCTTTGCAACTCGATGATATGCCGCCACAAAACGAGGCGTCGATGACCGGGATTCTGCAGCCTCTAAACGAAGAAATTGGGCCTTCGAAGTCGATAATTCTGGAGACCGAGATATCAGACATCGACGTCCCGCAAATTCCAGGCGAAGGAACGGGAGACCTTGCGGCCCTGGATGCTCAGAAGCCTGCGACTGCCCAATCTTTGCCCAACATAGCAAAGAACGCCGTTGGCGACGAAGCTCCCATCCCTGCACCTGAACCAGCTGCGGAAGTCATAATGGCCCATGTTACCAATGAACCTGAGGACCCTGTGGATGTTGTCCCTCAGATGCGGTCCCTTGAAGAAGCAGCTAGCAGGCCCGGGGACGAGGGACTGGCAGACACACAAATGAAAGAACCCCACTGGGCTGTTGAGGCCGATCGTTCTTCACCTGGCGATTCAACGACCCAGCTGAATGTCGAGGCACAGCAGCAAAGCTCAGAGGACAATGCATTGCCTCAATCTGCTGAGCCAAACTCGACACTGTCTATGCCAGAAGCAGATATGCAAGCCACAAGGACGACATTGACGCTAGAAGAGCAAATCTCTGGAACCCCCCGAAGCAACACCAGCAGTGTGATCACCCCCGTGTGGCGGACGCGGGCCTATGACGAGACATCACTAACAGCAGTCCAGTCTCCGTCCCTCGCCCCGGCGGTCAAGGCTACCCGTGCCCATTCGAACATCCTTTCTCGCCATCAACATCTCATCTCTAAGAAATCAAAATTGACTTCCTTGCAACAATACCGAGATCAATTGCTGAACCGGCATTCACGCACGACGAACTGGGGCCCACCTGGCTTTCGCAAGACCAAGTTTGTCGGCACCTAAACATCTGCCTGCTGTGCTCGCATGCTGGCCGACACTAATGTAGCATTCTGCAACGAGCCGCATCCCAACAAAGTCAATTTTTACTTGACGGCCTGCTTTTCGAGGAACCCGGATACGCGATAGTCTAGGCATGGTGCCTCACAGAGCAGGTACTGTCTAGACCCGCACCGCCGAAGCGATCATCGACCATGATACCTTCTCCATCCAATTTCCTCTCTGTAGGCTCCTCGTACTGGTCCTGTAGCAGGACACCCTCGAGAATCTCATCGCCCTTTCAAGCGACGTGCAGGTCTCCCAAGTCAGTAAGTGGGTGTACACCAAAGCTACACGTTGCCGATCGCTTTCTCTCCCTCTTACTTCCGCACTTGGGCAGGGACCTAGGGCAATACACGACCTATGGCACGGCATCTACATCGCTTCACGTCAAAACTCACGCACTTGCCGACTTCGTCGATCCCCTCGCAGATCAGAGCGATCCGTGATGATCCCGGAGATCGGCGGATGCCACGAGGCCCAATCGCCACACCCAGCCCACACACCGCATGGACTTCATGATCACGATCCATGACCTGGAGAAAAAAGCCGACTGCTACAGCACTAGCACATTCAAGCATGCAACTACGCGCTCAAGCCTCAACATCGACCCTTTGATGTTCTGTATCCCTGAACCTTACCCGTGTTATACGAGCACGCCAATGTGCACTCAAGGAGCCTGAGCCTCATGGGCAAAGCAACACGAATCGACATCGTCGGTCGGGCAGCAACGGTGAAACAGTCAGGTACAGACTCAGACTCAGACGCAAACTCAGCCGCAGTTTCAGTCTCAGTCCCAGTCCTCGGTCGTGACCCTGCGCCGAGGTACATACCTACTCCAAGTTATGTGGGTACCGAGTACTCCTACAGTAGCAAGACGTGGCCCAAGAAAGAATCCGAGTTCCACTCAGTGGCATCCTTGTGAATTCAGCCGTGTGTGAGATGGAGGATTGATACCAGCTTTGAGCCTCAGGTTGCGCTAGATCAATGTTCAGGCTCGGAAACGCCCTCCTTGGTTTCAAAACTACACATTAGATATGACAGACGCCAAGGCGGTTGGATCTACTCTGCTTCTGGTCCTTTTCGTCACTACTCGGGAGACAAAGCACGCCGTATCATTTCCTGTGGGTTGTGCGGCGCGGTAATTTGACTTCAAGACAAATGGCAATTGCAGGCCACGGGACAGCTCGGACTGCATAGCAACGACCTGCCGTGCGTGGATGGGTGTTTGATGCATCCGTGGCAATGGATGCATTTCAGTCTCATTGATGTCGTGATTCGTATGTACAGATACCTATCAGGAACGAAATGCTGTAAATATTACAGCAAAAAATAAGTAAGGCGACTGGTTCAGGTCCTCAGCGTCAAAAAAAAATTGAAACGGGTATCCTTGGCTTTTGCGTGTATCATAACGTCAAATAACTTGCTCCACCCGTCATCTCGACACAGCGGCTCTCATGTCAGTAAGTATACCGCCGGTATCTCGACACGGCGACTCTCCTGATCAACAAGGATACCGCCAGTCATAGAATGGCCTTGTATTGGACGTGCCTTGTTTCTCACTCAAACAGCACCATCCCGTCCAGTCACAGCACGGACCGCTAGAGTCTCGATCCTTTTGGCGTAAAGATCCATAGAATGAACGAGGGGCTCCCCAAAGATGACCTGGCGGAGTTGCTCATCCCTGACCAGCGAGGCCGTGACATCAGTCTCTCTGGCGCCCCATTCCTGCGGCGGGACACGAAGCACAACTAGCCGGCCGGCGTTGGACAAAGTCGCGGGCGGGACGTCCCACCACAGTTTCCCCAGCGGGATGGCTGCACCACGTTTGGGTTTCGGTCTCGAGGGTTTCGGTCTGGGCATCTTCATCGCGGGCGCGAGAGAGAGGTCGAGCCTGGACATGGATGCGCCTAGTGAAGCGAGGGCCGGGAGGGAAGGTTTTAGGTTTGGAGGTTTCTGCTGCACGGCCGCCACGGACGAGGGGACGGGTTGGGAGAGCAGATCGACCAGGCTCTTGACGTAGGCTCGCTCGGCGCGCACGACGGGGTCCCCTTCGTTGATGAACGAGTGGAACAGGCACTTGCGCAGTCTCCCGTCCGTGGTGTCGGGTTTCTGGAGCGCGAGGAGGCTGACAGGCGGGGCGCCGAACGTGACGCAGTGCACTCTCTTGAAGCACCCCGTCAGGATGTTCAGGTCGGACTGCACACTCGTGGAGAGCATGTGTGCGTACAGCAGACTCGCGACGGCGCCGCCAGCCGAGTGGCCCGTGATGAGCAACGAGCAGCTTGCGCGCGAGGGGTTTTCTTCCAGCAAGTGCCGCAGCCGCGCGGCGATCGGCCTGACCATCGCCTTTGCGACGCGCAGGAATCCCGAGTGGCACAGGTTGCCTTGATCATCAAGGAAGCCAGCTGGGGAGACGGGTTCCGTGTCCAGATTGACCCCCCAGTCTCGGATGCTGAACATGCTCGTGCCGCGGATCGCGAACACGATGGTCTTCTTGTCGTCGCACGGTACGGACTTGATCACCATCGCCTTGGTGCCCATGCGGCCGTCGGCGGAGACGAAGTCCTTGCGTTCCGCCGAGGATTGAGGCGAGATGTACGCGCTGTTGGAATACTGCGCGGCCAGGCACAGAAGTGGCCATGTCGGCATATAGACGCGAAACGGTTGCAAGGAGGCAGGCAGTCTCGAGTTCATGTATAGATCGAGTTTCGTGAAGACGTTGAGCTGCTTCTCTTGGCTCAGGCCCTGTTTCTTCTGTCTTGTCTGCTGCTGCTGCCTTTCGCAGGCTCCAAGTGCCCGGACGGGCTCGCGGGTTTCTGTGTATTCTGGAGCGGGCGTAGTTTCCATTGGTATCATCAGCTCTCGTTCCGAACCTGAGAATGCGTCCTCGTCGATAAGCGAGAGGACGTCGCCCAGTTTGTCGTCGATTCTCTCCCGCAATGGCATCGTCGATCTCGGAGGCGCAAGATCGACGGTGCTTGTCTGGGGGCATGCCCATGTATGTTGAGGTCGCATTGGCTGCGCGCCGCAGTCCACCTGGACATTGGGCATCGGCAGTAAGCTCACCATTGAAGTCATGTAGGGCTGTGGGGGTGGAGGAAGGTATGGACCAGGCTGCGGAGTCCATTGCGGTTGCGGCTCTGAGTAGATCGGTGCGCTGTTACCGAGGGCATAGGGCGGCGGATTAGGAGGGTAGACTGGGGCGACTGGAGTGACTGCAATTTCTGCGACCTTGCGCCGTTTGCGGGAGGTGTTGAAGAAGGGCATAGTGTATTGCGGCCGTCGCTGGGGTCAAGGTGGCCACTGGCAGAGAATAGACCACGAGACGGGGAGGATGCGCTGCGGCGATATTGTTTCGGCTGCCTGGCGAGTCTCGTTATATCCGCTCCTGAAGCGAAGCACTTACAGATCGGCTCATTCTCGAGATGAGGAGGGGTAATTACTGACTACCTTCCGGCCCTCATCTTCAGCCTTGTTGCGTCGCCCAGCGGTCTGTGTTACCCGAAGTTTGTGTCTCTTGCTTCCCGGATACGTCGAGGTCCCGCGCTTGCGCCACGATCAACATCCAATCACGAAGCGGCCATGAAAGATACCAAGAAGCGCAAGAAGATCATTGACAGAAAAGTGAGAAGCAGAGCCTCTGATAGGCACACACCTTTCCGAATTGGCATACCATGCGCCCGCGTTGGGCGAAGAATCAGAACGAGTTGGTCAAAGTTTGTAGATCGCAGGAGACGATGATGCCACTGCTGGACTTACTGTGTACTCGTCGCCTCGGCCCTGTCGATACTGGGGCTTAGCCTGGACTCTTTACCAGCTAGCATCCGAGTGCCGTGTGGGCCCAGCCTTGCATGAGAAGAATGTGCGGTAGGTGCCGAGTTGAGTGCGAGAGCATACAATCAGGAATTAGGACTCGGCGCTTCAAGTTTATGCCTTTCAGCCTGAGTAGTACCGGCGCATTCTGAGAAAGTAGGTGCTTCATGACGATCGGTACAAACCTTGAGCAGCGCTCCTGCAAACGGTCTTTGATTGCATTGGGACACGTATCTGCACGGACGAAGGGCTGCAGAGCCAATCGTGTCGCCTTCTGATTATGGAGCGGGAATGCCGCGTCAAGATATGAATTGGACGACAACAGCAGTGCTGGCCAGATAAGCATATTCAAAAGGGTGTCTCTATCTGATATTCGAGTCTGACCGAAGCAACCTTTCGTCATCGCGAGCACTCCATCGAGCAGATCGAGGTGGTTGTTAGAGCCTAGTATGCTCTGATTTCTCGAGTGGGAACAGAACTGACCTTGATCGCAGAGCTTCCGCTCGGTCAAGTATGGCAGCCTTCTCTGCTCCGGACTCCGGGTCGGTCGACACCAGAGAATGCTGAACGCATCGCATTTCTTCGGTGCGGCGCCGATGACATCAGCTATGATTTGAAAGCAGCACGCCCCAAGCAGATGTCAAGTGGTAGGCCTGTCAATGAGGCTATAAGTCAGGTTCACATATCCTCAACCCGCAAGTCTATGATCGTTGGTGGCGTCTGTGGTTCGGAGGGTTTCATGCAGCTTCATTGTACCTGCAAAGTTGCAATTGAGCGGCACCTCACTGTGGTTCACGTCACAGAGGAATGACAGCGGGACGAGAGTCTACTTTTGTAATTCCAGGTGCTGGAGATTCATTCGACAACTCACGATAAGCAAATGGGCGTCGCACATCGCCCCTCCAGACGGCTATTGTTCTTCGGTCGGTCCTAGAGCCCATGCCAGATCATCAAGCATCTGTAGCAAGGGCGTTGTTGCGCCGTATCCATGGGCAAACAGGAGTGGGAGGTAAGAACTGTCAGTTCGTACTGAGACTTGGAGCCGCTTTCTGTCTGTCGAGGCGTCAGTGGTTCGTGATTTGCAGTCTCCTGGTAAGAGCCATCCACCAATCAAGCCAAAGGAAAGTGTTATTTGTGGAGGCATGTCGTCGCTCGTCGAGTCTGACTTGGGTAGAGACAAAGTCCACAGAGGAACCCATCATCGCAGTGAGGACGTTTGAAGGGATCCTCCGTACCGGGTTCTAAACGATATGGATGGTAAGCTCATGCGTAAGCAGGCGGTATGGTATTGTGGTACTGATGTTGAGCTTACGGCCAAAGCATGGGACCTGGAAGACAGATCGCAGCTCCCATACCATACAGTGGTCAGATGATATGGGATGTTGGAAAAGAATCTTAGATAATCACGTAATTCGGTCCTTGTTACCACTGATGCCAGTACGGTATCCTCGATGATGGTAGTGCTGGACCTCTGCCTGGATCGAGTTTTCTCTGACTCCCATTCAACCATCGGCGACCAGGATGCCCACACGTGGACCGGGAAATGTTTTCCCTCGGTCTGCACCTCTTGGGTGCTTCTTGTCCGTCGAAGATGATAGCGAGGCTAGATACGAAAGCCCCACTATTGTCAGCATCAAACCGCTCCTTGTTGGTTGTCCCGCCCCAGAGGAGCTGGCGAACTCGGAGACAACCGCTGAGACGCACGCCACGTCTACTGTGTATTTGATCGTTGATCTGGCCTCAAACTCTTCTCCTTGGCTGGTCGGCGGACCGACTATCCGGTAGCCTGTTCCCACTCTTTCGAACTGTCCGCGAGCTGCCTGTGACCATGGCGCATTTTCGTTGACAGCGTGGAGGATTCCGTTGTACTCGATGCATGTCCAAGACTGAGCTGCTTTTGCTGCGCGATCACCGCTACGACCTACAGCGCCCGCAGCCTGTCATTCCTATGCTTCTCCTGACAGCCGTCAAACACGCAGCGGAGACGTGAACTCCTCAACCTACGCAGACTTCCGGCCAAGGTTTGACTTCCGCACCATCTCTTATTTCTCTGTGGACCACGCCTCTCTTATTCATAGGTCCGGTCCAATCGGTCACAGCAGATCTCTCTTGGTTATCTGGGATCATTGATGGAAGCACTGCGTTATTGGCGCGCACTGGACAACTTGGGATTGAGCCAGGAGATTCGCCTACCCCTGAAGAACCACTGAATCAGTGCGTGATGCGCCCCATGCCCTCGCGAATCGTCTTCGCCTTCTTGCGGATGATGTGGACGCAGTGACACTAGGCTAGAGTTTCACTTCGGCGTGGGCTGCGCCTGCGTCTCGACGGATGCAGGCAGCGGTCACGCTTGCATTTCGGATCCCCAGATCGAAGAACGACGCTGCAATCTGACTTTACCATCTTCCACCTGGCGAGCGTCCACCTAGATGAGTTCCTGTTTCCCTGGACTCTTCCCGCGAAAATGAATAGTCCATGGGGCTTGTTATCCGCATCTACGATCGCCCTCACTCCTCACGAGTACCCGAGCGTGTCCAGCGCTCGCTCGCCAATCAGCTGGAGCGTCGCAACTTCTCGATTTGAGGCAAGTTCCGCACAGGATGACTTCGGCTAATGCCGTCCAGAGAGCCGACACACATCGGGCACTTCGTGTCAGCGTACTCTCCGGCGGCAGAACTGGATTTATATAGTCGCCACCATCAACGTCGAGGAATTGCGGAGCCTATTCATCTATTCCACGAGCATCAAGATCTCCAATATGAACACGAGTCTGTCCTATTACCCCCGACTACAGGCTCGAAAGTACGACTGCATATTCAACCAAGATGTCAAAGAACCAAAAACCCACAGTATACCTGTTCATTAACAAGGACAGCGCGTCTCCGTCTCTCTCGAGGAGTCATGGCAAAGACGCCTCAGCTATCCTCAGCCATGTCCAGTCATGTCGAAACCAAAAGAACAAGCGACTACACATGTTTCGCGTGGATGATGGCGTGCCAGAGCCACCCGCGAAACGACCAAGCTCACGGACTCCTCGACTCTCTCCCCAAAGTATCGTCTCGTCCAGACAGAGCTCCCCGAGGCCACCACCATCTCCCGGGGCTGAGACGTCGTCAAGCAGCAGCCCGTCTGTGTCTGCGAGCCCACTGAGCAGCGTTGGCTCCGCAAGTCCCCGACCTCACAGAACGGAAACGCCAGATGTCGACGAACTGGTGGACTACTTTGACACCGTCTCTCTGACATCGGACCATCAACCGGGCACACATTTGCATAGGCATGATCTCTACCAGCAGATTGTCTCTTCCGAGGATTTCCGGAACTTCTCCCGGCGAATTGCTGGAGATGTCAACGGATACGCCATGCTTGCCTGTACCGCGGCGAGAATGGCCGTCGACATCCCAAGTCGTCGCGAGGAATTCGAGATCAAAGCGACCAGGTATATGCAACCATCTCTGCGGTGGCTACGCGAACAGCTTGCGGATCCACAGGCGAGAATATTACGTGACCGCCAGATCCTGCAAGAGATGCTCCTCCACTGCGTCACAAACTGGTACCTCGGCGATCTTGTGGCTGCCCAGACACATCTGAAGGCGATGAGCTGCTTTACTGCGTCTCTTGACCTTTCGCGAAGCTCGGACCAAAATTTGATGGATATCATCGATCGCTGTGGTCTGTATATCACCAACCAGAGAAGGGCCGAGCACCTTCCATATCGGTGTGCGGAATGAGAACAACGCATGTCGTTGATTAGGCTTTCCCGCGGATTTTCTAGCCGGTCTGCGGGAGTCGCACAGAGCGCACCTCAGCGGAACAAATCCCGACGTTGAGGGTTTGAAATCCGGGCTGAGGTAGTACTATGGTACTGAGGCGGAGCCAACCGAAGGACCAGTAGAGGGGATCGAGATGGCCGATTCCATGGTAAGAGCGATACAGGACGTTATGCATGGGTCACACTAACACTAATATAGAAGCTCTGGCCTCCAATCGCAACGCTGTGCCAATCGACGGATCGGCACCGATCGCACACTGCTAAGAGATCGATCAACGATGCACAGTATTTCGAGAACCAGTCTGGTGGAGCGCTATGCGACTAGACACATTTGGAGGAAGGCCAATATCAAGAGAAAACGAGTCATGGTCAAGGCCGGAGTGACCCACGTTCGACATATCGACCGACCCACAATCACCATGGCAGTCACGTTGCCAGAGGTGCAAGCCCACTTCTCCCCGTCTCCGACTGGTGCCACCGTCCTAGGCTTGTGCAGCCGTTGCAGCCTTGAGACATCTCAATGCTATTCATCTGATCACCACGACGATTCAATGTTCCCGTCCCCAATATATCCAACCTCCTCCAGCTTGGCTACACAGGCATGCTTCCGAGCGAGGAGGGCACCTCAAACCTTGGAGGATGCCACAGCACTCTCGACCTGAACGGCTCCAAGCTTGTCTCCCATCACTGCCGACTCGGTGGCGACGTCGTTCTCGTCCAAAAGCACGACCTTGTCTCCGAAGGCAGCGGCAATCTCTTCGAGGGTCTTCTTCTTTGTCTCTCTGAGAAGCCAACGGCAGTCAGCCAAAGACCAGATGGGCTCGCGACCAATGCGCACGATGCAGAGAGTGCAAGCGAGAGGACCATGACTTACGGGAAGAAAAAGTATGCGAGGATGAGGAAGAAGAACGAGCACGCAACGAAGACGTAGTAATAGTTCTGTATCGTAGATCGGTCAGTCAGCCAGCCGTCGAGTCGGAGGGAGGTTGAGCCAGTCAGTCAGACAGACAGACAGGGTCAGCGCCCGGGCCGGAGTGCAACTTGTGACTCGCTGGTGCTGATACCTTGCCTGTCTCCCTCAGATAGTGGATTACTCACCTCATGAATGTTGGCAAATGCAGATGGTCCCGCCTCGGTGACTACAATCAAGTAAAGAGTACAAGGTCAGTCCATCGATTCTGGCAATAGCCTTGGTTCGCGATACACCCTCCCACGCGTGTTCAGTAAGCGACGAGGAAGCCAGTGAGTGACTTACTCCCCACATTCACAATAAAGTGGCTCGCAGCAGCTAGACCCATGACCTTGGACCGCAAGTTGATGGGCAGGACTTCGGCGCCGTAAAGCCAGGTCGTCGAATTGAGCATGCCGTCTAAGGTACAAGGTGGGGTAGGTCAGCGTCAAATTCACGTGGCAGGCAGGCAGCCTTGCTGGCATCTGCCTCGCGGTCGGCACTCACAATAAGCAACAACAAACAGATAGATCCCCAGCACGGCGAAGCCCTTGCCGGTCTTGTTGTCCGTGTTCTGAAATTCGCGCTGCATGACGGCGGCGTAGATCTCGATGACGATGATGGCGGACAGACCGGCCAGGATCATCCTATACGTGGGAAAGCGAAACTCGGGTCAGCATCGGGAAGCAGAGGCAGAAGGAGGAGAGAGGTGAAATGCTGCGGGATCTACCGTACTTTCGACGACCCCATTGGTCGGCGAGGAATCTCGTCGTGAGCACGTTCGAGGTGAAGGCCAAGGTGCCGTAGATGGCGGCGAGGGCGAGGATCATGTGGCTGTTTATGCCTAGGGATTTGAACAGGATGGCTTGGGTTATCCCGTTAGCAATTGTACCACTGCATTGGACCTCCGGACTCAATCCCGCGAGTCCAAGCCTCCAGAACTCACTTTGGTAGTATTGGATGACGTTGACGCCCGTGAGGCTAGTCATGGTTTGCACGGCGATCGAGCTGGCGCGGAGGCAGCAGTCAGCGCATCTGTCTCTCCTTCACATGGCCTGGTAGCGTCCACGGATGAGAGAGGCCACATACACCAATGCCCTGTGTCTGAACAATCTAAAGACCTCTCCAAGACCGTTGATCTCTCTCTGCTGCTCGAATTCAATCTGGCGGCGCATCAGAGTAAACTCCTCTTGCACTTCATGGCTGGTCAGGTCCTTCCTGATGCGCAGGAACGCGCGGCGAGCTTCTTCGATCTTCCCCCACCGGATGAGTTGACGGGGCGAGTTCGGCATGAATGTAGCGAGACCGATGAATAGGATTATACCCCAGGGAATCTGGATGCCGAGGGGTAGACGCCATTGAATGGCGCCGTAGGGCGCGTAACTGCATGCGAAGCCGACCCAGTTGGACATCATTGTTCCCAGAGAAATCCCGCACCCTGAGATGCCACCGATAAGACCGCGGACGTTGGGCGCCGAAATCTCAGACAGGTAGATGGGCACTGTGGCGACCATGCCTCTAGTGGCCCAGAATGTCAGCTCCCACATGCTTGAAGGTGGTGTGGCATGAACAGGTCAGGCAATACTCGACTCACCCGACCGCGAAGCCAGCGAGCACACGACCAGCTAGGAACATGCCAATGTTCTGAGAGGCTGTTTGGATGACCGTCCCGATCGTGACGATCACGCACATCATTTGCATGAAGCGGATTCGCCCAAGCTTGTCGCCGATGGCAGTCTGGGTCAAAGCTCCCACGGCCTCGCCGGCAATGTAGGTGGAGACGACCTGGCGGTTTTTGTTAGATTTCTCCCGCGGCACGGGTGCCTGAAAATGTAGCATACAGCGCCGGTCAAGCCTTTGTTAGGCTTGTCCATGTAGTCGATCCAACTCTGGTGTGCGATAGCTGCGAAAGCGGCGTCAGTATGTGCTGGAAGCCCTTCCTCTTCGGAGAGAACAACTCACTTGTGGTGGCGATGCCGGTGTCGAAACCCTATTGATCTTGACGTGAGCGACCCAAGGCTTGAAGATAGAGCAGTGAAGACTCACGAAGAGGAAGGTGCCAATCGCCGCAAACATTGACACACCCAGTGTGTACCATATTGTTCCTGCCATCTTGAACTGCGAAAGTAGCTTCAGTCTTCCGCTTGGACGAGGTAGCTCAACGGTATGTTATGGAATAGAAAGAGAATGTCAGACCCGAGGGAATGGTCGTGAGTAATAATGGAAAGGCAGCTCGAGAAAACGTGGGAATGATCAGCGACCATGTGGTCTTCAATTGCCGTCGGCGTTAGAGCCGACGGAGTCGTATCTGCCATGGCGTCTCCTCAATGGCCCAAGCATGGTGACAGGAGGTGAACATGCAGCTCGGCTGAACATCGAGCGAAGCCGAAGGGCAACCGAAACTCTCTGATACTTCTAAGTGATGCGCCATCAAATGAAAGTGTCCCAGATGAAGAAATCTGGTACTAAAGCAGTCATGACCAAGAACAATGGGAGAGGGAAGAGCCTGTTGAACGGCGGTAAATGCAACGGGGCCTTGACCGAGCTCGGTCCGTCCGCTACAGTCAGCTGCCGACGGCTGTTCCTTGAGGTGAGGAGAGTGGTGGAAGCGTCGAGCATGGCGTCGTGGTAAGCGAAGCAGCAGGGGGAATATCTGGAGTTTTGTGGGGGAGCCCAGCAGGCCGGAGAGATGGAAGCTTGGGCTCGAGGTCCCAGGCGACAGGCGAAGCTCCCCAAGCTCTTCAAGCTCCACCGCCAAGTGGCCATGGCGTTGCAAGACGGAAAAGACCCGCGCCTTCTCGGTGCAATGACCGACCGGCCGATGGTAGTTCGAAAGCCTCGTGGCCTTGACAGGTCGTGTGCAATTCTTCATTGAGTTCACGGCAGGGCGGTGTAGTGGAAGGTGTCAAGACGAGTTGGCGAGCAGCCCGCTTGTCACGGACTCCTGCGATGCGTGCCGTTCAAGAATCAGCGCAAGTGGTGGATGTGATATGCACTCCACATTACGGCCTCGAGTCTGGGGCGTTGAGCACCCAGGTCAGCCGTAGATCTGAGTAGTTTTTATCTCTGTACTTTTCCCAAATTTCCGTGGTGAACGCGCTGGACGTTTTGTCTACCCAGATTGTTGAAATCCTCTGGTGACAACAAAATGCTCCCAACAGTCATCCTACACACATGACCATCACCTACCTACCCCTCCCGCTATACATGTGGATGGTCACATCAAGGCTCGCCCCAGATCTCATCCGCGATCTGCCTGATCAACCTCAACTTATTGCTTTGGTCCTCGGCGCTCAGCGGGTAGCCGCTCTCATGAGTGCTGAATCCGCACTGCGGGGAGAGCTCGATTCGCTTTAGTGCCTCTTCTTTTGTTTGCTGTGATCCTTCCGCGACAAATTCGGCCGCCTTGTAGATTCGCTGCTTGACTTGTTCTTTGTCCTCCAGCTGCCTCAGCTTCGTGCTGATCGCCCCAATCACGACGTTCTTGTTCTTGGGCAGGTATTTGAGCGGTTCGAAACCGCCAGCCCGCTCGGTGTCGTATTCCAGGTAGAAAGTCGATACGTTGAGCGTCGTGAAGAGTTTCTGAGCAATGATGTCGTAGGCTCCCTCAGCGAAGTGGCGCCCGCCAATGAAGTTGCCACGGCAGAGATGGATGCCTGTGTGCAGATCCGCAGGGGCGTTTGCAAGGGAGTCGTTGTATAGTTTGATGTAGGCGTCTAGAAGATCGTCAACGGTGCCAGTGTTGTCCTTGTCCTGGGCCCAGCCGTCACGAAATTGCTTCGAGCAGAAGTACGCCATATTCGGGTCGTCAAATTGAACGTTTCGGAGCCCGGCATCGTACAAGACCTGCAGCTCTCGTGAGTACGCCGCGGCGACGTCCTTGAAGTACTCGGCGTCGTTCGAGTACGCCTCGGGTTTGTACGCACTGCCCTGCTTGTATCTCATGTGGAACCACGACGGCGTGATCATGGTTAACTTGATATTTCCCCACTCTTCCTTGGGCACAAACTCTTGAACCAGCTTCAGCTCATGGAGGTTGGACTTTGTCCCTTCATGCCTGATCTTGCTGCCGGCAACCACGGAGTCTCCTGGCATCACCTTTCGATCCTTCTCTATCAACGACACCACGTCCGGGTGATACAGCCGGAACATACTTGCTTCAGCATCCTGTAGTCTGATGGTGCCAGCCAGCTCATCCCAAAACAGTCCCCAGAAACGGGTTCGGTTGTATTCTCCAGATGTGACAGCTTTGAGACCCAGGTCGCGCTGAGTCTTCACAATCTGTCCAATGGATTCCTTTTCCACGGCAGGAAGGCCAGCTTCTTCCTCCGAGATGCCCTTTTCTCGAATGGCTGCTCGCACATCTAGGAGCTTCTGCGGTCGAAGCAGAGATCCCATGTGCTCTGCCCGGAAAGGGGGCGCATGGTGCAGCTTCGAGTCGGCCATTACGTATCAACTGTGCTAGTATATCGGCGCAGTGTTTTTATAACCAGAAGGAATATAAGGATCAGGGCGAAGAAGAATGGCCATAATGAAATTCTTCTTCTTCTTCGTCGCCAGCTGCCCCACCAATAAGCAGAATTTTCCCCGCAATCGAAATTCCATGGCGCCGTCACCACCGTGGTGGCTTTTAGCCGGCCTCGAAGGAGATGCGATGATCCTGCGATATCGGATTTGTGGAAGCCTGTGCCATATATAGTACACATCTCGACCACGTTGCAGCTTGGCCATCTTTAAACATTGCTCCTGCTGTACTACTGTATACAGCCCAACTCAAGTAAAAGTCGCATAGTGCTCTGCCTCTAGGTGGAACCACGCACGAAGACGTACTGTACTGTCTGCTTGTTCAAACTACCATCGAGACAGTCCTTGCAATCTATCGCGACCATATATCGATGAATATCCGAGAAGCATCTGACATTGTATCCGAGGAGGGTCTGATGCTTCTTAGAACCGTGAGAATTTCACCGATTTAAGGAATGTGAGAAGTATCTAACACTTCTCGGATACAGTTTCAGATGCTTCTCAAGACACCTTTCGGACGCCTCTCGGATACTTCTCGGATACTTTCTCAATGCCGATTCCAACTCTAAGGTACATATAGGTTCGGATAGTACATACTGTTTCAGGACCTGACAGTACTAGTATTCCAGCGCAGTCATTGCGGTGCCCAGGTCATGATGCTTGCGGAGGGCAGAGAGATCTCAACTTGAAGCCAACAAACTCAGTCCATGTTGAACTCAACCATCGACACCACGATTTCTAAGCCCTTGTAAGGTCCTGCAGAAGATTGTCTAACTGGATCACGTCGAGCGCGATTACAAATCCGCAACAAAGCGTAGATGGCCTCGCTTGTAGTCCGTCCTAAGGTCATCTTCGGAAAGCACGCTGCTATGTAATTATCTGGCCGAACTTGACAGAGCAACACATACGGACCGCACAGAAGGCAACCTTGGCGATGAAAAGTGCAATGAGGACGACACGAGTTCCCACTCACGCCGGTCAATATTCCGCCAGTCGCTGCAGCTCCATCCGAAGATGCACAACTGCCAAGGTGTCAACGATGTAATCGGAAAGCCCTATGTACAGTAGGCTTGCCTTCCAGCCCGCGGTCTGTCTCTTCATTCAGACGTGCGCCTGCCCTCAGCCTACCACCGAGGCCTAACACCACAATTGAACTGGGCAACAACAACCCACTGTTCCGTACCACCACCACACCTGAGACTCAGATCCCCACTATCAGGCGGGTAACAATAGGAGTTGAACACCCATCCGTCACTCCCCGCTCTCTCCTGGAGTTGGAAATCGGTCTCTCCACATTTCGACAGACGATACGTGGATGACCCGAGGGTGAAGGTATGGCCACAATATGAAGAGGTTGTGGGAGATATCGTGGTGCCGGGACATGGTTGAGAACCGCTTGTCCAAGCGTAGTTATTTATGGCGTCATGGCCCAGAGAGATGGTGATCGCGAGCGATTGAGACGTAAGCAGGGCTGCGGCAGCGAAAGTGGTGGTTAGAAATTGAACCCTCATGGCCAACGATCGTTCGGCTCGGAGATACAATCAATCACCCGCGGACTAGATTGGACTGGAATGTTCCTGGTGGCCACTGTTGAGAATCCGATGAGGCGAGATTCACGAGGTCCTTATACACTGTACCTACCAAGGATATCCTACGAAGTAACTGTGGTCAGTAGGCCGAAGGCAGCACAGAGCCCCCTGATCTGACAGCAGCATCTCGTATCGCATCGCATCAGCTAATGCCGAACGACTCAGCTGAGTCTCATGATGACTTGAAGTCTGAGTGCCATGTGATCAGATTGCCTGAGGCAACAATGCTTACTGCACCAACTGGCCCATGCAAATTCCCTCTACAGAATAAAGGGAGTTCCTAGACAACATTGTGAGTTTGTGGATATTATGTACATACTTAGTATGTAGTACAGTATGTAGGCCTTACTTCTGCTAAGGAAAAGTGTTACTAAGTAAGTACTTTGGTCTACGATGTACTCTATCACTGTCCTGCCAGACATAGTAAGCAGAGTACCCGACCACCAACCAAGGCGACTTCGTTCAATATTCCTCTTTACCAGCTGCTATTGTTCTGTGCCGAGCACAGTCCGGACATCTTCGTCACTTCGCTGGCGACTGCATCGTCGATGCATCGCCATGGCATCCATACTCCGATGCGATTACCCCCGGTGTCATACACAGGCCCATTCTTCAATTCAAGCCCTGTTCGCGGCGATGATTTCCCGCTCCTCCACATCCTCGGCAGTCTTCTCACCGAGACTGGTCCGGTTCTTTTGTTGCACTTCCTCCTCTTCATCCTGTTGCGCGGCTTTCTCCAATTCTTCCTTCTCTGCGTCGGTGGCGCCGTAGTAATGGATGGCCACTTGTTCGCCGAACTGCGCATTGATATCCTCCTAAACCCAGAGTCAGTAATGGTGTTGCGTGTTGGGAGGCAAATTAATTCGTTCACGTTGAAAGCAATGTGGAGAGGGGTCTTCTTACCAAACTTCGCCCTTTGGTTTCAGGACACATGAAGAACACGAATACAATGTGTAGAGCTGTAGGGATGATGAGGACCAAGAAGAATTTCCAACCAATGTTGTTGAGCGCAATTGGACCAGCGACAAGGAGGATTATATCGGCGAGGTACATGCCACACATGGACACGGCCATGCCTTGGCTGCGGATGTGCGTCGGGAAGATCTCCGAGCTAGACAAGTTGTTAGCTGGGGCTTACCCGCTCGGGAGCAGTAATGCAGCCTGAGTAGAAATAGCGACGGAGCAGTGACTTACACGTAGAGGAATTGTGAGGCATCGATGAAGGTACTCCAGAATGGTGTGATGAACTGCATAAAAAGGTCAACCATGGCTCGTCCTCATAACTCACGCTGATGAGAGGGAGGGTTTGGAGGTCTGAACCAAGAGAGGATACTCACCAGGAATATGAAGAAGACGCCAAAGTTTAGAGCCACGCGATTGTTGGTACCCAGGTAAGTCGCTTGGATGGCGATTTCGCAGATCAGACAGACAAGGATGCCAGTCAAACCGATGAGCAAGAATCTCCTGCGACCGAACCTCTCGACGAAGAACGCGCAAAAGATGTTTCCAGGGAACGTAGACAACACCCAGAACGCGCTCAGCAACAAAGGCCAGAAATCCGTCATGCCCAGCTGGATGTACAGAATGACACCATAGTTCGCGATGATCAGGACACCGGTGAATTGGTTGTTCCACATCAAAATGAAGCCCACCAGAGCGCGCCTGCGATTCGCTGGTGTTTTGAAGATCTCCCACTTTGAAGTGGTCGCACTGATTTGACGGTCCAATTCGACTTGCTTCTTCATCTGGTAGAATTCCTTGCGGGCAAGAGAGTCATGAGGGTCGTTCTTTGTCCGGTGTAGGCGTTTGATCACTTCGTGGGCTTCGTCGTGGCGATCGTGCATGAGGAGCCAACGCGGCGAATAAGGCAACCAAGGTGAGCCGACCAGCAAAAGCAAGGCTGGAACCATTTGGAACGCGATAGGAAAGCGCCAAGGGAATGAAGAGGGTGATCCACCGGTAGAGATGAAGGAGACGCCGAACCCGATGAAGGCAGAGAGCGTGTATCCCATGGCAAACATCACCCCGTGCATTGACACCATGAAACCCCGGCTCTCAGGAGTTGATACCTCGGCTTGGTACATCGGGATGGCTGTGACAAGAGCACCGATCTATTTCATTGTCAGTAAACATGGCTTGCATAACCCGTTCGGCTTGACCCACTCCCAACCCATTGATCACACGTCCCACGAGAAACATTGCATTGTTCACCGATCCTGTGCAAATGGCGGCCCCAATTACAAGAATAATGGCAGCAACCTGAATCGTGTGCTTGCGCGACCACCTATCTGCACAGTATGCACAAGCTGCGGCGCCAATGGCAGATCCTGCCGAGTTCACACCTGGTTGAAGAAAGGTTAGGAGCCATTCAGAGGTAGGGCGAATTAGGTCCAACAATATACCATTGAAAGCACCGATGTATTCAGCAGTGCGCCCGTATCCAGGTTCTCCTTGAGGAGCCAGGTGCAGTGATTTGTAAAAGCTAGGCTGGCCAATGGTGGAGCTGGATCATGTTAGCACACTACCTTCGATCATAGAATGGGTTCTCCTTACCCAATAATGGCCATTCCGTAGGAGCAGGCGGTTGATCCAAGAGCCACGAAGATCACAACCGCCAGGTTGAAGGCATTGGGTATGAGTTTCCCCATCGTCGGGAAAGGTCTCTGAGAGCTCTGGGCTCGAACCGGAAAATGTACAAGACCCCGTTGCAGGAGTGGTACAGTAGAAGTTGACAAAAGGAAGTCGGGATACGTCTGCGTTCGATGAACGGACTTCTTATACGGCGCCCCTGGCGAGGATGGTAAGGTCCGACCAATTTCGCAGAAAACCTAGGCCATTCGAACTCTTCGCCGGTGCATGTTTGAACACGAAAGACGAGCCCAATAGGGGTTAGTCATGATACAAGAGCCACCAGGGTCCAGTAAAGACGGACTTAAACAGTCCTGATTGGCCATCATGTCATGGTTCGTCCTGCACCAAGTCTTATTGACAAGAAAAAATGAACGGGGCTAGACCGCGCGACGACAGATAGCCATAGCCAGGTCGAATAGTCCAAACAAGGAAACGCAGCAGCCTGGAAGTCGGAGCCGCGCTCGTGGCGGCAATAGACTTTCGGATTGTGCCCCAACCTTTATCCTCGGGCTTGGAACACGAGTGTGGGGGGAAGGTTGGGACGCATGGGCGTCTCGAATCCCCAGGTTTTGCGGGGGAACGCCGTTGGAATTCCGAGGTCCAACTCTCGAAACGGTTAAAGAGTGCAAGTACGGGGTACTCCATGATGTGTTCCCGTGTCTTACTGTGTGGTAGGTTTCTTCCAAGACATCGCCGAGCTCG